TGGACGATGGCAACAGTTTCGGTGTCAGTTACACTCCAAGAACAACAGCAATGAAGAACAGCCTTCGTGTATTGAGCTGAAGCACAAGGCTTACTTTGTCAATTGCGACATGCCAATGGTGGGGCAGCGCCAAAGGGTAGATAGCTGAGCATGAGGATCCGTTTGATGTCGAATTCAAGATCAGTACGTGCTGGCTGTCTGCACCTAACGCTCCTTCTTTGACTCGACAACTCGTTGACCACATCGGCTGCAAGCAAGATCTGACGTGGTTCCCAGTTAAGCTAACATGGCTAAGAGCTGCGACAATCGCGAGCATTCGGTTTCGTACTTATTGACTGTCATGATAGCGAATATGGCAGCTCGAGTCAGTAGCTGACATTTGCCAACAAGTGTTCCAAGGTCTAAGACTTTGTCTGTAAGTTGCAGGAAGATTGATGGACAGGCAACTCCTCGCTGATCATCTGAACGCTTCTATGTCCCGATGAGAGCCACGTTGTCGTGGTCTGTGGAAGAGCATGAACTGGCCTGGCATTTCCTCGATCTCCAAAACTTGGGAGGCAACACGCGAACGCTGTGCTCGACCATATCTTATGGCCAAGCGAGCGCTCGATCGACTAGAAAGTCAGTGACAGTAACCTGCTAGAGACCGTCGAATCTGGGTCCGATGGCCAGTAAACTGACGGTTTGTTGTCCTCGAGTACAATACTAATGGAGGGCGGCAGCAGACATATCAAGTGGCGCAGTCTTCTGATGTGCTCTCAAGCTTGATGCGAGTTGTTGAGAAGTCGATCTCAAGGCTGGGAGCGCGAAGAATCCGGCTTCCTCGTCGTCAAAAGAGTGGAGACATGAGCAGAGAGACCTGAGCACCATTGCTATTCCTGACAGAGGTCGTTGAATGACTATGGCTGTGTAAAGTCATTGGTAAGTTGAGACAGGAATGGAAGATCTGGTGTTGTTCGCGCGCGTCGATGTCGTCGAGGACTTCTCGGCGTGACGCAAGCTTTTTCGAGCAAACGATCGGAACTGACATGTGAAGCCAGATCTCCTAGCAACTATGAATACCTTCACAGTCATGTTGTCCGTGATATACCTTCGCTGTCGTTGCTTGTTGAATCCTGCGATACCAGAGAGCTTGAGCAAGGTTGAGCTATGTCAGCTTCTGGTGTTGCAAAGTCACGAGAGCGATCAGACGAGGCAACTGCGTGTTGATAACGCATGGCCGCGAGCAAGCGTCGACGACTTCATAGCTTGCCTGGTATCATCCATTAAGGCGGGCGGCACAAGTGATGTTCGGATACCGACGGGAGATGGATGCGTGAGAGAGGTGGAGACTCAGCAGTTTCGTATCATCGCGATCAGCTTGTCCGAACTCGCAGTGAGGAGCCAGAGAAGGTGCGAGGTGCGGAGATGAAGCAAAGAAGGAGCATCGCATCCAAGACCGATACAGGCCGTTCAACAAGACCGAGATGACAGCCTGGAAAGCCGAAGTTATATGACTACCACCGCGATAAAATTGTGTCGAAAATTGGTGGAGAGATTTTGCTGCCGATCTGGACTCGTGGTGCGACAGTAAACTGTAGCCGAGCGAAGCCTGATTTGGTTAGCGTAAGTTGGGGAACAGTCTCGATCGGGTATGGCGTCAGCGGGAGAACAAAGACCGCGAACTTTCTCTTATCAACGTCAACACTCAAGACCGAAGGTAGCCGCGAGGCAAGTGAACAAGGAGAACGGCGGCATAAGGTTATGGGAATGAGTATTAAAGGCAGATGGCCCTCTGCTGAGGGAGACTCAAGTGAACTTATCGACCTTTTCGCAGCCTCCAAGAAGACATTGCATATCCAACGACACCATGTCTTCCCTCAAGCTGCGCTCCAACATGGCACGCCGCCTGGATGGCCGTGTCGCAACTNNCCCCTTCTTGATGTCTACCAGACACATCCACAGCACTCCGGCCGAGCAGCATGCAATGACTGCTCCTCAGGTGGCTACTCTCCCCAAGCATGTTCCTGGATCAAAGGTCACTAAGACCAACAAGACTCCTGCTCTTGCCGTTCTTCCTCTCTCCACCGTTCTGAGAACCTACATGATCACCTCGATTTCTTGCAAGCCTGCTCTTTTGTCCGTTTGCTTCNNCAAGGCTCTTACCGCCATGATCCACGCAAAGGGTCCCATCTTCAACGTCGAGCGCAACCCTCTTCTCAAGCTTATCCTCAGAGAGACTTTCTACAAGCAATTCTGCGGTGGTGAGACAAAGGCCGAAGTCCGTGCTACTCGCGCTCAACTGCAAAGCCTGGGTTACTCTGGTGTCATCTTCGAGTACGCTCGTGAGATTCTTTCCGACGTTCCTTCTGACGACACCGCCGGCGATGTTGAGATGTGGAGAAAGGGACTGATGGAGACTGTCGAGGCTGCTCAGCCCGGCGACATTATCGGTCTGAAGTGGTCCGGGATGGGTGGTTACGCTATGCAGTTGCTCAAGCAGGGCAAGCAACCCATCGACATTATGGACAAGGCCATGAAGGAGATCTGTGACGCCGCTTCAGCCAAGAAGATTGCTCTTGTTCCCTCTGCCGAAGAAACCACCACCAACCCCATGATTGACGCCTGGACCTTGAACCTTCAAAAGATCTACAACAAGCCCGATAACATCGTCCTCTACAACACTTACCAGTGCTACCTCAAGGGTGCACCTGCTTCTCTGTCCAACCACCTCCACCAGGCCAAGACTGAAGGTTTCACTCTCGGTGTCAAGCTTGTCCGTGGCGCTTACCTGCACTCTGAGCCTCGCGAGAAGATCTGGGACACCATCCAAGACACCCATCGCGCATACGATGGCATGGCCGAAGCCGTTCTGACCCGCACCTACAATCATGTTGTTAAGCCTATTTCCTCTGACGACGGCGTCTTCCCTCGCAACGTCGGTCTCGTTCTCGCCACTCACAACGCCGACTCAGTCCGCAAGGCCCAAGCTATTCGCACCAACCAGCTCCGCGCAGGCGAGGAGAGAGTTCCCTGCGCCTACGCTCAACTCCAGGGTATGGCCGATGAGGTCAGCTGCGAGCTTATCAGCGCTACTCAAGCTAAGCCTGAGGAGATGGTCGACATCCCTCGTGCTTACAAGTTGACTGCTTGGGGCTCCATGACCGACTGCCTGAACTACCTTCTCCGTCGTGCCGCTGAGAACAAGGACGCCGCTACCCGCACCGTTGAGAGCAGAGATGCCATGCGTGGTGAGATCTGGCGTCGCATGAAGGCCACTTTCGGCCTTGCTTAAGCCTCTTCATCTTCTCCTATTCTCGACCTCTCTACCTCTCATGATAACGATATTGGCAACCTTTCAGGCGTTTCCTTTTCACAACAAGCATTTCTGTGGCGTTCTCAGCGATGGACCGGCGTTCGACGCCCTGGATGGGACATGAATTTTCCTTTCTGTTCTACAAGTATAGATGCTTCTTTTGCCTTCAAGGGCAGTTCTTTCAGCGATACCAATACCCCTGTAAAGCATACTATCAAACCAAAAATTCAAAAAATCATATAAACATCAAAACATCTTCCAATCTCTTCCAATTATGCTCATGTGACCATCACCTTCTCATGGTCTTCTCACTGGCTTGACGACTGGCCATGGTGATTAATATTTCTTTGCTCTTTCTTTGAGCAAATTAAGATTCCGACTCAGGATCCATATGTTTTGCTTGTTTCGTGTTGCCGAATCTAGCCGTCACAAGCCGATCAATGCCGATGATATCCGACCACCAAGGAAGATCCGGCATCCTTTGTTTTCGATCCCTAGATTTGAACGACACGAGTTCGTCATCTGTGAGCGTGACCATCGATATCATAATCCTTGATCATGTGGCATGGTAGCCTTGTTGCATACCTTGACAAGGGGAGTGTATCTGGTGTGGATCAAAAGCCAACAACATGCAACCGCAACGTCGTTCTCCCAAGATGTCTCAACAATAAACCAGCTCATCATAAAAAGTTATCTATATCTTGCTGCATTTTGAGCCGTTCTCTTGTATATGCGTGTGTACCAAAGCAACTCCCATCTCCCTTGGTCTTGTTCGTGAATCTCTCAAAGGTTGGTGGACAAAGATACATTCGCGCAGTCGCTGCTTTGCCTGTAGCTATGCTAAGCGCGTTGTTTCGTCTTCGACGCCTGAGACAGTTCACTAGGAGGTTGAGTCTTTCCACTCTGTCCTCAGCGAGCATAAAGATAGCTCCATGGCAAAAGCGACCTGCTTGCCTTTCGACACCTGCACACCGCATCATCTGAATCTAGAAATCTGTTCTGGGCGATCAATGCGGAACAAGACTCTCCACAAAATCAAGGCACATCCATCCTCACGATGGTCACAAGTGAGTATGCATGGCTGTCGTCATTGTTGACCTCTGATCATGGCGGCAGACTTCAGAGCATATATATCCTATTGAAGCTCCCGAGACAGGAGCAGATCTTTCTGGCAGTAGGTATCTATTGAGTCTTGGTAAAAACCAGCCAGCATGGCAACACACTGTATTACGGCGATAAGCTATACACTTGCCTGGTTACTAACCACATCAAGACCATTGACATCTTGTAGATTGTGGAATGATTTCCTTGCTGATGGTAGAGATCCGAGGTTTCCATGGAATCGAGTTAGGTTTTGGACTTGATAGTAGTCAATCTTATCTTTGTTAGCAAGTGCCATGCGCAACAAGCTTCAATTCACGATTCACGAAGCTCGAGGGTTGAAGGTTGAAGGATCAGATAAGATTGCGGACACGAAGTGCTACGTCACGACCCGATCAAGCCGCCGCCCATTTTCGCGTTGACCTTGGACAGATAGTTTCGTGATCTCAACACACCACATTGACTCGTCATCTCTAATCGACAGCCTTTGAATAGGCGTGTTCGAGTTGTTTTGAACTCTATCAATTCATTCCTCGTTGTCTGTCACAGCCTTTAGGCTTCACTCTTTCTACTGGTAACTCATTGCATCTCGCCCACGATGCAGCCGCTACGCCAATTGAGCGGTCGCACTGGGATGCACTTGCGCCGTTCTATTATCCAGACATGTCGCTCGCAACAGTTCACTCGCTCTCTGGTCAATGGTCCAGTTCGCCGTGAACTGCTGCAGCGCATGTCCGCGCCAGCATCCCTCGCAACACCCGCCATCATTCGTCAATTGAACCACGTCCGTCGCCAAAGCACAACCACCGAACCTCCTCCAAAGTCTCCAGCCGCTTCTCCTGTACAAAGATCGCGTTTCCTTCGTTTCCTCTGGCGAGGCTTCACCATCCTTGGCATCTTCGTCGTTGTTTCTGGTGTCCTGGTTATCGGCTTCTTCGCCTTTGATGCAACCACATACAAGGAGGAATCCGACACTGTTGATATTACCGTCTCTGAACTCGCTCTGAACCCTAGAAGAGGAGGTCCTAAGAACCTCCCCATTGCTGAACACCTTATCGACGACGACGATTCACCGGAAAAGAAGGCTCAGAAGCACAAGCCCAAGCTGGTCATTCTCGGTACTGGTTGGGGTAGCGTTGCTCTTCTCAAGCAGCTCAACCCTGATGACTACCACGTTACTGTTGTCTCTCCATCCAACTACTTCCTGTTCACTCCTATGCTTCCCTCTGCCACTGTCGGTACTCTGGAACTTAGATCTCTTGTCGAGCCTATTCGCAGAATCGTCTCTCGTGTTAAGGGTCATTTCCTCAAGGCTTCTGCTGAAGACGTCGAGTATGTCAATTCCAATTCCACCCTATCCGCTGATACTAACCGTAATCTAGTNTTCTCAAACAAGCTCGTTGAAGTATCCGCCATCAAACCAGATGGAACCAAGGAAAACTTCTACCTCCCCTATGATAAGCTCATTATTGGTGTTGGCTCCATGACCAACCCTCACGGTGTCAAGGGTCTCGAGTACTGCAACTTCCTCAAGGACATTACCGATGCACGTCTGATTCGCAACCAAATCATTCGTAACCTCGAAGCCGCTTCCCTTCCTTCTACACCTGACGAGGAAAGACGCCGTCTGCTCTCTTTCGTTGTTTGTGGAGGTGGTCCTACTGGTGTCGAATTTGCTGCTGAATTGTTCGACATGCTCAACGAGGATCTCTGCAACTACTACCCTCGCATTCTCAGAAATGAGATCTCGGTACACGTCATTCAGAGCAGAGGTCATATTCTCAACACTTACGATGAGACTCTCTCCAAATACGCCGAGGCTCGTTTCGCAAAGGATTCTGTCGATATTTTGACCAACTCGCGCGTCAAGGAGGTTCAAAAGGACAAGATTCTCTTCACCCAAAAGGATGAGAACGGCAAGACTATCACTAAGGAAATTCCCATGGGCTTCTGCTTGTGGTCAACTGGTGTCGCACAGACTGAATTCTCGAAAAAGCTGGCTGATAAGCTTGGAGAGAACCAGACCAACCGTCATGCTCTCGAGACTGATACTCATCTTCGTCTTGTTGGTGCCCCGCTAGGTGATGTCTACGCTATTGGAGACTGCTCAACTGTTCAAAACAACGTTTCGGATCACATCGTTTCATTCCTGCGTACCGTCGCTTGGGAGAAGGGCAAGGATCCTGAGAAGATGCTGATCGGTTACGGTGATTGGAGAGGTGTTGCTAAGCGTGTCAAGCAGCGTTTCCCTCAAGCAGCCGAACACTTGAAGCGTCTGGACAAACTTTTCGAACAGTATGACAAGGACAAGAGTGGTCATCTGGATTTCAGCGAACTGCAGGAATTGCTCAAGCAGATTGATGGCAAGATGACATCGTTGCCCGCAACTGCACAACGTGCCAACCAGCAAGGTATCTACCTGGGCCGCAAGTTGAACAAGCTCGCTCAAGCTGCTCCTGGTATGGAGCTAAACAGCATGTATTATGGTGATCTCGATGATGCCGTTTACAAGACTTTCTCATATACCAACATGGGTAGTCTGGCTTATGTCGGCAATGCAGCCATCTTCGATTTTGGCGGTATGAACTTTGCTGGTGGTCTCGTCGCAGTGTACCTGTGGCGTGCAGTATACNNTTTCTCGCAGAGCGTCAGTCTTCGTACTAGAATTCTCCTTGCCATGGATTGGACCAAGAGAGCACTTTTCGGAAGAGGTAAGCTTATGATCAAGTCTCCCAAGCACATGGATGATTTACTAACGCATCACAGATCTTATGAACTTCTAGAGCAGACATATAGATAGTGTCAATGCCCATACGTTTTTCAAATGCATGTTCACCACTTTATTGTCGTTGACTTTGTTCAATCTTGTGCGGACAAACGAAAGGCCGACATTTCAGCTCTCGGTCGATCGGCAAAGGACGGCGCGAGTGGAGCATGGACGCGGCCGAAGCTCCACCTTCTTGAGCTCGCCATCGCCCTAGGGTATTGCGATAACAGTAGACCTTTTCCTCTCAATCTTGTTGACTGTCTCTCATACTTGCCAGATCTTATCAATCGCATGTTCTTCCGCCGTCTCGTCCAACCTCTACGAACTGTCCACTCCCTCGTTTCCAAGACACGTCCAAACCTCGTCCCGTACCCCGCATCCCACGTATACCAACTCCGCACAATGGCTACAGCAATGGGCAAACGCCTTGAAGGCAAGACAGTCGTCATTACCGGTGCCTCTTCAGGCATTGGAAAGAGCACCGCTCTCGAATTCGCACGCACCAGTCCCAAGAACCTGAAGCTTGTTGTTACTGCACGCCGCTTGGAAGCCCTGCAGCAATTGAAAGAGGATATCAACAAAGAAGTTGGTGATGGTGTCAAGGTCTTGCCTGTCAAGCTTGATGTCAGCAACCCAGAAGAAGTCAAGAACTTTGTTGGAAACTTGCCAGAGGAGTTTAGGGATATTAATGTTTTGGTGAACAATGCGTGCGTTTGGCCTATTCGATAAGAGAAGGAAGGAGAAGAATACTGACATGTGAACAACAGTGGTCTGGTTAAGGGTGTTGCCAAAGCCCCTTCAATCGCTGAACAAGACATGAACATCATGTTTGCAACAAACGTCACAGGCCTCATCAACATGACCCAAGCCGTCCTGCCCATCTTCCTCGCCCGCACTGAAGGTTCCTCAGGCCTCTCCGGCGCCGGCGACATCATCAATGTCGGCAGCATCGCAGGCCGCGAACCCTACCCTGGCGGCAGCATCTACTGTGCCACCAAAGCCGCTGTCCGCTCCTTCACAGAATCTCTGCGTAAAGAGTTGATTTCGACTCGTGTTAGAGTCATTGAGATCGATCCTGGACAGGTCGAGACTGAGTTCTCGGTTGTGAGATTTTACGGCGATAAGAAGGCTGCTGATAAAGTGTATGAAGGTTGTGAACCTTTGACACCAGAGGATATTGCAGAGGTTGTTGTGTTCGCAGCTGGTAGGAGGGAGAATGTTGTGGTTGCTGATACCTTGATTTATCCCAACCATCAGGTATGTTTGGACTTTCATTTTGTTCATCTTCATCCATGCCCCCCTTCCTTGTTTGTTTGCTTTGCAGTTGCTGATTTCGGAAAGGCCGCTGCTACGGTCATGCACAGAAAGACTTAAAATGAGAGATGCTACTATGAATGATGTGTCTGACCGGAGATATACAGGCTGGTGCTGGGGGAAGCAACTCGTACAAGCGCCCTCCTCAACCAAAGATTTAGACCTCAACGCAGAAGCTCTCGAGTATGGCGAGATAGAAAGACTGTATCACGATGTTCTCGTTCCACTTGTCAAACACCTGGGTTGTTGTTTTCTAACTCTGGCATCAACATATATTCTTGAGGAAATATTGCCTACGTTGACAAATGCTTACTCTTAACTCCAACCACCAAGTATTAAGATGAACTAGCGTTTTTCCTACTACCATAGTGTGCTCATTCCCGTAGATGTCAAGATACAGAATGGTGACTCCTTCAATATCTCTTTCGAGCAGGGTCACCATGTAGACACGGATTTAGCGGAGACAAGCAGAAAAACGTCACAGCTTTCACATGTCAGTCCAAAAGTCCTCATTGACATTTTCCTTTTCTTCAATACACCTTCAAAGCACAACGAAAACATGGCAGACTCATCAACACCATTAACAGCACTCTGCAGCATCTGTCACAGCGCACCGCCTAAATACACTTGTCCCCGAGACGCCGTCCGCACCTGCAGTCTCGCCTGCTCACAATCCCACAAACGTCGCGCCGCATGCAGTGGCATTCGCGACCCAGCCGCCTATGTGTCTAAATCCTCTCTTCAAACCGCCGGTGGCATAGACCGCGACTACAACTTTCTCAGCGGGCTTGAGCGCAATATCGATCGTGCCGACAAAGAGACTTCCGAACGTGGAGTCGCATTGGATGGAAAAGGCAAACCTGTGTTCCAGAAGAGATGGCATGACAATGGTGCATTGGGGAAATATTTGCGCGAACATGGGATTGTGGTGCATAAAGCGCCGATAGGGATGGCGAGGCAAAAGGCGAATCAGACGAGGTTTATTCAGAAGAGCAAAAGGATTGTTTGGAGTGTGGAGTGGGTTGTCGAGGGCGAGAAGAGAGTTGCCGAGGTTGATGAGAGTAGGACGATTGAAGAGGCGTACAAGGAGTTGGTGTTGGAGAAAGAGAGGGAGAATAAGAAGAGGAAGAGGACACATGAGGACGCTGGAGCAAAGACGCAAAAGCAGAAGGTGCAAACAGAGAAGTCTGACCTTGAGGAGTCGAAAACACAATCTGTGGAAGGTGCGATAACGCAAGCCGAACCTGCCACGGAAACAGAAGGAGCAACAACGAACGTGACTTCAACCGCACCTTCCATAGACGAAATCACAGCAGGAGACAGATCCGAACAGCAACCGCAAACAACCGAAGTTGCCAAAACGACGCAGGAAACCACACACTTCTACCTCCATAAACCACACACCTCATCAACAAATACTGTCCTCATCCCGCTCGACCCGACTACCACATTGACCACCGCCCTCCACCAAAAACACGTTCTTGAATTTCCTACGATATACGCCTTTGCTTCCGAACCCTCCNNAACACAAACACCCGCCCTTGAGGGCCAGTCTATAGAAGACACCGCGAAATCAGTCCAAGAAACTGGACATACTCTACCTAAAGGCTTCATCACCGTTCAGCAATACAACGAACAGCGATCAGCCGAGGATAAAGAGCTGATAGGATTGATGGAGTCGATTCCAGAGGGACAAAGAAAAATTGCCTTGGATGGTGGGATCTTTGGCGGTAGTGAAGAGAAAGAGGAAACAGTGGACGAGAAACAGATACTAGAGGTGCTACAACGAGACGCTGATGCTCTAAAGCAGTAAGAATAGAGAAACTACTAACCTGTCCTTAACCATTCGCACTGCATTCATCCTCTTCGAGTTCCCCAACCTCCGTGCTTATACTGAAACGTCCTTTGTTCCGTGCGAATTGGTCACCCAGTAACCCGTCTTCAGCATTGTAGCGAACATTCTGAATGTTGTAAGGGTTGTCGTTAAGCCTAAGGTCTGCTTTGTCTCCGGACGCTTCTATCGTTGCTACTACAGCATGCCCGAATGTGTATCGTTGAAGAGGCGACGGACCCTTTCTCGACCTCCAATCATAAATAGTAGTCTCCTTCGTTCCCATCATCATCCTCATTTCAAGGGTATATCTGGTGGTCTTGAGAGTAGCCATAATAATTTTCAGCAAATGTGTCTGACTCTCATGCTGGTACCTGGCGAAAAAGAACCTTTGGTGAGTCATCCCAGCAAATTGAGCCGCGAAGGCACAAGAAGCATGCGTACCGCATGAGACCCTCGTGATGATCCGGTCTGTCACCAAGATCGAGAGCCAATACACCTTTGTGCTTTTCACCAGTAGACTGATCACGATTCCACCGTAGTATCGATCGTCTTGACGCTTTGGATAGGCGAGTGAAGCCAACGGTGTCCATCCACGGCTCAGAATGAGGTCGATCGGATAAAGCGGTATGTACCTATGGCTATGTGAAATCGGAACGCTAATCCTGGCGCCATTCTCAATAAAAGTTGTGGCCAAGGCGGGTGTTGAAGCTTCTAGAGCGAAGAATATAGCTGGGCTGGGGTTTTGGCACTCCTCATTCGCGTCCGGAGGGCCGCACTCCGTGTCTAGACTCAAGCCAGCTTTGATGAGACTGAGAATCAGGCTAGTGTTGTCGTTGACAAGCACCCACGAGAGAATTGCCTGGGAGTACTCCATCGGATCCTCTCTTGGTACCAATCTACTCAGAACGAGATCAACCATCTCTCGTTGTATTCCTCCAACAACAAGAGCGTCCAGCAGGTCACTCACATGGAAACCGGACCGAAGAAGATTACCCCATCTCGAGCTCATGATCTCGATGGTCATGATAGAGCCTGAAATGATTGCCAGACAGACTGGAGTGTTTCCTTCGCGATCACGATGTCCAATTATTTTGGCGTTTGATCGCGTATTCGACCCCAACAAGTAGTCAATAACCTTCGAGTGCCCCTGCTCAGCGGCGTAATGTAGAGCTGTCCTGCCGGTTCTTGGACACACGTCATCATACCCGACGCTCTTTTTTGCAGACGCCTTCTTGAAGACCTCGATGCGACCCCTTTTGGCGGCTAGGTGTAGCGGCGACAATCCATCATATTCTACCAACGGCAAGTCCGGATCTCCTTGCCAGCTCATACCTAGCTCTAGCACAGGCAAATGTTCGTTACATATAGCCCAGCCAATCATTTTACTGCTAAGGGGTTCGGGGCTGTCACTCTTCCATGGAAACATCTCTGACATGTCGCGCTTGTCCTGAGGGCCCAAGCGTATCCTGGAGTCGAAACGCACGAGCTCTGCGAATCGCAACCAACATATTTCCGATTCAGTGGTGAACTCACGACTGAGTGATATCCAAATGCTCTGAGCATACTTATGAAATGGTCCTGGAACGTTTCTGGTGACATAACTCGCTGGGAGTGTCAGGATTGTAGGATCTTTACGGTCTCTGAAGGTCGAGGGTGTCGCTTTTCGTGCCAGTAGTGAGGAACCTACGACACGTGAGATTGTTCGATTGTATGCGGGAATCCATCGGCCCATCTGCGCAATTGCTGGCAAACGTACCTCAGTAGTCTTGGCGCTCTCTGCTGATTTCATGTTGTTCTCAACATTGGAAATAGCAGTATGCCATAACAGATGGACGATACACATTTCGCCAAGATCTAAGACGGAATCGTCCATGACAAGTCCGTTCAGTTCTTCAAGTATGGATGCCCTGGAGCTGTCCAGGAATTTTCTGACAGAATGATGAGTGGGGGTCACGAATCTTTCCACCTCATCAAAGATGATCAAGTTCGCACCAGAACGCAAAATGGCATCATGAACTGGGATATGGTCATGTTTGAGCTCCCCAGTTTCCGGATCTGTGGCGAGGGCTTCCCCAAGTGCGTCGATCGTGAGCGGAGCCTTGGCTGTGTACACATATCGGAGCACACGCAGGGAGTACCGTTGTTGCTTATCCTGTACCCGTTGTATACATCGTTCATACGTCTCGTCCAGACGTTTTGGCAAATTAGCCAGGGCAGCGTGAATCTCTGCATCGGTATTACACGTCTGCCAGAGGACGTCGATCTGTAGACGTGCCCACAAAAACCTAGATTGACTATCAGCATATTGTAGATCTGAGCATGCTAGAGGTGCTCGAGAGATTCTTTCTATCAGATGAAGGCGGAGTTTGACCTACATTTCTTTAGCTTGTTCAATCAGCGTCATCTTGATTCGAGCTTTAGTGTTTTCATCGTTCGAGATCTNGCCTTTTTGCTTTGCTATGTATTGGTTGACAAACAAAGCAACATCACCTGCCACTTTCGCATGCGTAACCTCGAGACGTTCAGATCCGGGCATTAGTCTAGCAACATCCAGTTCATGGCGCCCACAGATGATGATCTTCACAGAGGTTTCTTCCAATACACTTGAAAAATACTCAAGGACATCGTTGCATTCTTGCGGCGAGCATAAATCAAGACCATCAACGATCAGGAAAGAGCTTCTGAACTGTCGAATTAGCGGTTTCAGAAGCTTCTCTATGAGATGTCTGTGATCGGACTGATAGTTGCGTTTGCCGAACATACGCTTGATGGTGGTTGAGATTAGCACAGATGGCTTCTTCTGAGTTTTGTGTAAGTATCGGAGAAATTGCTTCACATAACTCCGAAACAGAGCATCTGCTGTCAGAGTGTTTTGGTTGTTGGGGTCGAAGTAAAAGTGTACAACGGGTACCTCGAAGCGTTCTGGTTCGTTGTGGTCCAGCAGAGTTTCAATCGCGGTGTNTGCTGGCATTATTAGCGTAGCTCTCTTTCAAAGGGTCAAGTTTACTTACACCAAAAAGGTCTTGCCGCAGCCCACNNTGTCAAAGGTCAATACAGATCTGGATGCGAGTGTGATTGACTCACCTATACCAGAGAGCCAGAGACATCTACCATGATCGGGGTGATCTTGCTCAGATTTGTTTGCCCACGACAGAAGATCTTCCACGATCCAACGAGTAGTGCCTTGTGTCTTCTGCATATTGATTTTACGGTGTACACATTGTGGCTGATAATCCGATATACGGTCAAGTAGGTCAAGGGAATCATCCTCTGATGGGTCAGCTTGGCCACAATTCTATGACAAAGGATTGCTCACCACTGCTGGCGAGCTGCCAGCGCGAATCTTGGCTCAGTGCGTAAAAATCTTGATCTTCATCGAGCGAAACTTGTTCAATTGCCTGCAATATCTCTCCAGATGACTGAGTAACCGGCCGAACTATGTACACACATTCGTAAGCGGCAAAACGAGCTTTACTACGCGAAGTCTGACATACTTTGACGCTCGCCCAATTGTTGTACACACATCCGAATGTCACCCTGTACAGCTTCTGTCTGCAAGTAGTCGCTTGTCATGGCCTTGATGGCAGGGATTTGCTCAGTTTCTGCTAGACCAATATCGCCCAATCCGCGTGGGACATTGAACCGAAAGCATGTCTTGCTCTCGAAAAGCCCAAATTGTTCTCGATGAAACTGGTTGGCGGTGGATTCGGTCTCGGTAGCAATGTCCAACAGTGCTTTCCCGATGCCCTGGACCGTCTCTTCAAAACGCTTGTAGCCAGGCTGGCCTGTGCCGATCGAAATTAGGCAGCCAAGATTCTTGAGTAAAGACTCCCGACGTGACAGAACGTCCGTAGCTTCGCCCCAGATGTGACGGATGGGGTTGTTCGCGCCGGTGCCTCCATCCAGAAATCGCTGTCCAGGCTCGCCGATAGTTATCGAATCGANAAAGGTCGATGCTGCTGACGTAGCGCGAGCAGCTTCCCAGATACGGACGGTCTGGTACAGATCCGGATCACCCCTTGCTGTATGCCAAGTCCGAAGTAAAGCGGTCTGCGAGGTTTCACCGCTGGTACAGCATACAAACCTTCATTAGAGTTAGAGAGTTTCTCAAATATCGGATTGACCGACTAACACTTTTGTTCCTTGTGGATTCTTCAGTAGGGTGTCCTCATCTACACCGCAATTCCGTAGAACCCTCTTGACAGCAAGCTCCAAAGCTTCGCTATCATAGCGCTCCTTGAGATCTCCTTTGATACCGATAGGTATTCGTCTTGTTTTGTGAAAGACGTCTTTGGACAGTTCGGTGTAGGTTTTGATGCATTCGTCAACGCTCATCTCGAGACGACCCAGCATAATGGCAATGANGACTTGGCAAGGTCAGTCCTGTGTAGATCGACTTGTTCTGGGGAACTGTTACCCGCCAGTACTCGTTCCACCAATGATATCGAAATAATCACAAGGCTTAGGCGGGTTGTCTGGATCGATCGAGTTCATAATGCGCTGGAGGATGTATAAAGAAGAAAGACCTCGGACGCCTCCGCCGTCAAGGCTGAGGAGATTCAGTTCTCTCCCAGGCATCGTGTGAGCTCAGCAGATGGCAGTAGGCGGGCGGGATGCAAGCGGTCTTGGAATAACCGGAGGGCGAAGCATGACTTTATCTTTGCAGGTACATGGAAGCGGTCTGATTTTCATAGAGCTGAGTCACGGCGGTCTATTGGTTCGAACAGGAATGAGGCCAGCCGCGTGATGCGACATGCATGAACATGCATGAGAGGATTCCGAGATAGCGGAGCAGGAACGATGCAGGTTGCTGTGATGCTGTTCGACACAGAGTTCTCGGCATCGTTCAGGGGATGAGCTTGGTTGAAGAGAATTGGAGCTTTCTCCTGTTGGCTTGGGCACGAGATGAAGGTCACAAAGGCTCTCACTGTGGAAGGAACTAACCTAAGGTTGTTCGCGTGGTTGTGGCTGGCGTTGCCGATCATCCCCAAAAGAGGCGGCAGGCTGTTGCCATCATCGCTTCGAACCCTCAATCGTTCACAACACGGAAGGCAACATCTATGGACCAACTCTCGATTCCATCAATACTATTCACGTCTCGCTAATAGTATTGCAGCCTCTCTTCCGTCCATCCAGGCCTGAGATAGCTCGAATCAAAGCCAACATCGAATCCTGAAGTGTGCACCCCAAGCACACTCACACTAACAGACACGCTCGCTTCGACATTATCCTGAGACCAGATCGACAGACCGATAGTGTTGTTGCCATGATAATCCAAGATACCAGGGAAGACTGGGAACTCTACCTGATTGCCGATGTACGGAACAAACTTGCCGAACTGGTATCCGTTGACGTAGAGTTGGGCTCTAAGCTTCGAGCTCTTCGACGCATGGAGGTTGAAAGCAAGCGAGACGTCATGACCCTTGGGTAGATCCAAAGGAAGTGCTGTGCGGTAGAAGTTTGCACCTGCGGTGCTGAGACCAGTGGAAGGCGAACCAGAAGCCCACTCGCTGTCGTCAAAGCCAGGTAAATGCCAGCCGAGACGTTCAGCATGTAGACCACCTTCGTTATAAGGTCCACGGATAGGATCGATGTTGTCGCCACCACCGGCCTTGCCTGCTACCTTCCACGAAGTGAACTTGGCACCATCGGCCAGGGTAGCGTTCAAGATACCACGAGGGTTGATAGCGCCGGTAGTCTGGTCTTTGCCCATGTGGTCTTGAATGATGAACAGGACGTTCTCTCCACTCTTAACAGCATCGCCGAACTTGAGTGTCTGGTTGGTTTGCGCAAGCTTGATGTCACCAAAAGTCGAACCAATGAATTTGCCGTTCAGCCAAGCAGACCAACCACTACCAGTACCACCAATGACGTTCAGGAAAATGCCACTACTTGTGCCTTTGAAGCGTCCACGCCAAAGAATGTTACCTCCATGGAAGCCGTACTCATCGGCATACAGAACAAANNAGTTAGTCGCAGGCTTTTCCCAATGAGGTGTGGTTGTATGGTTGGCATCAACCCATCTCGAGTCATCGTAGTCAGCCTCGCGCTCGGGAAGTCCATCTGCAACCTTCCACTGAGATAGTGCAGGAAGCGTGGCAGTCAATGAGTCTACAGTGACTTTGTCCTGGGATAGCTCTCCCTTGAGACTGCCATAGCCAGAAGCTTTGACGGAGACGCACTCGCCGTTGAAAGTGACATTCTTCACACCTGCAGCAAAGACCTCGAGAGGTGTCGTCCCATTGTAGTCGCCAACTAGAGCAAGAGTTTCACCATCGATCTCAGCGCTCCGGACGAGATACGGTCCAACGACCAACGCGGTCTTGTCCAGAGGCACATGGGGGTCATTTGTTAGGGTTGTGTGCCAGAGCTTGTAGGCATGTGATCTATCGACGACAATCGCAGTCACACCGTTGCCATATTGAAAGACGCTCATGCCCGAGCCTTGTGCAAAACTGGTAATGACACCATCTTTAGTTTGGTAGAAACCAACGCTAGAGCACCCGTTGCATTGCTTAACACTGCCATGCTGGGCGCCCTTGAGGTAGAATTCGCCGCTTTCTCCAGTCGGAACCCAGAAAACGATGATGGGCTTACCATTCTGTACGGACACAGCTAAAACCTCGACAGTAGAGTAAATGATCTTTTGTTCGCCAGCGTTGTAGTCCGAGACGAGGATCTTGGATTCTCTGCCATCGATGCGAATATCAGCAGCATGCTGAGGGACTTGGAACTCTCCAAGAGAGGTTGTCATGTTTTGCTTGAAGGAGAGAGATGTCTGTAGTGTTGTGTTTGCATGTCTGACAACATAGAACTGAGCACTGTTCTCGACGTTGTAAAGAACCTGAGTGAAGACATTGGAGTTGGTGGTGAGATTTGTACCATTAGTACCTCTCTCGATGAGAGGAAGGTCCTTGGCAGATCTGATGAAGTAGCCGAGCAGCTTCGCCTCGGAATATTTGTCGCCTATGAGACGATCCTCCTGAATAGGAGCAGAGTAATCGTAACTAGTACCGACTAGTGGGAAGGCAAGGGCACCCCAGTTGGTTCTGAAGATGTCAGTGTTCATTAACTTCAATGGATAACGCACATGAGGCAAGACTTACCCGCCGTACAGCATGTACATGTTATGAGCAGTGACTTTCTGAGCAATGTTGTTTCGGTAGAACACATTCACCCAATCAGGGCCTGTATTGTTTCTGCAGCCACCAGCAGGGCCATCCCAAGGGTTATAAGAACCGCCCTGAAATTCAGCGAAGAATGAAGGATCTCCTGGTGCTGTCTCTTGGAAGTGGGTGTGGTAATCAAGAACAGTGAAGTCTGGAGCCGGGGAATTGGTAGAGGCACACTCCTGGAGATTGCAGCTCCAGCATGAAGGATAGTTATCGACGGCGTACAGCCAAGTATCGCCGCCAACATGGTTGATGTCGTAGTCCATGGACCAAGATTTGCTTCCTAGATTGGGGTTGTTGTGTACAGTGGGCATGTTGATACCAGTATCGTTCGCAACAGTCTCAAGAATCTCCATGTAGTGGATTGCGGTCTCGTTAGGAGTTCTGAGAGCAGTGTTCGTCCATTGGTAGCCGTATTCATTCTCGACCTGGTAGAAGATGACATTGCCGCCGTTGGCAATCGAGTGCTCAGCGATGATACCGTTGATAGTCTCGATATAAGGCTTCCAGGCTTCGGTGTATCTCGTATCGTTGTTACGAAGAGACCCGTAGGCACCAGTTGTAACCCAACCAGGGAAACCACCACCAGTACTTTCTGCGTTGATGTATGGTCCAGGACGATAGAATATATATAGACCAAGCGATTTGCAAGTCTCGAACAAAATGGTGATGTTGTGCGCACCAGATTCGAAGTCAACGATCCCATCACGTGGAGCATGGAATCNCCCTGAACATGGTTAATTGTTCGATCTTTCATGATCTAGATTTACAGTATCTCTCGCTTACCAGTGCGAATAGAAGGAGACCGCGTTGANAACTGATTGCATGTTAGAACATACATCCGGCATAAAGTCTAAACGACAGACTCACCCAGCAGCTTTGACCTTGTGCAAGACGTCAACCCATAGTTCAGGTACAGGAATTCTCCAGTAATGCATCTATTGAATGATCAGGCTCAAATTTGGTTAATGTTAGTCAACGATGCAACATACCTCTCCAGACCAGATGAACAAACGTTCTCCATTGATCTTGAAACTATAGTGATCCCACTCAACCAAGTCGGTAAGTCCGTTGCTTCTCAGTGGCCATTGTGTCTCTTGCGCATGAGAGAGGGCAACGAGACTCAATGGCAGAGAAAGCGTTAAGCTCTTGAAGAGTCCCTTCATGCTGTCTGGTGGTCAAAAAGCTACGACAGTGATTTTCAGAAAACTGGGACGTGAGGGCATGTGAGGAGTTTTATATCATGCTGCTCACTTCACAGCCAAGTACTTGACATGTTCGTCTAACGGAATGCAGCATATTCTTCGTGTGAATAGAGTCTTAGCACGGGAGAATGACATTTACCCAAGGTATCTGCAAGGAAGACGAGACGGAAAAATAGGTAGATGCACGGTGGTCGCGTAAAGTGGCGGGGCTGCAAACAAGGAAATGAGGGGAAGGGCGGATCAACATGGTATAGAGATGGGATCGATCTACCGAGTAAGCTATGTCTATCACAGTCCATCTCATTATACGTCGCCTGCCAGCGGTTCACGACTTGATGAGGACAAACATCTTGTTCGGGAGCTCCTTCCGCAAGATTAATACACAATGTCGAGGACAGGAAGGAGAGGTGAAAGACGGGAGGTTGGACGAGATGTGGGGTTTTTCTGCAAACCGAATGTGGAGTCTCGATCCGAGGTTGGCTCGTGCATGTACATCACCTGTTCCTGCCCTATTAGAGCTCTCTCGAAATCTTCTTCGTCAGAATTGCATTCTTGTCTTGATCCAGTAGGCAATAAAGCTACTGATATTCTGTGAAGGAACTGATGATCAGATCAGGGATTCGTCTATGAGTAAATAAGAATGTTGACATTACACTTTAAGTGTTAAACCATGACCATAACAGCCACAGCAAAAGAATATTATATAACAACAAAAGACGGCAAGATTAAAACATAACTTATAGACCAGAGTCAATCTGGTTAACCACAGTCGTGTTGGTGTATTCAGCCCAATCACGGCAAGTCTGGGCCATGACATATGGAACCTCCATCTCGTTGGTAACATAGGGTGTGTTGACAAGCAAGTTAATGTTCATGCCTTCACTGATGTGCCATGCAATATGGCAGTGGAAGGGCCAGACACCCCAGTTGTCGAGCTCGATTTGAACGACGAGGTAGCCGGCGGGTTGGACGAGCTGTGTATCACGGCGTTGGGGGTTTGAAGGGTTTGTGATGGAGACACCGTCCCAAGTTCCGAGGCCCTCACTGAGGATCTGCATGTTGAAGCCGTGAATGTGCATGGGNNGTCTGAAGATTTCGTTAGTATGTTTTATCGGTTTGTGCAAAAAGAGTGACTTACGAGAAGCAGGGAAGCCAACACTCTGCATGATGATACGGACGGTCTTGTTAGTTCCCAAGTCAAACACACGCCTCTCGTCTGGGAAGTCCAGATTATCAAGCTTGGCTTCAAGAAGTGTGGGATCGTTGTAGTCGGCGACATAAGTCTGGTTGTTCATGTACCACTTGAAGGCTCCAGAGGAGTTGTATTGAGCAGACATGGTAAAGTTGAGGACGACATCAGGCTCCTGGACGGGAATGGGATACTTTGGGACTGTGAGGTTCAGGGGTTGGTTGTTGCAGTTGAGTGGGAAGAAGAGACGAGATTCAGCAATAGTGTTGGTGGTGGTGGGAGGCACGCTAGTATCAGCGTTCTCGTAGTAGATGGCTGCGAGAGCCTCAACACCATTGCCATCGTTCAAACTGCAGCCAGTCTGACCCTTAGGAGGTCCGAGTCCAGAAGGTCCTTCAGTCATGCGCATCCAAACTGCATCAGTGCTGTTGCCGGTAGCTTCTACAATGATATCGGTACGCTGACCGACACCAAGAGTTACAAGGTCGGTGTAGTAAGGTTCAACAGGGACGAAATCATTGGCGACAACCTTCAATTGGTATCCATCAATAGAGAAGAAGATCACAGCTTCAGCAGCATGGTTGATCAAACGCAAGAGATGCTTCTTGCCACTCTCGAAGCGGAACTGAGAAATGCCTGCATTCGGAGTACATGTAAGATTAGTGTTCTTGCAATCGTAGTTGTTCTTTCCATTGATGAGCATGTTGTTGGCAAATGGAGGGAAGATTGGTCCAGTTTCGGTAGCGANAAAGACCTGTTCAAGCAAAGTAAAGTAATCGTTGTGGAACCAGTCAGTCAACATGATAGGACCGAGATCAATATCGTATTCGTCGGCGACAGGTCCATGAATGATCATAGGACCAGCCAAGCCGTTAAGGTACTGGGCGGACCAGTGAGAATGCCACCAACTGGTACCATAGAGTTCGGCGCGGAAGCGGTAAGTGAAAGACTTTCCAGGAGCAATAGGGCATTGGGAAATNNCTAACCTGTCAGCACAATCTACTGGCGTGTGCAAAGAATGACAACTTACGCCAGGAGTTCCATCATACCACGGAGTGCCTTTCTGAAGGAATCCGTGCCAGTGCAAGGCAGTACCTTCGTTGAGGTTGTTTGTAACCTTGACCTCAATCCAATCACNCCTAAAACTGTTAGGCACCGCATTACACATCAGCTGAGGATTGTTTCTTACCCAGTTAGCTTCGATGAGAGGTCCTGGGAATTGACCGTTGACTACAAGAAGCGGAAGTGCAACACCGTCTGGAGCCATGGTCTGATTTGTGATCTCCCACTCGTAGTAACGAGTCATTCCAGTGTTGGGCACATTCTTCTCGTTGTAGGGGTTTGTGTCGTTCTGCTGTCGTAGACCCCAAGGACAACCTTGAGGCATGGGCCCATCTACCCACGGACCAAAGCCAGGATGATCGATCATACCCCANNTTGGCTGAGACCTAAAGTATGTGGTTAGTTAGATACTAGCAATTTGTTGTAAGAGACACAAACCATTAGTCATATCCTGAGGAAGTGTGTTGTTGGGAAACCAGGGAAGGGAAGAGAAATTGGTAGTTGGCCATTGTGGATTAGGAGGTAAAGTAGTATTCCAGTCATGATGTCCAAAAGGTCCTTGACGCTTCGAGGACTTGCCAAAATGGGGTACCCAGGCATAGGCGACAGCGGAACCCCAAAGTACCGCTGCCGAAATTTTGGTTGTGACCTTCATGTCAGACGTGAACAAAGAGAGAAGTCAAACGAATAGGTATAGTAGTAGGTAGTGCAACGTGTGTCGGGTGTTTGCAGGTTCTTGGAAACGAAAGACAAGTAGGAGGACGAAAGATTGGAAGGTCACACCTGAGTTGCTGTTGAAGAAAAGGCTGGGAATCTGCTCCTACTATATAGCCAGATACAGGAAAGAGGCAACCACCTACCAGCATTGGTACTTGGGTGCCAGTAGCATCCGCTCGCCGAAGACCCGCTCCTTCACAGTAGCTCCTCCCAGCGACAAGGTCGCAACAAGGAGCTAAAAGTTGGCAAGATGAGTCTCCAGCCGATCCTGCCAGGGCGGGTCTGTAGCCAGTGGCGGGTCTTGCATAAGGCAATGGGCGAGCGAGGGAGAGTGTTGGATCAAGCGGTGTTGGCGCAAATCCATACCGTTTCTATGGCACACCTGTACTTGTCATGCATGAACAGCTAAGAGAATTGCGCATGCATGTTAAATTTTAGCTCTGTGATCTCAAGAGTGCCCACCCACAATGAGATCAAAGGATTCAAGGCTGGGTCGCCAGCACGATGTACCCATGCATACCTACTCTGATGCATGTACAGCTGGTCAGATATCGTTACGAGGCTCGCAGCAATCTTCTTGCTGTAGATTGATTGTGCATTGTTGAAATATACCTCATATTCACAACATTGCCGTGACCCATCCTCATTCCCACTGTTGCATATCTGCAAGTCGTACAGCAATAAATCTCCGAAGTGACCAGGATGAATGTGTCGTGCAAGGATAGTCCTTCAACTCGACCCGAGGGTTGGGACGAGAGGACGGGATGTTGCTTTGTGTCAGCGTCATAATATGCCGTCTCAGTCAAAGCTTGGCGGGGCTGCCTTTCGAACCAGCCACCAGCCACAGCTTCAGCTTTTTGGTGATTTGGTGGAGCTTATTTTGACTGTTTTTGTACCCCTCCATCAACGGTGGGGTATCAAGTGTTGACCTCACATCGCCCAAGCCTCTAAGGAGCCGCGATATTGTTTGGCATCGCCTACAACATGAATAGCCACAGTTGTTGGCACTCTAATCGATGACGGCGCGTTGCTGACATTTTAGAAGCCTACGCGACATGTATGCAGCACGCGCTGTTCAGCCGGGCAAGGGCTTCCCTTGCATGCTAATGCTGCTTACGCGAACCTTGTTCAAGGCAAGGGTCATGCCCTGCCTCGTTGTTTACTCCTCCTCAAACACATGGTTGAGGATGGTTATCAGACAAGCAAGTGTTTCAGGCATGCATCTCGTGCGTGCTCGCATCTCGCCAAGTGCTGCATGTAGTCACGAAGGCAAGGTTAAGTTATCTTGATGTATCAACTTAGTGAACTCCGACCTCAGAGATGCGAACAAGGCTTTCATGAACCTCAGAGCTGATTGATAGAGCTTCACCCATCTCAATTCTTCTTCCCAACGACTAGATGCTTGCTAGTCGCTATGAATGATTCACGGACCTGCATCGGAGAATTTACTTTGATGTCAGGTCGTTCGTACAGCATTCGGGAACCCGACTGTTGGTGTTATGCGTCGGTCAAGCACGTTCGGCACCCTGCCGGATTGACATCTCTGCGTACTACAAAGAGTATAAACTTCGCAAGAGCCTGTCAGATTTGCGACTTGCTTCTACAGATCTCGAATGTTTCGAAATTCGAGATCTCAACTCGAGTTTATCACCAGATATCATGCGGAGGTACTTCCAGCACGTACCTTGGATATCACCAAGAATGCGTTCCATACAGATCCACTCCTACAACTACACGAGCTCCCAAGCTGACCAAGCCGCTACTTTCCATGGCTTTATTAAATCGAGATGAATGCACTGATCGCGAGGAGCAAAGCACGCGAAGCGTTGTGATAACAAGAAAAAGCTGGAGGGTTGTGAGGGGAGCCGAAGCGGACTTTTATATCAAGCTTGGTCCAGCTATCAAGGAAAACACAAACCCACAAAAGAATCCACACCCAATGATATTCCAAGGAAATCCACAATCTGAAAAGCAAAATTGACTTCCCTCCGCCTCTTGGAAGACTTGACACTCGAATAATGTCCCCAGAATGGACCGCCCCGGATTGACCGTGGAGAGATTGTCTCACTGTGAGATTTTGACAGGAGGTTTGTTCCACGTGCAACATCTGGAAAGCAAAGCCGTCTTTTGCTTCTTCCATCTGTGATTCGTGAATTCGGCTTCTCGGTCTCAAAGTCATCCGTTTGGGCACGCGCAATCGTGGTAAACTCCATCCGAAGGAATCGATCTGCTCTCTCGTTCAACACACGCTGCTATTGGTCACTGCGTCTATCTCGAATCTTGGTCGAGTGTCTTGGTAAACCAACTGTCTTGCAGGCAGGCCGCGGCCGTTGAGACAGACAAGAGATTCTTATGCATCGCGTTCCTGGGCTCTTGTCATTGCATTGCATAGTTGCAAGGTCCCGATTGCAGGATCACATCGACCCATGTTCTTCGTACATAAGAGGAAACAGGTCTTTGAGGTTGCATCCTGACAAGATCTTGTGCAGGACCGTTGATGAAACCAAGTTTATCCCAAAGTATATTTGGATCCCTAAAGCACGATAACGCCTCTCATAGCTGCTTGCTGTACGCCTTATCGTCAGTGTTCACAGTATAGTCGACACTACACCAATCGGTATGGTACGAACAATACCTTATGCTTCGAGTAGCTGAAGACTGCTATCGTATGCACAATACTACCTCTTCCAGCCAAGGTCTGGATTTCAAGCAGCTGAAGGACACCATTCCTTCGAAGGATGCACTCAGTTGAGGCAAGTGACATCTCTCTTGTACCTCCCAACATTCAGCCAGTGTTTTGCCAAAACATTCCCACGGAGTTTTTGACTTCCGAGGAGGGATTCCTCTCTGTACACCTTCTCTAGACTCTGTGCAACAAACAAGAAGCCTGTCTCTTTGGTTCGCAAGGATTGACGTAGCATGAGACACATCTCGGCTCAAGGTAAGCTCTCTCCACATCTCTATCATTCGTATGCTCGTTCAGCTTCTCCTTGGTGTGGACTCGTATTGTAGAGAACAGGCTCATATTGATACCGGTAGCTCTCTTATCTTGTATCAGCGAATGTTTCAACTATATTCTGAAGTAGGCATAGGTTCGGTCGATAATAGACATGCTAAGAAGTTCAATTTCTCGATAGCTGAGAATCTCAATTTCGTCCCAAAGACTCGGTTCCAAATGACCAGCAGACTACCCTTTAAAATCTTCCATCCCAAGAAGAAGAAGAGAAGAGTAAGAACAAGAAACAAAGAAGAAGATTCTACACAACCTGCACCTCAAAAGTCTCCTCCCTGACAATTCCCTTCAAACTCTCTTGACTCTCTTCACTTCTGTGTCCTATTCCCCTCTGCTTATTCTGCAATCTAGCTTTCCGCTCACTCTCTCTTCTAGCAACCCCTTTGACATCAGCAAACACCCTTGCTTTGTGTGTAAACACTTCCCTGTCTCCTCTCATCTTGTCTCCAANAAAGGACATGGGTGTAGACATGCGTCTGGCAAGTTTACTGCGTGAGAGATTCTTGAGTGAAGAGTTTGATGAATAAGGGGAGGTAAGGATGGGAAGGGTGAAAGGGAAGAAAGCGGAAGAAGTGGAAGCGGCAAAAGAGTAAGTGGCTAGGATTTGTTGGAAGATGGCGACGGGAATAAAAGAGATGCTTGAGTTGCCGTAGGAGAGGAAGTGGAGGTAGGTGAGGAGGTAGACGATGCTGAGTCCGATATTNNCCTGTGTCATGGATTAATATACACACTAAAGATCAAGGTGTCTGAAAGAAGAAACTCACGGTAAACGCAGCACAAAAGCCATCAAGACCCATTTTCTCTGATGTGGCTCTACTTGGAATTGGTTGAAGAAAGCAATAGCAAGACAGAGTACCCCTAGCTCGGTAGCACAACTCAAAGCCATGGTAATGCTGATTCGAGTATCCAGGTATTGACAGCTATTCTCTTTGCCTTCTAGTAACATGTGACTAGGCGAGCAATTTGCATTTGTGGTAAGTATAGCCATGACACCCCAGATGATAACCAGCACGATTCCAGTATTGCAAATATATGTGCGTACACAATGTGGTGGTAAGAGACGGCGTATAAGTAGCAAAGCCGACAGTTTTGAGGTTCCAAGGATAAGAGAGAGTAGAACCCTACTTGCAAAGACCAGCTACAAGAAGAGTCAGTATCTACCTTGTTCGTTTTACTTGATTTCCTGCTTTCTCACCTTTGCAGCTCTGTGAATACCAGCTTGTGTCCCCAGTGTCAATAACACTCCAAATCCTAGTTCTAGCAATCCCATCAAGAGAGCGCAATGTGCCATGACAAAAACCTGATTCTCGTATTAACTTCTATTGTTGGTAGAAAAGAGGCAACAAGTGGACTTACAAANAGAAAAAACAATGACAAGGTCATCAAGACCATATTTCCTGTACCGCACTATTCCTCTACCCAGCAACAGTAAAGGACAGATTGTTGTGCAGACGATGACGGTTATCCAGAGCCAGCCTCGATGATCCGTATTTGTCACCTCAGAGAGAGGGATATTTGATCCAGACATTTAGAAGATAGTTGCGAGCAGCGATAAGTAGAGACCATCTACGGGAATTTGTTTCGAGATCCGTCTGATACCATATAATTCGATGATCTCTGAGCGTCCACAATAAAATACCAGAAGAGTTTGTGACGACAAAAATCCAGATGCCAGACCGAGGACGAAGTAGACAGAAAGAGCCAATGTAAAAAGAGCGGATGAATGACAAAACGTGGTATCGCAGAACAAAACAAGATGTCAAAGGAGAAGTCCTCCAGGGAAATAAAGTGCGTCTGCAAAAGCAGGTAGCCTTGCTTCCTAGTCAAAGAAAAAAGAGAATTGGGAGGCCTTGCTCTGCTTAATACAGGGAGCGCTTAACCCAAGAGGATCAGGTTTGAAAGAGGCACGAACCCATCGCTGAATCAGAAAGATCTACAATGCGTCTGTTCTGTGCATAGATGGAGAGTTTTCTAGAGCCTCAGTTGCAAACACGCCAATGGGTGCATAGCGTGAACTAATAACAATCTACCTGAATCTCCTTCAAAGAGCGATTTCTGAAACTGTCAAGTGGTTTCAAGCTATGGTGTAAGAGTCATTCTTTAGAGTCTTAGACCCTTTACCGGTTCGCTGTCACCGTGGTTCACTTCTGACAGAACAATTGTTGTTGTATTGTTGTTGTTGGAAGCTTCGAAAATTGGGGAAGGATTTCGTCTGTCGCGTGAGGGTGTCCAGATTTCAATCGAGATTACCAGCCCTATATGATTGTCTCATAGCACTATAACAGCTCGGCCGTCGAGTTTTGTCGGTGTAGCTCTCTTTCAGAAAATCACCACCAAGGAGCGTGGAGACTAGAAAATAGGAGTTCATCGAAAAGGTAAAAGTCCAAAACAAGACCATACCCACTTGCGCAACCCAATTTGTACACCCCAAGTGGATCGTTGTGGGCACTTTTGGGAGGGGTATACCAGAGATGTCTCATTCTGTAGGCAACGCAATCTCCTATGCCTGATTCAAGAGTTAATTCGTTGCGTAAGGCGACACTCCACTTGATTGAAACAGCCGCGCGCATTCTAATCCCCAGACCCGGATTTCTGGTTCAATACATCTCGGTTAACGATGCATCAACCAAACATTTCTTGACGGCTCACGAACAAGAAACATCGGTGTTTAAATCTTGGAATGAGGAAATGCATTCGAATGTCAGGTTTCTGGAATGGAGTCATGCATTAAGCTGCCCAGTATGGAGGTAACCCAGTTCTTGACTAACAATCGTCACCATCAAAGATGAATGACGGAGGGATAAAAAAAAGAAGAAGAAAACTCCAGAAATGCAGTTCACACCTTGCGAAGGCAACGCCTGCTTTCGTCCTTGATGATAGGGACTGACACATCTGCCGGCCTGACAGAAATCCCATCTTTCCAACGCCCAAAAACTCCACGCCAAATCAGCATTTTGTCCCTTCCGCTCCTTGACAAAAAAGAGGAAAAATGGACCAGTCGTGACTTCGTGACTTGTCTCAAAAAGTGGTATAAAGAAGCAAACAGTGCTAGAGGTTTTGTTTCGGGCTCATTCGATCAGGGGTTTCCTGTGGCCTCCAACTATGGTCATGCCTAGGCTTTTGAGACCATTGGCATCGGAGGCTCTTATGATGGTAGAAGCAGGTAGCATAGGATTGTCGGGAGAGATATGATAGGCGTCTTTGGCAGCTTGCTCGATAGCCTCCATCTCTTCTTTGCAACCAGCGTGGTCCCATGGGCAGACAACGATGGGTTGGCGTATCATTATGTCCTTTGCGCCAGACATGACGGNCCTGTTTAGAGTCAGAAACTGCATCGAGAGAATCGTCTGCATGGAACATACCTTGACCACCAGGTAGTACTCTATCTTGTACAGAGTACCAGTGGTTGTGAAGCCGCTGACGGCGTAGAGAGGGAATTCCCGTTTTTGGCGAGGCAAGATGCCTTCTTGATTGCGCAAGTCTCTGGCAGGAAATACCAGGCCCAGATTTGTAAAGTAGCCAGCTTCGGGCATCTTAATCCCTACGCGATGGGTGGAAGAAGCCAGCGTTTTTGCTTTACGTTGTGGTTCATCTCCTTGATGGTTGTATATGACCTCCTCTTCAATGCTCATTGTAATGGCTTTGACTGTAGCCTTCATAGCTTTCCGAAGCATATCAGGATTTGGTGTTAATTTGATGTAGACGCTGACTGGATCGAGGGGACCATAAGACCAGCGAGGTAATGAAATGGCGAGTGTGACAAGGTGGTCGACTACACGTTCGGCACTTTCTGGACGGTTGTACATGCCAAAAGTCGACAAGGTATCATATCTCGCAATGGGTACAGGAAAAGGGTACTTCTTCTGGTCGCTTGCGCCGTGATGGACAGTGACGACAATCTCGTAGTAGGTTTCTGCGGCACGACGATCCAACTGTAAGCTCGCTGGTGGCACACGTCTTGCCATTTCTTCACCACCGCGACCGTATGGGATGAATATGACGAAGGGAAGATCCATAGACAGAATTGCTTCGCTCTCACGACCTAATGGAGCGCGATACAGCAGCATCTCCTTGCCGACTATATCTGTGATCTCCCTTCGATTTGACGTGACAATATGGCCTTTTATTGTGTCGGCTGAAGGATGAATGCTTTCGCGCCGTTGTAGGCAGACTGTGACTAGCGAGACATGAACGGGAGCGGATACGCCGAGTAGCGGGCGTATCTCTACCTTGCCCTCTATGCGCGGAGAAGTTGCCGAGATTCCAGGATATCCAACAAGGAAATTACTGTTCGGCGGACCAGAGACGCGCACGAAGGCGGTGGTCATGATGGGCGCAGGGTCGTCGTCAGTAGAGGCGCTGTTGGCCGCATGTCATGGGCCGAGTCGGTGGATGAGATTGAGAGCGCAGCAAGGGCGAGGGAGGTCGGAGAAGGCAATCGGGCGGTGTCGAGAGTTGAGACTTGTTCGCTCTTGCAAGCAGCCTGTCAGCTGTTGGACTTATGAGAGTCTCAGACACTCGAAGACGTCAACCAATACAGACAATGACCGGCAGAGGCGGGGACGGCAACGGACAAGGGGGAAGGTCTAGACACGAGCGTCACGCAGAGGAAAGCGACCGATGAGCGTCACGGAGAAAAGAAGTCAAGGGTGCGAAATAAGAATACAGATTGAGTTATTGGTTGGACAGCGATGATGTCGCTGAAACTCGGTCAAGTCCACCGGGCCTTCCTTGGTTTGATGAGCTGCTTGTGCTTGTGCTTGCTGATGGCATCCCAAGCAATCAAACGAGGAGAGAGCGACCCGCCAAAGCACAACCAAGCAACAGCACGAGCCATGCCCGCCATCATCGTCATCGCATACCATTAACGCTTTTTGTTCACGTACCACCTACTCCCACAAACCAACAACCATGGCCGTTACGCTGCACACAACCCACGGCGACCTCAAACTCGAGCTCTTCTGCAGCGCCTGCCCCAAGACGACCTACAACTTTCTCGCCCTCTGCGCATCCGACGCCTACAATGACTCGCCCTTCCACCGTCTCATCCCGTCTTTCATGATCCAAGCTGGCTCCCCTGCTGCCACTTCAACCAAGGACAGTCCCAGTGTCTATGGTCAGCCTTTCGAAGATGAGATCAAATCCCAACTCAAACACAACCAGCGCGGCATTCTGAGCATGGCCAACAAGGGTCCCAATACCAACGGCAGCCAGTTTTTTGTCACCTTTGACAAAGCCCCTCACCTCGATGGAAAGAACACTGTCTTTGGTCGCGTAATAGAAGGCTGGGACACTCTCGACAAGATGGAATCTGTCCAGGTCGACAAGAAGAACAGACCCAAGGACCCCATTCGCATCCAAACTGTCCACGTTCATGCCAATCCTATCGCCGACGAGCAGAGATGAAGTCTAGATGCGACATAGACCTCCATCCTACTTCACGTCAACATGTGCCAGACAAAGTATTGCGCGAAAAGTGCTACGACTTGTAGCATCTCGCAACATGCGCCACAGCTCAGCAATTGGCCATCGCCATATGCGATGCAGCCTGCCTTCACGCAAGATCCGCCCAACCTACCGAAGCCCGCTAAACACACCCTGCGTTGCATCGTAGCACCAGATCTCATCTTCAAAGACTCGAGTTGAGTGCGTAAGGTCACACAGTTCAGGTCGTTCCAATCCTGCACCGTCTGCTACGCGCACTTTACCTCCAACATGCCCAGTATATTCTGGTACAACAATACTATACCGTTTCTGACTTCTTCTTCCCAATATCTCCGAGCCTTCTTCCCTTTTTTTCTTTTTCTTTTTTTGGTTTTGCCTTCTCACATGCTCTTCTGATACAGATTTCATCACCTCGATACTCATACTCGACCGTCATGATATAAGGACGAAAGACTATCGTCTTGATCAAACGGCTTTCTGGTGAATCACTGCGTACCATCTCGACCTCGATGTCTGGTGCCCACTGAAGCCTAATGATACTACTGTCCTACAATCAGGACCTCACCCTGCATGATGCGCGTCCTAGTCTTTCTCGGTTATCCGTCACCTGTGATCAGCACTATATATTGTCAACAAACGAGGACTTCACCATCCAGAACTCGGAAATCGCAAGATCTATCGGATTCGGGAAAAGGCGAGATGGCCGAGCGGTCTAAGGCGCCAGCTTAAGGTTCTTCCAATACGCTGGTCCGAAAGGGCGTGGGTTCAAATCCCACTCTCGTCAATATCTCTTTTGCTCTTTGCATGACTATCTCATGTTTTTGAAGAATGTGGCAGAATGGTGGTGGAATGAACTTTTTGGAGGTTCAGGACTTGAAAATTGCGAGTTCCTTTTTGTGTTTTGTGCGTGAAAAGCCTGGCTTATATTTCTTTTCTTGGCATGCTTGTGCAGGTGCATTAGCTCGGCGCATAAATGTGTATCCCTTACTATAGACATCTTCTATATTCGAACGCTCTTTCTTGTTCCAAGGTAAGCTCTCCAGTCGCTTTACGTGCCGACCTCGAAGATAAGAGAAAGAGTACTAGAGGTAGGTACTTTGATAGGTCTACAAGTATTGCAGTCTATTGTGCTTTATTAGGGAGTGCATTCGTAAAAATCGACATTGGAGATGTTGTTACAAAGAAGCGATTGATATCTATTGAATACGGTTCAAAGTATAACATAGTGCGTACAGATTAGATTGAACGAGGCTCAGGAGAGGGGCCATCTTCGTTGCTGCTGTGATGTCGTCGAACATCTGAAAAAATGTGTTGGTCGTGTCACCCTGTTCAAACCCCCTGTTCGATTACACAACGACGATCACATTGCAAGATCAAACGGTGAACAAAAGGATGAGAATAACTCAAGAGTATCTCTTTGGGCAGAAGCAACTCGAGATGTCTTTACTTCTGCTAATGCTAGTATACACATCGCCTCTCTGCCAATGCTTCATGCCTTATTTCTATCTTACAATCCTTGCATGCCTCAAGCATGTCCATTAGTCTTAACCCCATTTTGTCCATTCGCGGTAGCCACAACCTGCGGAACCTCAATAACCGGCCCTTGTTCACCAGCTTTCTGCTGTGCAGCCGTCAATTCCTTTCTAATCGCCAATACAGAATCCACAATCACAGCATCGATGCCTTCCTTGGCTTGTCTAGCCACCATGGCAGGGTTATTGTTGAGTGTACCGTAAGAAACACACACTAACCCACTTTCCTTGACGACTCTGATGAGGCGGGGGCAAGTGACTAGAGGCTCTGCTGCTGATACCACACCGAGCAAGTTCCAGCGTGAGGAAAAGCGAATGGCTTCTTGAAGAGAAGAAGCGCGGATATCACCTACAGGAGAGGTTCCAGCATCGCTGAGAAAGAGGATAGGGATGGAAGGTTGTTTGAAGGAGAGAAGCAGACAAATGTCTGGGTTGAAAGAGGAAAAGATCATGTTGCGGCCAGTACCCAGATCGTAGACTTTGGTGAGGACGGTGTCGACAAAGGAGTTTAGTTCCACGGCGTAGGTGTCCATGTCGTGTTCTTCTGATTCAAAGAGCATGGGGTATTNCTGTTGGAAGCTTGGTCAGTGATGTGTCAAGTGGCAGCCAGGGTTGAGATCAAACTTACTCATTTCAATGTTGAAGCCAATCGAGGATGGCAGTGTCTTGAACATTTCTTCAAGCGTAGTGAAGGGTGCTTGAATAAAGTTGCCACGACTGTTGCCCTTGAAGCCTTTCTCCTTGAAATCGCGCGTGTGCTTCATGCGCTCTGACATATCAGGAGCGCGTTCATCTTGAGCACCACCAAGCGAGTAGGAACGTTGCTTGCGCGACTGCTCAGTTACACCATCCAGGTGGCTTCTCTTGGGTGATGGTGGACGTGAACTTCTTGGTGTTTGACCCTCGCTTGCATGCATGAATTGCTCCAAGGTCAAGGTGTGCACAGGTGCATCGATACCTGTTTCACTAACCAAGAAATCGTGGTAGATGACAGGGACGTGGTCCTTGGTGAGCTGGACATCGAACTCGACATAGGATGCGCCCAAATTGGCAGCTGCGATGAAGGACTGTAGAGTGTTCTCTCCCAACTGTAACGACTTCATGGATGCCATGTTCTTACCCAAGCCACGGTGACCAATGACCTGTGTTGATGTACTCTTCCAATACGTTTGATCTTCAGCAATGTGCATATTGGGGTGCTGGAATGGTGTGATAATAAGGAAGTTGAAGTTGACAGAGCCAATAACGTCCAGAGTCTCTGCAGCAACGATCGGTACACTCAAGTCACCTTGAAGCAACATACGCTTTGAGCCAATGCTGGGCTTGATACTAGAAAGCAAAGCCACACCACGACCGACAATCTTGTCTTTTGAACCAGAATATGTGGGGACAATATCAAAGAGCAGTCTGACTTTGGTCGGATCGCGAGTCTTGAATGTGATGGGTGAAGTGCTGATGTTCTCCTGAACAGGTAGATCCACGATTGTTGGCTCTCCATTTGCACCTGATGCGGCTACAACCAGCGATAGAGCAGTGTCTAGTTGGGTAGCATGTGCATCTGCGAGGGGAATGTTGTCAAGAGTAACTGCGGGAACGTTCTTGCGGTTGTCCATAGAGCCAAGACTAACGAGCACCAAGGATTCATCTGTAAGATATCTATGACCAAAAGTCTTGACAGGCTCCGGTATGCGAGGCGCATCACGTCCCTGAGGGGCGTTGGATCGTCGGTCCCCGATGGAAGAGTTGTTCTTTGGTGATGTTCCTGGAGCATTGCTAGGTCGGAGAAGTGGAGAGGGTGCATCGAGGTTCTCAGGTGTCGGACTGAGGTCAGCCAGTTTGTTCGCAACATCAAGATGACCTCTCAGCGCAGCATGCTCAATAGGCAACCAACCAGACAGATCAGCCTTGTTGACCTCTGCGCCAGCCTCAATGAGCAGTTCGACAATCGGAAGGTGGCCATCGACACAGGCTATGAAAAGTGGCGTCCAACCATATGTCTTCTCAGTAATCTCGAGATTGACCTTTTGTGTTTCAGATCCCTCGAGTAAAGACTTTGTGCACTCTACAAAGCCGAAGCGGGCAGCAACATGCAAAGCTGTTTCACCCTGCTCGTCTTTGTAGTTGATGTTTATGCCAGCCTCAACCAACAATTTGACGATCAGATAGAAATTGTTCTTGGTTGCCAGAGCCAATGCAGCGCCCGACTTCTCAACATTGCGTCTGGCGGCATGACTGTCTTCAGCCTCGCCATGCCAGTCCTCAGCTAGTAGCAAGGCCTTTGTGGTTCGGTAGTGACCACCAATAACGCTCAGATGAAGAGGAGCATATCCCTCAGCGTCCTGCCAAAAATCAGAGTCAATGCCTTTGCTGACATCGAACTGACCCCACGCTTGCATGTACTTGATGATAGTTTGAGAGGCAGCTACTAGACCATATTGAGCAGCATAGTGAAGAGGAAGACGGCCGTATGTATCTCTCTCCTTCAGCACTGCTCTCTGCTCAGCAGAAAGATTGGAAAGAATGAAGGTCAGGAGCTTGATTGCAGGGTCCTCCTGGCCGAGTGTCTGTGCAACATCCTTCTCCTGAACTTTGAAGGAGGTAGGAACACGAACTGGAAGCTCTGCTGCGTTGATGAATGAGTTGATCTCTGCGCCAATAGGAACTGCAGCTGGTCCGTTTTCTTCAAGAGCTCTTGCACGGCCTGTCGCGATCACCATACGATGAACGACATTTCGCTTGTTCATATCGTCATCCTCGGTCAAAGAGGAGATTTGTGATAGCAGGTACTTAACGCAGTCATACGACTTTGCGGAGATGGCCCGCTGCAGAAGATTGAGCATGAGCTTTTGGATAACAGAAGGAGACAGATCCTTCAGTGATGTCGAAATGAGATCTTGAAGTTTGGCAAGATCATCCTGGCGGATGTTTTGTTCTAGGTTGTCCAGAACAGCTGTAGGCACACGCATGGCATTCTTAGACGAGACGCGGTGTAGCGAGCCAGTCGAGGCGATCGAGGCAGCATCATCAAAGACCTTGACCTCGCCCAAGCTCGACAACCAGTCGTTGATGGCACGCATGTCTGCCTCAGTCTTGCGGTTGTTTGCAAAAGCTTTGGGGTCGACTTTGGCAGCCAGGTATGTCTTTTGTGAATGGGAGGCTTCAATCTTCTTGTCGAGCTTCTTGGTGATCTTGACGAAGCCTCGGCGGTTGACTTCGCCAAACCAAACAAGGTTGCGGTATTGTCCTCTGAGCTCCAATAATGCGCCCATCAGGTCTTCCATCTCTTCCTTGTCCATGCCATCTTGTGTCTGAGGAGCTTGTCCATAGCGATCGTAGAGAAGTCTGAGGCGTCGTGAGAACTCGGCGAGTTTCCTGTTGTAGAAGCTGTCGACGTCTTCGAGGTTGCGATCCAGGGCGAAGAAGAATTCTGAAAGAGTCAATCAAACATGCTTCAAGGATGTCTGCTCCCATTACTCACCTGCAAGATCGACTTCACCACCAGCCTCGACGCTGTGCTGTACGGCGGCCTTGATCAATTTCTTGAGGCCTTTGTAGTTGATGTATGCAGATGCCCACTCGGGGACTTGATTGCGAGGGAGGTTCTGTCCGAATTTCATAGTGATCGTATCCAATGCCTAGTAAGGGTGCTGGTGATGGACAGCTGCCACCAAGGTGCGAGGATGTAGAGATAGGGATGGGGAGTAGGTAAAGTGCTCAGAATAACTGATTGAAAGCTGTTCACTGATAGCCGCGCAAACGGACGGTTGGTTTAGTATAGATGCAAGCAGGGGTAGCAACGGAGGCCATTCGTCCAAACAGCAACGGCAAGCTAGGGTCAGTGATTGGGGTCACCGCAATGTGCCTGGCATACACACAACACGGAAAGTGAAGGGTCAAGTGAAAGGTGAGAGGTGTGAACGTGTGGATACTTCTTATCTAATTGGTTACGATTGAAACCTTCGCTTGGCAGGAAAAAGGATGTCGATGGTTTTGTCCGTTGCGACTCGCAGGGGCTGCAAAGGGCGCGTTCCTTCAGGGTCCCCGCGGATCATCGTCATGTCCAACTCAAAAGTACTTCCGTTTTCCGATCTGTACACCCATATCTCGACTGTCTTCTGAAAAATGCATGAACGAGGCTTTTGTACTATTGCGCGTGATACTTATCTTCATGCCGTGGCATCTACTGACTGGACATTCGACTGGTGATGGCGCCTTCAAGGAATCAGCATATATCATCCCGCGACTTCCGAACCACTTTGAAAAAAGCAACAAGAGGCTTTTGATTGCAGAGTATCGTGGGTATCTCGGTGAGACCGCAGCAATCGCATCGCGCGGAGCACTTTTGCTATCCGAAGTGCTGTCACAAGAATCTCTTCGTCTGTCAACAGGCACATGTCATACAGTCTGCAAGGCTTGGTGTAGAACCTTGTGCCCATTAACAAATACTTTTGACATTCTTCTCTCAGCTCATGCAGCTCATGTATGATCTAGGAAACATTCCAAAGGTCGACTGTGACCCGGTCTTCAACATCGTCGTTCCAACATTATTAATTCAACAGTCTGACAGTAAAAATTACCACAACTCTCGGTTGTGCTTCTAATTGGATCCAGCTCTCAATTTGTTGAACCAGTTGTTAAGCCATGTCTAGAATAATTAGTACAGGGCTCTCTAATTGCCAAAACATGTATTCACTTACCCCGAGTCTCGATCCGTTTGTGGTAGTTGCCTTAGCAGCTGTCGTTGTCTGGGTTGGTCGTGCTGACGTGGTGGTAGCTGCCTTGCTGGTAGCAGATGTAGCAAGAGTTGATTTCACGGCAGCATTCGTTGTTGCTTGAACAGCACCCGCTGCTGCTGCATTGGCATCACCACAAGAGCCGAAGCCCGGTTGGCAGCCGTCGCCGCAGTAAGCAGCAGTACTGCCGCACCATCCAGCAGGGGAGCAGCAGTTACCAAACACCGAGCCTTGACAGGTCATACCGCTGGTTCCTCCACAGGTTGCATCGGTCGAAACCTTTGTTGGCTGGGTTGGTGGGGCAGTTGAGGTAGTACTGCTGCTCTGAGGGACGTTGATACCGCATTGACCGAAGGCAGCTTGACAACCTTCACCGCAGTAAAGAGTTCCGGAGCCGCACCAACCCGCCTGTATGAACCTGGTAAGTATGAGAATCAACAATCAGCATCTGTCATTGACGCACCTGCGAGCAACAATCTCCAAACTCAGATCCAGTACACATGAATCCGGTGCCTCCGCCACACTGTCCATTGTTCGAGGTCGCTGTGGGAGCAATAGTTGCAGAAGTCGTAGTGGCCGAAGNNTTACGGCCGAAGTGGAGGAAGTAAACACATTTCCAGAAGAGCTGCGGTACCAGTTTTCCTTTGGGTCACCGAGACACTCGCCAACAGTAACAGGTTTGTAACCAAGAGCGAGGATTCTGTCCAGCATGTAGGCAGTCAAATTGTTTGCAGTCTGGTTGTGGATATCGTGTCCAATCACAAGATAATCATCGGTGGCTGGATTTCCTCCTGCAATTCCTGCATCGAAGTTGTTCTTTGCATTTTGAATAAGGGCAGGAGAATCGTTATCATAGTCATNCTGCTGCATGTCAGTAACTTAGGTTTACTTCAGACTCAACAGATACATACCGGTGTCAACATCGAAGTAGGTGACATGGTAACCTAGATCAGCCATATCCTGCTCGCATCCAGACTCGGCAGTGCAATCAGAGTAAGGAGGTCTCATGTAGGTAGGAAAGAAGCCTAGAATGTTGCGCAGTGCCATCTCGTTGCTGTACATGTTCTGCTTTCTCTGAGCACTGGTGATGTTGGACAAACGAGGGTGTGACCAAGTGTGTGATGCGATCTGATGTCCTTCGTTGTAGGCTCGCTTGATTGTTGCAGCCCAAGGGAGAGCGGCATTATCAATTTCTCCCTTGCCATTGTTGTTGCCAGTAATGAAGAACGTAGCTTTGGCGTTGTATTGCTTCAAGACATCCAAGACATGCTCGGTGTAAATGTAAGGCCCATCGTCATAAGTTATAGCGATAGTTCCAGCCACCGTGCAGTCGTAGATGCCAGCTCCACCATACGGGACGTTGCCGAGCTTGGGTCTTGCAACCGAGGAGGTGCTGCTACCAGATGGAATGGTATTGTCGTCACATCCGGGACCATAGTTGAATTGACATCCAGGGGCAGCACAGTAGTCAGTGCCTTTACCACACCAGCCTGATGAATGTCAGTATCAGTCATGGGATGCTGTTCTCTTCTTGATGGCACTGACCAGCTTCTGAACAGCAATAACCAGCAGCACAGGAGCNNCAAAGCCTGCTCCGCATTGTCCATCAGTGTTGGTAGAAGCTTGACGTTTGTCGTGGACTTCGGCTATAGCTGGCTGGTAAGTGCTTGCTCCGGTACGTGCCCGCCTAGTTCCACTAAGCATCGATCTCCTTCCGAAGACTTTTGGAGCTCCAGGGATGTCTCCGTGGGCTTCAATAAAGGAAGGAACCAAGGCCAAAGAGGCCAGAGCCAGGCTGTTGAAATGCATTTTCTGGCAACTTGAAGATGATAAAGACGGTCGGTGGGTGATAGCCAAGCACGAATGTACTAAGCAGAAGAGACTGGCCGAATATAGAGACCAAAAGACAGGGAACAACGAATGACACAGCACGACGAAATGCTGGAAAGAAAAAGGAACCTGCCTATCTTGCGGACCTGAAGACCCATCGGTCATGCTATTTTATATATTCAAGCACCTACGACATTCTCCTGTCACTGCACTGACCTCCCTTGCTTGCAGTCTGGGCATGCTCGTGGATATTGTTTCTTGCCATAAATGGGAGTCAAGAAAAGTCGAAACCGATCTTGTCAACCGGAAGCAGCAAGGTGGATATGAAAAGTCGCATGTACCATTTATCCCGACTGGATCGAAACACTGGAACGGCATCAGGTGAAGCCATGGTCTGTTTCGTACAGCTGCTTGGCGGTCAAAGCAAGCGGGACAATGGCTCGAAGCACTGTGCCGCACTTTTGCAAAAAGCAGATCATCGGGTGATTCGTTTGAGGTGTGCATGTGGCTTGCTTTGGAAACATTACTCTGGGACATGAGCAAGAAGAAGGAAACGAAAGACTGCTCGGAGATCAAGTCGTGATTGGATATTTTGGGGCGGGAGGTGTCTGCGCGATCGGCCTCGGCAGACCCCATGCTTTACTCCAAGACCCTGTTTATTTATAGGCATGCATGCAACCGACCTTGAGCTCAACTCGTGAACATGCATGCCGAGACCCTTTTGAATGATACATGTGCATTGCAGCAGGTAAACACCTTTATGCGCATACTATTGATTTTTGAAGACGATCTGTTGATCATTATCTGCCTTGAGGCAGTTCTCTTCCGTGGTTGAACAAGAAGACGACAACCGACTTAGAGGCGAACATCATTCTTGAGCGTTGAAATGAAATGGAAATGGTTTTGTTGATTTGGTTTGAACAGAGCGTGTAATCTACGTGTGCCATCTAGGTGCTGCCTGGACCACCCAGAAGAGCGAATCTTCTCACTATTGAAGGACCGTATTCNNTGCGAATCAAGTCAGCATGGGAGAACTGCGAGCAGGGGGATGATAACGAACCGTCGTATTCTGCCTTTGTGTGACAGTAGCTTCTGAACTCGGGAGTCTGACCCAACAAACTACCACCAAACCAGGGGCCGTGACGTTGTCGCTTGTGAGTAATGACTTGAACGTCGAGACCACCAGACTTAGCACCACCACTGCGAGCTTCACTAGCCTGGATACGAGCATCAACCAGATGTCTGATATCACGCTGAAGTCTACGACCAAAGTTTTCGTAGAGAGTAGAACCACCAGACAGGACGATGTTCTTGTAGAGACCTCTTCTGACATCGATTGGTGATTGCTGGATGACGGTATCGACAATGTTAGGCAGAGGTGTCAGGAAGTCGGATGAGTAGATCTCAGGGTTGAAGAAGATTTCGGGAGCAAGGAAACGCTCATATCCAACATCGACAACAGCATTGCGACCGTTCGGGTAGTTGATTGTGTGCTTGCCGAATCGTTCCGGCTCACGATCGTAACGTGCAAATTCCTTGACGATGTCGGGACAGACATAACAGAACTCCTCCTTGATCTTTTCGGCAGTCTTGAGAGAGCTGTCCGGCTCACCTCGGTCACGGAGAAGGCTTTGAACGAAGTAGGTGATATCACGACCAGCGATGGGAACACTCTTGATCGAGGAACCAATAACGTATCCTTCAGCAACAGGAATGACATGGGTAACACCCTCTCCTGAATCGATAACGGTACCAGTCAAGGAGCGGTCCTGAACCTTTGATGAAGTCCAAGAAGCGGCAAGAGCCAGCACAGCTTGGACAGCGATGTAGAGACCAGCGACGTTGAAAGATTCGAACATGATTTCGGCGGTAGCTTCACGGTTCTCGGGAGGATTGAGAGGAGGTTCGGTAAGGAGGAAGTGGTGATCTTCGGGCTCGACACGAAGGTATTTGAATATCGAGTTGGACCAGAAACGTTCCATTTGATCCTGCGCATATCAGCATGAAATCCTGACAGACGGTAGTCTTGTAGCCCAACATACCCAGTTCTCAATCTGACCGTGACGGATGGGGTAGTGCAGGCCGTAACCGGGACCGCTCGAAGCGGCTAGAGCCTCGTCGCCAATGAAGTAGTCGAGGTCTTCTGTGCCTCTCTTTCCTGAAAGCATTGAGGAGTTGTTACCACCACCAGGTCTACCCGAGCGGCCAGCAGAGCTGTCGGTGGGGCCCTTAGTAGCAATGGCGGTAGGGAAGACGAAGGAGGGTGAATCATTGCCGGCGAAACCTGCGGACTCAGTATTGCGAACGAGATGAGCGAGAATCTAAGGTGACCAACCGAGCTTTGTGTAACCTGTGCCGCTGGTTGGAGTCAGTATGGTTGCCTATGCGCGCAATGAGAGCAGGGGAGGCACGTACTTGTCCATGACAACGGCCGGAGTTTGGTTGGCCATGATGACCGGTGTGTTGGCGAGTGTGTGAGAGGTGAATAAGGAGAGACCAGAGGTCAATGGTCAGGAAAACGACGAGATATCGACCGAAAGTGTATGGCAACTCTTGAACAAACCAGCCAATCTCTCAGTGTCGCGTTGGCTCCAAGGGCGTTGTCGTCACGGAGAGCTCGGCCACTGCCTCTCCCCGCTGCAGTCCGTGCGCACCTGCCCCATTATCGCACCTGACCGCCCGGCAGCCAAAACCAATATATCACGTTGCTAGTTGACCTCGATATCAAAAGTACACGCTTGCTGTCCATTTTGCTGTTATCCACCTGTAGTCTCGACAAGAGATTTTAGAATTCGTTATGATAATAACATCGTCATAACAAACAGCCGGCTTCAACTGGCTATCTGCGTCCACACAGTCATAGAAAAAATGGAAAGAGCAACCCTCTTTCAAGCTGTAGGCCGACAAACATCTTGCCAATCCTCGTTCGAACTCCTTTTACCATCCACTCAACTCACAATTGAGTCTTCGCCTTGCTCTCAGTCGCTTCTGAAGCGGCTAGTTGCAAACTCCATCGTCTCTTCTGGCTATCATCACTCGCTTTATCTTTCTTCTTGTCCTCTTGACCTACCAACCTAGCGTGACCTCTTCGATTTGTCCTGTCTCGATTCCATCGAGCTGACAGTAGCCGCTCCATCTCGCCAAGCTCTCAACCCTGTCTCACTTGAAGGCTGAAGAACCATCTGTCATCTTGCCATTCCAACCTCGCCAACTCACTTACGACATGCTCCACCCAAGATCGCGCAAGATCCAAAAGAATGGTGCCGATCAACCATGCATCTTTGTCCATGCCGGTGCTGGTTATCACAGCTTGCAGAACGAAAGAATCCACCTCCAGGCCTGCAACGAGTACGTCAACCCTGTACCTATGCTCAATCTCCCGCTAATTCGAGCAGTNGCTGCGAAGGCAGCCATGGTAGTTCTACGTACTGGTGGGACTGCTCTTGACGCCATCGAGATTGCTGTCAAGGTTTTGGAAGATCGTGAGATAACCAATGCTGGCTATGGAAGCAATCTTGCAGTAGATGGAGTTGTCGAGTGTGATGCTACCATTGTCGATCATTTTGGTCGTAGTGGAGCTGTGGGAGCCGTCTCACGTTCGTCCTTCCAACATATCAACACCTCTCAACACCGAGCTGACACTACACANGAAATAAAGAACCCAATCTCATTGGCTCGCACACTCCTGGACCGCAGCACGCAGTTACTCACTTTACGTCGGGTTCCTCCAAACCTGCTGGTTGGCCAAGGAGCCATCGAGTTTGCTGCAAGCGTGGACATGCCAATCCTACCCTATGATGCCCTGGTCTCTCCTGCTGCAAAAGAACGTTGGCTGAAGTGGAAGAACGACCTCAATGCTGTGGAGAAAAACAGAAGAAGCTCTGCGCCTCAATCATCCAGCTCACTTACAGCGCTAGCACCGAAGCACCTGTTGAGCATTGACCCAGAAGACCGTGTGCGGGAACAGATGCGTAGAGCACACACACGTGCTCTTGAAGCTGGAGTCTGGAACGAAGCACAACCCATTACGCCACTCCCATCATCAGATTCTCTTAATCTGCCAGGTCAGATACCGAGAGCCCAAGCCAACGGCTTACAAGCACCTACTCCTACCAGAGTCCCGACTAGGTATCCCGCAGAGCCACTGTTGGTCTATTCTGACCCCTACGGTCCCCCAGGACCCCGTCCAGTCTACAGCAGCTCTCCTTTGGCCACCAATGGCCGGAGAGTCAACGACGGTCACTACTCAGGTAACTACTTTGCAGAGCACTTCTCGTCAACCGACACAATGCACATGGACGACTACCAGAACTTTTCTGGTCTATACAGCTCGCGGTATAGTGATCGCCATGACGGTTCTTCGGGCGGTTCAGCACAGGAGTCTGGCTCCACATCATCTGAGTCTTTGCAGTTGCCGTCAATCACACCAAGTCCAGAACTCCAACCCACTCTGACAGATTTACCCATTCTGGGAGGCGCTGGAAACCAATCACATTCGCAAAACGAGCAAGCCACAGAGCCATTATCGTCCGAGCCATCGGATTCAATCCTATTTCCACCTCCTGCGCCACGTACAGACGAGGAAGATCACATTACGGATACTGTTGGAGCCATCGCTATCGACAGCTATGGAAACATCGCTTGTGGTGCGTCATCTGGAGGTATCGGAATGAAGCATCGTGGCCGTATTGGACCTGCTGCTCTGGTCGGTATTGGGTCCGCTGTCATACCTGTCGATCCAGACGACAAGGATCGGAATACAGTCGCCGCAGTGACGAGTGGAACGGGTGAGCATATGGCTACCACCATGGCTTCGACAGTGACAGCCGAACGCCTCTTCTACAGTGTGAAGAAGACACCAACTGGAATTGTCGAGACTGACGACGCCGATGCGATCAAATCGTTCATCGAACGTGACTTTATAGGTGAGGCAAGCAAAGCTTATGCTTGAATAGGATGCTGATATGCGTGTNNAGGACATCCAAGTGTCAAGAACAGTCATTCAGCAGGTGCCATTGGCATCTTGGCTGTAAAGAGAACTCGCGAAGGAATATACTTACACTTTGCTCACAACACAGATTCATTCGCATTGGCATCGTTCCACGGATCAGAACCAAAACCTACTTGTACCATGTCTCGCAGTACAGGCAATGGAGCCATTGCTCAGGGAGGCCGTGCAATCAGGTTCAAGACCAGCAGAAAAAATGCTTAATTGGCGTGATGGACCGAGGATTGCGTTGCTGGCCGGCAATTGGGTTGGCTTGATCGAAGAAGGTACATGGCTCAACCTACAACTCCTAATACCCGTAGTGTAATATTCAGTACTTTCAAAATGTATAATGTCAAAAGCTTCCAAGGGCGTTGTCTCCGGCATGATCTTGATGGATAACAACAACGTGGTTTCAATCACTTCCCGGCTTAACACAAGAGTCTCCATAGACACAACCATCTAGTGACAAATACAGCGTTAGTGAAAAGAGCAGAGTGAGGCGTGATTGTGAAGGTCGATAGGTGAACTCTTGGCGTGGAAGTGAAGAAGAGGTCGGCATCGGCTTTCTCCGGCCCTTCAGTTTTGCATCTGCGCGACCTGGACAATCGCAAAGCTCCAAAGATTTGCGACAACACGCATTTACAGCTCTCCTTCCAACCACAAATCCACACCAAAGAACACAACATTACCACAACCATGGCCGACGCAACCCTCTTCGACGACACCTTCACCCTAACCTCCCTCAACAACCAAAAATACGACCGCGTCTCCCGCGTAACCGGCACCTCCACCGACTCCTCCACCATTCTGTCTCTAGACATCAACCACGAAATCTACCCCGTTGCTGTTGGCGAAACCCTGCAGGTTGTGCTCGCGTCGACACTGAATTTGGACGGCACCAAAGAGGATGTGAGCAAGGGATGGAGGGAAAAAGGCGCAGAGGAAAACTCTTTGGCGGATATGTTTGATTATGTTTGTTGGGGCAAGGTGTATAGGTTTGAAGAGGGAGAGGGGGAGAATATGTGAGTTTACACCCACCACTTCCCTTGATTCGGGGATCTGCAAAGAGAATGAGAAAGAGGAGGATTTTTTGGAGCTGAGGTCAGAGGGAGAAGAAGCAGAGATGCAGATGCGCATGTGATTTTAAGGAACGGTATACTGACAAAGTTGCTTACAGCNAAGGTCTACGTCTCCTTTGGTGGACTGCTGCTTTACCTCGAGGGTCCTTACAAGAAGCTCACTCCCCTGCGCATCGACTACGTCTACCTCTTGATCAAGAAATGAGCGTAGCGAATCTTCTCATTCGTCGAATCGCATGATCAGGCTCGCAAACATGGAAACCTTGTCCACTCGTCTTGCACAACACAACCCTTTCTCGGCGGCGCACAACAGATTTTCACCTAAAAGTACAACTGGATTGGACGCGATAAAAACTCAGACAAACACGCAGAAAGAAGGGCTTTGGACGAATTGCACATGGGTGAAAGAATCACACAAATGGGGCGCATAGAGACACGAAGAGGCAAGGAAAGAGGATTGATATCTCGAATTCGAGAACAAGGGGCATAGCGTGGAGTTTACGGCGTGGTTTTTCATTCCCAAAAGCGGGCTCATGTCTATGGTCTGGTCGCAATTGAAGCACGGAGCGGCAATCTTCAGCCACTCAATCATGCTTCTTTCCCAATGGCTTCCTTCTTCGTCATGTTGCTATGTAGCAGTGAGGTAAGACTCTCTTGCAAAGTCTCCTGCTCTCCAAATAACATGCACTGCTCCATGATTCGTCTCCAGCTCTCGTGATATCATGTTTACCGGTTCGTGACGGCCAAGGCTGCCTGTGTATCTTCTAGATTTGGCTGGTTTATGTGGTCGTCAGATCGTGTCCTTGTGTCATGTCCGAATGATCATCTCGGTGTATCGGGACCTGGAGTGGGCGAGTCTGCTGGCGTAGCTCCATCAAGCTTTCTCTTCTTCTTTTTCTTACGAGGGATTACCACTGGTTTGGCAGCATGACCTGATAATGACAAAGCTGTACCACAGGTCAGACAGTTGTTGTCCGGAGGCGGCTGGCAGAAGACNNTGTAACTATATGTTAGCTTACTCCGGTGATTCTAGAGAGGGAAGAACATACTCGATAAGCAGATACTGCATACATAACCCAAGTCGACAATGTTGCGATGGCAGAAGCAGGCAGCGCGAAAGTCAACACCTTCGCTCTCGCCAGCATTGACGAGGTTCTTCCGTGCAGTAGCGTCTGGAAGATAGCCCATCATGAGAACCTGCAGCAGGCCGGCCACGCGATCACCCAGAGCCATATATACACCTCCTGTGGCGTCTGCAGCTTGTTGCAAGAACTCGGCATTGGAGTGGGCAGACAGAGTCAAGATATCGATAGGTATGGCGAGGCGTTGGCAAGCAAACATGGAGTTCATGATGGGGATGTATTGGTCTGCAATATCACCACTGACACTGAGGATCAAGATGCGGCTTTGTAGACCAGTGTGACTGGGCTGAGTTGTACCGTCTGCGGTGGTAGTGGTGAATGTACCAGCAGTATTTGAGACATCGTAACTTCCATCTCCTGCTCTTGCTGGGTTGTTCAAGGTGGCTTTGGCGATGTAGGTGAGGGCGAGAGTGAGGGCGCCAGACAGCATTGTAGAAGTAGAGGCGTTGAGGTGTTCGGGAGTTGTTGTGGCGAGCAAGGCACGTAGATTGGTAGTCAAGGCCTTCTCCAATTGTGCAAAGGGACGGTACTTGTTGGCATCATTCTGGACGTCGTTGGTGTGGCCGTGTGGCACTTTGAGATCGTCATGGGTGGTCGGATAGAGAAAGCGAGCGCTATCTGAATGTGAGGCGACTACAGCGACTTGGTTGGAGTTGTTGATGGCGAGGTGAGCGTTGATGAAGACGAGGAGGTTTGCGATCAAGGTCGAGAGCGGGAGAGTGGACGATAGCAGGCCCCAAGCATGTGGGTTGGTGTCGAGGATGATGGTCAGCAGAGATGGAGCCTCGGCCGTGTCGGCGATCTCCTCATGCGACGACGCATCGACGGCGTTCATGTCGAGTGACTTGGAAGAAAGTCACAAGAGTGGGAGGTAGAACAATTAAAGATGCGTGCCTTGGTCCATCTTCACGTGCGACGCTTCAATCAATTCCGTCACTCAAATCCAACCATCCGTCTCTTTTCCTGTCGCAACCACCAAACATACAATTTTCAACATGAATCAGTCAAGGAAGAACACAGAGACCATCACAGCCGCTCAAAAACACCTCCAGGCTGCCTCGAACTTGCTCCTGTCGACATCACCGCATATATCGGCTTTTCTAGCGTCACAACTCCAACAGACCAAGTCACCATCATTGTCGCACTCGAACGCTATCCCGAACAACTGTCGCGCTTGTGGAAATCCTCTGATTCCCGGATGGTCTTGTATCGTGTCTAAAAGGAGACTTCCAGAGTCCTCATCCAAGAAGCCCAAGACCAAGTCCAAAGTCGCAAAGAAGCCTGCCATACCTCAGCACACGTACATGGACTACAAGTGTACCCTGTGCAACAGCGTCAACACAGCCAAGTCGGAGACACAAGCCCCAGCCCGACGCTCTAAATCAGCTATATCATTTCTACAGGGCAAGCCTACTGTTATGTCAACACCAGTCCAGACCAACGCTACAACTACTACGAAGCCGACCATAGCAACAACAAGTACACCAAGTCCTGCTCCTTCAACAGCAGTCTCGTCGTCTTCTGAACAAGCTCGTGGTGGAGCAGACAAGAAGAGAAATCGCAAGCAGAAACTCGGAGGCTTACAAGCCATGCTGGCAAAGTCGAAAGCTCCGGCTTCCACACCCAAAGCTTTCGATTTCATGGACTTTATGAAGACGACCTGAGAATACGAACTCCTACTTCTTGCTGGAACGTATTGATGGAAATGTGATGATCAAAATCATATCTAATCTCCAGATCTGACGTACCCATTTTTGGTCATTATCGATAAGCTGGAAATTTTGCTTGCTGGAGCCCCGCGCGCGCAGGCCGAGAAGCTTCTCTCCAGAGCGCTCAGTCGCATTGCTAATCCGGCTCTCCTTCACAATCAACTCTCGCAACAACTTTTTCGTTGCTGTTTACGAAATACTACCCGACCAAACAATCACACATTTACACTACTTCATATCGACAAGAGTCATCCTGCGACAACTCTAGCTCTATAACAAACACACTTCGCAACAATGGCGGCAAACAACAAGCCCACTTCGGTAGCCAAGGACCTCTTCGAGGACATGGGTCGCCAGGTCGAGGGCATGAACGCTTCCACTGAGGATGGTGACGACCAGAGAGTAGTCGACGAGATTGAGAGTTTGTGCATGAACTGTCACGCAGACGTGAGTCTCACCAACAGTCACCTCCTGTTTGCGCTCTGNCTAACTATCTTTTAGGGCATGACTCGCCTCCTTCTTACTCGCATCCCCTACTTCCGTGAAATCGTCCTCTCATCCTTCTACTGTCCTCACTGCAGCTTCAAGAACACCGAAATCTCATCTGCCGGCCAAATTCAGGAGCGCGGTTCAAAATACGTCTTCAAGGTTGAGAACGCCGATGACTTCCAAAGATCCGTTGTCAAGGGCGATAACTGCGCTTTCAGAATTGAGGACATTGACCTCGAGATTCCTCAAGGAAGAGGTCAGATGACAAACATTGAAGGTATTCTTGCTGGTGTTAAGGAGGATCTGGCACAAAACCAGGAAGCCAGAATGGAGCAAATGCCCGAGGCCGGTGCAAAGGTCGCCGAAGTCATTCAGGCTCTCGGTGACATGCTCGAGGGCAAGAGATATCCCTTCACCGTCTCTGCCGAGGACCCATCCGGAAACTCATTCATCCAGCCTTCGCCTACTGATGCCCGCCACAAATACACCCGCACCGAGTTCGCCAGAAGTCCTGAGCAAAACGCTGCTCTTGGTCTCGGTGAAGAAGGCCCTGTCGATGGCCAAGACGCTCCTGAGACCGAAATCAGACCCGAGTACCGTGCTGCTGGTGGCCTTGTTGGCGGTAATGAAGCACCAAGAACAGTTACCACCAATAACGTCGACGAGGACGAAATCCGCGAGAACGAAGTCTACTCTTTCCCTGCCAGCTGCCCTGGTTGCACACGCCACTGCACAACCAACATGAAGATGGTCAACATTCCCTTCTTCAAGCAGGTTGTTCTCATGAGCACCGTCTGCGAGCACTGTGGCTACCGCAGCAACGAAGTCAAGACTGGTGGTGAAGTTCCTGAGAAGGGTTCGAGAATTACACTCCAAGTCAAGACTCCCGAAGATCTTGCTCGCGACGTTCTTAAGTCTGAAAGTGCCGCTCTCCTCTGCCCTGAACTTGGTCTTCGCGTCGAGCCTGGTACCCAGGGTGGTCGCTTCACCACTGTCGAAGGTCTGCTAACCAACTTCCGCAAGGACCTCCGCGCACAAGCCTTTGGTCTCGAGAACGGCGACGACGAAGAAGAACTCCGCGCTGCTGCCGACTCGATGGAGAGTGAGAAGAAGCGTACCTGGGAAGAGTTCTTTGCAACCCTTGGTGAGGCTATCGAAGGCAAGCGACCTTTCACTGTTGTCATTGAGGACCCCCTCGCTTCGTCATATGTCCAGAGTTACACTGCTCCTGCACCCGACCCGCAAATCTCGGTTGAGGAGTATGAGCGTACTGAGGAGGAAGAGGAGGATTTGGGTCTCAAGGACATCAACACCGAGGATTACGGTTACACGCAGACTGAGGAGAAGGAGCAGCCTACCACCACCGAATGACTAGATGGTGGCAGAAAGAGAAAATTGGAACATGTTGATGACGTTGAAGATAAGATGGACATCTAGAAGAGGAAAAAAAAAGAAGAGACGCATTCAATCAGATACCACTTGCGCGATTTCGCTGTTGGACCAGCTATTAAACAACTCGATAATGAGAAAACAAAACACCTTCTCAAACGCCCCCTCAATGCTGGTCCTCCTCCTGCCGTCATCTATTCCTGCATCTTATCCCCAACCTCCTGATCTCTCAACTCCAAGTCTAGCTTTTGAAATGCAGCAGACAAACCATCAGCCTCTTCCTGCTGCTTCTGCCTCACACCACTCAAATCTGTCGTTTTGCCTTGGGCTTGCATCTCTCGCAAGTGATCATAAACCATCTTATGCACTTCTTTGTATTGCTTGCTTTCTGTGCCCCAAGTTGCTGCTGCGTTGCGCAAATTGACGAATANACTTTTTGGTGGAAGATGGGAATGTTAGGGATGTTTTTCATGCAAACAATGAGAAAGGCAGACTTGAAGCGAGGGCTTTGGGGAGTTTGATGGGAGTAGGGAAAAACAAGAGTGGAAGAAGATGTGGGAAGGAAGGGAAAAAAAAATCACATTTTCGGAATTTATTTTTTGCTTGTAGTGGTGGAAGAAATTGTTGTTACCCACGCATTGGAGGAGGTCGTTGTGTGATGAAAAGGACGACATGGTGTCGAGATTTGAGAGCTTGTTGAACGATTTCTTTGTATAGGCAGTTTGTCGCTCCTGGCATGGAATGAAGGAGGAATTTCTTGTACGATGAATGAATGTCACTAGATTAAATATGGCAGGCACTGAAAGGCAGCGACATCGACGTGAAGAAGGAGGTGCGACTTGCAACGCCAAGACATCACTTTCCATGAGAATATCAAACCATCCGTCTCTCTCTTCTTCTATTCTATCAACTTCCAATTTCAAAAGTTCTAATTGAACGAAAACTTGTGGACCGAAGATGGAGCCGCAATTGTCCGAGGAACACGGCGTCAGGATCGCTGTTGAGGGATGCGTATGTTTTTGACCAGACCCTCTACCAAGTTATGGTACATCGGCTCACAACCAACAGGGCCACGGCACACTCCACGCAATCTACGCATCAATCGAACGAGCATGTGCTGTGAAAGGCTGGCCAGGCGTGGATCTACTCATCATCGGAGGCGATTTTCAGGTACCCAAAGCAAACCCAGCAACCAGAACCAACAACAATACTAAACCTTCAAAAAAACAGTCAGTACGCAATGCACATGATTTACAATGTGTCTCTATGCCAGCAAAATACCGCGAAATGCATGACTTCCACGAATACTACTCTGGAGCTCGCAAAGCACCTTACCTAACAATCTTCGTCGGTGGAAACCATGAAGCCGCCAATTATCTCTTCGAATTGTACTATGGTGGCTGGGTGGCACCAAACATCTACTACATGGGTGCGGCTAATGTGCTTAAACTTGGACCTTTGAGGATTGCTGGTATGAGCGGTATTTGGAAAGGCTTTGACTACAANAAGCAACATCACGAGAGACTTCCTTACAACGAGGGTGATGTGAAAAGCATCTATCACGTCAGAGAACTCGATGTGAGAAAGTTGCTCCAGATACGCACGCAGGTTGACGTCGGCATCTCTCATGACTGGCCTAGAGGTGTAGAGTGGAAGGGTGATTGGAAGAAGTTGTTCAGACAAAAGGCGCATCTAGAAGAAGATGCTAGGAATGGTCAGTTGGGCAGTGTGGCTGCGACTTATGTGATGGACAGATTGAGGCCGCCGTATTGGTTCAGTGCGCATTTGCATTGCAAGTATGCTGCAGTCATTGACCATGAAAATCCTGGAACAGCATCTGGTCCTTCAGCTTCTGCCAGCAATGAAGTTGCTGCTGACGAGGTAACCAAGAAGAACTCGGACGAGATTGACCTGGATATGGATGACGAAGAAGCGCCAGCTCCGGTGCAGCCGACAAAAACACTGATGAGATTGACCTGGACATGGATGAGGATGAGCCAGCACCAACATCAAAGCCTAGCGAANAGTGCAGCAGTTCTGCCTGTCAACGCAGATGAACTCGATCTCGAGCTCGAAGACGATACCGAACCAACGACCGCACCAGTAGCTCCAGGTCAAGGACTAGACGGCGCCCGAGTACCCATCGCACCCTCAATCTCCCAAGAAACCTCCACAAACGCATCCACAGTCCCAGAAGATCTCCGCGCTCAACTCCCAGCCTCTTTCGCAAAACCTGCTTCTCGCCCTGAATCCACAAACCAACCAGTCTCACACCCTCCCGGCATCACAAACACCAAGACACATTTCTTGGCTCTGGACAAATGTCTTCCAAACCGTGATTTCTTGCAGGTGCTTTCTATGCCTGCAATTTCTGATCCTACAGCTTCGGTCCAACGACCTTTGCAGTTAGAGTACGACACAGAATGGCTAGCCATCACTCGCGTCTTTGCTTCTGAATTAACCCTCAACGGCGACCCCAACACCCGCGCACCACCAGACCTCGGCGAACAACACTACAAACCTCTAATCTCCGCCTCCGAAACCTGGATCAAAGAAAACGTCAAAGACATGACCATCCCCTCAAATTTTNNGGAAATCACAGCTCCGGTGTTCGATGCTGCGGCGGGAATTCATGTCCAAGGTGCTCCAAGAGAGTATACCAATAATCAGACCAGTGGGTTTTGTGACATGTTGGGGATTGCCAATCCNTTTGATGTTTCAGAGGGAGAGAGGGAGGAGAGGATAAGAGTGGGACCGAGGCCGGATGAGCAGAGAAGAGATGGCGGGTTTAGGGGTGGTCGTGGAGGTGGTGGCAGGGGAGGAGGTAGAGGAAGGGGAAATGGTCGTGGTGGCAGAGGTGGAAACGGAGGACGTGGAAGAGGAAGAGGTCGTGGAGGGCCTAGATACTAGGGACCGTTATTGGGCCAAGACGAAAAGAGCATGAAGCCACGGTTTCTGGAAGACTCTTGAGATTTGCGGGTCACAGCGTCCCTTATCAGCTAGTCTCATGGTAGAAGACATGCCTCTGTATCATTCAATATGGACATAAAAACAAGCTATCACGAAAACACAGCTAATCATAAGATATACAGAAAAGGAGAGGGTATCATGCAATTCGTGATAAGGACAAGACCTCGTAGTTCCACCTCTTCTATCCATTCCGCCCTATGCCATGCATCTCATCCGAGGTCAAAGTGCATACAATCAAAGCAATACTCAGCCACCCAGCAACGCCATCGCAATGCATAAAAGAACAAATTGAAAATAACACATCTACTTCTTGAACACCTTGAGCAGCGAGGGGATCCGCTGTGTCTTGCTCAAGCCCACCCGATACGTCGATTGTTGCCAGCTCGGTTTGTTCGAAGACTTTGCATCCTTTTGATAGTGGCGACCTTGGGCGTTACAACCGCAGCTGGAGTGGGAGCTTCAACAGCAGTAGGTTTTGGCGTTTCTGCTTGAGCAACAGGAGGGGATGGTTTGGGTGTAGCAGCAACTGGTTCCACAACCCCTGCTTTCTTTTTGACGTTTGCTTTTGACTTGGGTTCAGGTTTTGCCTTTGTTTTGGCCTTTGATTTTGGTTTTGGGGATTCTTCTTCTTCCTCCGGGTCTTCCTCAGCTTCGGAGATGTGGTCGGCTTCTGATTCGTCGTCGTCTGCTGGAGGCGGCTCTGGCACGTCTTCTTCATGATCCGAAGGTGGATCTGGTGCGACAACAGCTTTTGCTGCCTTGCCCTTTGCTTTTGCTTTGGCCTTGGGCTTTGCTTTGCTCTTCGCCTTTGGCTTGATGACCTCCTGCGAGTATTCGTCATAGACTTCGGGCTCAGACTCGTCGTCTTCCTTGTAGACCGGCTCCGGTGTCTTGGATTTCGCTTTCGACTTGACCTTAGCTTTAGTTCTGGCATTGGTTCGAGGCATTACAATTTCATCCTCCGAGTCCTCATCAGCTTCGAGTTTGGGTTCGACCTTCACAGCTTCAGCATGAGCTTCTTGGGACGGTGCAGATGTGTCTTCCTGTGGCGAAGGTTCATCCGAAGGCTTCGTGGTTGACTCTCTAGACCTTTGCTGCAGCCGTGCAAGTACATCAGCTGCCAACGATGATCTTGGCTCTATGACGACCTGTACCTCTGTCTTACCAGCCGATGCGGGTGTCTTGATTATTGTGGATGGAGCACCATTCCCATGCGCCAGCTCGTCTTCCTCGTCCACTATAACATTCTTCTTGGGGCGACCACGTTTAGCAGGCTGTTTCGCATTGGCAGTCTTCTTGGCTGACTTAGAAGATTTAGCAGACGAGGAGGGAGCCTGAACAGATTCGGGTACGGTGGATGCAAGGTACGGTGAGCCCTTCGCATGGTCAGTCTCGGGCGTGGGCGACAATCTCTCAAATTCGGGAGCTTGATCGATGGGATGCTCGGGGAATATTGAGGCAGAGGTGGAGTGATCAGCAGTGTCTGTGATGGAACGCCTCGGTCTAGACTTTTGGCGGCCTTCTCAACGATCTGAGTGTAGTCAATGTGACTTGTGTCGACCTGTGCAGACCTCGAGCGACTGGGTCTAGGAATGTACATCTCCTTGGGTAGACCAACGGCATCGTCAGAATTGAATTTATCGCTGCTTGCAACCGCAGTGCCGGACCACGGAGTGAGACTGTTCATCTGGTCAGAGGAAGACTGTTGGTTCTGAGAGGATCTGCGCTGTCGAGGCTTGGGGGTCCTCTTCTCGGTGAGCACATCATGGCCGGCTGCAGATGGCAGAGTAGGACCAGGAATGGTGTCGCTGGTGCCATCGAAAGGAGGAATGGACGGTGGATTGGCAAAGTCGGCGGGAATGTCTTGGGAAGCGGGCCTTGTAACAATCTTAATGCGCTTGAGTTTCCCAGACGAACGAGGTTGAAAATCTGGGTCGGACAGAGGACGCTTCTTGTGGGTGCTCGAGGGCGAAGTATCGACTGAAGTGGCGGCGAGGTCTGAGAAATTGACTACAGGACCGTCTTCTTGAGTAGGAGCCATCAAGGCGGCTTGGGCTCGTCTAAGCAGCTCTTCAGTGCTGGCAGTAGATTGATCTACATCCATGTCAACTGGCGCGTCTTCCCCGCTTGGAAAAGTCGCCACCAAGGTAGGAGGCTTTACAGCAACGAGATCATCTTCATCTTCCGAGTCGAGGATCTCGTTGAAACGAGGCGGCATGATGCAATTGACATTGAGCTAGATTTGTAAGTGCTCACAGCCTACAGCTGAGGCCTAGAATTGGCAAGAGGGAAGACGCGCCGAGAAGGAAGTTGCGACTCCGCGATATCACATGATCCAATTTAACTCTCTCCCGTGTGAGTATGTAGTATATATAGCTATGAAAATGCACGATAGTAACAGGAAACAAGACGACTCCACTGAGAGGCCAAGATTTGTCGACTCTCTGTGGACACGCCTTATTTTCGAAAACAACTGTGTCTTTTCATAGTCTGTATTCTGCTCTTAGCTGTAGTCGGAGATACAATGGAATTTATCTAACTCATGCCAAGATGAGCTCGGGCGCTCGGTCGAGATGACGGAGACGTCGCCGATGCGCGCATTGCATGCTCCTAACAGTTGCGACCAAGGACATGGCTTGACAAAATGGCCTTGACATCGGTAAGTGCTGTTGTCTATGTGTATCATGGCTCGAAATTCTGACAGGGCACGCAGTGGAAAGCATTTCGTTTCTTCGATGTTACGCCCATCAAGCTCGACGACGCCAACATATTAGACCAAGGTAGTGTCAGCTGTATTACTGCTAGCCCTGACCATGTCTATGTTGGCTCTCCGGATGGCACTATACGCATCTTGAATCAATCATTCAGAACAACTCAGTCATGGAAGGCCCATGAAGCTGGTGCTCTAACCAATATCCGCCAAATCCCCCACTCGTCGCTCCTCGTCACCCTCGCCGAAGACCTACCACACGAACCTGTCCTAAAGGTATGGGCATTGGATCGCCTTGACAAGAAGACTGGCATACCGCGCTGTCTCACTACCGTCTCTGTTACAAATGGCAGGAAGCCTTTCCCAGTATCAGCCTTTGCTGTCTTGCGCGACCTGTCGCAAGTTGCTGTCGGCTTCGCAAATGGCGCTGTGACAGTAATCAGAGGCGACTTCATCCATGACCGCGGAACAAAACAGCGCACTGTCCTTGAGACCGACGAACCTATCACTGGTCTCGAGTTCAGAGAGGCCAACGTCACCACCCTTTTCATCTCCACCACGAGTAGGATATCAACCCTCATCATTTCTGGCAAAGGTCAGGGCCAGCCCGCTCGTACACTGGATGAACACGGTTGCGCCGTCGGCTGTCTGATAAAAGACTTGCACTCAAACGATATTATCGTTGCCCGCGACGATGCTGTTTATGCTTACAACCCTCGTGGAAGAGTTGCCTCGTATGCCTATGAAGGCCCAAAGAAGCTCACTGCCATGTACAAGGACTATGTTCTGCTGGTCTCGCCACCAAAGACCATGACAAACGCTCCAACAAGATCATTCGGCGGTGGCCAAGCAGATGATCTCTTTAGCACCTCCAACTTCACCATTCTTAATCCCGACCTCAAACTCATTGCACATACCGAGGCTTTACCCAGCCAAATAAATGCTCTATTCTCTGCTTGGGGTCACGTCTATATCGTGACACTGGATGGCAAAGTTCTGCGTTACACTGAGAAGACCTTCCAACAGAAGCTCGAAGTTTTGTATCAACGCGAGTTCTTTGTGCTGGCCATCAACCTGGCACAAAAGAAAAGGTGGATGCTGTCCAGCAGAATCTTATCTTCCGCAAGTACGGCGACTACCTCTACCGAAAAGGCGACTTTGACACTGCCATGCAACAATACCTTCGCGCTATCGACAACACTGAACCATCACAAATCATCCGCAAGTTCCTTGACAACCAAAGGATACGCAATCTGATCGAGTATCTGGAAGAGTTGCATGAACATCACAGGGCTTCTTCAGATCACACTACGCTACTATTGAATTGCTATGCGAAACTGAAAGACGTCGAAAAGCTCGAAGACTTCATCAAGTCGCCAGGAGATCTGAAGTTCGACCTCGACACTGCCATTACAATGTGTCGCCAAGGCGGTTACTCGGACCAGGCCGCGTTCCTTGCCAGGAAGCACAACGAACATGGCTTGGTCGTAGATATCCTGATCGAAGATCTCAAGAGATATGCTGAAGCTTTGGCTTACATCTGGCGTCTAGAACCTGAGCAGGCCTACGACAGTCTCACCAAGTATGGTACTGTGCTTCTTGAACACTGTCCAGAGGATACAAAACAACTCTTCATCGACTACTTTACAGGAAACTTCCGACCCAAAAAGGATGCTGTTGTGGAGCAAGAGATCACACCGGAACAACAACAATCTGGAGGTATTGGCAAGATGGCGACCTCTGCTGTGCAAAACCTAGCTGCTCTAATACCCCTGCCATACATGAGCGCAGACGTACCAAGAACGCCAGGAGGTACTAAGACGACGCAACAAGTCATCGAGACTACTGTTGAGGACGAGTATGTTGAGTACAAGGTACCAAAGCCGAGAGCAGCATTCTCTTCGTTCGTGGACCATCCAGACGAGTTCATCTCATTCCTCGAGGCTTGCATCGCTAGTTCCGGGCTGAAGGACGAGGACAAGACAGATCTCTACACGACGCTGTTCGAGATGTACCTTCAGATTGCGAGTAAGAAAAGTGGAGATGACAAGAGTGAATGGGAGAGCAAAGCCAGACACCTGGTCGAGGAACAAAACGTAAGTCAACAAGGACATAACTGTGTCAGCGCAGAGAACTCCCTACCCATGTCCCCGTGTGCTACAGACAGTTACAATCTCACGACTTGCCCCTTCTCCATCCGAGGCATAGGGGACTATCATAAGCTGCCAAAATGCACAGTTGTAACTCGGATATGAGTCTGACCATGGAGATATCCTTTAGTGGGGTTATCTCTGTGGAGACCACATGCTTTGCAATGGTATCGTGCATTTCGGCAGCCACACTGTGGCAGTCTTTAGTACACGGGGAGACCATCGCATTTCTGTACACTATACTGACCTGATCTGCAGACACGTATGGGCACCTCCAACATTCTCCTACTCTCTCATCTCTCAAATTTCCGAGATGGTACCACTCTCGTAAGAGAACAGCGCGGTCTTTACTTTGATATCTTCCGCTCCTACACTGCCGCAAACGATACTGCTGGCGCCATAAAAGCCCTTCGCAAATACGGACCTGAAGAACCACAACTCTATCCAGCTGCACTAGCCTACTTCACCTCAACTGAAGAAATCCTTGCCGAGGCATCGTCCGAACTCGATAGCGTGCTCAAGAAGATTGACGACGACGGACTCATGGCTCCACTCCAAGTCATCCAGACCCTCTCGCAAAGCAAAGTCGCTACCATGGGTCTAGTCAAAACGTACCTGTCCCGCACCATCGAACGCGAACGCGCCGAAATCGCCAGCAATCGCAAACTCATTTCCTCTTACCGCACCGATACAGCAGCCAAAGCCAACGAACTCGAAACCTTGGCCACCAAACCTGTTTCCTTTTCGGCAACGAGATGCTCTGCTTGTGGTGCGCCTCTGGATTTGCCTACCGTGCATTTCTTGTGCAAGCACTCTTTCCATGAGAGGTGTTTGTATGTGGGTGCTGGTGACGAAGAGTCTGATGTCGAGTGTCCGAAGTGTGCAAATGACAATGCGACGGTCAAAGCTATTAAGCGTGCTCAAGATGAGAGTGCTGATAGGCATGAATTATTCTTGGACGCCTTAGGCAGAAGCAGAGATAAGTTCGCTACTGTTAGCGAATGGTTCGGTAGAGGTGTGATGGGAAGAGGAGCTGCTAGTCTTGAGTAAAGAAGTTGATACTATTAATTGAAAACCCGTACTCCTACTATAACGATGAGCAAAGTATATAACTGTAAAAAGACACAGTGTTCTCAGAAGTAGAGATGTGTCCATAGAGAGCCTGCAGATTGTTGGCATCTCAGTGGCAGTATTATGTTTCCTAATGCTATTGTGCATTTTTTCATAGATACAGATAGTTACATACTTTAGCAGAGGAGAGGCTGTTGCCCGTCAATTTGTAGTCGTTTAAGCGCTCTGTGTTTTTGAATCAAAGTCTTGTAGAACTATCAGAACATGAGAAGCGACTGGTCCCAAGTAGGTAGGAGGATAATACCAGTAACAAAAGTTACTTCTAGCTTGTGTGCACTGAACTCTATCAGACAGACAAGCAATCAGAGCACAATCCGAAAAGCAAAACTACTTGATGTGTAGAGTCGAGTCGTGCACCTTCTTTCTTAGTTCATTATACATTCACCTCGAAACTTTTCCATGATTAGTGTTAGTGGTTAAGTAGTACAACAGCTTGTAGTATTGTGTATTAAACAAAACACACCCGGTCAAGATTTCGCCGTGCAGGTTTGAATTGGTAAATGCAGCCTACATATCCATTCATCGGGTGAACTGACGCAAAGAATGTGATGGGGAGGTTCCCCACCGAAATTTATCGCGCCAGCAGTATAGTCTGCGGCAGTGTAGTGTTTTTGGCTGGAGGGGGATGATTGATGTTTTCCTCACTTGGTGTTTGAGCTGTTGATTCCGCTTGGTGTTATACAGGTTTATGTTGCTATCAACCTGTGAAGTTTGATTCTTCGTGTTGTGTGTCAAAGTTGTTCCAGCTTTCAGGACATTGGAATGGTGTCTGCACAGTTGACACGTTTGCAGTTCTCACGAAACAGGTACAAAAGGGCTCAAGAAGAAGGCTTGACATAGGGGCTCATGGAGTGTGTCAGGTTCCTGAAGATAGAAGCACATGGCTATAACATGATAGCTGTAAGACCCAGACGCCTTGAGGCATATTTCACATACAGTTGTGAACGAATGGTTTCAGAGGCTGCGTAAAGTCATGTTCTTATTACAAATGCTGTGTATCTTCAAGGAAGCCTGTTTTTAAGGCTAGAATAATATGCGTGGAGAAAGGAGGGTGGGACTGTTTCTCTACCCGCTTGATTGTACTAGGGGCTCCGAAGCCATCTATCAAGCCCAGTATTCATGGATCTCGTGTTTACGCTTGTACATGAGGAACCAACACGTGAAGGGGAANNCTGTGGCCACTGTCAGTAAGGGTCCCAAGAGCCGTGCGACAGACAATGCGAGAGAAAAACTCACAATGGCTGTGTTGACAGCTGCCCAAGCAAAAAGCACACCAAAGTCCAGTCCAATACGTGAATGCAGACCAAATAAGATCTGTCTACTGGCTTCAACCACATTGTGCAAAGGCCATGCGTAGCCCCAGCGGAAGAACGCAGGCTCGATGTCGATATCGTAGAAGCCAGTTGATACGTTGGTGATGACCCANNCTGCTCTTGTGGTTAGCATCTTGACGAAGGTGTCCAACCGAAGAACACTTACAAAGATGAGCCAGAGACCTGTCCATGGTTGACCAACAACCATAGCCACATTCTCACAAGCAAGACCAAGAGCGCACATAGCAACAAAATTCAGCATCCAATACACGGGGAAGGTTCCATGGCCATAAGCGTCAGGGTTACCATACGCAACATCTGTGACTTGAGTTTCCGAGGTGATAGGATTGCCGCCAGAAAAGTTGATCTGGAAGGCCAGAGAAACGAAGGAGTATGCCAGAGACAGNNGGAAGAGATAGGCAAGCACAGTACCGCCCCAACGAACAGCGATAAACTCGACAAATCTAAGAGGTGGATGTCCTTGAGGGTTCAAGAACCTGAACCAGATAGGCAGGTAGAAGGCGAACGAGAAGAAACTCAAAATGATAAGGTAAATGAGCCCAATCGTGGTGGCTGGAATCGCGGTATAAGGATAGAAAGGCCTGAGGTCGAATTCCGAGAAGCCAATTGCTGGTGAAACTGCCTGAGGTACATTGGCCATATTGCGCAAGAGCGTTTGATCAGTCGTGGCATTTTGCAATACCATCTTTGCCCATTGTTGGCCAACCATGGATGTAGCCTGAGTTTGGAATTGTGAAATTATTGGTAACATGAAATCGTACCAATTTGTGTCGTCTCTGGAGGACTGATAGATCAATTGGCATGCTCCCATGGGGTCGTAACTTGTGTTTCCGTTCTGCACAGCATTGTATAGTTGCGAAGTTGCATTAGGCATGATAATGATGGCAGCCCAGGCGTCCCAGTTGTAGACAGCCTGTCGTACAGCGATAGGGTCGTAGTTGAAATCAGATCCGAATAAAGGTCCCCATCCAAGCGTTGGTGTACCAGATGCTACTTGCGTACGTGCAAGACCTTGAATGATAGGACCAACTAGTGGTTCGACTCCAGGTACACTGGCGGGACCTTGACCATCAAAGTCCACAACATAGACGACTAACGAAGATAGGTTTGACTCCGCATGGAATAATGCTGCCCAATCTGATCGATGTCAGTGTTGAGAATCAATGCAATTGTTATTCCGAACTCACANGAGAGACAAGACAGCCATGATAGCTGCCATGAGTATAACCGTCGTCAACAACCATTTCCAAGCAATTTCTCGCCTCACATGTTTGAGTTCTGGAGAAAACAATCCGACGGGCTTGGGCTTCTCATCGCCATCCTTGCCCTTTTCTGAGTCGCCATTCTGCTGTGCGTTATTGCTCGGCCGCTCTGGTGAATTTTCCTTTGATGACATGATTGACTGTTCGATACTCTCACGTCCTATGTGGTTTGTACGACTGGCAACTGGCAGGAGGCTCAATATTTATTGACATTCCCCACCCGTGTTAAAGACGATTTGCGTCTGTGCTTAAACTTAGATGACGTTGGTGCACCGTCACTGAAAGTATCAAGCGTTTCTCCACGATTCGGATCGAGTTTCCAAGATCTTAGTTCCTTATCCGAATCCTTTAATTTGGAATGATATGCAATTGTGACAGCAGGAGAACAGACCAAAGTAGCTGTGGTGATTTATCCTGCTATAGCATCAGCTACTCCGAAAGCGATGTCGGTTTTTGTCACTATGTCCAGCGCGTTTCTAACCACGACTTCCTCACAGCAGTCTTTCGCTCGCACTGCTATGCAGATGTTCTGCTTCAGAAACTGGAGATGTCCGACTTGCTGTCCAGCAGGCCCTCAGACTTTAAGTCAAGTCCACTGATTATCAAGTCCCATATGTCGTCGACAAAATATAAAGGGATGGGCTTTTCGCTTGAAGTCATCACGTGGCCTTCGACAACACGTGACTATACCAGCTTAGAAGCAGTATGTCAGACTGATTGTATTAGAGGCCAGCAACGGATGAGTAGGCTGTGAGAGGTTGCACTGCTCTAGAAGATGAAGTCTGAAGCTTGAAATAGCGTCAAAGTTTGGTTTGGGGAATTGGCTTGTTCGAGTTGAAGACGTAGCCTGTGGCCGAAGGATGGAAACCAGAAGAAGGCACAAGCGGTAGTGAAANAGGAGGCTTGTGGAAGGATGTTGAAAAGAAGACTGGATGGCAAGTGGCAGGATTGTATGAGAGTGCTTGAGGCGGGTCAGACGTGTTGGGTGGCATGGCTTCGATCTGGCTCATGGGTTTTGATGTGTCATGCGACACAGATCGAGTCTGCTGGAAGTTTGGCCGCTGTGCAGTTTGCGACGGTGGATACTGAGAAGAATTAGGCTGAGCGGCATGGAGAGCGATATGACCGCTTACCTTTGGTCTCGAAGGTTGAAGAGCTGGGAACATGTTTCACGGACGATGCACGAAAAGAGATAACTAGACAAACAGAGTAGGTGCGAGGTACATAGGGTTATGACTGATTATAGAGACTGAACTTTTGGAAGTCGCAGAGCAGCGAGAGACGACAAGGCCGAGAGCCGAATCAGTGCGGAGGTGGCAGGAGTCAGGAAGTTTTGATAGAAACAGGAAGGTGCACGCGAGGACAGTATCTCATGGCTTGGCATGATTTTCTGGGCGGCGTGCGACTTGGAGGCGCAACATTCAGACTTGTCGCAAGTTGAAATCACCATGTTCAGAGCGCAACTGCGCCGACGACCATTTGTCTACACGCAGAACCTCACTCGCCTATTCAGACTATCTTCCACCTCAGCTCTAGGCTCTGATACGCCTCTAATACGCCTACAAAATGCCACAATATACAAAGACTCGATCGATCGGAACAATGCTTCGCCTCTGTTCAGCGACCTGAACTTCAGCCTACCTCCAGCAGGCGAGCATTGGGCTATCCTTAGCGCCACCTCATCTACGCGCACCGATTTGTTGAAAGTCTTGAGCGGCAGATATCTCTGCACTCCACCACAAGCTCGTTCATATCCACACCTGCTACGCAACAATACTCCACACCACCGCGCTATTGGCTATATTGGTTTCGATGCTGAGAGAAGCGGCTTGGGTGGTACTGCTGTCAAGGGTGAATATCTGAGTCAACGCTATGAGGCTCATCGCGAAGTCACCGACTGGTCTCTACTAGATTACCTGGAGGGAAACACCGAGCTGAATGCTCTCGAAAAGCCTGCCGATTATTTGGACACCCACTTGCTGACGAACGTCATTGCAAACCTCAACCTGGATCCCCTGCTGCATCTACCTGTCAGCAACCTCAGCAATGGTCAGACGCGCAGAGCTCGTATTGCCAAGGCATTGCTTGCCAAACCAGAACTTCTCCTGCTTGATGGTCCATTCATGGGTCTTGACCCTATGACCACACTGCACATATCAAGCTTTCTCCAGCAAATGGCCGAGCAGAGTAATCCGAACATCGTCTTATCTCTACGTGTAGGGGATGATGTACCTGCCTGGATTACTCATTTGCTCGTCATCGACCCCGATACGAATACAAAAATTCGCTATCAAGGTACCAAGGGTAGCGTCTGGGAGGGTTTGCATAACGTCCGTGGAGGAGACGAAGGCTTCAACCCAAGCTTGCGGAAAAGCATAACGGGGATCTCTGCAAGACCTTCCCGAGCTAAGACTGGAAGACACTTAAGTCGTGACGGCCTACCCCATGATCATCTTCCCATCCCTCTAGGAGAACCACTGGTCGAGATGCAAGGCGTGAAAGTCTCTTATGGAGTGGACAACCAGTCAAGTAAACGCACAGTCTTGGGTAATTGGTCCGAATCTGTCGATGGTACGGAGAAAGAGGGTCTATGGTGGAACGTACGTCGTGGTGAACGCTGGGGCGTCTTTGGACCGAACGGTTCAGGCAAGACCACGCTTCTATCCTTGATCACATCAGATCATCCTCAGACCTATGGTCTTCCTATCAAACTTTTCGGCCGCTCTCGTATTCCCTCTTCAGGCCAGCTCGGAATCAGTATCTTTGAACTCCAATCGCGTATAGGACATAGCTCGCCCGAGGTCCATACATATTTCCCCAAACATCTGTCTGTTCGCCGTGTTCTAGAGAGTGCTTGGGCAGACACACCACTATCGAAACCTCAACTGACGCGCCAGAAAGACATTCGTGTCGATACATTCCTGCGTTGGTTTGCTCCCGAATTGTCGCCTACCAAGACCAGCGAGCTTCAAATTATTGCAAGCAAGCTGAGGCGTACTGGGCCTGTACATCCCGACATTAAACGCAGATTGGAACGCCTCCGCACTGCCAACGATGATCTTGATTGGGCAGACACCATAACCTTCAGAGATGTGCCTTTCAGCTCACAGCGCTTGTTGCTGTTCCTTCGCGCCTTGATCTCCGAACCTGATTTGATCATCTTGGATGAAGCTCTGAGCGGAATGGACAAGGCTGTTCGCGAAAAATGCCTGCTGTTCCTCGCCCACGGTGAGAAGCTGGAGTATAAGCATAACCAGAAAATCGTGAACAGCGTGCCGATGACCAATAACATGGTCAACTTTGGGGGCATTCAAGACACACAGGCATTGTTGACTATAAGCCACAGCACAGAGGACATTCCTGGCTGCATCAGGCAATGGATATGTCTTCCAGAGCCTAGTGAAGCAAAGCCAGCGAGAGTTGGTGAGCTACCAGGACCACTTGAACTCCATCGCGACGGTTGGGAAGAGATCTGGAATCTACCAAACAACAAACCACAGAAAATTTCTAGATTGCGATCGGATAGATATGCAAAGTTGGATCAAAAGGCTCGAGAAGAAGAGGACATTGAGAATGGGTCAGAGAAAGAAGGACAGGAAGAAGACGCGACAGACAAAGCGTCTTCATCCCTGCCTTCCTCGTAAGATCTGTCAATATGTAAGATGTTTGTAGACTGTACAAAAACATACATCACAGCTCACCAAGTGTGGAGATGGCATCACCCATACTGTCCTACTGAGCCCTCGGGCGAGCACGGGCAAGTCGCATCTTTTGACCTCGACCTTGTCTTCTGTGAACAGAGCCATGCAGCCACGACCAATATATTCTGTTTCAGGCACGTTTCGAGCTCTTGGATTCTTCGTATTTTCCATCAATCGTAGACCTCTATTCTCTTGCTATGCATTGGTCTGCAAGGTGTAGACTGGGAAAAGTAGGCGACACAGCTTGCTATTCGAGGACGATCCCCTCGTTTGGATGATCAGCATGGCAAAATAGACTTACTTTTGCTACGACTTTATCCGTGTCTGATGGCTAGTCACATTCACAAGGCAGGTACCTCAGAACGCCACAGACCCCTCTCGAGTTCTTGTAAGCGATGTGACGCTAGCTAGGGCTAGAAGTTACATATCCTCCACAGCATGAGCAGGTATAAAGGCTGGAGATGGCTTCGACCACCTCCATCTATAGCCTTTGCGAGTGACTACGGTTGCTTGTTTCCTCAAATTCTGATCAGCAATGAGGTTCTCATCTGTCCTTGCAGCCTTGTCTGCAGTCGGCAGCGCACTGGCACAGCAGACCTACACCAATCCTGTACTATGGTACGATCTCGCAGACCTCGACGTCTTCCGCAAAGGCAACCAATACTACTACTCGGCTTCGACCATGTCTTTCTCTCCTGGAGCACCGGTTCTCAGATCTGGAGACCTTGTCAACTGGGAGTTTATCGGTCACTCGGTTCCTAGACTTGACTTCCATGATACAGCATATGACTTAGCCGACAACAAGCAAGCCTATGTTCGTGGAATCTGGGCTTCCTCTATGCAGTACCGCGAGTATGACGATACTTTTTACTGGATCGGCTGTGTCGACTTCAAGACTACGTACATCTACAAGGCCAAGGATCCTGCTGGTGATTGGAGCAAGGTTGGCGAGATTGGCACTTGCTACTATGACTGCGGTATGCTGTTTGATGGTCAGAGCATTTACGTTGCTGTAAGTATTTTTCCGTGCACTTTTCCTTTGGCGTTAGAGATTAAGCAGCTGATGATTGTTCTCTAATCTTTGTAGTACGGCAACACCAAGATCAGCGTTGCACAGCTGAACAACGACTTTACCCAAAAGTCCACCACGCAGGTCTACAGCTCTAGCTTCTACATCGAAGGCTCTCACATGAAGAAGATCAACAACAAATACTACATCTTCGTCACCCAGCCCGCCTCCAATGAGTACGTTCTAAAATCTGACTCTGGTCCCTTAGGTCCCTACGAAATCAAGATCTTTACAAAGGCGCCGGCGAGCGGTATCCAGGGCAGTGGAAACCCTCATCAGGGAAGCGTAGTCGATACTCCCAAAGGCGATTGGTACTACCTCAGTTTCATCGATGCGTATCCTGGCGGCCGCAGTCCTGCCTTGGCGCCATTTGTGTTTGATGCACAAGGATGGCCATCCCTAAAGCAAGCAAATGGATTCGCCATCGCAAACCCCTATCCCGTGCCTCCCGTGCCCGTCAAATCCACCACCGGTACGGACAGCTTCACAGGACCTAAACTAGGTCCTCAATGGGAATGGAACCACAACCCCGACACTACTTCCTTCTCCTTTGCTTCTGGAGGCGGTTTGATGCTCAAGACCTCTTCAGTAACCAAAGACCTCTACCACGCCAAAAACACTTTAACACATAGAATCCTGGGGCCAGACAGTACAGCCACCATTGCCCTGGACATTTCCAGAATGTCTGCAGGCGACCAAGCAGGTTTAGCTTTATTCCGCGACAACTCAGCCTACATAGCCATCCACAACAACGCCATCATCCTCCAACGCGACTTGACCCTAGGAGCAAATTGGAACACTCTCTCCCTCGGCCGCACCGAAACCTCCGTCTCCCTCCCTCAAGGAACCAAAACCGTGTGGTTGCGTCTACATGCCGACATCAAACCTGCAGGCTCCCACCAAGGCGTGTTTTCGTGGAGTGCGGATGGGAAAACGTTTAAGACGCTGGGAACGCCGTATACCATGAACACGACTTATTACTTTTTTATCGGGTATAGGTTTGGGATTTTCAACTTTGCGGAGGAGAAGTTGGGGGGAAGTGTTACGGTCAAGTCTTTTGATCTTGCTCTTGGGTCAAAGTAGGAAATGGATGCAATGTTGGGAGTGTGAGAGGAGATGTGAGAAAGATCAGATGTAGCTTGAGAATGGTATGCTCAACTCTGGTTCAAAAAGTCTGATGTCTCCTTACGTGCTTACTGTTTGTTGGGGAAGAAAGACTGTATCATGATAATAGATGTGACGTATTGATCCCATTGTTTCTTCTTCCTAAGGAGGCAAGTGCGATCTCGAGAATCTTTTAGTCATAACCTCATAGACACACGCATCGCTCGAAACAGGTGAGATAATAAACAAGAAAAGATCAGGCAGTGGTCAAGGGAGAAAGTATTCTTTGATATTCTCAGCTAAATTAAAATCATACAGTCATATCATGTTCATGCTTGTTCTTCATGCATCCATTTTTAGTAAGTACCATCAGACTTCAACTGGGTGTAGCCAGGGTACTTGCTGAACTGATCCTTGTTGATCTTTGTGAGCTCGGGGCATCCAAGCTTCTCAGTAGCATTGCCAAAGGCGGAGCTGACTTGATTGACAGCAGCGGCAAGGTTGGTGACAACGCCAGAAAGAAGGTCAGGAAGTTCCTGGACGGCAAGCTGCAGACCGTAACACATGAGGTTGTTACCCTGAGTTAGGGTTTGTGCGTTGAAGACACCATTGGTCAACTCCTCAGGGTCAACACCAACGAAGCTGTTGTTTGTACCAGTGTTGCCACCGATGCTGCCGAACTCAAGGTGCTGGAGTAGTTGGAAGTCGGTGTCGACGTTCAGGAACAAGATATCGTAGGGATCAGCCTGGTTGCGAGTGTACCAGTTCTCGGGAATACGTTCGTAGCCGGGGGTGTATTTGAAGTCTCCATCATCGCCAGTGATGGCGTAGAAGGACTTGAGGACCTCGCCGTTAAGCTTGCCAGCAGGGTACTCAGCAGATTTGTTACCCATGAAACGGTAGATGAAGCTCCACGCTGCAGGTTGAGCAACCACACCAGAGAAGGGGGCGTTGAAGAAGTAAGGGTTGCCATCGATGTTCTCTTGGAAGCGAGCAGCTCTTCTGTCAGTCAGGAGCTGGAGGTCGTAGTTATCGTCGGCCTTTCCAGCATCGTACAGAGCTTGGAAGTTCTGCATCTTCAGGAGGTAGTCTTGACCATCGACGTACAAGTCACCTCTAGTGGGTGACGCGTCGCCCTCATACTTGTTGTGAGAGCCGCTGATACCTTGAGGCTGTCCAAGAAGGTTGATGGAGGGGACATTCGGTGTGGGACCACCAATGCTCCATTCAAGAAGGTTGCCGTCAATGGCAGCTCCATAGACAGCGAGGACGGTGGCCAAGTCAACGCCCATACCGAAGACTGAGCTGGTGGACTCAATGAATTGGTCGATGGTGCCAACACCATTGTGGGGGAGGTAGTTGTGATTTGCGAGAGCGTTCAGTCCTGGACAGGGTCCACGCTGGTCCCCATCGCCAGGAGGAGTGAAAGCGTGTGCACCAGAGACATCAACCAACTGAGAGGCGGCATCGAAGATACCAGCAGCTCTCTGTTTCAAGCCGGAAGCCTTCTTCTGTGATTCGAGCTCGGCAAGGATGTTGGGATATGCTGCAGTCAAGCCTGCGTAAGCAACGGCAAGAGCAGATGAGATTTGTAGTGTCTTCATGATTGTGATGTGTGAAAGAGATGTGTTGATGAGAGAATCCTTTGGAGGTATTCCTCAGACCTATATATATTCAATTCAAGAGGCAAGCACCGAGGCATCTTGCCAAACTCACAACAGCATACATGGCTTGCGGCCGAAACAACGCTGACCATTGCATGTACGGAGTTCCAGCGACTGTGGTAACCAACCATAGAGTGTAACGGTGTAGACCAGGCCACTTTGCGAATGCGGAGCCAGACAACAAAAAGGTAGTGTTCATGGACGATCACCCCAGATCGACCCTCGGCATATTGGAGACGGACAGGGACGAAGGGTCTGACTGACAACCAGAAAAAGATGATTGGCTAGAGGAGGAGAAAATCACGAAAGAGGCGTCCAACTGAACCACAACGACCACGCCTTGATGGGTCCCTAGGTTCGAGAGATGTCGCGGGGATTGTCACGCACCTGCCATGTTGATGAAGCTTAGCGACGCCGCGGCTTGCCATCCGTCAAGCCATATTGTAGAGCTACGTTGCCTCCACCTGTGTCAGCGATCAAGACAAGCCGGAGAACTGACAGCGTGGCAGTGTCGAACGCCATAGTGGGCGCCCGGCAGCGGACCTCAGGCCTCTTGTCATTAGGCTTGATTTAAAGCTTAACGAAGTCGGTCCCCAAGTGGAAGGTGATACAGCCACCAACATCATACGGACATAAGAGTCTTGACCGGTTACGGCAAGTTACTGTAAAAGGCCTGCAAAGTGGCGAACAGACATTTTCTGTACTATGAAGTAAAACTCGGCGACGGAATGACAGTCGTATGCTGAGACGTCCTATGTAGCATGATGCCGAGGCAGTCGAACCTGCAGGTGTCAACTGGATTAAAACTCCGTTGATGCACCTCGAGGTTGCCTACCTTGCAGCTCACGTGACCTTTCGGAGTCAAGGGGCCGAGCGATAGCAGATAAGCTCCGCGTTTCGGTCTGGGCGCAAAATCCCAGGTTGCTCGCTTTCGCATTCGAAGCACATTTCCAATTGTCAAAGTCACTAGCAACATGTCTTTTCGCAAGCGCAACATTGGTGTTCAGAGATCTTCGGTCGCATCTTCTTCACCAGATGCCTCGGCAGAGACAAATGCAGCACCAGCACTCACAGCTTCTGGCATCCGACCATCGCCTTTGACAGGACAGCCGACGACGTCTACAGGAGCATACTCATTGGACAGTCTGCTAGGAGGCCATGCAGGGCTGGCGCTAGGCTCATCGCTACTGGTTGAAGAGAGTGGGACTACAGACTTTGCTGGCGCTCTGCTGCGATACTATGCTGCCGAGGGCATCATTCAAAGTCATACTGTGCATCTCGTAGGTGCTGGCGAGCAGTGGATCAAGGACCTGCCAGGCTTGGTAGGGGATGCTGAAGCTGCTGAAGCTCAGAAGCAAGCAAAGAGTGACGAGAAGAAAATGAAGATTGCATGGAGATATGAGAGGCTGGGTCAAGTAGATGCCGATCGAGGCAGTAGAGGTGAACCACTATACATAGACACTATAGGACAAAGTTATCTGACTGCTTCGCANGTCGTCCCTCAACGTGGTCCCACTCCCATCCAGACATCTGACCAGCAAGACGAACAACAGTCGCTAGCCTTCTGCCACACCTTTGATCTTGCAAAGCGTCTTGCTGTACCGGCCGAGGCAGACATCAACCACATCGCCATCTCTCCTCAATCTCCCTTGTCCGCTATTCTGCAGAACGTCGCCCAACGCCTAAGCACTTCTAAGCCTCACACGATACATCGCCTAGTCATACCTTCTCTCCTGTCGCCCGCTCTATATCCACCCTCGGCTGGTGCACCAGAGAATTTGCTTCAGTTCCTGCATTCTCTTCGTTCCCTGCTTCGACAATATCCCAGCCGCCTCACTGCCATGATCACACTTCCGTTAGAGCTGTATGATCGCTCGACCGCCCTCGTCCGCTGGGCCGAAACTCTCTCAGACGGCGTGCTTGAACTTACTCCTTTCCCACATCTGATGGACGCTGCGAAAAGCTTGGCCGAGAGTGGTGGTGCAAGAGCAACAGACGAGCAGCCTCAGGGAATGCTGAAGCTGCACAAGCTACCAGTGACAACAGAGCGTGGTGGAGGAGGTGCAGCTGCTGGTGTTGGCGACGATTTGGCATTCACGGTCAGCAGACGACGTTTCGTCATCAAGCCTTTCAGTTTGCCGCCAGCAGAAGGAGATACCGAGGCTCAGCAAGGTAATGCTGAGGGAGGTGCTCTAGGCAAGGCCACAAAAGTCGATATAGAGTTTTAGCGTGTATAAGAATTACTCTCAAGGCTCATCGTCGAGTTCCCACTTGTCGTGTTGCATCATGTCCTCCATTTCAATAGCTTCTGAGCCCGCGGCTCCAGGATAGGGGATGTTACGGGCGTAGGTCCTACCATAGGCACCGTGCCGAGGNNGATTGATGGTGGTTCCGCCTATTCGAGCTCGAACATTGTCACCGAGGCAGCTGGAGAGAGCAAACCAGACTANTCTGATGTTAAAGAAGCTTGATCATAGTTGCGGCATGAATAGCCTACCTGTAAGCGCGACGAGGGGTAAGAAGAAAACGAAGAACAACAGGACAAGGATGTTCATGACGATCTCGTGAGGAGAAAGACACCCTCAGAACACACGAATAGTTAGAAATTACAGAACAATCACTGACGGTTATTCAGCTGCGTTGATCAGTTCCAAGTCCGCCCAAGTCCGGACAAACCAATCAAACTGTTGTTGGTGTCTTTGGGAAACGGCGTCATTCTCCCACATTTTGGCTTTGTCCTTCTCTCAGGGAAAGCATCATCATGGGTTGAATAAACACTCCCACCAACTATCCTCTTCTCAAAGGTATGCTCTCCCTGGTATGGTGAGAACATCGAGGTGTTCAATCTCATTTTGAAAGATTTGCGAACATGATATATGCTTTTCAGGACACCATGTCCGAGACGTACTTCCGCTTCCGCTACATACAACGTGTTCTTTGCTTGGTTCTCTTTCGCTGACATTGTTTACCTAGACCTTGACTACAGTCTCGGTAGCGTATCAACATGGCCAACAGTGCAGTCTCTGAGCCATTCCCCATCACCTTAACGAGCGGTCGATACATGGTCTATGACGTCCAAACCATTGCACACGTTCAGCAGAATCACGGCATCGAAGGCGCATCGCAGGCACTCGAACAGTACAACCCCCTCGAACTAAGATCCGAAGATGTCGCATTACTAGTCAACAAAGGCGCTGCTCACATCATCAGAGACGATAAGAGCAAGCCACCACAATCACCCTCGACTGCGCCAGTATCACCAAATGGCATTCCCAAGATTGCTACGGCCAGCGACAATACACAAGACGTTTGGAATGACATTCCTGAAGACATGTTCGCCTCGCGGGGAAGGACAAACAAGACCAAGAAGAATCGCGCCCGCCTCGGTGTGTCACCGTTGCCTTCTACTGCGCCAGGGAGCCGTACCGCTAGTGCTGGTGGGCTCCCGCCTGGTGGTCCTCCATTGAGGCCTGCTGCTTCACAACCAATGTTGCGTCCGCCACCTCCGCCTTCGCGACAGACCTACTCCTGAGTCCGTGACGAGTCCATGAGATATCACAACTCCATCTCGCATGTTCGATAATACCAGTACTACGCATGCTCGGCACGGAGTGGATTATATCTTCGCTTCAAGACCCACTGCACACGCCTTTCCGCAACGCACCAGTTTGGTCTCGATACACTAGACGCGACCAACAGATGTGGTTGTTAGAGACGCACTATTCATCCGGCCGGGGTCAGGATAGATCCAAGTCTCTGTATCCTACGTTATTCTAATCTTAATATCAGTGCTCTCTTGATTCTGAGAGCACTATTTTTGCACGTCTTCCATCTTGATTCTCTTAATGCTTGAGAGTGACCTAAACACAAACATTAATATAGCACGAGGTCATGAAACAAGCCTGTCGGAGAAAGCTTGTTCTTCACATCAGATTGAATGCTCGTCCAACACTGACATCCGAACAATTTTGTGGTGAGTTTCTGAAGTGACAAGACGGACGATGGAATATCGATAGAGCATCAGGGCCATATATATCTGCTGTTTCATCAGAACACACAACATCCTCGAGTAATGTAACATCTAGTGTCCATCGGGAGAGCGGCTGTGGCTGCTTTCCGAAGCCCAAATCTGTGCATGGATGATGACCGATGTCGATCATCTTCAACTTCGCGCGTTTCGGTCTCGACCCCAAACCCGAAGTCCGTTTGTCAGACGGAGAATGGTGCGAATACTTCGGGCTTACTATAGAATGGGCGATCTCCGAATGATGTTGTCCTTCTACAATTTACCAGCAAGACATTCGTGATCACACAATATGGCTGTCGATATAGAACAACGTCCTCTCAAAGTTACAATCATTGGAGCTGGCATTGCTGGGTTGACTGCGGCACTTGCTCTGAGGAAACAAGGACATGAGGTTACGGTTCGTGGAAGGAGCTTAACAGGGTGGAGCTATCGCTGACTTGCCCAGGTGATTGAGAGATCACGCTTCGCAGTCGAGACCGGTGCTGCCATGCACATGGCACCAAATGCTACAGCACTACTAGAATGGATGGATGTTCGACCAAGCGAAGTTGGCGGGACTCTGTTGAGACAAGTATGACTGTGTGATGACCACAAGGTATCACGACGCTGACTGTTGCAGATGCGTCGTTTTGATGCCAATGGCAATCTACTTCATACAAAAGAATTCGGCCCTGAAGACAGGAGTCATTGGCAAACTGTAGGTACATTCTCTTGGGATCCTGATCTCACCGACTGACAGTACAAGGAATGGTATCTTGTGCATCGCGTTGATCTTCACAACAAGCTCAAGTCCGAAGCTACTTCGACAACAAGAGATGGTGTTCCTGTTCAACTTCACTTGGCCTGCAAAGTCACAGACATCGATCTTCACAATGCCACTGTGACCCTCGAAGATGGTCGAACCTTCAACGGCGATTTACTTCTTGGAGCAGATGGGCTCCACTCTTTCACACGAAAGCAGATTGTTGGTGAAATTCAACCCTACGCCGTCGGGAAATCTTGCATGCGCTGGCTGGTGTCGAAGGAGACACTCTTGGCGGATCCCAGAACAGACCGCGCATCTATCGAAACACCAGGTGCTTTTGTCGAATGGTCAGCACCTGACCGCCGCTTGGTAGCATACCCCTGTGGTGATGACAAGATCATGAATATGTGTGCTTTTGCTCCATCTTCAGAATTCCAGGATCCCGAGAACGTTAGCATAGATGGTAATAAGACTCAATTTTGGTGAGGCTGTGAAGATCGCTGACTTTCAGTAGAGTACAATACATCTGGAAACATGAACCTCATGCTTCGCGCATTCAAAAACTTCTGTCCTGCAGTGCAGGCGGCAATGGAGAATTCTGGAGATAGTCTCAAGATCTGGGACATGTACGACATGAAGACTTTACCTAAATGGTGTGAAGGATCTTCTGCCATTATTGGTGATGCTGCTCACCCTTTCCAACCNTTGTAAGACATTGCAAACCATGGTGCACATACGATATGCAAAGCTGACACAACCCAAGACATGGGTCAGGGTGGTGCCATGGCTATCGAAGACGCAGTCTCAGTTGCTGTCCTTCTCCCACTGGGAACTTCCAAGCAACAGATTCCTGAACGTTTGCGACTATATGAGGAATGTCGCAAACAGCGAAACGAAACCGTACTGATGTACACGCGTATGAACGGCAGAGATGAAGGCGACGATTCTGTCAAAAGAATGACTCGTGAGCTCCAACCTCTGCAATTTGAGACTGATCTTGTATACTGACCATCGAATNNAGCTAAAGATTTGGTGGACTGTATGACCTTGTGTGTGATGCACAATGAGCGAAACTTTTCATTGGAGGCGTTGTCCAAAGCCATTGCAGTATGAACTTAATGACAAGATCTTTCACCAACGTACAAAACATCCTCATGAAAGGAGTCGATCGAATTGACTGCTGTTTGCTACTAAGATTTGTTTCAGGTCAAGAACACATTTCCATCAGTCCGGCCTTCTCCTGCCTAACGCTGTATCTTTGGCCGAAGAGACTCAGTCTCAGCGATCTCCGGAGTGTCTGACTTGGACACCACCTGCCAACACCTCTCACAGACACTCTCACACGCTCTTGAAACTCATCTGGCAAGCCATGGCTGATCCTTATCCCAATGAGTCCGCCAACACCATCTACAGTCACCTCCGCTCATTGAGCAACACGATCGGAGACCTAGGAGATATAGTCACTTCTCTGCAATTCTCAACCATCCTTCCCGAATCCACAGACACAAACATGCCTTCTTTCAGTCCACCAGGATCTATTCGCCGTCGCTTCCTCAGAATCATCAGCTTTGGCCGATACAGCAGTCGCAGTGCAGATGATACAGAGCCACTCACCAAACCTCATAATTCCAACCGTAGACACAGCGCACCAGCCGATCTGGACATACCATCAAATGATCGACCTACGTATACCGCGCATCAAAGTCCACAATCTTCCGATAGCGCTCAGACTACTATCATTCATGATGTACCACCAGGCACAGTTCCTTTCTCCATCGATGCCTTCCGAGACCAACATCGCGAGCACTACTTCTCTGATACCGAATTCGACACACCCAGCCAACCAGAGGCAGATTCAGAGACCGTCAACTCTGCCGTCGGTGCCGAAGAACCAAGCTGGGATCCAACACGCCTTCGCCGCAACAAATCAATCATGCATTGCAATATCTGCAACCGCATTTGGGAGTACAATCAGATTCATTGTCCGGGCTGTGCTGCTAGGACTCTACACCATATACCTGGATCCAGCGATGATTCGTATACCGAAAGCGACTTCAGCAATCATGATCCTCGTGCTACTCACCATAGACCTGGTAGACACAACCCTGAGCGTGATGTTCTGCCAACGGAGAGCAGTTGGGATACTCATGGTCTTGAGTCCGGTACTGCTGAAGAGTCTTGGACGACTACTGTAGCCGATACATCTGCTGCTCCAGAGGTCACAGAAAGTCCTACCACTCACCCTACAGACGTTCCTTCAGCCGGCAAGAGTCTGCACAAAAAGCATCGCAAGATTGCCGTCCAATGCTGCTGCGACACACATAGAGACTCAGGCTCCAGTTCGTGCACTCCAATTTACATCTCTCACAGATTGCCTACCCCTGCAGCTAATACCTTCGCCGGTCCTGTTCCTGCTGCACTGCTGTGCAAATGCTCAAGATGTGACAGGCGTCACATTTGCGGTCCTTTGTGGGGACCTCAGTACGTGCAGCTTATGGAGGGTGAGATTCAGAGGTGCGAGCGCGGTGACAGAGGCCACAGAGTCACTGTCAAGAAAGAAAGATCTTGGTGGATGAGATTGTTGAGATGGTTTTGCTGTTGTTGATGGACTTGAGGGACGTTGGCTCTTCGTCGCTGCTTCTGCATATTTGGTTGATGAAGTTTTTCTTGGGATTTTTTTTTTTTTTGGAGAGCGCGTTGATGACCAGGGTTCTCTATATTATTCTTGCTCCTCGACCTATTGGTAATAAAGTTGAATGTCGCGAATGGAAGAGCATCAAACAGATGGTTGTGTATAAGGCCATATTGCATAACTATGCATGACTGCATAAATCCATCTATCGATAAGACTGGAAATTTCCAAACTCACTCCATCATTGTTCTTTCTCTGCAAGAATAACCTTTTGACTACGACATTCCGCCCTCACAAGTTGTAAACATGACTAGCCGCAAGCGCAACGAGTTCCTGGATAATGGACTGAGCGATGAGGAAGAGGATACTGGCTACAACTCAGAAGAGCAGGAAGAGAGCCGTGGCGCGCGATCCATCAAGCGACGAAGAGTCGAGCAAGACTCCGACGACGACTCACAAGACTTTGACGACGAAGATGAAGAAGCCCTGGATAAGACAAGTGCAATCGCCAACAAGCCCGCACCCGCAGCGCCAAAAGGACGTTTCGAGCTAGACGACGAAGATGCCGACGACTTCGTTCCCGAAGACGGTGAAGACGACAACAACGATCTCGAGCCTGCGACAGAAGCAACAAAAGAAAAGACAGTCAAACCCCTCACCCAAAAACAACTTCTCAAAGCCCAAAAAGCAGCAAAGAAAACCGGTGTAATCTACATCTCGCGCATCCCACCATTCATGAAACCCGCAACCCTCAAACACTACCTTTCTCCGTACGGCGAAATCGGGCGTGTCTTTTTGACTCCCGAAGACCCCGTGGCACAGAAACAACGCGTGCGCAATGGCGGCAACAAGAAAAAGTCCTTTACGGACGGCTGGGTCGAATTCATCAACAAAAAAGACGCAAAGGCTGCTGCGGAAACACTAAACGGCAACATCATTGGTGGCAAAAGNGGAAACTTCTACCATGACGACATGTGGAACATGAAGTACTTGACTGGCTTCAAGTGGAGTCATTTGACCGAGCAAATTGCGAATGAAAATGCCGAGAGGGCGGCTAGACTGCGTGCAGAAGTTGCAAGGACGAGGAGGGAGAATAAGAGTTTCGTGGAGGATATTGAGAGGAGTAAAATGTTGGAGGGTATGCGGGCTAAGAAGGCTGCTCAAGCGGATAGGGCGGGTGTTTCCTCGTCTGCTGCTGCTTCAAAACCTGCTGCCGGTGGTGTCAGAGAGTTGAAGAGAGATTTCAAGCAGAATGAAGTCAAGAGCAAAAGACCAATNGACTCAAGCAAGTCGGCGCAGACGGAGGATGTCCAGAGAGTCTTGAGCAAGATCTTCTAGTCAATTCTAGACCTATGGCCGTTTTGACCTTCTACGACATCTCTTTTCCGATTATTTGGCCATATCATCATTGAAGAGAAGTACCATCGCCGCCAATTGCACGTCCAGACCACCACGACACTTTTGAACGTACTTGCCATCCCTCAAGGACTGTGCAGAAGCCTCTACTTCAAGCAAGCCCCTTCAATCTCCTTGGTTGCATTCTTGACATAGTTACCCAACAAAGATCCACCACAAACCAAGCCTCTGACAAAAGCCTTTGCAACCAAATCTGCTCCTTGAGGCGCCGTATGCGTATGATCATTCGGAAAATAGGCATCCACAGTTCTCACAGGCAAAGCCTTGTACGCAGCCAATGTATAAGCATTATGGTCCACAAAATCCACTTTGGCATTTGTAGCTGCTGTTTTGGCGAGGTCGACGAAGCGAGGAGTGCTGGATACAAAGACACCGCTCTCGTCGGGGTTGTTGGGGGTCTGGGAGGAGATGAGTACGTGGGCGCCTTTTGCGGTGTATGAGGTTGCTGCTTGTTCAAGGTAATAAGGAAATGTGTGGACGGTTTCTGTTGCACCACNTGTTTGCGAGAACATGCTCTGTTAGATGTGTGGTCTTTTTCTAGTCAAGAGAAGTAGATACAAGGCTTACTTGTATGTGTATCGACAGGTCTCAGTTCCGCTGCCTGGACAATCGGAACGTCCGTTGTCTGGTTTGCTAGCGCCGTCATTGTGTCCGAATTCGATAATGACAAAGTCTCCTTTCTTCAACAGCTTGCCGATTTCGTCAAATCGACCTTCACGTGAATAACTGCGGGCAGAACGTCCAGCGAAGGCGTTGTTGACGACAGGTATTTTGAGGGAGTAGTGTAGGTATTGGCCCCAACCTGAGAAGGAGTAGTATGGATCAGTCTTAATGCTCGTCCAACATCCTTGATTAAGATGGCAGGTTACAAGAGGAACTGCCTTACCTTCTGTGCCTTTACCACCACCTCCAGGAGCTGTGGTAGAATCTCCAGCTATGTAGACCGTCTGACCAACGACCTGGCCTACGAAGGCAAGAGCCAAGGGAATGACTGCTTTCCACATATCGAAGAGAAGATGTCGTTTCTATCGAGCGAGGAGATCTCTCTGCCTGTCAATCTAGTAGAAAAGAACGTTACAAAGCTCTCTATGAAGACCACGGCATGCCTCACATCTATTATATACTACACTTTCGCCTACTATGCACTTCGGCTCCTTCGTGTTAATGACTACCGACAGGTCTTCAAACATACTACCAAAGTATGCTACATCGAGTTTAGAAACATTCGCATCTGAAGACAGCAAAAACAAAGCCAAGTGTATCCCATTGATGGAATATTATGGAGCCGCAGCATATAGATTCGGCAGATTTGCGTCAACGCCGAAGGCAAGGTGCAGGTTCGGGTCAACATGAAACGCTGCACCGAGTATGATCGACAAGGAGATGTAAGCGACTGGCAAGTGCATGTGCATCACAAAAGGATTGTCAAGTGCGGAGAATCCGGAGAAAACTCAAGGAGATCTGTTCTTCAAAATGATGATTCTTGTAATGTCGAGCAGCAGGACTCTTTGCTAGACATTAGGACGAAGCCTTTGCTGGAGTGTTGACTCGCCCTGCACACTCAGCTGTGATTATAAATGACGGTTTGACGATTTTCAACCATGTTCATCAATGTGCCACTGCTTTCAAGACGTCAAGAGATGTTCTTCAAGGTTTGGTTGATATATGTTGTCGTTTGGATCTTCATTAGTATCAATATAGCTATTTGGAGCATGATCCTTGGACCAGATTCTACGAAGCACTTGGTCTCGTACTACTAGGTGGACGCTGCCACGAAATGACATAGTTGCCATATTCCTTAGCGACTGCTTGCGGCAGCTGTGGGATGCTTATTTGAGCAGGTTGCCCAGTAGCAAAGTCCAAATATGAGACAGGCCTTGGTTTAGGCATTTCGGGAAACGGTGGCGGAGTCGTTGGACACAGAGTCACGGTTTGACGACTCTCAACCCATTCCTTCAAGTGCAGACGGAAGGTCTCAACCTCTGCGTCTAGTTTACGTCGACAAGGCCAATGCTCGAGATTCATGACCACGTCTGGGTCTTGCTCCGAGGGATGGACCTTTCGATAGGAATTGTCCAGTGTGATGATCTCGTACAGCGTGAAGATGACACCTTTGACGTCGTTGAACTCCTCCACGTGCCAAGGCAGTCCCATGGCAGTCGCGTACTCGAAACCAATCATTTTGAGCTGACTACCGGCTGGTGCTTGCTCGAAGCAGATGAGATTTCTAGGCGCTATGTCTTGGTTGGCAATGCGGAGCTCCAAGTTGAGGCAATCAATAAGAGAGGTCAACTGACGAAGCCAGTCCAGCCGAAAAACTTGGGCGTGGTCTTTGTCGAGTGAGGGCGCAGGAAGGTACGGAACTGTAAAGCCGAGAATGTGCTGTGAAGTTGTGTCGTCAACCACGATGCGATCAAAAGGAACGATGTTGGGGTGTGCAGGCAAGCCATGAAGCATGACTATTTCTCTCCACCTGCGCTCTCGTAACTGCATGATTGGCGTGTTCTTGAACACTACTTTCTTGGTTGTGCCGTCGTCGTCTTCATAACTAACGAGGTCTACACCAGGCATGAGTCGATCGAGTTCAGTCAATTCGGCCATCGCAACCATACGACAGTCCTGAAGACTCGGCGCATCGAGAAGACTTGGATAGAAGATTGCTTGTTGACAATCTTGTTCAGGGTCTGACGACGTCGAGACCAGAGTGCCTGTGGCATCGACATTGAGGGTTTGAACAGCAGGGTCGAGTTCATTCATATATCGCTTCAGGACTTCGATTGCATCAGACCCTTCGCACGCTTCGTCGGCCAGCCTCAAGAAACTTGATGGACCACGAATGGAATAATGGCGGCGTTGGTCAAAGTCCATAATAATAACTTCATCGTTAACATGATTAGTACCACCACCACTGTCGGCGAAGAATCGATATGCCGGGTCAATCATGAGCGGATACTGTGTGGCGGAGAATCTGGAAGTACTGTATGATATGGAACCATAGCAGACATACGAAGCACGAAGAAAATCTGATGGTGCAGTAAATAAGAATGAAGGGATGGAGGAATCTGCACATGACTAACAAGCATTGCAGAACAGTGATGATCACCAAGTTCGAGATAAGCAGTCTGCAAGCCACGCGCTTGTAACCAACAGCCGCGGACTAACGATCTGTGACTGGCAACGCCAAATTACGCGCTGCAGTAGACACAAGCGCTTAATGCTGCATGTCTGTTAGTGCTCGGTTGCAGCTAAGGCACAATTGACATGTGCGTCCAATAAGAATGACCTGACAGCAAACGACCTTGACATCGTACGGCTGCAGCACAAACAATGGCTTCATAAAACGAGCGATGCCCCTTCGGTTCTGTTATTTCTTGCCTCACACTGAAGCATCATGACTACTCAACCTCGTAACAGGGCAACGGCAGTATCAGCAATTCCTCCAAGCCAAATATGTCCATGCGATATTGGTATCGATGTCCGCCAACGCCTGGTCAACTCTCCTTTCAACCCCAGTCTCTGTCCATGTGGCTGGTATATATATAAGTCCGCTGTGTGCGGTCACATGTATCAGAAGTACCAGGTGACATGTGGTTTGACAACAAGCCCAGCAGGAAAGAGCAGTTTCTGCTTGACGCCTGCACCGGAAAATTTCGTCGATACTGTGCAGATCAATCAGCCTTGTAGACTGTGTTGAACTCAGTTGTAAGCCTCACTCACAACATGACAATTGGAATAGTCGCTTACATCCTCAAGACAAGCATGCAGATTGAGAGCGACATTTCCTGCCCGATGCTCTTGCGGAGCTAGTGCTGCGTTTGCGTAACAGTCTTTCAACTCAGGGTCCAGAACGCTTGATTGATTCCTCTACTCTGTCTTCCATTATGTCCATGGATTATTTCCATTTCACACTGTCTGGTCCAGATGTTCTCTTTCTCGGAAAATTTGAATGTCCAGCTCCAAGTCCTGAGCAAAGTTGCTTGTGAGTATGTTCCAAGTAGCTAAAACGAAGAACCGAAAGCGCTCAAGACTTCACTCCTATCCTACCATCAAATATCAGTATCCAAGAGCGAGCCAAAGCGATTCACAGGTTACAGTGGACCAGAGCCTGCTAGAGCTCTCTCCTTGTATGAAGCAAGAACATGACTGCCAAGTACAGAATCAGCCTATTTTCAAAAGCAAAATCAGTTCTTCAGACCAAAAAGAAGACCTCGGTGACGAGACGTTCTGGCATCCGCAGATGTGGATGGGTTGCTGAGCACTTGGTTTTGAGCGAGATCCAGATGGATAAGTCTTATGTGACGATGACTTAATGTTCCGAGCATGGATTCGACACGGCTCGAGCTATCCAGCTTATGCATACCAAAAGTGGACTTGATGCTTTCTTGAGTAGCGCTGCCATTGTACTTCACTGTCCGTCTACCAAACCTCTCTTCAGACAAACCATGGCTGCCGTGTTCTCGATCCATGTTTCCAGCTGTGGTCGCTCCTGGGTTATGGTTGCTGTGCATTTCTAGTCGTTAGCATCAAAAGTGTTCAAATTCTAGGGTGATATACTCGATGCTTGTCAGAATTGTTCCGTCAATCAAATTGTAGTTAATCTAGCTGTTCAGGGTCAAGAGGCATGTGCACATTGGCAAGGTCAGAGGGATGTAGGAGATAAGATGGCAAGCGACTTTTGTACATGGTGCTCTAAAGTCAAATGCGGCTGAAAATACATGTACAATAACAAAAGACAACTGAGAGAATATGGAGAAAAGGGGTCGGGGTGGTCGGTAGATAGGAAGAGGGTGTGTGTGATAGATATGCCGAAGATGGAGCAGTTGAGGTGAAAGAGGAGAAAATCCACACAACACAACAAGAAAGTCTCTCTCTGTCGCTCAATGGAAAGAATTCGTAGTGTGCAAAATGTCAAGTTTTTGAAAGTCGTTTTTGCGTTTTTTGTGTGGTCGCTCTCTCTCGTCTATGGTTTCCATTTTTACCCAGCATTAAAAAAGTCGAGAGGTTGGAGGCAAATGAACCCTCTAACCAATAACCAGGGAGTTCTCCTCGGGGAAGTCGTACTCGGGGACCTCGAGGTTCAAAGGAGCGGGACCCTTGCGAATACGGCCGGAAATATCGTAATGTGAACCGTGGCAGGGGCAGAACCAACCACCGAAGTCACCAGCCTCACCAATGGGCACACAACCCAAGTGAGTGCAGACACNCTGGAGATGATGTTAGTATTGCTTGTCGCGTCAATTGGGCCTGTAGAAGAACGTACCCAGCATGACGAGCCACTCGGGCTTCTTGACTCTGTCAGAGTCGGGCTGGGGGTCACGGAGAGACTCCCACTTGGCGTCCTCGGCCTCCTTGATCTCGTCGGCGGTACGGTGTCTGACGAAGACAGGCTTTCCTCTCCACTTGATGATGACGTTCTTGCCCTCGGGGATGGCGGCGAGGTCGATCTCAACCTTGGCCTGGGCCAAAACATCTGCGGAGGCGGACATGTTGACGAGGAAGTCNNTACAGGGCATGTTAGAACCATAGCGGGAGGATTGTGGTGTCGAATTGGATGGTTACGGCATACCCTGAACAGTGGCCTTTGCGCCGAGNNGGGCGGTCACGGCACCAAAGGTTCCGACCATGAAGTACTGGAAGACCTTGTTCTGGGTCTCGCCACCAGTGTTGCGGTACTTCTTGAAGTCGGGAATGTGGGTGGTGTCGCGGTGGTTGCTGGTGCCACGGAAAGGGCTGGTGTAGCTCTCAGCAGTGGTGGCGCTGGAACCGGCATTGCGGACCTGGAGGGCGGCGACAGAGGAGCGGACGGCGGAAGGACGAGCGCATTGGCGAGCCAGCGAGGCTGCCGTCGAGACTGAGAGGAGAGACATTGTGGGATGTGAGGAGAGACGGAGGATGTTGCTGCACTGAGGAGGCCAGACTTGGACGTCGTCGGCGGGAACAATTCGTTGGTCTTCGCGACTTGCCTGGTCAGCAGGTCCGTGCTCCAGCCAATCACATCAAGCACGTCCAAAGCCCTTCACTTCACTACGTCTTCTAGTATATTCGTCTATTTGCTCTACTGCTTCCTCTCCTCGACATCGACCTCTTGTACATATAAGATGGTCAAGGGCAAAGACTCTTCCGACGCTGACGTGTCTCAACATCTCGAGCACAAAGTATCTTCCTCTACTGACAATTCATCCACAATGTCAGACTCTGCCAAGCCAAAGAGCTCAACCTCTGAAGCTGCAAACACAAAGCCCAAGAGAAGAACCATCAAAAGATGCAGCGAAAGTGACGAAGAAGGCATTGAAGATGAGATCAGTGAACCCGTCAAGCCCAAGACTACTACCAGTGAATCCATTAAACCCAAGACTTCTACAACTAAAAAGCAAGTCACTGAAGAGCCGATCGACAGCGATCACGAAGACGAGGAAAACAGTGAAGAAGATGGAGGGGATGAAGAAGATGAGGAAAGCAGCGATGAAGAGCAGACTAACACCAAGACATCCATCAAAGCAAATCCCCTGGCCCTCAAGAAGCAGGCCTTGAGCAAGAAGCAAGCCCTCAAAAGAGCCGCTGACAGCGATGATGATGATGTTGTTGAAGTGGCCAGTAAACCCAAAAAGTCCAAAACTCAGCCGGCTACTTCTTCGTCCAGCAAGAAACAGAAACGCACTGATGATAACGACTCTGACGACGACGACATCATTGAGCTACCTAGCAAAACCACAAAGACAAAGCCAAAGGCCCACCAAAAACAATCTGTCAAGTCATCGAGCTCTGCACTCACCAAGAAGCAAACCTTTAAAGCATCTAAGGAACCTGAAGTCGTGACCGATTCTGAAGACGAAGACTCATCCGACGACGAAGAAGCCCTTAATATCACCGTCACAGAACGCCAGGGCAACCTCTTCGCCGCTCCACCAAACACACTCCTCCTCCACGCCTGCAACTGCGTCGGCAGCTGGGGTGCCGGCATTGCCGCCGCCTTCAAAAAGCACTACCCAGACCACTTCGCCATCTACAAAGCCCATTGCGAATCCAAGACCCCCAATGCGCTTCTCAGCACTTGTCTGCTGATCCCACCCCAAAACAGCGGACCTCAACACTGGATCGGATGTCTGTTCACCTCTNNAAAAAAGTACGGCAGAGGCAAAGACAGCAAAGACGATATCATGGACAGCACAGACAGCGCAATGCAAGACATGCTCGAGCAGTTGGCAGATATGGAGGACAGACCAAAGTACATCTGGATGTGCAAGATCAACTCGGGCTCGTTCAAGGTGCCCTGGAGTCAGACCAAGAAACTCATCGAGTCGTTGACTTTCAAGGATGCTCTGCATATTCAGATTGTGGACAAGAAGTGAGGAGAGGCAATGACAGGACACACAGGGGGGAGCGCGGGGAGAGGAGGTAATGCGAGACGAGATACCCGATATTGGCCCAGGCACATGAAATGAGCAGCAAGCAAATGGTAGCGAGACCACACATGGACGTCACGGAGTTGAAACGGAAGAAGTTTTGCTACACAAAGGGTCTTGCTGCTTAACACAGACACAATGACAATGATTTCTCAGAGCTGTTTATCAACTATTTCATCACCTTACTGTGTGCAAAAGAACTATCACAATCTCTTCTCCATGGAAATCAGTTCATGATGGAGAACACTATGCATTTCGACAACTATACTGGAATGGTCTTGAGCACAAGAGAGAGGAGCAAAAGAAGTTTGTCAAGCCTTAGTCATATGCGACATCAAGTTCTGATCACAAACACAATGCATTACGTCTTTTCAATCTTGTGGATTTCATGGTTCCTTTTTATTGCTCTGGTGTTGCGTCTTGATATCTGCTGCTGCGTCTCGATATCTGCTGCAGCATCGATGATCACTCTCCTCCGAGTCTGCTTTCAGACAAAAACGCCATGTCCGCCTTTTCGAAATATTCCTACACCTTCCAGTTGTATCCCCATTCTCCACCCAGACCAAAACGCACACAAGTAGAAGAGTGAAAATGCAAAAGCCGAAGAAAAACAAAATCTGGTATCCTCCTTTGTCTAGTAGATATTCTTAATCATGGCTTTTCGTTCCGACATGGAGGGGTGAGGCCCAAGCGGCTCGTAACGACTGCGTTTGTTGCGCATCGAGTGTACCAAGTTCAGGATAGGGCGAATGGAAAGAAGAAGGATGAAGCAGCCGACAAGGACGGAAAGCACGATAAGCAGAATGATGGCCCAATGAAGGCGTCTCTTGGAGAGTCAGTTGTTCTCTTGCTCCCAGCCTGCTGGCTTATCCATGCCGTTGAGCTCGTAGTAGCGGGCAGTNNACCTGCGATTTGCATGTCAGTGGCTGTTCTTACGATGTCAAAGGGTTGTTGGAAAAAACTTACACGAGTAGCCGTTCCAGTCAAAGTTGTCCTTGGGGTTGCAGTGGCACTTGTGATCCATTCTGTACTGCTCGCCTGTGGGGCAGTGGGTGAAGGGTACGTGGTAGTAGGCAATGTCGTTGAAGAAGTGAATTTCCTCCTTCTTGAGCGTCAGACCGGCTGCGATCGAGTGGACGGNGGCGTCTCCCCAGCGCTCGTAGAAGAAACCGCCATCCCTGTCGAGAGCCTCAAAGTAGTCGAGGTAAGCGGGGCTGCGGAGCCAGTCAAGGTTGCCGATTTCGAAATTGGACCANNCTGGACACGAATTAGTATGCTTGCGTAAAAGGCTGCTTGTGTGGTTACTCACGAAGTGGCAGTGATTGTAAGTTTCACCCTTGTCATCGGAGAGGAAACCCATGGAGTTACCCTCAACAATGTGCTCAGGGTGGTTCTTCATCCACTTCTTGGTGCTCTCCCACAGAGTGGGGATAGTCTCAACGTATTCGTACAGAGAAAGAGTGAAACTGTACTTCTTCTTGTTGTCGGCCATGAACTTGAAGGTGTCGTAGTCAATGTCGCAGAAGAGCTCGATGCTGGGCTCAACGCGCCAGTACCACTCGTAGTCGAGCATCAGGGGGTGACGGAAGAAGAAGCCGGATTCGTAGCGACACATGTGTCTGTAACTGATCGAATCTCCGTATATGATCTTTCTGGCGGCCATGTCGGCGCGGACCTTGGCAGCCTTGTCCTGGTCAATCCACTCAGGGAAGGACCAGTGCTCCTTGGGGATTTCACCGTATTTTGTGTTTCCGGAGGTAAGGGCCGAAGTGACCTTCTTGAACTGGTCGTCGAAAGGCTGGTCATTCAGGAAGACCCAGTCGTAGTTGAACTTCTTGTTGAAACGGTCCTCGACTTGACGGATGGAACGAGCAATCTCCCAGACGTCCGAGTTGCGAGCAAGAGTAACAAAGGTGGCGTTCATGCGAGGGCCGGGGTTTGTTGCGGGAGGGAGACCGGCGTGGGTGTTGGGAGTGGTTCCCTGGTCAGAGGGAGATTGCTTGACATCGCCGTGAGACTCTTGCGAGCCACGCCATCTTGAGCTCGAGTCCTTGATCAGGTCTGTGGCACTCTGGGCATATTCGCGTCCGGGGACTGATGAGGAACTGGAGATGANAAAGAGAACGACGAGTGCGACGATGGCGAAGACGATGTATCGCAGATACCTGGCCGCCATTGTTGCGATGGAGTTGGAGTCGGGTCAGAACAGTTGGGGTTGCGACGGAAAGAAGGGAGTCGTCGTAAAATGCCACGAGGGCCAGAATACAGCAGGTCAAGCTATTTGTGGAGAAGGGTACGGGGGACAAAAGCCAAATTAGTTAGAAGGAGGGACTTGGGACTAAGACAATCCCTAACGTTCCATATAATGAACGGCAAGAAGAAAAGCCAAAGGGCAAGAAGCAGAAGAGAAGGAAGCGATCGCCGTGACTCGGATGGGAGGCGTGGGCAATTTGTATTGAGCTTTTCTAGATGCTATCTATGTCTGGTGTAGGGGAGAAAAGGGGTCGAGCAGCACCGCGCGTTCACTGGTTTTCAGCGTTCAGGAGTGGCTAGAGCTTTTGATCTCAGTCTCCCTGCGTACGTACACGCAGCAAGAGAACAACGGCTCAACAAAAGTCGATTCTCTGTCCTTGGCTGGCATGCATCTCCGACAGGCTAGAAGTGGGTACTTGTTCAAGTCCTGCAGCAAGAAGTTATCGTGACTTTGTTCAAACGGCCTGCTCGTGAAAGCACGGCTTCTCTTCCGCGCTGTCCCTTGAGCTGGCTGGTTGCTTGTGTTCAATCGAAGTCTTGGCAGATCAGGAAAGTGCACGGGTATTCTCCGGAATGTCATCACCGTCTCGTCGCGCAGTGCCAGTGCGCTGAGAGTCAAGCTGGCCGCTCACTGCATCATCATTGCTGCCGCTGCTGCTTGATACCGCCGCCGCATTCTTCCCCCGAGCGCATAACTTGCGCTACTTCTCTCGTTGCTCGTGTCAATCTGCAGTGATTGAGACAGCACACTACGACTCGCGCAGTCTTCGGCCGACTGCATCCTAACCCCTCCCCCCTCCTCTCTCGCTATTCGCAATGTCCTTCTTTGGCTTCGACACCAATCTCCCTCGGGACAAACAGGACAGAGACGCTGGTCGTGGCTTCTTTGCCGGCCAGCAGGACGCCTTCGCCTTTGCCAATCGCGACAGTGCTGACCAGGGCGATGTGTGAGTCCCGAGTCTCCAATTTTCTATTGCCCCATTGTGTAACTGAACCCGCCTCAGCCTCAATTTCGACGACACTTACGATTCTCTGGCCGACAAGCTCGATGAGGCTGGCGATGCCTTCAACGATGACACTTTCGGTGATGGTGGCCGTGTAGGCAAGGACTTTGACTTCTTCGGCACCACCAACAAGGTCGCCGGTACTCTTGAAGAAGAACAGGCTCTGCACTATGCTCGCCAGCCTCCTCCAGCTCAGCAGCGCTTCCAACACCAACAACAGCAGCCCAAGCCCTCTCGTTCTGGCTACGAAAACTACTCCAAGCCCGAGTATATTCCCCAGCTTGAAGCCAACGCCAGCCTCTGGGGCCTGCCTTCTAAGAAGCCTGCCCAAGAGCCTCAATTCAAGCCTTCGACTCCCTCTAGCAGAAAGATGATGAGCCTTGAAGAGGTCGAGGCTTCGATGCGCGTCCAGTCAAGACCTTTGTCTGGAGCCATGAACATGCCTCAGCATCACACTCCCGTCCAGGAGCCTTTCCACGCTCCAGGAAGCAGCTTCTCTGGTGTCCAGCAGATGCAACAACAGACTCCGCGACAGCCTTCAAGAGAGCCTCAGATGGCTTCCCCCTTCCCTCAGCCTCAGCACATGCCTGTCCAGCCTCCNCCAGGCATGCAGAACCCTGGTTTGATCGCTCAGCAGCTCCAACAGCAGATGCCTCCTACTGGTCCTCCCTCTGGTCCCCCACCCGGCGAGTCGGGCCATGGCCATCGTGCCTCATACTCTGGTCCTCCAATTACACAGGCCAACCAGATGATGCAATTGTCTGATGAACAGCGTGCTCACTTCNNCCTTGCAGAAGAGGCCAAACGTGCCAAGCGCAACCACAAGATTTTCTTGCTGTCCAAGGACAACGGCCTTATGACACCTCAAGACAAGAACTTCATCACTCGCATTCAGCTACAGCAGCTCCTGACTGCCACTGGTGGCGTCGACGAGCAATCTTCGGATGCCCAGCTTGCCGAGGACTTTTACTACCAGGTCTACGCTCAAATCCGTGGTGCCCCCAGACAACATCCTGGCCAACCCCTGAACCAGTTTGCACAGACATACCTTTTCCAAACCGGCGGTCGCTATGGAGCAGGTCGCAGACATCCTCGTGGTGGTGACAACCACATGCAGAGAATGGAGCAGCAGGTTCAGCGTGCTGTCGAAGCCGCTAAAGCCAGACCTAAGAATAGACAGTTGATTGTTGAGGGCAGTCTTGGTAAGATTGCTTTCAGCAACTCTAAGACTCCCCGTCCTCTGTTGAGCTTCAAGCGCCCCGACAGCGAGAGCAGACCTCACAACCAAAGAGTCGCCAAGCCCAGCGTTGCAGACCGCAAGTCTACTCTTCGCAACATCGAGAATGTCTACGAGACCTTGATGCAGATGGAGGATCACGAGCGTCACCTGCCCCCACCACCAAATGAGGAGAGCCACCCAGATGCTATTCAGCGTCACATTGAGTGGAGACAGAGAGCTCACGAGCTCAACCAGAAGCTGTGGTTCAACCTACGAGTAATGGAACCCATCCAGCAAAATCCTTCAAGTCCTCATCCATTCATCGCCATCTTGTCTCATGCTAAGGGAAAGAAGGCCATTCCACGCGTCTTCCGTCATATTGACGACCAACAGCGTCTGACTATCCTGACCATCCTCATCATCCACCTCGACATTCTCGATGTTATCCGCCTGGCTTACCCTCACNNCCCTGACGAGCCTCAACTGCCTCGTGCTGTCCGTGATGAGGTCGAGCTGTTCAGCCAAGCTGTCATTCCTACTCTGCTCGCCTACATTGGTGACGCTCCTCTCAACATCATTTCCGGCCTTGTTGGTCTTGTCCTCGACCGCGTCAATGTGCAAGCCATTATTCGCACCAAGATCGGTGTCGCCATGCTTACCATGCTTGTGTCACGCGCCTTCCTTGTTAAGCAACAATCAAGCGCTCAGGTGTCAGACGAGGACTGGAGTCAATGGACCCAGCTCTACAACCGTCTATTCGATCTTGCCGAGCCTGTGCTCCCATACATTTTCACCACCGACAACGTCAACACTAGCAACGACTTTGAGATTTGGCAGTTCTTGGCTACTATGGGTGTTAGTGCCAGCCCAGAACAACAACAACGTCTTGTCCTTGGTGTCAAGGACAGAGTCATGGCTACTGTTGAGATCAGCAAGCAACTGCCTCAGGACATGGCCGCCAGGAAACTGGGTGAGGTCAATCTTTTCATGAGAGCCATTGGTCTGGATGTCGAGTTGCTGGGTTGAAAAAGCATACAAGAATGCTGAGCAAGAAGAAGAATCGAGAGGACCAAGTTGTATTTGGGGAAGTACACTCGCTCCTTGGGATGGCACTCTTGCATCGGTATGTCTTTTCATGAGAATGATATAATCGGGGTCATGAAGCATGCAATGATTGACAAGCTATATAATGAGCACAGCCCAAAGCGTCATTGCAAGTGGTTTCTGCATAGTTTCCAGAGAGAAAAGGTAAAAGCAAAAAATTCAAAAAGTTCAAATCTACACAATTGCATCTTATCCTTCAACGCTTCGTGATGGGCCTTCTCGCCGCGAAGGACAGAGTTGTGTTAGTCATCGGGTTTGCATAGAAAAAAAGACAAGCGTCACGAAACAGACGAAAGAAAAAGGAAGAAAAAAACAAAAATCATGGCGAAGGCTGAAGGGGACAGGGTGATACCCTATACAAGCACACAAAATCATCAATGACGATTCTCTCGACAACACGACATGTATCGGTATAATTGAATTGGTGTAAATGACTCTATGGCGGTACTATACTGCTTATAGTAGTCTTGTATGGATTTAATGTGTGGTGTGTTGTTGGTAAAGGAAATTGTAGTTTTCTATGCTAAGGGTTGGAAAGTGGATCTGAAGTGTATGGTTGTGATGGTGTCGTGCCAACGACAGCAGAAATTGAAACTTTCATCGGTTGACTGGGTGCTTGGTCATCCTGGACACAATGTCTGAGTTGGAAGTCATCACCATACCTTCGTCGAGTGTGTGGTGAGACTTTTGCGTTCATAAACCAAGATTGCTCGAGACGCGACGTCTAAACTTTTGGAGAGGAAGGCAAGGAGGTCGTGTGTGAAAGCCACTTTTATGGATGAGAAACTGGCAGCAAAGTCTTCGATACAGTTTGTTCGTTTCGTGTAAATTCTAGTTGCCAGACAGGTATTCACCGACACCCTTGATAGCATCGTTGAACCTGGCAGCCTCGATAAGAACAAGATGTCCCTGCGGCCTAATGCCAGCCTCCTGGAAAGCTCTCTTCGCATCACTAGCACCCTCCTCACCAACCTTGTCATGATCAAAATTACCATGGCCCACACCAAATCTCTGCAACGCCTCATCCTCCGGGTGGAAGTAAAACGTCATGGCATCGGCCTTTTGCTGCTTTCCCTNTTTCGTTGGTCGCGATTCTTGGGCGTCGAGTTTTGACTCTACCTCGGTGTAGGTTTTTGAGAGGACGAGGTAGTGGGAGAAGTTGTAGGGTTCTTNTTCGTCGATGGCCCATTGGATTTCTTCTTGCAGCATTGTGTACATGGGTGTGACGATTTCGGAGGGCATGTTTATGAAGCGCTCTGTCAGGATCAGACCGACCTCTGCCTTGGAGTCTGCGGCAAGGAGAGAAGGTAATGAAGACAACGAAGGGATGGATGAGGCTTTGCGCGAGAGGTAGGAGGTCAGGTCGGCGATGACGGGGTTTTCTCTGTGTTGGCGCAGGTTTAGGACTGTGAGGAAGGCGTAGGGGTCGCTTTCGTTGCCGTCGACTTTGACGGTGCTGCCCAGCATGGGTTGTGAGAGGATGAGGTCTGAGAGAGCGGACAGGTTGAAGAGTTCGTTGTCGACGTCGAGGAGTTGGCGCAGTAGGGTCTTGAGGCCGTGGAAGTCGACGGCGGGTTGAGGGTCGAACCATTCAAAGTCGACATCAATCATGTCTTCATCCTGGTAGTCGTTGGATCAGTTTATCGCTTCGTGGAGATGGTGTTTGAAGTGTTCAGGGCGTACATCGCTGCTCGACTCGTCGTCGTCGCGCATCTTGTGGTCCTTGACCGGCGCATCCTCTGCTGTTGTCTTTCTCTTGGGCATTGTGTGAGTTATGGTCTGTAAAAAGTCTAGATCAGCCAAAGAAATCAAGGTGCATCAACTTTTCGAGCTGCACGCCAAGATCCGGGGCCATTTCATGTGATGGTCGTCGTCGTTGTCCTGGTCTCTAAACGGCAACTCGTCCGAAGGTGCCACGAGCTTCATCTTGTAACCAGCTATAGAAACAATAGCCGAATGTGAACTTAAAGACTAAATTGGCCTGACTTTTGAAACCAGCTATCATATAAAGATCATCTTGTCTCTTTCTTCCCTCTAGTCTAGCTACTGTACATACCACATCACACCACCAAACACAGCATGGACACCCTGACCAAGAAGACCCTCGACGTCTCACGTTCGTTGACATACACATACTATCACCATCCGCCAGCCCAGCCAGAGAACCCAACTGTTCTATGTATCCATGGCTTCCCCGACGAGGCCGCTGAATGGGCCGACCTAGCCACTACTCATCTCATCCCGGCTGGCTACGGTGTCATTGCTGTCGACTGCCTGGGCTATGCTGGCACATCCAAGCCTCTTGACCCTGCTATGTACGCCTTCGAACACATGACCAAGGACCTTACAGAGATTCTTGACAACGAGAAGCTGCANAAGGTCGTCTCGCTAGGCCATGACTGGGGCTGTGCATTTGCCCAAAGATTCTACAACTATTATCCCGATCGTGTTCTTGGACTCGTAATGGTCAATGTCGCCTACACTCCTCCCAGTGATCAGCGCTTCGATCTGGACGCAGCCAACGAGATGACCAAGAAGATATTCGGTTACCCTACTCTTCCTTACTGGCACTTGATGGCCAGCGAGAACGGCTACAAGGTTCTTGACGAGCATCTTGAGAGCTCTTTCACTGTTCTCCATGGTCCCCCAGCAAGTTGGCTGGACACAGTCTGCAAGGAGGATGGTCTGAAGGATTTCTTGCTCCAAGACAAGAAGCAAGAGACTGAACCTTATGCCACCGAAGAGATGAAGAATGCGTTCATCACTCGCTTCAAGCGCGATGGATTTGCTGCACCAACGTGTTGGTACAAGGCTGCGGTGGGCGGTATTCAGAGCTTTGAAGCCAAGAAGGTCAAGGCGATTACTGTTGAGGTGCCTTCGCTCTTCGTTGGCTTTGACAATGACAAGGTGTGCCGTGCAGAGGCAATTGGTATGGCCATGAAGAACGGTCTNTTGCCTAAGCTTACGAATGTCACCCTGGAGGGTGGTCACTGGGGTCTGCACGCCAATGCTGAGAAGTTTGGCAAGACTGTTGTTGAATGGTTGAAGAAGGAACTCTGGCTATCACGAGACAGCAGTTCCCGACTGTGAACATCCATCTAGCATACTGTGTACCTACCTGACCTCACCTCCCCGTGTACTAAAGTATATCTGTAGAAATGCAGAATAGTAATAGAGAACAAGATAGTATCCACTGAGAGGTAACAAGTTGTCGACTCTCTGTGGACACGCTCTGTTTCTGATAACAATTGTGCCTTTTTATAGTCTAGATTTTGCTCTGAACTATAGTCAGAGTACGGTGAAATTACAGACTTCAGTACACGGGAAGGCAAGATTGATCAAGCACAAAGAGATGATTGAACCGAGGATGGCGATAAGGTGAGATAAGAAGAGCCAAGAATGCACCTTACCTAATCGAGTAAAGCGTTTCAGGCCATCTTCGAGGTCGGACCCTTGATCGTTGGGCTTCTCAAGAGCAGAGAAAAATTATTGATTTCGCGTGTTAGTCATTCCCATACCACCTCTCTCCTCTTGTTCTTGTAGCGCTCTCTGTCGCATTCAAGACACACAACCTTCACAATGGCCGACTCAGCTACCAATGTCCCTCCTCCGCCCCACACCATCTTCGACACCATCTTGGTGCTCGACTTCGGATCGCAATACACCCACTTGATCACCCGCCGTCTGCGCGAGCTGAACATTTACTCTGAGATGCTTCCCTGCACCCAGAAGATCTCCGAGCTCTCATTCAAGCCCAAGGGTATCATTCTCTCTGGTGGTCCTTACTCTGTCTACTGGGATGACGCTCCCCACGTTGACCCCGCTGTCTTCGAGATGGGTGTCCCAATTCTCGGTATCTGTTACGGTCTCCAGGAGATCGCATGGCACAGCGATCAGAAGAACGTCGTTGCCGGCGAGAAGCGCGAATACGGCCACGCCATTCTGAACGTTCACAAGCACTCTGGCAAGACCGCTCACGTCGATGCTCTCTTCGCTGGCCTCGAGGATGACATGGACGTCTGGATGTCCCACGGTGACAAGCTCTCCCAACGCCCTGCAGGTTTCGTCACCGTCGCCGCTTCCGAGAACGCACCTTTCGCCGGTATTGCCCACGAGGAGAAGGAGTGGTTCGGTATCCAATTCCACCCTGAAGTTACCCACACCAAGAAGGGCACGCCGCTCATCAAGAACTTCGCCGCCAACATTTGCGGTGCTAAGCAAGATTGGACTATGGACGCCTTCGTTGGCAAGGAGATTGAGAGAATTAGAGCCCTCGTTGGCCCCAAGGGACAAGTCATTGGTGCCGTCAGTGGTGGTGTTGATTCTACTGTTGCTGCCAAGCTCATGCACGAGGCTATTGGTGACAGATTCCACGCCATCATGGTCGACAACGGTGTTTTGCGTCTCAACGAGGCCAAGCAGGTCAAGGAGACTCTTACCGCTGGACTCGGCATCAACCTTACCGTCATTGACGCCAGCGACCGCTTCCTCGATCTGCTCGCAGGTGTCAAGGATGACCCTGAGAAGAAGCGCAAGATTATCGGAAACACTTTCATTGAGATCTTCCAGGAGAAGGCAAAGGAGATCGCTGCTGCCGCCAAGGGCTCTGCCAACGAGGGCGAGATCGAGTGGCTCCTCCAGGGTACCCTCTACCCCGACGTTATCGAGAGTATCTCGTTCAAGGGTCCCAGCGCCACCATCAAGACTCACCACAACGTTGGTGGTCTGCTCGAGGGCATGCACCTCAAGCTTATTGAGCCTTTGAGAGAGCTCTTCAAGGACGAGGTTCGCGCTCTTGGTACCCAGCTCGGCATTCCGGAGGACCTTGTCTGGAGACACCCCTTCCCTGGCCCGGGTCTTGCTATCCGTATCATTGGAGAGGTCACTCGTGATCAGGTTCGCATTGCTCAGCAGGCCGACCACATCTTCATTGAGGAGATCAAGAAGGCTGGCTACTACAAGCAGATCAGTCAGGCTTACGCCGCTCTTCTGCCTGTGAAGGCCGTCGGTGTCATGGGTGACAAGAGAGTCCACGCTCAAGTCATTGCTTTGAGAGCCGTCGAGACCACCGACTTCATGACTGCCGACGTTTTCGACTTCCCCACCAAGTTCTTGAGCAAGGTCAGCACTCGCATTGTTAACGAGGTCGACGGTGTGTGTCGCGTGCTTTACGAGGGTAAGTCATCACAACAACCAACAACATCAGAACTTTCTGGACATGAATTCGCTAACGGCCAAATAGTGACCAGCAAGCCACCAGGCACGATCGAGATGGAGTAGGGCCGAAACTTCGCAGCAATCGGGGGGACGCGAAGCGCACGATACAACTAGAATTACTGTACAATCGGGCGGGGGAATTGGGCTGATTTGGCGTTCTTACTGATGATTTACTGGAACTGAAATGCATGCATGAAAAAAGCTGGCGGCGTTTAGATGGATATTCCCAAAAGACACTCAAGTGTCTCGTCATATGGTGTAGAAAGACATGGAAAAAACCTCAATACACAAGCCTCCCATGACGGAGTGCTGCTCAACAAACTTGTACGGCATTCCCGAGTTTCGATCGCGTGTGTGTGTCAAGCAAAGTGGATTTTGGAGCTGCCCAAAGCTCTAACAACCCCACAGCTGCCATTCTTGGAGAAGATTCTGATGACGTTAAGCAAGAGCGACGTCATTGTCAAGCAGGAGCTCTGAAGACACATTTAACTTCTGCAAAACACTCTTCACGTTTCTTTTCCCTCCATCAACACATCTTCTACAACTCACAACTCCATCAATCCACCTTCAAACCCACCCAAAACCCCCCAAACCACTTCACATCAATCACAATGTCTGGAACTGGCAACGTCGGTAACTCTGGTGTCTACGAGGCTGGTGACCAGAGAACCTACAAGGACTCTGAGATCGCCGAGCAGAAGCAGGAGGCCCGCTTCCACGAGGGCAAGGAGCACTCTCACAAGGCCAACGACTCCAGTAAGAAGAATCACTCGTCGACATTGCTTGGACACATTCACTAACACCCCACCAGANNGGATGAGCGTTCCATCGCCAACAAGCTCGAGCGTGAGGAGAAGCGCGAGAAGGAGGGAGATGACGAGTCTCTCCAGGCCCAGCAGCTGAAGAAGGATGCCACCCTTCCCGTACGTTGACACAAACAAAACAACAACTTCACTATATCACAACATGCTTACACATTACACAGNGCCAAGTCGCACGGCAACGAGCCCTCTAAGGGCGCCAAGATCGACCAGGAGCTCGCTGAGGAGGACGCTGCCGCCCTCAAGGGCAAGGGCTCGTTCGGTCCTCAGTAAATGCTTCTTTTCTTCGAGCAGCACTTTCCAAGATACCAGCGATGATTCTTTTCTTGTTTACAAAAACCATTTCGACCCAACGCAACCTCATTTGACATGAGATGAATTGCGAATGCTTAATGCATATACACGAATCAGCGTAGAAATACCTGATGGTCATGAATCAACGAAATAATACTTCAAAATACCCTCAACTTCTCTGTGCATCGATCTCGTGACTGCCTTGTGTTTCTTGAAAACAAACAACCGTATTATACCAATGGTCTACTCCAAGAACCTGTCCATGGTTTCTCTCCGTGTATTTGTTTGTGGTGAAACGACCTGTCTGGCAAGCAAATCATTTCTGCAAAACATGCCGATCGCAAGCATTTCGCGGCTTCTTGCTGTTGTGCCTGAACATCCCGCGAGTGGATCGCTTGGCTCCAAGGTGGCATGTTTGTCTTGTTTGTTTCGTGCATGCCAACTCCATATGACTACCCAATTGCCCGGGTTAGTGTTGGACCTAGCAACTACACAATTTCTTGATCATGGATTCGAATAACACCTGATAACTCTTCCATGATTCATCGTCGAACCAAGATTGTGTACCACATGCTTTCGGATCTTAAATCACCAAAGATTCGTGAACGCGAAACATGCGCGTAGACAGACATCATCATGGGTCAAGGTTATTCCATCAACGTTTCTGCTGGCTCAGCTGGTATTGATGTTCCTGAACTTGCCGATCTCGAGACAGAGAGGAGTCTAGGTGCTGTGCGGTTCATGAAAACGATCCGCGCAAGACACAAAGATGGACTCGTGATTGCCAAGGTCTTCATCAAGCCATACCCCAACTTGAAGCTCGAGGACTACTCGCGAAAGTTGTTTTACCAGAGGAGAGAGCTCACAGACGTACCGAACACTTTGCCTTACCACCGCATCATCGAAACCGCAACAAATGGCTACCTTGTCCGCCAATATATCCACAGCTCTCTCTATGACAGGATCAGCACTAACCCATCGCTTGAGGATATCGAGAGGAAGTGGATCGCATACCAGCTTTTGTGTGCTGTCAGAGAGTCACATGCGAAGAACATCTGCCATGGAGACATCAAGACCGAGAACATGCTTGTGACAACCTGGAATTGGCTATACCTGACTGACTTCTCCACTGCGTTCAAGCCTGGTCGCTTACCTGAGAACAACCCCGCAACATTCTCCATCTTCTTCGATACCACTGGCCGTCGCATCTGTTATGTTGCGCCTGAGCGATTTGTAGACGATGAGCAACTCAGAGAACATGAGCCAAACCCGCAGGATGACGATTACGAGAGAAAGAATAGAGAGACATGGCATGAAGTCACCTGGCCAATGGATATCTTCAGTGTAGGATGTGTCATTGCCGAGCTCTTCACCGAAAAACCCACCTTCACACTCAGTCAGCTGTTCAAATATCGCAGAGGAGACTATGATCCGACACACACGACCTTGAACAACATCAAGGATGAAAACATCCGAGAGATGGTTGCTCACATGATTCAGCTTGATCCAGCAAAACGCTATAGCGCCGAGGATTACTTACAGTTCTGGCGAGGCAAGTGCTTCCCAGACTACTTCTACACATTCTTGCATCAGTACATGCATCTCATCACAGATCCGACGTCCGGTAGAAAACCAGTTGTGGTTGGAGCAAAGAATTCGGGAGGATCAGATGATCGCATCGAGCGCATCAACGCCGATTTTGACAAGATCTCGTACTTCCTAGGATTCTCCGACGTGAACAAGCTCGAAAAGTCCACTCGTGCACCTATCACCTCAGGTCTGGATTTGTTCCCACTCCAGGTGGACTTGCCAAACAACAGGCATGATGCAGCAGACCGTGCTGGGAGTGTTCAAGACAACGGCGCTCTTCTCTTCNNCCTCAATGTTGTGATTTCGGCCTTGCGAACAACTGCTCGCGCCAGCTCCAAGATCAGAGGTTGCGAACTACTCCTGGCTCTAGGCGAAAGATTAACCGACGAAGCAAAGCTCGATCGCGTGCTGCCATATGCTATTGCTCTGCTGGAGGACGAGTCAGAGAATGTTAGAATGGCTGCTCTGAGGACCATCACACAGCTTTTGGCCATCGTCACTGTTCTGTCACCAATGAACGTCTTCATATTCCCCAACTACCTGCTACCTCGCCTGCAGAAGTTTGTTGCAAGTCCTATGTTCCGTAAATCAGGACCATTGAGAGCGACATATGCAACTTGTCTTGCAAGTTTAGCTACAACAGCTGCCAGATTTCTAGACATGATGCAAGCATTGCGCGCCGATGGTTCTTTACCCTCAACAGATCCAGAAGCAGAGGACGATATCACTTCATACGCTGCCTACCAAAACACCTATGACACAACTCGCGAAGACCTCATCCAGCATTTCGAAGCGCAGACCAAGCTCTTCCTGCAAGACGATGACTCCTCTGTCAAGAGAGCTTTCCTAGGCTCTGTCACCAACCTTTGCGTGTTCTTCGGCGAGACCATTGCAAGTGATCTGATCCTTACTCATTTGAACACATATCTTAATGATGAGGACTGGACGTTGAAGTGTGCTTTCTTCGAGACTATAGTTGGTGTTGCTGCCTTCATTGGCGGACCAAGTTTGGAAGATTTCATACTTCCGCTAATGATACAGGCATTGACTGATCCTGAAGAAACCGTGACTGAACAGGTGATAAGATCCCTGTCAAGCATGGCACATCTCGGACTGTTCCAGCGGTGGACGACTGTTGAGCTGGTACTTATCGTGTCTCGTTTCACTCTACATCCAAATGTATGGATTCGTGAAGCAGCGGTCCAGTTTATCGAAGCATCGTCGACCCATGTTTCTGATGCAGATGTCTGGAGCATGATAATGCCGCTGCTGCAGCCTGTTTTGAAGATGCCATCAGCTGGTCTCTCCGAATTTGAGCTTCTGGATGCTCTTCAAAAGCCATTCCCTCGACCAGCATATGACCTAGCAAAGACATGGGCAGAAAAGGCGGACAAGAGCCTTTTCTGGAAACATGCACAACAAGTTAAGAGTTTCTCTTTCGAAGCAGGCAGTAACAAAACTCTGACCGACTTTTACCATGACGGCGATTCTCGTGTCCTGAGCAAAGCAATGAAGAACGAGGACGATGAACAATGGCTTGCAAAACTTCGCGTTGCTGGCATGCGCACTGAAGACGAGCCCAAACTTCTCGCGCTAAGGGATTATATCTGGCGTACGACCATGCGCTCTGATAAAGAGGTCACCAAGCAGAACGACTCTCAACTTAACCAGATTGTTTCCTTGAGTGCCATACAAGTACCCTTGCAGAATGTCTTCTTTGAAGCAGAAACTGTTTCTTACCAATCGTACCACCCTCAAACAAATCTCACGCAGCCAACCGTCAAAACATCACTCGAGGAAGCTCTACGTGATGCTGCCACACCTGCAGAGCGAGATGCTAAGAATCTGTTCAACCCAGCAAGAGGCAAGCCATACCCAACGCAGCAAGCGCCAAGCACACCTGGACAATCAGAAGGCTCTCGGGCTCAAGCTACGCCCATCAACGGCAAGACACCTAGTCATCGTAAGCAGATGGTAAGTATTGATGCCCCTACGCACCTGTCGACATCTCCGGCTTCCACCATGTCTATGAGAAGTGGACATAACCATGTGCTTCACTCAAAATCGAGCGCGATGAACCTCATGAAACGCACAGAACAGACGAAGGCATATGCAGAAACGGGTACTGACTCGATCAACGCTGTTGGTAAACTCGACGTTCCTGCAAATCAAGCCTCTGCTGCGCCTTCACCATCTGGCCAAGCTACACCCACTCCACGTCCAGCGCGGCCTAAGATCTCAGCAACACACTCTTATCATGGTGGTGATCCAACGGTCTTGAAGCTGCTAGACTCGGTGTACACTGGAGGCAATCCTGGCAGTGATCGTGAGTTTGGCCCTAGAGTCTCGACACGCCCTCGTGCTCGCATGGCAACCAAGAATGCGCCCAACCAGCAAGCGCAAGGTTACTGGAAGCCAGAGGGACAATTGACTGCGGTTCTCGAAGAGCATGAAGCACAAGTCAATTGCATCGCTGTGTCACCAGATCAGGTATTCTTCTTGACTGGTTCAGAGGATGGCTCAGTAAGAGTCTGGGATACTAGTCGCTTCGAACGCAATATGGCGTATAGATCGCGTCAAGCTCACAGGCATGCTTCTGGCGCATCAATAACCAGCATTTGCTTCGTAGAGTCTACACATAGTTTCATCTCGACAGCGTCAGATGGAACGGTCGACATTGTCAAGGTAGAGGTGACCGAAGCAAATGGTTCACTACGCTATGGCAAACTCCAAGTCTTGCGCAGCTGGCAGATACCTACTAAGCCTGGACAGAAAGAGTATGCCATCGGTGTCGAGCACGGAAAGACAGATGGTAGATCAGTGTGTGTCATAGTCACAAACCTCTGCCGCATCCTGTTCATCGACATCTACTCGATGGAAGTCATGTATGAGCTTGTCAATCCGATACAGCATGGCACACCGACGACATTTTGCATATCAAAACGATGGCAGTGGCTTCTGGTGGGCACCTCTCACGGTGTTCTCGACATCTGGGATCTTCGTTTCCGTCTTCGACTTCGTGCATGGACGGTACCACGTCCGGCACCTATCACACGACTTACGCTCCATCCGAGCAGGAAGGACAGCAAGCGAGTGAAGATCTGCGTTGCTGGTCTGACATCTCCAAGTCACGTATCTGTATGGGATCTGGAAAAGCTGGTCTGCATTGAAGTGTATCACATCGATCAGACTGATGGTAGTAGCTCACTGAAAGCAAGAGACTTCGAACTTCTGAACGTAGACGAAGACAAGTCTGGCGCCATGCCATCTCGCATCCTCGGATCTCTCGCGACAGACTCGCACCTTAGCGCTCGCCCTTCTGATAATGGTAAGGACAGATCAGGTAGAGGCTCGGGCGGTAGTGCGGGTGCTGTCAAAGCATTCATCATGTCAATGCACACTTCGCCTGATAGCTCAGAACCCCGACATCCCTTCCTCGTTACCACAGGACCAGACTGGAAGATCCGCTTCTGGGACACGGATCGCATTGCCTCATCCATGATTGTCAACGACAAAGATGACAAAGCCAGCTACACAGCCTCCAAATTCGGCAATGATATTTCCGTCTACACAGAGCAAAGTCTCAGTGATAGCGCTTCTGAGAACAAAGGCTCTTCAAGCCCAGCTCCCAATCGGGCAGGTACCACCTCACCTATGTCCAACGACGCAGACAGTGAAAGAGGCAGCACATCAAAGAGAAAGAAGGAAAGCAGAGAAGGCAAGGTTGCTAGATATGAAGTCATTCGCAAGTCGGCGAATCAGTTACTCAAGGGCCACAAGGATACCGTTACTGCTGTTGCTTTGCTAGAGTATCCTTTTGGCATGATCATTTCTGCCGATCGCTCTGGTGCTGTGTACATCTTTAGATGAGTGGAAGGACTTAGTGGCTGGGTATAATACATTTGAAGCATTTGCTTTGTCAAAGAAGCTTTCGTGTTACATTGTTAGACCCGTCGCTGTGATGAATCGTGCAAGAAAGCATAGAATGGACACGAGCAAACATGAGCCGACCTCACACCGGATTTCGCGGAGCGATCGGCTTAGGGTTTCTTGGATTCATTTGACATGGCAAATTTGACCTTTATGTTAATATGATTAGAGAACGATGTTGACCCTACCATTAGATAGTCGCCCTTACTATAGCTGTGCTCCGCGGAGCTTCTCATTGAGTTTGATGATCGACGCTTTATAAGTAAACCAAGCTTTCGTAAGCCTTAACGCAGTACTTAGACTACGCCTCTACGTGGAGCTATAAAGTCACTCGATCCTTTCTGTTTCGCTCTTTCTACCTTTGACAGATTGATGATAACATAAGTCGTTTCGCAAACCCTTCCCTACAGAAGAAGCACAGAAACAACAGCGAGACGTGACGATGATCGGCAAAGCACTAGCTACTGCTGCGGAGTTCTTGTTCTTTAATCAATGGATCCTACTGGAACGGAAGATCGGCTCGACTGGCAATACTGTCCTGCCCTTAGTGCTATGGTATACAGTATGCGAAGCGTTAAGTGTCCTCGTCCTCCGGGCGCTGCCTGCGAACTTTCACGCCGTACAGTATACCGTTCTGTTCTTGGTGCACTTACCGGCTACGCATATCTCTACCCTCGTGTTCGCCGCATGGGAAGAGCAGAGGCACGCCGTCCGCCTGCCGAAGGATGACACTGAGATGGGAGACAGTCCACGAAGCTCACCAGGATTGTCGCGGTTCCACGTATGTGAGACTTTGCCATTGCTGGCACCAACGGCAACGGCCGCATTCTCGAACAATGCTTTGTGCAAGCTGGTTTCGCGAGAAGGAAACCTCTCGCACGCATCCTTCGCGTACGCTAGTTACCTGCTCACCCGTTTACTGGGCGATTGCGTTTTGTGTCAACGCATGAACCGGTCGATGTTTCTCGGACAAGACGGCGTACCACGACTGCAATCTTCGGTGTGCTATCTATGCCTTTCACTTTTATCTCGCTTGATTGTCGATTGGATGTTGGGGCTTGGGTTGTATCGGTCTCTTGAGCAGCACATGGCTAGCCTCTTCGGTTAGGCAATTGTCGAAGAAAGCTCTTTCCGAATGCCAATATTTGATAATAAATCTAGAGCAGTCAACGGGAGTAATGCACGAGTATCAGTATATAAATTTGTGAACGCGAAGTAAGAGCTTCTTTTTAAAAACTCAGAGGGGGAGTCGTAGCTTAGACTGTTGTCTAAAAGTGCTTTCCCCAGATATTAGTGTTTGACAATGCAAAACATCACACGGAAGGAACACACGAGTGTCAGCATACAGATTTGTGGACACGGAGCAGGAGAATTCTTGAATGACCTGACAAGCCACGGCTCAGGCCACTGTCCAAGAATCCTCTTGCCAATACCGATGTTTGAAACCATTCCATGGCAGCCCATGGAAGCAACGCACGGAGATCAGCACTAGGGAAGTCGCATCCCAGGCTGGTACTCGCAAGTGTTTCTATCAAGCGTCTGTTTGCGTCTGAGGTCGTCGACGAGACATGTTTTTCTAAAGGACCTGTAAGTTCAGACTGTGACATTAGGATGCTGAAGTAATGCAAATAGATGATAAGATGGGACCATGGGTGCCCGGCGCTAGAACTTCTGTTGCAGTTTGAATCCATGCCTTCGGCAACTGACGAAAAGAGCTTTTCCAATCGCCTTGAACATGGTGTAAAGATATTGAACTGATACACATGACAATGGTATGGATGCCTTCACGACGAGAACCGATGTGCAAGGTAGTTGTAGTCGGTACCGCATCCCTCGCGCACCGGGCTGTAAAGAGTCTCTCTTGGTCTATTCTGCAGCGTGGTTGATGTGTTCTGAGGTGGGAGTCTCGTACTGACGCACAAAGATGCTTGAATAGATGGCCACACCAACGGAGCAAGCATCAGAGTCTTTCGCAATCCAGAAGGTCGTGTATCGGGCTCATTGCCCATAACTGCTTTCTTGAATGACGCAGAACAGTAGTGCTTTGGAGCGGATATTGAAACAACGCATAGAAATAGCAAGAAGCTTGCAAGAAACTTGAACAAAGAGTCATCTGCAACACGGAAGGTCGCATCCAGGCATCCTGGGCTCAATGCCGATGACTGTTACCTCGCATGGCGTAAGATAACAGGTTTTTTTCGAACAAGTGTTGAGACAACGCAAAGAAGTCTGAAAGAAGCTCATGTGAGTACTGCCCATTGCACACACCACCATCTAAGTATCCAACGAGTTGTCCCTGGCTGCTTGTAAAGTGTAGCTGCTATGTTCGGACAAAGCTGTAATGGCGACTCTTAAACAAGTTGAAGCGGATGAGGCAGGTGAAGGCCAGCTCGTTAAATGTGGATCTTGGGAACCTTTTCAGGGTGTTTTTGGACAGTGGCTGTGTTGCTTGTCGCTTTAGAAGGACATGGATAGGTTTGCAGGGCTCTTGACGCAGAGTCTTTGTGGCAGTTGCTTTTAATGCAGCTGTCAGCGGTGTGCAGCAATCAAAGACATGAAGAAGAGAAAGTGGGTGACGTTACCACTGGGTTCATCTCGATGACTAGTCACGATGGATGAGTGCAGACCTGGAGGTCTGTATGCCAGCAATCTCTACTGTCTCAAAAGATGCTTGTCCAGTAGCATTGCCTCCAGAATGGAAGCTTCTGCTTCGCCCGGCTTTGCAGATTCGGATAGCTCCTTGAGGCTCAGGTTCTCTTGCTTTTGCTTGTTGTTTGGCCCATCATACTAATAAATGGAGGTTTGATGATCAGGTATATGGTTCTTTTGGAGCATAATGAATGTCTTCCAGTAGGTCCTCCGGTCTGTATCCTTATTAGCCTCTTGCATTGACGTCTCCTCTCCTCTTTGTTCATTGATTGTCAAGCCCAGAGACATGAAATAGAAAAAGATGGTGACAGATCTTGCCTCTGAATGTGATTCAGAGCCGGGATCCACGTTTTTGCTACATCCTGGTCACTATAACTTCGATGCCTGCCTGCACAAGGCTCAAGAAAGGACAGTAACCAAGGTAGGCCGGTGCTTGTGCAAACCTGTGCCGTCGAGAGTCAACCCAGGAGCATTCAGACACTATATAGCCTCGAAAAAGTCAGCTGACAGCAACATATATCGGTAAAGCAAGGGGGTTTCATGAGAATCGAACCCTAACGATCACGTGAGATGCTCTGGAGTTTCGAATGCTATGAAAGTGCAATACACATTCGAGGGCACTGTAAAGGTGTGTGATGGTGTTGGAGGGGTCCATTGCGCTTTCCTTGGCATGTGAATGGGTATGGAGTGCGCCAGTTCGTGTTGTGGGACTTGATTAGATAGCAGTGCGCCTAGTGTGACTTTCCCAGTGTCCATTGCGCCTTCCTAAACCTTCAACGCATCGCTAGTACAGACATTGCTGCCCTTTCGCTCCGGTAAGATCACTAAACCATCGCTGTATGCTACTGCAGGCATACCGCTGCTGTCAAAGACCTAGATCAATGCTAACGCGCCATCAGAACTGCTCCATCGCCTCGATATATAGCTTTAAGCCTGCGCTCACCAAAGCGGCTCAATTTCAACCTTCGTAAGTTGCACATTCTTCTGCCTGCGCGCCTTAGCTGCTGCCTTCATGGCGCTTTATGCTATTCTAATTTATGTCCTGCTCTAGCTCACACTATCCTATATGCAGACTCTACAACCTCATCACCACCTGTAAAGCCTCAACATGGCCACCGAACTAGACTTCTGCCGCTCTTTGCTAGAGAAATTCCTCAAATTCTACGATGCAAACAAAGCTCCTTACATCGAAATCTTCCTCGAACCTGTCGACGAAATCGCTGATGACGCTCCTGGCTACTATACCAAAATCAAGCGCCCTATGGATATCACCACCATGGCTACTAACCTTAACAACGGGGCCTATATCGACATCTGGTAACGAAAGGTATGTTTTGGAATATGGGATTGGGCTCTCAGCGGACACATCAGAGAACTCAACTCTATTGTGCATTTTGATGCTAACATCAATACAGCTCCNTCCCCGCCGAGATCGTCGGCCAGCAATGCTGAGCCTGAGAGGTATGTCTTCATCCGTCACATGCTTCAATGAACCTGATCATGTATCACAAACTATTGTGCATTTTGATGCTAACTATTTCACCTGTGTAGCTCCTCGAGACCCCCTCCCAGCCCCTCCCTCGGTTCACCCCGGGGCAATGGCATGGCCACCCCTAGGCCCTCTGCCTCCAACATCGCCTCCGCCTCCAAGAGAGGCCGTCAAAATGCAGAGGAGGATGTCGACGACGAGGAGACTCCAAAGAGAGCTCGCGTCAATGACTCCTCTGAGGACGCAGTTGACGTGGCCGTTGATGCCCTGCGCGGTGTCATGGCCCAGCAGATCGACGTTGTCGCCGCCGAGAAGGCTGAGATGGCAGCCAGCACCCTGGCCCTCTGGCGTAAGATCTGGGGACCTGAGCGCCTCCAGACATCCAATGAGATGTGGAGAGCCAAGTGCTTCTCCAAGATCACTCGTGAGGAGTGGCCAGGCTCTGTGGCTGCCATCAGAGCTGAGGTCCTGCAGGCTTGGACAGAGACTGCCACTGAACAGTTGGCTCTTGTGGAGCAGGAGGAGGAGGATGCAAAGGCTGCTGAGAAGGCTGAGTTTTGAGACAGTTGGAGTAGGAAAAGAAGATACCGGGGAGTTTAGCAGTCAAGGAATGAGATTTTGCAACTTTTTGGTAGTCCATGAACAACAAGAATGGTTACCAGTTGATGAAAGATGCTTTCTTCCAGCCATAGTAGCAACAATGTACCAGTAAAATTGCACAAAGCAGTCACACTTTGTCATCTTTCCAAAGAGAGTGACAAACTTGGTCTGCATTTGAGCACGAATTGATGATTTCATTGGCTCATCCTCCTCCCAGAACACTTTCCTGCCTTTTAATAAGCATCAGCTCTTCTGTGGTGTCCAATGAAGCTACTTCGAGATCTGCATCCTCATCCCCTTTCTGCTGTCTCTCCAATCAGATTTAGAGCAGTACGTTAGCTATAGAAATGCACAATCCAATCGAGATGAAAGATAGTGTCCGTTGAGAGCCATAGAAGTTGTGTTCTTCTCTGGACAAAACCTTGATCTGGATACATCTGTGCATTCTTATAGATATATATGTGATATATCTGTGCTCTCAGGAGAATCAGATGTACAGGCTTCATCAATGGAATTGATCGTACTACCCACCTCCTGATACTGCTTTAGATAATGCCCTCCTCCCGACCTCCTCGACCGTAGCTTTGACAGCTTCCCTAGCTTAACGACACATTTGACAACAGGCTGTCGGCTTTCACGAGGTGTCACCTCATTGAGTTATCATAAAATGGGCAACAATCTCCTGAGAATCTTCTTGGAAGTACTTCCAACCTACCTGAATTTCGACCCTTGGACCCTGGACCTAATGGTTCTCTTGAAACTCCCGACGCTCTCAATGAGAGGCTGTCGGCTTTCACAAGAAATTGTTACTCTAGTTTATGCTTTTCATAAAGTGCTTTCTCCTCGATTCATCTTGTACCGAGCAGTAGTTCTCCCAAGTGCTCTTGAAAGTACTTCCAGCTTACCCGGGTCTCGACCGTACTCACAACGTTTCTCCTCAAAGCTCCCAATAGTCTCAAATATTCGATGAGAGGTTGTCAGTTTTCACGACATGCTGTGTTAAAGTTTCCCTTCACCAGAAGTATTCCTGAATGAAGGTACTTCAGACATTTTCGTTACTTCCCTTAGCATTTGTAGCACCTCAAAGTAGAGATACTGTCTTTCACGAGGTACTCCTTCTTTTGTTCATGTCTGCCTAAGAGACCACCCTCTGAAGCCTGAAAGTGCACCTGAAAGTACCTCTAGCTTACCCGAGTCTCGACGCTTCTTCCGACGCTCCCGACGGTCTCAGAGATCTCGAGGAAAGACTGTCGGCTTTCACGACATGCTTGGATGAAAGTCCTTCGGACGCTCTCGTCACTGCTGTTCTCTGGAGCCTGAAGGTGCTCCTGAAAGTACTTGCAGTCTACCCGAGTCTCGACGCTCCCCCGACGCTCCCGACGATCTCAAAGATCTCGACGAAAAGCTGTCGGATCTCACGAGACGTTGTACCTCTAGTTCACCTCAACGCGAGCGTGCTCGCTTGTTCACTTCACTCAGACACCTGCTGCCTCACAAGTAACCTTCTTCTTCTCTCGGTCTTGGACGTTGGCAATCTCTAACCACCGCACTCACCAGAAAACACTGTAAGCAATCAGCGTGTTATCCCTTTGTTTATAAGATTCATCCTTTGACACCTCAACAGTCGTCGCCATGCCCCCTAAGCAGATCAGTACCAGGGCCACAAAGGTCCACAGCGACTCAACCTATGTGGATTCGGAGCCTGAGCCTCAGCCTATCAGCAAGCCTCGCATTACCCTCAAGCGCGCCAAAGGTTCCCTCAACACGGGCGAAACCAACATCCCAATCCACACGCGCAGCGTGACCAAGAAGNNCTCTTCACAAGACCAGATCTACAAAGATCTTCTGTCACGTCCTGCCAACAACGAGCCCGTCACCAAGAAANNCAGCGTGTTTCTCCAAGACCTGCTCCACCAGCAGCTACCACTGGCAGAAGGTAATTCATATGACTCACAATCACCTCTTTCAGCTCAGTGTTTGCTAACTTCATGGCTTAGCAACCAGGATCTTTTCAACGACTACACAAAGAATCTTGTGTCCCTGGAGATTGACAAGCAAATTGAGGCTTTGGACTTCTCTCATGACAGTGGTCTTTCCGACAAAGCTCGTGTCTATGCTAAGTACCTGTTCACTGCGCGTTACCAAGTCGAGCGCACCAAGAGCACTTGGTTGGATCTGGCAATGAAGAGAGTCGATGCCATGTCAATGGCAGACCTCAGAACTGGTGGCATTGAAACTGCAGTCAAGGCTGCTCTGATTCAGGCTGTCGGCGATGAGACCAAGAATCAGGCCGTGATGTTCGGTTCCAACGCCAGAGACATCATCAAGATGCTCAGAAAGGAGGACTAAGACAAGCAAGGGACGGACAGATGTGCAGACGAAGAGGGCTACTAGCCAACTACAGAAGGTATCAGAGAAAGATGTTACCGAATGATACTAGATATGCATGAGAATACGCATAAAGTTGGCCTTTGAAACCAGATTCTGTGCAAGAATATGATAAAAACTCGATTCTTTGTCTTTTGCTAACCGAAATCGCCGGTCCACAAGGCGAAACGCATGAGGTCGACAACGCTTGACGTCTTTCTCCTCCTATCGAGCCGTCATATGTAGACTTTCGTGCATGGTGTTCGATGAGAATGACTTGGAAAAATCGAATCTCTGTCCTGCAATCTCATACAATTGCCGGCGCATGAAACGAAACGCATGAGGTCGATGACGTCTAAAATCTCTCTCCTCTCATCGAGTCATCAAATGTAGACTCTCGTGCATGTCCTTCGGTAAAAATGACCTGAAAAATCAAATTTATGTGCTGTCACCTCTTCATACTATCGCCGGCGCATAGAACAAAACGCTTCGGGTTGCCGACATGAGGTTCGTCTCCCATCCTGTAGATCTTTCAGATCCAGGCTCTTGTGCATGCTGTCCGTTTTTTCATTCCAAGGCCAACCTAGTACTGTTATGATGAAGTTCTTGTACTTTGTTGTCGACGCGGACTCGAACGATGGTGTCTCCATCTACATCGTGCAGTACTTTGCAGCTGTCAAAATGCAAGATCTTTCTGATGGAACGTACGGAATTCAAAGAGATTGCATGAGAGATGTGCTCTCACCAGCGATGTTCCATTTTCTATAAAAGTTTATGCATTTATATAGATACCAGATTGGTGATGTTTTCATTTGGAGAATAAAAGATCTCTGGAAAAATCAAAGGCAACAAGCACTGGTATCAGCTCCTTCAGCATACGCAGTCAGTGTATTTGCATCAGTAGAAATGCAGGGTAATATTGCATTGCGTTGTTGTGTCCAGAGAGAATCCTCAAGATGCTCGCTCTCATTGGAAATATGCCTGTTTCCAAGTTACATCTTGTATTTTGATGACATATTCAGACTGAAGTGGGTCTTCTAGAGACAAACAAGACACTCTGAACAGGCCAGGGCAGTGAACATCTATAACTCTTTTCCCATATTCTAACAACAGTATATTCATAGCAGTAAAGAGGCAAAGCATCATTTCAATCATGAGACATGTCCAGAGAGAGCCGGGAACAGTAGAGCTTCCAATGGAACAGACTTTCACACCACACTACATTCTGCATTTTCATAGCATCGACATTGAAACAGTCATGTCCAGAGAGCTACTGGGAAGTATGGAGCTCTCCAACTACTAGGAAAGAGCCTCATCATACCAGCTGAGATGCAAAGTGTAGTCTCAACTTGGCAGTATGTCTCAAGAGAGTCCATAATGTCTCGAATATCAGTAAAACAGCTGCAGAGAGAACTTCAGATCTTGTTCCATGATAGTACACCTCTAAGCAGTCCTACTTGAAAAGGTGTCAGACGAGTATTTGATACGTTCTGATCATAAGACGTGAGGTGGTAGTCATATAGTCACGTGGGTGCTCCTTGTCGCGCACTCCGCCTTTGTCTCCCAACTCATTCTTGTCACAACAACGTCACCATCATCCTCTTTTGCAGCAGCAAACAAGAAACACTTTGCGCTGGACTCATCAAAGAGCAGAAGGTCCTCATCATGGCATCTCAACAGCTCACCACAAAGATGCAGCAAGCAGACTTCTTGTTCTGCGAACATGTTCTAGAGGAGTTCAAGCGCTTCAAGCACCGCAAGTATGTCGCCTCTTTCAAGCAGCCTGTTGACATAGTCACGGTTCCTACCTACCTCAACGTCATCAGACAGCCGATGGATTTGTCAACTATCGCTTTCAAGTTGGGAAGCGACGTCTATGACTCTGCAGCTTCCTTCAAAGCCGACTTTGAGCTCATGTTTGACAACTGCGACCGCTTCAACGCAGGTCATCCCCCAAGCTCTGTGTACGAACATGGTCGTCAGTTCCGCGACGAGTTCAATCAAGTGTGGTTGGATCAGCACAACTGGTTGAAGAGAGTCCACCCTGGAGTCTTCATCCAAGCTACTACTGAAGAACAAGACGGCAGCATGGATGAACCTCTTCCTAAGAGACGCCGTCGCCAGAGTTCCCGCCTCATCAACTCTACTGAGTCATCTCCCACTCTGCCATCACCCTACACTGCAGCTAGTGTGGTCAGAACTACTACCTCTACTCCCGCCACTCCTGTGTCTGGTCGCCCTAAGGGTAGAGCCTCTAAGGCCAGCACTTTCAAGCATCCATCCTCCCGCGCTCAATCAACGTCGTCTACTGCCAATCAGATCACCGCGACTCAAACCAATGCATCACAGGCCGCAGAACTCCTTGCCGCTGAGCCCGACGCCACTGCTTCTGAAGCTGCTGAACCTGATGTCAAGTCACCTGATGGCACCTCTCCTGCCAACAACGACCGTTCTGGCCTTGACTCTACGTAAGTAAAGTCCNNAAAGTGCTTATGAAATAGTGCTAACATCACTCCAAGCAGCAACAACCCCTGGGATGAATTCCAAGAACGTCTCAGATCCATGGTCACCGAGGAAGCAACCAACCTCCTCAACGATCCCACCATCAAGCATCCCAGCGATGACCACAACAAACTCGCCAAAACTATGTGGGATGCCATCTCTGCTGACAACAACAACCCCGCTCCCTTGGAAGTGGGCAAAGCCAGTTTTGGTGCTTGGGTCAGCCTTGCTGTCGAGGAATTGTCAAAGGTGGCTATCAGAGACGTCGGTAACCAGGTCCAGAACGAGACCAAGAAAGCTTTGATCGTTGTCATGGAGCGTCACTACGAGTTCCTTAAGAACAAACTTGAACGCCATCACGAGGAGTTGAGAGCCAGACTTGAGGATTGAGCGTGCAGATGAGGTTTCTTTGCTCCTGAAAACATAGCTAGGTACAATGAGGCACGACAACCGCGTCGGTGAACAGTAATACGAAGAACATGCTTTCCAACTTGAACGATACTATCTCTGAATGTGTTGACGTGAATCACCGTGTACAATCTTAGACTACTGGAAGCGCGGGATGTATAAAATTTGTTACTCGTCATACACCTCATCCAATATTTCTTCATCTCCAAACTAGATCTGCATGCAGTTTTGTAGTTATCTAAATGCACAAACTTGTTTACATATCGTTGTTTGTCCACTGAAAGTCTGAAACTCCAGCAATCTCTCTGGAAACTACTCGAACCTCAAAAGTATTGTGTATTTTTATAGTGACGAAAGTAAGCGCCTCTGGACTTGGGAGTAATGGACGCCCAAGGCCGAGATCAAGACAGGGATAGCTCTCTTCTGTGTGAATGATATAACGATATACTGTAAAAATGCAGGATAATCTAGGGAAACTGATCTTGTCCAGTGAGAGCCCAAAATTCCAGTCATCTCTCTGGATGCTGCCATAATCTAAATAGTATTGTGTATTTTTATAGTAACAAAAGTAAGTACATCTGCACTTGGGAGTAAACGCATAAAGACAAAGTGCCCAGGGCCAGGATCACAGATATCTAGGCTCTCTTCCACGATGACAGCATAACAATATACTATAAAAATGCAGAATACCTTACGATATCAGATCTTGTCAAGTGAGACCTCGAAAATTCATCTATCCCTCTGGGCGCTACTTCGATCTCAAAAGTATCATGCATTTTTATAGTGATACAAACAGACACATTCGCATTTGGGAGCAAACACATGTACACAGATGCCCAAGGCCAAAACCACAGACTCCAAGGCTCTCCTCTAGACAAATTACATAACAACATACTATAGAAATACACAATAGTATACAACTTCTGATCTTATCCAGTGAGAGCCCAAGATTCTGTATGCTCTCTTTGGACTCACTCCCAGATACAATACTATTGTGCATCTTGATAGTATCGACACCAAGGTACACCGCATTCGGGAGTCAGCTAAAGGATGTCCGATAGCAAGTATCTCTCCTGGGCGAACAAGCATTATAGTATGCTATAAAAATGCACGACATAGTCAAGATATAGTGGCTTGTCCAGCGAGACCACAGCATCTCAGATGCTCTCTCTAGACACAATCGGTTTACGAAGATGATCGTGTACTTTTACAGTAGTAGATTATTTGGTACGCGCACAAGAGATACAGTTCATTTTAGATCACGTTGCTCTGTGCAGATCTCCATGAATTGTATGCTTTCTGTTTCAGAAAGTACCTCGCGAAGACAGATCGTCACAACACAGAGCACTTTAAAGTGGGAAGCCATTGGTTTTTGTCATAAGATTTTGCTTTTGCATTCGCGAAATTATCAGGGGGTATCTATTTATGCTCTCCTCCTTCTCAATATGTGCCGTCTGAATGCACCTAAAAAAACGTGTGCAAAGCATGCTGAAGCGATCGTGGCATAACGTTAAGCACCTCTTGACAGCACCAGAGCTAGCAATGCAACTTGTCAATCAAGCAAAGAGACGGAGCGGCCTTGCACACTCGGACTCTTTCTTGGTCGCCCCTTCTTCCTGGGAGTGTTCTGCGAGGAATCGATGCTCTTCCTCTTGCGACCACGCTTCTGTCCACTACCAGGAGTCGCGCTCTCACCTCTCTCACTCGGCGTCTCATAGCCATCCCCATTCAGCGTCATCGAAGTGTCCATATCACCATCTGCATCTTCCTTGTCGACCTTGAGTTCGCTGTCGACTGCCATGACCTCCGAGAATGAAGTACACAAACTGAGCTGGCTTTCAGGCGTGTCCAGAGCCCTCATGATCTCTTGATTGCGTGCGAGGTACTTCTCGGTCAAATTGATCGAGTTGGGAATGCGTTGCAATGCACGAACGTGTTCTTTGCTCGCCTTGCCTTTGGTGGCTGCCTGGTGTTTGCTAACATTCCATAGTCGCCGAAGGTATGTACGAGTTTCCCAAAGCAGCAGCAGGATTTGGACGTAGACAGTCAACTCACGTGAGCGAGCTGGGTCAACTGGCTTGCTTTGAGACGAAGTTGCGCCATTGATGCCGCTCTCACCATCGGCCATGGGAGCATCTTGCTCAATGAGCATTCGAAGGATGTCAACATCGACCATGTGAGCGACAGGAGTGCCAGTATTGGCCATGACCTTCTCAATGCACTCGATCAGATGTTGGAGCTCATCAAACTTGGCATAGTCAAAGAACGCCAGATTCTCACATACGAATCGAGAGAAGGCGACGTGGGAAGGAAGCGAATCCGACATGTCCACCTTCGAAACATCAAAGCCCACACCTGCTTTGCCACAGATTGTTGACAAGAACTTCATGCGAATCTTGGCCTTTCCAGTCTTGAGTACTTCCCAGAAGTGGTGCATCTTGGAAGTTGGTGGAGTGCCTGTGTATCCTTGGTTGCTCTTGGCTACGTTCTGCTGATACGTAAAGGCCTGGTGAACAGCACCGATGTGCTCCTTTTCAAACATTGCTTCATGCTTGCTGTAAAGTCCCATATGCTCCTGGAAGGCGAATGTAGCGATTTTGGTGTCAGGACATGTTTCGAGAGCGATAAAGCATGGACCTGTCTCTTTGGGATGAACAAGTCCTTGGCGGCCGATACTAGCGACCACTTGAACTGCGTTGAATGCGAGAGCATCAGCTGAAATGAGAGCAACATCACGGATTCTACTCAAGAATTGTTGCGCGATTGAGGTGGCCGCGCCATCACGATCGGTAGCCATGTAGGTATTTCCTAATCTCTCAGTACCAGCCTCGACACCAGTACCGACCTGGATCAAGTTTGATTCGCCAGGCTTGTCGCCAGCACAGTAGAAGTCTTTCAGACCGGCGATCAATGTCATCGGAAGTTGTTGGTCGTCCGACTCTAGAGCCAATTTGAATGCATTACAAACATCAGCACGCATCAACTGACTAGGCCAAGCCTGACACAGCATGCAAACACTGTCAAGTGCTGCCTGGCGAAGAACCATGGGCTGATTGGGGCTTGTGAAAGGACAAATGAGATCGACAGCCAAGAATGCGACATGTTCACCCTTGAATTCCGGAAACTTCTCCTTGAACGAGCCGAGGTAGGAATCAAGGTTGAAAGCCTTGCCGAAATGACCGGCGATGGTGATGAGTCTTCTCGTCTTCTGCGCTACAGCTTGGTTGCTGTTCATATCAACAGGCAAGCCTCGCTTAATCTGATCATAGAGTGACAGTGTTACTTTGACGAGTCTCTCGGTGTTATGGAGTTCACCATCAAGAGTCCAGAGGCATGTTGCAACTTCCTTGAGCTCGGCTGGTGGAAGTCTGGTAAAGCTGCCAAGTAAAGCTTGCTGTATGTTTACAAGGAAATCTCGGTTGAGATTCTTCATGTGAGGTAGGGTATGACGGAGAATAACAATTGCTGAGCGGTACACAAGCAGATTGTCATCAGTGCTGAGATTCTTGACGTAAGGTTGAAGAGTTTGAAGCTGGTCAGCCGAGAATAGCTTGGCGTTAGCTGCAGAGAAGATGGTGAGCGTCTGCAGTACGTGCTGCTGTGGAGGACTCTCTGGAAGCTCGTTTGGATCGATGATAGCGTCAAACATGAGCTTAACCATCTCTTTACAGACCACAACATTAGCCTTTGCTGCTTTGGACTTCTCCGACAAGATCTGCTGCAGAAGCTCAGGCAAAACAGCTTCTGTGGTGTCAGTCTTGCGTTTGACGATGTTGATCACAAGACTGGTTTGCTCTCGTAGACGGAGCTTTTTCTTGACCGAGTCAGTATCCGAGTCAGAGATGCTGTGGAAAGGTGTCATCCAGATATCCTCAAAAGTGTGACGAGCGAGCTCCACAATGCTTTCATCAGTATCAGTGACACGGTTGATCAGAGTATCTGCAATCAATGCCTTCATGTTCAGGGCGTCGTTGCGCAGGTACATGTCTTTCAACATTTTCATCGCGCGCTTTCTAACATGCAAGTTGGCATCCTGGGCTCGCATGATGACACGCTCATAGAGCATCGTATCCAGCTTTGGACGCAAAGAAAGACACTTGGCAATGAGACCAAGAGCGGAATCACGAACTTGGGTTGAGTTGTCGGCAAGACATCTGATGATACTGTTGATGAAGAATGTTCCCTGGTCCAGGATCGTGGGGTCCATTTCGAGGAGTTGTTCAATGCTCTTCAAACTCTTGCTTCTCAAAGAAGCCTGATCACCAGCCATAGTGCCAAGAAGTTTGCTAAAGATCTTGTTAAAGGCTCGGCAGAAGGGCAGGTTCATGGTGATCAGGACAGCTGCAAATCTTCCGTCCTCGGTGGTGACTTGCTTGAAGTCGTATTCGGTTTCCAACCATGCAGAATCCTTGATCATGAAGGCCAAGCGTTCTTCGAGTTTAGTTGACTTCGGAGCGTCTTGATTGAGCTGAAGGACTTGCTTCGCCCACTGAACAGAATGGTAGCCACGGGCGGTCAACAACTCTGTATCGTCCGTGCCTCTAGCCTGGAGATATTCGAGTATGATCCGATACGGCCCATCGAATGACATCAGTTCATCCTCTTCCGTCTGCTCGGCCACAATGTTCTCGTGGATTTGCAGCAACTTGGCTGTGACTTCTGAACGGTCCGTGTTCGGGTGACGGGCTGCTGACTGGGCTTGTAGACGTAATTCAGTGATTCGAGTGGCCATGCCACCCATCAACTCAAGAGCCATTGCCTTTGAGGGAGCCGAGCCTTTGTGATTTTCTGAGAGTTCGAACATCTTGGCTAGAAGGACGCGAAGGAACATCTCAGCCGCAGGCCAATCAGTATTGCCCAGAACACTCAAGAAATCTTCAGTGAAAATGTCCAGAAGGTTTCGGTACGGCTGGTCGCCTGATTTTGTCGAAGTCAAGGCACGCTGAACCATGTAATTGACGACATAGTGTGCATCTCTGTATGCAGCTTCGTACAGGGNGTTGGCAATCGATGCTAAATCATCCGGCCCGGTGCTTGTGCGTTTCTTCGGCTTGGGTTTTCGTTTGGCACGTCGTTTCTTCTCCGTCTCACTGTCGAAGTCCGAGTCTGCATCGGCATCTTCTTCGGAAGACTCTGGATCTTCCTCCTCCTTCTCGTTATCATCTTCATCAGAGATAGATTTTGTTTTAGCCTCCATATGAGTTGCGCTAGTCTGCACCAAGCGCATGAGTAGAGCGGAGACCAGTTGAATCGGCTTCGCATCAACCATCTTGAATTGGCGGGCGCTTTGTCGACCAACAGGGAGTTTCTCGAGGGAGGTCAAAATTTCATCGAAGATCGATTGTCTCTGCTCTGGGTAACGAGCGAAGATTTTTGCAAGTACATCCATGGCAGCCCTGCGAGCAGTCTCAAACCTTTGTATACCAAGAACAGAATCCTTCTCAGACGTTGCATTCTCAACGAAGACCAAAGTCTTGCAGATGAACTCGGCAGAAACGATGACACGCTCATCGACGTCAGTTTTAGCTATCAGATCGCCCAGGAGTTTGACGACCCGGATGCAGACCGTCAAAACTTGAGTGAGAGGCTTGCTTTGTGAAGAAGCGAACTTGAATGTATCGCCCATGTCGCCGTTGCTTCTCATCTCCACCACAGGGATGATGCAGGTCTCAACCATGTGAATCAAACTGTTCAAAAGAGTGGTGAGCGTTTCTTCAGAGTACAATTGTTTCTCTTCACGGCCAGCTGTCATGATACGCAGCAACGTCTTGCAGGCAGTCAAACCTTGCTCTCCAATGCCGATGCGGTGTAGCCAGTCATCAGCTTCATGTGGGGTGTCGTCGTCGATACGGTAGTTAGTAGTACCTGCAGCAGTCACAGCGTGGTCACATAGACGCTGTATGCGGCCTAGGTCTTCGATATCGAGACTAGGAAGACGAGCGTGGGCAACGACCTTGTACAAAGCGGTATCAAGCTGTGTTTGGATTGCTGCTTGCAAGACTGGCGCGCCTTCAACTGCATCATGGGTGTTGAAGTAACGGGCAGAATTTGACGACACCATGCCAGATGTGTCAGCCTGCATCTGGTCCTCGGCCTCGAATATCTCAGTGATCAAATTTTGGAGTTTCGCTACTGCAGCGTTCGCTTTCTCTTGCTGAGCAATGCTTGCCGAAGTCAGACGCTGGTCTGCTTCATATTCTGCGCGCCTTTGAGACTCCGATTTAGGCGTCTGAGAAACACGTTGGGCATTGCTGGATACAGGTTCCGATACAGGGATGTACTGAGCGCGTTGTGCCTCAGTCAGCGTCTTGGGGATCACAACGGCGATGTTCGATTTCTGGGAGCTGGGCTGAGAGCTCTGCGATGGTGTTGGAGGAATGCCATTCGTCTGTGAAGAGCTGGGTTTGAAGGACGCAGGGGCCGACGAAGGAGTGATCGGAATGATAACTTGTGGGTAGGATCTGGAAGCAGAAGGTGTGGCCTGAGTCGCGGATAAGTGCGGCGTCGAAGACGCTGACTGATAGCCATGCTGAGGTTGCTGAGGCGCGATAGGAGCGGTTGCTGCTGGCGTGACAGCATGCGCAGGTGGCTTTTGTGGTTTGGCGATGGAACTCGAGGCTGATCCAGGCAGGTTGGCTTTTGTAGTGGCGTAGTGGGCAGGAATTGTCCTGTCCAAGACCATCTTGCGAAGGGGGCCGAGCTGGTGCTTCGATGGGGTCGAAGTACTTTGGGCTGGGCGAGAATTGGTCTGCGCAAACCTGGCAGGTCTGTTAAAGCGATACTGTGTGAGAGAGTCCGGTTTGAGAAGGTGTTGGACAGATTCTAGTGTCTTGGTCAATTGTTCCGAGGCTCTTTCAGCATTATTGGCTTGAGCATCGAGTCGCTCTAGCATTCCATGGGCCGAGACTTNTTGTTCTTCAGACGAGAAGATGTGTGCGGTAGCGGGAGGATAAGCCAAAGGAGGAGGAATGGCGTCTGTATAGGGTGGTCAGCTATTGTGCAAGGCATATGAATAAGGCGATACAATACCAAGAGTGAAGGTCTGAATGGATGTGAATGGCGAGTATGGCAGAGCCTCCGAGACGGTAGGCACACGCACATTCTTGCGTGTTCCGTTCGACTGGTTTGAGCCATTGGGTTGCGACATTGCGGACAAGAACTACGAGTTCAAGAGTGTTCTTTAATTGACATGGCTGCTTTTGCAAGCGGATCCCGAAGCCTCTAGTCGTTTGGCGATGGAAGTGGACTGATCACAGATGTATTGCAAGGACGAAAGGCCGTAATATAATTCGACAATGCCGACACGCAGCAGAACAATGCTAAGTCAGGCAGGTGCCACCCAAGAGTGATGGTTTCTTGTCAAGAGAGTTGTTTAGGCAGGGACCTGCCGCGTTCGCCCTCACCGCCTGCCTCTTTGGGTCCAAATTGAGCACGGATTTCCCGTTCATTCAAACGCTCTCCGCACAGCTGACATGTCTATCTTTACTTTGAGTCTGTTTAAAATGCTTGTACTCCATCCTCAGACTATGTTTCATCTTCGCATCAACTGCTCCTCGCTGTAAGCAGACGCAAAGAACCATGTGTGTGAGACGAGTCTTGTGAGTCTTGTAGCTTCATGCTATTGCAATCGTCAAGCTTGAATATGGACATTTCATTCGTCTTGTCTAATAACAGATCCAAAAACTCCAACCGTATTGCCTTTTATCTTCCAACGCCAAGGGTCATTATGCTTCACTTTAAGCAGCAACAGGAATTGTTGCGTACTCGGTCTCGCCGTTCTTCTCGAATTCAGCCATGTCAAGGGCGACGATAATGCTGTCTCTGACGACTTGATCGGCATCGTTCAAGAACTTCTTGAGTGTGTCCTCGACTCCCTCCTCGTCGCCCAAACTTCCCAGAGCCTCGGCGGCCTCGTGACGAACCATACTGCTCTCCTTGAGGTTGCTGAGTGCTCCAGTCAGAGCGGGTATGGATGCAGGGTGCGAGAGCTGGCCAAACACAAAGGCGATCTCGTGACGGAAAAGGGCAGAAGAGTCGGTGAAGCCACGTGCAAGAGCGTTGATGGCAGGGACGGCAGTAGGGAGATCTGGAGGAGAGCAAAGGTCGCGCAAGGCGAACATGGCACGGTAGCGCTCGAACAAGTTGAGCTTCGAGTCGAGGAGAGTCTTCTCGAGCTCTTCGATTGTGGGCTGCTTCGCAGCAATGGCAAGAGGAGGGGCAGGATCGATCGAGGCGAAATCGCTGTATTGAGGTTAGTCTTGGTCATCGCTCTATGCGCTCTTCTCATGATAGTTGTACCTTTGCTTCAGCTTCTCCAACTTTCCAGCGTCCGAGTGCTCCCACTCAATGCGACCAACAGCAATGTCGCAAGTCTCCTTGACAACAGTTTCCTCGGTCTCATCGTCTCTTCTCTCAACAAGGAGCTTCAAGCTGCCCTTGTCGCCCAGAGCACCAATAGCCTCAGCGGCTTCGTGTCGGCACATGGCATCCTCTTCGCGGTCGCTAAGGACTTTTTGGAGGTATGGGACTGCGGCATCGTGACGAGACTGACCCAAGCAGTAGGCGAGCTCGTGCTTGAGGAGAGCGGNAGGAGATGAGAATCCAGCAGCAATGGCATCGATAGCGGGAATGGTGTTTTCGGTACGAGGCTCCTGGCATGCAAGATACTTCAGGGAAAAGAGGGCACGGAAGCGAGCGGCCAGCGCTTCGTTCTCGGAGGTCAAAGTCTTGCGAAGGGCCAAAACGGTCGCATCACCGCTGGGGACTTGAGGAGCCTCTTCGGGCGAGATTGCTGAGGGTGCCATGTTGTGTATAATAGGGTTGCAGTATAAACCGTCAAGGTTGTTGTGTAGGAGAAGAAGTTTTGACGACTTTGTCGCGATCGTTCCAGCCCGAAAAAGTCGACCCACGATCAGTTTGCGGGGTAAGAAACGCCACTTTAGATTATCAGATCAAAAGATAGAGTCAATTTCAGGGACTATGAAGAATACAACGCCATGCCGGGGATGAAGAATAAGACAAAAGGACGAAAATCAGTTAGAACCGATCTTTGCCTCGTACGCCCTGCTGTGCTTCCATCTCAAATCGTAGATCTCCTCAATGAGATCCTTGACTTCGTGGCCGTTCTCGCAGTCAGTCCATTTACCACCATCGCGAATGCACCAGTTCTGGTCGTCAACTCTGACCGTACAACTCTTGGTGACACCCTTCTCGGCACTCCTCCGAACAGACTTCTTGAGGAGGTTTCTCGAGTATGCTCCGTCATCAACGCTCAAGCAGTGATTCAGCTTTTCGAAGTCGATGCCATGCTCCAAGGCGCAGTCTTTGGCAAGATCTTCTGAAGGAATCTCTGAGTAGTTGCGCGACATGCACATGGTGAAGCCGAGGTGAATTCTAGGGTTAGGATAAAGGTGAGCTGCGCAAAGTTCGATGGAATTGCCTAAGCATTCAGAAGGACCATGCATGCAAACGACACCGTCATCGTCCTCGATAGTCCTATTATCCTGTCAGCCACTGTGGGGCAAGTTATGTATCATGGTGTGTATGCTTACTTNTCCAATGTAGGACAGCTTGAAATCGACGAGGTTGCTGACATTTACCATAGCTGGAAGCACGAGATCGTGAAGGCAATCACGAGCATCCGGACACTTGCTCATGATGTGCGCTTCCAAAGGCACTCTTCTAGGCAGGTATTCGTATGTTTCAGGCTCATCGTCCATCAAGCCCAGCATGACGAGGCCTCCAAGTGGCAGAAGGAATATGGTGATGATGAAGATACAGAAGGCGGCAATGGTAAGGCGACCGCGAGTTGTACGAGACCATGCACGCTCATATTCGCGTCTTGCTGTGAAGAGGTCTTGGGCAGCAGCTTGGAGGTTCGCACGGGCATCATTCCATCTTGAACGAAGGTCCTCAAGCGTAGGCTTAGGTTGATCCTCAATAAGAGGCTGCTTCTCGATTTCTGACATGATTCTTCTGTGAGCCGATGATGAGAAGGTGGGTAGGATAGACAGATCGCAGGTCGAGTGGACTCTCAGTGGAGAATGTTGATAATAAAGGACCCTGCTTTGCCACTCAAAGGAGGCTGAAGCGGAGCGGCTCAGCCCTACACACGTCATTTGTACCCTGATGAACGCGTCTCCTGTCTGTCACCCTGGCCTTAATTTTCTGGCTTGTTGAGAACTCATTCGATTGCTCTGACCGTCTTAAAGGATTGTTCTCTGCCACCTTCGAGAAACAGCCAACTACGCCTGCAAGTGTCCTGACAATCTTCGTTCGTCACTTGCTTCTCAAAGGAAACTCGGAGTTTTCTCCAGAGAATCTGAGAACGTAACGCAACTCTCTTCAATCCTGTTCTCAACGTCCTACGAATTGCTTGAGGACCATTCCGATCCTACAGTGCTCTAGAGCAGGTGGTCATATCTCGATTTCCTAGCACAGTCGAGCCACAAGAACGATCCTGGATAATGGTCTGCTCATCCTCCTGGCGTCTCGTCCTTAACGACGATGGTCCTGAGAACGGGGTTCACCGACACTGCGTGGATGCACTCAGCTAACCGTTATATCGCTATACCGTTAGCACCCGGCTTCCGAAGTCACAGTGGCTAGCTGCGCAGAACGCTATTGTTCTAAAGCGTCCTGGAAGTGCTTTACTACACTGCCGTTATTCAGCTTGTCGTTCGTGGCGCCGTCAAGCGTGCATAAATCAGGGGATTGGTAAACGACTGTTTTGCTCATGAGATTGAGTTGCCAATCAAAGGATTGCCTCAAAGATCCAGCCATTTTGTCCGCATCACACAATTTTCACAGCCATACGGACGTATCAGTGATTGCGACTGTTATTCAGCCATGCCTAAGGCAATCTGGACTGTCATTGAGACATTGTGCCCAATATTCGCCTGGTAATTCATAAGTTAAGTTCGGGGTTGCCTACGTCCTTAACACTATCAGACGTTTGCGCCTCTGCAGCGCGAAGGATGCTGTCCATGTCGTGAGATACACAGTGGACGATGTTTTGCGGCCAGATTGTGGTGTTTTTGTTAACAAGAGGCAATGCTGCTGGAGAACACTGATGTATAAATGAGAGCTCTCGAGCACTGAGCAAAACCCATCAACTCTATCGTCTCCCTTGTTTCATGCCTAGGCAACATGCATCTCTTCCACTTTCTCAACGTGGTAGTCCTACTCACCTTCGGCATTGGCGTTTCGTCCACCCCTGTTGCTCATGGCACAACTTCGAATTGTAACGCACGAGACATCGCCATCGTGAAACGAACAGCCAATGAGCCTACGTACTTTTGTACATGGTGGAACTCGGAGTGCGTGGGATCGAAATCTGGAGGTTTGATATATTGCTGACACATCTCAGTACTCGAACCAGAACCCCATTCTTGGAGTTGACAGTATCCCAAGTCAACAACGCATGCAAATGTATCTCGAAATCCTCAAAGAACAAGCGAGCAGCACCTTTAGATCATCCGGTCTTGTCGAAGGGTAAATCTGTTGAATCTTGCAGAATCGAAATGAGCAAGCAATTCACCGAACCATGGCATTTTGCAAATTTTACACTGCATAGTATGTGAGCAAAACCTAGCTTCAGCTGAATGATACTGACCATATGAGCAGCCCAAGGACTACGTCTCCGTTCCGGAAGTATAACGCCAAAAGTCTTTTGGTACTCTGTGATTGCGTTTTAGAGAAGTCTATCCCTACCACTACCAAGAGATCTTCGACCAAAAGACTTCTGTGACAAAGACGACTATTAAATCAAGTTCTACCAAACCATCGAGCAGCAAGAAGCTCACTTCGTCATTAAGCAAAAAAACTACGTCCTCTAGTAAGAAATTGTCTTTGTCTTCATCTTCGAGCCGGAAGGCTACATTGTCGTCGACCAAAACAGCCACCAGCACAAAGACCAGCTCAACCACAAAACCTATGTCCACCTCTAAATCTTCGACGTCAAGCCTGCGGAAGACGACTAGCTCTTCGAACTTGGTCAGCAACGCCAGGAAGACCAGCAGCAGCACTCAAGCAAAGGTCTCTTCCAGCTCAGCCAGGAGTGTGTCATCCGCCCGTCAAAGCTCTGTCTCGAAATCATCGACGTCCACATCTTTAAAGTCCTCGAGTTTGACTAAATCGTCGTCAAAAGCTTGAGCTCATCTAAGCCCTCGGTTTACACAACGACAAGCAGCAAGTCCTCTTCGACACTTCTGAGCTCGAGCGAGTCTTCCGCAAGAGTGACATTAACAAGCTCAAGCAAGCTTTCGACTTCTTCGAGCGTTAGCTCCACCAGCACCACTAAGACTTCTACCTCAGTCTCGTCGGTGTCCGCCACAAAGACAGCAACGGCCAGAACGGACGGCCAATTCTATCTGAGGATAGCTAGTACTACCTCACCACCTGATGATTACTACATCACAGTGGCAGATGGTTACAGTTTTGGACCCTCTAGGCAGCTCGTGTTTGGGATCGGTCCTAACGGATATCTGTATCAACTGGTAGGATCCGATCAATACTGGATTGGAACTAACTTTAGAGAAGGGGGGATATGGCTATCTCGGTCGTTATGCCGAGCTTGGGCAGTACTCTTCAGCCAACTTCATATGCTCCTACGATGAGAGTTACCTCTTGAGCTGTGCTGCCCCTTCATCCAATGGTACCTTAACTCCAGTAACTTGGTCGTATAGGGAGTTTTCTGGAGGATATTTCGAGTGGATGGTATTCTCCAATCCTGACGACCAGCCGACTATAGATCTCTATGTCGAACTTGCGGTGCCGTCAACCTCATCCACAGCATCATCAAGCGACCCTACCATTCCATCCACCAGCTCACCCATCATTACCACCACCGCTTCACCCAACGCTTCTTTCACCGCTTCACCCACCGCTCTCTTCAACGCCACGAGCTCTTCCACTGTTTTCCCCAACACTACGAGTTCTTTCGCCGTCTCTTCTAACATTTCGTCGACCGTTTTGTCTACCACTTCTTCTACAGCTTCACCTAACACTTCGTCCACCGTTTCATCCAACGCTTCCTCTGAAGCTTCGTCTAACGCTTCAAGCTCTGGTCTCTCCTCTTGCTTGGCCAAATGCTCCGATGACTCTCGTTGCGTTGGCACGAACTACGACTCCGACAATGACACCTGCCTGTACTACTTTGCGGATGGAAATACTTCTGAGGCTGCTTCTTCTCCTACTGCTAGCCGCACTCCTGGCTCGAACTCCACTGCTAGTGCTACTGGAAGCCCCACTCATTCTTCAGGCATCACCGGCGGCGCTGGTAACTCGACTTCTTCCAGTCTGGCTACCGCATCGCCTACCGTTGCTCTCACCTGTAACCTCATCCCACGTCTACCCAACAGCGGTTTCGAGGGATGGCAAGAACCAGACTGCCTGGGTAACCACCGGTGGCTATGCTGGCTCCTGGGCTCCTACTACAACAAAACCCTATCACGGCGCTCTGAGCGGCCAATTCACTTTGAGCCAACTACAGACTACTCTCGAGCATCGATCTATCTGGTGAACACCATGAGTAATCTCTGTCAAGGATTCGATTACAGCATCTCTTACCATTCCTTCTGCAATGCCCGGGAGTCTGAGTACTGTTACGTTTCGGTAACCACCAGCGAAGCTTATGACTCTGAGAGAGGATACTTTTCCGCAACAGAACCAGGCACTGGCTGGCTTGCCGAAGATGATGTTTTCAGCTTCACGGCTGCTAGCAGTACTTCGACGTTGTACTTATATGTCGGAACGGTGACAGACAACCAGGGCGTTGGTAATGTCTATTTGGATGACTTCAGAATTAGATTTTTGGGACGCAAGGGAAGATGAGATATAAAGAAGGACTTTCTTCGAGAGTAGGAGTGAAGTACAACATTGAGATCTTCCTTAAAGTGTAGATATCGTACTAATCACGTTCTCAACATGCTGTATATATTAATAGGTTTTTGCGGAGACAGCTTCTGCGTACGTCATATGTACCCTGTTTTCTGTCCATCGTTCTCGGTCAGTTTCTCTCACCACTTTGAAAACCTGGGTTCTTTTGATGGACTCTTTTGGCCGATGAAGCCTTGCTCGTGGAGTCGTGATCTGTAGCTGTGAGTTGAGCGGCCTTTTTCCTTCGGCCGAAAACCCCTGCCTCGTAAGCAACATTCTTCTTGACTGCTCTGTGTCCGCAGAAAGGTGTCATGCAAGGTGCAAGCATGGAACGTGATCCGAAGTCTGAGATCTGCAAGCCTCCGAGTTCAGAAAGAAATGTTTTCAGGATCTGCGGAGCCCACGCCCAAATAGATAAACCCACCAGACACGGATGAGTGCATTCAGCTGAGGACTGCCCTTTCTGCTGTCTTGATACACAAGCGATTGGCGCGGCTGCTCAGAATTAGATCAATGCCAATCTTACTATCCCTGCCGCAGCACATTATATTGTTTTACTCCTGATATGCCTCAAAGGTGGAAATAACGTATGCAGGATATTTTGGGGAACCCCTGGCTCGAGGCTGAGGTCGGAGCTGGGCGGTTGGAGCTCCACCCGACAGCGTCATCCGGATTTTATTGTTGACCTGGTCGTAATCGTCACTGGGTGGCTACATTCACTCAACAGACCCTTGCTCGAAAAACAAAGTGAAGGGAGAGCTGAGCTCAGCGAAAAGATCTTCCAGTCCGAACATCTTCCGTCTAGCTACATAATTGGCTTTCTCTCTTGCAACTCGTCTCTTCTCAATCATTTTTCTGTACAGCGAGACATCATGCCTCACTCTACATCACAGTCCCTCAAGCTGATAAGCAAGAACCTCTCGCAGATTGCGTCCCAGTCGGGTCGCGCAACTGTGAGAGTGCCNTATGACCGTTCATCGGTCAAGGAGGGTGTCGTCCACATTGGTGTTGGTGGTTTCCACAGAGCTCACTTGGCCGTCTACCTCCACAACCTGATGGAGAAGCATGGTGTGCGCGACTACGCCATTGCTGGTGTTGGTCTTCAGCCTTTCGACGCTTCTATGCGCGACATTCTGAAGAAGCAGGACCACCTCTACACCGTCATTGAGCGTGGTGCTGATGGAAGCTCTGCCAACGTCAATGGTGCCATCACCTCGTTCCTCTTCGCGCCCGACAACCGTGAGGCTGTCATTGCTAAGATGGCTCACCCCGACACCAAGATCGTCTCCATGACCATCACTGAATCCGGCTACTACTACAACGAGAACACTCACGAGCTCCAGGCCGAGCACCCCGACATCCAGCACGATCTCAAGAACGAATCCTCGCCCAAGACCACCTTCGGTTTCCTCTACGCCGGCATGAAGAGACGTCACCAGCTCGGTCTCAACCCCTTCACTGTCCTCTCCTGCGACAACATGCAGAAGAACGGTTCCATCACACGTCACATGCTCGTCTCGTTCGCCAAACTCGCCAACCCCGAAATCGCCAACTGGATCTCTGAGAAGGGTGCCTTCCCCAACTCTATGGTCGACCGTATCACTCCCCGCACCGAGAGTACCGACATCACCGCACTCGCTGAAGACTTTGGTATTGAGGATGAATGGCCAGTTGTTACCGAGCCCTTCATGCAATGGGTTGTTGAGGACAAGTTCTGCGATGGTCGCCCTCCCTTCGAGAAGGTCGGTGTTCAGGTCGTCAAGGATGTCCACGACGTCGAGCAATTCGAAATGCACAAGCTGCGCCTTCTCAACGGTTCCCACTCTGCTCTCGGTTACCCTGGTCAGCTCGCTGGCTTCAAGTACATCCACGAGGTCATCAACCACCCTGTCTACCGCAAGTTCGTCGAGCAGATGATGCACAAGGAAGTCAAGCCTCTTCTGCCCAACATCCCCGGCGTCGACATTGACCAGTACTGCAACACCCTCATGGAGCGCTTCTCGAACCCCACCATCATGGACCAGCTTCCTCGTATCTGTCTGGGTGCCTCTGGCAAGATCCCTCAGTTCATCATGCCCTCTATCGCCGAGCAGATCTGGGGTGAGCACAACTTCCGCCGTCTCTGTTTCGTCGCCGCTGCCTGGTTCCGCTACATCAACGGTGTCGATGATGCCGGCAACAAGTTCGTCGTCGACGACCCGATGGTCGAGGAGCTCCAGGCCAAGGCCAAGGCTGGTGGCCTCAAGCCCAACGAGCTGCTGAGCATCAAGTCTCTCTTCGGTGATGACTTGCGCAACGACGAGAGATTCATCAAGGAGGTTACCACCGCCATGGAGCTCATTGCCAAGGACGGTGTCATGGCCACTCTCCCCAAGTACATTGACTAAACGACTGTCGATGTTTCGACGGGAGAGCTGCTGGTCGGCCCTGCCCGTCACATAATACAGAAAGAGAAGGCGTCAGAGTGCAAATACCTCCTATCATACAAAAACACGCTTCCACTTGCGCACTCGCGCATGAGGACACCGCGAGCCAAAGCTCTGAGATATGATATACCCCCGAGCTCGCGGGTTCACGAAGGAAAGCGAGTTGACATGTAGGATAGACACGAATTGGTTATAGACCAAGTTTAGAAGATTCACAGCATACATGAAGCGATTTTTTCCCAAATTTGACTCCCACTCTCGTTTTATTCGAGCTAGATGTGACGTCTTGTCGAGATTAATATCAATTGTTTGTCTTCGCTCTTCAACACCAGAATGCTTCTAGACCTGCGCAACTTCGTCGAGTTGTACTGAATTGATGAAGATAGGTCAGGGTGGTAAGTGTCACTTATTCGACTTAGAATTGTGAGACGTTTGAGAAGCGCGCACATGACGACGCCCATGGCGGTGTCGGAAATGACGGAATCAGGGCTCGTGCCTCGGAAGTGCACGCGAGTCAGTGAAGTCACCAGGCTTCATACACAGTCATTCGCCATGGCGTCGTCCTTGTTCTGACCCTACACCGACTGTCCTCTGGAAACAGAGCAAGTAGATACGAAGACATGGCCGGCCAAGGAAGCGGAAATGCTGGTCGAGGAGGGGCCGTCATCGACAAACTGGACTACCACCCCGGACGACCGCTACTACGCGCCGACGACGAAGGGGAATCATCAGGCAGACCCAGTGCCGAACACAGTTATGCCGGCAGCTTCTTTGAGCAGGTCGCCGAGGGCATTCAGAGTCGTGACAGACAGAAGATGCAGCGTCAGCTCTCGCGTTATCTCACCTTTGCCTGGGCCATTGTCAACTGGTCCGTTATCTTTTCAACCTACCCTGAGCAGAGCATGACTGATATACCCCTCNNTAGTCTGGTTGCCGGATCTATCACCTGCTTCTCCGTATACGCTCCCTTGTTCCAAAAACGCCTGCACTACACCCAGCTGCGCGTCAATACCATTTCCATCACCGCCGAGTTAGGCATGTACCTGCCCGTGCCTATCTTTGGTTTCCTCTGCGACCGCTACGGCCCTGGCATTCCTTCGATCCTGTCAGGCTGTTTCGCTGGATTAGGTTACATACTAGCAGCCTTCGCCTACCGCAATCCCGACTGGCCCTTCGGTGTCATGGTCTTCTCGTTCGTCTGGGTCGGCATGGCTACCAGCTGCATGTATCTCAGTGCCGTCACCACCTGCGCAAAGAACTTTGGAAGAGGAAAACACAAGGGTCTTGCACTGGCTCTACCCATTGCCGCTTTTGGTCTGAGCGGTATGTGGGAGAGCCAGGTGGGAAGTCGCCTGCTATACGAGAAGAAGCCTGACGGCACTCCTGGAGACATCGATGTCTTTCGCTTNTTCATCTTCCTCGGTTGTACCCTGTTTGCAGCTGGTGCCGTTGGTTTCTTCCTGCTGAGGATTATCGACGAGGACGAGATGATCGACGAAGCAATTGAAGAGCTGGAACAAAGCGGTCTGCTAGAGCACAGTGCCTTCTTCAGAAGAGGCCATCATCACGAGCATCAAGAAACCTATGGTGCCGTGCAAGACGAGGACGACGAAGAAGAAGAGCGCCTACGCAAGGAAGAAGAAGAGCGCCTACGCAAGGAAGAAGAAGCCCGCAAGAAGACATGGTTACTCAATGAGGAGACTAGCCGTTTCCTTTCCGACAAAACCATGTGGCTGCTCGCTGGTGGTTTCTTCCTCGTTACTGGTCCTGGCGAGGCTTTCATTAACAATCTAGGCACAGTCATTGGCACTCTTTATCCACCTAACGTTCCTGACGAAGACATTCCCACGAGCGCTGCTACTCACGTCTCGATTGTTGCCATCACCTCGACTATCGCCCGTATACTGACGGGCACCTTATCCGACTTGTTTGCTCCTACATCTGTACCACACCAGCATCGACGAGGACCCAACTCGCTCATGTCATCCATGGCCACTTTGCCTGGCACAGACGCTGCAGAACCTCAAAAACGCCTGGAGATTTCACGCATAACTTTTTTGCTTGTGTTCTCACTCATCATGTCCGTCGGCCAAGCTGTTCTTGCTTCGGGTGTTGTGCAAGACCACGGCGAACGTTTCTGGTGGGTCAGCGCGGCTGTCGGTGCAGGATATGGTGCTGTTTTCAGTCTGACCCCTATTATTACTTCGGTCGTTTGGGGAGTTGAGAACTTTGGTACCAATTGGGCTTGTGTTGCAACTGTGCCAGCTTTGGGAGCGACACTATGGGGTTTGTTGTACAGTGCTGTTTATCAGTATGCAGCCGACGACAACGTGGAAGCAAGTAGTGAGCTCTGCTTCGGTCGCGCTTGCTATGCGCCAACGTTTTGGGCTATGGCAGTCAGCGTTTGGATAGCATGCCTTCTATGGCTTTATGCATGGCGGGGTCCAGGCGGCTGGTATAGGCGGGGCATTGTGGTTTAGTTTGCATCTAGAAGTAGTGTTCTCGTATATGAGCGATTTTCGTTATCTGCAAGTCTCCCACGTTTTCCTTCTAATCGGTCCTTGTTGCTTCGTAGTCGGCCCTTGATCGTTCTCTCGTGGTTGTTGTGACTTCGTCTGGTGATGACCCGAGAGCTCTCAAGCCAAGAGCTCTGTTTGTGGTGTCCGAGCTTTGGGCTTTAAATGTAAGGCGAAAGCTCCTTGTAAACACGACAAAGATCATCTAGAACATTCAACGATTTATCGCGAGAGAGAAACATCAAACTCTGTAATGCTGTAATGGCAGACTCGTCGAAAACCCAACGTGCGGAGGAGCTGGTGGCTCAGGCCAGAACTTGCATCGAGCAACGCCAACTCCAGAAAGCAACCCAGCTAGCCAAGGAAGCAGCCTCTCTAGCACCCACCAACAAAGACGTCCAAGCCTTGGTACAATCTCTGTCACAAGCGGACTCGGATGGAAGCCAGATTCTGTCTCTGGTCAAAAGCTACGTGGAACATGGAGATCAGAAGGACGGTCAAGAAGCTGTCAACTTGCTGAAGCAGCATACTGCTGTACCCACCGACCACATTAACGATGTCGCTCACTTGCTCTTCGACCATGATGGAAAGCCCACACAAATTAGAGATGAACTGACAGGAGCTTTTGTCATCAACTCGGCAGCAGCACGCAAACAACTTGCCAACAGAATCCAAGTCGGCACAGAAGCAACCAGATACTTTCGCTTACTCTGGAGACGCGGCGAACACAGTTTCAACAGCATCTTACCGGTTCTTTTGGATGCGGAAGCTTGGCCCAGTGCAGAAGTCCAGACACAGGCAAAGCGAGATGCCTTCCTGCTTGCTCTGGGAAAACTCCTGGATCCGGCTTTGGAGCATGGCGAGTGGAGTATGACCTTGATTGCCAGATTGCTCACTAGCAATGCGCAAGACATGGCAGGGCTCATCGATCGCGACGCTTTTGAGATTGTACTTTCGCAGCTTGATATTCGTCTTGATACCAAGATCAGAGCACAGGCAACCTTGGCTGTTGCCAAACTGCTTGAGGAAACCCGTGAGGAGGGCGAAGCCATCTTTACGGATTACATTACCAATGGCGTCGCCAAAGGACATAACGACGAACTGATTGTGGCCTTTTCAGCAGCAGCTTCGGTCTTCCCGTTAGTGCCACAGACTGTGGCTAAGTTGTTCCTCACACCGGGATTCCTGGAAGGCTTGGTACCTGTGCTCGAGAAGAACTCGATGGGACAAAGGTGAGTTAAGTAGATGTTGGTGAGAGCTATTGCTGACATGTACCGCAGAAAATCACATCGCCTCGAACAAGCAGCCATGGAGTTGATGAGTGCAGCATGTGTAGACAAGGCATGCAGGGAGAGTATCTCCAAAGTCGCATATGACTGGCTTGATGATGTGGCACATACGAGTACAGAGTCAGCAGCCGCGAGTATGGCTGCATTGGTGCTAGCCAAGATTCCGTGAGCATCTTTATGCTATCTCTCAATCCAGTACGAGTGCTGACAGTCAGGCAGACCCAAGCCCGAGTCCGAAGAGTCTTCTATAACACACGCTGACGACCTTTCCTCTCTCTTGGTAAACCTTACGATGAACGCCAACAACCCCTTAGAACAACAGAGCTCGATAGAGGGTCTTGCATACACATCGCTCCAGCCCAAGATCAAGATGGAAATAGTGTCCAACTCCGCACTACTCAACAAGCTGATCGAACGCCTCAAGTCGACAACAACAGCCGACCCCTGCACTTTTGGCATCTTGACCATCTTTTCCAACCTGGTCTCTTATCGCCCACCACAAAGTGAAGAACAACAAAAGATGTCGCAGCTGAAGAACTACGCCGAAGCCAAGAAGCCCGAGGANAAAGACCCTCTGGACGATGACAAGCACGTCACAGCACGCTGCAAAACAGTGCTGGACGCAGACCTCGTACCCGTCCTCGTAGCAGCGGCTAGAAGCCACTACACCGTCACAATCCTAGGCATAGCCGCAAAAATCCTGCACGCCCTCGCACGCGAGCAAAAACATCGCGGCAAACTAGCCCAACAAGGCGCAGTAAAGCTGCTTCTCCAAACCATCGACCGTCTCCAAACACCCACAGGACCTGCTTCTTCCTCTGACTCTGCACAAGCAGCTATTCACCTAGCCGCACACGCACTAGCCCGTATCTTGATCTCTGTAGACCCAAACCACGTCTTCAGCAGAGCCATGCCCGCCATCTCCGCTTTACGACCTCTAACCCTCCTCCTCACTCCCTCCACCACCTCCGAAACCCGCGACCTACTTCCAGTGTTTGAATCCCTTCTCGCACTCACAAACCTCGCCTCCCTCGAAGACGAAACCGTNAAAGATGCACTGCTCCGCCAAGCCTGGGACCCTACCCAAGACCTGCTTCTCTCTTCCAACAAACTCGTGACTCGCGCATCTGTAGAACTAGTCTGCAATCTCATGGCCTCTCCCGCCGGAGTCGCAAAATACGCAGACGGCAGTGCGGCCGCAAAACAACGATTACACATCCTATTAGCGCTGGCAGATGCAGAAGACGATGCCACACGTCGCGCTGCAGGAGGTGCACTAGCCATGCTAACAGAGTGGGATCAAGCTGCAAACGCAGTCCTTGAACACGATCGCGGTGTGCAGATTTTGTTGGATTTGTGTGCTGATGACAGTGATGATGTTAAACATAGGGGCTTGGTGTGTGTGCTTAATGTCATTTCTGCGCCGGGAGATATTGGAACCAAGGGTTTGGAGAAAGTGGTTCAGCAGGATGGACTGGAAGAGATTAAGGATTCGTTGAGGGAGTGTAGGGATGCGAATGTCATGGCTGTTGGCGTTGAGGTTCTTAAAGCTATCATGGCTAAGGATAGTGGCAAGGGCAAAGCTATTACGCAGGGATGAGACTGTCGGTTCATAAGACAGGGTGGATCATTGCTTTCACCTCAGATTCGGTCATCTGGTTTTCTTGCATCGCTTTAGCATTAGCATTATGCATTTGAATAGTGAAATCCTTAACATTCTTCTCAATGCTATTAAACTAACATAATGGTATCTTATAACAAAAAAACAACACTCATTCATCATAATCGTAACTGATGCACTTGCATCGCGCGTAGTCCATCGGCACTTTGTCGTTGCTCCAGCCAGGTCCAGATCTATGCATTGACCGACCGGCAAATCCAGTCTTCTTCATCGGCAATGATCACTCGTCCGTAATATGGCAAAATCTTCGCGTCCAACATATATCGCTTAGAAGTCCCGTTTGGAGGCGAAACGCCGTTATAGCACGAACGAGAATTGGAATTTGCGAGAGAAGGAAGAGTCAACGTTGACGGCTTTCCAGACTGTGAACAGGTCTGATATATCGACGTGTTGACGAGGGCCGACGGAAGTCGGGCCGGTCTGTTCGACGGCGAGATTTGAAATCGACATGGTGGCCCAAGAGTTCGTGTCCATGGAAAGGAGTGTATGTGGTTGGTAGCCGCTTCCGACTCTGGCATTATCTCTTGATTGTTGTCAGCATCCGATATACAGAAGCTTGGAACATGTGCGTTCAGAAGTTGTCGTCGCGTGTGTTACGTGCGTGACTGGTTGCCATCGAATAGATTGGGCTCAGAGAGCAGTTGGTGGGAAGACGTTTACACGGCGTCTTTGATGAATTCCAAGCGGATGGTCGAGTCCCATGGGCTAGAACCGGACTTCACTCCGACTCCGAAACTTCTATCGCTCATATTTGTGGGTCGCTGTCAGGATCTCTCTGCACGTCATCGGTCAAGTCGGCCTCGTCAACAAAGGCATACGTGCTTCTTCTCCGAGAGGGAGNGCCTGGAAGAATGTTGGCATGGTGTTTTCGAAAGCTTTCGGATGGGAATGTCGCTCACGTTTCTTCAGGCCTTGTTACCGTGCTTACCAAGACAGGCATGTCCTCGACCATCGTAGATTCTGATTCACGCCAGGCCCTACTCCAGCGGCTAGGCTTTGTCGCTTCTTCGTAGGTGATATCAACGTTAGTGATGTGTTGGATGACGCCTAGTTCGATATCATCTTCCTTTCTTGACATGCGGAAAAGCTTCTTCTTAGGTCCTTCGACAGTGGTTTCGCTACAGCCTCTGAACTTTCCTTGTTGACTCCCGGCGCTCACCACTGGCTCAAGCTGAGATAACTTGGACGCACCAGAGATGGGTAACGTCGTAGGGAGCTTTCCTGNCTGTTGTTTTTCGGATCCCACCATTAGAACAGCGCCGTTTAAACCTGGGTCAGAGTGATCGGGTGAATCTTCCATCACAGTATCGAAAGGTGAAACCAGCGGTCTAAAAGACGGAAGTGATGCTGTAACCATACTCCACAGAGAAGTGATTTGGAGCCAGATGACTGGTTGGACAATCGCTATGCCTCGATCGTGAGTGGCGTTCAAAGACTGGTCCAGGTAGTACAAGTGGAGTATGGTGAAGGCGATAACGGGAAGTCTCGCTGCGAATGTGCCGATAATGACTGCTTTGTGCTTCGGGTTCAACAGAATTCTGCAAATAAGTACGATCGGAACAAGCACGAGAGCTAGCTCAGACAAGACGTCGAGTGTCTTGATTGTGACCCATCTATTTTGCTACAGTATGGATTAGTTCAACATCTTGGGACCAGGTGTAATGAGAGCAACTAANNCCAGCCCTGGACACAGGTCCTTGGTTTTGAAGTACCATCCGGAGTGACAATCGATAGATATCAGCAGGATGCTGACAGCTAAGAAGACCAGATTGACAGCAAGCATAACATCGCAGATGACTCGATTGAATCGTTCTTGACCATAGAACAGTCGGCGAGTGAAGAGTGTCAAGGAGATCTTCGCCAGGTAGATAACTACAAAGAATAAGACAAGCCTTGTGTAACTGCTCTGCAACTTGTCAATCATGAGTCTTTCACCTTTCAGATTAGCATCGCTTACATTGTTGAGTATCTGCTGATGGACTGGCTGGAGGATGCTCGATGAATTTCCTAACCCGTTGTGCAGCGCAACGAACACGAATGTGTGCTGGACTATACATGCAAGAGTGGATACTAGCAGGGCAGCGTCGTCGAAGCTGTACATGCCGCGGCGAAGAACAAAACGAACGCTGCTGCAGAGAAGCGCATATGTCAGACTGACAATACAGACGACGTAGACGACACCAGCATGGTTTGTAGGCGTCAACTGGGCGAAGTAGTAGACGTCTAGAGGAAGGGCATCTCTAGACAGGACAGAGTGGTTACTCATACCGTCTGTGAGAGTGTCGCGGAATGGTCTGCAATGGACATCTGAAGAAGGAAGTTGATGGAGATGATGAGATTCGATGTCAACATGAGACACTCAGAGCTCAGGTCATCTTTCTAGAATTTACGTTTGCAAGACCGTTAATCGTGGCTTCCTTAGAGGTCGCTAGGAACTCTCTTTACAGTAAAGAAGCTGACTCGGTGTCGCCGGGACCCCGCATTTACACCTTCCATTTGACGAAAAACATAGTCATTCGCCAACGTCCGTCAAACAAGCATGATCTGGACAGGCGGGCAAGCTCGGGTGTGACAGGACGTTGTAATGTAGTTGGTGCCTACACGGCGAAGTACTCCGCGAAAACATCGGATAAAAGCCACATTCAATGCAAACGTTGCCAACCCGACACGAAAGAGGAATAGGCTATCTGTGTCCTACCAGAACATGCTCTCAGTCAGGGGATTCTGTGAGAGAGAACGCTTGATCTAGCTGCATGACGTTTGTCAGCTTGAATCGGCGTCCAATGTACGGTATCTGTGCCCACGATATACTGGTGGTAGGGCTGTGAAATAGGAGCTCACCCCTTTGCGCAAACCAGAGCTTTGGGCCAAGATGAGACAAACTCGTGGCGGACCTGCAACGTTATTAGCTCACTAGACAACTCGTAACATTTGCGACCAGAATACTTTGTCTCTTGAATCCCAGCTTCCTGGATCACCAAACACGATGCATGAGGACTCCATACAAAAGGCTTCCAGCGTTGAGGTCGCAGAGCGAAGAAAAAGCAGTGTTCTCAGACCCAATACCACACGCGGAGATAGCTTCCTCGATGAGCCACATGGATTCAAAAAGTCGGACGACAACTCGAGACCAGGACCCGGATTGACCAAATTATCATCTTCCCGTACACCATTATCTAGAGGCAACTCTTATCAACCAGATTGGGCGCAAGATGCAGAAGACGTGCCCGCACCTCCAGTGCCCTTGCAGGAGCTTGGATCGCCAGAAGATCTCAAAGACATGTTGAGGATGGGCAGGACCCAGGAGATGNNAAAGTGAGTTTGAAATCTAATGCATTACTGCAAAGATAATAAGCTGATTTATGTTGATCAGAGAGTGTTTAGACAGTTTTCACTGATATCCTTCGGGTGCCTGTAAGTCTTTTTGACTTTACGCTGTAGCATATGAACTGACGCTACCGCCTTAGANTCGCAATGCACTTGGGAGTTTATCTTGCTGTGAGTCGTGCTGACCTATATATGAGCGATGATTCTGATTAAGATTAGTAACAACAATCAAACGCTCGAAGCAGGCGGATGTGCTCTACTTTTCTGGTCTTGTTCGTGATATCACTTTGGATTAGACGATGCAATGCTGACCTAAAACTTAGATGTGTGGTCTTTCGTGGGCTCCATGTTCATCACCGCGTCGCTAGCCGAGATGGCCTCGATGTAAGTTTCGAGAAGTGCTCGGTCTTGGTCAGGCTAAAAATCAGGATAGNNGACACCAAGCTCGGCTGGTCAACATTTCTGGGTTTCAGAGTTCGCCAGTAAACGATGGCAGCAGCTCCTGTCCTATGTCACAGGTGAGCAGTCATATAATGTACTCTGTGGTACGGCGATTAACAGCTTCNNAGCGTGGTCGACACTCCTTGGTTGGCAATGCGGAAACGCCTCAGGACTATTTTTGACCGGCTCGCTCTTCCAATCGATGATAACCATCTATCGACCTGATAATGGCCAATACATGTGGCAGACAGTTGTGTTTATTTTTCCGTGTCTCATTCTCGTTGTTGTTGTCAACATATATGGAACGCGTACGATTGCGGTTATGCAGAACATCGTGATGTCGTTCCACATACTTGCTCTCATTGCGATCATCGGTCAGTTGAATCCTGGATACGCTCAAGTTGCCAATTCTAATAGAATCCAAGCAATCTTGGGGGTTCTCTCGCCGCATATTCCTGCAAAGAGGGCACTTTTCCAGATCGAAAACACAGAGTGGCCTTCTGCAGCTTTGGCTGTGTTTGCTGGTCAGACAAACGCAAATTATAGCTTGTTCNNTGTGAGTGCTGTGGCACTTCTGACATACGCAGAGCTAATGTCGACAGATGTTGATGCCCCAATTCGGCTTTCTGAAGAGGCTCAAGATGCGGCGATAGCCGTGCCAAAGGCAACAATGCACACTCAAGTGATCAGCGGAGTTTGTGGTCTAGCAGTAAGATCTCGTTGTAAGCATGCAGTCTTTGTTCTAACGATTCTTTTANNGGCTGTTGCGATGTTCGCATTCTGCGTCCCAAACGTCACAGAAGCCATAGGTCACCCAACGGGTTACTCACTGCTGTATGTTCTGCAGTTGTCTGTTCCAAATGGGGTTATAGTATGCGTGCTTTTGGCATGCATTGTTCTTGTCGGAGCAAGCAACATCGGCTTTGCAGCAGCGACTGCAAGAATTACATATGTTTTTGCAAGAGACCAAGGTCTTCCATTCTCTCATTGGATCAGCAGGGTATGCAAACACCAAGAAGCATAGCAAGGATGAGCTAACGGGTGATAACAGGTTCATAAGAGACGCCTTACGCCAATCAACGCTGTAATCTTGACAGCAGTTGTTATTGCGCTATTGTCGCTAATAAACCTTGGTTCCACAACCGCCTTCTATGGCATCGTGAGTTTCTTTCAATCAATGCTTCTGTATGCAAACTGATAGTCCAGNGTGGGACTTGCCCAAGCCACACAAGCCATGTCGTATATCTTGCCCATCTCGTGTGTCCTGTATCGTCGCATCAAATCTCCAGGGGACATGCCGAAAGCGCGATGGAGTCTCGGACCTATATGGGGTCCAATCAACAACGTTCTCGCCATCGTAAGTTCACATCTACTTGACTTTTGTGGCTCACCTTGCTTTTCTTCGCCTCTTGCTCGGAATGGACATTTCTACTGCCGTACAGTCATGTTTTTGGATGTCCGGTTGGTATGGGACAAGGCAAGAAGGGAGTCCTGTTCAACGCTTTAACGCATGATGATCTTCAGACAGCGCGCTGATTAGAAACTTTCATTCCAGGTTTTCTCTATCAATTGCTTCATTTCAGCATTTGCTCCACCTAGTCTGCCAGTTTCAAAGTCAAATTTCAACGTGGCAGCCGTGCTTTTCACAGGCGCGATGGTGCTGATGATGATAGCGTACTATTTCAGAAAGGGAAAATACGTGGGACCAGTAGCACGCATTAAGAGACACTCCCAGCTGGAACTTGAGCCAGCTGGGTACTGGACAGAACGTTCAGTTCTTGACGGTTCCGGAGGAATTTTGAGCGCGTTCTCGACTTGCGAAGATAGTGCACCATCTAGGCATCACTTCTCGACGCCCCTTATATCAGAAAACAAGCCGTGCTGCAATGAAGCTCTGGACCTTGAGTAATCATAGCATCTTGGTTCCTCTATCCTCAATGACGGCCCGTGCAATATGCAAAGACCGCGCCCCAGTATCCACTATTGACGGCATACCATTCCCAAGCAAATACCGGATCATCAGGAAGATTGGAGCTCCCCACTCAGATAAAGAGAACATCTTGTAACATGATTTTCACATTCAAGCGTCTGAACATACCAAAGTTGCTGCGGATTGCGCTTGATACCAGCTTCAAAATAAGTAGTCCGCAAGTTACATACTTTCCTATTCCCCCAGGTGCATACTTCACAGCGCCTCCATTTCCTCATCCGTTCAGAGGGGTTCCTTGGCATCGTCTGTAACCTCTCTTCTCGTTCAGCCACCCGACCTGATATGGACATAAAGTTTCCCAAGACGAAGATGATGTCCGACTTTCTTAAAGGGTCTCGAGACTCTTGATGAGTTCCGATTGGTGGGCTAACGTCTGACAGTTTGCGTGATTGCGCACTGGCTAAGGCAGTGCATGAAGTTTGACTGTCGTAGAAGCTATGTTTAGTTCGCCAAAAATGTGTGTTTTGCATGGGCTTGAACTCAACGACGTCCACCGAGCTGCCGCAGTCAATTGAATACTTTGAAAGTCTAAATGCCTCAGGTTGTTGTTTCGGCATCTATATAAGCATCTCTACAATTATACGACGAACCTTATGCTTCGTTGATGAGCAGTATGCAAGCAATGCACTAATCTGAAAGCTGCAGGTGTAATTCTGGGGATGAACACTTTGTGTGACGAAGCTTGAATCGATGTGTCCGGCCTACTCGAGTCAACAGAAGAATGGCAGAATCAATGATGAGACTCTACAGATTGTCTGTGATAACACAAGGTTACATAGCTCCGCGGCTCTCAGCCGAACGCCGATCCACGAACACGGGTGAGATAGATGCTTCAAGCGTCAATTCTGTTCATGGTCACTAGTTGATGATCGCACCTGCCACGTGCAAAGAGGAGCCCTGAATCGTGGGTTATATGCGAACGGTATACGCATCGGACTCTGATCCTTCAAGCGCTACTATACATCCACACTTGTACACATCGTCCTGCGATGATCGATCGCAAGTGGGGAACAGGTACAACAGGTACCGCCTGGTCGGTACATGTTCGTGTCCCAACAGCCTGAGGCTGCACTTCTGGAAGCTCGACTCTCAAATTGTCGGGCATTCTGCAAGGTACGTCAGGTCGAGAACGAGACAAGCCTTTGACATCGTGCCCAGACCGACTAGGGACTTCAAATCCTCCTTGACGATGCTGTCGAAGCATTATGTCTCCTGAATTGTGTGTAGAAACAACAAGTTCACCTATTCAGTGGAGATCACAGATAGATCTGGTAGATCGATAGAAGCACGAGAGATGAACACGTACACGGCAGTTGTAGTTTCGAGATGCGAATAAAGAAGTCTCGAGAGGTGTAATTAGGAGTAGCAGCCAATCAGATCCACAACAATCTCGCAAGCTCGCCGGAGCTAGCATCCGACGATCGATTCGGTTGCAACGTTCATGCATGATACTTTTCTGGACGCTCGGCCAAGACCGAGATTACTAAGCAGTGCTCGAATCAGAAGAGGCTGGAGAGCAAGCTCAAGCAGTGACGTGGGAACTCAAATCAAGCACACTTTCCCCGATTAGGTTCAAGCAGCGACTGGCACGGTCCCCCAGCTTGTGAGGCAGTGAGCTCAGCACACGCCATCTGCGGAGTACGAATTGCAATTATCTTGCACGAGTAAGGGACAACCTATCAAACATCTGTCGTTGGATGCTTGTACTACCTACTAGCAAGACAGCTAGAGGCGCTTCAAGCGAATCTGGATCTGGGCGTTCCCGGCTCACTACAGCGTGTTGGCCTCTCTCCATCTCCTTCAAGAAACGCTGCTTCAACATCATACATTGGGACTGCGTGACCATTAGCTGCGAGCCATCTCGATTGCGGAAGCGGAGTGATTGAGAGTTTAACATCTATCGTAGCCTTCACGCCCGCACTATGATAGAATTGTTGAAGAAACCTGAGAGCCGCGATGCACATACCAAGCACGATGCATCCAGTAGATTGGCTAAGGTTAACACTCAGCAAAGGTTAGCGGCCCCACTCATGTAACGTTGCTGCATGTGCGAGCATGGTCATAGTATTTCTGTATCTTGCATATCCGTTCTTCGGATGACCGAATTAGAGAAACGACCCTATTCTTTAAGTATGAGTTCCGCTGCCCGCCAGCACGCAGCTCACGAGTTAGCTGACAGGGTTACTCGCGACTTGCTCCTCGTGCTGGTTGAGAGAATGCAACATCATGTTCATCAATATCACTACCCCCTCTGACACTCAGAAGGGTCCTCTGCGAAGAGCTATTCGATCACAGGCTGCACTGAGCAGTGCTACTTGTCGAAAGAATACCATTGCCGCCAAAACCAGCTCTAATTCGAATTCTCCCGAGGATCAAACACCTCCAAGAGTGCGTAGGAGAAGCAAAGCAAAAGCTATCAAAGACAGTTTGGAAGCACCCAGCAGCTCTTCGGTTTCCGTATCTTCCGAACGCAACTCTTCGAGTCCTACCTCCCTCAGCCCAGTACAACAGGATCAGGTTATCACACCCCAACTTGGCCAATGGATCATCCAATACGACTCATCATTGACATTTCCCTATCCCGATGCCTGGCATACAAAGATCCCACAATTGGTCGATACNATGTAGTTCTCATGCTTCTCGGCTGCGAAAGGCCTAGCTGACCTTTCTCTAGACTTGACGTATTTCGCTCCTAGTACCCAGGACCCCATCTATATATCCGACCGGCCAATCCTTCGCCAGGAATTGTGGCCTGAAACGATGTCGCACCGCGCCCTCTTCTTCACCAACTTGCTGCTTGCATCATCTCACCCATCGTTCTCGCGCGAACGAACACAAGAGATTACAGCATGGTTTCGTCTCGAAGCAATGCGTAGCCTCCAGATTGGACTGGATTCGATCACGGGCTTGAACACCAGTGACCAACTAATTGCAACGGTGTGTTTGCTCTGCGCCTGGGAGTTCCAGTTTGGTGATGAGGTCTCGGCAATGGCACATATGGCAGGATTAAAAACAATGGTGAATTTGCGTGGAGGGTTCCATGATGCCTCTCTGCCACCCATTGTTCGTCGCCTCGTCTCCTTCGTCACTTACGATCAGCTTTGGTACTCTGGAATGGAGCCTGTGTTTGTACCGCAAGGACTCATGCGGCAATCTATAGATAGCGTGAGCAGTTTGGATCTGCCAACAGGCTTTGCCTCCCTTGCGCAGTCCCATCGGATGTCTCCAATCGCGCCTTCAACCTTGGGTCTCATCTCGGAGATCAATCTTGTTATGAAAAGACCTCGGCACCGTAAATTTGCTTTACTCGACGTTCAAGCACGTTTGACCGATTACAACTTTTTGGAGAATCTGACGAGCAATTTCTCGCCGATCCAGACATCCATGGACGACACAATTTCAGTTCAAGCCGAGATGCATATCAAACTTGCGCTGTTGTCGCTTGTCACTCACCTGCAGGGTACCGGCTCTGAGGAGTACTGGGAGATGAGCGAGTCCTTGTTTCCAGAGGTGCTCATCAATACCGTTTACGCGGAGATTGGACTATGGGCTCTCTTTTTGATATGCAGCACAGCTCAGATACCACCTCCTAGGCTTCTTGACGGTTTGGAGAAGCTGCTCTCGAGCCTTTTGTTGGTTGATTGGTCGCTGGTCGACCTTACTTTACGCCAATATCTATATCCCTTAAACAGCCTAGACGTCGCCTCGAGAGCATTATGGGGCCAAATCACGCCGAACAGAACGACCATATTCGAGCAAAACAATCTTTCAAGGTTTCATGTCGCTGCATACACACGCAACGAAGAGCCAATTGTCTGAGCCGACGCTTTTGACGATGCACAATCAATACATCACCGTTGCGTCTCCACGTTCACAAATGATTCACACGACTCGAGACACCAGCATTACAAGCTCACTTGTTCATGTCGTCTCATCATGACCTGGACCCCATCTTTGAGTTTTGTCAAAAAACCTTTCGGGTTGACTTCATCATACCCTTATCATCAAGTCCATAAACCGTCTACAAAGTTTGCTTTGAGCAAACCCCTGACTACTTTGTTGTAAATAACGCTTGACGGACGGCGCGAGCCCTTCGATCTGTCGATACAATATCGCTCTAGACGTTTGCTCGGCCATCTATCAATAACAGCTCTGCGGACAAGCTCCAGTGCATGATCGGTAGTGTTGGGAACTGAACCGGATGTGGTGTGGATCTACTGACGGCAAGTGCAACAACGGGACCCCAAGCACGAGGCATGACAATGAAACGCTGGTACTCCAACAGTTCAAGTGCCGGCATTGACCTGCAGTATGACCAAGTCCCCGGTTGGCATTCGCATCTTCGGATTAGACAAAGTTTCTGATGAAACAGCCACTTGTTTCGAACACTACAAGGATAGTTCCTTGCCACGGTTTGCTTCATACACGCACATCATAGAGACAAACAGGAATTATATTTTGGCTACAGAAAGAATGACTAGAAAAGGAAAACAATAAGGGACTGTGGAGGAGGAATGATGAATCAGTAGTAACGATGCTTGATGGCTTCAGCAGCTCTCTCTGCAATCGCATAGATGGTGGCAGTCAAATGACCGCAGACCTGGAAAGGAATGACGGAAGCATCGACAACGCGCACATTGTCGACGCCATACACTGAAAGATTGGTATCGACTACACCGCCGAGATCTTGAGACATCATGGCTGCTGTGGAGATGTAGTGGTAGTTTGAACGATCTATGAAACTGTGTCAGCATCTTCTGGACCTTGTGGTGCAAGGAACGAATACTTACANGCCTGCTTTGACGGCCTTGGCCCAGTCATCGTCGGAAGCGTTAAGAGGCACGCTTTGGAGACCAGGACTGAGTTCCCCAGTAACAACCTCACATAGAGTATCGGAACCAGCCAATTTTCTTACTGCCTTAGCAGTGCCAATCTGCTGCTTCAAGTCATAGTCGAGCTGGAAGTAGTTCGGGTTGATAGCGGCAGGAGTGGTAGAGTCGTTGGACTGAATGTGAATATTGCCACGAGAAAAGGGCAACAGACCCCAGTACGAGAAGTCCATTCTGTCCTCTCCAGGAGAGACCAAGATCTCCGAAATGGGAATCTGGTCTTTGAAGATGAGATCATAATGGATCATGAACAGCTTCTCCATAACTTTCTGGTCGAGGACACCATTGGAAGCTTCTACGACAGATGTAGCGTATTTCAGGATTGAGTCCCTGACTGTGCAGTTGAAGTCGTATGTGTCGTTGCCAAAGATATCTGCGACATTGAAGTAGCCGACATAATCGGCCGTGCCCGAGAAGCTTGTGTTAGAGCTGTATGCACCAGCGCCAGTGGTCTGGTCCTGGAGGTTTTCACCCACAGTTGGTAGGTCAACTTTGCAGTCAATGCCATGTTGTTCCAAGANTACTGTCTCTAGTCAGTCGCTGCAAACGTCTCTTAGATGCATTGATCATGCTTACGCAGAGTTTCCAACGCCCGACAATTCCAAGATAAGAGGTGATCTCAATGCACCAGCAGAAAGAATCACCTCCTTCTTAGCGCTCATGACCTTTTGCTTTCCAGAAGCATCGGTGAATTGCACTCCACTAACACGAGGTGTCGAGCTTGTCGAATCCTTGTCCCAGGTCATGCGCTGTACAAAAGAGTTTGTGTAGAGGTCCAGATTAGTTCTGTTCTGGACGGGCAGATAGTAAGCACGGCCAGCGTCTTCACGGACATTGAGTTCGCGGTCCACGGTTGCTGGATAGCGGGTGAAACCACGCATAGAACCACCGTTGGGTTCTTGTATGTATGGCAGTCCGGTAGAAGTGTATGTAGCGTTGATGAGCGAAGTGACGTTCTCGCCCAGGAGACCCGTGTTCCAGCCAGTCTTGAGGTAGCCAGTCGTTCCATGAACATCAATGTCATAAGCAGCACCAGCTAAGCACTGCTCTTCAGTAGGGATCTGGAAGTGCTCGCTTTGCTTGTAGTAGGGCAACAAACTCTCCCAGTTCCATCCATCGTTTCCGAGATGCTCCCAAGCGTCAATCTGAGCTGCTTGAGCTCTCAAGTATGCCATGCCNNTTCAATTTTGTCAGAAAAGATTCCTAGCTATACGTAACGAAGACTTACCATTGATTGTGCTGGTTCCACCGAGAGCTTTGCCAGCTCTCATAGTCTGACTTTTGTTTCCAGCATAGGCCTGTGGGGTGCTTTCGTATTGCCAGTCGATTGCGGTTCCGAAAGACAAGCCATAGCCATCTACGTCGGACACGTTCTTGTTGTTGAATACCAGATCACCAGCCTCAATGACTGCAACTGAGATATCTGTGTTCTCGGACAATCGATTTGCGATCACCAAACCAGCGGTCCCGCCGCCGCAAATGATGAAATCGTAGACGCCCACGCTGTCTGGCGCAACTTCGGATGCAGAGGAGCCAGAAGCTGTTTCGCAACCAACAATGTCAGGACTTTCGCAAGTCTGTCCGCCAGAAGACGAGGAGACTTCGCTTGACGAAGCTGCTGGAGCAGGAGTGGCTGTCGTTGGAACAATGCTCGGAGCTGTGGTAGTGTTGTACAAAGGCCTGGCAGATGCAACTCCATATCCGGATGCCACAGAATTAGTATGCTCGGGCACTTTTGTGCTAGCAGATGCAGCATCGACTACAGAAGAAGATATGCCGCTTCCTTGAGGGGCAACGCCGCCGTATGCAGATCCTTGGCTGTTATAGCCAGGTCCACTGCCGTAGTCAGATGGCGCTCCATAGGTAGAACCAGATTCGCTACCATAAGAAGTAGGACCACCGTTGTATGCTGGTGCTTCGGCGTATGATGAGTCCTGACCGTGCGCAAAGAGGTCACCAAGCAGACCATGGCCACCAAAAGACCACCATTAAGAAAAGGTAATGTCGGCAGCGCCAGCGCTGGAGAAACAAGAGACAATGCAGCAATAGAGTACCGCATGGCTGGTTCAAGAAGAGAATGACGAATTGAAAAAATGAGTGGAATGATCTTCGATACCAAAGCTTGCAGACCTCTCGATTATGTACTTGCCTGTCCTTCGTCCGAGGATCCAGCTATCCCGCGATACTTTGCAGCAAAGCTGTAACGCATTAGTGTTGCATACCCCTCAGCTAGAGTCATATGTCGAGTTTCACAGCTAAAGTTGGCAATATTCCTCTTAGTCTTCTTCAATGATGCGCTGCCAACATTGGCAATAGAGTTGGGCTTGTCCTTAAGGAGTTCCTATAGACTTTCTGTCGCTACTGATCTGGACTCTCAACATGCACATGCAATGTTTGTCGGGTCAAGAAGGCTTGATTGAGCGGCTGGCATAAGATGTTTGCGGCTTGGCGTTTCAGATGCGCTCCTGATATCAAATTCGGTACTACTTGACGAAGCTGTTGTTTCGAAGAGGACACCCAAATAGATTGGACATGCTAACCAATGACGAGTACTTTGTGTCGTCGCAACTGGTATCCTTGGTTCTTGAAGTACGGATTGTTGCGGCTCATGACGTGCGAACAGGAAGTCGCGATTGTCTAGCCCCTTCATCTGTGCTGGTAGACAGCGGTCGACATGGATAACAGTGCGGACGCAAAATTACGGCCGACGACACTCTCGGAGCTGTCTTTCCATATGTATTCCTCCAGTGCCTGTCTTTACGTGCGAGAGTCTTTTGTCGTGACTAAAACGGATAATGATCGCTCGTGGTGTGGCTATGGGTCAGCGTCGAATCCCTCCGCAGCTTTGCACCTTGCCTAAAGCGGGTGAGGCAGCGAGGAATACGTCCTCCGGGTATGACATCCGAGTAGCATAGCCCACTACTTGTATACCATGGAGAGAAAATGTAGAGAAAATGGCCAGAAAGATAAATAAGCAGTGCTGCTCGATGCACAGCTCATACCATCTCAACAGCCCTAAATACTAAACAACCAACATCTACAAACATCTCTTCCACTTCAATCATCTTCAATCATCCACAACGATGTGCTGCAAGCGTCGCGCCAACACACAAGCCTCAACCGTGGCCAAGTTGGCTCAGGACCAGCCGATTACCACCTCTCGCGCTGCTCACGATGAACCTCTGGGTCCTCCTCCAGCCTACGAGCACATTGAGAAAGAATCAAAAGACGTTGCTTCAAGCAAAGGCGTCGATGCATCAAACTTCCTCGACCATCAAAGATCATCGGAAGTTCGAGCTCTCCCTGTATACGGCTCCAACAATGCCAATCTCGACTTGACACCGGATTACACCACAACGTACACTCCCAGATCAACTTGTCAGAGTCGATGCGCAGCAAAGCGTGAGCGAAAGCAACAGAAGCGTGAACATCGCCATGAGAATCGCATGGAGAAGCGCGAGTATCGCCAGGAGAAACGTGAGCTTCGCGCCGAACATCGCTTTGAGAGGAAGGAGATGCGAAGAGCCCATGGCGGTCCCATCAGCATGCTCATCAAAGGTGTCTCAAACTTGATGAAGCAGTGAGGAAAGATACGAAGCGATGTGTATGATGAACGACTTGGGTGTATTATGATGCTTTGTGTTTCGGTGTACCTATATCGATGGTGGAGTGTTCTAATTAGCAGTTGGGTTGTCTACATGTCTAGGAAATCAGCAGTTCGCCAGATCACCCATGTGCCTCTTCGTCTTCTTTGCAATATCTTTGATCTCGGGATACGGCAAGACCTCGCTGATGTTTGCAAAGCGATTGTTCCAGCTCCTCCATCTGTCCATCTCGAACCCGTTCCACTCCTTGTTCGGGTACTTATTTCCTGCTTGAGCGACTTTGCCCTCATAGCTTCTCTTGTCTTTACTCTGTTTCCTCAACACTTCGCCGGCATACAATATCCACATTGCGGCTGCCCGTACTGTGGCATCGGGCACGTCGTCTTTGTCTTCTAGCGCCGCCCTCAATGCCCAGATTGCGTATAATGAAAAATCGCGCGGATCGGAGCTGTCGAATGCAGACGCGGTGGCCGTGACGCGTGCTGCGAAAGCGTTCGCATTTGCCCACATATGAGCAACCTCGTCGTCTTCTTGTGCAGCTCTTTCATCATAGTTCCAGTGTTCGCGAATCTGACGACCGAAGAGTGGGAACGAAGACCAGGAGACCGACTTGCCCTCTACATCACCAACTTTGGTGTCGCAGTCGCGAAGAGCGGTGAGGAAGGAGACGAGTTTCTCTTGGGCTGACGAATCTGAGGGGCTTTTCGAAGCAGTAAGACCTAGCGCGTCCCATGAGCGCAGGAGTTTGTCCTCCGCGGATGATGAGTCTGAATTGGATGTGAAGTTCTTGACGGTCTCTTCGAGCGAGGATTTGTCGTCGAGGTACGCTTGGAGGACTGCGTACTCGTTCAATTCTGATGTGTTTGAGGGGAAGTCCATGATTATGATGATGATGCGATATGTATTGTCAGAAGAATGCAGGCTACTGATGACCTACCTGCGCGGCTCTACTATTAGTACAAAGTGGTGGAAGCTTTTCTGCTGGTGGCCAGAGTCAACATGTTGACTTCAACCCCACCGCCCATGACGTATCTTCCGTCTTGAGCCGAGTAGGTTATGCATAAATTCTTGGCGCGAGTCTGCTTGTCTGTGGTATGACCCTGTCAGTAATATCTGGCTTCTCTAAAATCAATGCATGCCTCCTGATTCTTGAGCAACTAACTTAGGATGGCGATCAAGAAAGTCCAAGGAGATTTGAGCCACTGAACAGCGAAAACCTGGTGCGGATTTGGCTCATGTTTGCTTATGAACACTCGAACGACATTTTCTGTTCAATTGAATTCGAGATCCTGTCAAGGGGTCATGGGACGCATGCAGACTTTGCTATGTGAATGCTCAATGATGAAAACAAAATGGCCATTCGGACCAGCCTCATGGCCTTGAGTGCATACTATCTACCCATAGTCTCAAGCTGTAGGAAAGTCCAACTTGCGGTGCAGCCTGCTCACAATCTCGATGAAATCGGGCTCGTTTTGGGCATTCAAGACGCCATGACGGATGAAGAAGTCGAGCAACACAACAGCACAATTCGGCTTGAACTCGCCAGCCTTAAGCTTCTCCTTCAGCTCATCCACCCCCATCAGGTAGAACTCCTCGACCTCTTCATCACAAGGCTTTGGCTTAACGTCGTCAGGCAACTCAATGTCGAAGATGTATTGACACTCTGGTTGCANAAGTCGAGTCTCGCCTCCAGCACGAGAGTCTCTGATGTGGAAGTATGTGACAGTGCCTGCTGAATGTGCCTTTTCGCGCACCAAATCTTCTGGTAGTGAAGCTTCCTCGCTGGCTTCGCGTACGCAGCAGATTTGAGGGTTCTCACCAGTAGCCATGCCTCCTGCAACTGTGTTGTCAAGCATACCGGGATATGTCGACTTGGTCTTGGAGCGACGTGGTGTCCAGATCTTGAGTTCACCGGAAGCAGACTTGGTGTAAGCAGTCATGTGAATGCCATAGGTGACAATACCGAAAAGGGCACTGGCCGCACGTTCGACGCTGAAAAGCAATTCTCTGGCAGGAGCAGGGCCATAGACTGGATAGAGCTCGTTGCGCCAGCCTTTGAGGATGGAAAAGTGACCAATTGCGCGCATGGCTGCTGTGGTTCTGGCGAGGATTGCACTTCGAGTAGGCTCGTCCTCACCAGCTTTCAGGGTGAGAGTTCTCTCATCGTCGTCCAACTCCCATTCTTCAAGGCCGCGCAGGACTTCAGCGACTGAAGGCAAGATATAGCCAAGAGTTGTTTCAGGGTAAGCAGCGACGCGCAAATGGTAGTATGTTGAAACGTGGTTGAGGTAGAGTTGAGGAGTTGATTGAAAATAGGGGAAGCTGTCACATTCATTGATGAGGTCGAGATTTGATTTGGGCTTCGACTCATCAATGGGTTGTGGATCCAAAGAACTGATGTTTTCGCTACTGTCAAGCTGAGCGTGGTGGCTTATCTCTGCTTCTGCATTTTGTGTAGCGGTCGCATCTGTTGATTTCTCCATAGTCGGTGACATCAACGAAGGCATCGAAGGCAACATGTCGCGCACTTTCTCCAACGAGAACATGTCCATGATGGTTGGTGGGATGATGGATTGCACGGATTGCGGCTCATACCAAAGAGGCCGAGGCTCGGTGACGGTGGATTCGAGAAGATGCCAGTCACACGAGAGCTCAGAACTGGCCCCACAGCTCGAATCCTCAGGGCAACGATAAATTTACAAGGGTCTGTCAACAAGAAGGTCGTACAAGTCAAGTCATTCATATCACTGTGCATATCCTAAGTCAAATCGCGTTGACAGCACGCCGTCATGTTTGGTCTCCTCATCTCTGGTCGTCCGATAGACGCGCAACCACAAGCCATCTCGCCGACACAATATGCCTTCCAGGTCCCGTCGCAGCCAGCCTTTAACCACATTGCCGTCTTTTCTCTTCCGGGCAATGAGCTGCCACCCGATGCCGCTGCCGCCATCTTCATTCAGATACCACCATCGACCGAATTCAAACTGGTTGGCGCATTGTCGTCATTGAGGCCTTCGACAATGTTCAAGATCAACGCGGGCAACAGTGTCGCGTCAGGCGCGGGAGACGATCAGCTCATGTTGGATGAGACTCCAGAAGGCGTGACAATAGGAGGACCTGCCATCGTTGTTGGTATCGAGATACAGCCTGCCGAGCAGGTCAAAGCCTTGTTGGCAGAGCAGAAAGCAAAGTCGTCGACACAACTGGTGCCATCGAGACAACCAGCCACCGCCTCCCCAGTCACAACAAAAGTTCTCGCACAGCGCATCATTGCCAACGCTTTCAATTTTCTTGCGTCATTTGGTAGCGACACTGTGCCGCTCAAGGCCTTTGAAGCCTGGTGGACAAAGTTCGAGAGCAAGGTCAATAACGATCCGAGTTTCCTCGAGCGTCCTCAAGATTGAGTGATTCAGAGTGAGCCGTCCTCGCCAAAGCGTCCTCACCAAAAGATTTGCCGCTTCAGATCGCGTATCTCGATCAAGTCGTTGTTCAGTTGACTCGATACCGAGACGCGTTTGACGACGGCGGACTCTCCACCATCAATCATGCCAAATCGGCGCAGGATTTACTCACCATTTCCCAAAATTAGCGTCTGATATACCCTCAGTTCTCCATCCTCTACCAAGCCCCGTTGATCTCCTACTGTCCGACATGCTCGGCAAACTGATCTGATCGGATTCTGTGGAGGCGTGTGTAGTCGCGAGATGGCCGTGATTGGCGGACTGTGAACAGGATCAGAACTTGAGGATGCAGATGGCTGCATACGCAATCCCACGAGTGATTCAGAATATCACCGTGTAGTAGTTGTAACGGGAGCAAACGGAGGAGCATGGAGTTGTCCAATAGCGCAACCTGCGCTGATCCTTCCTCCTGCATGTTGGACCTGAGCTGAACGCATGCACGCCAAGCACGTGTGTGGGCGTTCCTGATTTTCCATGCATGGAATACAACCCTGCAGCTCTTACTTCGAAATATTCGATATCAACCAACTAATGTATATATCAGACTTTACGGTAGATCAATATGGTGTATATCTCTTACCATAATTTACCTCGAGGAACATCTCTTATCCGACTTATCTTAAGCGATGCGTCATGATAGCACTCCACAACCTACCATCCTTCGTCTGTTACAGAAAAGACGTTTTGATTGGGGTGGACTAACAACCGTTAATTCTTATGATAGAAATCCCCACGAACTTCCCCTTCAACCTATAGGAGTTACGCAAGCATCACTACACCCCACAGTTAAACCGGTAATTCATTGCCTCTTTGCTTTTTGACATCTGAGCCGCATGGCAGTAAGACATCTTTTCCAATTATTCGTGTTGATCATACCATATTCTCCATCTTCCATACCCATTCTCATCGCACGTTTCACTAGTCTAACAGAGGACTCTGTTTGTTGGGTCGATCCTACTGCTTCGCCCTGCCATCTGTCGAGGTTGTCTTCGCCTACACCATCGTGCGTGCATAACGGTCGATAAAATTGCCACTCCTGGGGACCGCAGCTCCTGCGTACCATAGGAGCTCTTGCGAAATGAATTGCGGTCTTGTCATCCAGCGGCTGCTCAGCTCGAAGTGAGACACACGGGATCCTTGCCTTGCCATGACGCAGCTGGGATGTTATTGTTTGGAGATGGGATGGATATAAAGAGAGGTCATGACCAGACTCATTCCTCTTCTCATCCACTCAAGTCGACCAACAATCAGGACGACCAGCGACCAGAACATCACTCGCTTTAGTGTTCTTATACTCTCGTTCTATCAACAATGGCCGCCAAGTTCGCTGTCTCGTTGATGGCCCTGCTCGGCGCTGTTAGCGCTCAGAGCTCTAGCTACACCAACAGCAGTTCTATTGCTACTACTACCTCCTCGACCAGCCCCAGTGCATCTGCTACTACAGTTGCGGGTGTAACCTATCTTTGCAAATGGACACAACGCAAGTCTTCAGTTTTTGTTGTTGAAGCCTCGACCTAACATTGATACAGCTACTCCGATGTCACTCCCTTGACTCTTTCCAGAAAGAGACAGGCAAACTCAGGCATCGATTCATGTTTGAACACCTGTTCCGACAATGTCCAATGTGTTGGAACCTCGTTCTCCGACGACACTGGCACTTGCGAGTACTATTCGCAGATCAATGAGGACTCTGAGACTTCCTCTCCTGGCACCGACTTTGCTCTTGTCCAAAGCCGCCCTGATGCCTCATCCACTGCCAACAGCACCACCTCTGCAACCGGAAGTGCTACTCGCCCCGGTGCCTCGGTTGGCTCCAACTCTACCACCAGCGCTACTGGAAGCGCTACTCGCTCTGTAAGCATTACCGGCGGCGCTGGCAACTCTACTTCTTCCCGCACCTCTTCCTCTGCTTCCCGCACTTCTTCCGCCACTTCTGTCCCAAGTTCGCCCTCTACTCTCCTGACTTTTAACGGTGTCGTCTTCTTGCTTGAGATTGACGTTGATTACTCCGGCATCACTATCGACCTTGCCATCATCNNCCTTGCTAAGCGCGCCGCCGAAAATTTGGACGATTGTCTCCAGACATGCAGTGCCAACTCGCAATGTGCTGGAACCTCGTTCACCGACGGAACCTGTACCTTCTACAGCAGCATTACTGAGGGCTCAAGACAACCAACAGAGGGCACCGATTTCGCAACCGTCATCTCCAGACCCGGCCAGGTCGGAGCCGGCAATGGCAACACCAACGGTACTTCTGGAGCAGGCAACACTACCAGCCCTGTTCCCAGCAACTCTACTGCCGAGAGCTTCATTTGCCCTACTTTGGATGGTTCCGTCCTCTTGAGCAACCTTGAGATCACCTTCACAGTCAGCTGTGGCCAGTTCCTGATCGGTACCACATACGATGCTCTCGCTGAGATTAACACTAAGCGTCAGACTATCGACAATGGCCTTCCTTCGACCCTCTCCAACTGTGTTGATCTCTGTTCCCTGGCCGAGAGCTGTGTCGGTACTACATTTGAGATTGCCACTGAGCAATGCACTTTCTACTCGGCCGTCTCCTATGCTACGCCTCTTGACGGATTTGACAGTGCTGTTAAAGCGGCAGGACAGGATGGCAATGGCAACGGAGCTGGTGAGGGCGTTACAACCACTACAGTCATTGCTGGTGTGACTCAGACCGTGACTGTTCCGGCCGGCACTACAACCCAATACGTTGGCGCCGCATCCACCGCCACCGTTTACGTTACGAGTGTGATCACTGTCACCCAAAATGCTGGTCCTACCGGATACCCATCTGGAGCTACAGTAACAGAAATTGTCCCTGTCAGCACCATGACATACGTTCCTATCCAGACTATCACCCTGCCTCAAAACTACGCTCAGCCCACTGTCACTGTCACAGTTGGTGGTGGTGCTGCAGCTCCTGTTCAAACACAAATGGTTACCGTTACTGTGGATCAAAACGGCAACGTCATCGGTTCCTCTACTGCTGATGCAGTTGCTGGTGCCGCTGGACAAGGCCAAATCTATCCTACAGTCACAGTTCACGACCTTTACTGCCCTACATCCACTGCACCATCCGTTGTCTGGACTACCGTCTTTGTGAGATAGATCATCTATGATCGGATTTCGCTCAAGGAACGCTCCAAACTTTTTCGTATCTCATCTCACGCGCATACATCTTGATCTATCCGATCCAATGTAATACTACTAACTACTGACGCATTTGTTCATAAAAACATGCGGGCTAATGACTTTCCTTTATATCTGTCTATTAATTATTATTCTTCTTGTATGCCTCTCTCTGAGAGGCTTTTTATAGCTCGAGTTTTTCTAGCTACATTTTTCTATAGGAATATGAAAATTGTTCCATTATGATCCAACCTATCCCTTTCGTGCTTTGTTTGACGGAATTGAGACGTTGTTGACGCGAGAGTTTGCAAAAGGCTATCTTCCAACACTGAAGCCTCATCACAGGTATAGGTGCAAAATGCACATTGATCTTACGTTTAGTGATGCTTTATGCAAAGCTGAAGAATAATGGGCTTGTTTTCTTCTCTCAGTGGCAATGCTATATCTTCTGAAAGTATTGTGCATTGCATCAAGGAGAGGAAGCCTGCATGTCGTAGCTTCTGAAACTCAGGATCATGAGAGAAGAAGTATGGCTTCCCACCAGCAAGCAAAAGGACAAATGAAGCATGTCCAAGGAGTTGAAGCATAGCGAACTGAAGACTATGCAAGATCACGTTCTAAGGTACTTGCAGAGAATGGCGTGACGTGTGTACCGGAATTGACTTGTCGCAGCAGGAAAACAACGAAACAACTTCACTTGACGTGTGGAAGTGAAAGTGAAAGTGGAAGTTTTGACACAGAGCTTCTTTGTTTGTACTTGATCTTACAGTCGACGTTCGCACACTCTTCACACAAATCCAATCATCTTTCTATCAAAAATTTCTCCACCACTGGACGACAACTCTCGACAAGATCAAAGATGGAGTCAGCACCTGCATACTATTGGGCCATGCGCACCGAACTGGTCGAAACACTTTTCAACGACGATGAGCTCTTCTTGGCCGAGAAAGAAGCCCGCAGCCTCCTCAAGGAGCCCATGATGCCTCGTTACTATCGCATCCACTGCCTCGTACTTCTTGCACAAAGCCTGAAAGACTGGCATGAGTCCAAGGTAGGCCTACTGATTCATTCCTAAGTGATATCATTTTGACTTGTGAGTAGTACTATCAAGATTGCGCCGAGCAGATATGGCATCGTATGCGCCTTCTATGGCCCGTTGAGAGGTTGAGCGCCGACGACAATTCGCTCATGGATGAACTTCGCACCATGCTTGATGAACTGGAAGAGGATATGGTTGCCGATAAGCCGAAGAATGCACATGCGGAATTTAACGGTGATGTGGTCGTGTACCAACCCGAGTCTACAGAAGATGAAGAGGATTCGGCCGAGTCTATGGTGGGCAGTCCATTTGAGAAAGTTGCAAGAAAGTCTGAACAGAAGGAAAAGGAGTCTTAGCATAAAGTCCACAGCGAGACAGACCAATGAAGTTTCTGAAAGTTAGAAACAAGAGAGAAATTGAATATGAACAGAAGACCATTCACCCAGCCTCGGTCAAATCTTCTCGTTCTAGTCCACACTCCTTCCTTAGAAACACTGCTCCAGCTGCTGCACAAGCCGCCAACATTAGCGTCCAAGCTTAGGCAGTTCGTTCTGACAGTCAGCCCATGCTTGGTACAGCGCAGTCTGGGCTTGCCCGTTCAGCCAGTACACCTTTGTTGTCGCAGAATGCTGGACCCATCCAGCAGGGTGATCAGACAGCAGCCATGCAATCTCTGCGTTCTTCACTCTTGAAAAGAGTCAAGGACAAAGCCAAGGACACTGTCAACACTCTCAAGAGCAGCGTGGGCAGTTTTTCAGGCATTATTGGAAGAAGCCTTTCACGCAGCACAAGACGCCGTCAAGAATCGATTGTTGGATCTGAGTCTGGAGATGATTCTCAGGAAGGATCGACTGCAGGTCGTAACAAGAAACATAAGAAGCACAAGAAGTCGTCCCCTGGCCTCAACACCGTATTTGATCATCCTCACGAACAAGGGCGACAGTAAGCAGGATTACAAGAAGAGAAGCAAATTGAAGGATACATACGGTTAGATATTGCTGCTTTTGGAGAGGCTATTCAAGATTGGAAGTTGTTGAGAGGTGGAGATGGAGATTGAGAAGGAAGGAACGTTTGGACCAGGCTTTTCAGATTGGTAATCAGTCTTTTTTTCTTCTTCTTTTCGGATGATCAACATCGAACTACGCATAATTTCTGTATAATTTCCTCTCAAAGACCAGAGTACACTTTTGGATTCGTGATCTGATTCTTCGATGGCTTCCTTTGATACTCGAACTCATTTTCTTCTCCCATATCGATGCACAGCAACACACAATCTATACTATTGTACAACATGATCCAACACACGAAGAGACAGCATGAGCAATTGTAAGTCTAGGTACACATTCAGGAGAGGTAAGATGATTCTGAATTGGATGAAAGCAAGTGACCAATTCCATACATTGCTTCGTCATGGAGCCATCCACCAAATCTGACTGTGTGAAGCGGAGCAAATACCAACAGACTCGTTCTCCTCATGAAGTGTCGTCACACCAAGCTTTTTCTTAGGCTTGACAGTGCTCTCGGAGGCGGTGTTGATGTTATTCTGACCGATGATGTTGTCTGTGTCTCATCTTCAGTTTCGTAGCAGACGATTTCCAGGTTCATGTAACGTACTGGATGGATTTTTGTTTGAAAAAGCTTGAGCTTGGAAAGTGTAGCAGGCTGAAGAAAAGCGGTTTCTTTCGGCTGTAAAGACTTGGTTTCGAAGAGGAAGATCTTCAAGTCAAGAATGAACAGGACCTGAAGGTGGGAAGTATCAGGAGCTCCTCCGTTCGCTTCCTCCTTCACATGTACTGAAGCCCGTAGATCCCACCTTACTCCGACTACGGCTAAGGGCAAGACATAGACTACAAAAATGCATGATTGTCTTTAGAAGCAGACGCGTGTCCACAGAGAGCTGATAAGTTATTGCTTCTTAATGAAAACTACTGTGATTTCTATCTAGTAGTACTGTGCATTTCGACAGCTGCACATATTACATACTTTGCACAAGGGAGGCCATGACTGTTCTGTGAGCTATATCGATGCTTGTCGGCTGTAACTGATCAAGTCGACAAGTCAATACTACTCTTCGATGTAGGTATTGATACCATTATTCTTCTACAACATCAGTCCTATCCGTTATGCCATGCGGGTATAGTATCAACCAGAACACCATCCCCTAATACGCCATTGAAGCACACAACCTTGAAACACATTGCACCATCCCACCCATAATACACACCAATCCCAGATACCCACTCCCAACCATTAATGCATCTTTCCCATTTCCATATCTTGACTTTCTTCCCAGTCTTCCCAATCAGTAGATGATCCCACCTTGCGACTTATGAAGATACCGATGCTTGTTGTTACTACAGCAATCAAGAACCAACTCTCAAACCATGCCTCAACAAAACGCCCTTCCAAAGGTGCACCCAAAGCCTCGCTGATAACACTGCTCACCTCGCTAGGCAGGTTACTTCTCAAAAGCAATGCAGAAGAGATGACGTAGGCACCTGCGACCTGAGAGATGACGAGCGGTAGAGCAGATTGTGCGCGAGCGGCTAGCTTGGGGAAGAAGCGAGTAAACAAGCGGAAAGTCTGGAGAACAGCATTGAAGGACAGCAGGAGCATGACACCTGACAGCACGAAAGAGATCTGGCGAGACCAAGCTTCGCGATCCAGTGATGGGTCGTAATGCGTGGTGAGTAGAGCAAGAACATTGTTGATGGGATCTGAGGTCGCAAATGTTGTGTTTGGTTGCCACCATCTGCGTAATGAAGAAACAGATGTCGCTGCAATGCGATAGAGACAGTAGAATGAAAAGCCAAGATTAAGCACATTCAACACACGTCCAAGGCTGTTCTGCGATCTTTGTTGTGTTGCATGTCGAGTCTTAAGGGTCGCCAGAGAAGAGGAAAGAGTCATCGACATTGTCTCCAGTCCCGAGATCTCCATTTCCAGGCTGCGTTGCTCGTTTGTGTCTGAGTTGCCTTTGAACGAACCAATCATTCTGGTCATGATTCCACCCTTGTCCTGTGATGCTTCGGACATCTTACGTTGCAATGCACGCAGACGACTTTGCTTGACTGCCAGCATATCCTTGGTCGCTGCCAAACCACTTTCTTTACGCGCAATATCGCTATCACGAACGATGCGGTGTTTCACGCCGAATGTCTGCCAGATTGAGGAGACTGCAGCGAATCCAGCAAGCGATGCCATCAAAGAAATCCCGATAATGCCAACACGCTCAAGACATGCCTCTACAAAATCAAAGTCCTTGTCCTGTTTTGAGTGCCCCGCTTGCGAATGAAGCGATGCTGGGAGAAGTGATGTATGTGGCAGATACCAGAAGGCGAGGAACCAGAGACCTACAAGTAGAGCCTCGATTGTGTATCGGAGGGTCGGCCGAGACTTGCGCGTGTTGTGAGTGACATATTCCGAGCGAGGACGTGATCCAGAAACAAGAGTGTGAACTTCCAGACTTGGTATAATGATGATTATCAGGATCAGTAGTGAGAAAAGGGTGATGCGCAAAGCCAATCCTCTAGCTGCTGGATTTAGAAGATTCGAGATTTCACACAAAATCAGCTCCACAAGAACAGCCGATAAGGCAATTGTCGTGGAAAAAGTGATTGCAGCTATACGCTTGAAAGTGATGGTTCGTAGTGAATCAAGCCCATGATTATTCGCGCGTTGAGTTTCTCGATTGAAGAATGGTATGTTCTGGTCCTTATGCGAATTTGATGACGCAAGGAGCGGCACGACCTNTTGCCAAACAGCGACAGCAACAAACAGAAAAGTCAAGGCAAATGGCGCAGACGATAAAGCGATTGTTGATGGCGGAAAAGAGTCAAGTCTGCGCTGAAGATAGGCAGGCCTGCACTCGTTGCAATCATCCAACGACGGAAGCATTTCCCGGGGCTTGTTCGGCGTGAATATCCCAGGAAGCGGAGAGGTTGATGTTATTTTAGGCTTTGTAGGGAACTTTGGTGGTTTCCTTCATCTTAGATGCAGGTTTATAGGAAGAGAGTGTCTCGAGAATCTTTAGAAGAAATCGATCGAGTCCGCGTCAGCCGTTGAACGAGGGAAGTGTCAAGTCGTGCTTGCGAGTGGCTGGTGACGTGCCGGGAGTCGGAGTTCGGAGTCGGTAATGACGCCCCTATCTTCTTATCTTGACGACGCGCCTGCCTCGATAGTAACAACGTTTCTGCAAGCCGTTCTCGAAGCTCTCGAACAGACATACCTGATAAGCAATTGCTCTCTTTTCAACATGTCACACATAGAATCTTCCCAGAATGTCCAACAACGAAGCCGCACCCTGATGCTCTGTAAGTATCGGCATATTTCCCCGACCTAAGGATCTGCAGCCTAAACTTGCCACCTGCCACCATTGACAGTTGAGAGACATCGGGAAGAAAATGAAACATGCTTCATGTGCATCATCTCCTTGCGTTTGAAACTGTCGAAACCATCTCCGCGACTGCGGGCTCTCGTTCATCAAGGGTTCTCTCTTCTTGCAAAACTGCCTCGATCAAGTCCATCAGTCGGTTTTCCATCTTTCAAAAGAGGTAGATCACGGATCCAAGAGTGTATGCCGATCTATACCCTGGCAGGAGGCAAAGGAAAGTACGTAAAGTGCATACGATTCTTGCAATAACAGTCTATGAAAAGACACAATGCAATGTGATTATCAGCAACGAGAGCTCACATGAACAAGAGCTCTCAGTGGACGACCCATCAGAAACACAAGTATTCTGCATTGTAATAGCTTATCAAAGAACTTTACTAATATCAGAGGATGTGATAACCAAGATAGTTTCTCATATAGAGGTTTGGTGCCAAAAGGGGTGATATAAATGTATGATACTCTATTTCCTATATGCTCTTCCCATAGAAAGAGACTATCATAAGTCACGATTAAATCTTACTTCCTATGTCTTACCACAGAGAGCTGGAATGAACGAGATCTGGCCCCTGAGTTGTCACCTCTGCTAGCCTCTTGACTGCAAGAATGCACAATGGTATACACTCCAGATAGCACCTTCGCGAGTATCCAGCTCAGTGGTATGACTATGGTACATCAAACGCTCGAGTATGGGTGTGTCTAGAGATATACTGTCGACAACTCTACAAGACGCCGAGGAAATGAGGCATTTTGCATAATTTACCTCGAGACGGGAAAAGGCTGTCGAGTATACGGGTAGCAGTCAGACATTTACTCGTACAACATGACTTGTCTAAAATCAGTCGCTGACAAACTTGACTTGACTCGGTATCACAATGAGCGAGTTCTGATGCGTCAAACAGGATAACTTGCTAGTACCATGTCAGATGTTCTCTCACAGTTGCTCAATATGGTATTGAACAAGTACGATGCATGTATGTAGCAAACCAAAAGGAGCGAGAGAGAGATGATAAGATCGGAGGCAGTCAGCTATGCAAGTTGCACAAAACAGGATGTTGGTGAAGCGGAAGGAGCAAAGGCGGGGTTGTGGTGCTTCATCCTTGGAGGAAGGCACTGGCGGCGTCTTACATAAGTCTTGCTTAGTGATCACGGCCATCAAGCCAACCCGACAACCAAGGACGAGGTAAGTTAAGCATCACATTTGTCGCCATATATCACCGCCATTATGGCATCTACCAAGAGCACAATACTGACATGCGCAGATATTAATTCTGTGCCGCCGGCAGCGCGACCGCAACGACGACCATGTCTTCGGCTGCTGTAAGTGCTAATCAGCCCGTATTCGAGGACGCATTGCTGACGGAGCATACAGGACTCGCAAGCCTTTGAGATGAGTAAGCCGGGCTCTCTTCTTGTGTATCTCGAACAAGCACTGACCGCGCGCCTGTAGGTCTGCGCGACCAACTCATCGCTGCTCAAAACAACCATGCCCTTCCTCAACCACAGCAACCTCAACACCATGCGCAGCCTACCAACTCCTACCCCGCTCACCAGTCTCACCAACAACCTCAACACCATCATCACCACGATCCAGTCATGGCCATCCAACCATATGGCATGACCCATGACAGTCCTGATCTGAGCCATCCTCATGCCGACCCCGCCGATGCCAATGCACAAGGTCCTGCTGCTGGAAAGAAGGGACGAGCCCAGCGCGAGCTTTCTAACACAAAGCGTGCTGCTCAGAACCGTGCCGCCCAGCGTGCCTTCCGTTTGCGCAAGGAGCAGCACATCAACAAGCTTGAAGATGACCTGAAGCAATATCTAGTCATGGAGGAGAACTTCAAGACTCTCCAGCATGAGAACTTGGCTTTGAGAAACTATATCTCTCTTTTGCAGTCCAAGATGACGGATCAGAACATTGAGTTCCCGCCTGCCCCTGAGCAGGGCCCTATGCGATCTGCCTCAATCTCGGACAACCAGCCTTTGCACCAGCATCAGGAACAAGAACCTGTCTATCAACCTGTGCCCGACCAGCAACCTGCTCAGCATGATCAGCACGTTCAACATCATGAACANACATCGCTATCCCGACCCTTCTCCTCCACAGAGTCATGGCCCATCGCCTAATGTCTATCCTCAATCCACTCCTGATCAGCATCACCACCAACACGAGCCTCCTGCCAATGCTCAGCCTACCCACCACGAGCCTCCCAGTGACCANNCCTTCCTGCTGCTGCCATAAGTCAGCTCCAGGCCGCTGCCGCTCAAGCAGGTAGTATCGATCGTCCACGTTCTCCACCTCAAGCACAGCATGATCATCATCAGCAATCTCATCCTCAGGACCCTCAATACGTGCGCGCCAGTGAGTATCCTGCTCACAAACGTCCTAGACTTGATTCACCTTCACATCAGACGCGTAAGTACTTTTCTTCTAACTACACTCTCTTTGACATTCGCTAATCCAGATCAGAGGCACTGAGTGACAAGCCAAACGCATAGAATGCGTTCGGCGACTCGCCAGACGGATTCGTTGATCTGACCCACTTGAATCAGAAGTCAGAGTCTTCCATCAACTTCGATGAGCTATTTGGCGAGGATGTTCCAGACGAAGGCTGCGGAATCGGCTTGCCTTCAGGTGCTTTGGCAATCAACGATCAGTGTGAATCACTGGCTAACTGGGATTTTTAGCCTTTTCCAACTTTGTGGCGTTACAAGCGTTGTTTTCGATACGTACATTTGAGCTCAGGTCGTTTATGATTGAGCTTGACAACGGTGGGTACATACATGGGGTTTGTTGTTGGCGATTGTTTCGCGATTGCTTTTCTTTTCGTTTCTTTCCCCCTTTGAAGGCATTGTTGATGTGCGTTTCCTTTTGCTACACACTAATGATTATGAGACTCACATAGATACACAGCGACGGCGCTCAATGGTATTTGCTCATTGCTTTTGATCGAATTATGAAATCCTGTTACTTGCTACTTTCTATTTTGGTTCGTGATCATGTCTTTTGCCGAGCACGAATTTGATTTGCCTCGGTCTCTAACACGGCCACTTGCATGTGGTCAATGAAATTCTGGGTTGGGGATGGCTTCGTGAGGTGTAAAGATCAACTCCTTTCCATCATCTCTGATCATTGGTCGTTGCTGAGAGAGATGCAAATCTGTGTGTAGACATATCGCAGATACGCTTATGGTCAATCAAACTCATTGAATAGTGCAAGGTGTTATGGCAATCAAAGCTTGTAGAATTAATATGTGCATCTCGACAACGAGAAAGAGCTGGTATAATCTTGGTATCTGAGTTCTGTTGCCCTGCAAGCAACAGCAAGAACAAACCATCCCATGTTTCATATCCACTTCAGCTATTCCACAAAAGCTTCATGTAGAGTATAGCAAAATCGTCATTGTTCATCCAGATCAACCGCCCTGACTCCATATTGCGACAGAAATACCAGTGCAAGCTCTTCAATGGCCACTGTTCTCTGGCATCGTCTCTACATCAGCGACAGGGTGACTCGACACCTCAAACATGTTGATGGTCTGGGCATCCGATCCGAACTTTTCAGGCAAAGAAGTTTCCTTGGACAGCGGGGGTGGAGGATCTACTCTTTGTCCTGATGGCGGTGGATGATCTGCATCTGGAAAGTTTTCTTGTGGTTGAGTTGCATCGTGGTATCCAGTTGGTAAATCCTTTTCTGGCTCAACACGTGCCTTGACTTCTGGTTTATCAATCTCCATGACGTCTTGTTGCTGTGGTGCCGTCTCTTTGGTTTCGTCGTCTGCTTCTTTCTTTTGTTGGGTTTGTTGTTTATTCCTCCCTTGCCTAGCCTGCTCAATCAACCTCGTAAAATCGTCTTTGTTGCCAGTACTCCACGCCTTAGCATCAAAGTCCTNTTTCATAACTTGGTTGCTGGTGGTGAATTGATCTGGCTCGCGACCAATACTCCGATCCCACTTTCTCAATTCGTCGAGGAGGTCGCGTTTGCTGCGTGGGGCTCCTGCATCCACGTTTGCGTTCCAGAGGTTTACCCACTCGGTGTGGCGGCGTGATAACAAAGTCTTGGAGCCGGTGGTTGGTATACCGAGTTCTGTGAGTTTCTTGCGGAGGGCTTTTTCGTTGAGGAGGGAGTAGTTTAGTTCGGCGAGGCGGTCTGGGATTGGTTTTGGGGTTGTTGGTTTTGATGATGGTTGTGGCGTTTGTGCTGTGGTGGAGGAACGTGGGGGTTTCTTTGNTCTCTGCGATGGAGATGTGCAGGCGGATGTTCCGATGTGGTTGAAGACTACTTCTTCTTTCATGCGTGTTTGGCAGATTGGACAGGCTACTAGGCCGTCATCTGGTGTTTGTTGTCTTTCTGGTTGAGTGTTGCCGTTTTCGGTGTATTCGCCATCACTGCCTTCATCGTCGAGTCCATCAAAGGTTGCAGGTTGTTGATCGACTTGTTGTGTCCTCTTGCTCTGACTCCTCGTAGTGCGCACCGTCAGATCACTGCCACCACTATGTCTCTCCGTCCTCCTCCTCTTACTAGGCCTTGTCGGCGCATCCTCCTTCTCCTTCTTGTCTTTCGTCGCAATCTCCAGCGCAACAGGTCTAGCCGTCTTGAAAGCACCCACCACTTCCTCAATCGCCCAATTCCTGCGCAATTTACTGGCTTGATCGTTTGCGCGACAAGCCGGACACTTGCCATCAACAGACAAACAACGTCTTATACAAATACTGCAAAACGTATGCGAGCAAGTGGTGACCATTGGCGTGGTAAAGAAGTCTTTGCACACTTGACATCGTAGCGAATTTTCGAGTGCGGAAAAGGGTGTGAGTGAGGTATTTAGCCAGTCGCTGGGATCTGAAAGACTGTGATCCATGGTTTGCTTGGGAGAGGTTTGCTGTGTATGTGGTTGGCGACAGTGATTTGAGGTGAAGAGAATCAAGGTTTGGGTTTCGAGTGCGACGCGCCGCATGCACGCGACTTTGTGATCGTGCGCTTTCCTTTTGAGACGTTATTGATTCATCGTCACTTGTTTTCAACACATGCTCCTTCACTATCTGAATTCATCGATTGAATAGAGTTCCAAGTGCTTATGTTCATGCAATTCGTTTTCTACAGGCAAGGTTCATTCCATCATTGCTCGCATGCTATCCATCATAAGGTTCGTGTGACTATACATCACTCCAGTCCTAAATCATATCGTATCGTTAATCGTTCGTGCCTGCAGAATCAAATATCAAAAACCATTACAGAAAAGTAGGAATCACTGTGTTTTAGTCGAATTCGTACCAACAAAGACCTGTTTTGAATGTTATGTTAGACATGCTTGACTTCCAGAAATTGACTCGAGATGATACTGACCACTTGCACACTCGCCAAAGCTACAGAGGCCATGAAGATCTCAATTCGATTGGCCGATGTAAAGAATGCGAGGCAGATACTGAATGTCGCGCTCCAAAGTCCAATGAAGATCAATCTCCAGATAAGAACAGGGATATAATAGAGAGCGATGATACTGGCGGTAGGAAGTAAAGAGGCGAATAAGATGCTGATATAGAAGGCCAGCTTCTCCAGTATTTCTCCTCTGTACATATGGCCACCAAACTCTGCATCTTCTTGCAACAGTCTGTGACCAAAAAGTACGTGGAATCGTTGCACAACTTTGCTTCTCAACAGATTGGTGAATGAATCTGGTGCCACATGTCCAGATAGACTGACAAGATCCGTTTGTGTTGCTTTTGCTCTTTCGTGTGCTCTTGCTCGTTGTTGGTCTGTTTCATATTTGGCCTTCTCATCAACACTCAAACTCCAGATTGTGTTTTCGGGATGATGTAACCATTCTTGCTCGTTATTGTGACCGTGTATATCGCTGTCGCAGATGAATTCTCGGAGACCTCGTACTTCGCCGTGGGTTGGACGTGGAAGGCTATATAGCTTGTGTTGTTGAATCAAAATTTCGTCNNTTCGAGAACGTTTGTCAGCAATGACGTGGATACACAGTGCATAGCAGACTGCGGGAGAATGTATCAAGTATGGGTTATTAGCAAGGCATCACTCACTGTATTCCTTCAATAACCTGCGATTCTCTTCGTACAACTTGTATCGAGAACGAGCTCTAGAGCCCTCTGGAGCAACGCGACCGTTGTGAATGCNCTTGACACGTCAATATCGGTATTCGAGATTGTACCGACAGTGAATCATACCGCGCATGCTGAATTGCAGTTGCTTCAGATCTTGATCCCTCTGATCATCAAACTCAGTCTCATAAAGCTCTTCCTCAACATCCAACAGCTCCGCCTGAAGATACAGCAAATTNNCCCTCGCATTGAGTTCTGAGAAACGTCGAAAGATTGCAAAACCAGGTCTCTCTCCAATAAATCGTGCGAGTTTGGGATATCCTTGTAGAGCAGGTCGTTCGCGAACAGAATTTTGTCGCAACAAGCCTGGTGATACGAATGTTGACTCAGTGTTGCATGTGTTGTATGATATTGGTGAGAAGTGGACAGAAGAGCTGGCGGCAGAATTGGTTCTCGAGTCTTTGCCTACAGCTCGGACATTTGTTGAGATGCGAGGTTTATCTGTCGGTTCAATGACAGGAAGCTCAAACCTCTCGCCGGCCATGGTTGGTGGCGGAGTATGCTGATTGTCGGGTCCAAGAAGGCAACAAGGCAAGAATAATGATGTTCCTAGGGTCGAAGATAGAGAGTGAAAGGAGGGGAAAGTGTCACACAAGCATCCTACCTTTAGACACAGCCTATCTGCAAGAGTTGCCGCCCCACCTTGTAATGCCATTGATTGGATACGACATGCATGAACAGAGGTGTTCTCCACCAAAGAGCAAGGGCTGACTTTCGACTCGCCAAGAGCAGTGCCTCGTCGCCTGAGTGGTGGTCGTTGAGGAAGTACCGGTGAAGGAGGCAGGACATGCATGACGCCTTCCTAAAGTAGGGGCCAGTACAAGAGATTCTGCTGTCAGTATGAAAGCTACGCCGCGTCTTTCAGCCAAAGGCTTGCCTTAGTGCTTATTAACACGACGAGGCTGCGTCTCTTATGGAGCAAAATAGATTGCATTCCATCAAGCTAATAATCAGTGGTCAAAAATCGCCATTGCAGTTCATGGTCGTCGCAATCAAGCTCCGCTATGGGCTACCGTACCTTAGCACAATATCGACGGCAGTGCCTTGTGGCTTAGAGGATGGCGTAGAGTAAGGTAGAAATACTTATAAGACCTTGAGTGTGTAATTGTATCTCTTCCCAACCTCTTGATTTCATTCAATCCTCATATCCATTTTACAAGTAACAGACTTGCAAGACCTCAAAGACATGGACTCTCAACAATTGACACCCGCCCTTTCAGTCGACGACTCACCATCGCTATCTGATAGCGAATCCTCATCAGGCATTCCAGCAGAACAAGTCGACATAATCAGAAGCATCGTAGACAAATGGCACAAGAAGCCTTTACAAATAGCCAACGACATTGTCTCAGCATTGGTACTGCACCCTAAAACCAACACCAGAGCGAGAAACTGACAACCATCCAGNGAAGGCGGTGATCACACACACATCNNCCCCTTAATCGTTCGCAACGGAGACAACCAAGAAGTAGTCGTCTGGGCAAAATGCGACACAGGAGCATGCGCAAACTTCATAACCATGGCTCTGGTCCGCAAACTCAAACTCGAATACAACCTACAAAAAATCGACGATTACGAAGCAGCTCGAAACCTCGAATCCAGTCCTCGCGATCACCTAGGCGTCGGTCTGATCAAAAANGTGTGCAGTTTTGAAGACAGAGAAGTCAGCATCAACTATGTCTTGCCCATCACTTTCCAGACTGGAAAGTTCAGGAAACAGCATGAGAAAGTGGAGTTTGAAGTGCTGGAGATTGGTGATGGTGTTACCAGTCCTGCTTCAAACGANAAAACGGATCTCTTCCTCGGTGCGAGTTGGTTGTTCAAGAATGAAGTGTTTATGTTGAGGAAGAGCTATTATGTGGATCCACCAAAGGACCTACCTGTTGTCGAGTCGGTGCCCTTGAGCGATAGTGAGTTGACACCAATTGGGAGACCTGCAAGTAATATCTACATGCCAAGGGGTACTCCTTCAATCAGGCTCAGCCCTAGCCCAGCACCTCCTAGGTTACCTAGAGGACGCATGGCATGATAGTGGCGGCGATGTGGGCAGTATGATTGGGATCTGTAAAGAGTATGTGGGAATTGTTCAAATTTGTGGTCATTGGATAGATTTGCTCAACGGCTTTTGGATGGTATCTGGTTGGCGTAATCTACAACGTTATTGTCGTTTCTCTCTGGCAGGCTGATGATTCGGCATATGGGCAACACTCCGGAGCTCCATCATTTCTGTGTACAACTCGCCTCGATGATCAACTCCGAACTTTACTTGTCTTGTCCTATCGAATTGCGTGGACGGGCGATCGTCTCGAGGCGTAGAAGGGGGGCCATTTTCATAGTCTTGACAGTTCCAAACACTGCTGATTTGAGTGTTTGTCCGGCTGAATGGCAGTAGACATGTGAGCTAGGTGTGCCATCTGACCCGCTGAGCAAGCAATTCTATAGCCTCTCCGGGCTCTAGGTAGCTTTTTGTGTATGCATCTGAATGGCCGAACTGACTCATCCTGTCATCTCGACATCAGTAGCCTTGACCACCTCTTGCTTGACAGCATCCGCAGCCTGGGGGCTTGTCTTAATTTCAGCAGCCTCTCTAACAGCTTCTGCGAGTACGCTTCTTGAAAGACCAGCAGCATCAACAGCACGGTCTACCAATGTTTCGAATCCTTCTCCAGCATCGCCCTTGACCCATAGTTCTGTAAGTTCGTCTCTTGACTGAAGATGGGCGACTACCGCTGCGGCACGCAGATCGTTGTGTTCGCTCGGACAAGGATCTAGTACCAGTTCTCCCTTGCCTTGACCAGCGACTGCAGCGACACCACCAGAGACAAGATCCACACAGTCAATACCTGCATCCACAAGAGCAGCACTTGCAGCAGTAACACAACCAGCCAGCACATTCATCAAGCCTACACCTCCAATATTCTTCTTGCTGGCATCGTCATCACGCCACCAATCATCCTCCTCACTCTCCAGAACAGTGATTACAACCTCTGCTGCAGATTTGGGCCAGCGCTCGCCAATGACCACACCTCGTAGTGCTGTTTCCAGATGCAATCCAAGGTCTCTCTCTGCAGTATCGCGAAGGTATCCTCTTCTTTGACGACTAGCGAACGGCGCGAACTTGACGTGTGTACTGAGGAGTAGGTTCGGGCTGAAAGCGGCGGTGCGAGGAAGTGGTCGCGGGCCATGAACAGTGCAAGTAAGTTTGAGGGTGCCACTTTGGGCTACGAGTGTTGTTCTGGCCGCGTCGGTGGAAGGATGTAGTTCGAGGTAGGCCGATCCAGAAGCGGATGGTACAAGACCTGTCTGTAGGAAGATTTTACGAGGCGTGGATGAGGATCGTTGACGAGTCGGTCGTTGTGAAGTTTTTGAATCTGTAGGAGGAACGAAGATGGGCGCAGATGTGCCGCCTGCAGGCGCATTGGTACGACGACGGTCAGCCATTGCAAATGATCTCTGTTTGAATTGTGTGTTTTCTAAACTGCAATGTCTCTTTGGATGATTTCTTGATCTGCTTCTGCTCCAACTTCGGCAAGATGCGTGACGTCCGCGCCGGATGGTCCAAGCTCGAATTTTCTGCTACAACCTGAAATCGCTTTGCGACTTTCTTCCTTTTCCCTCACTCACCTCTGCCTTTTGCGCGCGCTCGACTATCAACAACATGCGAGACCGCTGGCGGCTTGCTATACTTTCTTCTTTCTTTTGCGTAAGTTTTTATCTTGCAATATCCCTGTGGTTAGGAAGAAACTCCAACACAACTAGTTGGCGATCAACCCTCGGGGTTTCCTGAGCCATAAACTAACATGCACTACCATCTGAACCACATCCTTCTTCACTTTCACATATCACTTGATATTCAAAGTCGAACCTGTGCTAACCTGCGCAAAGTCTTTTAGTTTCTTGCTTCAACTTCATCTATCTTCAGACGCCAGAGTTCTTCCACTCGTTGCATAAAAGTCGTGCGCACGTGGTGGAAGAACTCTTCAACTCTGCAATCGTAAGCCACTTCTCTTCCCTCTGCACATCAATATCGCCAAAGGTGTTTTCAGGATGATTGTATTTTTATTTCAGTTCTGCTACTGAGTAAATCATGCGGATACTCATACACCAAGCTTACCTTGTCTGATCCACATTCACCTTTGGCATCTCTTCACATCACTTCGTCACGATCTTGTTCGATCAACTTTGCTAACAAGCATCAAAAGACCAGGTACGAAGTATATGAATGTCGCTTCACTCATGCAATTGCAAAGGGTAAGACATCTTCTATCGTCCCACAATACACACCACACACCCATTTCCACAACCCAACAAACGCAATGATGACAACTAGTCAATCCATTCAATGAAGTTTACCTATACCCGCCGAGCCCCCTCCCTAATACCCTACCTGTGTTTCCAAGTCCAGGGATGACGGGTTGTGGAGTTGCAATTCAAACCTTTCTAGTAGCTCGCAAGAGTGGAAAAAGGTGTAATGGGGCTTCCGTGTGCTGGATGATCTCACTCGTCTTGGGTGGGTGATTTCGGTGCCGGCGGGAAGGGCTTGAGTAAGACGGCTTTCTGAGTTTCTGCGTTTCCCTTACGAATTTATAATATTCGCATCAGCCATGCAGCATAAAGGTTCTTTTGCTGACTTTCGATTCAAGTAGGTGTGAATGTTCTTTGTGTGTCCACAGGCACTGTCGTGATTCAACATTGCGACCGCCAATGTAGATAGTCTATTAATCATCATTATTACTCCACTTAATTCTCTTCTTTGCAATTGCTGTTGTGCTTTGTATACATCCATGTTGACGGCTTCTGTTGTTGTATGCATTCTACGTGAGTTGCTCTAAATATCGACGCCGTCAGTCTACACTGAGAAGTGTTCCTCTACTAGTTACTCTTCCTATCGAGTGCTCGTGTCATTGCGTCTACGAATTCATCGATCTAGTCTTGCCTATGTCTCAAAGCCCTTTGTCTTGAGAGTTGCAAGGCCTGTAGAAGCACTCAAATCGACAGGCCTTTACAGTCAGGAGCACCTTCGTAACATCAACACTAGCAATGAAGCATTCCTAGCCACGCCAACAGTCACTGAGAATTTTGCGTGATGAACAGTAGAATGGTCGTTTAAACATAATTGTACATTTTACATCTCTATGACCAAGACATAATGTATCCGCAACAGTTTTCCTTTTTCTGCTGTTGTGCGACATCCATGGTCGCCATGTAAATGTATTCCCTTCCAACCCGATTAATAAAACATGTGGGGGTTCTCTAGTAAGTGGTATTCAAAAAGAAGATGGTGAAGAAAAGAGAAAGAAACAAAATGTTCATCGCTTATGCGTTCATGGGCTTGCGACCAACCATGAGGTACATGGGAGTGAAGAGCTTCTCTCTGCCACCAGCAACGAGAGCATCAGCGGCAACGGCCAATGAGTCGGCGGTCTTCTGGGTACCCCTAGGAGCAAGGCCAAATCTCTCGAGAGTGCCAACAAAGTTGTGTGCAGTCCAGCGACCAATCTTGGTCATACGGACAAGTGTAGGGAAATCCCAAATGCTGCTCATGTACTTGAGCTGACCAGAAAGAGGCCAGTACCAGGGGTAAGGGTCGGGGCGGTCTGCAAGGTCCTCGTTGATCTCAAGCTCGAATCCAGCAGCCTTCATGGCGGCAAGGGCAACCTCAATCTTCTCCATGTTGGAAATACCATCACCAACCTCGATACCGAGACGGATTTCACGGTGGTGAGGGTTGTCGTTGTCGTAAGCATCAGTCATGAGCCATTCGTAAACACCGAAAACACCGCCGGGCTTGAGGACGCGGAAGATTTGAGAGTAGATACCCTCAAGGGAGGGAGCGTGAACGGTGGCCTCGATGGCGTAAACAGCGTCGAAAGTGTTCTCGGGGAAAGACATTTNGCTATAAATTGGTCAGCTTTGAGAATTGGAGCTTGAATCTTGGAAGGGACGCACCATGAAGTCACCCTTGACAAAGTCGAGCTTGTGTGAAAGACCCTCCTTTGCAGCGTAGTGAGTAGCTCTCTCAATCTGGTAGTCGTTGTTGTTGAGACCAGTAACGTTTGCGCCAGAGAACTTGACAATTTCTCTAGCAGGGCCACCAACACCACAACCTACATCCAGGACCTTCATGTTCTCCTTGAGGTTCATGACGTGGGCGAGGTAGTGCTCGTGACGGGCAACAGCTTGTCTGAAAGGTTCGCCGTATGCGAAACGGCAGAAGTGGAAGGATTGACCCCAACCATACTCGTAAAGGTCGGTAGCCAGGTTGTAGTAGTGACGAGTGAGGGTAGCGTATTCGGCTCTTCTGGCCTGTTCAGGGGGGTCAGTATGAGGCCAATTGCAAGACGTGAATGTCCAAGATGACGCACCTCTCTGATCTCAGGAGTCTCGTCCTTTGCATCCTTNGTTGTCCCAGTGCTTGAAGTACTCGTCAACAGCGGCCTTTTGGCCATCTGCACCCTTGCTCAACATGGCGGCGAAACCACCTCTCTTCTGGGCAGAAGAACCGTGCATGACCTTGTTGAAGGCAGCATCGCGCGAGTGGTCTTCTTGTTCAAGCGAGTGAGGAGCCATGATCGCAACGTCGAAAGAAAGGGGAAGTTGTAGAAGAAGAGAAAGACACTACAAAAGGTTACAATTGAAGATTGCGGTTGAACGCGAAGAGAAGAGTTGATGGAGAAGAAGAAAGTGGATTGGACGCGGAATTGGGGCAAGGAAATGGCAGCAAGCACTAAAATAATTATAAAGGGGTGGCTCTTTCCATAAACATCGTACGAGACGAAATGCTGGGGCGTACCTGCCTCTGGGACACGCAATTTCACTGTCTCCAATTGGCTTGCCCTTAGCGCATCTCAAAGTCCTCACCGCGCCTCACCCAAATTTCCGCCGCGGCTCTCACATGCATACGGAGACCGTGGGTTCCGCCTTATCGATTGCGGAGAGGAGACGGAGGTGTCTGGAAGAAGTGCTAGGTTGAACTTCGGCAAGGACATCGTCACTGAGGTTGCCATCTGCGACTGGCCTTCAAGATTCAGCTTCTGCTTATACAAGCAGCCATCATTTTCTCGATTCTGACTTGCGCACACGTCGCATCACTTCCGCAATTCATCGACCACTTTCAGCATCTTCCGCGACTCTGACCGTTCTGTTTTCAACATCATAGACCAGCTATTATCATGCCTCCTAAGCAGGATCTGAACCGTTCAGGATGGGAGTCGACCGACATGCCCTCGGCATGTGAGAAGTGCCTTGGCGACAATCCTTACGTTCAGGTCTTGAAAGAAGATTACGGTGCCGAATGGTGAGTTTCTTATCGTCCACTGGTATCTAGCTTCTCACTAACACGACGCAGCAAAATCTGCACCCGTCCATTCACAGTATTCCGCTGGAAGACCGATCGCACAGCCCGTCAGAAGCGAACAAATCTTTGCTTGACATGCGCTAGGCTGAAGAATTGCTGTCAGTGCTGTATGCTCGATTTGAGCTTCGGACTACCTATCGTCGTACGCGATGCCGCCCTGAAGATGATCACACCTGGACCCAACAGCGAAATCAACAGAGAATACTATGCGCAAAATCACGAAAAGGAGATCGAAGAGGGTAGAGGAGCTATCGAGGCTTATGAAAAGACGGACGAAAAGGCTAGGGATTTGCTACGCAGACTTGCTCAGAGCGAGCCTCATTACAAGAAGCAGAGAAGATTAGAAGAGGAGGGTGCTGCTTCAGGACAAAAGATGATCGAGGGCCCGTCTTCAGAAGGTGCCAGACCCGGACCCATCCGTACAAAAGACTCGAGACCAGCAGGATACGGACCTCCATCACGTCCTGTCAAAGGCGCATCGAGAGCACGCCCTTTCCCAAACACAGCAACTTTACCACCACAACCACAAGACATTCAACCGCCAGCCGACAAGAATGTTATGTCACTTTTCGTTACTGGTGTCGAGGATGATCTACCTGAACACGAAATCCGCGTCTTCTTCTCGCAATTCGGAGCACTTCGTTCGCTCGTCTGTTCTCACCGTTCACACTGCGCCTTCATCAACTACATGACTAGGGACACCGCAGAAGCAGCAGCTGCCGCATGCCAAGGAAGGGCTGTTGTCAAGGGTGTGCCGCTTAGAGTGCAATGGGGCAAGCCCAAGACATTGGACAACATGGACAGAGATGCTCGTATGGCGAATGCAAGAGCTGGACGTGAGACAAATGCGGCCGTCAAAGCAGCTTCAGCTACCAGGCCGGCAATTGCAGCTGGTCCTTCATCGGGAGCTGGACCGGCTGACAAAGCTGACAACTTCGATCTGGTCGCTCCTCCGCCTGGCTCTGAAGATATTCAGTACGCAAGTTTGGCAGGCGAGTAGACTCGATCTCGGTCAAAGCAAGAGAATGGAAGATTCGGCGTTTGACAGGAAAGCATGGCGTTCTGAGGCTTCGTGCCGTTTTGGAAGGATGATTTGACTCTAGGGTTGAACAGGCAGGGGTATCATATATTTTTACATATCAAATCAGAGAGCAGCGCTTGACCTCTGCAAAAGACTTTGTAGTTCCTTTGAACTGCTTGACAGACTCGTTGTCGCCCTTTTCGGTATGGTCGTGAATTCGCAATTCTATTTCGTGGTAATCGTGTCAGTGGTGTCGGGGTTCAGTCGTCAAAGGTGGGAGCAGCCTGGACTCACTGTAAGTCTCGGATTCTTCCTTGTCGGTTGCGCCTTGTACTACATTTTCCCTCAGGATCTGAGCCACTCCTTGGGCATGTTCAACAGCCTTCTCGGCTTCGATGCTGCCAGCCTTGATGCTGCGGTTCTGGTCGAATGAGTCTCGTGCGAATCTACGGGAGTTGTATAGTGTGCTGTCGTCGCCTGGGAGGAGGATGCTGCGTTAGCGACCTCGATCGAATGCTGGAGTCGGAGGCGATGGGTGGGTACCTTGGAAAGCGATACGGGTTGCGCGCAAGAGACTACGGTACGTCGATAGGACGACTGTCTTGTTGTGGGTTACAAGTTGTGCCGACATGATGTCTTTGTCGAGTAGATAGATGCCTAGGAATTGTTTCTTCGGCGTGACAATAAATTATTGTTGGTTATGATGGAGCGACTCGGACGGCGAAGGCCTGCCAAGCTCGATTCCCCAGACCAAAAAAATCGAGAGTCTATCCGCAGATTTTGAGCCATCCTCTCTTTGTATCTACCCATATCAAACATCAATATGTCTGTAACTCAGATCAACAAGGCTCTGCCTACCCTTCCTGCCGGCTGGTCTGCCGACAAGGACTTCAAGGCTGTTGGCAAGCTTTCTGCTGCCGCTCGTCGCAGCGTTGAGCCTGTTGGCCCTTACTTCCTGGCCCACGCTCGCAGAGTACGATTGTCTCCTGCATACTCACAAAAAGTCATACTGACACAATCTTCANNGACTCGCCACAAGCGTACCTTCTCCGAGGATGACCGTATCCGCGCCCAGGAGAACGTCAAGAAGGTTGAGGACGAGGATGCTGGTTATATCAGTGAGCCCGAGGACCCTGCCATGCTTGCCCGTGAGGCCAAGGACTGGAAGGTGTGTACTATCTACTTCAATTCTACGTTTTGCATGTCTAACAACCACCCANNGAGCCAGGACCACTACGCCGTTCTCGGCATAACAAAGTACCGCTGGAAGGCCACCGAGGAACAGATCAAGAAGGCCCACCGCAGAAAGGTCCTCAAGCACCACCCCGACAAGAGAGCCGCTGCCGGTGGTAACGAGGACGACAACTTCTTCAAGTGCATCCAGAGAGCCCACGAAATCCTCAGCGACCCCGTCAAGCGTCGCCAATTCGATTCCGTCGACGAGGCCGCCGAGGTCGAGCCCCCAAGCAAGAAGCAGACCCAGAAGGGCAACTTCTACAAACTGTGGAGCAACGTCTTCAAGGCCGAGGGTCGCTTCAGCAAGGTCCAGCCCGTCCCCAAGCTCGGTGACGAGAACAGCTCCCGCGAGCACGTCGAGAACTTCTACAACTTCTGGTACAACTTTGACAGCTGGAGATCCTTCGAGTACCTCGATGAGGATGTTCCCGATGACAACGAGAACCGTGACCAGAAGCGTCACGTCGAGCGCAAGAACAACAACGCCCGCAAGAAGAGAAAGGCCGAGGACAACCAGCGTCTGCGCCAGATGGTTGACGAGTGTCTTGGTCTCGACGAGCGTATCAAGAAGTTCAAGAAGGAGGAGCACGCCCAGAAGAACAAGAAGAGACTCGAAAGAGAGGCCNNGAGGCTGCCAGAGTTGCCGAGGAGGCAGCAAAGGCCAAGGAAGAGGAGGCTCGTCTCGCAAAGGGAGAAGGAGGAGGCCGAGAAGGCAGCCAAGGCCGACTCAAAGAAGGCGAAGGAGGCAGCCAAGAATGCCGCAAAGAAGAACAAGCGTGTTGTTCGTGGTGCCGTCAAGGATGGCAACTACTTTGCCGAGGGTGACGCCAGCCCTGCTCAAATCGACCAGGCTCTCAACGACATTGATGCCATGATCGCCAAGCTTGAGGTTGATGACCTTGCTGTCTTCAAGAGCAAGCTTGACGGCAAGACCGACGCAAAGGAGATCAAGACTCTCTTCACTGAGGAGGCCTCCCGTCTCGGCATGTCCGACCTCAAGTCTCTGGCTTAGATGAACTCATGTTTTCCTCTATAGACTTTTTCGATTTTCACAAAAGCATGCCAGAGGGGGGAATAGATGGTATTATGATCTGACACAAATCCAACTCATTGGACACTTCAACCAACATTCATATCCATTGATCCTGCATGTGTAGGCGTCACTCGAGTGCAAAAGGTAAACGCAGCGAGTAGGAATCGAACCCACGATCTCCACACTTCAAGGACGGAGGTGCAAAGCACTCTACCACATCCCTTCCTGCTTGTGTTTGCAAGACACATCCGTGTGACGTCTTAACCACTAGACCATCGCTGCTTTTGTTAGGTTCCAACCTGAGCACAGTAAATCATAAAGGTAGGCGTCAAGTCAGAGGTCATGAAGGGGGACACCCTCTAGATTGGAAACAGCGTCTATGACCAACCAGGCAAGAGCACTGAACACACAATAGTACCCTACAAGCCGCATCTCCCACACTAAATCTACACCTTCCTCCCCTTAGCAATAAACCCAGTCTTCTTAACCTCTTTCCCATTCATCTGCAAGACGAACCCCTCCTCCAAAACCACAAACCCAAACTCCACAAACCCTGCCCTCTCAAAAAAGCCCCTCATATCTTGCTCGCTAAACCCATTAGTCTTGATTGTTTNTTGCATTTTCTTCCATTCTTCTGTGTCAGTTTGTTTGGTGTCTGGGTGAGCGTGTTGGTGGCCAATGTGTTCGGACGGAGAAACGTCTTTGGGTAGCCAGTCGACGATAAAACAAACTCCTCCCTTTGGNNTCAGGCGGGAAAAGAGGTTGGAGATGCAGAGGGAAGGGTTGTTGAAGTGGTGGAAGCCGAGGGCTACGCCTGCGATGTCGAAGTTGTGGAATTCGGGGCCAGAGATTGCGGCATCAGGGGTTTCGGAGCAGAAATCGGCGACTGCGGTGGAGAGATGCAAGGATGGGTGGGATGAGGATAGCAAAGTGCTGTATTGCTCTAGCATCTGAGATGAGATGTCTAGACCTGTTGCGTGGGTTATGTGGTTGCTTAATGCNNCTTTATCAATCTCTATATCAGTATTTCTTGCAACCAACTTGACTATAGAAGAGTAAAGAGGAGGTGAACTCACTCTAGTCACACTGCCAGTACCACAAGCATAGTCCAGTAGTCTGCATTCTTTGTTTGTGGAAGATGTCCAGTTTGCTCCTAGCCAGGAAGCATGAGAATCCAGAGCTGATGCTACTTGAGAGGCTATCTTCTTTTGCCAGGGCTTTGCGTCGTAGTCTTTTGCTTTTGAGCTGTGAAGGCGATGATTAGCTGGGTACTCAGAAGGATATAAAACATCCAAAAGCTTATCATACGCTTGTAGGGACTGAAGGGCTGGAGGTCTGTACGGGGTGTGAAGGGGAGATGCAATGATCGGCTACAAGCGTACAGTCCATAGTTATAAATGACAGAAGTTGAAGATACAGGATGTTGGATTGCTCTTTCAATGCCAATAAGATATAAAGAGCCTGGATATCAAATCACTTACTCCCAGGTCTCACGGTTATGAGCCGTGACATCATTGTGCTCGTGGCTCATGATTACTGTGTGGTGCGAACGATAGAAAAGATGTCCTGGAGATTTCGGTGAAGATGAATTCAATGAAAATGGAGGACTGTGGTTGATATAAGTAGCTGAACAATCGAACATGTCACCGGATCAAGTTTCCGAGAACTCTCCGAAATCAACATCTGGCGGGGACTTGTTCAAAACAGTCAGGTTCGATTTAATGCTCCTGGTGATTTTCAGATAAATGTTTCTGATTGTAAGGCTCGAAATATCTAGACTGGTCATGAGCCGTAGAAGCGGTGATGCTGTCGTGTTCGTGAGTGCATATGGAGACAGGGTTGCTCTGCAAGCAAGATTCTCTTGAACAGATTGGAAGATTTTACAAGTTGCAAGCTCTCGCATGTATGTCACAATACAACAGAGGAAAGTTATAGGAAGTTTGAAAGAGATTGATTTCATGTTGGATATATCGCAAAAGAAAGCGAACATGAATATGGCAGAAATCGCCACTCAAATGCAAGAACCCATAACGCCATGAGAAAAGACATGGTATATGCACAGTATGTCCTCCACCTCAGCGAATGTTAAATCGTAAAAAGTATGCCATCTTCGTCATATACAATTTCCAGCTTTTGTTTTGTGTAAAGATGTTTTTACAGGTTGGCAGCAGCCTGGTTGGGGTTGGTAGGCTTCTTAGCACCACCCATGGAACGCTCGAACGAAGAGACCGGAGGAGCAGAGTTAGGGTTGGGGTGGTGCTTCTTGAGAGCCATGGTGACGTTGAACTCGAGATCGAGCTCAGCCTTGGGGTCATCCTTTCTGGGCTTGAAGTCGACAATGAGGTCGTCCTTGACGGCGAAGACGGAGTCATCACCAAGGTGAGGGTCGTTGTTGGGGTAGAGTTGGTTGATAACAGTGGCGTAGTCGGGGTGAGTAATCATCAAGTGAATGTGGGCAGGGCGCCAAGGAGAGCGGTCCATGAGTCTAAGGAGAACACCAGCGGGGCCGTCGGTGGGAAGAGAGTAGGCAGTGGGGTGGTAGCAGTACCAGTGGAACTTGCCATCCTTGTCGGACTTGAACTTGCCACGGAGGTTGTTCTCGGTCTGGTCAGGATCTTGGAAGTCGTACTTTCCGTTGGCGGAGGCCTGCCAGATGTCGAGAACAGCGCCCTCAATGGGAGCGCCAGTGTCCATGTCCTTGATGACACCGTGCATGAATGTAACTCTGCCACCCTCCTTGTGGTCTTGAATGATGCTGTCACCGAGCTCACGGAAAGGAGCGTTGGGCGACCAGAAGGGACCGAGAATGACGTTGGAAGTGGGAGACATGCCCTGCTCGGTGACAATGCGGTTGGCGATCTCGTCGACAAGGCNTGTACTGCTTGTTAGCTGTGTTTGTGTCTGCAGAGACAAGTCTACTCACGATTCGAGACCAATGACATCGCAGATACGGTGACCCTCGTTACGGATGGGGGTACTGATTTGACCGATCGAGTTGATGAACTCAACACCCATCATCCACTCAGCAGGAGTAAGCTCGACCTCGCGGGCAAAGTCGTGAATGTGCTTGATCAAAGATCCCAGGATGACGCGAGCACGGTCAGGAGTGCCGGGTCCCATGGCATTGATGACATAGGGAGTGAAGTTGGGGTCGAATCTCGAGTTGGACGACATTTTGATGGATGTGTGTGTAAAGTTGCGAGGAAAGCAAGGACAAAGAGGCGACTTTCTGAGGATACACGGAGTACGAAAGTGCTGGATAGGCAACTTCCTGAAAGACTTGAGAAGGGAAATGGTGGATGGGGAATTGAGGATTGAGATTCAGAAGAAGATACGTGAACCCCAGGGGAGCTCGGTCTATATACTACTTGTACTGCTAGCTCTTGGACCCGTGAACAAAAGTCGACGGCAGATTGAATCGGCTGCTCCATGCCACTTCGGCCCTCCAAAACGGCATTCAAAAATGCGGTCCGAGGGACACCCTCCGCCGCAACCCCAGATTGATCTAACCCTAACCAGAGCAGCCCCGCTGTCACGCGCCGGCGATGAGTTTTGCCTTCTTCTGATTGGTCAGGAGCCCTGGAACCAAGAGCCGGTCGAGCTTGCCGTTCATGAACTCGCAAACACATCTCATACACTTCGACCGCATCATCATGTGACACTCGAAGGAACGATTTGACATCGAATTCTCAGAAGACTCCAGGTCTTTGCATCGGCTACTTCAAGCCTCTGAGCGCTTCTTCATTCCAGTGCCTCACAATTCTGAGCCTTTCGCTAAATGCTAGCGAGACAGTCAGCCAGTCTTGTCTTCTATTCGATCTTGAATTGACCATACGAGAGTCACTCATATTGCACCATATCCTTACTGCTCGAGTCGGAATAATCTGGTCGACTTATGACCAGCTACAACTTCCTTGGATCAACTTCCTGGTCACGGTTTTTACTCTACAGACGAGTATACTTCAATTAGGAGCTGGAGTCAGGTCTTGATGTATCCTTGACACAACCAACCCTACATTACGATCTTCAGGCAGATGGCGACAGTCATGAGTTGCAACAAATGGCTTGAAATTAGCATAACTAGCACCCACTCAAAAACTGCAAATGACTTATATACCCAGCAGGATGTTTCCTGGTCTTGAACACGGCCTAACATAAGCCAATCGACGCTTCACTGGCTTACTGGTTCAGTACTGACAGCGAAGCAGACCTCGAAAAGCCACTGCCAATGATCATCTGCTCGGTTTGGGACAGCCAAGAGTAGCAAGACATCACAACACAACCGAGCTTTCTCTTTTCGATCCTGAAATTTCTGTCTTGTGACTACTACAACCAACGCTGAGTGCTGTTGACCTGACATGCCGCTCTCCCAGAGTCAAGAGTGTTGGTAACGCTACCAGACGATGCACCAGCACACTTTTGATCGCTTGCAATTCTTCATCAGTAATTGTCTGATGCAGTTGTATTCTTCACAAGCGCGGACCCCATATCTTGAATAATCACAGCAGGTTATTCGTTTCATCAAAGTCCAAGCATCCACGAATCAGATAAGAGAACATTATTGGTACCGATGTAACCCGGGTACCTACAAATGTGCAACAATCCATCGCTTTGTGTGGCAGATGCAAGATACGGCCCTCAATCCGTCAAGTGCCATGGTATTTGTTCAACCGCTCGAAACAAATCATGCATCATGCGGCTCGTCGTACCTCGAATGCGATTGGTTCCAGACAGAATCGCAGGCAGACGGGATGAGTAATTCAAAAGTCCCATGTGAACGGAACCAAAGGGACCACACAATCCCAAGCGGCTGGAGAAGAAGCATGCAAGAAGACAACACAGACTCCATCCCACTGGTGATCAGATAAGGTCCAACTAGAGAAAGCTCTGGCAAAAGGGTGTGTTACACCAATTGAGTCTTCTTTGCCCTGTTCTCCCCGCAAGGCGGTTCACGACCATGCAAAGCCAGCACTGCAGCCAGCCACACAGACAACACATGTACTTCTGCAGAAAGAATGGATTTGCGCGCATGACTTAATCTCTTACATTCACTCTTCACATTCAAGATATACACAACGCATGTTGTGTTGCTCTGACATAAGGATGGGCACCTTTGCAAGATATTTGTCTTTGGGGGTAAGCTTGCGCGTGGAGTGTTCTTTTTCCCTCCTACTTCACCTTTGTTGTTGAGCAAGCAAAGCTAGAAACAAGCAGGAAAGCAGGAAACAAAGGTCTTGTTTGCCGGCGAAAGCAAGCGATAAGGAAAGAAAGCCGAATCTACACACGCACATCATGTCGGCATATATATGCAGCACATCCCGGATCTTGGAGAGAAGAGGACGCAGCAACAGAAACGGCATAATCAGTCGTCTGCATTGCCAACGACAAGGCCAATCCACCAGCGATCCAGGCACACCATCATCCCCTTCATCTCCAACCTCTTCTGAATCCAAAGATACCGTTAGTGATTACATTCATGTCCGCCATCCACAATCAAGGAACACCATGAGTCTCATCCACTACAGCTCTGCAGACGACAACGACGAAGATTACACATCCAGCGACAACGACCATCTCTTCATGAAAGACTCTCCTCGCCGCAGAAGCAACGGCACTGCAAGTCCTCCTCACCACGAACCCGATGACCAACCTCAACCACCAACATCCCAGAAACTGAGCCGCTCAAACCCCATCTGTGTCTGTCGCAACCCCTCCGCGATTGCTTCCGCCGCATATTCAGCAGCAGCATTCAGCCCCGTCGAACCCGCCATCTGGAACGAATTACGCAGGCTCTTCCACAGCGACGATCCACGCAAACACTTTGACATCTTGAGACGAAGCACGCCGGTGACTGATGAGCAAGGCAATGGGTTTGTGCTGGTAGAGGCGAGGGTGCAAGCTAAAGATGGGAGCATGGTTGCCAAAGGCGAGCCGTGTACTGATAATGTGCTTTCGCTGAGGAGTCTGAGGAATGCTTTGATGGAGACCAAGGGAGACAAGCGAATGCCTGTTGAAAATGGAGAAGAGATTATTGCGGGTAGGATTGAGGGGTTTGAGAAGGTTTGTTCGGCTTGTGGGTTGCCTCGCTTTTGATCGCAGGGTCGACCATCAAGGACACTGCCAAGGAGACTCCAGGGGCTTAGAGATATTCTCTAACGAGGAGAAGGGAACGAAAAGATTACGATACATGAATGCAGACACGAGACAAACGAAGCATACGTTATCATGACTTACAAACGACTTTCCATTTTGACAGACTCTGATCAAAGCTTTGGCGAAGGTCGAATCTCCCTTCTTTTAGCCTTCCGCTCTGCATCTCCTTTAGCAGGCACCGCCACCTTCGAAACCTCAACATCCTTCCACAAGCCATCACCAACCAACTCCACCAATCCAAAGATCCTCCTCACAACCGTATTTCCATCACGTCTATTCTTGCCTTCTCGTCTCGCCTTGCTAATACTCTCACAGTACTCCCAAAGCTTTCCCTGAGGGCTGATTTGTCCATCTGTCGTTCTTTCGGGCATCCATTCTGGAGTAAGATGGACAGAGGCAGGGATCTTGCCATCCTTGGATGGAGGCGTGATGGAAATAATGCCACTCTCAGCAAACCGCGTGTATGCGTTTCGCAAAGTTTCACGGTTGACGGCTTCGAGGTACGAAATGTCGCCTTGGGCATACAAAGTTTTGCCTAGTCTTTGTGCTTGAGTAACTACAGCGTTTAACGGTAGCGAAGTCTGCTGTGAGGCGTTGGATGAAGGAGGTGTAAGCATCAAGAGACTTATGGCACCCAACCAGCTAGCTTCAATGAATGGCCAGATCAAGAAGCAGTAGAAATCGTAGTTTTCGCGACCTGAGAGACGTTCTGTTTCGTCGAGCGAGATTGATTCGATTGTGCTGCCGTCGTTCTCGGATCGTTTGACGGAGATGATGTTGTCTGATTCGAGTCCGGTCAATGTGTTGGTGAGGTTTTCTGCTAGAGGCGTGGTTGGGAAGATGAATTCGCCACGGAAGAGNNCTTAAGAAATGTCAGTATGGGTGCAATTACAAAGAACAAATTGACTTACCTGCGAGAGGAAATAGACATAATCATACAGGTCATTGTATGATATGCTTTGATACTCCGGACCGCCACCCAGCTTTACCTTAGTATACAATGCAGCGCTGACCAGTGCTTCAGACACGAAGAGATGAATGGTCATGTTACGATAGAAGCTGAGCTGGAAGCGATCTGCAGCGTAGTAAGTCTTCTCCGGTAAGTTTTTGTACTCTCCAACCAGGTTTTGGCCCAGAACTTCAAGAGCACGCTCTACAACGACGGTTGTCGGAAGACCTGAGAAGTGGGCTATACGGCCACCTTGCTTCTTGACCCGTTTTGTTAACCAATCAACTCGACGCACTAGCTCTGATTTGCCAGCACCACGTCCACGAAGAGTGAGGAGAACAGTACCGACCAATGCGGTAGGCATAACCACAGAAACCGCGTTGATATCAGAGAGCACCTTGTAGCCAAGGGTTGTTAAGAGGCGACGTTTAAGAGCAACATCCTCAGGACTCTTGATGCGAGGCGGCAATGTTGTAAGCCTGACTTTCTGCTCATTGATGAAGTCACGTAGACTCCAAGGCTCATGGAAGCGGACATCGACGCGGCCAAGCTTAAGGGATAGAACGGATGAGGAAGATAGGAAGTTTCCCAGAGATTCTTTTGGTTTGGGTTGACCCAAGAGTTCTGAGATGTAGGNAACTGAACAAAATCAGTGTTCCTTTCTGGAAACATGGAATGGCAGCACTCACTCGACTTCGATGACCTTGTCATACTGTGTGCTCACGGGACAGATCACGGCGTCTTCGACCTGGCCAGACAGTACACTTTCGAGTAAGAAGCTCAAGATTCCGAACTTTGGCTGTAAGAGCTTCCCTGTGCGCGAACGGCCGCCCTCNNTGAAGGTGTATAAGCAGCGAACAGCATGGATGGGTGGATGATACAAACCAACAAAGCATTCAAAATTGTGTCCTTCCTGTAGCAATGTGTCTAAATATGCTTGAACAAGAGTTGTGTATAATGCATCATCACCAAAGCTACGGCGGATCCACATTGCACNCTTAGAAAGGTCAGTATAAGAAGAAAAGATCAGAGAATCTGACATACCAGCATGCTGTANAAAGGGACCCACCACGGGAAAGTTGAGGTTGTCGCCAGCCACCACGATAGGTAAGGCAAGACCAAGACGATAGCAAATGAGCTGTAGTGAGACGTAATCTACGTGTGAGCGATGACATGGTAGGAAGATTATGGATTGTTTCTTTCTCTCTGCTTCTTGGGCAACTTTGCGAAGGCGCAAAACTTCCTCGCTAGAGACATGAATACCCTGGTGATAGGCTCTCGTAAGGAGTTGGGTCGCAATGTAGTATGCACCACGAATGAATCTCCTACTGTCCATCTTGCAGATCATCTGATCAGTCCAGGAATCGGCAACTTGGATCAATTGAGCCTCCATTTCTTTTCGTCGTTCTTCGACCTTGTGGGTTGGAAGAGTGCCGTCTGCAATCTCGACATCGAGTCTTTTGTGTGCTAACTCTGAGATCCTAGATTGTAGTCGGGGATTCTTCAAAACCAAGGCTTTGATGTGGTCGCTGAAGCCATTGTAGAATATGTTTCGACCAATGAAGTCATCATAAGAGCGCCAACCAGTACCGGAAAGATGTAGACTGACTTCTCGTAAAAANNAGTCCAAAGGGGCTGAGCGAAAACGAGCATATGAAGTCAGGAGAGGTGTTTCCTGGTCCTGAATGACGCCAGGTGGATGTAATGTTAGACGATCACCCACGATGGACAGATCGGGAGCGTTGTTGTCACCCATATCGATCAGCAAGTTTTCATGTTGATATCAAATTACACGAGCAGAAGTCGCAACGATTTGAATGCAGGAGCATGATGGGTGGACGGGCCGAGGCATCAGGTCTACCCCGGACTGTGATGCCAAGAAGGGAAGGCATGGCGGGGTCGATGGAACGCGACAAGCTTCAGGGTGCGATTTGGATGATCTGTCTGTCTCGCGATCAGCCATGGCACAAAAGAAGAGTATCGTCTTCTTCCACCCAGATCTGGGCATTGGTGGTGCTGAGAGACTGGTCATTGATGCTGCTGTCGGTCTCCAAGCGCGTGGTCACAAAGTCACCATCTTCACGTCGCATTGTGATCCGGGCCATTGCTTCGAGGAAGCTCGTGATGGTAAGTAATCGTCTAAACATCTGTATACACTTGCTGAGGGAGTAGGCTGAACATGGCCAGGAACTCTCGATGTACGCGTCCGCGGAAACTCACTCATCCCTTCGACCATCTTCGGCCGCTTCGCCATCCTCTGTGCCATCCTAAGACAGCTGCATCTCGTGTGTATTGTTGCATTATGGAACTACGAACTCGACCATCTCCGACCCACCCACTTCTTCGTCGATCAATTGAGTGCCGCAGTACCTCTCCTCCGTTTCCTGTACACTGATGTCGGCATCCTCTTCTACTGCCACTTCCCGGATCAATTGCTTGCTCANAAAGGAGAAGGTGCTATAGCCATCCTGAAGAAGGCATACAGAGTACCTTTCAATGCCATTGAAGGTTGGAGTACTGCTTCCAGTCATGGCATTGTCGTCAACAGCAATTTCACTGGTGGCGTCGTCAAGCGCGTCTTCCCTAGTCTGTCAAGCAGAGACTGGAAGGTCGTCTATCCTTGTGTCGATACCTCATCTGCAAATCAGCTTCAGAGGAAAGCCATGTGGCCAAACCGAAAGCTGGTCTTGAGCATCAATCGCTTTGAGAAGAAGAAGGATGTTGCTCTTGCTGTCAAGGCTTTTGCTACCCTTTCCGATTCTGCTCGCAAGTCGGCTTTGCTAGTCGTTGCTGGTGGCTATGATCCTCGTGTCCCCGAGAATGTCAACACTCACAAGGAGCTCCAAGAATTGGCCGACTCTTGCGGCCTCGTACACGAGACTCACAAGGACCTTCCTGATCCTTCCATCATTTCGACAAAGACATCGGTCCTCTTCCTCCTCTCTGTCCCGAACTCGCTAAAACAATCTCTTCTTGCTTCTGCCGATCTGCTTGTCTATACTCCGCAAAACGAACACTTCGGTATCGTGCCTCTCGAGGCTATGCTCGCCGAAGTACCCGTGCTGGCTGCGAACGAAGGTGGCCCTCTTGAGACTGTTGTTGAAGGAGAAACTGGCTGGCTACGTGACATCCGCAAGCCTGGCGAATGGACTGCTGTCATGACACGCGTGCTCGAGGCTCCAAATCCTGCTGAGTTGCGCAAGATGGGCGAGAATGGTCGCAAGCGCGTTCAAGCCGAGTTTTCAAAAGAGCAAATGGCTCTTCGTCTCGACCAATCTCTGGACCAAGTGTCGAACCCGCCAAAAAGTCCTTCCAGTATACCCGACTGGCTTTGGATGACCATCGCTGTAATTTTCATTGTTATCTTCTTGTCCCTTGCTGCTACATGGCTGTTGTTCATAGGGTTGAACTTGGTCAAAACCGAGCAGGGGGCATCACCGCAGTACAATGCTGGTGGAACCGTCACTGAGAAAATCATCACTGTTACCACACAAATCGTAAGGAACGAACTGTGAACAGCTTCTGTATATAGTAACTATACGCGAAACAAAACCAGCGGAGCAGATTCCTTATAGAACAGCGCGTTGTGGCCCCATATATCTAACCTGTTCCATGTCTTCCCCTTGCAAATCTCGGTGCTCTCTAGTGTTTTTTTCTTCTTTTTCGTAGCCTACAGGTTGTTTTGACGTTATCCCGTCGTACTAGAAATCATAACCGTCAGTCGTGCATACAGCGGCTCGGCACGGACAACCTTGTCACGACACAACCATCAGCAGCCACTCCTCATTTCAGTCCCGCAACACACTTGACGACCCTATATCAAGAAACTTGATCTTTTGAAGTATACCAAGCAAGTCGGATGGTTTGTCAGGCCACAAGGTGTGGTATTCTCAGTGCCCTCGGATCTGATCTCGGATGTCCGAGCCGGAGAGGAGCAAACTCATGTCCGGCCGGGAAGCAAGATCGATGACCACACTGCTTGCAGGTTTGCATGCTATTGGGTTGCAATCGTATATAAGAGCGAACAGGTAGGTTCTCCGTCGTGAAACAACAACATCTCTCAATTGCCTCGCTACCACTTTCTCGCCCGACTTGCACAGAAAGTAAGCACATGAGCTGTACACTAATACTACATCAATCCATCATCTCACGAACACTCCTTCGTCAATCGATCAGATACTCAAAATCTGCTTTTACTCCCAAAACCCTCAGGACATCACCAAAACCTCGACTTTCAGGATCTTTCTCGACAATGTCTCTCCCAAACCCCGTCCCCATCGCCCTCTGCGGCAAGAGCCAAACAATGGCCACCAATTTCAGCGACGCCCTACTGCCCCAAGGCTACAAGGTCGTGCACACCTGCAACGACCTCTCCACCGCAAAATCCACTTTACCTTCTGTGCTCTCTTCCTCCACTGGCCCCGTTGCCGTCGTAATCGGCAAAGGCTTTTACGAATCCGAGATGCAGGAAATCATCCAACATTGCAATAGCGAAAAGGGCTCTGCAAAGACGGTGTGGTTGCTTCCTGATGATGACAAGTTTACGGCGTTCATGAAGGTCAAGGCTGTGGCGAGTGCGGGAACCATGTTGCCCGGTATGATTGCTGAGAGAGCGGCGGAGGCGTTGAAGGAGAATGGTGTTGTGGGAGGTGGTAGTCTTGAGGGTGTTAAGAGTGGTGTTCATGGATTTTAGAGGATAGCGCGATGGTTGGATTCAACATGTTGTAGCTGTCACAATGTAAGAGTATCTCTTTCTCACCTGCGAGACTTGGTATACACGCCAAGAAAGTGTTGTGCTTAATCGTATGACTTGTTGTTCATGCATTTAGTTGTATTTCGTGTACTGTTTGGGTATAGAGCTATTTTAACAAGCTTGACTATCGTCTATCGTGTGGCGGTCCTGTGGAGCAAAGCGTGTTCTTGAGCCATCTAAAACCATGCCAACGTCCACAGAGCAGGAAGATGAGGCCATCTCTCCTGCCACTCTCCCAGAATGATCGGCACTCTAGCATCAAAGCCATCTCTCGAGCCTCCAGTAGCACTGTCGAAGCCCTCAGTGCTGCCTGTCTTTTCAGCATGGATCTTCCTTTCGTCCTGCGCAGCAGCATTGAGCTCATCTGCGAGCTCGAGAATGGCTCTTCCTCCTACCAATGCTTCTTCGTGGTTATCCTTAATATCGACGTTGAAGACATGGACAGGACGATTGAGTGGGCTTCCTCTTGACAACAAGTCATCAACAACAGCTTCCCAACAGCGGTCTTCGCAAGTGATGACGATATCCACTGTTCCCGACTCTGTTCCTTGGGCACCCATGTCATTCGTGTAGACGGGGTCGCCTGGAATGGGTGCATTGGCATATCTCTTTCCTACACGCGGATATCCGATTCTCCAATCTTGCCAACGTTCAGGACCCCATTTGATGTTTCTGTTGCGATCGAGCATGGGTAAGATACCATTCGCACGGTAGAGGCGGGCGTCCTTGCCTTCGAGTTCGCGGTACATGCTGTCGTAAGATGTGTTGTTGAAATTGTAGATATTTGGTTGAGTGATGGAAGGACCAGGCAGGCGGACTAGCGAGCCAGTGCCAAAAGAGATGGTGGGATATTTCTGAGCACTGCCAGCGAGGCGCAAGTGCGCTTCCATGGATCNTGCATCACCGTATTAGTACGGTGGTTGGTACAAGAGGAGCAGTGGCATGACGGCAACAGGATGAGACGATGGACAAGCAGAGGCTTTGTATTTCGGCGAGTATATACGTTTATGCAGAGGAAGAGGCAGGAACAGAGCAAGCAACGCAACACATTGTCTTGCAGGACACAGGGATAGACGGAGACATGGGTTTACAGCATCACGCAGCGAAACATACCTGTTGTTGTTACTGGCGCATACTGTACAGAAGCGCAGCTTGAAGCTCTCTTCAGCGCTGGCTTGTTGTGTTGCGCCCTGGTCACTCGTGCCATCCAAGCTCTGGACAGTTGAATCTGGTTGAGCCTCTGCTGGAGGTGGAGGCGGAGGCGGTGGTGGGGGAGCAGATTGTGCAGGCGCAGGTCGCCTCCGAGGATCGGCAGACATGACTGTGTATGTGGTTTGCAAAGAAAGGATGATGAAGGTTTGCCAGATAGGCGTTGGTCAGGCAGGCTCGAAGCTGTAGCTGAGACGCGTGCGAAGACTTTTCGGGAAGGTCGTATGGATGTCGCGAATGCAAATAGAGTGCTGCTAGGCGTTAGCCCGAGGTCGTCTCGATTGTGAGGTCGCGTGATTGGTATAGTGTGAAGGAGGGGTTGTTTCAGATGTTTGCGTATAAGGTAATAAGTTGTCTCCTCAGTCTCCGAAGAGATAGGACAGCTCCAATAAATTTAATCTCATCATGTAATGGTACGTGTGGTTGTAGAGGGAGGGCGCGCCTGTGATGGAGACTTACCAGAGATAGACACCGGGAATAGCACGCGGCTCGTGTGATGGACAGGACAACAAGACGCGATGTGTGATGGGATTGGAGGGAAAGAGCGTTGTTGGCCCGGAACGAGAGAAGTCGCTCGAGAAAGTTGCTTCCGATCGCCCGCCAAGCTTACTCTTTCCTAAATAGGCAGGCCATCTCTTCGTTTCGCCAGATCCGTTCATCAACCTTTTTTTCTGTGTCTCCGGCCGCAACGTCAAAGATTACCATCAAAAGCACCCATGACTACGAGACTGTCTCTGTAACATGGCTTTTCTATCTCCGACATCGGCCATATACAACCACCATGTTGCCCTTCTGCCTGAGAGACGGTTCGAAAGCTGACGACAGCTGCCGTTTCTTACCTTCTACTTCCGTCCAAGTGCTGATCGCTGCCTGCTGAAAGACCTTGACTATAATTCATACCTACTACGAAATGTCTGACTCGAACCGATTCTCGTTCCTATAAAGCCAGCTTGGCACCTTCTTTTTTTTTTCTGATATACCTTTCCACTCCCAAATTCACTCACCAGATTATCATGAATTCAACAGTCGGTGCCGGTAACCGGACGCCCAAAACTTTGCCCGCGCCTTCAAAGACCGAGAAGGTCGCGTTCAAGGTCCCAGGAACTGACATTGAGGCCGAGACATGGTATGCTCTGTATGGAAAGCTATCTGAGGATGTGACTCCTCTGATTTGTCTGCATGGCGGACCTGGCATGGCTCACAACTACATCCTTCCTTGCGCTCATCTGTCCTCGGCACCTTTCTCACGGCCAGTGATCCTTTATGATCAGATTGGTTGCGGAAACTCAACACATCTGCGTGAAAAGAAAGGAGATACTGACTTCTGGACTTCCGACCTCTTCATTGCCGAATTGGAGAACCTGCTATCCTACCTTGGTATCAANAAATTCGACCTCTTTGGTCAGAGTTGGGGTGGCATGCTTGGAGCATTGTATGCCACAAAACGCCCGACTGGCTTGTACCGTCTTATCATCGCCAATTCTCCAGCAAGCTTGATCACCTGGGTCGAAGTCGCGGACAAGCTACGAAAGGAGCTGCCTAAGGACATCCAGGAGACTTTGACGCGCTGCGAAGAGCAAGGCACAACGGACACGGAAGAGTATGAGACTGCCATGATGAGTTTCTATGAGAGACACGTTTGCCGTGTCGTACCTTTCCCCGATGAGCTCAATCAAACCTTGGCTCAAGTGAAGGATGATGATACTGTATACATGACGATGTGAGCCTATCGTTTTGTTTTTAAATGGAATGACTTTTACTAACAATGATCAGGNAACGGACCTTCTGAATTCAGCGTTATCGGTTCGCTCAAAGGCTGGGACATCACGTCCGAACTTCACAAAATCAACGTCCCGACATTACTGATCAACGGCAACTACGACGAAGCTCAAGATATTACCATGGAGCCCTTCTTCCGCGAAATCCCTGGCAAGGTCAAATGGGTTCGCTTCCCAGAGAGCAGTCATTGTCCCCATCTGGAAGAGACAGATGCCTTTGTCGAAGCTGTTGGCAATTTTTTGACTTCTGAGTCATGATCTGACGAACCTTTTCGATTCTTGCTCTTTCTGTCTATTTCGGCACCCTTATCGTTTTGATCGCAGCTTCCGTAATATACCCCAGTTTTACTTCTTCCACAACCCTTTCTGTGCTCCATTACACAGTTGCGTCTTCAAGTGCTCCGCAGCAAGACCATCTATCTAACATGCACGGCCCGTGAGGATGATTTTATGCCGTGCAGAGAAATACACCAAGCGAGCTTGCGCTATAATGGCCGAATGGGTCATGGAAGGTTCAGCTCCAACTACTCTTCTGGAGTCTCTAGAACCTATCATTTACTGTTAATGCCTCCATCCCCGGTTGAGTCATGCTGATGATGCATGAGAGAATTTTCTCGCAAAGAGCCAATTCATAGGCCCTTATTCGTAGGATGCTTCTTTGTATGTGGGTATTATTGCCTCAATACAGCGCACCGCTCGCAAAGAGTTGGAGCGACTCATATATAACCAGAGCTCTTTCATCTCTGGAGGATGTTTTACGCAAACATTTTCTGCGCATAGAACACCCAAGATGAATCACCAGGTCCGCATTCTTCCTCCTTACGACGGACCCGTTGTGTTGAAACTACAACAATACGCAAGCGCTTCCGATCTTCAGGAACCATCAGACCTGCAGTCCATCGAACCGTTTTCTTCTACAACCCAACCGGCAATCACACAGACGGGTACTTTAAGCAGACTGCCTGTCGAATTGCTCTACAACGTAGTAGAACACCTACGCGTTGAAGAAATCGCATGTCTCTCATTGACATGTCGTGAACTGTATCAAGACAAACATCTGCGACGGAGCTGGGCATCCGCCTTTCGTGGACGCCCAAAATGGTCGCACATAGATACACGGGCCCCAGAACTCGACGAAAGGCTTCGATTCCTCATGCTCAGATGGCTGGATCTCCCGAATCACTCACTATGTGGGTATTGCTTCAACTTCTACATGAAGGGCAAGCCCCTGAGTGGCTGGTTCGACTGTGGTGATTGTTCAAAAGANGTGCATCTCTGGGGAATACAGGTGGCTGCGGGCAATCAGTTGCCTTGGTGGTGTATAAGATCTGTGTTGGATTGGGATGCGCGGGGTTCTGCTCAGGACAGGAACTTGGACTGTATAAGACTGTACACTGATTGGCAGCTTCAGAAAGATTTGAGACAACCGCCGACAACCTGGTTGGCAAAGTCCAGTGTTGAGCTCGAGATCGTTGGAGGGAGACTCATGACACATGCTTGCCAACGTTTGTTATACACCCCGGAACACACTCTCAACCCAGGTGAAGACCGGACCGCCGTTCAGTTATGCGCCCGAAGAGCAGTACGACATCTGCCCGTCTGTACTGATCTCAATCGTACAAACGCAATTCTACCTATACCTGAGCGGATGGATTGGAGCGTTTCTCAGATTTCCAAACTCATAATGGATGAATATGCTTTGAAGAAAACGTCAGAGCTACGCAGATGTAGCACATGTCTGACCGATTTCAAATGGACGGTCCACAAACATCCAGAAGGAGTTATTGAGATCATCCTGGGTACTTGGAGCATTATGGAAGAAAGCCCTAGGCCTTGGGACTCCGTTCATCAATATAGTGCTCGATGGTCTTACGAAAGCAATGCAAGTAATCTCGACAATATTGCATTGCTGAACACTATAACGCAACCACCAAAACAGCCTGCAAGGTCAGTCAGCAAAGACGCAAACATATTGAACTCTGACAAGACATACAGGTTTGGTTCCAAGGTTCTACGGACTCTAAGGAGCACTTCGTTGTGGAGATGGGTGAAGAACAAGACACGGAAGAGCTATATGGATTGAACCTCGCAGATCACTGAAACACCAGCCTCCGCAAATGCAGTCTTCAATTCTCTTGATTGTCCCCACCTTGATGTATCAGGTGGAGTTGTGCTGGCATGAGATTTACGTTCGGGGCAAGAACGGCCGACAACGGGCGACACCACTTAACCGAGCATGTTTCTTCTTGACCACAAGGCCTCAGCACGTCATATTGAAAAGCTGTATGAGCCTCCACCAGGGTGGTTGCCATGTGTTGATCTCTATGTGGAGTGCATAATGCATATCCAAGGGCTATGTTTGCGGGGTTGATGGTGAGGGGTTGCGGCCCCGATGCCCGCATGAATCGCTGCTTCCCTGTCATGCAGCCATACATTGCAGATCATGGTAGTAAAGCAGCACGGCAGTTGCTTGGAAATCGACTTTGTCGTGGACTTCGACCTTCTGCCGTCTCTAACTACCACCATACCACGGCACAATGCAACAACATATTCCCTCAGAAGCGGGGCAACTTCATCTCCAGAAGTACCACGAGACCAAGCAAAAGGTGGGGCTAACTTGGTATGGCATTGATGTCAAGAAGTAGTAGCTATAAGTATGAGGCTCTCGCTGTGTATAGTTGGTTGTACAGACTCGAACTCCAGACAAAAGTCCATCCTCCTTCAAGATGGTCAATATCAAGACCCTCGTGAGCAGCTTCATACTCCTCAATGCTGCATATGCTGCTGTCACAAAGAGGGACAACAACCATCGACCAAGTGAGGTGCCTACCGTACACGTCAAGAATGGCACCTACACAGGCTACTATGCTTCCGCTTATGGCACCGACAACTTCCTCGGCATGCCATACAGTCAACCTCCTGTCGGCGACCTACGTTTCCGAGTCCCTCAATCGCTTAACACTACCTGGTCTGGCACCAGAAACGCTACTCAGTACAGCCCAGAATGCATTGGATATGGCAGAGACACTTGGAGCCAAGGCAACTACGTGAGCGAAGATTGCCTGACGCTGAACGTCGTCAAGCCAGCAGGTTCATGCGAGAACCTTCCAGTACTTGTCTGGATCCACGGTGGAGGCCTTGTGATGGGCGGCAGTGGAGACCGTCGTTACAACCAGTCTTTCATCGTTCAGCAGTCCGTGGAAGCAGGAATGCCTATTATCGCTGTCAGGTAAGTTTAGAGACTTAGAAATTCTTACATTAATGCTAAAGTTATGTTGNNAAGCATAAATTACCGCCTGTCGTCGTGGGGCTTCCTCTACGGACGTGAGATCCAAGAGTCCGGCAACACCATGAACGGATTCAGGGATCAACGTCTGGCTCTTCGATGGGTGCAAGAAAACATTGCTGCCTTTGGAGGTGATCCAAACCGTGTTACCATCCAAGGTGAATCCTCAGGTGGTACCAGTGTCGGAGCCCAATTGCTTGCCTACAATGGTCGTAACGACAATCTCTTCCATGGAGCCATCGCTGAATCAGGAGCTCCTATTGGTCTCAATCCTGACTTTGATGTCGACGACTGGGAACCAGTCATCGCGAACATCAGCAAGGCCACAGGATGTAGTGGTGCCAGTTCTGTACTTGATTGCCTCCGCAAAGTCCCTACAGATCAGCTCAACTCGGTCATCAACTCTACCGTCACTCGAGGAGCTCGCTACGGCCCCGTAGTCGATGGAGACTTTTTAACGCAGACCGCCTCGCAAGCGCTTGCCAAGGGTGACTTCCTTAAGGTCCCGTACATCATCGGTGTCAATGAGGCCGAGGGTGTGGGCTTCGGGCCAGGAGGTCTCAACACAACTCAGCAAGTCTTGAACTATCTCATCAGATCAGGTTATGACAATGCTACAGCCCATGACATCGCGATTCTCTACCCTGACATTCCAGCTATTGGTGTACCTAGTACTCTTCATGGTAGACCAAACGCTACCATCGGACTCCAGTACAAGCGCGCTGCTGCTATCGGTCAGGATATGAGCATGAATGCTGGCAGACGTCTGACAGCACACTGGTGGGCAAGACACGGTGCTAAAGCCTACACCTAGTAAGTCTGCAGTTCAGTCATCGATCTTAGCGAGCTCTGACTAATCTTTGTTTGCAGTATCTTCAATGCTCTTGTCAACGGCCTTCCATACTTCGCTGGAGCAGTCCACTTTCAGGAGGTGGCTTTTGTCTTCTACAACACAGAAGGTCTTGGCTATCCTCAGAACGGCAATCCCAACCCACTGGGTGGGCCAGCACGTGAATCGCTCGTCACCCTAGCCAAGCAGATGTGCCGCATGTGGGTTAGCTTTGTCAACTACGGTGACCCTAACATGCATCTTGGTGGTAAGTTCAGCGTTACACTTCGAACTAGACTCCTCTTTACTGACGATATGTCCNNAGTACCAGCAGAGCCTTGGGTCGCCGTCGATGCAGATGAGCCTGAGTACTACTACTTCCAGCAGAACGCTACGTCAAGCTCCATGCCTGATATCGTGCGTGCCGAGGGTGTGAGTTATATCGAAGAGCTCATCATGGCACGCAAGGGTACCAACTGCACCGGTATTGTTGCTTGTGGCAGCACTTATGATGGCGATCTTGGTAATCTTTAGGTGAACCGTCTTACGGAAGTATATAGCTTGGTGAACTTCAAGTGACATCGAATGGACCGCTCATTCCTGATGATTATCGACAATCGGAGTGCTAGGGTGGTTCCGAATAGTTGTAGTAGTGTTTTTCCCTAGAGCGAAACAGAATCTCGATATAGAGTCGTTGTACTTATGCTCATGTGCTTGATCTAGCAGATTATTGTGTAGTAGCTTATATCAGACGTAAGAGACACGCTTACCCAAATCGTTGCTCTTGTAAAGCGCGTCCACCCAAGCATGGCGCTTAATAGCCCACTTCCAGTCAGGATAATACTGACCGTTAGCGAAAGCCTCGTAGAGTCTTCCAACATTTCCAGGAGGACCCGGCTTGTCTTCCGTAAACTCTACTTCTTTGGTCTCGCCAGTCTCAAACAATTGCATCCTGATCTTGATGTTCCCCGACATGCTGAGGGCAAAGGTCTCTTGACCGCGAACTTTGATGACGCCTTTGTCGCCTTCGATTGTCCATAGCATGGCTGGCTCGTCCATGAAAGGTTGACCCCCGGTCACGGTCGCTGATGAGTGGGCACCACTGGCGAGAAGTCCAGACATGGTGATGTGGTCGGCGGCAGTGCGTTTGATAGTTCTCAGGACCTTTGAGCCATCGGCAGACTTGATCGGAACATCTGGATACTGCACAGACATTGTCGAAGAAACATCCTTGAGTTCGCCGACGGTGTAGCTTATAGAATCATACAAATGTCCAAAGGGGATCACCAGCATATTGCCGCCAACCTCTGCAAAGTTGAGGTATTCGATGGCCTCTGAGGTTTCCTTGGCACCTAGCATACCAGCTAGAATGACATTAGAGCTGACGACACGGCCGATTGCCTTTTCCTTCTCGATGATCTCTTTGATACGGCTGATGACAGGACTCATCTGACCCTGCAAGCCAACCATAGTCTTAACTCCCTTGCTTTCAGCAAGTTGAAGCAGCTCCCTAGCTTGCTCAGAATTAGAAGCCAATGGCCATTCCACAAAACAGTCTTTGCCAGCTTCAATAGCAGGCTTAATAACCTCGTAGTGACGATCAACTCGCACACAACACACCACAAGATCAACATCAGAGCTTGCTGCCATTTCTGCAACAGAGTTATATGCTTTTGCATCTGTGAGTTTGTGGGTGTCGACTGCTTNTTGCGAAGATTCGGCTGTTGAGTTGCAGACTCCTGTGATTTTGTATTTTGAAGAGTCTTTGAGGTAGAGGAGGTGGGCGGATACTCCCCAGGACCAGCCTGAGGCTGAGAGGCCAATGATTCCGACACCGATAGGTGCCATGTTCTGATTGAGGTGTCCTTGACGAGGGACTTCCAAGGTTATAGATCTAAGGGTTGCAGATAGCTAAAAGGGTAGCAAGTCTAGCTGCAACTGCAGGGCTTCAATTGAAACTAATTCTTGATGTCAAGGTACTACAAGAAATTCGTCAGCGGGTCTGACGATTACCAAGCAGGAGCTGTAGCTGCTTCAAGGAGAGCGTATCGGAAGTCGCAGCATCCGGTTGTGAAAGCTTATGCCAAGCTGCAATGCTCTGACATAAATCTTGTATTACTGTGCAATCATGTTGCCAACAAGTCTCGACATGCATGTGGATTCTCAACAACTGGTTATCACAGGCTCCAAGCGCCATTCTTCCTTCCAGCTTCCCATCATCAGAACATCAAAAGATGAACTCTCTCATCAGTATGGATACATTCAAACCTCTCATCCCAATGACTTTCCTCTACGCCGCAGTCACAAACTCAAATCTCGCAAGAGGCCACTCTCGCAGCTTCAGCATGACCATGGGCGCCGTCGGTATTCTCGCCTACATCTACGTGCAAGGCGCTTCCGACATCCGCAACGCCATGACTGCAAGAAACACCAGCAGCGATGAAAAGAAGAAAAGCAGAGCGGTTGGCGCAAGCCAGAGTTTGTGTATCATGCCTTGAGGACGGCATCTTGCACGCTACTGTCGTTTGTCGTGTTTGGAGCAACCGTTACGCAGCAAATGGTTCGGATGGCTCCTACCGAGAAAGCTTCGCGGTCGCTTTTCTGGGGTTCGAGATAAGGTTTGAAGGAGGGCGAGGACCAGCACCCTGACCTTCGTATGCGCTCGAGATTATGAGTGCAGCTATGAGGATGTACGATATGCTTTGGAAGGAAGTGGCTTCCAAGGAGAGCACATGATGTCAGACCATCTGGGTCATACTTGATAATGGAAGGAGTGTGCATTTTGATAATCACAGCATAACAATGCATCATGGCGGGAGAGGCAAGGTTCGAAAAACTCATCTCTACTCTACACTTAATCTAACGAATATGATAAATATCCACTCAATATCTCAATCTCTAATGACTCCACCTGACTCTTCATTTGCGATCTCAATCAATTCGTCAAGTGAAGGATGAGCCACACTCGCTGCAGACAGATATCTCGATGACACTGGATAAGCCACACGAGCTGAAAGTACCTCTCCTTCGTCGACTCTGACTATGACAGCAGTAGAAGTCTCCACTGACTCTTCATCCAGCACCAAGAACCAATCAGTGATCAGCTTAGAGCCCGTAGCAGTAACCATATCCTGCAACCTTTGCTGAGTATCAAGTAATGTGCAACCACTAAATGGACTTTGGAGGATACTCTCGTCGCCTCGAAGTTCTTTTGTGGGACCCCAGAGGTTGGCCTCAAGGCTGTGGACTAGAGTCAAGCTACTGGGGACTGACTCTTGAGGTCTTGTTGCTGGACTCGGGATAGGAAGTTGTTGATGTCCTGTCGTATACAAGATCAGCATTGCATTTACTTTCGTGTGGCAAAAGTTTACATACCTGTATTCTCATGTCTGTGGTGCAGCAAACCGCAAAGTTAACGACTTGGTCTGTCTCGAACATCACATTCTCGATTGCCATGGTTGCAGTGTTGGTTGCAGCATTGTATCAGGTCCAATGCTCCACGATATGATGAGTTGAAGGCTAAGCTTTATGTCGATCAAAATACTCATCCTTCGACCACGACATTAGGCCAATCACCACATATGTATTTCGACATGTACTGAATTCCCCTAGTGAGGACTTGTCTGTTTGATTCTTGTTTATTTACCCGAGTCTTCTTCGCCATTCTCCACTGCAACAAACAGCCCGGCCAACCTCTTGTCCACTTTGACCAGCTCCGAAACTTCTCTATCAAATTCATCAACGTTTTCTTGCAGAGCATCTCTAAGCATTTCCACCACAACCTTACACTCTTCTTTTATCCTCTCAAACTCATCTCCAGCCACGCTCTCTTCTTGCATTCTGATCCATGGCACCGCTACGCATTTCAGTACTTCAGTCTTATGAACATGCATTCTGGGCCATGTGTTTAACACGATAGCTTGCAATGCTTGGACAGACGACAGCAATAAAGGAGGCGAGGCGGTAATGAAAGGATGAGTAAGGATAGAGGAGAGCATGGGCAAGATGAAAGGAAGATGCTTGACAGAGTCCAGACCTAGGGAGGTCAGGATAGCGATCAAGTTTGTGGTTGTGACGGTGGTGATTTTGGCGTGTTCAGGACAGTAGGTGAAGGTCATCAAGACGCCTTTACGTACCAAGTTGTCAAGCAACTTAGTGCGCTGAGATTGTGTTCGGTGATCTGAAGTAGTTGAGGGCTTTTCCAAGACATTAGACAGTGAGATCAAGGCTGGGTAGGCGACAGCAAGCAGTCGAGCACTTTCGTCTTCTGGTGTTAAGGTAGGTAGGTAGCCCAGACACGGCATCAAGGCCTCTTCAAACACATCACCCAGACCAGTGCGCTTCAGAAGTGTAGGCGGTGTCTTGTCCAGCAAGAGTTTGAGCAGCTCGCAACCTTGAGCCTTGTATTCCGTATCGATGTCGTCGAGCATGCTGAGCAACGGTGGCACTATCGCATGCCAATTCTTCTCCACCAATCCATTATCTGCAGCGACAATGACCCAGCGAAGCAAGTCTAGCGCATAACTATCCCTCCCNNCCTTCCATGTCTTTTCGTCTTGACTCCGCTCGAACTTTTTGGGTAGGACGGTGGTCTGCACCTTACGCCCTTGACTTGTTACCTGCTGCGTTTGTGTCTTTGCAAACAGCGGGCGGATGGTAAGCTGGAGAANAAATGTCATCAGATCTGATGTGAGCTCACCAGGAGTTGGAGGTTGGTCTTTGGCAACGCGGACTTCTTCAATGGCTTCGGCAGTATCCTTCTTGCCAGGGTTGCGTAGTTGCCAGCGCATCACTACATCAAGGGCGTCCTTCATCCAGGGACCAGTAGGCACACCAAGAGCTTTGGTCAGGGCTTTGCCGTCAAGAATGGGCTTAAGAGCGTACGCGTCGAGGAGGTCCAATTCCTGGAGGTACTCCAGGAAGTTCGCGAATGCAGAAAGGTGGGCTAAGACTGTTAGTTTGCAAAGTCAAATCANGTGCACAGATGGAGACTCACATTTGGCTGCCGAGGGTTCATCGGCGACGTTAACCAGCAGTGCAAAAGCAGTTTGTGATCTCCAGATAGATCCCCAACGACGAATCGCCATTCCCAAGTCTTCACGTGCTGGACGCTTGCGGCCATATGAGTCGCTGACCATCATGGAAATCTCAGAGTGATTCTTGATTGAGTTGGTAATGACGTTGCACACATTGTTTGTGGCTTTGATGCCTTCGCGTGCAACAGTAGTAGCAACAGGTGGTGGTGGCTTCTTACCCTCCACGGTTGGAGGCGAAGGGGCGTCTCTGTATGGCACGATTGCGGATAACAACCAGATCAGATATCTTTCTTCGGCGTCGCGAACAAGGACATCACTGGTCTTGGAGGCCATAATCTCTTGCACGAAATTGATAACAATACTCCAGTTGTCGATATCTGGGGTGAAGACCTTGGTCTGGTCCTGGGCAGGATCGGAAAAGATGGTAGAGTAGAGAGTGAGCTGATCAATCAGATTTAGGGCCATGAGAGGGTCAGGACCTCTGAGCATCTTCTCAAGCTCGACACCGACTCTTTCGCGGCTGATCTTTGCTTGCAGTGCACTCTTGATCTCAGCATCTTTCATCCACTTGCAAGCTTCCGCTTCGATTGTATAGTTCAACCTGCTGGCGAATCTAATCAATCTCAAGACACGCAGAGGGTCGTCCTTGAAGGTCTGATAAGGCTCGAGGGGAGTACGAATGATCTTGTTGGCCATGTCGTTGTGACCCTTGCCTGTGAAATCCTCGATCTCGCGAGTGTTGATGTTGTAGAACATAGCGTTAACAGTAGCGTCACGTCTGAGGGCATCCTCTTCTGGGGTGCCGAACTCCATCTGAGGGTTTCTGCTGTCGTCGGTATACGTCTCCTTACGTAGATTGACCAAATCGATATCGAGGCCCAAGATTTTTGTTGTGACAGTTTCCAGATGCTTTGACTTTTCCGGATTTGCCTCGATCTTGTGCAGACCACCAACGATCTTGCTCTTTCCAGATTCGGCCTTCTTGGATTGAGACTCGTTACTGGCGACACCTTCCAAGCCGTACTTCTCTGGATTGCCAGGAATTTCAAGATACTCCTTCAGTCTCAGGCCGAACTGGAAGCCAGTCATTTTGTTGATTGCTACATCAATATCATGACTTTCGACGCCGAGAAGCTTGTCACGAACCCAGCCACCAGTCCATCTTAGGACAAGAGATTGGTTTGCCAGCTCATCAGGTAGAGGCACCTGACTTTCCGAAGCATGTCCAGGAGAATTATCAATGTATCTGGCAACATCAAGAAGTAAGGTGCGTAAATTCTCCTCAACCTCAGTAAGCTCCAAGATTCGAGAATTTGTGGACATGTTGGTAGCGGTGGTGGTGAAGTGTGAGTCAGAGAATAGCTTCCGGCGCTTGAAGTTATGTTGTGATGGCTCAGGCGACAGACTGGGACGAATCAAAGCAGGAGACATGCACTTAGTCGAGAGACATGAAAGTGATGATGGTCGGGGTAGAGAAATAGGCCTGGGACGGGCAAGTTGAGTGCGGAAGATTTGGCTGACCAGGGTACGCAAATGGACCATAGACATGCAGTTAGGGAATTGGAAGATGGATCAAGCAGTCTTGTAGGGCATTTCGAACATGTGTCGTAGATGATTGATGCGTGTCGGTCACATGAAAGATGCTGGGACTCATTTTTCGAGCTCGGCAAAGCTTCCGCAAACAGAAGGCGCAAGCGTGAGCACATGTTTCCATGACGGATGCCCGTCCGCGTGCAAGGCCATCACTGTCTTCCCAATCTTTCTATGCACTTCCGCAGCAGCCTGAGAGTACCAGGTCACTGTCCGAGTGCCAGCGACACATGACGTCCACGCCCAGCGATGCGGGCCTCCACTCACCGCGAGAGAGCGACTCCGAGTCGTCCACTTCGATAGCCCAAAGGACACTGCCCAAACTATCCTTACCATATCGCCGCTCAAACGCTTCGGTCGCCAGCTTGTTTGCTTCTACATCGTCCGCTCAACATTCGCCCACTGCCTCAGGCACCTCGACACCACCTGCCGGCGTCGTCAATGCCTCCGTCTTCTCTCCACCTGCTTCGAGATTGGCCAATGCCCTGAACTCGCCCACAACTGCCGCCCAACCCGACGAAGCCCGACAGCTGGTCCTGCGCGCTTTTGCTCCTCGTGTTTCTGTCCTGGCCTCGGATGATTGTCAAGAGCTGCTGCGCCACAAGGGCATCAATGGGGGTCTACTGGAGTTGCTGCGCCCTTTCGGTGAGAAAGTAGGCGGAAGAGTCGTTGTTAGGGACAGCACTGGTGCTAGTAGACCGTGGGACGACTTTGGAATCAGGTTTACCGGCGTTTCCGACGGCCTTGAAGCACCAAGACTGGACTCCAACCCATCTGACTTGCCCGAATACCGTCCCGCGCGCTTGCGCACTGGAGGCGATGTCGACCAGATTGACGACCTCGTTGCTCGCCATCTCCAGTATGCTCAGGATCAACCAACCACTGTCGACTATTTCTCCGCTCCTGAAACAAAAACACATCCATCACAACTCACCCTATTTTATACCTTATACCTTCGAAGGCTTCTCTCTGGAATACCTGTGACCCCTCACGAAACCTTCTCTCACCCTGTAGCTCTTGTGATAGCCATCAGCTCTCGAAATCCCGCCCCTATAGATGAACTACGCACCTTATATACCAGCTCCAACACAGGCCAGCACAAACCACCACCGTGGGTTAATAACGAGTTTCTACGATATTATGTTCTCATTCATGACGAAGACCACGACGACATTACAAAGTCCACCGCTTTATATGAACAGATGAAGCGTCACTTTGGTCTGCATTGCCATTTGTTGCGTTTGCGGAGTAACGAGTGCCTTCCTTCGGATGACGACAGCATGAGGCTACCCACTTGCGAGTGGCTTTCTGCTGGAGAAGAGTTGGGCGAAATAGCTAATAGAGGTAAGTCGCCGCACAAGTTTGATGGTTGTTCTCATCACCTAACTAGAATTTTAAACNNAGAGAGCTCTGAAGTTGATGACGACCCTACTCCGTATATCTTCGAATCTGATGCGGCTGCCATCCGAGCGTTCGTTCGCGAAATGGTAACACAATCAGTAGTACCTGGAATGGAGCGCTTATCGGCCTTGTGGAACAATGAAGTGGCTTCACGGCGACGAGGTATCGCAGGAAAGATTGGTATGGTGTCCAAGCGCTTCACATTCGGTTTCTCATCCCGAGGCTCTTCTGGTGGCATCGGTGGTTCCAACAGCAACTACGACGCCCTTCAAGGATTCTACAAACCTGATACTCCAGAAGCCGTGTTACGCAAACTCGCAGACTATGCTTTCATGCTCCGCGACTTCAAGCTCGCTCAAAGCACCTACGACCTCCTCTGTACAGACTACAAAAACGACAAAGCGTGGAAACATTACGCTGGCGCTAATGAAATGGCTGCTCTTACGGCTCTTCTCTCAGCACCCATAGTACCCTCCCGCACCCGCGTCGATTCTCTAGATCAACTGCTAGAGACAGCGTACTACTCCTACCTCACTCGCTGCTCGGCTCCTTACTCAGCCCTACGCACCTTAATCATAGGCACAGAGTTATTGCGTCTCCGAGGCGGATCAGCTCTAGACGACTCTGCCCGCTGGGCAACCCGCATCCTCGAAGACAGATTAGTAGGAAGCACAGGCCACGCTCTACTGCTCGAACGCATCGCATCCTGCTATTCCNNCTCACGCCGCGGCCACGGAAAACTAAACTCGGGCTCACGACACCGCAAAGCCGCTTTCTACCACATCTTGGCCGCAGAAGCATGGCTGAAACTAGAGAAACCGCGGCAGAGCGAGCAAAACCTGACGGCTGCTACTGAGATCTACACAACCAGTTTACCACCTTCAAACCACGAGATGGCTTCCTTTGAGCATATGGAAACCTTNTTGTTGACACTCAAACAAGCGGTTGTGGAAAGCAGACCTGTGACGAGAGATGATGTCGATGCCGCAGAACAAAACAAACAAGAAGACTCACAAGCAGATGTGGAAACTATACAGGAACAACCGAATAGTGGTCAACGAAGCCATGCTAGAAGTCTTAGCACTGCTGCTGCTCCTTCTACAGCAGTATCGAATCTGGATCCGCTAGGTGTGGCTGTGTTACCACCACACAGTCCTACGCTTTCTGAACGGCCGAATCCTGCTAATGATGGGTTTGAGTAGATAGAGAAATGTCATCTGTCACTTTTCTTAAAGCAACAAGGCATTGAAGTTCACATTTGCATGCCGAAAGCGCTGTTTTCGGTTTTTATAAGGGATAGGCATCTACAATCGAGCTGTTTAGAGGGGATACCTAAGCGGGTGTCTATAGAAACACACATCTAATTCATTGCTTGGCGATCGGTTGCTCTGTTACGGGTTGCCATCCCTTAGCGATACCCATCTTTCTTACATAGCCTGGTTGATAAGGTCGGAGATCAGCGTTCCCGTACGCGTTCGACTAACAGCAATAGAAGGGTAAGAATTTGGAGAGGAATTGTATATTCACAGCATCTGGTACAAAGAATGCCGTTGCTCCTATGCTTATGTCTTTCCGAACTTACTGCCAGGGCACTCATGGAATGGGGTATCTCGACTTCTTGCCTCTGGTGGAGCCCTTTGGCTCGTCACTTCCGCCTCCCAACTGATCCAGCAGATCCAGTACTCCGCCACCACCTCCAGACCTCGCGTTCTCCTTCTTCTCTTTGGTCTGTCTTTCTCTTTCCTTCTCTTCCTCTTCGGCTTTGAGTGCTCTTTCTCTTGCTTCCATCAAAGCGCGTTCCTGCGCTTCGTGGTACGCCGAGTGTGGCTGTGCGGCGCTGGAGTCACGCTCGTCGTCCGAGTCATCGAATTCAGATGTCTCGGCGCCAGAATCGGGGACTGCGCGTAGCTGTGGTGATTGTATCAAGCCACGCGAAGGAGAACGCAGAGTCTCGGGACTTTCGCTACGGGTGCTGCCGAAACTGCCACTGCGAGCACTGCGGCCGCTGCGGCGACTAACGTCTGAGCGGGCGGAGGTCACGCGACTAAGGGGCTCTCCATCTGCTGCAATCTGATCCGGACGGTAGCCAATGGCCTCGGCAACCATACGGGCTTCTTCCTCGGCATCACGCGGTTCCAGTTCGGGCAGAGCTCCTAGACCATCGCTAGGCATGATGCTCAAGCGATGTAGTGGATCCAGGGTATAGCCTGCGCCATTTGCGCCAGCATTGTCGCTCTTGTCGAGAATGTCGCGGTAGCCACGGCGAGTGGGATCTTCAAGTCTCTGCCGCTTCTTCTTGTCGCGCTTGGACGAGGGACGTACGACGATGACGGGAACGGGCGAGTGTTGAAGACAGTATTTGGACACTGAACCTGGCAACAGGCCTTGGAAGCCTCCTAGTGATCGACCTCTTGTACCGACGACTAGTATGGCAGGTTCGTAAATCCTGATNNCTGGTATGTTGGTCAGTTCGTGTGTCCGAGCATATAACTAGCTATGACTTAAGGATTGACCTACCATGCGCTGAATCGTGTCCTGGACTTTGCCGATAGAAAATTCCAGAATGATGTTGATAGCTTTGTCCTCGGTGTTCTTCTCTTCGATACGCTCGAGCATGCGATTAGCCTCCTTGCGGTAGCTGCGCTCTCTGCCTCCTCTGTCGCTTCCGCCACCAGCCCACTTAGCTGCTTCTTTGCTGTCCTTCTCAACCACTCTTAAACAGACGACTTCGTCGCCGTCGTCGACAAGCTCGTCAATCAACCATTCTAGAGCAGTGTCGGAGTAGTCGTTGGTATCAGTGCCGCAGAGGAAGGTACGCGAGCGCTTGGTGTATTCATATTCGCGATGCTTGCGACTCAGCGTCAGCGAGAAATCAGAGGCGTCGCGGTTGTCGAATGTGTCGAAAGAGACACGAGGTTTGAACTGNNACTGGTTTGCGAGTTAGTACGGGCCATGTAAGGGGAGGCGATGCTTGTGGTGGTCGGCTCACGTAGGTGGAGGAGGACTGCTAAGTCGCCTGGTGGCCGAGGTCTCCTTGATGGGTATTGGCCTACGACTGCGGCTGCGGCTAGCTTCGGTGGCTCCTCCAGCAACTCTGACATTCGGCATAAACTGCACAGAAGTTCTTCGAGCGGGGTTGTTGTCGTCAGAGCTGTGGAAGCGAATGGGCAGGGGGCGGGGCTTGTCGGCCGCGCTGTAGGAAGTTCCTCCAAAAGCCAACGATTGCGACGGGATCTCTGACGTCTCTCCTTCAGGGTTGTTCTGTGTAGGCGTCGCCTTGGGCGACTGTAGCGGCGACGGATTCATGACGGACAGGGCTGCTTCGTATGAAGGTTCAAAGAGCGGAAGTTGCAGTCGGCAGGCACGGTATTAATTAATGACTTTGTCGATACGACGAAGGAATAGCAGTGAAAGGAAGGCAAAGGCCTGTTTTTGGTACAGTGAGATTCGGATGAGTCGACGCCCTACAGAAGTCGCATATGTTATGGACGAAAGGATTGGACGCGCTTTGGGAAAGTCGGTCGGTGACTACCTGATCTAATGATGCGGTGATGCGGCCAAGCCTGCCCTTGTCAATGCCACGCTCAACGGTATCCATGCTCTTGGTTGGACAGCTATCTACAAACAAGATACCTTGTTAGGTCAGCTCCTCTACGTATACAAACAACTGTGTTCAGCATTCACGTGCATAGTCATGTCGTCCTTAATCTCGCTCTTCTTCCCTTGTCTACCGTTATGTGATTGACCGAGCGAAATGTGGGGAGACCTGGAACGTGCTGTTGCTGTCAGCCATTTGATTTCACATGCGTCGGCCTTGTTTGCTGGCTATCTCAGACCCGCTTAACAGTCAAAACCAGGCCATAAAAAGGCACAAAGTTATCATGCCAGCGGGCCATGTCCAGTGAGAGCCCGACACAATTGCGACTTCCAATGGACAATCTCATAATTCTCAATTACACTGTGCATTTCGACGGGTACATCGAAGAGATACTGGCCGTCTGAAAAGCACATCATTCTGTACCGCTACCGATGGTACAATCAGGTGAAAGGCAAGATTGCATCTGGGCAAGCATACAATTTTGTGTGTGATTCTTTCTTCAGTCTTAGGTACGGAAGTATATCAGGATAGGCATATATGGACATAAAGATTAAAGAGAGAAGTACTATTTCTAAAATCTTGCCGGGCTCATATGGCACGTCCGTGAACAACACCTGCGACTACTACGACCTCCAAGTGGTCGAGATCGGTATGAACGACAGTTGTCGGATTGCAGAGAGTATCGATCGTCCTCGACGAAGCTATACGTGGACTTGGAGCGTCGAAGATCCGATTCGCGCGGTGATTGTCGGTGACTGGTATCGTTGGAGACGTGGGGTCCAGCAAACGGGACGTTGACGGCCATCTGGGAAGTCATGTCGCTGGTCATGTCGCTGGTCATGACACTCATTGTATGACATTGTTTTAGTGAGGGGACGGGATTATATAGTGATGAAAGCCTACACTTGGTCTTTCACTTGCCGATTTGATTGCAATCATCGCAGTCATCCTCCCCCTGTATGCTGTACTCTGTATTCCCGACTGTAAAAATGCACGATTGTTTTCGAGTTGGAGACGAGTCCAGAGAGAGCTAGGCTAATCGGTGATCTCTTTGGGCACATGCTTGTCGCTGAAAGTTACTATGCATTTTAGCGACTTACGAATAGTGCTGAGTGTCGATGTGAGATAAGGGACAGTGTCCTCTGTTCGATGATTGTTGTTCGTTTTGCTAGGCACAAGGGCTATGTTGCTTTGGGCGGTAAGGGTTGGCGCATTGGGTAGTCTTCTTTCTGATCAACGAATGCGAGGAGGACATGGGACATACCAAATCGAAACTGTGGAGGTGATTCATGCTTCTTAGTAGAAACAAGACCTGACGCATGACATTGAAAGTCATTGTAAATCCGCATCTGCGTCTACACTGTCTCAATATAGCGTTTGAACTCCCTGAGCACGCATGTCGTCAGTACTGGTCTTGCAATAGACAGAGTAACAACTTACCAATCCGTGACTGCCTCGTCCCATAGTCTGAGTTCATGTTCACGAGTGCCGGCGAAATGATCAACAAAGTCGTCGCCAAACACTTCTCTCGCAACGCTGTCCTTGCTCTTGAACTTCTCGGTGGCCTCTCTCAGACTCTTGGCTAATCGGACACCCTTGTCTGATTCACCGCCGACATCTTCACCTTTGCCCAAAGGTGGGATTGGGATCTCGAGCTTCTTCTCTACGCCTCTCCATCCCAGGGCAAGAATAGTTGCCAACACAAGGTAGGGATTGGTGTCTGCTCCAGGTACACGGACTTCGAAGCGAGTAGATTTAGGAGAAGCGGTGGGAGGTGCGATGAGACGAATACTCGCGGCGCGATGTTCCAAGCCCCAGCTGACAGTGACGGGTGCCCAGAAGTTCTCCACCAGACGCTTGTAGCTGTTGATTGTAGGGGCGAAAATGGGCATGACATCCGGAAGACCCTCAATCAGACCAGCAAGGAAATGGCGGCCCAGATCAGAAAGGTGTTTGATATCTTCATAAGGAGCATTAGGGTCGGGCTCGCTGCGCAAAGAGATTTTGCTTTTTTCCGGGTCGCATAGGGAGACATGCATGTGACCGCTGTTTCCTGGTAGATTCTCACGAGGTTTTGCCATGAAGCAAGGTGTGATGCCAAACTTGCTAGCGATAGACTTGACGGTAANGCCTGCAGATATGTTAGCTGAAGCTTAGGTCTACTAGGCCTGCGTATTGTACTTGAACAGAGCTGCTCGATCCGCCATGCCTCTGATCTCACCGAACTCGAGAGCAGCCTCAAAGACACCAGGTCCACTCTCTGTATGCCATCCTTCAATATTGCATCTGAACTTTTCACAGGCATCGTAGACACCGTAGTAATAGTCTTGGTTGTGTACCGGTCTTGTAACACTGTATCCGAACATGCCGTCGGTCAGGGATGGTAAAGCAGATGGTACGTTCTCCTTGAGGAATTTGGCTGTGCTGGACGAGTTGCGCTCGGAAGCGTTGGGATCGGATGGAGCTCTGAACTGGTAAAATTCATATTCGGNCTGTACACATATTACAGTCAGCCTTGTATTTTGCATTGCATGTTCGACATGCGCACCTCCTGCCATGGCACTCATGCCCTTTGCCTGAATCTTATCGACAGCTCTACCCAAGACACTTCTCGGACAAGCCGATACAGACTGGCCTTCCGGTTCGTAGAAGCTGACCAGGAAGAAGGGTACGTTGTTCTCCCACGGTATTCTTCTGAAACTGGAAAGGTCGACTTGAGCTGTGAGGTCTCTGTATCCATTCTCCTTGTTCGAGATCTTGAGTTCCTTGAAGTAGGTCTGGTCGTGCATGTCCCAGCCAAAGATGACGGAGCAGAAGCCAAAGCCAGACGATGCGATAGAGAGAAACTTCTTCTTGGAGACCAGCTTGCCTCTCAAGATACCGTCAATGTCGCATCCTGCTAGCTTGACGCTCGTGTCATTCTTCAGAAGCTCTGGTAGATCTTCGAGCTTGAGAGCAGTAGGGTCATCCGTGATGGCCATGTTGTGAACTATCGATCCGGTGATCGTCAGATAGGAGGTGTGAGAGGTCAAGAAGGAGGTGATGCGAGTTTGTTATGGATATCTCGCTGCAGTCGCAAAGTTGGCTGCATACGCAACATGAACCAGCCCCGATAAGCGAATGCGGGGCGAGCTGCATCGCTGATCATTCCTGCCTGTGTCTCGTCAGGGTTATCTCTGGGTGCAACGCCGATCGAGTGCCTATCTTCTACAATTCACGTGCTGTGCTACCAAGAACGAAGACAGAATGATTCTTTGTACAACTCTAAGAACGATTGCTATGGCCTTAACGTGGTACTGAGAGTTCAGCAGTTGACATCATACCACCCAGCTTGATGACCCCACAAAAGGGCGTCTACCTTCGTGTTCTCTTGAGCTAAAGTTTGTCACTCGCCGAGTCAGGACTGTATAGGACTGGGTCGACGAGCACGCAGTATCTCTAGCAATTTGCTCAGCCATGACTTGTTGCATTGTGACTGTCTCCAATCTCGAGATATCTCAAAGCTTCACAGCATTATTTTGTCTCTCAGAAACCAACTGCAGCTAACGTGAAGCTGTGACAAACTTCAGCACCTCCCTTATCACGTAAAATCAAACCGACTTCGGCCCGGCGGGCGGAGTCACTGACCGCAACGATAGCGAGTCATCCCTTGGCAGTTGATGAAACACATGTTCAACTCCAGATTTCTTCTTGATACATTCAACATCAATCGCCTCTTCTGTTCGCCTGTTACGTGTCTGCTTTCACAAGGTAAGCATCGGTACATGTGGCCGAACAAGCTGAATGTTAACTTGATTAGAAACCACTGCTATACATAAAGCTTCATTCACAAACTTTTTGATATCTATCCGCAACCATGAGCTCTGAAGGTAGAGGTCGCCTTGCTGGCAAGAACGCCGTCATCACTGGTGCTGCTGGGTAAGTACAATTATATCTCATATCATTGATGTCTTGCTGCATCGATTAGCATCAGTAAAGAGCATATCTTGCCACCATTATACTACCTAAGCATCATCAAAACAAGCGACATCGAAAAAGTTTATACTGATATTTGAATAGTGGCATTGGTCTCGAGACCTCCATTCTCTTTGCTCGCGAGGGTGCATCTGTCCTGATGTGCGATATCTCAGCACCTGCTCTTGAGAAGGCTCTCGCCAAGGTCAAGGAGATTGTCTCTAACGCTGCCGGCAAGATCGAGACCACCATCTGCGATGTGAGCAAGGAGGCTGATGTTGCTGCAACTGTCGAGAAGCTGGATCCCTGGGGTGGTCTTGACATCATGTTCAACAACGCTGGTATCATGCACGCCGACGATGCAGGTAAGTTTTTGTCGAAGTCTCCAGCAAACCGCTTAAAACTCACACATTCACANGATGCCATTGATACTCCCGAGAAGATTTGGGATCTTACTCACAACATCAACGTCAAGGGTGTCTGGTTTGGCTCAAAGCACGCAGTGCAGGCACTGCGTAAGCACAACAAGACCAAGGGCTCCATCATCAACACTGCTTCTGTGGTCGCGCTGGTGGGAGCAGCAACACCTCAGCTGGCATACACAGCCAGCAAGGGTGCTGTTCTCGCAATGACTCGTGAGCTCGCTATTGTGCACGCACGCGAAGGCTTCAGATTCAACGCTTTGTGCCCTGCTCCTCTTAACACTNNCCCCCTGTTGCAGGACTGGCTGGGTGATGACAAGGCCAAGCGCCAGCGCCGTGAGATTCACTTCCCTACTGGACGTTTCGGTGAGGCTATTGAGCAGGCCCACGCCGTTGTCTTCTTGGCCAGTGATGAGAGCAGCTTCGTTAACGGAACCGACTTCGTCGTTGATGGCGGTATGACCAAGGTATGTTGCATTGGACGTCCAGGATACATGTTGGTGCAGTGGCTGATTCTTGATAGNGCATACGTCACTCCTGAAGGTCCTCCGGCTCCTGCTCCTACTAACCTCGCAAAGTAGAGGGGCCAGTGTCATTTTCATGAGAGGTTGGCGCATAGCTAATTCTGCATGGAGCAATGGATGATTTGACGATTCTTTCCTGAACAGCGAGACTATACAGTTGAATGAGATTTCGCATTAGACCAAGACTATAATCTATCTTGCTGTCTCTGCTTCGGTCCAGCGGACCAAGTGTGTGAGGGGTAATGTGCTGCCACTTGTGGCATATCATCTGCTTGTGTCGCACAAATATGAATCATGTAGTAGTTGGGCGAGATGCTGGAGAAGGGTCATATATAGAGTCAACGCTTAGGGTATTCAAACCTTCTTGGCGTTCTCATAGGCGCCCTTAGGGTCCTTAGCAATAGCCTCAAGCTCTCTACCCTCCTGCTTGCCAGCCTTCTTGAGTTCCTCGGGGATGGAGTCGCCCTTTTGAGCTTGTTGCCAGAGAAGGATACGCGAGACCTGTGTTGCGCCGACGCAGAAGAGAAGGAAGTTGACGGAAGCGAGGCTGTATCATCAGTCAGCATGTGACTTCACGTTCCATGAGAGGCCGATGGCACGTACAANAAGGTTTCTGGGCTTGATAACGAAGCACCAGCGGGTCCAGATCAAACCAGTAGCCATGAGCGCACCGTTTTGGGAAAGAGAAAGCGATTCGACTGGACGAGCGAAGTCGGCAGCACCAGCGAGAACGAGACCCCACTTCATGATGGGAGCCCAGAAGTGGACGGTCTTGGGACCGACGGGAGACTGCCAGAGCTGTTGGAGACGAGACTGGTTTGGTGGGGGTTCGACATTGGTCTCTGCTGCGGACTGATAGGTACGTCTTTGGGCGACGGGCTTGCCGGTGCGGGCAGCCTGTTGGCGGAAGGCATTGAAGAAACGGAGACCGGCTCTGGACGACATGGTGACTGTCTTTTGGTGTGACTGAGTGGAGATTGAATAGAAGTTGGGCTCGAAGGGAAAGAAACAGAGTCGCTGCTGCTTTCCGGCGATATGTCGAAGGACCCGATGCCGCAATGCGGAGCAAGAGCGGAGTTTGTGTCAGCGCCTGCCGTTTCCGCCAAAGAGAAGTGTTTGCTCTGTTTGTTTCGTTGCCCGTAGGTCAGCAACAGCGACACTCGACTGTCGCGAAACTGCGAGAGGGTCAATTGGATCATTCAACTCAACTCACACACACAACCATGTCGCTCAAACAATCATTCTCCAAGGCCCTCAAGGAGCTGCGCTTTCACCACTGCCAAACCTCAGAACACAGCGCCGCCGTCCGGTAAATTGCCATCCTCTCGCGACCTCCAACTCGATGCGCAACCAGAATCCTGACTGCTGGACAACAGNNCTCGTTCCTTACCCAGCAATACCCTGCCATGAAGAAGGCCAACCCTCACACCCCCATCTTGATCCGCGAAGCCCTCGAAGTCGAGCCGAGAGTCTGGGCAAGATATGGTTAGCATACCTACCACACGACTTGTTCACTATGCAACAATGACTGATCATGCTGTCAACTAGACTTTGGCAAGNNGGAGAAGAGCGCAAGCTTGAAGGGTATGTTCGGGTCGGATGCACCATGACCGATCAAGACTGACATGGTACACGCAGGTCTCGACAACAAGGCTATTGAGAGCAAGATTGCTGAGCTGGTCCAACAAGCTCAATAGATACCCCCATTCGAAAACTCATTAACGTTCTTCTTGCTGTACAAAACTTGCAACTATATTTTCCATCATCCTGCCAAATTCACACCAATCATCACCACTACTCAAGAGAAATAGATGCAACATATACATGTCGTTGCGAATATCCAGTAGGATACTGAATCGGTATCTATCTGGAACGCCACCAAGCATATAGGACATCAAGCAGTAACATTGCCAACTTCTCCAAATCTGAATTGGGCCCAAGACATGCTGCCTTGAGGTAGAGTCCAGAGCTGCTTTCCATCATCGCTACCAGCAGCTCCTGCGCCAATGTGGATAGGCAGCAAGTGTTCGAAAGATGGGTGCGCTCTTCTGGCATCACTTCTGCGCAACAAACCCGCCATCGCCTCCTGTCTGTTTTCTGNGCTGTATCAACTGTCAATTGATGTTTTCTTGTCGTGATGAAGCACAGAGGGCGAACGTACCTTTTGTTCAACGGCCTCCTTCAACGCAGCATCAAAGCTGATGCTGTATGGCATGGGAGCTGGTTGCTGCATAGCCTTCCACATATCCCTCAGATTATGCACAGCCATACCACTCACAATCACCAGAATACCCTCCTCTCTCAGGCCTTGCATTGCTTCACCAAGCCTGTAATGCTGATCTGCGTCGTCGCTATCAAAGAGTGACACTTGCACCAACGGCACATTCAAAGGGTTGGTCTTAGGGTTGAAGGCGACTGTGAAAGGTGCAAAAACGCCATGATCCAGACCTCTAGAAACACCCTTTGCATCGATATTCGACGTCTTCAACGCGGCCAAAACGCGAGAAGCAATGTCTTTGCTGCCAATGTTTGGATATTTGATTTTGTAGTAGTGGTCTGGGAAGCCATAGTAGTCGTAAATCAGGTCTGTGAGCTCTGCCGTGTTCACTTCGATGGTGTTTGGTGATGCCTGCCAGTGTGCTGAAAACACGACTACTGCTTTTGGCTTTACCTTCTCTGTAATCTCTTTGCCGATTTCTTGGAGTTTGGAGTAGGCTGGATGACTATAGTCTTCCATGATGTTTGGTCCGCCGTGCGAGAGGAAGTAGACTGGTGTGCGAGGCATTGTCGAGTAGAGTTTTGAGTGCAGTTTGCTTGTGGTGATGGTTGAAGTGCTGTTTAGTGATGATGCAGGAACACCTCTTGTGATCGTCCTGGCCCAGCGAAGCAGAGGTGCAGAGAAAGGAAACAGAGCGATAGCCACGATGAGACCAAGAATCGAAGTTAGCAAGCCGATGCGAGCGTATTGCATTGGCGTCGCAGTGGTTAGTTGATTGCGTATATCTCAAGTAAGATTTTGTGGTCAAGATAATTCTGGAATGATTATATATCTCCTTTTGCTGTATACGGCATAATTCCGCTGTGCTTACAGAGGGGTTCGGCATGCTGGCTTCCGAGCTTGGTAAGATACTGATAGAGAACGGCTCGAACTTTTCATGTTCGGAACCAACTCTTCACTACTGCGCGTCACCGGGTTAGTTCTGGACCTGCGCGCCGACATCTTGAGCATACAACCAAAATCTGATTTGTCTGACAGATACTGACAAGATGGCCGCAATCGTTCTTCCCGCTGCCAGAAGGCACACTTCCACCGTCATTGTCATGCATGGCCTGGGTGACAGGTAGGTCCAAAAAGCTTGTTTTTGAAGGTCTATCATATTGACTTTGTATCAGTGGTCACGGCTGGTGAGTGCGAGAGCTCACCATAATCGCGTATGATGTTAATCATTGCTACGAAGGTCATTCCTTGCCGATATGTGGAAGGGCAAATTTGAAGAGACCTCTTTCATCTTCCCCAATGCACCTGAGATCCCCATCTCCGTGGTATGTGCAAAATCAATTTATACTCTATGGCATCCAGCTGACGCGAATAGAACATGGGAATGAGAATGCCTGGGTGAGATAGCTCGCTCAATATTCTGATCGAATATTCAGCAATTGCTGACTTGTGACCATCTGCAGTTGGTACGATATTGTAAGGCCTCGCAACTCAGCAAATGTTTGCACTCTCTCCCCTCAGTCCTCAAACACGATCTAAACGTACAGGTCTTGTAAGAGACATTACTGACTAAATCTGCCTTACAGATGTCTTTTGATGACATTCAGCAACACGAGGACGAAGCTGGCATTACTCGCTCACAAGCATACATCCACTCCCCTGATCGCCAAGGGAGATTGAGAAGGGCATCCCTTCTGAGCGCATCGTTCTCGGTGGTTTCTCTCAGGGTGGTGCTATGAGTCTCATGTCAGGCGTCACTGCTCCTTCACGGTTGGGTGGCATCTTTGGTCTCAGTTGCTACTTGCTGCTTCGTGGCAAGCTTAGAGACATGATCCCCAGCGAGAACCCAAACAAGGTACACATATCTCCGACGTCGAGATTAACATCGATCTATGACTACTCACGTTTCCCATGCTAATCTCAAACAGCAAACACCCATCTTCATGGGCCATGGAGATGCTGATCCGGTTGTTCGCTACGAATGGGGCCAGGCTACTGCTAAGACTCTTCAAGAATGGGGCTGGAACGTCGATTTCAAGACGTACAAGGGTCTGCCTCACTCGGCAGCTCCACAAGAGATCAATGATCTGGAGCGCTATATCAAGGAAAGAGTCCCCGATCTCGGCGATAAACCTCTTCCTTCCAAGGCCTGACTGCATCAACATACTCAAGATGCTCAAACTGCTGAAGTCGGAAGAATCTGGCTGGCTATCCTACTGCTGTTCTGCTCTTTGATCTTCTGGAAATGGAGTGGAAGACGTAGAACTGAGACCGAGACAGCATAGACATCAATTGGAAGCCATTGTACTCTGACTTATTGATCTTGTTCTGCGTGTGAATTGTACTCGAAACACACCGTCACGGTAATTGTGAAGGATGCCGAGAAAGTGAGCACTTTACTTGCGACCCCCGCGGGTATGTGCATATATATCTGCAAATGTGATTTCCGATGGCCCCATGGTCTCTCCAGAAAGATTGTTGCTGGCTGAGGCTCCAGACATTCTGTGTTTCAGAAGATCGGCAAGATGCTGCCGTATCCAGAAGCATTAGGATTGAGTGATTTTGATTCTCGGCCCGCAGTCTCCTGCGCAAAACTATATCAAAAATCGTATATCAAGATATTGGAGTGCCCTAAATCACGACCCAAAGAAAAGCTATTGTCCGAGATTTGACAGCTCGTGACAGGTTGAGACCTATGTGTTTCGGCAACGACAGACTGACACTTTCCATCCACCTGCCCTCTTGCCTCGCACGGCCCCTCCCCACCCTCGTCCGTCTGTACCAACGTTTCCAAACAAAGCAGGTTTTCTTCACATCTCCTTTTATCAAGGATCAGGGTTCCAAGAATATGCACGAGATGCGCCATCGTTGCGCGACTGAACATGCAACTTCGTTTTCTGAAATCGCGCCTGCCGGTTGCACCGAGAACCGGGTGCGTGGTCTGCCATTCGTCGAGGACGTGCTCTTTCTCCATAGGGCGGTCCCCCTCTATTTTGCGATCAGAAGTCCAAGCCACAACCGTACTGCTTGTGATTGCCCTGTTTACCGTCCAAGGATGGTGCTTCCAGTGGATGCGTAGGTCCTTGTTCCCCGCTGTGGTAATGATGGTGTGGCCAGGCGGCACGAATCATTTAGCATGATGTGGCCGACCTGGATGTAATTGCGTGGTTCGCCTCGTGTCGTAACCCTCTAGTCTTGATTTTTTTTTGTCTTTCTTTGACACTCTCACATCTTCTTGTGTCCATCGTCTGGAGCTGCTGGCAGCATTGTTGCTAGAAGGTATAGACTATCTCGCACTGTACAAAGCCAGCCTACTCTATGGAAATCCACGGGTTGGACAAGGCTGATTTCGATGCCATCATGCAAGAGCCGGTCTCTAGTCCCGAGAGGACTTCGAAACGACAGGTTTTGAGAAGCTTTGCTTCCAAGTTAAAGAAAAGCACCAGCAGAAGAGGGTCTCTAGTGCGCCGCATGCCAGGTCGATACAAGTCTTGCCTTTGACTAACAAGCTTGTAGGGCGAGCGTTCTTTGAACCGGCGCAAGAGTCAGCTTCTGGATGTTCCATCTGTGGTTGTCGAACATGAACCCAATATCCTTGCAGAATGGGGCAGCAAACGATCATCCGAATTGCCACGTCCATCGAAAGATTCGGTCGTCGGACAATACTATGTTGGTAGTATCGCAAAACCATCACACAAATCACCCAGGTCGAGCCCAAAGCTACTGAGCCATGACAAGCTTGTCAATTATTTTGCTGGAGCACCCGAATTCGAGATCAGATCACTCAGGCCGAGAGTCAGCTATCGATGGAAGCTAGATGAGGAGAGTGGTGAGCCGCAAGATTTTGAAGATGTCAGCCATAGTACCTTCGAGGCCGCCACTTTGAGACGCCGTGAACGAACACGACAACTTCGAGACCTGGTTGCTGAAGACGCCGACAACCAGATCCCTATGATGGAGGTGCCAAACATGTTGAGCTTGAATGGAGTAGAACCTGGAACGACTGGATTAGAATACTTCTTGCAGATGCCTCTAGCGGACAGTAAGCGCTGTGCTGAAGACGAAGACGAAGCCTTCAGGTCTAAAAGACAACTACTGGCTACATCACCTGAACGTCTAGAGCTCAGACCGCTCGACGTTCAGTACTTGATTCAAAGATTGGGAGAAATCGGTGATAGTCGACACTCTAGGTCTAACGACGAACACCGCGAGCGAAAGCGCGACGAACAAAGTGTCGCCGACCTTCACACAAAACTGTTCTCCAACTTGCTTACAGAGCCTGAGAGGGAAGAAGATGATGATCAATTCACGAGTCTTGAAGGTCAGGTTGTGGCGCTCGCCAGAGTTCTCGTGACAACTAAACTATGGTACGATTTCAGTTTGGTGGAACATCGTATTCGACTGGGCCAGATCTTGTGGCCGTCTACAGAGTATGATGAAGATTCTGTGGTCAACGTCGAAGAGCCGATAACACCCAGCGAACGTGACATTCTGCTCCTACAGATCGCTTTGGCTTGCGAGCTGTTGATCCGCGTCGAGCTTTCTGGCTTTCCCACATCTGGTTTTTCGCGCAAACTACGATGGGATCTTGTTTTGGCACAACGCTTCCTCGACAATGTTCGCATTGAACCGAAGGCGACGGTGGACGATGAGATCTCAAACCGCAATAGCGTTATGTCAATTGCTACTTTTGTGACAGCAAGGGAAGATTTGGAAGCAAATCGTGTGGAGCCAATCATGTATCCGAGGCACGAGAAGAGGCAAGTGGCTGGTTTGCTGAAATTCGCAGAGGTCTTGGCCTGGCCACATGCAGAGGAGATACAGGATCGCTTTGCTGAGAGAGTAAGGAGGCACTCGCGTGACGCAAGCAGGTATGGTGCTTATGGTGCACCCCTGGGTACGCCAAACCAACCTCCTGGACAGAGCAACTACTTTGCCCAACAGAACCGGCCGCAGATGAGTCGTGCATGTACAGCACAATCACTACAACTCCTGCCAGCTTCAGCATACGGCGCTGACACTTTTGACCTCGGCGGCTGGCTTTCGAGGTCCTGGTTGACGGGCTTCGTGCTTCCAGGTGAATCCACTTCACACCTGCTCATCTCGACATTGCTGGAAAACTCGCCCGCAGCGGTCGCTGCATTAGGCGATGCGGCTAACCTGTACCAAGGCTTCGTCTACAAGTCACGTAGCTACTGGAGCAAGAGCTGTGTCGTGGGTAGAGTCATCGCAGCTGCAAACGGAGCGGCTGACTGTATGGGCTGGATCTCTTGCAGCAGTGCACCCGTTGGCCAACAGGATGGATGGGTAAATCTCGAAGTCAAGGATCTGCCAGGCTCTACCAGCGAACCCAACACAAATTTAGCAGCTGACTCGGCATTTGTGCCTGGCGAGAAAGATTCTGTTACGGACGTTGAGTTCACCTGGCCTGTCGACGGCTTTGCAGTACTAGGGAACGAAGCACAGTACCTTGGATTCAGTCTGCTCCCCACAGGCACTAGTTTTGAACTCAGCGCTACACCCTCAGACAGTCTTTCAAAAGACAGCGACGCACATCTAGCACCCGTCCCTACTGCAGTCGCTTGCTTTGAGTTCGGCACGAAGCGCAGCTCCCGACCAGTAAAAGTGACACTACCGCTCCTCTACGACGTCCACTTCATCTCTGCAACCCCCTGTTTCCCGAATATCTCGAGACCGCCATCGCCAGTCACGAAAACATCATCGACAAAATCTCGCTCGGGCTCGAACAAGGAGTTGCCATCGCCGCCAACCCATCCTCTACACTGCTCTTATGCTGTTGAGGTCATCCCTGCAGCGACCATCCTGGCAAATGACTTTACAGACACCGTGCATCTGGGTAATGAGACTGTGGTCTTGGACTGCAGAGGCACTGGAGAACTGCAATTGTTAGCCAGAGCCTGGTGCGCCAAGATTGGTGAGAACGCTGTTGTGGGTAGAGTTGGCAAGACGTGCTTGGGATGTTGTGTCAGAGAGGCAAATGGATTGGGTGTCAAAGTCGTTATTAGAGTCTGAGAAGCCTCTTGACGGCTTGTAGCCCCTTCTCATGTTGATCTCTGTTTTTCAGAGCTTTGATAGCTTGTTTTTCGTTGTGTAGATACCCCTTTCTTGTCTTATGTACTTGTTCATATCATACAGTGTCAGTTTTACTGTGTCGCAATAGCACTTCCCTCCTCTTCATCAATCAACTCGACAACAGGCACATTGACCCTGACAACACCATCCTCCTCTCTCCCAGCCACACGTCTAAACTCCTCAAAGGCCTCTTCATCCCAACTACTCGCCCTCATCCCATCACCCGCAAATCTCAACGCATCCTTCAACCACCTCCCCTTTCTATTCCCGCTCTTCTCCACCCTCTCAACCCAATGCCACAAACTCGGATCCCTGAAATTGACATCTGGTGCTGCCTCCCCAGAAGCACGGGAAGTAATGTGTGCACGCAAAGCAGCAACCAACAAATAAAACACAACACTGGGATTGCAGTTATGATCCATGACTGCGATTTTTATCGTTGTGGTGTCAGGAACGACGTTTATGGATGGTGAGCACAGGAGAGCTACGGCAGTGTAGGAGTGTGCGGATATTGCTGTTGAGAGGCCTGCAGTAGCGGTTTCACCGCGAGAAGACGATGTCCAGTCGATACTGCAGCCTGACCAGATGAGGTATTTGAGAAACTCGAGTTTTGGTGTTGTCCAAGGTTCGTGCAGGAGGGATTGAGGAAGTTGAACTGCGGAGGAGAGGGTGAGGTAAGGGAGGCGAGGTTGGTTGTGTGGGTGAGAGAAGTTGGGCACTGGGATGGTAAGTTGCTGGTTTTGCGACGATGCTTCGTCTTCGTCGTTATCGCTATCGTCTGTATCTGAATCCGAGGGTGACGAGCTGCGTGATGGCGGCGATTTAATTTTGTGTATCTCTTGTATTGCGTCCTTGAATAGATCCCAGGTCATCCATTTGCATTGTAGCATGCGCGAGACTACGGCAGCATCTGCAGCCCCGTCTTCGCTGACACCATCCCTGGAGAGCGTGTCGATGGCAAAGCGAAGATAGGTGTTGCGGTGTGACAGATCGCGAGCAAAGACATATGACGATAAAGGCAAGCTTATGTTGTTGCAACATTGGAATATCACTTGGACTAGCTCGGTGGGCAGCTGCTCAAACTTTGATAGGGTTGGATCTCGTTTTGTTTTCTTTTGCTATTGAAAGAACATGTGTTATTTACTGCATGAAATCTGACTGACAGAATTTCATGATGAAGGAAACTATTATTGGTGCGCCGATACTTACTTCTTCAGGGGTTGAGAGCTGGCTTGGTTGAAGCGCGCAGTCTTCCATGGTCGGTCACGGTTCTTGAGTGACACGTCTTTACTTTCAGACAGGCGACCTCGTTTGCGACGACCACGGATCCTGATAGGAGTGAGGTCCATGTTGGATGGAGTACTCGAGTAATTGAACCGATGGTAGAAGGATGGATGTCTAGACTATCAACTCATGTTAGCAAAGATTCTGAAAGACAAGTGCTGATGATGAGTGATTAGGTGATGAATGTTCTCAGTGATCTTGGTGTAAAATCGATCAGGGCCGAAGCTCAATTACTATCTAGTGCTAAAGGTTTTTAATCATTGAACGGGGAGGGTGTGTTGTGATGAGATGGAGGACTGTTCCTACCTATTGGACCAGTTTTTGGAGTGATGGCGGATTGTTTATGCAAAAGCAAGTCTGTACTAAGCTCAAAGTCAGTGAATGGTTCGAGCAAGGTAATGATTGACAGGGTTGAGGATTGTGGTGAGTGTCAGAATATGTAAGAATTGAATCTCATAGCGCATGCGCCGTTTAGAGAAACAGGCGTGTAACTCCGGTCGCACACGTCAATCGCAAATTATATCATCTTTCGGAAGAGTGCTGGGGATGGCGTGCAGAAGAAAGAAAGCGTGGTTATAACATACCTTCACATGTTGTTGGTGATGAGAGAAGGAAGACAGAGAAAATCTCGAAGTCGCGCGCAAGCTAAAAAGCAGCCAGCGGGAAGAAGATGTCGGCTTATCATCGGAGTGAGAAGCGGTGCTGCCAAGCCCGACACGCCGCACACACTTTCGAATTCTGGCAGTCACAGCGACACATTCGATCGCGACTGCTTAAGCATACTCTCACGACCCATCCCTCCTTTTACTGTACGTCCGAACCGAAGAGCCTTGCAGTCGCTGCCGCATACCTCACCCTCCGGAACAACACATCTGACTCTACTCGCCAGAACAAACAGTCAAAATGGGTGACGCAGACATCAAGGCCAGCCAGTGGAGACTCGTCGAGGTCGGCCGTGTCGTCCTCTTCAGCACCGGTCCCTACGCTCAGAAGCTTGCCGCTGTTGTCGAGATCATCGACCACAAGCGCGTACGTGAAATCCTCCTGCCAACTTCCTGAAAGAACGACCGACATCGAAATATCCACATTCGCACAAAACACACCTCCGAACACTTTCTACGCAAAAACCTACATATCGCAACCCGCGCACAATACGAACAGACAGTCAGCAAGAGCGCCAGGCTGACAGTGTATGAAATANNGGTCCTTGTTGAGGGTCCTTCCTCCGACTCCAAGGCTGCCGTCCCCCGCCACTCCGCCTCTCTCTCCGACCTCTCTTTGACCCCCATCGTCATTGAGAAGCTTCCTCGCGCCGCCGGCCACACCGCCCTCAAGGCTCTCTGGGAGAAGGTTGGTGTCGACAGCAAGTGGAACAACAGCGCCTGGGCCAAGAACCGCGAGCGCTCCGTCAAGCGCAAGCAGCTCACCGACTTCGAGCGCTTCAAGGTTATGCGCCTGAGAAAGCAGGTGCGTGGATAAAGACAATCGCATAACACAGTCGAGCAAACCCGACTGACAATATACNNCAAACAGGCCCGCTTCGAGGTCCGCAAGCAGTTCGCCGCTGCCCGTGCCCAGTCCGCCAAGGCATAGATGGATGACTTCTGAAAAAGGGGACGGATACATGGGTTCAATGGGAGTAGTGGGCTTTGGCTTTTGCAGAAATGAAAGCGGGGGTTCTTCTTTTCACACTGCTACGCTGCTGCACATTCGATGCTGCCCTTGCGTGTTTCCAGCAGAAGGTACATGACAGCTTCTGGGAAACTGACGGAGGGCCACAAAAAGTCCTAGCATCGACAAAGTCTATCCAGCTCTTTCTCCAAATGCTGTGGGAAAACATGGAAAAATGCTTCAAACACCAAAATCTTCAGCGACAACGCTTTTTTACGTTCATGAATTATTGTATATGCTTGACTTGTACTCTGTGATGGCAACCAAACGTGAATGTAAACAGTGAATTCACCTTGATACTGTGAGCGTGGAGACACATGTTGGCCAGTGACGCAGCGAATTCTTTGAAGCCAGCCAAAGTGGGCATGCAGAGAAATTCACCGTGCGTTCGCAGCTTCGGCAATTCCAAGCACACGGCGCATCCAACCTCATCCCAAGGCCACATCACTCAGTAACTGCATAACAGAATCGTTCAATCCGGTGAGTACAGGCGAAGCTATGCGCGAATTTTGCATCTCTCAATTCTGCAAAATCATTGCTTGAGGCTCGGATGTGTTTCCCAACGTCCAAGAGAGAGCTCTCGTACGTCGTGGCAGCAACAGTCGACTGACGCGCAAATTCGCCCACAGATCCTATAACCAGCCAAAATGTCGAACCCCCGTGTTGAAGAGATCGTCGACGACAAGCCCGAGCAGCAGGTCGAGGTTGATGACAGCAGCTCCGACTCTGAGGGCGAGGAGGGTGGTATCCCCGCCGGCTCCTCCGTCACCGTCCACTCGCGCAACGAGAAGAAGGCCCGCAAGGCCATTGCCAAGCTTGGCTTGAAGAAGATTGAGGGCATCACTCGCGTCACCCTCCGCAGACCCAAGAACGTAAGTCCTGGCTTTGTATCTATATGCCAATTGGAACCAGGAAGCTAACCCAAGTCCAGNATCCTCTTCGTCATCAGCCAGCCCGATGTCTACAAGTCCCCCAACTCCAACACCTACATGTAAGCATCTTCCTTATCTGCAGCTACTCCAACCCCAGTCAATTGACACGCGATACAGNNCATCTTCGGTGAGGCCAAGATTGAGGACCTGAACTCGCAAGCCCAGGCTGCCGCTGCCCAGCAGCTCTCCCAGCAGGAGGGTGCCGCCGAGCACACCCACGACCACTCCGACAAGGGTAAGGCCCCTGAGGTTGAGGCCAAGAAGGAGGAGGAAGAGGAGGACGACGGTGAGGAGGTCGACGAGACCGGCCTCGAGGCTAAGGACATTGAGCTTGTCATGGCCCAGGCTTCCGTCAGCAGAAAGAAGGCCGTCAAGGCCCTCAAGGAGAACGACAACGACATTGTCAACTCCATCATGGCCCTGAGCATATAGATACAGTCATCTGTCTAGAACAGAAGATATGACTGAAGCTCGGCTCAACCCCTAACACTTTACATATAAAAGTTTCTATCAACGAATGAATGTCCTCGTTGTATCCTGACTGTTCTTCTTTGTCTACTTGCATGTGATCTATTCTTGCTGTTGTCGTGTGTCCAATTGCATGCCGATATCGAAGTCGTAGAGACTCGGGTTCGAGGAAGGTGCACAGACATTTTCGCCAAGAGCGGAAAGAGCGACGGAGACGCAGCAACCTCAGTCGATGTTCGCGAAGGCCAACGGATACCGCCTGCATCGCCGTCTCTCTCCCCTCTACCTTCCGTCAATCCAACCCATCGTCACAATGGCCGTCGGAGTGAGTCATGTCGCCCTTTTCCACCGCCCTGTCGCCCTTCCGCTCGCGCCGTCGCTCCCGATCCTCGCCCTGCCGCCAACATAAGCTAACACCCTTCTTCAGCGCAACGCAGCCCTCAAGCTCGACTGGGCCAAGCTCTCCCAGCAGCTCTCCCTCAAGGGCCAAACTGCCAACTCTCTCGTCGCCTTCAAGAAGCGCAACGACGACGCCCGCCGCAAGCTCGCCCAGCTCCAAGAGCAGCAGCAGACCATTGACTTCGCCCACTACCGCGGTATCCTCAAGAACTCTGCCGTCGTCGACGACATCGAGAAGCAGTTCAACGCCTTCCAGCCCAAGAAGTACGACGTCAACCGCCAGATCAAGGCCATTGAGGCTTTCGAGGCCCAGGCCGTCAAGGCTGCCGAGCAGACCAAGTCCAACGTCGATGTTGAGCTCAAGGACTTGCAGAAGACATTGAAGAACATTGAGGAGGCCAGACCATTCGAGGACTTGACCGTCGTGCGTATACCCGGATTTGTTATCTCACGAGTCACCCCTTGTCTAATAAACATATCTAGNGACGAGGTTGCCGCCGCCCAGCCCGAGATCGACCAGCGCACCGAGCAGCTCGTCAAGAAGGGCCGCTGGATGGTGCCCGGATACAAGGAGAAGTTCGGCGATCTTTCCATTCTGTAGAGTGGTTACATCTTACTTCCTTGTATCTTCCTCACCTTTTTGCTCTTCCGCCACAAATTACCCGCCATACCTCCCCGAATTACGCTCATCAAACACCTGTATCTTTTGCCGGTCGAAATGGGCTGCAACCAAGGCAAATTTACTTTGTAGCATAGACAAAATCGCATTTGCCCTTTGATCAAACGAAGCGACTCTGCTTACGAGGAGAAGCAAAATTATGTTTACCTGCCGGATATCATTAACAAGAAACATGGACCAAGTTCGAGGAATGACTAAATCATAAAATCATGATAAGGTGAGTTCTGATTGATCCTGATAAACGAAGCTACGACTGAGGCAAGTACTGGAGAGTCGCGAAACCGAGTAAGAATATCCTTCTGTTCCTTCCTTTGCTCTCGTATTCTATCGTGTCAGTCGTGCCTTCCATCTATGCTCAAGCTTTTCTTTTCCTGTACTCGGTCGCTCTTTCCTTTTTCGAGGCTTTCTTTTGGTCGTTCCTTCCTTATGTGTGGCCGTCCTGATCCGCGTCCATTACCAGAATCTGCCTCAAGCCTCTCTACTGCTCTTCCTCATTCCGAATGTTATGGATTTGGTCGAGGGAGAGCAGTCTTAGATCCACCATGTACTTCTGTTTTGGATGTTTCATGATCACTTGCCGTTCTCTCATCTCTCATATTCTTAGACTCTGCCCTTGACTCGAGCTAGGTATTGTCTTCGACATGTCGGATCGATTGTGGTATCAAGCAATCTCTCATATGTATGCGGATGAAGCTCATAATGTGTTATCGCAATCTTTCCCACCATTTCTTTTCTTCTTTTCCTTTTCTGATGGAATTTTAATGAGGCTAGGGTGACCCTGGCATCAACTTCCCTTCCGTTTTCTCTTCTATCAGGTTGAAAGGTTGGTCTGAAAGTTCAGGATTATACATGTATAGATATTCTACTGTCTTTTCGTGAGACTCGTATGACCAATTGCAAGTTCGAGGCGTGAACATCGCAATCGCAAGATGTTGGATCTATGGAAAATAATTCTGCACAAGGAAATGAACTTCGAGACAATAACACCGTCACGCTTCTACGTTCTAGCTGGGATCATGCCTTGTTGGTTATTCGATATGGACATTCTTCTACCTGCTTATCGTAGTCTGTCCTCTATACTGTCCTAGTAGCTCCTTTTGTCCTTGCGGACAAGATCTTTAGCTTAAGCAAATGTGTTGTCAGAAGTAACATCGACGCTTTTGTGCAAGTGCTTTGAAGCAAGAGAAACTAAGATAGCTAAAGAGAACAGAGGAAAAAACAAAGAAGAAACATTGGATATGAGAGAGACAACGGGGAAGAATTCATGAGACACAGAGACCACATAAGAGGAAGGTGCGATGGAGGGAAGGAATGATTACGAAGAGAAATAACTAGGAAGGAACGACTGTGGGAAGAGACAAATGTAGGAAGGAGCGATCGAGGGAAAGAACGATCAAAGGAAGGAGCGATTGGGGGAAGGAGCGATTGAGGGAAGGAGTGATTGAGGGAAGGAGCGATTGAGGGAAGGAGCGATTGAGGGAAGGAGCGATTGAGGGAAGACACCAGTTTAGGAAGTAATGGAATCAAGGGAAGGTGCGACTAAGCCACAGTGCAAGCTCAAAGGAAGGTACGGACCAAGGAAGGAACAACTCAACAGACAAAATCACCCAAAAGAAACAACGACGACAAACACAAATTCTCACCATTAATAAAGAACAAAAACAGAAACAGAAACACAATTCAAGGCAAAGACGTCAATTCAAGAGAGTGTCCAGTCTAAGGCTATAACCCTCAAAGGCCATGTGCCAAAATCACACTTTTCTTGCATCCTTCTCTAGCAGACTTGGTGCCTAAAAGGGCCTATTCTCGTCCAGTGATTTGTGTTTCTCCATTTTTCATTCCATATCTTGTAAAACGAGTGTGGTGTGTTGCAATTGCTCATAGCCGTACTTGCAAACAGCAGGTGAGTCCGAACGTCGACTCTCAAAAGAAGAAAAAGCTGAAAACAAAAGTTGAAAAGTCCAAAAAGGACAAGAAGGTCAAAGGGCTGGATGGTCAAACAATGAACAACCAATGTGTCCAAGGTAATCCAAGAGTCAAAGTGAGAGCTGCAGACTTAACCAAGCAAAGCATCCTCGCGACGCTGCTCAAGACCAGGCAGAGCAAGAACCTGACCACCCTCAAAGGCAGTGTTGTCTCTCTCAGCGCCTTCAACAGTGTCCTGCTGGCCATTGACAAGGTGAGACTCGCCAAAAGTAAGAGCACGGTTGGTGGGCAGAACGCGGCTGAGAGCCCCGTAGACAGCACGCCATTCAGCCTCAGCAGCTTCCTTGAGCGAGTGCATGTCCTTCTGCATGTGGTTCTTGTACTTGACGCCAAAGTGGCCAAAGGTAGAACCAGAAGCCATCTCAGGATCGAGAAGCTCAAGGCAAGAGTCGGCATCAGCAATGGCGTTGCGAGCAAAAGCGCCATCAGGGTCGGTGGCTGAGCTCAGAAGGGCAATGATATAGGCAAGCAGCGAATCAGAGGACTTGGGGTTCTTCGACAGAGCTTCGAAAGCCCACCAGCTGCCAGTCATCTGGTCGACAGGAGTGAAGGGAACCATGCCAAGAAGAGCACCATAGCCCTCGTTGGTGATGCAGTTTACCATGTAGGTCTTCTGCTGGACGCTGAAGCCGGGGTTGCCTAGGCAGGCAGTGATGTATTCCTGCAGCAGACCACGGTGCAGCAACTGAGGGTGACTGTTGCGGCTCACGGCGCTCATGAGAACGCGCAGCTGAATCAAGGCGCAGGAGAAAAGAGAGATACGCTCGCGAATGGTAACATGCTCGGTGGCGTGCCAGGGATACTTGTGCATGATGGAGATCATGGTCTCGTAAGTGCGGTTGACACAACGCTGGGCGAAAGGCGAGCGCTGTGGAGTCTCGGCATGCTTGGTGATCATGACCATCTCCTCGCTGGTGACAAAGCCCTGGAAGCCCGAGTTGTATGCCTCGGTAGTGGAGTAGACAACGGGTGTGTGACCGTCCCAGTTGACACACTTGGCGCGAGGGAACAATTCCTTCATGAGAGCCTCCTGGCTGCTCAGCTCAATCTCGACATGACGGTCGCCGATACGAGGGTGGCGGTTATTCAGGCAGCGCTGGTGGAAGCTGGCAATGGCGGCCTTGGCCTCGTCGACAGAGTCCAGCTCGACATAGACATCCATGGTCTTGCCAGTCGAGCGTTCCATAATGATGTGAATGGCGAAGTAAGCGTTGCCCTTGGGCTGAGAGGCAATGCGGGTGCTGCGACCCAGGGCAGCGATGACTTCGTTCTTGGTAGTGGCATAAGGGATGTTGCCAATCTTGATGACACCGTTGGTGCTAGGGCGTGATTCGGCGGCCGTGTCAACAAAGGGCATGTGCTCGTAAACCTCGTCGAGGTTAGGAAGAGCGCGGTCCTCCGGACGAACCCAGTCAGGGTCGGGGCGCACCTCGGGAGCCATGACAGCCTGGCTGCGGATGACAGGCTGCTGCACGACAAGCGCATTGCCCGGGCTCTCGCCGCCAGGAGAGAGATAGCCACGACCGTCGGGTGGTGATCTGCTGTCCATGTGGTGGAGGGCGCCAGATCTGATGGCCTCGGCCATACGAGCAGCGTGTGTCTGCGGCTGCTGGACGACGTTGGACTGAGGCTGATGGGCGATGTTGACTGGGTTGTTGGACTGCTGCGGAGTGCGGCCCCAAGTGTAGGCAGGACCAAGGTTGCTGACAGGGCTGCCCACTGTAGCAGGAAGGACAGATTGAGGTGCAGTGGCAANAGGCTGGTAGTTGTTGGTCCCAGCCATGAAGGCGCCATTGCCATACAAAGGTGGCTGAGCGTCAACAAATGGATCAGACTGAGCATGAATGCCACGGTGAATGGGCATGCTGGCGGTCATCTGGTGAGGGTTGATCTGTTGACCAGATATATGAAGACGGTCCATCTGAGAGCCGAGCACGTGGGCAGTCTGGAAGTGAGGACCATTCATCTGGGTGGCAGTCGTATGAGGCTGGTTCATCATGTGAGGAGCGTTCATGCTGGTGCGGTTTGTCTGGAAGCCGTTCGAGCGTGCGTCGTATGGATACTGAACATTGGCAAAGCCGTTCATGTGAGCGCCGTTGTTAAGGTGACCACTGCCAGTGAAACCATTGAGCATGTTGTTGAAGCTCTGAGGCATAGAGCCGCGCATCGAGTGAGCAGCTTCATGACCGCGGGAGCCAGCATGGTTATTGATACTGTTCATTTCGCGCATCATGGCAGGCATGGAGGGTGCAGCCGAGTTGCGTTCCATCCGCGAAGGCGACATCAAGCTTCTGTGACGAGGATCAACGTAAGCGGGGTCAGGGCGCTGGATGGGACCAGGAACCTGCTGCATCTGTGCAGGCACGCTGGTGAACTGCTGCTGAGTGGAAGCAACCTCAGAGTTATCGGTCTCAGGGGTGGGGGTGGCAAGCTCACGGAATGCGTGCGATGGCTTGAAGATGCTGGGCTTTGGAGCATGGATCTGCGACTCGTTGTGTCCATTACCAGATGGATGCTGTTGAGTCTGGTTGACCGAAGGATGCTTCGGGTAGGGGGCATTGTGGCCGTGGCCGGCAGCGACGTACTCAGGGAAGTTCGCACCAGCGGGTCTGCCAGGGTTGAACGAAGGGAAGCGAGTGTGCTTCGACTGCTGGGACTGATCGTTTTGGCCCTGGATGCTCTGGCCGGATGCAACCTGTGGAGAGGTGGTGTGCTGAGTAGCACTCATGTTGTGGTTGTTGTTGATGACGCCACGGTTCGTAGCTCCAAGTTGATGCTCATCTCCAACTGGTGGAGGAGTAGAGCCGTGCGAGGTGGGGTGACGCATGTTGGCAATACTGGCGTTAAGAGACTGGAAGGGAGACGGAGTCGGTAGCAGACCGCCCCAGATAGAGTTGATGGTGCTTGTGGGAGACAGTCGTAAGCCTTGAGTCCAAGCAGACAGATCTTCAATGCTTGAATTGGTAGTCTCGTTGGCCTCGTCAATCTCAAATATCGCGGTGACAGGCTTNNTCATAGTGTAAGCAGAATGCGTAGTTGGATGAAGGAGGTGCGAAATCAGAAGAGGGGAAGACTTGTGATCTGAAGGAAAGGAGTGCGCAGTCGCGAGAGGCAGGAAGCACGCGTACTGTCAGGAAAGGCAGAGAGTGCGCAATGAATGAGGGCAGATAGATCGTCAAGGGAGGGGATTGTGAAGGATGGTGCTTACCTTCAAACACAGCGCACAGCGCACAGCAAAGTCNNCCTCAGGATGTTGTAAGAAGTGGTCGTAGCAGACAGTGTGTTCGCAAGGAACCAAGATGTGAGTGGGACTGTAATCACACGCAGGGCATTGTGTGCCACCGATTCGGCGGTCCATGCTTGACCAAATCTCGGCGACGACGGGGTCGCCTGGACGGCGAGGTGGAGGGAACATGAAGTCGGACGTCTGGCGTAGATGTCGGACGTAAGTCGCCTTCACCAGCTTCTTCACGTAAACGGATGTATGCGAGCGTTGGTGAGAAACGCGTGGTCGATCTCCCAATGTTGTTGACATTGGGAGGTGTCCAAACGCTGAACAAGTGACCATAACATTGAGGTCCTGATATGCCGCTGACAATTCGGCAAGTTCCATTCCGCTCCGACCATCAAAGTGAATATCCTCCTTCTCTTCATCGATGAAACATAGATAAGAGAGATACCTTGTCCAAGGAGTAAAGGAATTTAGATCCATGTATGATGACAACAGGGTATATCACGAATAGAACAGAACAGAAACAGCACAGGGTTGAGGGATGGTCAGGAGATATCAATGCAAGGAAATACGAAGGTATACTACCGTTCCATGATACAAGTGCCTACGAATGTGTTGGTAGCAGAAGGACCGTGCGCACGAGTTGAATGAAAGCATGCTGACACCAAGCAAACCGAGTTCCCGCAGGGATGGCAGTCTCAGATGGAGTGTGAGACAGGAGCGGTCGTCCCCGTGCCCATTTGGTGTTCGGTATCCGTCCAAGAGAAAGGTATGGTCATAATCGTTCCTGATCGGATTGGTATCTTTGGGAATCTTCTATGTAATGCAGCACCAAGACCAGATACAAAGAGCTTGGAACAGCACAAAGCGAGGTGCAGCTGGATCAATCGAACTGGGCGGGATGAGTACAGGGCGACAAACAAGAATGANGTAGGGTCTTACAGGGGTCAAGAATGATTCGGCAACGAATCTTGCTCTGGCGTTCAANNCTAAAGTATGCAAGTCAGAACCAGGCAGTGGTGGATGGAAGGAGCAGCGTACGAAGAGCTTCATTTCGGAAATCTCCTTGTCAACCTCTTCCATGAATTGAATGATGAAGTCGACAAGCTTGTGCTTGAGCATCTCCTCGGTATGGAAGTTTGTGATGAGGAAGGAAATATCGTATCCCTGTTGTCGTGTGAGGTCAGTAGGGAGACGTTGTGTGGTATATGGTCAACGGACCTTGACGGGTTTCCTTCTCAGAATGAAGAAAGATTCGGCACGCTGTGTCAAGAAGCGGGTGAACTTGTGGACTAGGATGTGTTCGATCTCGTCTGCCTGCTTGATTCTGATGCTGACACGGATGCTGTTGACACTGGGCTCGATAAAGACACGCTCGTTCTCGTTGCGGGAGACGGTCAAGGGATTCAAGAGGACTTCGGGCGAGGTTTGGGCTTCGATCTCGGGGACATTATGGCGTTCGGATGCTTGGGATGCGAAGTTGGACAGCGACATGGCGGCCGTCAAGGATGACCGCACGCATTGCAGGTATGGTCGGAGCGATTGCGACTAGAGACTGGTCAGACTAAAGAGTATCTACATAGTTAGGAGGAGACATGAGGCGTACCATGGTGGGATGGTGTGAAGCAACACTGTGTTTAGACAAGGAGCTGTCGTCCGGCGTTCGCTATGCCACGCTTCACCCCAGTGACGCGCGACGAGGGGTGGAGTTAGGGTTCCAGCACGAGCCACTTCCTCTTTGAGATTTGAAGAACGTTTCTCGAGCTGCTCTTCCATTTCTCATGAACAAGACATCCGAATTGTTAAGCATCAATTGGTTTCAATGATACCTGGTCTACAGCTTGTTACCTCTCAACATCCAAGTTCTAGTCCAGCCATGATCAGATCAAACCCAGATCGACGTTTCAGTACTCAGTCATCTACCATCGACCATCATTGTCCCTCTGCATTCGAAAACCAGAAATAGCTCTTAGTGGAAGGCGCGTGGTAGATGTCAACAGCCGGAGTAGATCGAGAACTCATAGCTCAAGTAGTGCGGTGATATAGCTGTTCCAACAAATGCGGCGTCAGACATCGGTAGAGCCGTTTCCGAGAGCTGTTCTCAGAAGACGCCTCTCTGACATTGGCAGGGACCGGAGATTTACATTCATCTGATCACATGCATACTTTCGAGAGCCCGGTGTGCACTTGCGCTCCCTGCTAGACGATAAAAGCATCATGATGGATGCACTTACAGGATGCCGAGTTGTGGACGAGGTTCAATACCTCCTCCGATCCTCGGCTGACCTCGGGGAGATCGGCAACAAATGCCCCATGTTTCGCGATTATTCATATTCTCAAGAGAGCCAATTGTCAGTTGCCCGACCTTTCCACTGTGTTTCTTGCGTGTCTTTCCTACCCAATCCCGAAAGCCGACCTATCAAACATGTTCAGAACCGGATCGGCAGCCGTGAAGAGNGGTAGCTCCTTTGCTGGAGCTGCTCTGCGCGCCCGCAACCAGACTCCTCGTCTTGCAACCCTCCGCCAGTTCAGCACCTCCCTTCAGATGGCACAACAAACCAGAGCCGAGAGCGATGCCTTTGGCGAGATCCCCGTCGCCGCCGACAGATACTGGGGTGCTCAGACCGAGCGCTCTCTGTCCAACTTCAAGATCAACCAGCCCCATGACCGCATGCCTCCTCAGGTCGTTCGCGCCTTTGGTATCCTCAAGGGCGCCGCTGCCACCGTTAACATGAAGTTCGGCTTGGGTATGCCCTGACCTACATTCGCTCACAACATCAGCAATCCGGTACTGACGCCTCTCTTCTCGCGCNNAGACGCAAAGGTCGGTGAGGCCATCCAGCAGGCCGCCGCAGAGGTCGCATCCGGCAAGCTCGACGACCACTTCCCTCTGGTCGTCTGGCAGACCGGCTCCGGTACCCAGTCCAACATGAACGCCAACGAGGTCATCTCCAACCGCGCTATCGAGATCTTGGGCGGTACCATGGGTTCCAAGAAGCCTGTCCACCCCAACGACCACGTCAACATGTCTGCTTCGTCCAACGACACCTTCCCTACTGCCATGCACATTGCCGCCGTTCTCGAGATCGAGGAGGAGCTCCTCCCTGCCCTGCGCAGCCTCAAGGACGCCATGTACAAGAAGCAGCAGGCTTTCGAGAAGATCATCAAGATTGGACGTACTCACTTACAGGATGCCACTCCCTTGACTCTCGGCCAGGAGTTCTCTGGCTACGTCACTCAGCTCGAGTACGGTATCCTTCGTGTCGAGTCCGCTCTNCCCCGTCTGCGCTACCTCGCCCAGGGTGGTACTGCCGTCGGTACCGGTCTCAACACATTCAAGGGCTTCGCCGAGGACATCGCTACTGAGGTCAGCAAGCTCACCGGCCACGAGTTCGTCACTGCTCCCAACAAGTTCGAGGCTCTTGCCGCTCACGACGCCATTGTTGAGGCTCACGGCCAGCTCAACACCCTGGCCTCCTCCCTCTTCAAGATCGCTCAGGACATCCGTTTCCTCGGTTCCGGTCCTCGTTGCGGTCTTGGTGAGCTCAAGCTTCCCGAGAACGAGCCTGGTTCATCCATCATGCCCGGTAAGGTCAACCCTACTCAGTGCGAGTCTTTGACCATGCTCTGCTGTCAGGTCTTTGGTAACCAGGCCGCCGTCACCTTCGCTGGTTCGCAAGGTAACTTTGAGCTCAACGTTTTTAAGCCTGTCATGATCCGCAACCTCCTCCACAGCTCCCGCCTGTTGAGCGACGGTATGCGCTCCTTCGAGAAGAACTTGGTTGAGGGTCTTGAGGCCGATGAGAAGAGAATCGATGCTCTTCTCCACGAGTCCCTCATGCTTGTTACCTGCCTTAACCCCGTCATTGGTTACGACATGGCCTCCAAGGTCGCAAAGAACGCTCACAAGAAGGGTCTCACCCTCAAAGAGAGTGCTATGGAGCTCAAGGCTCTGAGCGAGGAGGACTTCGACAAGACTGTCCGTCCCGAGCTCATGCTTGCTCCCAAGGAGAAGAAATAAATGTAGATCATGAAGCGACTTGTATATTATATATTTTCTGATATCCATCTGAAGCGTGAGAAAGTTTCTCTCGACATCTTGTATCTCAAGCTCTCCACCCGTACATCTTGCGATGATCGTGCCTTCTTCAAATGGTTCGATAAATAATGCAATTTGACGCACGGACGCTGCTTCTCCTTTCGCGGGAAACAGCCTCACTTTCGCCGAGCCCTCAGAACAATTTCCCTGTTCGAGATACTCGAATAATCACACGACGAAAGAATGGAGGAGGCATTGGACTGGGTATCTGAGAATCAGAGCACAGTCGCCTTGACTTGGGTCGCTGTGGTGTTCGCTACTGCTGTTCTGTGGTTTGCAACAAAAGGAGAATCTGAAGCCGCTGTGGACTTTGAAGTGCCACTGCCTAAGCAGTGTGGACCTGGTTGGCAAGGAGAGGTCTTGCAGGAACCTAGTTTGAAGGTTTGTCTCTCTTTTTCTTTGTTCCAATGTTTCCTCAAGTCAATTTTTTCCTTGTGTTTTGTTTTTCTTTGTGGTCTCTGCTCCAGAAAAATATCTGTCAAACCTTGAAGCATTGGAAAATGGACATCACGGACGCACTGGGAAAGAACGACTATCCAATATCGATCCAAGTTCTCTTCGTCCTGTTGGAAGCTTATCGAAACGCTTCCGAGTCACCATAATGATATCTGTCAAACGGCATGTGTAGACTTGTATAGATGTGACTGACACGAGCGTGTGCAGATCTCAGGTTCTTCAGCAGTGCAATGCTACTGCCCAGCAACAGGTCAACTCCTCGGCGTCATCAACCCTTCTACCCCTGATGGCATTGATAGAGCTATTGCACGTGCTCAAGAAGCTCAGCGTACTTGGGCGCTAACGACGTTCTCGCAACGTAGAAAGGTCCTTAGAACATTGTTGAAGTAAGCTCTACCAGTTCTACCTCTCAACGTAATGCTGACTGAGTTCAAGNNATACGTCCTCATCCATCAAGACGATATTGCCACAGCAGCATGTCTAGACTCTGGCAAGACACGTGTAGATGCTCTTTTCGGTGAAATCCTAGTGACAGCCGAGAAACTCAAGTGGACGATCGACCATGGCGAAAAGGCTTTGCAACCCTCTTCCCGCCCTACAAATTTCCTCATGATGTACAAGTCTAACTCGGTTGTCTACGAGCCTCTGGGCGTCGTGGCTGCCTGCGTCAGCTGGAATTACCCTTTCCACAATCTTCTGGGACCCATCATCTCGGCACTATTCACTGGAAACGCAATCATCGTCAAGGGGTCTGAACAGACAGCTTGGTGTTCTGTCTTCTTTGCGGATATTGTCAAGAATACTTTGATGGCTTGTGGACACAGCCCTGAATTGGTGCAGGCTGTCACTTGTTGGCCTACCACAGCAGAGCACCTGACTTCGCACCCTGGCATTTCCCATCTGACCTTCATCGGCAGCAAACCCGTAGCTCATCACGTCTGTACTTCTGCTGCTAAATCTCTGACGCCGGTGGTGGTAGAACTTGGTGGTAAAGACGCAGCCATCATCCTCGATGCTCCTAATGGCAAGCCCATGGCCAAATCTGAATTGCAGAGAATCGAAAGCATCATCATGCGTGGTGTCTTCCAATCTGCCGGTCAAAACTGCATCGGCATTGAGCGTGTCGTCGCCATGCCTCTTGCCTATGACTACCTTCTCTCCGTCCTACCCCCAAGAATCCGCTCCCTTCGTCTCGGCAACGCCCTCACAAGCACTGAAGTCGATGTCGGTGCCCAAGTCAGCCCCGCCAACTTTGGGAAACTCGAATCCCTAATCGCTGAAGCTGTATCCCAAGGCGCCATCCTCTTAGCCGGCGGCACCCGCCATTCTCATCCCGAATATCCTCAAGGCCATTACTTTACACCTACTTTACTTGCAGAAGTAACTCCTGAGATGCGAATCGCACAGGAAGAATGTTTTGCACCTATTTGCTTGCTCATGCGCGCCGACACCGTTGATAACGCCATCAGCATCACAAACTCCACAATCTACGGGTTAGGTTGCAGTGTCTTTGGTCCCTCCTCCTCACCTCTTTCCCACGTCGCCTCCAGTGTAAAATCCGGTATGGTTGCCATCAACGACTTTGCAGCTTACTACGCCGTTCAACTTCCCTTTGGCGGTGTAGGCGGTAGTGGCTACGGTCGCTTTGCAGGCGAAGAAGGACTCAGGGGTTTGTGCAATGCGAAGAGTATTTGTGTCGATCGATGGCCGTCGCTTATCAAGACCGCTATTCCTGCTGGTCTGGATTATCCTATGAGAGCTACGGCATGGGAGATGGGTAAGGGTGTTGTCGAGTTGGGGTATGGAGAGACTTTGATGCGTAGAATCAGGGGTTTGAAGAGGATGCTTGGGGGCATGTAAAGCTAATTCTCTGTGTTCGCATCACAGAGCTTACCACAACGTCCAAAAAGACGACGCGTCGTGATGTATATATCCATATTTCTAAGCTGTACCAAAAACCTTCCAATCTCATAAAAAAGCAAGGCAAATCACAACCATCATCCAGGGACTAACAGGAAGCAGAAAGAACGACGACTAAGCAAGTAGAAAAGATAGTAAACTATCACAAAGCCAAACATAGCAGAATAGGAAACGCCCAGCTAAACTTACAACAAAAGGCTAACAACGATAATATCAAAAAGGAAGGAGCGACCTGGCAAAAGAACGATCAAGCAAATCAGGCAGGAGCGACTGAATCAATGGCGAGGAAGGAGCGATCAAGCAACCAAACTAGGAAGGAACGAATCAGCAAACTAGGAAGGTGCGATCGAGTAAATCAGGCAGGTACGACCGAGTCAAGCACAAGGAAGGAACAATCGACACAAACCAAAGAGGCAACAACCAATTCAGTAAAGGTAAACAACGACACGCGAATCCAAAAGGAAGGTACATATGTCTAGATATGTGGAAAATGTACAAAAACGCCTCCAAGCCCTCCTTTTCCCAACCCCAAAATCCCTAAGCAAACAAAGGCTCAGTACTGAACTTGCCCTTCTGCTGAACATCTCTTGAGGAGAATCCTAACTGCAATTCAAACTCTCCCATCGGCAAGACCCAATTCTGAAATCCAACGTCCCAGAACGATAAATCCTTTCTAGTCAACTCCAGAGAAACCTCTACTCTCTTCTCGGGAGTGACGAACAGCTTATCGAATGCACGTAACACGCGAACAGGGAAGTCGACGACATTGCCCAAAGAGTCGGTGATGGGAGTGGAGGGGTAGGAGATGTAAAGTTGGACTACACAGTCGCCAGGCAGGGATCCAGTGTTTGTGAGGGAAGCTTGGACGACAGCGATGGGGGTGTAGAGGTCAGGATTTCCGCCTTCTGCTCCACCTGNCTGGCGAGGGGGTTGAGCAATCTCATAGCCCTTAGGGTAAGGATATTTGCCAGTCTTGATTTCGTCCACTGACTTGATGTAGGGGTAGATGTACTTCTTGAGAGCGATGAAGTTTTCAGGCCAGAGTGCTGTACGTGCATCTGGGATAGACACGCCCAGATGGGGAGGGTTGAGGGCTGCCGGACGCTTTGCAGGGAGAGTAGCGTATTCAGTGGCCACAGGGTGGATGAACAGACTGCTGAGGTGGAAGGTCGTGTATGAAAGACCAAAGCCGAACTCATAGCGTGGCTCAATATTGTGCTTGTCAAAGTAGCGGTAGTCGATGTACAAGCCTTCCGAAAAGTTCTGTTGAGGGATCACAGCGTTGGGGCGGTAAAGAATCTTGCTTGTCGGGCCGTAGTCATCTTCATGCTTAGCAATCGTGTATGGCAGGCGACCTGAAGGATTGACATCTCCAAAAATGATAGCATCCAAAGCACTGCCACTCTCTTGCCCTGGCAGGTTGGCGTACAGTACAGCCTTTACTCCAGGTAGATCAATCCACTTCTCTAGAATGACGGGACCGACGGAATGGACAACGACAATTGTGGGACCACCGCACTTAGCTGCCACCTTTTGTACCAGCTCGTCGCCGCCCTTCTGAGCGTAAAGATCATTGCGGTCACCTTTGATATCCTTCCAAGCAACGTAGCCTTCTCCGCCATCGCTGTTGATCATGACAAAACACAGGTCCTGATCGGTCGCGCGCGAAGAATGCTTATCCAAGTCTTGGTAGTTGGAAGGGTAGTCGGCAAGAGTGACGCTCTCGACATCAAACCCGCGGTGGATACCCTCGGCAGGGGCAGTAAGGTAAGGGAACTCGACGGTACCGGATCCCCAGCCTTGGGCAAGAGTTCCTTCGTTGCAGGCACGGTCTGCGCAAGCATTGGGTCCCTTGCCATTGTTGAAAGCGTCTTCACCAAAGATGGCGACACGAAGCTTTTCGCCGTTCTTGGTCATTTTCTTGCCATCACGGTTTAGAGGNNGAAGAACATGGTCATCGTTCTTGAGCAAAACAGTACCCTCGGCAGCAATCTGGCGAGCCAGTTTACTGTGAGCGTCTTTACCTTCGCCCTGGACATTGACGAACTTGTTGACGACTCCCTTGGTAGTGTCATTGCTTCCGGGATGCAACAAACCAATTTCGTCGTTTGTCCATGACGAGAAGTTTGGACCACCGCCGTCCTTCTCGGCAGGCCACTTTGACTTGTCGTCTTGACCGAATTGGTACCAAGCAGCGACAACACGCAACACCATATCGTTGAGACGCTCCATTGGCACACTTCCGTTGAAGACGGCTTTGGTTAGTTCACCACCCCAGACAGATTGGCCGTCCGTCCAGCGGAGACCATCACCAGGCATGCTCATGTCAAGACCAGCAAGAGCAGAAGCAACACCGCTTCTTTGGGCGAGCCAGTCACTTTGCACGAAGCCTTGGAAGCCCATCTCATCCTTGAGAATGCCGTTGAGCAGCTTGCTGTTCTGGCAGGCATAACTCTGGTTGACCTGATTGTACGAACACATGACACTACCAACACCAGCCTTGACACTCTCAGCGAATGGCCAGGCGTAAATCTCATGCAGAGTTCTGTCGTCAATGTTGCTACTAATAGCGTTGGGAGTACCCCATTCCCAGCTCTGGCGGAAGTGCTCCTGTTCGTTGGCAATGTAGTGTTTTGCAGTCGCAATAATGCCCTCCTCTTGGATACCGCGGATCATCGAAGCAGCAGCGAGACCTTGCAGAACGGGATCTGAACCGAATCCTTCCCAATTTCTTCCGCCAGCGGGCAAGCGACCGAAAGGACCCATGCTCGGGCCAAGCACGATGTGAACACCCTTGCCGTAAGCTTCACGGCCATGGGCGCGGCCCTTGAGGTAGATCAGTTCCTTGTTCCAGGTAGATCCGAGGGTAATGCCAGCAGGGAAGGCAGTAATATTATCGGCGAATCTGAGACCAAGAGGGCCGTCCTGCAAGCAGAGAGAAGGGAAACCCAATCGTTCAACAGGGCCAGTATTTCCCACGCACATGCCCATCTCCCAGCCAGTACCAGTAGTGATGTTGACTTTCTCGACGACAGACATCTGAGAGACCAGGGCAGCAGCCTTCTTGTACGCCTCTTCCCAAGCAGCAACGGTACCTCCTCTTGGTGACGGATACCACGGATCACTCTTGCCGCCCTCGGGCTCGGTCTTATAGACCCAGATGCCTCCGGCACTCAAAAGCAGGACCAGAGCGGCAACGAAGAGCAGGACCATCATGCAGCACATGCGAGATGGAACCAAGTACCGACGCCATGTTGAGCGACGGCGTGTGACGAATACTGAATTGGGTGCTTGCGATGTGTCGTCCTTGTATGGTTTGTTTGAGGCTTTGAGAGGATCGAGTTCATTGATTGAGGATGAGATGGAATCGCGCGACGATGAGGTAGACAAGCGGTAGTCTTCGGGATGGTCGAGCGATTGACGGGGTGACGCTCGATGCGTCAACTCGTAGCCTTGCGACATGGTTGTGCTGAATGAGGGCTGACGTTATGACATGTGAGGAGGGTCGTGAAGTGAGTGTCTTATGCTAGGTCCATACACAAACGCAGAGGTTGAGAAGCATCAAAGACGCATCCTTGTACCTGAAGAGTTACGCCATCTTTGGAGCGGTTCCACCAGCCGCATCTTGATTTATCGATTGCCCCACACCTTGAGCCGCACCATTTCCTAATTGGGTAGGCGCGTGCAAGCCACCAGCAACTCTGTCTTGGAAATCGACACTCGCAGAAAAGCAGACGAACCAAACCATGAACAATGCAAGATGTGTTTCATTGATTCGACATATACACAGAACACCAATCATTCACATTCGTGTTACAGTTCGCCATAGCACATCACAGCTCCAGCGCAGCCTGGGCAGGTCCGACCTGTTCCATCAATCAGCCTTCCGCTCGGGTATCAATTTGAGGCTGCTCAAGGTCGTAGCTGACCATTTCGAACGAGTTTTTCCCCTACAGCTTGGAAGCAGGAGCGGGGCTACCCACAGTCGTGATTTCGTCGTACAACAGCCTGTGTAATCCGTGTTAGCAATCTTGTCCCACTTGCATCCTTGAAGGAAGGTCGGCGGTTACATACGATGTCAAGAACTCGTCATACTGCTCTCCTGTCACTTGTGTGGCGAAGTATTTCTCTGCAAGCTGGTACTTGTGACCCTTGGGTGCCTTGGAACCAAGCTCTTCAGCTTGCTCATGGAGAAGCTTAAGTGCGTACTCCTTGTTGATTGTCTGACCTTCGGCTGTTGTTGCTTCGTGCTTGCACCACTGCCAAAGTTGACTTCTGCTGACCTCGGCGGTTGCTGCATCCTCCATCAAGAAGTTGATGGGCACGCAACCGACCCCTCTGAGCCAGCCTTCCATGTATCCCAGACCGATGTTGAGGTTCTTTCTGATACCGTCTTCGGTGATCTTTCCAGGCACGTTCATGTTAAGGAGGTCGTACTGCTTGATGTTGACATCCAATCTGCGGACGTGCAGCTGGTTGGGTGTAGGCATGTGCTCGTTGAAGACCTCGGCCGCAATGCTAGCAAGAGCAGGGTGGGCAACCCAGGTACCATCGTGGCCGGCCTTGACTTCACGGAGCTTGTCGGCACGAACACCAGCCATGGCCTTGTCGTTTGCCTCCTTGTCGTTCTTGATGGGGATCTGAGCGGCCATACCACCCATAGCGTGGACACCTCTACGGTGGCATGTCTTGATCAAAAGCTTGACGTAGGCATCCATGAAGGGAGAAGTCATGGTAACAGCTGAGCGATCAGGTAGAACAAAGTTGGGGTTCTGGCGGAAACGCTTGATGGTCGAGAAAATGTAGTCCCAACGACCACAGTTCAAACCTGAAGAGTGGTCACGAAGCTCGTAAATGANTCTGATCGAATGTTAGCTAACCTCATAAGACATTCTCCTGGCAAGAAAACTCACCTCGTCCATCTCGAATGCTGCCATGATGGTCTCGATCAAGACAGTACCTCTGATGGTACCACGAGGCATGCCGATGTAGTCCTGAGCAAGGTTGAAGACATCGTTCCAGAGTCTAGCCTCGAGATGGCTCTCCATCTTGGNGAGGTAGAAGTATGGGCCAGCTCCTCTCTTAACAAGTTCTTGGGCGTTGTTGAAGAAGTAGAGACCAAAGTCGAACAAACTGCCCGAGATGGGCTCTCCGTCAACGGTGAAGTGCTTCTCCTCCAAGTGCCAACCACGAGCACGAGCAATGAGTGTTGGTAGCTTACGGTCGGTGCGAAGCTTATACTCCTTCTCGCCAATCTTGAAGTCGACTTGCTTGCGGACAGCATCGTAGAGGTTGAGCTGACCATTGATCATGTTGTCCCAGGTGGGTGCGCTGGAGTCNNTAGGACGGACTGTCAGAATCTCGTCTGCTCATAGGCTGTTAGATCACATACCTTCGAAATCTGCCATATATGTCCAGACATCAGAGTTCAGGGCGTTGACAACCATCTTTCTGTCGGTGGGACCAGTAATCTCGATTCTACGGTCAGTAAGACCGGGTGCTGGCGGTGCACCTTTCCATGCATCGCTGTCGCGGATGTGCTTGGTCTCGGGGAGGAAGTCGGGAAGTTTTCCAGCATCAAGCTCGGCCTGACGGGTCATACGTCTTTGCAACAACTCCTTGCGGGTCTTGTTGAATGTGCGGTGGAGAAGAGCCAGGAAGACAGTAGCTTCCTTGGAGATGACCTTGCGGGTCTGGTCATTGAGAGGTCCGAGGATGTTGACCTCGCGGAGGATGTGGTCTTGGTTTTGTGCCATTGTTTCTTTTGCTATCTGGGGTATGGATATGTGTTGAGATGGATAGGAAAGTTCAGAGAAGAAAGAAAGAATGAGGAGCAGATCCCTTACGTATATATGTATCTGTCTGTTTTATGCCGTCAGAGATAACCTTACCGAGGCTAGTGATCTAAGCTCTTCTACACCTTGTGCGCCGGGGAGAACGGCGGGCGAGGGGAGGAGGAGCACTCGAATGGTCGAGATTCGGGGAGCTGATGTGGGGAAATTGTTTGCCGTGGTTCACGTCATACGCTTTTCGGCAGTCAACCTTCGCCTGCTTGGATCTATCATCAATTGTATGTCATTTATCATCTAAATGCAGAGTCCGTTGCTCATTCTTCATGTTTGGAAAAGCATTCAGATCTTGAGAAGAGAAATACCGCGGTCTGGCATAACACTTTCTGGCTCTTCACATGCCGATGCCGAGGTCAGGGAAACAGTCACAACAAAATGTCAAGCTTGTGCAAGGACCCGATACCGCTCCGTGTCTTTCCATTCCGCTACCCCGGAAGGCGCCGTGCTTGTGATAGGGACTCTTTGGCGCCTTCTTTACATGTAGCCATCGAGTCACCCTCAGGTGTTTTCATCGAGTAAAACGAACAACACAGTTTTCGTATCAACGCCCAACATGCGGTTCTCGGGCTGCTTTGGGAACCTCTTATAAGCTTCCATCGAGTAAAGTGATAGCGCTATCTCGTATACGCGTGTTGCACTGTCCTTCGCCGTCGCATAATTTCCTTCGAGCAAAACAAATCGTGTCGACAAAATAATCGCAGAAGTTTCACATCTAGTAAGGACAACCCAGCGCAATTCGCCATATTTTCGATAATCGAATCGCATTTGGGAAGACCTCTCGATGTCGAAACAATCGCATCCTCTAGTTGTCGCTTCTTGGCCTTCACCTTGATCACTGTCACATTCAAGACTTCGTGCTTTTGATGCATATATCACCTCATGGTATATAGACGAGAGATTGCCTATTGCAAGGTACAATGACAGAAACCGTACACCTGATCGGACTCATGCCTGGTAATATACAATCGATCAGTTGGATGACGAGCTGATCTTGTATAGTATATATCGAGAACTATCCTAAAAGTATACCATAACCAGCCAGTCTACAATATTGCAGCCTCCTCGCTCACAGCAGATGCACAATCTGGGAACGTCGATCGATGTGCTGGTCTTGTCGAGAGTAATGACCTCAACCTGGAGAAGCAAGTACGGAATTATATTGACGGTGTACTTCTTCGGAAGAAATCAGGAGAACAAAGGTTATGCACGCTGATCCAGCTTTCGTCGAGTTGTTGTTGCTATCGAAGTCGAGTTCGGAAGCATGCACGCCGAGACGTCGGCTTCTCTGGGCAAAACTTCGTGCGGAGTGAGTGTTTGTCACAAAAATTCACCACGACTCAAAAAGTGGTCCTTTTCATGCAGATTTAGATCCGATTTCGACGTCATGCGCAAACTGGCTGTCAGAGCGGTCGGACAAAAGTGGAAAACGCGAAAACTGCAGTAAGAGCTGAACGAATAGAATGCTTGTCCACTTCGCCCTAGACACGTAGAGTCACTGACTACCGAAATCTGGTCATCCACGCCGCGAAGACCAATCCACAGATTCAAGCTTTGTCTGAGAACGTAACATTGCACCTGCAGCATGGCACATCTTCGAGCTTTCGAGCCCTAGCTTCGAGCTGTGCCCTACTCTCCAGTTTTCCGCCGAGCAACGGTCAATGCCATGTCCAACCTATCCACCTACGTTGATCAGCAGAAGTCTTGGAATCAATGATCCACTGGTCGAGTACAATAACCCCGAGATGCCCACTGTATCGTCATAGTTTTGTGCGTCCCTTTTGAAGTTGAGATCCATGGACCTATTGTTCCCATTGCACACTACCAATATCTTCCTCCTTTGAAGACATCCTTCCGTTTTCCAACATTGTCAGCTTCTCGTTGATCTCCTCTAACAGCGTTGATCCTTTATTGGTTTCAGCGCTTCTCCCTCTTTCTGAAAACACCCGACACACTTTACATCTTACCCTTTCGCTACATTTAACAGATCGAAGAACGAAGGACTGTCCCCTCGACCACCCAATCCGATTTGAGCTGTGCGTTACGTGCGTGCCAGGCATTTTCAACATCGAGTCATCTGCCCAAGCAACAAATTGTCGCCACAAGTTATACACCATATCGAAGCAGCGCCCTCTCGATCTTTCACAAGCTCAGACGATAATTCGCCCAAGAATCGTCGAGCGATCCAAAGCACCAATCCCTTTGCGACGTAAAATTCGGTGGTACCATCCGTGTTCAGCTTCACAACTTTCGATATGGCCGATGGGAAAACCGCCAAGAGCGACACTATGTTACAAAGCAATGCTTCGTCCAGCGAACTGGCTGGCTCACTAAGCTCTGATGATATACAAAATCCTACCGAAGGACATAGCCACGACCTGAAAAGGAACTATTCGCTTTGGTCAATCCTAGGAGCTGGCTTTTCACTCACGAACTCTTGGGTTGGTCCACGACAAATAGGATTGTCTCCTTAAGGCTAATACACTACANNGTTTGGTGTCTCTATTGCGATGGTAACAGGAATCAATTCAGGTGGGCCTGTCTTGCTTGTTTACGGCATCATTGTTGTAATGCTGGTCAGCATATGCGTTGGTGTTAGTTTGAGTGAACTCGCTAGTGCACTTCCGAATGCAGGTAAGATCTATAATGCTTCCGATCTATTTCATTGGCATCTGAACCACCCTCTAACATACTACTANGGCGGGCAGTACTTCTGGGCCGCACAATTATCGTCGAGGAAGTACGCTAGATTTTCGAGTTATCTTACCGGCTGGTTCTCGTGGGCTGGAGCTATCTTCTCGTGCACATCAACCACGATTGGAGTCGCAAGTGGATTAGTTGGTTGCTGGCAGCTTTCTCATCCCGATTACGTCGTCAAGGACTATCATGTCTTCGCGACGTATCTCATCNNCCTCACATGGTTCTGCTTCTTGTTCAATTGCTACGGAAAGATTCTACCCGCGGTTGCAACCACTGGTCTCTACTGCTCTCTGATTTCCTTTGTCGTAATCTTGGCTACTGTTCCCGCAACAGCACCCAGTCATCAGAGTCCAAAATTTGTGTTTGCGACTTTCATCAACAACACCGGTTGGACCAATGCTGGTATCGCCTTCATAACTGGATTGATCAACGCCAACTGGGCATTTGCATGCCTCGATTGTGCGACTCACCTTGCGGAAGAAGTTCATCAACCCGAACGTATGATTCCGATCGCAATCATGGGTACTGTTGCTATTGGATTTGTTACCAGCTGGTGCTTCGTTGTCTCCATGCTGTTCAGCATCATCGGTGATTTCCAGAATGTGGCCAACAGTGTGACCGGAGTCCCGATCCTCCAGCTTTTCTACAATGCCCTCGACAACACCGCTGGAGCTATCGTTCTTGAGGTTCTGATTATCTGCACAGGTCTGGGCTGTGTGATTGCTGGACATACCTGGCAGAGTCGCCTCTGTTTCTCTTTCGCTAGAGACGCTGGAGTGCCAGGCAACAAGTGGCTTCAAAAGATTAATCCCAAGCTGGACGTGCCCATCAACGCACACTTCACTAGTTGCGTTATTGTCACAATTGTTGGATGCATGTACCTGGCATCTACAGCTGCTTTCAACGCGATGTCTAGCGCTTGTATCGTCTTGCTCTACATCTCATATGCCATTCCGGTTATTTGCCTTCTTTGCAGAGGCAGACAGAAATCACTTACTGGACCCTTCAATCTGGGAGTTTTCGGACTCATCTCCAACTACGTTCTACTGGCTTGGACAATATTCACGTTGGTCTTGTATTCGTTCCCGTCATACATGCCTGCGACAGCTGGAAACATGAACTACGTCTGCGTCGTGTACGCAATCGTTTTGTTCATCATCGCAATTGACTGGACTTGTAGAGGCAGGAAGCAGTACATAGGGCAGGAGGAAAGACAAGTCGATGATGGACATAACGACATCTTGACGAAAGCAAGCCCGGCAGAACCATAGTGGTTGTTGCATCGGTCTTCATTCCTTTCTCACGACATGAATCATGTAGAAACTTCCAATCAAAACGTTCCGTTCGCTAAAGTTTGACACTTGCGTCGCCATCGAAACACACGTATCCTGGTGCAGAGTTCAGTCCATTGAAGGCACTTCAATTAGCCGCTGTCGCCGTGTATGACCTTCTTCTTGCCTTGCCTCGCAGAGTCTCCAGCCTTCTATGATTGCAGGATGCGCATCGCGACGGAGTTGATCACCACACAAGTACTTCGTACTCCGTTACACAGGTTTCTCCGGAAATGTTCTTTTAACATTCCCGAAGTCTCAAGCCATGGTGTGCGCCACGAACTTAAAATTCACGATGCCATTCTCGGCGCTGCCATTGCAGTCACTAACGCTGTTTCCAACTTAATTAAGGCAGCTACTACTCGAGTACAACACAGCAAGAAGCTGCCAAGGAAGGCCGTGGCTCTCCTCCTACCTCCTACTGTTTTCTTCACGTCCCCTCTTTCTCTCCGATCAGTTTAGCAGCATCTGGCTTATCCTCCTTCACTCTTGCGTACCTTCCTCTCTTGGAAGGCCCTCAAGCTTCTCTCAATGGGGTTGCTTGTGCTCTCAGCATATTGCAGCGCAGCAAGACATGTGAGTTCGTGATACAATCAGGGAGAGGCTTCTGAAAACCAGCTATAAAAGCAGCCTTTTCTTCCTGTTCGAACCCTCGCTGCTACATCTCACTCCAATTGGGGAGTAGACACTGGTGTCGGCGGCCCACAATCTTTGTCCGTGGACATTTGAGGAAGGAGCAACCACCCCCACCTGCCTTGACCTCAACCAGCATGCCTGCGCGACTCACGTTCACGCGCGTCTGCTGCCTGCAGCCTGCTGCCTGGCTATTTTTCTTCTGCGTCAAGCTTGACACTCAATGTCCACCTTCCTCAACCTCGACCTTAATTGCCATCTTCCTCAGCGTCACGCTCACCAACTGTCGACCTTCCTCACCTTGTTCTCACTCAACGAAGGCTTCGTTGGAGCAGCAGGTCGCTCGTGAAAGCGGTTCTTGTAAGTCGAGTTCGGAGGCCATCCAACTTGCTCAAGCTGACTGTTGAGAGTGACTCTCAACTATAAACATGTCCGACGTCTTTAGTGACAAAGACCTCACACCCGTTTTCGATACCAAGGCCTTCATACTCTCACAGACTTGGCGCTGCCTGAGCGATACACCCGTCAATCAGAAGAATGTGCTGTTCGACAAGTTCTTGACGAGCCATGAGATGATCTGCGATCTTGCTTCTGCCATTGACCTCAAGTTCGCCGACGTCCGAGATGTCCTGCAAAGTCCAGTGCCTCCTACCTCGGAAGACCTGGAAGCCTTACCTGAAGGTCCGACTGATGGCTGGATTGGCTATATCCTCACTCTCCACAAGCGTGGCTACAGAAAGCGACATTACGGCGGGTCTGGAACCGACTCCACTGGTGGTGGCAGAGGCGTTTCTCCACTTACGACCGTCTCGAAGTGCTACCGAAATGGGTCGCAGAAGCCATCGATGATGGGTTCGTCATCACACACAAAGGCGTCTTCTGCTGGACAGACTCCATACCTCGTCCAGGTCTGCAACCTTTAGCTCGTTTACTATTCAACGCTCTGGAAGCAACCTTCTCATACATTTTCTGGGTGATAAGAACGCCCAACGGTCGTGATTTTGGTATAGCACACCTTTGCCCTTGGGACCGTTTTTGTTGGACTATGAAGGGCTCTGTTCTCACTGCGCGTTGCAAGACAAAATCAATGGCGACTTCGATCTCTCTGCAGAAGAGCTGGAAGAGCTGGCCGCCGAGAAGGAGATCCTTCGTGCAGAGAGGCGGGTTATTCAGAAGCACCAATCTGGAGCCGAGAACAAGGCCAATGCAGTCTTCAGATGCATACTTTGTAAGAAAACCTGCCACAACCAGGGTGAGCTCAACCGCCACAACCGCAGCCCAAAGCACTTGAAGAAGGCGGCTGGTGATGACCTCGAGAAGTACAAGTTCAAGTGTTATTCATGCGTGTACGGCACAAATCGCAAGAAGGACTTCAGAGACCACATGGACTCTGACCGCCATCACCGCATGTGCGCCGCAGAAGAAGCTGACCTCCGTGCGATGGCCATCGAAGTCTACGATGCTGCTGTATTGGATGCTTTTGAGACTGCTCGGCTAGAGGCCTTGCCTGAGATTGATGGCAACCTTGAGGCCGATGATATGGACTTGGAGGTTTGGGAGCTTTTTGATCGAAGTCGTCAGCTCTGACCACCAAATCCTGCATGTTCACGATTGGTGCCCATCCAAGATTGTCCACGGACAATCTCATCACCTGCTTCTATCTCCGTGGCTCCATGAACGAAGCCTTCGTTATGCTTCTTGAGAGGTTGAGAGTCACTCTGAACTTTGACATGTTATCGGGGTGGCTGATGGAACTTCTTCGCTGGATTTGAGTATGCTTACTCGGTACACCTTACTTGATGGCTCTATGGCAGATATTATCTGATGGCTCATTGATGGCTCACTGACACATGTTACCTAGCTTTTTACCTAGCTTTTTACCTATAATATAGCTCACTAACTCATATCCTCTCTCCATCACAGGGCGAGTAAAAAATCAGCGTCAATGGATCGTGATTTATCGGAACCTCCAAAAGCTTATGAGAAAAAGTGGAGAAGAGTTCAAAAGACAAGCATTTCCCCACCAGCTCGGCTTTGCGATTTTGGCTGTGCCGTTCGAATCTTGTGCGCGCTTGTCAAAAGTTTCCAAGCCTCACAAGCCTTTTCCAGCCTCTCCCGCCTGGCTGTAGGATCAAGAAGACATCACTTCAGATAAGCTTGAGGCTCTTCTAGAGTCGCAAGATTGTGAGATTGGAGATCGTGTAGGGCAACATCATGCTGTCGAGAAATCTCTCTGTGGTTGGCCTGACCGGGTTGAAATCGATCTCGCGACACTGAAAGCGTTTCCTTGACAAACTTGCCTGGTGCACGGCTTGAAGTGTCGCAAACACGATCCGGGTTCCGGTTAAAACTCGTCCTCGACCACTCAGGCGGCAGTAGATAATGAAGCAACTCGTCATATCTACAGTCGGACCGAAGACATGCCCTCACCGGTGGGCACACCATTCCTGAACGGACCTCGAAGCGCCTTGAAGCGGATCTCTCATTCGGACCGTCTCAACAACCCTACAGGATTCCTGCATGTTTTGGAGTGATTCTGGGGCAGTTCTCCATGGAGAGAGGAGTTGGAGGCACCACATGCCTCCACCTTCGCAATTGTCTGCCCACGGAGAGTGATCGGCTACGATGCACGAGCGTCCCCATGGATCTTCTCCACTTTCATGGAGCATACATAAGAGTGGAGGGGCACCCAGTTGGTAGAAAGTTTCCTTTCTGACGCATTTCTTTCCTCCTCCTCTTCATCTATCACCAAAAGTACTCGTGCATCAACATGGGTAAGGGTGTCAAGGGTGCCGCCTCTGGCGAGCAACATGAGAATATTGAGATGTTCGAGCCTGCTCAAGGAAGCTACTCGGAGCGCCGCGACATGACCAAGGATCAGATGGAGGATGCTGTCCGCTCTGGCAGCGTTCCTCACGTCAACACCAGCGAAGCCGTCGATATCGCAAAGAATGGTGGCTGGGAGGTCGATGCCCTCATGACAGAGATGCAGAACGAAATCAACTCTCAGGGTGGAGATAACTACGGCCATTTCGATCTCCAATTTAAGGACCCCAGGCATTTCACTTGGCTTATTGTGGCATTCGCTTCCATGGGTGGTATGCTTTCTGGTCTCGATCAATCGCTTATTTCGGGTGCCAACCTTTTCCTTCCCAAGGATCTTGGTCTTAATGATCGCCAGAACAGTCTGGTCAACTCATCTATGTCGCTCGGGGCTGTCGGTGGTGCCTTCCTCCTCTCTCCTGCTAACGAATACCTCGGACGTCGCTGGGCTATCATCTTTTCGTGTGTTCTCTACACCGTTGGTGGTGCTCTCGAAGCTGCTGCTCAGGACTACGCCATGATCATCACGGCCCGTACGTAAAGCAAGGGTACAGATAGCATGGGGAACCGACACCAGATGGCTCCAATACCCATCAGGTGGCTTTTCGACTGCTGTCTATACTATCTATACCCAAGAAACATGCTAACTGTAAAAAAAAGGNNGATCATCCTTGGATTTGGAGTTGGCCTTGAGGGTGGTACTGTAAGTCTTTTTCAAACCAAAAATATCGACTCCGAAAACAAAAAGTCCATTACTGACATTTATATAGGTTCCTGTCAGTTTTTGCCAAAATGAGAAATTTTGACCCCAAAATGAGAAGTCCATTACTGATTTATCTAGGTTTACGTTGCGGAAACTGTCGAGAGAAGACTCCGTGGAAATATGGTATCCCTTTACCAGTTCGCCATTGCGTTCGGTGAGGTTCTGGGCTATGCCGTTGCTGCCATGTTTGTCACTGTAAGTCATTCGCTTCCCGAATATCCCAAAGAGTTTGCTGCTGACCTCTTTAGNGTTCCTGGCAACTGGAGATACATCCTGGGTAGTTCGTTGCTCTTCTCAACTATCATGGGTATCGGTATGCTTTACATGCCTGAGTCGCCTCGCTACCTCATGCACAAAGGAAAGCCTGTAGATGCCTTCAAGGTCTGGAAACGCATTCGTGGTATCGAGTCCCTGGATTCTCGTGAGGAATTCTACGTCATGAAGATGTCCCAAGAACAGGAAGATGAAGAAGTCGCCAATGGACGTGGAAACTCAAGGTTCCCCTGGATGGATCTCATCACAGAGCCTCGCGCACGTCGCGCCTTTGTCTATGCCAACATCATGATCTTGTTGGGCCAGTTGACTGGAATTAACGCCATCACTTACTTCATGAGTACTCTCATGCAGCGTCTTGGCTTCAACGACCTCAAGGCCAACTACATGTCTCTGGTCGGTGGTGGTTCGCTTCTGATCGGTACCATTCCCGCTGTTCTCTACATGGAGAGATGCGGTCGTCGCTTCTGGGCCTGCGCAACCCTTCCTGTCTTCTTCATTGGTTTGATCATTGCCGGTGTTTCCCAGTACGCTGGCGGTCAGAATGCTCAGATGGGTGTCTACCTCACCGGTCTTGTCATTTACGAGATCTTCTTCGGTAATGATGCTTTTGAATTAAAAGGATGAACAAACGCTCATTGATTAACAGGAACCTACGCCTGTCTGACCTGGGTCATTCCCGCTGAGTCCTATCCTACTTATCTCCGCTCATACGGCATGACTACTAGGTATGTACCCGTTCAACCCTTCGATTGATACCACTAACCCGAAAANAGCGATGCTCTTTTGTTCTTAGCGTCGTTCGTCGTAACTTATAACTTTACCGCCATGCAACACGCCTTTACTAATATTGGTCTTACTGCTGGGTTCTACGGTGTAAGTTTTACAGAAGGTACAAACACCACGACTATTGGTAGCGCTTTGTCTCAGTCTGTACGCAAGGCCCGCACGGTGTATTGAAACACCGTCCGGGACGGCGTCTCGCAGACTTGAGTGCACTCGTCTAACAAAGTCGTGGTGTTCTTTGCCTATCCAGCCTTGTGAAAGTCATGCTAATTGGTTTCGCAGGGAATCGCATTCGTTGGGTTTGTGATATTGATTTCGAAAACTGAGAAAAACGCTAATTAATTCCCAACAGATGGTTCTACCAACTCTTATTCATGCCCGAGACCAAGGATAAGACACTCGAGGAGATCGATCTTATCTTCTCCCAGCCCACTAGCAAGCTTGTGGCCCAAAACTGGAAGAACGTCAAGGAAACCACTAATGATCTGCTCCGTTTCAGATTCAAGAAGGTCTTCATCGATGCACACAAGATGCCTGCAGTCGACTTCAGCCAGGGCAAGCACGAGCTTGGTCACCAGGCATAAGCTTGCAAACGCTGCATACAGATTGAGGCTGGATATCCTTGATCGTATGCAAAGTCTGAATCTTTATGGTGGTAAACTGGAAAGAAAGATATGTTCTTGGCATGAGTGTTTTGGCCAAGTTTTAGAGATAGATACATGATATATTAATGTGAGCTTACGACTTCAAAACGTACTTTGCTGTTTTGTCAAGATCAATCTACTTTCCTGTGTGCCAAAGATTGTTACAGTATAGGAACTTCTCTAGCTATCTCTGTGGCCACCCCTTCCTTCAGAAAGCAATTCTGCATTTCCATAGCTTGAATTTTTGTATACCTCATGGTGGGAGAGAGGTCGACTGCGAGATTGTGAAACCGCCAAGAAGCCACTGCTGTGCGGACGTCACGTCTTTGTCTGCGACAATCTTGCATTCACAATTCGTACATTGTCTTCCTACGACACCTTAGCCGGACTCGCAAGCCGGCCCAGGCAATGCAGAGCAGAATAATTGACGCTGCGATGCCATGACATCGCTCGTTGCCAAGGCGACTATAGCGTGACCACATCACAAGGTAAGAGGATCATCCTGGATGCCTTCCAAACTCGGTTGCAAAGGATTCACTATACACTTGGCTTTACAGCATTGTGGTATTGGCATGACTTCAAAGAGATGGAAATCCGGCTTGACACCACATGATCTACTCAATACTGCTGCTTTCTTTCCTGGAGCCATGCAGCGTCATAAATCTTACGGCCGCAGACAGAGCGCGGCACCATGAACTGATATGCATATAAACTATGAGGTGACTCTGCCTTATTATTTGTTCCTTTCATTACACCAGAATTACTCTGGACTGCCTTGGAACCACACAATGCTTACTATACAGCTCATCTCTGCTTTTGTCCTGGCTTCATGTCAACAAGCCTTAGCAAAATCCTGCTCCGGCTTCACGGCCATTGACAGACCCAATGGTCCTACCTACACATCAATCGATGGTCCCCGAGTCATCAGCAAGGGCGCCAACTGTCCTGCCACACAAAATTGCACGGTTCCTCACGGCGGCTATGTGACTGCTGGTCGCACCCTCAACATCTCAGACCCTAGCTACGCCGATTCAGTCTTCAAGACAATCTCCTCAGTCGTGGAGCTCGAGTTTGTCGAGACGAAGACCTATCCAGTGTCTAACGGGACAATGGGGTTCGAGAATGGCACATCTGGTTATGTTATCTTCACACCTTACACCATTTGCACCACTGGGCGACTTTCCGACTGCGATGCTGGTGAGCTCAATGGAGAGCTTGTCGAGGCGTGTACACTGGACCTCAGATCTGAGGGTAGACTTGAGGGTCTCACAAGTCCCGTTATCACCGTTGGAGACGACCTTGAAACATTGACCTGCAACCCTGCCAACACGACGCAGGCCAAGAATGGAAACTACTCTAGTTCTTGCACTGGTTCTGAAGAGGAAGCGGATCATACTGGTGCTGCCAGTGCATTGGGTGGAATGTCTCTGTTGCTCCTATCAGGCTCGCTGCTGGTAGCCTTGGTCGGGTTTTAGTCTGCTTGACACTACCTCCCCAGTGCTAAAGACTATCACACTTTAGCTATAGAAATGCACAATACTTTCGCAAAAGTTGTGGTCTCCATAGAAAGCATCCGATTGACGACTGTCTCCATGGCCAGGCTAGTATCCTGATCGCGACTGTGCATTGCGATAGCTTGTTATACCCCTTATACCTCGAGATGGGAACTAAGACAAGGCAGGAGAGGAGCTTTGGTGGCAATCTGACTTACATTGGTTCGTACTTGTCAAATTGTCCACTTTACTGCTTTTTTTATCCCTTGGATACAATGAAGATTGTTATGATCTCATGATTGATCACTCTCAATTCGGCACAGTTGCTTTCTGGAGATGAGTTTGGCCACAGAGATAGACCAAAGTAAGAGTGTCCCTCTTACTCTATATCCTTGCGTGTGGCCTTTATTGATTATTAGTGGGAATTGAGTGAATAGAGAGATCCCCATAAACGCCTCGCTATGCTGCACAGCATACTATCTCAATGCCAGATGCTTAGTCGTACAAACATCAAATCGTATCTGGTCACCAGACAACAAATCTAGAGCTCCGTAGATCCTTCCTGCATCTTGCTCATTCGCTGGTCTTGTTTCCAGCGCACAGTCCGGTCGACTCTGCTTTCGCCAGACAGCTGGCTTTGAGGATCAATCTCTCTCCAGCTGCCCCGACCGCGACGGCCAGTGTTTTCTGGCGAAAGACTGCCGCTCTCGCCCCACATACTGAGTCGCTGTACCTTTCGAAGCTTCCGTAGGCCCCAAACGATGGCAGCGATGCAGAAGACGCCACAAGAGATGCTGACCAGTGGAAATCCGAAGTCACTTTCTTCGATGAAGTTCTTCAAGTTCATGCCGTAGAGACCGGCGAAGAAGGTACCCACACCAATACCGAGTGCCAGGATTGTAAATTGCAGATCCAAAAGCATCAAAGAGTTGCGGTTGGCGTCCAAAATAGCTTTAACNNGCTGTTGCAATTGTCAGTCAAAATCCAATGACCTAGCCTTGACGGAAACTTACATTTCTTCCGTATTGCGAATATTGCTGACCAAGTTGCTGCTCGCCTGTACAATTTCGTCGCACACTTTGTGGTAGGATTCGAGCAGCATCTCGACTTCAGTATGGTCATCCTCTTCGCGTGTTACACCATTCGCCTTCTCAGTCAGATACATGTCAGACAAATCGTCATCTGCCTCGAGAAGGTCGTCGATAGCATCACGAACTAAGCGCGCCTTCTGTTCGAATGTACCCAACTTCTTCGAGTAGATCAGCAAGTGACGCAGCTTGTTGCGATCGATATCCTCTTCCAGTTCTCTCAAGACTTGTACGACAGGCTCGCGCACACCTTCAAATTCTCCTTCAAGCGCAGAGGTGACACTTATAAGGACGGCTTCAAGCGCGCGAAACTCATATGGTAGAGTGTTGGCAGATCGGCCTTCTCTTAGCTGGAGCTTGCCTTCCAGGTCGTACATGAATATTGATTGTGTATGCGAGTCAGTTGTTCCATATGCATCAAACACCAGAACGCGGTTGTGGTTGATCAAGCAGCTTATATGCAGGATCTTTATGAGGATAGCCGAAGGGCGTACGAGAATGTGCGGCAAGGAGGCGGAATCGATTTTTCGAAGGTCGCGAGGAAGAAGGCCACACTACCAGTCAAGGTAATCAGCTTGCGATCTGAGATATAGTTGCTATGAAGTGGTACCTTNTGCTATAAGCTCGCTCTTCTTGAAGGCGCCGTTGACCAGTGTGACTTTGCCATCGCCGTCAAACTCTGTACATCGCATCCGAAGCTCGTTCGTCGGCTTGACAATACGTCCCAAGCTGGCAGCTCCTGCATCGTCTAGTAATCTAGGTAGTGGTGGGAGGTCGTTTGGCTGTAATGGAACCGTCTTCTTTGGCCGAACGTGTTGCCATGGCCTTTGCCATCTCGATCTAGTCGCACTGTTCCAGAATCCACGGCATAACGAGCCTGGCATGTGTTGTTCCACTACTTTTGAGGAGGCTCTACGTTGCAAATTCACCAAAGGTTGCGTTCGTGCAGTGTCTGCATGGTGATGGTTCCGACGGACTTGCGAATGCGATGCAAGAAATGGCAGACATTCAGCTTGGATCCTCAGAAACTTCAAGACTGCAGGCGACGGTATAGGCGCGCGTGCGAGTGACAGCGCTTGCATGGTCTGTCCGTGGCTGGTATTATTGATTTTGTCTTCGCACTCAATCAATCTTTTCGTTCATGTCAAACCTGTGCCGACGTCAGACGACTGCTTGGCAGGCACTCGTGTTGATAAAAGTCGTCTCGGTGGCCTGGTCACCCTGCTCGCATTTTTAGATCTCTGACAATCGAGTTCAAGCGACGCTATTCTAATCACCAGCTCAGATATTGACCGTCTTATGCCTGCTTCTGCTCTGTTTATACATCATCGTATGATAATATTGCTTGGTTGTAAGAGACCTCGTCGTCTTCACGATCTCACAAATCTTTCCTCGGAGGCAGCGCAAGATGACGTTACTACCTAAGTCTCCTACAGCAAGACATCGAACCATTCAGGTAAATCAAGTGTCCAACTATTCCCAAATTGTGCTCAAGGCGTCGATTCAAACAATCAATGGTCGCACATCCTATCCCTATCAAGAGAACATATATGTTAACCGCTAACACGCTTAATGGCAATATATCACGAGAATGCAATTAGATTACGAAGATCGGAAGCAGATCCCGATGTGACTTGCCCGCATTTCTGTCACATGCCTTGAGTACAGGCCGTCAATCCAGGAATTGATACGGTGTATGCTGTGTCGGACAATATGCTGGTCGACAGTGCTAAATTCGACCATTGCACGTGCTATCCACGCGGCAAGGGCGCTACACAACCCTGGTGGCGCACGGGAGTGTGAGACAGATGCCCAGAAACATCGTCAGAGATCGCGGACTTCGTGCATCGGTGAGATTCAACCGCGATGAACAAGGATCTGCAGACAACGCTGCATCTGGCCTCGATCTAGACTGCACTTAACACTGTGTCGGGATCCGAGCTGCACACACATTTCCCTAAGCGTAAGTTGCTTAAGGTGGAAACGTCCGCAGGGCCCCTCTGTCCGCCCAACGACCATGTCATGGCTCCCATGAGAAATCTCTCCGATCGCACCAACCCTCTCGTGTCTCTTCAGATCAGATTAACCATTCCCCTTTCAGACACAGTTCACCCCGTTTTCCGGTACTCCAGCGTCGCCAGTTGTTGCTTGGATCTTGATGCTCTGCTGTTTTGCGGTCATGTTGGCTCGTGGTCGCCCTTCGCTTGCCCTCGCGAGCACCAACTCTTCTCCTCGAGACTGATGACATATGCTCGCTCGCCTCACAAACTTTTAGCATACTCTATCGATTAATCGTTCGCCATGTCCTAACAGATGACATCGTTGTTTCTGGGAAGCACATACTCGGCGCTAGCTTCTCGATACTCTTAATCACTTAATATCATTTCGATCTCTTCAACAACGTTCTTGCTCGCTTTTGCGCCTAGAAACTACCACACCGCACCTGGTGCCTCCCAAAACTCTTCCGCATCTTACACAGCATACATTGACAGAACATGTCGCCCAAAGCACGCGTTCTCATCTACGTGCTGCGCCGCGACCTACGACTTTCTGACAATCCGATATTCCACGAGGTGTCGCGACTCTTCCAACAGTCACAACANCCCTTTACACACTTTCTTCCTGTCTACATATTTCCGGCCAACCAGCTTGAGGTCTCTGGCTTTATATCAGACTCCTCCGCCAAGTCACCATACCCAGAAGCTAGAGCCCCAGTCAGTGGCTTCTGGCGATGTGGTAAGCTCAGGGCCAAGTTCCTGGCAGAGAGTGTGTGGGACTTGAAGAAGGACTTGGAAAAGTTTGGTAGTGACCTTCAAGTACGAGTGGGTACCGTTCACGATGCGGTCCGAAGTATACTCCAAGGTTACAAGGACCACAATGAGATGGACATTGCTGGTGTTTGGATGACCAACGAGGAGGGCGTTGAAGAGAAGAGGGAGGAGAAGTCTGTCAGGAAGCTTTGCAAGGAGTTCGACTCAGAGTTCAAGCTTTGGGTGGATGAGAAATATTTCGTGGATGAGTAAGTACACCTTCAGATGTGGTCGCTTAGACGATACAGAGCTAACATGGATGTTTTAGTNCGCGATGTTCCATTCAAAGACCCGAGCCAGTTGAATGATGTATTCACGGCATACAGAAAGACTGTGGAACCTCTGAGATCTGCGCCACGCAAGACTATCCCAGCGCCCAATACCCTGCCACCTCTCCCAACCCATATTCCCGCACAATTCGAGCCCTTCAAGATTCCGGAATCTCTGGCAGGCATCATAGAAGCTCTCAACAAGCCACTTGGAGATGATCTCGGTATTCCAAACGTGGCGAAATGGCCCGAAGGAGCAGAATCTGCACATCCATATGGAGGTGGATCTAAATCAGGACACGAGCGCATCGATCATCTCATTGAGAGCGGCAGTATGACAACATATAAAGACACCCGCAATGGACTGTTGGGCGAGGATTTCAGCACAAAGCTATCTGCGTGGTTAGCTCTTGGGTGTTTCACAGCACGTCAAGTACATTGGAAGCTGGTCGATTTTGAAGACGGCAAGACGCCACTAGGAAAAGATGCTCCAGGATACGGTAAGGGCGAAAACAAGGGCACAGCTGCTGTTCGCTTCGAGCTTTTGTGGCGAGACTACATGCGCCTGTGCACGCGTAAATTCGGACCTCGCCTGTTTCACGTAGAGGGTTTCAGAAACGATCAGAACGCATCGTGGAAGTACATCTCTAGTCCTTTCAGCGATTCGACCGACAAGAAGAACAAGGGTGGCAGCAACGATGATGCCACTGCAGCAGCAGTGATGCGTTTTGTCACTGGAAGAACTGGCACTGGACTCATTGATGCCAGTCAACGCGAACTCTTCTTGACTGGATACACCTCAAACCGCGCAAGACAAAATGTTGCGAGCTACCTATCTAAACATCTAGGAGTTGACTGGCGCATCGGCGCTGAGTGGTACGAGTGCAACCTGATTGATTATGATCTTTCAAGCAACTGGGGAAACTGGCAATACGTCGCCGGTGTGGGCAACGATCCTCGCGGCGAATCGCGCGTCTTCAATCCTGTCAAGCAGGCTCTGGACTACGACCCACAAGGCGAGTACATCCGCACATGGGTTGAAGAACTCAAGGACATCAAGGTCGGATCTCAAAGCGAAGGAACGCAAGACCCACAAAATTTGATGGGTGTCTTCCAAGCATGGAGACTGCCTGAGGAAGAGAAGAAGAGAGTAGACATACAGTCGGTGGAATGGGTCCAGAAGCCTCTCGTAAAGATTGACTTCTCGCTCAACAGACGAGGCGGTGGTAGTAAGCGTGGTCGAGGCAGTGGACGTGGTGGACGTGGAGGTGGCCGCGGAGGAAGAAACGACAGAAAAGGTACGCCTGAGAAGGCACATGCATAAGTGCATGTTTTACACTTTACATAATTTACCAAAAACATCTTTACAATCTCATCGACAGTTTTCCGTCAACCGTTCAAAACCATAATCAGGAAGTCGTTAGGCTCCGAGAATGATTGTTACACATCATTGTTGTATACACTCTGCTTGTATGAGTGCTAGATGCCTGTGATAAATCATCACATAGACCAATACCGTTAGGGAGCATACAAGAGGGAAGATGTTGTCGTCTTGAAGCTAAATACGGGCGTCTCCAGAGACAACAGAGTAGAGAAGTATGGTCAGAAACAAGGATGTGAACTCAAGACGTTTGTGTTGGTAATGCTACTTTCCTGGCCAGTATATAGCTAAGACATGTGTTTCATTAGAGTAGAAACCAGTAGCAATGTATGGCGGCCTTTTGGGCATACCTGACGTGTCCTCTAGCTAGATCAAATCGATTTGGCTTCTGATGGATATATGCCATTCTAGCCAGATCTCTGGGCATCGGTCTCCTAAGAAAACACACTCAAAGCAACCAGACGAGTTTCGATTCGAGCACATGAAGGACTTAACCGCTTGTGAAGTTGTAACTCGTCGATTGAGTCGTACTCCTCGTAGCCTCGCTGCAGGACTAAAGGTATGACGGAGGTAACAACGGAGTTAGTAAGCAAGTGAGCTGTGGGGTCAGTCGCCTCATACGGCATCTCTGCACGACAGTGTGGGGCAAGGGATGTACTGTAGTGCTACCACTTACAGAGAAACAATGAACTCAAGTCAAGACGTTAGGCAGCCAGATAACGAAGAGTCTTCATGGTCCTTCGATTACGGTTGACCGTATCGATTTGTATGGCAGCAGCGTATTCGGAACCGCAGGATCCGGATCATCTCATGATGGATGCAAGCCGCGCGGAGACGGAAACGTCGAGTCTCGTCATAATTAGCTTGGCCCTATTAGTGACGCTGACATTGCGCCTTCTCTGAATAGCTATTTAGGCAGCCAGACTTCTGCTGTTTGAGAGCTTTCCATTCCACCATTAGCAAAAATGAGGTTCTCACATATCCTCCCTCTGGCTGCCTTGAGCGCCGCCTTCGTCGTTCCAAATGAGCAGGTCTTCAGCGAACTGTCAATCGACGACACTACCCATGCTCGTGCAAATCAGGGAGCCTGGCCAGAGCAGGTTCTTTCTGAGTTGAAGAACGACTTCGTCGAAGCCGAGAAGGGTATCAAGGAGGCATCAAACAATGCAAAGCACGCCCTCGATGAGGCCTTCAGCTCTGCATCCGACTTTGGAAGCTCAATGACCACCAAGTTCCAGGAAACTGCTTTCGATGCTAAGTCTTGGTTCGAGTCTGCTGCCAACAACGCATACGATGCTTTGGACAGCCATGANCGAGCACCCACACCCTCCCTCACCACGGTGAACCTCCTCACCACCCTCCCTCACCACGGAGGCCCTCACCATGGCCACAAGCCCAATGAAACCGTCTGGCAGCTGCTCAGCTCTTCCAAGTACACCGAGAAGTTCTCTAAGCTCATCAGCGAGTACCCCGACATCGTTGAGAAGTTGAACTCCACCGATTCTGGCAACTTCACTGTCTTCGCCCCCAAGGACACTGCTTTCCCTGACCACCCTCCTCACCACAAGCCCAGCAAGGAGATGATCAAGAAGTTCATCGAGTACCACATCAGCGACGACTTCTACCCTGCTGGTAGAGTCCTCATTACTCACACTATCCCTACTCTCATGGATGGTGAACACTTGCCCGGTAAGGCTTCTCAGAGACTTAGCGTTCACCTCGGTCTCAGAGGCTTGACCATCAACTTCTACTCCCGTATTGTTGCCGTCAACATTTTCGGTACAAACGGAGTCATCCACGGAGTTGACAACCTCCTTATTCCTCCTCCAAGAGCATTCAAGATCATTGATCTCTTGCCTTCTGAGTTCTCCACTTTCGAGTTGGCTCTTGGCAAGACTGGTCTCCTTGACGCCTACAACAGCACCGACCATCCCAGCGGTACTCTGTTCGCCCCTTCCAACTTCGCCTTCCAGAAGCTTGGCCCCAAAATCAACGGCTTCTTGTTCAGCGAGTACGGTCGCAAGTACCTTAAGGCTCTGATCCTCTACCACGTAAGTAAAACAAGCTCATGATGATTACCCACACGAAGCTGACGATTTCCANNGACTGTGCCCGACAATGTTCTCTACAGTGACGCCTTCATTAAGGCTGAGGGACACGACGGTATTCCCAAGGGACACTGGCACGTCGACTTGCCTACTGCCCTTGAAGACCACTCCTTGTCGGTTGATGTTGGCAGATACGGTGGCCTCATTGACATCAAGGTCAATGCCTTCTCTCGCGTCAGCGTCCAGGATGGTATCGCCGCCGATGGTGTCATCCAGGTCGTCAGCGACGTCTTGATCCCTCCCAAGAAGCTCGGTAGCGCTAAGCTCAGAAGCTTCAACTGGTTCGGTTCTGAGAAGGAGCTTACTCTTGAAGAGTTCAAGGCTAGATTTGAGCCTTACGTCGAGAGAATGATCGACCTCTAAATCAGAGGCGAGATATCCTATGTAATATGACCATACGATCCTTTATGAATATGTAGTTAGTATGTAGCTGCCAACATGGTATCAATGCTACGAAGTATCAAGCTTCTTTTCCTCGATTGCTCCCGAACGTATCGTATTATGATGGCTGTATGGATCCTTGTATTCGACACTCTGATGATCCTGATTTTTGCTCCCTTAGTATAGAGATCTGTATAGAAGCCATGCCTCGAGAGATACGAGCCAGCGATGCTGGAATTTTGCATTATCGTTGACTTGACCATCCATAGTGAAAATGGAAACTGATCAGATGAACAGAATGGTCGAAGACGGAGTAGCAAGCAGACGGGTCAAGGATGAGGAAGATAGATGCCAAGGCGCCGCAGCGGACATGCAAGCGGCTCCGCAAAGGGCAACTCCTGATTGGTCGAGCTTCAACGGAAGTCGAGACAGCACGGAGGATGAATCAAGTTTTGTGAACAGCACACAGCACACAGCACCACCAACTACACCGACAGCCAACAGGCTCGCCATCTGCAGTTCAGTTCGACAAGCAGAGAAGCTCAGGATCTGGACCGTCAAGTCAATCGCGCTTTGACTGCAGCATAGACTCGATAAAGACACGGCTTCAGTCACAATGGTCGCCCACCTCCACCCGCGTTCGCGGTCCACCATGTCGCTCTTCAGCGGCTGTCTTGCAATCTGTTTCGCTGTTGTTGCAGCTCCTCACGTCCTCCCGTGCCCCGTCGATAAGACACAGCTCGCCGACAGTGCTTCTCCAGACGGCGAANNCCCAGACGTCGAAGACGCCGCAAGCAGTCCGCTCTCGCTCCCGGAGTCCAATCAGCAAGACGACAACGACATGAGCTCTCTTAGTGACATGGAACGCCCAAAGCGCGAGTGTCCAGTGCCCAAGCCCAGTGGTCTTATAGGCCAAGTCATGGGTTTCAAACCGCAAGAGCAACGTCAGAATCCTACCATCATTATCCAGACACTACGAGACCGCCATACCAGACAAGATACAGAATCAGGCGACAAGTCTCTGTAAAACATGATTCGAAAGACACCGGGATGTATATTATATTGGACGCTCTGCAAGATATCTACGAGCAACCACTTCCCGACAAGCCGTGCACTCCGCCGGCTGAGATGTAGCTGCAGCTGCCAGTTCCCGTGCTCGTCGAATTTTCCGCTGTCGTCAGCGTGACATTCTCAAAAGCGATATTGAAGCACGGATGAACCTTCGAGCAACTGACACTCGCTGTCCGGTTCTTCGACTCTTTGCCCGACAGCCAGCCAGTGAAGTTGGCAAACACAATGTTGCTCACATCCATCAAACTTGTGCCGGCGTAGCTGCCGTTATCACCCGAGTTTTGGTTGATGGTTGGTCCCGCGTCTGCGCCCTCGACCTGGAAGTTTGAGAACTGGATGTTACGGACGGAGCCCCAACCACCTCCTCGTGGCTGGCCTGCATTCTCGTAGTAGCCGTTGGCTGAGGGGTTCTGGGGAACCAAGGCCCCGACCCACGTTTTGATCAGGACGGAGCCATGCATGTCTTCGTTCCATCGGATGATCTGCCCCAGGGTTAGTCGATGTCTTGCCAATTCGTCCACAAGGAGGCGTACCTTCACATCATCCATGATTACGTTCTCGACAGTGCTGTCATCGAGGTACTGTCCAAGGCTTCCGATGGCCATGCCATTTCCACCTCTGCATGTGGCATTTTGGATGAATATATTCGAAGATCTACCCTTAATCGCAGTGCAATCATCGCCACCNNAACGATTCTGTCAGCGATACTGTCAACATGAAGGGACGCATTATTTACCTTGATAAACAAAGTTCGTGAGACGAATGTTCTTGGAGTCCATTGTATCTTCGAAAAATCAGCCAAAAGCTCTGTATATAAGATGTTATCGATACTTACCGAACCCATCTGTATTCTGCACCCAGTTCTGACTCGAGTTTGCTTTCGATGCAGTCGCATTCGCGTAGAATTCGTCCACCCACACATCTGTACCATTCATGATGTTGAAGCTCCACAGAGGCGGGTCGATGATGAAGAACTTCTTGACTGTCACATCTGAGACGTTCCAGAGGACGAATGGCATTGGTCGTCCAGGCAAGGTGTGTCCTGCTTCTGCAGTGTNACCTTTCGATAATGAGCAAAAGTTCATAAATCTTCGACGGAATGAGGCTTACCAGGTATCGCCGTTTCCATGAATACCTCCTGTACCGTATCCATTGATACGTATATGATCACCAGTCAGGATGAACGAGGCAGCATGGTTTTGGAACGCGATCGGATAGGAAGAACTATTTTGTCTCCAGTACTCGATGTCGGGAGAAANACTCGAGTCCTGTCAGCATAATTTCTGGCCCTGGTTCATCGCAGTATAAAAACCTACAGTCCAGATACCTCCCCAGTTGATGTTGACATCGTTGACGATAGGGTTCAACTTCGACGCGATGTAGTAGTTCTGACCTTCTGGAAAGACAATGTCACCTCCGTTACCACATTTCCTGAAAGCTTCGAGGATGTTGGGGACGTCGTTGGTTGTGCCTCCATTAGCAAGAACAGTGCATTGAGGTCGGTTGCCATGGTGTGAGAAATGGACGCCTCCACTAGCAGATGCCAATGGGAGAATGAGAGAAAGAGCAGTCCAGAGGCTTGTTTTGATCATCGTTAGACACAGGAAGAGAAGGAACTGTACTGTTCACGCATGCTCTTAGGCTAGTCTGTACCTCTTATATACACTTTCTAGACTGCAGCAACTCCTCACAAGGACGGCACAAAACGAAGACATATTTTTGCTCCAATCATTGCAGAACTACTATGCGGTACTTTGGTAGATCCTACGCGGAGAAGTGCATTTGAAGAGACAAGATCTTCACGAGGTACAAACAACCATCACAATACTCGGCATGAAACACACCGAGACGCGAAAGGTGCGAGTGAGGCTCAAAAGGAAGGAAGTGATTGCGGGGAAACCTTGCCATGACGTCTGTGTTTTCCTGCAAGGCACGACGACTTGGATGTCTATTTTTGATCTACATTTAACAAGTGACACACATCAAATTCATATCGAAAACACATTATACCAAGATATCAAGATGGTAGCCGCCGCATTGACGAGATCGCGATTCGTGGCAACCCTGCCGCGAAGCTACATTCAAACTTTCACGCGTGCATACACTGCTACTGCACCTAAGAAGGCAGCAAAGAATCGTCTCTACAACTCGTAAATTATCACCTACAGACATTGTGGATCTTCAGGATTTCTGACAGACAATAGTGTACGCTACGAAGACGAGTTCGAAACCCTAAATCTGCTTTCGGCAAGCAGTCGCATACCTCTGATCACTCTCTGGTCAGCATCTTGGTGTCCATCCTGCAAAGTAATCTCTCCGCTGCTCAAGGGGCTCATCAATGAAGGTGTTGGTGAAGCTCAAGGTGGTGTTTCATATGCTGAGATTGAGCTCGACTCTCCAACTCTAGGAGGCTTGGCTATGAGATATCAAGTTAGTGCCAATTACTGAGACATTTGAGAAGAAGGAGATAGGCTGACAACGATANNGGTCAACTCATTACCCACCTTGCTGGCTTTTGACAGACAAGAGGCTCAGTTGGAGACCAAAGTTCACAAGGTGGAGGACATGAAGAATAGACAATTCCTTATCAACTGGATCGAGACGGAAGCAAAGCGTCACGGCGAGGGCGGTGCTGGAGGCAGCAGTCTGTTCAGCTTGTTCGGACGCTAGTCGGATCTTTCTGAATTTATGGAATCAACAGACGATGCATCAGAGAAGGGCGACCAACGGCTTGATGATGCTCGTCTAGCATGCGCTCTAAGGAGCTTGATGACCAATCAAAGCGCAGTGCAATAACCGCCCAAAACGAGATCGGCTGGAGATCTTTGCTCACGGGTCTGCAGTATTGTCGACCTTAGGATGGCAGACAGTCACGTTCACCAATGGCTTTGACAACGATCGTTCAAGAAAACATCTGGGGTATATATATGATCTAGTAAGCGAACAACAATGTTTCAGCTGGCGAGAAGCAGCCGACGAGCGGTAAAACACAGATCATTAATGCACCATAAAACGCCGCATGAACGAAACCATTCCTTCCTACTTTTTTCTTTCGTCAAACATGATCAGATGGCTCTGCATAGTTGGTCCAGGCAAACTTTCAGAAAGACATTACGCGACCTCCGACAATAGCCGTGCGGAACGTACGAGAAGGACACAATTAGAGAACCGCGGACATGGGTATCAATATGCAATCCGTGCCAGAATGAAAAGAGCCTAGAGTTCTCATCCGAGATGTCATGAACTAGGCCTGATAATACAGTGCAGATTGGTTAGTAACGGGATTCGGTGCCACATACACGTTCTGGTAAGGATGTGATGGCATGGTGAAATCAGCATTGGCGAACATGGGGTTTACCATGCCAGCAGGTGGGCGACGAGAAGCTGCTGCAGTTTGTGCAGGAGCAGGGGCAGCAACTGGTGTGATGGTGGTCGAATACTGCCCGTACGGTTGTTGCATTGGCACGGGACTCGTGAGCAGAGATGTCGAATGAACCGGAGCGATGGGCTGGGGTGGCGGCTGTGGTTCGTCTTGCCAGCCCCATTTCTCCTTGAGTTCTTTGAACACGAACGCGATACGCCATCCTGTCTCCTTGTTGATTTTCTGGAAGATTTGAAGCACTTCTTCCTGCTCACGTCGATCGGTCAAACATTCGGCAGCATGCGCCAAGGAACGGATAGCTACACTGGCGACTCCCCTNNACAGATACGATTAGTACAAGACTGATTCGATGGCAATAGACGAAAACACTCACCTGTCCTTAACGTGAGCAGTAATGCCACATATCATCTGTGAATGGCGATGCTGCATGTCGTGCATTTCGGGATTGTCCAGACCAAAGTACGGGTGTATTTGTGAAAGAAGAACCATGACAGTGTGATAGAACAGACGTGCGACGATGGTTGTACGCTTGATCAACCACACTTCTGGGAAACACGACTTGGAGGAGGTATGTTGAGGGTAGAGATAGGCCATAGGATGCATGGTGCGAGGAATGTTATCGTTCCAGGCATCAGTCCATGACTTCAGCTTTTGCCATTCGCCATACCTGTTTTGACGGCGCATTTCCTCGTCGCGTTGGTCTGGTTCCTGATGTCGAGGTATGGTTGCTCTGAAGTTTGCAACCTTTGCAACGATATACAGCATACGGTGAGTCCAGATTTCCTCTCGACCGTTGTGGATTTCACGATTGAAGTCCATGTCGATGCCCCAATCATCGGGATCCCAAGCGACCTGCCAATTGAAGTGAAGGCAGCTCAAGACTTCAAGCCCAACATTGAGCCAAAAACAAGCTGCACCAATGCCTTGAGAACGTGCATTCCACCCGCACTCTTTAATGAGAGCGCGGGCGCCAGCGATGTGGTTCATTCTCTGCAATGCTCGCTCGCTCATAATTTCGTAGACGTTCAAAATGACGGCAGTAGTGGCACATACGATAGTGTCACGATTGGGGTTCTGGAGGTTCTTCAGCAGATATCTCGTTGCAGTGTCGTAGTAGTGTAGAGCCTTTTCTTCACTGTACGCGGAGTTAACAAGCACCAGATGACGGGCACCGCATGCTAGGAAGGCGTTCAAAAGCATAGGCTCGCCTAACGAATGGAAGGGCAACAAGCGCGAGANACTGCGAAAGATTAGTTGGTGCTCAAGAATGCATACACATGGGCAACGTACATGTTTCATAGGATCCATGCTATCCATCCAGAGACCAACTTCTTCGACAAAGACCTGCATGAATAGAGTCTCCTCTTGGGTAGTAAGGAATTCGCGTCGTCCCTCAGTAGTATCGTCTTGGTCTTGTTGTTGGCTATAGGCTGATATCGAATTCCTCTGTTGGTTCGAGAAAGGAGAGTCTTGGGTGGCATGGTTGGATGTGTTATACGCGCCGTACTTGTGATCGTCTGTGGATGGATACGATTCAGGAAGCATACCCTGGATTGGCGGGAGGGGTTGATATGACATGTTTGGGTCAGAGGGAGGGTTTCCTTGAGTCTGCGCTTGGGCGTGAGCTTGTGCCTGAGCATGGGCTTGCGCTTGCGCTTGTGCATGGGCTTGAGCTTGAGCATGAGCGTGAGCCTGTGCCTGCGCCTGAGCTTGAGCCTGGGCATGAGCGTGTTGCGCTTGAGCATGTGCCTGTGCTTGAGCTTGCGCGTGTGCGTGGGCCACGGCAGCAGGATTGTATTCGAACATGGGCATTCCCGTCATATCGGTAGGTTGAAGATGCGATTGTACGATGGAGGGCCGTGAAGGGCGAGCGTCCTTTGCGCCGTACTTTTCCAAGCCTCCAACATACTCAGAAGCAATATCGCGAGACTCGTCCATAAAGTCTACCTTCCATTCCAGCGTAGGAGCCTTCTGCGGTGGACCTTGGCAATTTGTGTCGATGAAGTTGAGACGAAGACCGCGTTTACATTGACGATTGGACTTTCGACAGTTCTGGCAGATGGGAGCTCCCTCGTCGCACTTGAGATGGCGCTCGCGACACGTCAAGCAGCCGGTGCGGACGCGCTTTGGTTTGGACACGACGGCGGCTGCTGTATCGGGCGCAGGCACGTCGCCATTGCCTGTTGGCGTCGTCATGAAACCAGGATGTGTGCTCGTCGCCTACCAGCTGTAGCTGAGCTGGACTTTGGTCGGCTGGTCGCGAGCTTCGCTGAGTCGAGTCGTCGAGTCGAGTCGAAACAAGAGCAGTTTGCGACGTTGTTGCTGATAGATGCGGACACGGACCTTCCTATTGGACCAAGTCGCGTCAACTAGGTAGTACGGCTCGCACGACTGCGCGCGCTCTACAAAAGTCGATTGGGTTAAACAAGGTGGAAACAGAACATGAAGATGATGGTGAACTCAAAGCGCGATGCAAAGGTGGGAAGTCGCTGCCGAAAGCACGTCTGCACATGCCCTCCTTCGCTCGTTCTCACGCTTGGACCCGCCGGCTGCCTCGCTTCCAGGTTCCGTCTTGCTCCTTCCTAATCCTCTGATCCCCCCTTGTTCCGCTATGGAGCCTGCTTCGTCTTCCCTGTTTTGTGCATGCCCTTGTGCATTTCTGCTCTGATACTGTCAACTCGACCCGCTCGCTTATGCTCTCTGCCTGAATTGTTGCTTGCACGTTGAGAACTGCACGATTCTGCAACACTATCTTGCCTGCTGCTCCTCTCGGCTACTTGTGCTGAACAGACCCTTTGGCTGGCTCGATTGGCAACCCGAGCCTACTTGCGGGCGCCTTCCCGCTGTCATCTGTCACTTTGTACCGAGCACCTCTCATGATCTGTGCCTGAACAGGTTTCGAAGCCCACTCTGTCTGCACATGGCTCTGGTACAAACTGCTACTCTGCCTCCTGCACAGCCATCCTATGTGCTGAGAGGTCATAATGCACAGATTCACAGTGTTTGCTTTGTGCGCCATAACACTCGCCTCTTGACTGGTGACGCTGAAGGTTGGCTCGTCCTATGGAATCTTGCTTCGAAGCGACCTGTCGCTGTATGGAGGGGTCATTCTGCTGCTATCCTAGCTCTCTCAAGTTGGGCAGATGACAGGCTGATTACGTGAGTTACAGGCACATGTCATTTCCATCTCTTACTGTTATGCTAACAAGATTCAAGACATGGAAGAGACAGTAAGTTGCATGTTTGGCAACTAAAAGCATCGGATGAATCTACCTTTTCTGCTGTTCTACCTGTAGAAGACTCTGTTACACCCCGCCATGAGCCATGGCTGCTACATACAATCTCGGTGAACACTCTCAACTTCTGTTCATTCTCTGCTTGTGATGCCTCTCCACCAGAGGTTGCTCAGTTATCTCCTGATGCCACCGACCAGGCTCTCCTTGTTGCTGTCCCAGGAGAAACTGAAGGCAATATAGACGTTTATTCTTTGCCTTCTAAAGCAAAGCTCAGTACCATCTGTGCCCCTAGCACTATCAAGCTAGGTAAATTATTTTCTTCCCTTCTTCCTGGGGTTTGCTGACACTGCCAAAANGGTATGGCCATGTGCGTCAAGATCTTGACTCAAGATGGCCAACTAGTGCTGATAGCAGGTTACGAGAGTGGTCATTGCTGTCTATGGCGTTACGATCAAAATTCAAGCAAGTGGGCCTTGCTATCAATCATTAAGAGTCACGCCCAACCAATTCTCTCATTGGATGTCGCGAAGGGCCTTCGAAGATACTATACATCTGCCGCAGACGCTACTGTTGCTTGCTACTCTCTCTCAGATCTGACAGCATCTCAGCCTATCAAGACAGCTCAAACTAAACACTCTGGCCAGCAATCTCTTCATGTTCGATCTGACGACAAGATCCTCGCTACAGCCGGCTGGGATGGATGTGTGCGTGTGTACTCTGCGAAAACGATGCGAGAACTTGCTGTGCTAAAGTGGCACAAGCAGGGCTGTTATGCTCTGGCGTTTGCAGACCTCACATCACGAGATATCGACACTGCAGCAGATGAAAGCACAACTTCAGACCAGAAGCAAGCTTCTACTACACTTCAAACAGTCGGACAGAGACGAGAGACCAAAGCACAGACAACGCACTGGATAGCTGCTGGGTCAAAAGATGGAAAAGTTTCGCTTTGGGATATCTATTGAGGGAAAGGAAGAAGTTAAAGGTCAGCCAAGGTTGAACTCAGAAGCACCACCACCCATCATAGCCTTTGTCTTTGCACGCATTATTCTGGCTGCTTCCTGAGCATCAGTCATCTGAGGACCGTCGTCTCCATCAGGTGCAGATCTCTTTTCGCCCGAACTCTTTGCACCCTTGACATTAGCCTTGTGACGAGAGTCCTTGGACTTCTTCGCGTCATCCTTGCCAGGACGCAGACCTGGTACCTTAATGCTACCAGGCTTGTCTCTGAGCGCAAACGCCTTAGCCAGGTGACCGAGGTGAAGAGTCTTGATGTTGAAGATTTCTCTCTCTGCCGCTACATGGGTGGCGTAAGCTCGAATGTGACTTTGGTATGCACGGCGAGCCTGCTCGAGATGCTTCGGGTTCTCGAGAGCCCATCTTTCGACATCCAATTGCCAGTCAGTTGCCTTCTCTTCCCACTCACGACCAGAAGAGACCGTGCCCGAAGTTGGTGTTAGACCCTTCTTCAACAGCTCAACAGCATCGTGTCGAGTGAGACCGTGTCCTGCGTCTCTTCGATCTTCTTTCAAGATATCTACGTATCCTTCNNCCTCGTTGCCAGGTTGAAGGAAGATCAAGGCTCGACCGTCACGTCCTGCACGAGCGGTACGTCCGATACGATGGAGATGATCGTCTTTGCTGAAGGCGGGATCGTATTCGATGACGAAGTCAACGTTTGGAAGATCCAGACCACGAGAAGCAACATCGGTACATATCATGACCGAAGCATCCTTGTTGTTGGTGAAAGCCTTGAGCGTAGATGTACGAACATTCTGAGGCAGCGAACCGTGCATGCGGAAAATGGAAACATCGTTGTCTTTGCCAGAAATGATTGGTGAAATGGCTTCAGTGCAAGCATCGTCAATCGAACCTCCTTGTCTGATCTTGCCTGGAGCCAGCTTCTNTTCGTAGTTTGATAATTCTTTCTCCTTTTCTTTCTTCGCCTCAGTCGTGATTGGATTCATCTTATCCAGTTCAGATAATTCCGGGTTCTTTTTCCTTTCCTCCTTAGCCTCCGATCCAGTAATTTTCTTCTGTCCACCACGCGTCAGGACTTCGAAATGGAAATCAACAGAGTCGGCGCATGACATGAACACGATGGTCTTCATGACAGATCCCTTTCTAGCAAACGACCGACGAAGAATGGCGGCAAGTGTGACCAGTCTCAACTTGGCAGGAACGACAGCGTATGACTGCTTCAATTGAGCGGGTGCTGAGAATGCATGACCGTTCTTCTCTGCGTCTTCAGCATCTCTAGGCTTCTCGGCAGAAATTGACACAGCCTCCTTCAACGTGATGTTACCCAGTCTCTCGACGTCCATCTTGATGGTTGCGGAACACAAAACAGTTGTTCTCTTTTCGGGTAATCCAGGGATGGGCGTTTGCTGTACCTTTCGCATACGCAGATTCATCAAAGAAACAATCTTCTGAATGTCGTTTTCGAAACCAAGTTCCATGAGACGATCACCTTCATCCAGTACTAGCCATCTTACGTTGCTGACATCCAGTCTCTCAGTGTGCTCCAGATGATCAACCAGACGACCAGGAGTGGCTACCAGAATGTTCAGACCCTTCCTCAATCTTGCCTTCTCGGATTGTTTCTTCTCTCCACCAATGACGGTTCCAGCGACAATCCAGTGTGCAGCTCCGAGTAATGATTCGAGGACAGTGGAAATCTGCTTGCTGAGTTCTCGCGTAGGTGCTAGAATGATGGCAAATAATCCAGAGTCTCGTGTAAGACCACCAGTACCTCCATTTGCTTTCCTTGCAGTCTCCGACATTGTGACTAGGCGTTGTACGATAGGAAGGAGGTAAGCCAGTGTTTTACCGGAACCAGTCTCTGCCTGAATGAAAGCGTCCGAGTCGTCTTTCACCAATTGTGCAACAGCCTTTGCCTGAATAGCTGTCGGAGCCTTGATACCCATCTTTTCCAGCAGGTGGCGAGCAACATTCGGGGACAAGCCCAAAGAGGTGAATGTGTCGAGTTCGGAGCTCAAGGGGGCGTTCGAGGGCTGTATAGGTTCTGCATCTTCTGCTTCCTCCTCTTCTTCAACAGGAGCGGTCGTGGCAGATGGGTTGTATGTGAACAGGGACGAGATGACTTCCTTCGGACGTTGTCGTGGGGCGTTATTGCTGTCTCTAGGACCAGTGCGGCCAGTGGTATGTGTAGGCTTGTATTCGCCTCCGTCGGTCTTTTGTCGCTTGAAGGGACGGGGTTCTGAATTCGAGCCTGATCGAACGTCGTTCCTTGCATCGTTTTCCTTCTTATAATCCGGGTTGGTCTTGTTCTGGCCATATTGCAAGGCCTTCTTCGCAGTCAATCGGTCCTTCCAGCGGCCACCCTTGTATGCTGTAGTTTTAGGAGCCCACGGTTGGTCGCCAACCGCGAAGTTCAGAAGCATTCCATCGTCGGCCATAATGAATGCAAATATTATGTGTCGACACAAAAGTTGATGTAGCGTCTGGAAAATTTCCAGGCTGCACCAAACGGGAAGATTCAGGAAACTCTTCGCAGATCTGGGGTAAATCGAGCTTGGACCAGGCACATGTCCGCAAGTCTCTCCCCCGAGCTGCCTCGGTGCCTGGTCACATTATTCATCTTCACCTGCACTTTATCAAAATTCATGTAAGAGTCAATCAATGAGGTGCGGTTGGAGACCACTTGGGCTCAAATTATTGAGGTGATATTCAATATCACAAAGCCTCGTGTTCCTGGATTGTCATAATGGCACTTCTATTGGCTGCATGAGATTGCTCTGCAGCCACGCGCCGCTCTCTCATCAACAGGTTTCCACTTCAGCTGAGCCCAGCAAGCCCGCACGCCAACTTCTGTTGGTAAATGGATATGCTATCGCTCATCACCGAGTAGTTATGTTTCAGATGTGCCATTGGTTTGCTGATCTGCGTATGTGGCCGCGCTGAGACACGAGAAACCGTTGAACCATGACGTGTGTCGAACACCTACATGCTATTATGTATCCTGTGCCGCTCTTCGACCTGCATATCAGAAAAAATTTATATCCTGCTCTCTGTTACAACAACTCTCATAGTCTGCAACATGGCTCAACGAATGCGAGCAGTACAGTACACCTCGGTCCAGGGAGGTCTCGAGAAGAACCTACGCTATACTGATCGTGAGTTCTTCAAGAAGTTTGTCATGATATCGAGCTCACTGTTGTCGAACNNAGAGGCATTAGCTCCTCCACATGACGAACAGATGCAACGCGGAGACCACATTATGGTCGAGGTCATCTCTGCTTCCATTAACCAATTCGATTGGAAAATGCCCGAGACGCCTGTCATCGGAAAAGCCTTGACTTACTCTTTCACTTCTTCTGCCACGATACCTGGCATGGACTACTGTGGAAGAATCAAGTCAACTGGCTCCGTCATCGATAGCTTCAGCATTGGCGAGTTGGTATATGGACGCTTGACTAGACCCACATCTTCGGGCACTCTTGCTCAATATGTAAGTTTTGAATGCAAGAAACCGAATGATGGGATAACTGAATGATGCTAGGTCAACATCGACCCTGGGACCTGCATACCACTTCCGGAAGGAGTCAACCCAGATCACGCCGCCACAATTGGTGTTGCTGGAGAGACAGCTTACCGCAGCATCGTGCCGAATGTGCATACTGGCGATAGAGTGTTCATCAATGGGGGCTCTTCAGGCACGGGTACCTATGGAATTCAGATTGCCAAACTTTTGGGCTGCCATGTCACTGTATCTTGCTCAACATCGACAATCGAACTTTGCAAAGAGCTCGGTGCAGACGAAGCTTTCGATTATTCAAAAACGGATCTCATTGCGGAATTAATCGAAAGTGGAAAGACAGAACCATTCGACCTTGTGGTAGACGATGTTGGTCAACCTGAAGATCTCTACAAGGAATCACACCTCTTCCTCAAACCTGAGGGCAAATTCATCTCGGTCGGCAGCAAGAACGATATTGCCTCACTTGCAGCACGTACACTCCCGACGTTCTTGGGTGGTGGCAGGCGCAAGTCGGAACAGGTCCACGTTCTGCTTGGAACACATCGGGACGACCTGGTCCAGCTTGGAAGATGGATGGCTGAGGGCAAGATCAAGGCTGTCATTGACTCAACTTATCCTCTGGCAGATGCGGCAGAGGCATATGCAAAGTTGAAGGGTGGTCATACACATGGAAAGATCGTAATCCGGGTGAATGCAAAGCAATGAACCGGTCCAGAAGGGTTTCACATTTACAACAAATAGACTGTACAAGTTTTAATCAATTTTATTAGCCGTCGCAATGCTGATCGAAAGTGTGATCAGAAGCCAGGCGTATTTTGAAGCACAAGCGTGTATTGCCCATACTCAAAACCACCGCGTACTGTGTATACTCGACGAACGAGCAGCTGCAATTTCCACTTGCCAAAATGCTGACAATGGGTTGAAAAATACGACGTCGACCTCGCAGCGCGGGGACAAGCGATTCAAAGACCAAGCAAGACTTCCAGTGTCAACACAGCACAGTTGAGCGGTAGCGGCGCAACAGGATGGCTTTCCCAAGGTTCCGCTCCTTCCAAGGTATATACTGCTTCTCTTAGCACTCTTTCAAGAAGGCACTATCTCACAGCTCATANGCGGTCTCACAATGCCTCCCGTATACACCGAGCGTCATGAGACGTGCGATACATACCTTCCGCGAAGTCCAGCCCCTCCGCACATTCAGAAAAGAGCTTCAGGCATCCCAAAGGACAGTGGGCTTCGTCCCGACTATGGGCGCATTGCATGAGGGTCACATCTCATTAATGCGTCAAGCCGCCGCCGAGAACACTGATGTCTTCGTGAGCATCTACGTCAATCCTACTCAATTCGGCGTCAATGAGGATCTGGACAGCTACCCGAAGACATGGCAAGAGGATATGGACAAGCTACAAGCACTCAACAAGGAACTCAAGGCTAAGGAAGGGTCTGGAAGCATTACTGCCATATTTGCACCCATCACAAAGGTCATGTACCCGACATTGCCGCCAACATCCGAGATCACAGGTCCAGGATCATTCGTCACAATCACGCCTTTGGGAAGCCTGCTTGAAGGTGCCTCACGCCCAGTCTTCTTCCGTGGTGTTGCTACTGTTTGCATGAAGCTGTTCAACATTGTCATGCCTGAACGCGTTTACTTTGGACAAAAAGACGTCCAGCAGACGGTTGTGATCAAGCGCATGGTCAAGGACTTTCATCTTGATACCGAGGTTAAGATTGGACCCACAGAGCGAGAAGCTGATGGTTTGGCCCTGAGCTCGAGGAACGTCTATCTAGGCGCAAGACGAAGGGAGGTGGGTGTGGTCTTGTCGCGTGCTCTCAAAGCCGCCGAGAAGAAGTATTTGCAAGGAAAGCGTCTTCGTGCAGATATCTTATGGCCTGCAAACGAGGTCTCGACAAGCAAGATGATGGAACAGGACGACTTGCCTCCATCGAAGCGCGCGAGGGTTGAGGTGGACTACATCTCACTGGCAGATCCTGATACTATGGAAGAGATTGAGGTTGTAGATGCCTCTAAGGGTGCCATCCTCAGTGGAGCTATTAAGATGCTACCTCTTGAGGAACCGCAAGAAGGAGAGGATTGCGGTCTTGGTGGTGGCGCTGTTCCTGTCAGGCTTATCGACAACATTATCCTACAGCCCATAAACTAAAAAAAGACCAACACAGGGGAGCCCAAGGACAGCTTGTCCAAGAACAAAATACTTTTGTGAAGATAAACAAGTGTTTTGCATGCACTGTCAATTCGTTCCCAAGATAGCAGATCGACGAACCCGATGGACAACCAGCCTTGTGTTCCCTCAAAGTGTTTGACATGCTGAAAACATGGGAAGAACAAACAACGGCAAGTCGGTGCAAGGTGTCGCCGGCGATTGTTGATGATAGTTCGTCGATCCCTGCCGAGACCTTCGAAGTCCGTAGCGGGGAAGCCTCTTTCAACACCTCATGACGATGTTGCTGCATATCTGCATGCTCAGTCCTTGGTTACTCTGCCGTCTAACTGCGAGAACAGTGCATGCTTCCGCCGTGTTATTCTCACGGCGCACTGCCTCATGTTACACCACTGATACCATAAGCTGCAAGCAGCAAGCCGTACGAGGCGAAGGTGGACGTGTGTCTCGATCTTTGAGCTATGAATTGCAATCTGATTTGCGCTAGGAAAGATACTCGACTGACAGAAAGAACAATAGCGAGCAACAAGTCCGTCTTTGGCAAGCCACTGGCATAAATAAGGCCCACAGAAGCTGTGTCAATCCTGGTCAAATCGTCCACAAAATATGACTCTTACGTACGTCGGCTCTCCAACGCGAACACCTCGACCATGGGGCGAGATCAATGATGCCACTGCGCGTGCTACCCTCCCTTAGCAACAGCCCAACTCTGTTGGTATATCCCCCATCAGGTAAGTTTAGTTAATCGGACAACCGGCATCAGCAGCCCACCGATGGATGCCTTCGATAGGATGCGTAAGTGTGGTGGAGCAAAGTAAACGTCCTGATCTTGGGTTTTGCCCTCTCGTTCGCGTGGCTGTATGTTTTTCTTCTCCATCTCTCCCCAGCCACTGCTTTTTCCTCTCCTGCATTCTTGACAGCTCTTAGTGATTTTCCTGATGGTCAGTAGTGTCCGAAACGTTTTTGCATTTCCTTGTGCAGGAACAATGAGTCTTGAATGTGATGAATGGGTCTAATGAAGAATCCAGGCTTCCAAGCATGAGAGCGCGCCATACCGGCCAGAAGTCCAAGCTTTGGGTGGTATACCAACAAAAGCAGTCGACATACCAATATGCGCTGTCTTTATGGTTCTATACATAATTGCTGGTGCCTTGCACATGGGAACCTTCCAGAAGAATAAGAAGAGAGGAAAGAAGTTCATCTTTGGTGGAATGATGTTTGGTATGATCATGCACTTCTTTGACCTTCATGTCTCATAACATAGCTGACCCTGGCCTCTAGGTCTCTGCAAGATCCGCATTGTAACACTGAGTCTTCGAATCGCATGGGCATGCTACCCGCGAAGTGTCAGATTGGGCATTGCAGCACAGGTCTTTGTCAACATCGGAGTCGTCTTGCTCTACTTTGTCGACCTCTTCTTCACACAGCGCATCGTCAGAGCTCAACATCCCAACTTTGGCTGGAGCAAATTCTTCTCACCACTGATCCCTATGGTATGCGTCATCACCGTCTTGACGATCATCGCTTTGATTGTTGGTGTCATTCAATCCTTCTATACCTTGGACCCCAACATCATCCGGATCGACCATATCATCGAGCTATACGGATCAACAGCGTTCTCTGTCATCGCCTTCCTCCCCATCGTCATTGTCAGTTTATCGACACTCTTACGAATGATCCCCAGCATACGTGGACAAAAGGCAATGGACAAGTTTGGAGAAGGTAAAATGAGCACGAAGATCATCATTGTACTGGCCAGCGCGACTCTTTTGACTTTTGCCGCCTCCTTCAAAGCCGGCACTGGTTACTTGCCGGAAACTCCTCTCGTCAGCAACAGCAATCCCCCAGTAGCTGAACCCACTCCCTGGTACTTCAACCGCGGCGTCTTCTATGCTTTCAGCTTTGCTGATGAAATCATCATCTTGTTCTTCTTCATGGCTGTGAGGGTAGACAAACGCTTCATCATTCCAGATGGCGCNAAGGGACCCTACAGCTACGCTGGCGGCTTTGTCTTTGCAGGCGAAAGCGGAAACGAGAAGTCCAGATTGGGCCAGCGCGATTCTACTCGCAACCTCACCGGCAGCTCACAATCATTGCAGTCGTGGGGTGGATCAACTCGTCGTTCGAGAAGCAAGGCTCCTTCTGTCATCAGTTGGGGTGGTATCAGTCAAGCAGATACCGAAATGGGAGTTGGCGAGGATGGTATCGAGCCTGTGCCTTATGTGACACTTGAGGATGGCGAAATTGCTAGACCCGCGAGCATCCCAGGTGCCGAACAAGAGATGGGCTGGGATTCAAAGAGTGGAAGANNGTGGAAGCTCAGACCTGTTTCCAACATGTCTGCAGTGTCGACCGCTACGCCAGTATCGGCCAGAGAGGATGTCTAGATGATGAGTGCTACTTCGGAGGTGTGATATGCCCAGATGTTTCCAGCCAATAGGGGTTTCAGGCAACAGGCGTTTTTGAGAAGTCGAGCGAGGAGTTTTTGTTCGTCGTCATGTCGTATTGGATTCTTGTAAATATCTCTTGATGAATTCACAGATTAGTGGTCTAGTCTTTTCTTACGATCTTGATGCCGTTGTCGTTGCCGTTTGACTGTTTGTTGAGAAAAGCAGCCTGCATCGCTTCTAGATCTTCGTCATCGTCGAGGTCTTTGCTGGGAACAGGCGTGTCTTGTTCTGGTGTCGCGTCCTGTGCAGGTACACGTCTGACTTCGGGTTGACCTGTTTGACGAGCTTCTTCTGCTTTTTGGTCCTCGATCTGCTGCCTTTCCATCTCATCAAACTCATCACGTCTGTCAATCCAACGTTCTTGGACGTCTCTGACATCGATCTTTCCACCCCAGCCCTCCTGCATGGCAACCTGCCAGACCGAGTCATTTGTGCCCTTGTCTGTGCCAAAGACATAACCACTAGCACGGTCGACAGCATGCAGCAGATTTGTCATAGAGACCTTATCCTCGACAGCCAGAGTCTCGAAAGCGACAAGACCAAAGTCGCCGATAAGTTGGATCAGAGCTTCGTTGAGAGCTGTGAACTTTGACTCTGGCAGTTTGGGAATGTCGCTATTTCCAGCACGATCTTCTAGATTTTGCACGGATGTGTTGTTCTGTTCGGCCTCGAGATGTGGTAACAGGTAGTCCAGATCTTGAACTTCAGTGTAGTAGTCTAGATTGAAGGGTAGAGGTTCAGAGTTCTTGGCGAGATTATCGATCTTGGTCAAAACGTTGACCAGAGGAAATGGAAGATGGAGCATGCTGCGCAGACATAGCAGCAACGAGGAGATATACAGAGTAGGGCGTGAGAGAGTGAGCGAGTCGAGGAGATGGACAACAATCANGCTGGGACGAGTTAGTCAGGCAAAGGTTGGGCGAGGAGAGAGGAGGCGGACTCTGTAACCAATCTTCTCGAGACGGTGGAACAAATTGGGCATTGTATTGTGATGTGTAAATAGCTCGACCTGGCCAGGGCAGTCGAAGAGAATGTACGAGTCGCTAAGTTCTTTCAAGCCTTCCTCGAGCCACTCAAAGTTCTCCTGCAGCTCTTCGAGAGCATACATGACACCGCCATTAGGGCCTAGCTCTTCCTGTTCCATAACTTCTTCCAGCGAGACCAGATCGCGAATGTCGAGGGCGCATGGATATGAGGTTTTGTCGTTGGCAGGGTCGAGGTTGACGACGGCGCATTTGCGATCGATGGCCGTGAGGAACTGGTGCATGCCATCGCAATATGTGGACTTGCCCGCGCCTGGCGGGCCGATGACTAGTTGTGCGAAAGGCATGTTTGTGTAAGATGCGACAGGGAGGATGGCGAGAGAAACAAAGCAATGAATAATTGTTTGCAATGACGAACAAGTGCCCCGCAAAACATTCGAGGCCGACATGAAGCTCCAAGACTGTTGACTTTGCGCGAGGTCCATCTTTCCCGCAACATCATCGCACAATCATGAGTGGTATGCCTCCTTCTAGCATCGTCTCTTCTGCTCTTACTGACTTGATCTCACAGCCCAAATAGAACTCGCAAATGCGCCGTCCGACGCCATTTCAGCTGTCCGCTTTGCTCCCCAATCACCGAACCGTCTGCTGGTCGCCTCGTGGGATCGCAATGTCTATCTGTACGACACAAAGAGCGGAGAACAGGGCAGCTTGTTGCAGAAGATAGAACACCGCGCTCCCGTCCTGGACATTTGCTTTGGCGACGACGACTCGACTGCCTTCAGCGCTGGCCTCGACTGGGACGTCAACAGGATCAATCTGGAAACTGGCGAGAAAACTGTCGTATCATCACACCAGGCCGGTGTCAAGTCCATTGTCTACTCGGATAAGCACCACCTGCTCATTTCGGCCTCATGGGACAGCACCCTCCACGTCCACATACTCAACGACGGCAACATCGCCCATGCTCCCTCGACCATTCCCCTGCCATCCAAGCCCTTCTCCATTTCACTGACCCCTACAAAACTCGTTGTCGCCATGGCTTCGCGCCAAATCTTCATATACGATCTGGCCGCTCTCAAGATGCTTACCTCGCAATCCGCTCCTTCTCAAGAATCCGGAAACCAGAGCATTCTTGAAGTCCAACCATGGCAGCAGCGCGAGAGCAGTCTCAAATTCATGACGCGCGCTGTCTGCTGTATGCCTAACGACCAGGGCTACGCACTTTCTTCAATCGAGGGCCGTGTCGGTGTTGAGTGGTTCGATCCTTCGGCCGAGTCCCAAAGCCGCAAGTACGCTTTCAAGTGTCACAGACAGGCCGACGATGGCGTTGATGTTGTCTATCCCGTCAACGCTCTAGCCTTCCACCCTGTACACCAAGGGACATTCGTCAGTGGAGGTGGTGATGGCTTTGTCGTACTATGGGATGGCGTAACCAAGCGCAGAATCAGGCAGTACCAGGCATACCCTTCCAGTGTTTCGAGTGTCTCATGGAGTTCTGACGGCAGATACCTGGCCATCGCCATCAGTCCTGGCTTCGAAGATGGAAAGGAGGTTATTTCGGAGGGTCAGGTCAAGCTGTTCATCAGAGAACTCGCAGACGGAGAAGTAAAGGGCAAGAGTGCCAAATAGACATGAAACATGATGGAGGAATTTAGAAAAATGGTCTTTGATACATTAGCGTAGGCGTTTTCGTCCTTGTTTCCCCAAGGGCTTGATATGGAGATTTATGCCTTTCTCTCTTCCTTCTCTCTTCAATCCTCATCCATCTCGTCTTGGTCATCATCGCTTTCGATGCCTATCGAGGCTCCTGCCCTTGTGTTGCTCCCCACGCCTTCACTTCCGAGCATCTTATCGAGTGCAAAGTCGGAGCCTTTTCCTTGGGCTGTCGCTCGTAGTATGGCAGCTTTTGCTCTTCTGATTGCTTCCTCTTCGGCCTTGCGAATGGTTCCAGACACTCTGACGACCTGGATAACACAGGCTTGATCAATGGGTCGCGGTAACCGGGTGACGAAACTCAGAGCGGCCCACACCAGACGATAGTGTGCGCGCGAAACTCGAATGATGGCTGTAGAAGTGGCTGGAGATAGATATTTCACNNTGCCAAAGGTCAGCTTCATTGTTCGATACTGTGTGGGCTCGAGACAAAACTTACCAACTAGACTGCTGGCAATCATGCCGCTTCCATAATCTCCGAACAGCTCTGCGACGCCATCTCTGATCATACGTGCCAGCAGCTGAGCATTGAGTTTGTCCGACGAAGGACGGCGGAAGGATATGACATCGGGGACTTGTCCATCTCTTGTCGTGGCCTTGGTGGGAGTGTCTGAGTCGGGGTACAAAATGTTGACGAGCAGGTAGCGGTGCTTCAATCGGACCATGATGACGGGTGTGGGCGCGTGTAACAAGCGCTGAGATTTGTTTCTGTTGATGATGCGATCGGCATCTTATGTGCGATCAAGTCATGGTTGGTCGAAAAATTGGTTGCGCCAAAAGTTCATGAGCACTGCTTTGATTTGCATCAAGGTTGAAGCTTGGCGAGGATGTACTTTTGGCATGTCGTTTTCGACAGATATTTGGGTATCTTCTAATGCTTTGAAATGGGGTATCTATGCTAAGGTGTTTTGCTTCTGAAAACTATCCATCTAAGCGCGCTTGGTTCTCTTCTTGCGCTTCTTGTTCTTCTTTGACTTTTGCTCTTCTTGATGGTGGGCGGTGCAATCACGTTGCCCTCATCATCCAGCTCTTCCTCGTCTTCGTTGTCAGACTCGTCTTCATCCTCATCTGAGTCAGAACCTTCTGCGTTCTGCTTTGCCAGTTTCTGTTCTTCCTTCCTAGCCTTCTTATCTTCGGCTTGCTGCTTCAACTTCTCCTCCCTTCTGATGGCAGCTCCATACTTCTGTTTGACTTCCTTCTCGAATGCCTCCTTCTCGAGTTTGAACAGCATCATGGTTGCTCTTGCATCCTCCACGGAACTGTGCTCTCCACCTTGGATCTCCATACCAAGGAACTCTTTGGCCAGCTTGCGTAGAGCAGGTGCCCTACCCATTGACATCTTGCGAAATGTAGAGTGTCTGGATGTATCCCGAATGTCTCTTTTAGGGTGTGAGAGCAGCAGCACGTCCAAATCATTCTTGACTGCGTGTCCGATCAAGATCTTCCCTTCCAACAGTGCGGCAACCTCTTTCTGTACTTCCGAGAATGGACGAGCGACATCCGGTTTCAGGTGATGGGGTCGAATACCACTGACAAAGGTACGGTAATCTGTGACTTCGACGCCTGGTACAGGTTGTACAAAACTATCGTAGATCTGTTCGCCATGGAAATTGACAATTGATACGCGCGCGAGAACATTGTCGTCGAGAGGACCAGTGCCGACCATTTCGCAATCAATGGCTAGGAATTTACCGGGCTTGTGGGTAGGATGGAGGCCTTGGTTGACCAGAGAGTCGGTAGAGGTACGAGTGGAAACAACATCTTCAGTGGTAGTGGGAGGTTCGGCATTCGATGCGCTTCTCGGTGTTGAGGCGGATGACTTTGATGAAGACACACCCATCTTGGGTTTCCTCTGAGCAAAAGACGGCTTGCTCAGCTCAGTCCTAGGTCTCTTTGTTCCATTCGAGGAACCCTGAAACTTCTTGAACTTTTCGTCTTGCGATTCGGTCGTTCTCTTGCGTTTCACGCCCGGACTCGTATCATCGGACTTGGGTTTCGGCTTGAGTGTCTGCTGTAGTCTCTTCCAATTGCTCGACAGGTTTGCGACTCCGACTTGAGCCATGATTTCTTGTGAGATAGTTTGGTCTGATCTGGGGAATCCATCCAGCACTTTTTTCTCCAGCGCTGCGGCTGCCGGCCCGACCACCGCGCGGCTTAACGCCGGCTTGGTTCATCTATCACATGTCAGATCTACCAGATCATCAGGTACTTGTACTCGACCCGTATCCTCGTCAAACCCTCGTCATTTCGCAAAATAGTCCGGAAGCAAGATGGAGGGTGACACGAGTATTCTTGTGACCTCGTTGACGGAAAGACAGGAAGATGAAAGTATGCATTACCCTGATTGATCACAAGCAAACCCACTCGTGCAAAAGCTGCGTTATCACATGCAAAACATCACGTCATGATGGTCAACAGAATTGAGACTTTGTTGATATATTCTCTCCTCTGCTCCCTATTTTCCTACGAGTAGGTAATCCTATCACATACAAACATGCCGTCCATCATTGAACTCGGTGCGCCTGACCGCAAGAATGGCGACTTGACAGTCACTGGCGATTCAAATGCCCTGCTGTCTCTTCTCAAGGACCAGATCAGCGATTTCCCTCCTGGCAAACAATACAGCATCGCCATCAAAGAAGTCCCCGTAACTGTCGAACGTCTGCCTTACTATCCAAAGGAAGGTGATCGTCTACAGGATCCTGGAACCGCTAGAGCAAACATTGCGGCTTCCAACGAGAGCCCCAACGGAACCTCTCAGGACGACTGGGCTCAGAACCATCAACACCAGACTGTAAGTCGTGTCTCTGTTGCCCCCATCAGTCGTCGCTTCTAACACTACTATAGNGTCGTACAACAGCATGTCGTTTACTGGGACAAGGATCAAGATGGTATCATCTGGCCTCTCGATACTTACAGAGGCTGTCGTGCATGGGGCTGGAACCCAATTCTCTGTTTGATCGCAACTTTCCTCATCAACGTCAACCTTTCCTACCCTACTTCGCCCTCCTGGATTCCTGACCCTTTCTTCCGTATATACATCTCGAATCTCCACAAGGACAAGCACGGCAGTGATTCCATGACCTATGACAACGAGGGCAGATTCAGTTAGTCTTCAACAACCAGATCTATCAGTTCTGAACCTTTGCTAACTCGCTGTAGGNNACCTCAAAACTTTGAAGACTTGTTCGCAAAGTACGATCGTGGCAACAAAGGCGGACTTGACGCTTGGGATCTGGTTAGAATGCACAAGGGTCAAAGAATGGCCATGGACTTCTTCGGCTGGAGTGCATCCTTCTTCGAATGGCTCGCTACCTACCTCTTGCTCTGGCCCGAAGACGGTATCATGCGCAAAGATGATGTTCGCAGAATCTACGACGGCAGCATCTTCCAGTTCAAAGCCGATGAGTATGCTGAGAAGAAGAGACATCACGGCCGTACCAACAGGAGCATAGAGAGTAGAAAGAAGCAAGCTTGAATGCTGGTGTAGCGAATTGCTAGTACAGACGAGACGCCACGTGAGCAGACTCGAGTTGCTACAGAATCGGAGTATAAGGCTTAGGTTAGTTTGATGACGATTATCACGACATAGACAACAGATGCATCAATAGATAATAAGAATCGCAATACAAGATGTATGGATACCGCGTGCCAATACGATAAAACGCCTCTATATTCTCTCGCTAGAATGAAACCCTCAATGACACGCTTGAAATGCTTCAGACCGTTCTAGTTCCAATCAGGAACCACTCTCTTTGCATAACGCATAAACTTCCAGAAGCCGACTGCCCATTCCACACTGCCCTCAGGATCGGTGACTCGCTCTGGCCAAGCAATGCCAGCACCAAAGAGTCCAGGGATCTGCTTTCCATCAACATTCTTGAAAGAGCCTGTGTCGGGTTGGTAGTTGTAGGTGATATCGGAGCCAGCAGCATCCTTGAGTCCAGGCAGGGGATCTCTGGTGTAGCCAATGGCTTGCACATAGCGATTACAACCCTGAAGATGCTTCTCGTAGGTTTGAGTCTCGTTTTCCTTCTCATAGGCAATTTTTGTGATGAATTTGCTGACAGGAGATGACTCGAACTTCTCAGGCTCGAGGTTTTCCTTGGCCCATGCTGCTGCTGCACCCTTGAGACCAGTGTTGTCACGTCTGATCCAGCCATCCATGAATTCTGCGTATCGAAGGGGATGTCTGGTAAACCATTTGATCTTCAAGTCAGGGTGAGTAGTCGAGGCGAGATTGTAGAGGTTGATGAGCACCAGGACAGCGCTGTGAGATGCGCCAATAACGGCGACTGTCGAAGGCTCTTTGGGAATTGCTTTTGCTAAGAGGGTTGGGCTGAGAGCTTGGTCTAGGTCCAGAGCTGAGAGGTCCGAAACATCAACAGGAAGTTGTTGGTTTGTCGGAGAAGAGCCGGTGCAAAGAATCATTCTGGATGAAATGGCCTTGCTCATTTCACCGTTCGACAACTTGACATTGACAACCCAGTCGTTTGTCTCGCTGAGGATTGCTTCAGTTACCCTGCCTTGACGGGCTTCAACACCAGGTGCTTTCTTCAAGCCTTCGGTAAGCATGAGACACATGTCTGCGGCATAACCGAGATCACATCCAGTGTCCTGTGGAAGGTCTCGAAGATAGTCGACTGCATGAGGTGAGGGCGTGTCCTTAATGATCTTCTGGAAAGGTGATACGGCCTCAGCAAAGTCCACGAATAATTTGACCTTGGTATTNNTCTGTCTTCGTTAGTGATGGTGGTTAACTAGACCAAAGTTGAGCAAGACTTACGATGGCACTTCTCTGTATGCCTTATTAACTCTGCCAGCCTCGAATAGATCATCAACCCAAAGCACCGGCCCAACCTTTCTTTCCAAAAGGTTTCCAAGCACTGTGATTCCTGCAGGGCCGCCACCACAAACTACTGCAGCATACTTTGTTCTGTGGACAGACATGTCTGATACAAATCGTGAGGAATAAATTGGCGTAAAAGAGGGTCCATAAGATGTGCTATCTCTCAAGCATTTTAATGGGAGTGTCCCCGAGGAACCCCTCAATGCTCGCCGAGGGACTGATCCTCCTGAGACGCGCCATGTAGAGTATGCGCGACATATTGGTTGTTGAGGGCATGCACGTGTAGCGAGCACCGCCGTATATGGTGATCTCGGTGACATGGGGGATTGATAGGAAGTCAAGTGCAGGCGAATGGCGAGACTTTAAGTGGTCTATAAATTGAAGGGTCCGCCAGCACGCAACCGTCACGAATTTCGTTTCCATCACGTTCGGAACTGTCCTCGCTTTCGATGAGTCGACCACACCTACACGTACCATTGCCTGTGTTTCCTGTCTTTCCTTCATAATCAGATCTCTGATGACCCACGAAATCCTTCGCTATTTCTATGGTTACCTTGCATGTAGGTTGTGTCCGCCTCTCCCAGAGGCTTGTCATTCATGCATAAGCAATCGACGCCTGACTTGCGGGCTTCTTCCGCTGTCTTGACCCTTGAATGCCCGAAGCATATTTATCGGCGACATTTTTGCTAGAACCAATCAGGATTGTTTTGGAGACAAGCAAAAGGATTGTGAGTATGTTCGGGTTCAGCCCGGGATCGTCTTTATCGTCTTCCAGTCACAAAAGATAAGACACCCACAATCAAGAAAGATCTTTGCATCAGCGATCCAGGACTCACCTCGCTATATGTTTGGATGCGGCATTGCATGGCACCACTGATAAACGCAAAACTCGAAGCATCGTTGTACTCGACAGTCTGATCCATATCTTCGCTAGTCCTGCTTCTTCAACAAGGTAGCAATTCGAGAACGCATTTGTTGTCTTGCCGTCTGCTCCTTCAACAATCAAGCCCTCCATCTCAAGGCTTCCTCCACCAACGTAGCAGCCAGAGCATGTCTCCATTGATTGGGCTTCTTCAGCAGGCTCATGGTTTCATCCTTTCTAATCTGGTTGTCTCATCATTGTCAGCAAGTTTTTGCCGTCTAGAGTCCTGTTTAATCATCTGGACACTAAAGAACGGGACTTGCATGGTGGGATCTAAGTATGGACATCAGAGATTCGTTCGAAGATATAATCTCATGTCAACTCAATACAGACAAGATTGTGCTCGAGAGTCGATCTGCTTTGCGACCCTCTGACGACCTCGGCCTATCTCCCATAGGATAATGGATTGCCGACACCAGCTTGCCCTGTTGGTATTGATCTGCTGATCCTCGGGTCCTCGAGATCAAGCATGCTCGCTGGCGGAGTCCTGGAGCGTGTTTCAGACAACATCATGAGTTTACATCCAAAATCTTGTATGAGGAACCACATTCTCGAACCATGGCCTGATTAGTCAACTCGGACTAGCTTGGTGCTCGGTATTGTTGTAATCCTTGCTCGGCCTTTGGTGATAGAGCGATTGCGATCATCTGGTTTCGACTGCCACCCACGGATGCGCGAGGGCTATAGCAAGTCTGCTCACCATCACTTAAGGACATCATATGCGCTTAAAGCTCTATGAATCCATGAAGGGTTTGAGCAGTACACCATCTCTCGCCTCAGCGTTCATGGTCGATCTGCGTGACGGCTGTTTGTCTTGTGATCTGGGGTTCACGCTAGCCGCTTTGGGCTAATTCTGAGACGACCTCTGGCTTCTCGTTCTGTCGCAGCTAGATATCTCGTTTCATACATTAGTGCTTTATCAGCCATCTAATCATTTTTCGAGTAAAATCCAGATAGTTTTCTATCTGCGCTCAGCACAGCCGGGTACAAAACCTTGGACAAGGAGAAGGAGAGTTTTGAGAGATCGAGAAGACAGTAGTCTTGGAATTTGTAAGTTATACTTGAGTGGCCACTTAGGCACTTGTAGTTGAGTATAGAGGCGCAGATCCCATGTGATTGTCCATGAGCATATACATGGAGACTTTGCGCAAAGTCCTAACCGTAGGGTGATTGGGAAGAAAGTCCAGTTTGATATTGTACAAGACAAGGACAAGTCTAGCGGAAAGCTTGGAGCTTTCTCAAAGCTATGACTACAGGAAACAAATCAATTCTGCAAGCCGCAGGGGAGATGGGAGGTTGACGGCAGGGCTGGATCAAGAAGCGCAGCTGTGGCACGAATGCAGAAGCGTACCTTGATCTAAAGCGAAGGCTGGACAGGTGGCTCCAGGATAAGTCGAACGATGCAAGTCGTCAGAGTTGACATATGCCAGACAGCTCGGTGTAAGATGACCTGTAGAGATCTTCTGGGAAGATAGGTCTTCTTGTGGCATGTAGGCGATAAGGTGTCGAAAAGGCAGAAGAAATCGGGAGAGATGATGGTGGTTCCAGAAGTATGGATACGATCCATGCGTATGTTCTGCTACAAGAAGAGAAGACGCAGAGTACTTACTGATGTGTGTACTTTAGCTGGACGAGCCGAGATGATGTCCGTCAAGATAAGCACCGGACGGAGAGATATGAACAGGCGTAGAGAGCGCCTTCCCGTCTCGTATGGTAGAGCCCAGAGGACTTGTTATAACAGGGTAGTCATAGAGGAACCGAGACAACAGGCCCTGAAAGAGGCAAGAGGAGGTGACGTGAATGGTTAGCCAACATAATGCAGAAAGATACCGCGCTCTGACGCGAAGAGGCTCTCCCAATGTGCTATGTAGACTGTCGCGTAGTAGGCATGGACGCTCAATCGTTTCTAGCCTGTAGTTGTGGCCACAGAAGCCTCGTTTGTGGCTGACATCCGAGTCGATGCCGCATCCTTGAGAGTAGACTTGTGAGAGAAGAAGGGTCGATCACGGATCGTGACAGGGAGGATGCAGACGCACCAGATATCACTCCTGGTCTAGTCTACTTGTATAGCCAGTAAAAGTTCTTGATGAGCAGCTCAGAAGCCACAAATCCGACACCGAGAGAGCACTGCATGCAGACTCACAATCCAGTATGCCAGTCCGAATAATTTGCGAATCGACAATATGAACACAGCACAATTGGGTACGCAGTGGAAGTCAGCTAGCTGTTTGCAAGGTGTTTGAAGAGCGGTCGGACCGACCCCTATGACGTTTCGCGATAGGGCGGCGATAAGACGATCAGGGCCGCGAGACCGGAGTGAGCTCCAAAACTCGACTTGTTGTCTCCTTGATTACCTGTATTCTCCTCTGGAAACTATAGACAAACATGGCCGAAACAATCACCACAATCTCCCCCATCACCAACAAGGGCATCATTGAGCGCAAGGGTCTTAGCGACTCGGAGCTCAGCGATTTGGCCAGCAGATCAGCTGAAGCCTTCAAGTCCTACAAGAAGACATCGCTGGACGAACGTAAGAACTATATCAAGAAGGCCCTCGAGATCATCACATCCAAGCAAGATGAGCTCGCCAAGGAGATTACAGAACAGATGGGACGCCCAATTGCATATACCGCTGTCGAGGTGAAGACGGCCGTCGCTCGTGGCGAGTACCTACTCAAGATTGCCGAAGATGCCTTGTCAGACACTCCTGGCGAGCCTCAGGATGGCTTCAAGCGCTTCGTTCGCAAGGTGCCCCTCGGTCCCGTCCTCGTCCTCTTCCCATGGAACGTAAGTCTTATCGACATCTTCCTTAGCCTGCATCATCATGCTGACTGTTTCACTACCTTCAGNTACCCCTACCTTACTCTTGTCAACTCCATCGTCCCAGCCCTTCTCTCTGGCAACAGCGTCATCATCAAGCCTTCACCTCAAACACCAACCATTGCCGAACAAGTCGTTTCTGCCTTCAACGAAGCAGGTCTTCCCAAGGACGTTATTCAATACTTCCACTGCGGCGACTTCCAAAAGATTGAGAAGCTAGTCAAGAACCCCAACATCCAGCTTGTTTGCTTCACCGGATCCGTTGCTGGTGGTCTCGCTGTTCAGAAGGCCGCAAGCGAAAGAGTTGACTCAAGAGTCGGACTCGAGCTAGGTGGAAAAGATCCCGCATACATCAGACCTGACGTCGATCTGGCATGGGCTGCAGAAGAAATCGTCGACGGTGCCGTTTTCAACTCTGGCCAGAGTTGCTGCAGCATTGAGCGCGTTTATGTCAACGAGAAGGTTCACGACGACTTTGTCAAAGAGGTACAGAAGGTCCTGGCCAACTACAAGCTGGGCGATCCTTTTGACAAGTCCACACACGTTGGTCCTGTCGTTTCTAAGCGTTCCGCTGAAACAATCCGCGCCCACGTCAAGGATGCCATTTCCAAGGGTGCTCAGGATATGACGCCCAAAAACTCGTCTTTCGAATCGCCACCAGCTGACGGTAACTACGTGGCTCCTGTGCTTCTGACTAATGTTTCGCACAAGATGGATGTCATGACTGAGGAAACCTTTGGACCCGTCATTCCTGTCATGAAGGTCAAGGATGATGCCGAGGCCATTAAATGGATGAACGACAGCCAGTTTGGTCTGACTGCCAGTATCTGGACAAAGGAGACTGAAAAGGGTTACGAACTTGCCGACGACGTCGAGGCTGGAACTGTCTTCGTCAACAGATGCGATTACCCTGCTCCTGACCTTGCATGGGTCGGATGGAAAGAGTCTGGCAAGGGACAGACCCTGTCAAAATTCGGCTTCGATCAGTTTTCCAGACTCAAGAGCTACCACATCAAAAACTACCCAAAATAAATGCATAATGCCACGTGCGGCTATGGCATTTGCTTTATGCAACTATCGACAAAAGCCCATGTGAATTCTTATCATGAAACTTAAAAGAAACGTTACAAGGAGGAATGGGCGCACGTTCACATTCTCACGCAAAAGTACGTTTATGTAGTACAGGAATCCAAGCTGAGACATCATCCCTCTCGTCAACGCAAACCATGATTTCGAGTTCACGCCCTCAAGCTCGAGCGAATTGCTCTGTGTGTACACAGGAGTTCTCTCCGACGAAACAATGGGAGAGCACGGAACTATCCATCATATTCGATTCTTGGGCCATTCGAATAACATGCATTCCTCGGCATACCGAAGCATTCCACAAATATTGTTCGGCAAGGTTGTCTCGGAAGGAGGCGAAAGAATGTGCCACCCATCAAGGCCCATGGCTTTATCAGTAAAAGATTGTCTCAAGCAAGGCAATTAGACTCAGCAAGCTTTCGATATCTGCCAATGATTGAGACTCTTGTGAGTTCGTCGGGTCAACGCAATCTTTTGCAAGATGCTACAATCTCCTACTTGCAGCTGAATCGCAAGGTCTGCTGATTTGTTCCTCTTTTAGGTCCAGATTCGGCCTTGTCTGCCTTCTGCTACCTTTCTTCCTTGCACTTTTTATTGCATGACTGCACACGACCTGTCTTTACCTTGATTGTCGTTGTGAAATCTCCCCATGTACTGTTGTTGTTCTTGACTTTGGTTTCAGCTTTAGCGTCTTCTTTGTCCTCTTTCTTAGTCGTGCTGAAATTACCTGCTTGCTTCTTTGTCTCGTCCGGAACTGTCTTGTTTGCATCGATAGACCGTCCTGTCTCTTCACCACCACGAGTTTACCACGTTCGATTTGGTCTCTCGACCTACTAGAGATATCTCCCGGCGTTCTCGAACACGCTCTTTATCTCGATAGACCACCGTGTCTCCTCTCCACCACGAGTTACTCGACTCTGGACCCATTCAAGACCTCTCTCGGCATTTTCGACCGGGTATAGCACTCTCTTGTTTGCATTGATAGAAGATCATACCTCTTCTCCACAAAAAGTCTACCGCGGTCAATTTACCACATCCGTCTGTGACTCTCAGCACACTAGAGACATCTTCTCGGCATCCTCGAACAGACTTACTACTGTCTTGTTTGCCTCGGGAGAGCATCGTGTCTCTTCTCCACAACGAGTTCTTCGGCTTTCGAGCATCTCTCGGCGATTCCAAAAGGCTTGCTACTGTCTTGTTTGTGTTGGTAGACGATTGTGTCTCTTCTCTGACACGAGTCTCTTTGATTCTCTGAATATCAGAGACATCTTCTCCGCATCTTCGAACAGCCTTACTACTAGTCTCAAGAGTCCGTGTTCATAAGCCATCGGAAATCTCCTGGACGACGAGTTTACTACGTTCGTCGTCGACTCTCGGTATACCAGAGTACATCTTCTCGGCGTCCTTAAACAGGTTTACCGCTACCTTGTTAGCATCGACAGACCATTGCGACTGTGTTCCACAACAAGCTTACCACTTTCGTCTTGGACTCTCGTTTCTCCCAAGATATTTCCTCCGTACTCTCAAACCACACTTGCTACTGTCCTGTTGGCGTCGATAGGCATTGTGAACCTTCTCCTCAACACCGAGCTTGCCCAATTCGTCGTTGACTCTCAGCATTCGAGCACAACTGCTACTGTCTTGTTCGTGTCAGCAGGCCATCGTGGTTCTTCTCCTTCACGTTGAGGCTGCCCCGTTCGTCGTTGACTCTCGGCGTTCGAAACACACCTACCACTGCCTCGTTCGCGTCGACAAGCCATAGTGAGTCTTCTTCTTCACATCAAATTGGCCCCGTTCGTCGTCAACTCTCGGCATCCTTGAGACATTCGCTCGGCATTCCCACACGGTCACTTCGCGTACATTATCCTTACCTTCTCGGACTTACTCTCTTCCACAACAACAACCACAACAACAAACCATCATGACTACCATCTGGTCCAAGATCAGAGCCTTCCTGTGCTGCGGCGAGGAGGAGGACGACCGTCCTATGAACATTGTGAGTTATATGCTGCTGTTGACATCAACTTACTTTACTGACGCATTCGCGAAACAGGGCGCACCCACCAACTTCCAGAAGCTTGAAGTTCAACTTCCTGGTCTCTCGGAGCACGAGTTAGTCTTATCTGTCCTACCATCTAAACGAAGACTTACCTGCTGACTTCGAACGCTAGANCGTGCTTTGATTAACAGTCGCCCAATCCCTACCACTTACCCCTTGGACTCTGGCGAAGCTCAGCATGCCGCTGGTGTAGACCGTACCAAGGTCCACACCAGAGCCTTGAGCAACACCATCAAGTCAGTCACCACCACTGCGATCTCGACCGTCGGAGCTAAGGGCTCTGGTTATTCCGCACTCGCTAACGAAAGTTCTTCGATACTGCAGCCCCTGAACTCGGAACTTGACGGAACCTCCAACGAGATGAAGCATCTGCTACCTCGCAGCACTGGCGGCCGTGGCACAACCAGCAGCAACGAGACCGTCATTGCAGGGTGTGAAGAGGAAGATGAAGGCACCAAAACCGTCGTGGGTACAAAGTGAGGCCAAGAACAAACAGCATGACACGAATAGCGCAGAGGATGAAGAGCTCTGGAAAGAAATCAGATTCGGAGTTAAGAAGACAGAGGGGTGAGAGCTGCCTGGTTGCAGAGCCTCAAATGAACTCATCGCCAGCAATCATTCCGTGTTTATGCCACAATTTCCTCCCAGGTCTCAGTGCTCGGCGCGTGCGCAATCGCTTTTTAGTGAACTCGTGGTTCGTGTGGCGCCTTGGCTATCTATGTGATGCCAACGTGATAGTGGTGTGAAGTCAGCCCAGTAGAGGGCAGAGAGCATAGCTTCAACATTCATGATGTGTCCATTGCATCGTCGAGAACGCCCGCAGGTATTCTTCCCTCGTTGAGAGCCTTCTCCAAACGAGTAATCTCGGCCAGAGTCTTTGCGTTTCTGATCAACTCCTCGATGCGCTTTCTTTCCTTGTCGGTCAACTTGACACGCGAGATCTTGTCCGTGCCATTTGCATTGGTTGATGCGGTGTTCAGCGATCTTGATGAACGTGACGAGAGAAGTTTCTGGGCGAGTTCGGTAGGTTCGGCCACTGTGCCAAATAGTTCGGCGGCTTTACTGCGCTCTGCATCCTTGACCTTCTGGAAGTCGAGGAATCTGACGGATGGACATCTTGCGATGACCCAGTAACGGTAGTTNNCTGTGCCAAGTCAGAAATAAGACTTGTGGTGGACGAGGATTGGGGTATAACTAACCTCTCTTGAGGCGATGGGGTTGTCCAAGAGGGTTAGGTGTGTCAGTTTCTTCAAGTCGGATAGAGGCTCAAGGTCGCCGAGTTCAGAGATGGAGTTTTGGGACAGGACAAGCGTGTCAAGGTTCGGGATGGAGTTGTGCAGGCCTGGAGCGATGGCGGTAATGCGGTTTCGTCCGAGATACAGAGCCTTCAATCTGTGGTTCTTGGGGAAGTTTGCTAGAGCGGGTATGTCGTTGTCTGTGAAGTCGATGGCATCTTCGTTCTGGCGGCGCGTTCAGATCAGCACTGTGCCCTTGTTATCGCATGGACTGTGGGCAGGCGAACGTACCGTGATGAGACCCAAATTCTCTAGGGCAGGGATTTTGTGACNCTTTTGCATGCCTATGAATCAGCTAGTTCAAGTATAGTATCTGTCCTTTTCTTGACAAGGGATAGTAGTACCTCGCAGGTCAAGTTCGCGCTCCTTGAGCGGATTGAGGTATGAGAGCGAGTTGTGCACAAGCTCGGCTGTGAGTCTCATTGTGTGATATGTGTTGCTTGTGCTTGCGCGACACGATTACACTTGTGGTGAATGATCTGAGCGTGATGGGTTGGTTTAGTTGATTGTTGGTCGATTTCTTGATGCTTCATCAATCCGTCGCAAAAGTGACGGCACGCTGTACCACGTTCTTGGCGCTCTCTAAGCTTTATTATACACGCACTCGGTGCTACGTGTGATAGTAAATTGATCTGTACATGGCTCAATTCTTCGTTTATCTAAGTTTCCGGTATGCTACCATCACTGTATACTCTTCAAATTTCTTGGTCTCCATGCGATTCATGTTGTACTTCCAAATCGCTTCACTGGTACGGCAGACCATCTCAGCTGCATCTTGTATACACCTTGGTCTTTTTGACCATTGTCGCCACCTTCTTGTGTGCTTTTGCCTCGTATCCACAACTGTTGCGATGGGTGTGTCTCGTGCGCTTCGTCGAATCGTCTCTACACTTGCTCGGCTCCCCAGCCGGCATCAGCATCCCTGTTGTCGCGTGAGTACCTCTGAATCATGACAGCGCTTCTACGACCTTACCTCATGTTGGCCGGAGGCTCAATGCTGGGTACGTATTCGAGGGCGACATAGACCATACCCACAAGTATGATGATGCCGCCAATAATGTATTTGGTCCAATGGCCTGAGAAGCAAAGCCCTCCGATAAAGATGTAGACTATCCCATGTTCGTCAGCTTGTGCCGTTGTCAATTCAAGAGCTCGTGTGCCGTACANAACACCGCGTCCGATGAACGAGAACATGAAGGATGCATATCTGGCGATCTGAGGTGGGATTTGGAACTCTGCATGGCTGGTTAGATGTGTCGTGCTTGATCGAAGGGTGCCGCGAACCAANNGAAGAGCATTGGCAAGACCAAACAGGATAATGTAGATGGCGCAGATGGTGCCTCGGACGCTGACTTCAGGGAAGAATTGGCTGATTCCTCNCAAAGACCTGAGGACGGGATCGCGATTAGCAGAGTCCTGAGCGTGTCAGACAAGTAAACCTACCATCAAGGCGCCAGTTGCCAGGTTGACAATGCGACTGCCCAGTTCATCAGCTGCTAAGTATGCAGGATACGTAGCGTTCTACCCACAAGATATCGGAGAAGTCCATGACGACGGTGCTACAGAATCCAAGATGCACAATTGAAAAGTGGTCGAGTATTCGTGTGAAAGGAACAAAGAACTGGCAACCTGGAAGCTGTCAATAGAGAGCTCAAGGCTGCGGCCTGGCCCGCCAAGTCCACCGTCGTCACTGCCGTCCGCAACCATGTGCTTGTGCTTTCCCGATCCGCACCAGCAGCTCCAGCCCTCCGCTTTCTTTCGTGAAACTGCTGCATTTTTAAACGATCATGAGGGCACGTGAAACAGTCTTTGAGATTCAACAGGTCATGGTGTTGCTTGAGTATTTTTGGACAAATGTTCAAGAGTTCCAAACATGGTCTGTTCCTCTGTTTAACAGTTTGTCTAATTAGTCACTCGCCCTCGCCCTCGAAACATTCCCTTCATGCTCATTGACCTCTACCTACAGACGAGCCTTCTCCTTCAAAGACTCGTCGACAAGTTGAACCACAGCGGCAGCACAGCCCCATGAAGTCTGGTATCCATATCCGCCATGACCAATGCTGTGCACAACCTTAATCGCGAGTCCATCTGGACCCTTGATGGTTTCCTTCTCAGTTCTGATGCCGCCCTTACGCATTGGTCTCAAGCCTACACCATGCCTGATAACGTCCAATGCTTCAATACCCTTTCCTTCGGGAACGAGCTCAGGTGTTAGAGCGATTGCACGTTTCATGATGCGGATGGCAAGGTTTGGGTCCACTGCCGAGTCCCATCTATCCGCTTGCAAACAGCCCCNCAGGATACAACCACCGCCTGCCGCACGGTGCATGATATAGACTGCCTCATCGTCTCCATCATCGGTTCCTGAAGTGGTGGCCATGTATCCTGGATCGTTGCGAACGAGAACGATCTGTCCACGGGCTGGATACATGTTTTTGTCTTGAACTCCTCCCATGAAGAGAGAGAAAAGCCCAGTACAGTTGACTACCAAGTCGGCCTTCTTTCCAGAGTGGTGAAGCGATGTGGCATCTGCAATATGCTTGACGACACCCCGCTTGAAGATGACGCCGTTCTTGAGGCACTGCGATACCAGCCAAGGGAGATAGATCGCTGTGTTAATGCAGACAGAGGTAAACGAGGTACCGCCATCCATGCCCTCAGGCAGTTCATCCTTGCTGAGGACTTTGAACTGCACCATCGAATCAATATGCCATCGTGTAAAGAAGGACATACAACAATGACTTACATTAGGCACAACTTTGCTGAACCATGCGTCTTCACGGATGAGTTCCGCAAACCACTCGCCGACAGGACCTTTGTCCTTTTCTCTTCGATAGATCAGGGTATCNNTGTACATGGTCTTAACCATCTTTTCGAGTGCTCTTGTTTATTGCTGCATACCTTGGAAGTGAATACCAGCTTCGGGATGCTCCTCAGCTAGTCTAGCTAGTTCGGGCCATGTATTTCTCTCGTATTCTTGCGATGGAGTGCCTTCCTTGCCAANCACTTTCATTGTCAGCTTCAAGTGTTCGAAGTAGCTTCCTAGTACAAATTGTGTCGAGATAGCTAGGCAGTATGCAGGTGTTCTAACGTACGGTAGATAGTTTGCACCAGCCCACGGCGATGCATACTCAATGTCATAGTCTCCTGGCATATGCTTCGCTGCAACGGTGATGCTATAGTTCTTGTTCTTGGACAGAATGAAGGCCGCAGTCAGGCCAGAGACTCCAGCTCTAGAGAATGGTCAGCTCGGTGTATCATTCTGAGTCAACAATACAGACTGACCNNCCAAGACGACCACTCTATGTTGTGGTGACATGGCTGATGACTGTGATTATATGGTCAAGTGATTGGGTGGTGTGTGATTGCTGCCTGTCTCTCAAAGTGACTGGTTCTGCCGCACACAGTAAATTCAAAAGTGAACTTGACAAGATGTTGGATTAGGGTCAGAGGACAAGAAAGACTTATATACACAATGTCCCTGGCCGGTCTGCCTACTTGTCACTTCTGTTATCCTCATCCAAGTCAGCAGCAGTTTTCCGCCCCGCATCATCACACCTCTCCACTAGGCGCAAGCCCGTGATCGGCTCCGATAAGTTCAGCATCTTGGCCGTACGCCCAAGGCCACACCAATCAGACAGAGGTAAGCGATCAGATTAGGGCAAGTCGGGCAATACAAGGAGCAAGAGGCTGACCATGGTGGAAGACGGAGTTAGTCAGCGGTAATACATAAGTGCTGGTAAGTCTTTGAGTCAGTGGATGCGCTCATGATTTGCGGCGGCGGAGTTCAGCGGTGCGGGCGTCTTTTTGAGCGATGGTGATGCGTGCGCCAAGCACGCGCTCCAGCTTTCCAATTCTGCTCCTTGTTCTTCACTCACTCCTGATCACCGAGCGGGCCCTACTCTCTACCCTTTCACTGTCATGTCTTTCTGATTTGCTGTTCCACTCGCACCCATGCCTGTCTGCTGTGTTGTTGACTTTGGTTCGCTGATAAACCCTCCCTTACAGCACAATGGGCGGCAGTCAAGAAGAATTTCCACTCTTGAACAGCCTTGGCTTGTATGCTGCCAACATTCTCGGTGATGGTATGGAGTCGTTCCATATTCTTTGCCTTCACCCACTAATGTAGCCAGGAAATTGCCTTTTCCACGCACTTAGTGATCAGCTGTACGGACACCAGAAAGAACACCAAGTCATCCGTTCCAAAGTCATCGGTTATATGCGAGAACATGCCGACTACTACAAGCAATTCATAGACGCTCAGCCTGGTGGTGGCACACGGAGGAATCCCAAGAGAAAGAATGTCGGCTCCTTCTCGTCCGTCGCTGCTGCTCCATCCGAGGCAGACATAGACCACACGTTTCAAAATCACCTTGAGAGAATGGCNAAAGGTGGCACATACGGTGACAACATGGAGATTTCGGCTTTTAGCTCGGCATACAACGTAGACGTCAAGATCTACCAGCGAGACTTTGCCTACATGATCTCAGGCTCTGGTGACGACCGAGACCGAGACGTAGCTCATATTGCTTACCATGTTGGTGTCAAGCCCTGGCCAAATTGTATCTCTGCTAACCTTCCTAGNGCCTGGGAGCACTACTCATCCATTCGCAACCTCGATGGCCCTCACTCCGGCCCGCCCAACGTCACCGTCAAAGCTTTGTCGCCCGACGAAGAGCAGAAACAGAAAGAGAAGCTAGCCCAGACACCTCACGTGCTCCCTTGGATGGTCGATGTTGTCTCGTCATCTCTTCCATTCCTTGCCGACAAGCCTACCATCAAACGCACGCTCGAAGAATGCAAAGGCAACATCGATGCTGCCGTCGACAAGCTAATGGGTGCCGAAGAAAATGGCAGCCTGTCGTCCGCACAAGAGAGCTCTAGTGTTGAGCGTGAACCCGATAGTGACGAGGAATACCCTGGCAAGGATGGTCCCAACAAGAAGCGTGACCGTAGACCGTCATCACGACAACAGTCCGGAGAAGCCAACCCTGACGAGATGCGAGCCAAGTTCGAGACCCACAACGACTCTTCTGAGTCCGTCAAAACAGAAGCTTCTGAGTCTTTGAGCTCACAGCCTGACAAGAAGAATGACGTTGTCCCTGATACACGTCCAAGGCCCACAATCAGGCTGAAGTTCAACTCACAAAGGCATCGTCGCCGGCCCCTGCTCCAGGCAAAGGACCTCAGCGACAGACTGCTCGGGACAAGAAAGACATGAAGAAGCAGGCACAAAAGGCTGCTCGCAAAGAGNCGGGAGCAGGCAGCAGCTGGTGGCGATCGACCTGAAAGTCCAACCACATCCGGCATGAAGCTTCGCAGCAAAGGCATGGTCAATACTCCGCCCATTGAGTCCGGGTTCCGCACTCTGTTCATCTGAAGTGCAAGCTTCCTTTGCTAATGACCTTCTTCGGCATCGGATTCAAGGGTGGTCATGCGGGTACATGAACAAGAACGCCCTGACATCCTCTTTTTCTTTCTTTCGTGGCTCTCAATGATGCATAGCGTGGGCACTTTGACGGCGGACAATCTGTGATTTTTCTATACCACCATGAGCATGGCGACGGCGTATACAGGTAGATTTGGGATACGAATTGGCATTGACATGCCAGAAGCATGGCATGATGACACTAGACGGGTATCGCACCCGAGCTTCTAATTCTTTGGCTTTCGTAGCGATCAGACATTTCGTTAGACGAGGTGCAGACAAATACAGTTGCTCCTCACACTCCAGAGTATTGCACAATATGGTTATCAATCCTTCTCCGTGGTAACATCTGGCAGCATAGTTCCACGCATTCCTGCGTCTATGTTTCTCTAGCAGCATACATCTACTCTACACAGCAACAGCCTCTCCGAGCTTCATATAGTTCCAACAGANCTACATGTGAGTTAGCACAGTCAACTTTTTGGAGAGTATATGCCACCGTTGGATGAAATGTCTGAACAAGGTGTAACAATCTTTAGCACACGGAGAGGATCAACACTTACTTGAATTGGCCAAGTCGTTGCCAAAGTAGCTGGCCATCAAATCTTCTCCAGATGCAGTTCCAGTTGTAGAATCGTAGATGACAGCCTTCTTTCCTACTGCTAAACCCATGATGCTTGGAAACTCAGACAACTCCTTACAGACGGGAGTTTGTCCGTAGCGATGCTTCAGCATATCTTGATGGATGTTGATGGCACAGTAGTGGCCCATATGCATGGCGCCTCCACAACGCTTGATGCCAGACCAAGATGCAATGTCTCCTGCTGCGAAGTGACTATCTGCATTTGGTACGCTGCCGTTGAATCGTAAGCTGCAACAGGGTTAGCAGGGTTTAGACAAATCAGGTTGTCATTCATACGATGCATCAATCTTGACGTAGCCTTCCTTGTCCAACGCTGTAGATGGAAGATAGGCTGATGTTGGTGTACTTCTCGAGATTGCTGTGATAACGTGTCCAGCTACGATCGATTGCCCGCTGGACAGGGTAAGTCTCCAAGACTTTGATCCGTCGTCGGTCTGTACGGCGGTGGTGTCGATCACTCTTTGGCCTAAGATGACATTGACACCAGCTTCCTGAAGCACCTCAAGGCTTCGTTCCTTGAAGTCATCCGGCAGAGGCTCTGCAGATAGGAGCTTATCTCGAGAGTGGACGAGAGTCACTTNTTGCCAGGGTTCGACTACCTTGATCTCGCTAGCCATCTCAATACCAACAGCGCCNNTAAGTGAGAACATAAGTATAAGCTCTAGAATACACAATAAGCACTTACCTCCGCCTATCACCACTACACCTTCTTTGGCATCTCTGACAGCTTTGGTATGTGTCTTTGCTTCAGCAACGAATTGGTCTCTGTTCAATGCTTGCGGCACTACAGGAGAAGTTCGTCGAAGCCCTGAAGCAACCAGAAGATAGTCATACTTCTCCTGACGAAGTTGTTGCGTAACAGTATCCATGATCGAAGCCGTCTTTTTCTCGCAATCAACAATCGCAACACTGCCCTGTAAGAAGCGTACATTAGGCAACTTCAAAGCAGGGATGTCCTGAAATTTGGTCCAACTCTTGGAGGCTGCGGTCTCCGAAGCAAACGCCAAAGGGTTTCCGATCAGGTGGTCTAAAATACTCGTTAGGATACTGAATTGTATCAATATGCTGTGTTACTCACAGTAGCCATCACGCTCGTCAACGATTGTGATATCAACAGGCAGCTTTGTCTTGAGAGATCCTTCCTCAGGAGATGCAGCAGTGAACCGAGGCTGCTTTCCATTGCACAGATCTACGAGGTTCACTGTAGCTGCAAGTCCAGCGTAAGAGCCTCCGATGACAAGAACTCTCGGGATAGCTTGAGGGATGTTCGGACCTTCGTTGGACGGCATAGTTGAGAACTGAGAAGGGAATCGAGAAGAGAAAGGGAGGAAAGACGAGACCACGGTGTAGGAAGTCATTCCCACCAGTGCCGAGCACGGAGTCTTGGTATTCCTGCTATGCAGAGGAATGGGTCTCAGCACTCGTGCAAAATTCATGCTGCGACGGAGCCGATGCGCCACCTCTAGGCTCTGTTTGCGTATTCATATCTATAGCACGGCATCAAGATAATCGTCTGATCTGATCCTTCTCCAACGCCGATTCGGCGGCCCAGACGGAGCTGTACGCCCTGTGGAAGGAGCAAACTTGATAATGATAGGTCGATGGGACGCGCCCTAGCTTGTTAGCTTCATTTTGATCCGCGCCACTTATCTGATTGATAACATGGCTTGGCATCAGCGCTCCGACTCGGTCGAGTTCCCAGGCTTGTATCACCATCACCGTGAATCAGTCGGGTCTGATACTATGTAAACTTATCATGTTCCAATTGGTTGTCCGCTCAGATCTTCAATCAATTGCTTGTGAAGATGGAATTGTCGATGCCGAGCTCGAACTCGCTTCGGAACTTCGGACATGTTTTACTACTGGCCTGTGCGTAATCATGGCAGAGCAGAAGGATGCACTCGGCGCAGCCCTCAAACGAGCTCCTATGCCGGAGCGCATTGCATTTGTATTCATGGAGACTGTGCTGCATCTATCCAGGGTTGGAGGTCTTGTTCTGCGAGGACAAAATGGAGCAAAGATCGCCTGGCTTGATGCCAGTCGTTCATTCGGGATAGTACATCTTCCGCGTTACGCCTCCGTCTACCACAATTTCTTCTCCAGTGACGAAGTCGGACTCGACCAGGAATTTGACTGCTTTGTAGATATCCTCAACCCTCCCAACCCGACCCGCAGGGTGCCATGAGTGGTCTTGCTCTGTCATACCATCTTCCCACTTAGTCGATACCTCATCCGCTGCTTTATTCTCATTTTCGACATTGATCCATCCAGGGATGATGGCGTTGACGCGGATATTGTGTCTATGTCCTAGACTGATTGCCATGCTCTGATTGAGGCCTAAAATCCCTCCTTTGGCGGCGCTATAGGCTTCGTGATTGTCCTCGGCCTGTTTGGCCCGAGTAGAGGAGATGTTGATGATGCACCCGGCACTTGAGCTTTCGTCCTTGCGTTTGAGCATGGGTACGCAAAGCCTCGAGAGAAGGAATGGTGCAGTCAACCCAACAGCGATTTTCAGATCCCATTGATCCATGATTTCGTCTGAATCGAGATCGTCTTCCATTCCCTTGTCATCTCTCCATGTGTGTGGAGTAGCAAAAGCATTGTTGATAAGTGCATGCAGACTGCCGCCAAAGAACTCATTCACCTCGCGGACGACAGTTTTGATCTCATCGCGGTTGCTCAAGTCAACGACTTTTCCCTTGTAAGAACTCCTGTTGGTATCCAGTGACTGCGTCCATGTTGATGCGAGCGAAAGAGTATTCTGCAGCTCACTTTCGTTGTTGTCTAAGAGGAAGACCCGATTTCCAGGTCGTGTGAGGAGATTCCGTACCAGTCCTCTACCGATGCCCCTGCCAGCACCGGTCACGAGGTAGTTTATGGAAGCCGGCATGGAAGATGAACAAATCCAGAAATCGTATAAGATACGGTGCCCTTGCTGAGAAGACCTCTTGACCAGAGTTTGACGAGGTTGTAGCTTCAATGCTTTTCAGAGCTATAGTACCCATGACGAGTTCAGATGACGTAATACTCAGAGAAATCCAGGAACAGGAAGAGATCAGCATTATGAAACCACAGGCAGTTACAGAGCAGCGTAATCTCCTCAGCAAGTTGTGTAGCAAATTCGTCGATAATTGTTCTGATAGGAGGAAGTAAGCGTACTACCATATTCACAAGGACAGAGTGAGGCATCCCAGTGTGAAAAGAAAGATCGGGTATCATAGGTATGTTCGACTAAACAACTGCGTTCCACAGACTTTGCTAAAAATCCAAGAATTCTCACATGACAATGCACTCGGCCTCGTCTCTCTTCTGATTGCTTCTGGTCAAGCGGCCCTGGTTGGGCTGCGGTTTGGCTGCTTTGCCCTTGCGAATCTCTTCAAGTCTCTCTACAGCTTTAGGGAACTTGTAGGAAGCGGCCCTCGTGTACCACTTCTTACCTTCCTCGAGACTAGCAGGACAGCCAATGCCATTCTCAATGTAGTATCCCAAAGCATACATGGCCTTTGCAAGCGGAGGTTCACTCATTGCAGCTTTGCGTGCCCAAAGATAAGCCTCTGTATCCGATTGGTTCAAAATGCCCTCGGCGCCTGTGAGATACCAACCAGAGAGTGCCAGCTCAGCATTGTGCTCACCCTGGGCAGCTGCTTTTGAGTACCACGCGATGGAGTTGCGCGAATCGACCGGTAGACCCAACGATCCATACTCGAAGGCTTGACCGAGTCTGAATTGCGACTGCTTGTAGCCCATCTTAGCTGCCTGCATGTACATCTTCTGTGCATATTTCTCGTCCGGCTTCACGGCTGCGCTTATAGCAGGGTCGGGATTTCCTGCTTCGTGAAGACGAGCAAGCTCGTGTATGGCGTGAGGATTATTAGCGTCCGCATTGTCAGCTGCTCTCTTGAGGTACACCACAGCTTGCCCTACATTTCTCTGTTGGCCAAGCAGACCTCTGAGCAGGATCATCCCCATCTTGTACATGGCAGCCACATCTTGTAGTTGTGAAGCGCGCTGGTACCATTGCACGGCTTTGTGATAATCTCGTTTGGTACCGCCACCCTCTTCAGCTCCCATCTCGCAACACATGGCTGTTCGGTAGGCTGCAGCGCTGTGCCCAGCTTTGGCGGCACTTTGATAGAGCGAAAATGCCTGCTTAGGATCAGGTTCTAAGCCCAAGTCTCCAGATCCATAACAGTCCGCGAGGTAGAACATTGCTTCCGGATAGTTGGCTGCAACGAGTTTTTTGACACGTTTGTGGGCATCAAGAACATATCGCTCACTGTTCTTTGCAGTCGACTTTGCATCTAAACGGCCATTTTCCGATGCTAACACAGTCGAAGCTTCGACAAGCTTCTTGACGAGGACCATCGCAGTTTTCATATCATCAGGGTTTGCGTCAACCCTTGAGCGTAGCGTATCAAGTTCACTCCTCGTCACTGGGCCAGAACTACCGCTATCATCCCCTGTAGACGACTTGGGTTGCGATTGGGAGCGACTATTTGAGGATGTGTCCGGATTATTCGCATAGTTGCGCACGGGTGCAGGCTTTGGTGCAGGAGGACCATTGTTCAGGCCAGGCCTGACAGGAACTGGATGACCGGGAAGTCCATCAGGATTAGCAGGCTGGCTGTAACCATGCTGTTGAGCACCTGGAATCGTCTGTGGAGCAGACCGCTGTTTAGCAAGTGGAGCGCCAAATGGACGATCAGACGACGTTGGCGGAGCAAAACCATTCTGAGTAGCGGGCGCACTTGGGGATCTGTCTTCCATGGCAAAGCGTGGGTGTGGCGGTCTGCCGGCCATGGGCGGGTCGGGTCCGTAGCCATAATCAGCTTGTCTTCCAGGAGGAGGAGGCGCGAAACCGTTCGCTGCTGCAGGTGCACTTGGAGCTCTGTCACCTGATGGTTGGCGCTGCGCAGGTAGTCGATGATCTGATGGCATTCCTGGTCTAAAGTCTTGCTGTCCAGGCACTGGTCTCCTCGATTGAGGTCCTCGAGACTGCGATCGAGGTCCGCCATTCATGGGCCCGCCGTTCATGGGTCCGGGGTACATAGGTCCTGAAGGCATAGATCCTGGGGGCATGGGTCGAGATGGCGGTGGGCCGCGACGAGCTTGCCCGTTTGGTGGGAAGCCTGGAGGCATGCCACCCATTGGACCCTGAGGAGGCATTTGGCCACGTCTAGGAGGCCCGCGAGGCATATTTCCGTCAGGAGCTGGGTTGGGCATCCGCCCCTGCGGCACAGGACCACGTTGCATGAGAGAGTTTGGCGTGGGTCCGCCTCGTTGCATCGGTGGCTGGCTACTATGCGGCTGCTCGTGGTATAGATTCCGATCATCCGAAGTAAATGCTCTCTGCTGCTGTGGCGGCCTGGGTGGCCCCGGACTAGGGTCGTCATAGCTCTGACTACGTTGTTGGTTGGATTGTGGCATGGCCATATCATCACGGGCGTAGGCTTGGTCATACTGCCGCTCTCTCAAAGGCCTACCCAAGTGATCTGTTCTTACATCATAGCCTTCGTTACGCGATTGGTTATGGATTGGCGGCTCGGGCATGGGGACTTGGGAGTTGTAGTCATAGTTATATTGTGCGGGTTGTGATTGATGATACATAGGAGCCATGGTTGTAGACGATTGGTCGCGGTAAGTACGATCGTGCTGTGGGGGTTGTGGTGGCCGACTAGACGCAGGGTATTGGTCACCATGATTGCGATCCCGTTGCTGCTCCTGGTGTGGCTGAGTGTGGTGGTACAAAGCTTGTGCAGGGTGTTGCGGGAGATGATTAGGATAGTGAGGTTCAGGAGACTGAGTCATTTGCTGGCCCTGGAAGCCGAAATCAAAAGCGTTGATTTCTTCTTGTACAGGTGTACGTTGACGCAGATCTGGCTGTGATTTGGCAGATTTCAACCTGCTAGAGGCAGTCTGGTATCCTGGCTGAGGTTGAGCTGGTTGAGGAGGAGGGTTCAGATGCATGTTGTTCAGATGTTCATCGATGGTAGGCTGACGCTTGTGCGCGGTAGCTCTGTCGAAGTCAGGCATGGCAGCTTCTATCTCATCCTCCCGGTTCATGGGCCGAGGCGGTTCTTGATAGTAATCATCGTAGACACCTCCCAGGCTTTCGTGCTTGTCCGCATGGTGATTCCAAGGCTGTTGAGGATGAGCAAAGTCGTCCTGGTAGGCTGAAGCATTGGAGAGGTGGGCTGCTTGCGAAATACGTGCTTCGTAAGGAACGTGATGTACGGGAACGATGGCTGGACGATGGCGTGCGGTCACACTGCTTAGCTGAGGCGACTCGACATCATGAGGATCGCTTGTGACCTGAGTATCAAGAGGCGCAAGGAAAGGACGCTCGCGGCCATTGGCAGAATCGCTCGTCGATGGACGAGAGGAGGTTGAGTAGGGTGGACTGAAGGTGGGGAGCGGGGCAAGCTGTGCTGGAGCTTGTTGTGGAGGACTGCGGTAGGGATCACGCTGATCTCGAGGCTGCGGACGCACATCTCGACCAGCAGACCGTGGGCCTTGTTGTTGGCGAGCCTGTTGTGGATATTGGTATTGGGATGGAGCCTGTGGAGGAGGATGGATTGTATCTTGATCGCGGAAGTGTGTCCTAGCATTCGGAGGATCTTGGGCGCGCGAGTGTGGTGGAGGGCGAGGTGCATCGGCTGTAGATGGTCTTGAATGGGGGTTGGACGGGTGCAGACGATCAGACTGGTTGCTGGACGGCTTTGGGTTCGGGCTGGCATTGGCGGCGGGTGGACGATCGCGAGGTCTGGATGCATCACGCGGCGGCCTCTGTGGTTGTTGTTGCTGAGCAGCGGCAGCAGCAGCGACAGAGCGCTTGGTAGGAAAGACGGGAAAGGCGTTGTCTTGAGCCATTGGACTCTCTCCTGGGGATGGTTGGTCGAGCAGCGGTCTGCGGGCTGCTGTCGTCCGTCAGTGTCTGCGTCTGTGGCATACGGGCACGACCAAGTCTTGTCTCACCTGGCCGTGAGGGCTCTCGTCTTCGCGNNACGCTTCTCTTCCTCGATGCCCCTGGGTCGTGTGTGTTTGCTTGTCCGCTATAGGCCGTGATTGTGAAGCATGCTCTTGGTCCAGATAATCGTCGTGCGCTGTCTGTAGCGAGTCGAAACCGCCTTGGTCTGGTCGCCGGCCTCTGTACGCCGGTGACTGGGCTCTCTCGACCAGGTAGCCCCGCGTAGGTGGAACGTAGGCATTCAGGTCGTACGCCATTCTACTACAATCCCTGCGTCGACGTTGGTGCCGGCATGAACCTTCTCTTCGAACCAAGTGTGGCAGCGATCCAGAGCAACGCAACGAGCCTCAAATTCTTCAACTTTGCAAAGGGACAAGGGCTGAAGATATGTGATGATGATCTGTCAATCAATCCATAACAAGATGAGATTACTTGCCCTGCTCCAGCATCGTCACACGGGGTTTCAGCATCAGCTGCCCATGGTTTCGAACCTCACAATTACGCGCCCAAAGCTTGGACACTCGAAACATCTTCTTGTCGCAAAGACCAACAACTCGCTGCTTCCACTCTGCTCTGTGAAGACACTCCGTGTGCTCCTGAAACCACTGTCGACTTTCAACTTACTCGTCTTCACCCCTCCATCCTTGCCGAAACAATCTCTAACATCCAGGTACCCAGAGGCCGTGCTGCTGTGATCGTCAGTGGCTTGCCGAGGTCTGTCTTGCAGAACGCTTGGCCTGTGTTGAGCCGCATTTAAGAGAGTCTTCCAAGTCCTCGCCTTGCCATGACTTTTCTTCAACACTTAGCGCGCAATCAGCCGCTGCTTTGAGCCATGCTATCTGTCCGGTCTCTTGCTCCTAGATCTACCACGATATGTAGTACTGCTCTGCATATAACATGAAGCCTGCTATGTGGACGCCAAGCCGTTCCCGTGATTTCATTCTGTTCTACTAAGTGTACACCTCTCATCTTTGTCTGACCATATTGAGGCATACCTAGTTACACTTCAGATGCTGTGTTGCAAAGCTAGCAACGGCTATAGCAGCTTGTCAAATCCACCTAGCTAGTCGATTGCTTGCTAGCGGCCATCCTTCAGCTCGTTGTTCAAGACCCTAGTAGACCCCGCTCCATATTTACGGCCGACTGTTGATAAGTCAGCCGGCCGAGGGCCAAGGGTAAATGTACAAGCAGAAGCACGTTGCCTGCTAACTAAACTGTTCACTGAACGTTGTGCCTCACATTAATTCTTCCTTCTGCTCAGTTACTCAGCCTTTGCAATACCATGGATTTGGGTAGATAACATTGCATGTTGCATCGTTTGTCAACCTACTCACAGTGCAACAGGTACTGTCACCTTTGCTGGCGCCGCCGTCGCTGCCGCTGCATATATCGATGGCAAGTTTCAGGTTCGCAAAGACTTACGTGATCTCTGGAATGTCAAGAGGGCTCAATTTGAATGGAACCGAGCAGGTAATTGCAGCCTGTCGAAGTAAAGCTATAACCAAAGCTCTAACAAAGACCAATTGAAACANGTCAAGAAAGGAGAAGCCTCGCTCTGGAGTCAGTTCGAGCAACAAGTAGAACGTCTGCCTTCTTCCACAAGATGTCTCTGGTCCAAAACTGGATGTTATACCTGGTCCGAGACACACGCTCAAGCCTGCCGCTATGCCGAATTCTTCTTGTCCAAAGGAGTCCGCCCTAGTGAACCAGTTGCCGTCTATCTCCAAAATTCGCCAGAGTTTATGTTCACCGTGCTTGCCACATGGGGTCTTGGTACAGCTCCAGCGATGATAAACTATAATCTTACTGGCGATTCGCTGCTACATTGCCTCAAGATTAGCAACAGCAAAGTCCTTGTGGTTGACGAGGACGCTGGATGTCGACAAAGAGTTGAGGAGTGCCGCGACAGAATTGAGCAAGAACTAGGTATACAGATTATCATTCTTGAACCATCGACGAAAGCATCGATCGCTGCTATCGATCCAACGCGACCAGACTCTCGTTACAGAGAACATGTGGATGGGGAAACACCTTTCCTCGGAATCTACACTTCGGGCACTACTGGACTCCCAAAGGCGAGTCACTTTCACCTCGAAAGACTATGGTTCTTAGGCGATTATCGCAGACGCCTCACATATCAAAGCTCGGGACCTGATGGAGACGTATTTTACAACTGTATGCCTTTGTACCACGGTACCGGAGCTGTGCTCGCTGCCGGTTGCTTAGCTTCTGGTATGACGCTGGCCATTGGACGGAAGTTTTCGACTTCCGGATTCTGGGACGAGGTCAGAGAATCTGGAGCCACCGCTTTCGTGTACGTGGGAGAAACTGCACGCTACTTGCTCTCCGCACCACCCTCGCCTAGAGACAGAGACCACAACGTTCGTCTAATGCACGGCAATGGCATGAGACCGGATGTCTGGAGGAAGTTCCAGGAAAGGTTCGGTGTGACAGATGTTATGGAGTTCTTTAATAGCACTGAAGGTGTCTTCACTCTGAACAACTACAGCCGAAACGACCATTTCGCAGACGCAGTTGGGCACCATGGAGCGATTTTCCGAACGGTGTTCAATAACACCTACGTCCCAGTCAAGTTGGACTATGAGACGGGTGAGATCTGGAGGCACCCAGAAACTGGGTTTGCACAGCGCCAGCCATATGAGGAAGGCGGAGAGATGCTGGTCAAGGTTCCTGATGAAAACGTTTTCAAGGGCTACTGGCATGCTCCCGAAGCCACAGCGAAGAAATATGCTAGGGATGTCTTCGAGAAAGGAGATCTGTACTACAGATCTGGCGACGCACTTCGAAGATCATCAGATGGCAAATGGTTTTTCATGGACCGTCTAGGGGACACTTTCCGTTGGAAGGGTGAGAATTGCAGCACGACTGAGGTCGCTGAGTGTCTAGGAAGATTCTCTTCCATCAAGGAAGCTAACGTCTATGGTGTCGAAGTTCCAGGCAAGTCTGAAACAATCTGTTAACAATCAAACGCTAACGTTCTTGTTNNCCCAGGCCATGATGGCAGAGCATGTTGCGCTGCCGTTTACATCGAGCCAGCTGATCGTGCTTCCTTCGACTTCGAAGCCTTCCTCTCCCATTCGCGAAAGTTGCTTCCCAGATATGCCGTACCATTGTTCCTGCGCTTCGTACAGGATGACCAAGCGCATACCATGCACAACAACAAGCAGAACAAGACTCAACTCAGACGCGAGGGAGTAGATCCCGAGAAGGTCTCTCAGGGAACAGCTGGCCCCAAGGATACACTTTACTGGCTGCCACCAAAGGGCAATACCTACGAGCCGTTTGGTGAAGCGGAGTGGCATAGTATAGTAGCAGGCAAGGCAAAGCTGTGAGATTAACGAGAGAATTCTTAGTATATAGGGTCACAGGACGAAATGCAGGATATACGCGATTGCACTTGACTGTATATCGTACTTCTAGTGGAAATATTTACAGGATTCGTATTTGGATCAATGTATGAGGATCCAGCATAAATCACGAAAACTCGTACAGCACGCTGCTCGTCTCATACTACTTTTCCGTAGGACTCGCGACTGACAACGAGCATTTGTGTCGCAGATTCAATTCTTTGGGGTCACGATAAAAGGTGGTTGATTGCTCTCCACGCGATCGCAAAAGTGTTGAATTGTTGGCAAAAGAGCGACGCCCGACCAGAGGCTCGAACTCTGAACCTTGAGATCTCTATTTCATAAAAGTCTCACGCGCTGACCAATTGTGCCAGCCGGGCAGAAGATAGCAAATTACAAACAGTCTATAATATATTCTTCGATTCAAACGATCAATAGGATTAGAACCGCATCTTGTCGGCTCTCAGAGGCTTGTCATCCTAACCCCCTACCCTCCCTTAGTGCCAAAGTTGTTATGATTCTGCAGTTGTTTTTCCCAATCTCTAACGTATCATTATGTTACAAGCTGACGAATTGCACAGTGGCGTTCTAGACATGGGTCTGGTCAGGGAGATAGCTATCGATACGATTAATTCTCTCTGTGGAAACCACATCTCTGGTATGAGTATTATGTATTTCTGCAGCTGCACTGTGACAGACTGCAGCGTATGGCGAGCCAACACACCAATAAGCCTGATTTGGGCTGTCAACATCAAGATCTGGTTGCTCAGAGGTTTGTTTGCGCTGCAGGTCGTATCTGATATAGATGTTTATGAGGTAACCCTGTTTACAACCCGACCTTGGATGGCCGTGCTATCATGTTCAGGACTCTGACTTGGCTGCCATGGATGTCGAGCATAGTATTTGAGTAGGAAATTGTTGATAAAAGAATTATGAGTAGCTAATTGTTGGGATACCATGGTTTCATCCAGCTCACTCTGCGTACAACGAGTCTTGTTATGTTCGTGGCACTAAGAACTGAGTTTTTATCAGTTGCGAATCTACTACAAGTATTCACCCCGGTTTAGTTGTTAGAGTGTCTATCTCCGGGATAGAAGGTACGACGCAGCATGCTTCTGTCACACTCTGCAATCGAGGAGATACCAGCGAGTCCCATGCTCTGATCAAGGTCCTAAGATGGTTGGTCAGCTATTTTTTCGTCTGGCTTGGTATTAATTCGCAGAAGACTTACTGCCAAAATGCCACGCATGACTTGCTTAGCACCTCCTTTGCCACCAGCGCCGAGGCCGTATACCCAAGGGCGCCCAACAAGAACACCCTTGGCACCAAGCGAGAGTGCCTTGATGATATCAACACCGGTTCTGATACCGCTATCGAACAAGACATCGAGCCTGTCTCCGACTGCCTCGACAATTTCAGGCAACATTTCTAGACTGCCAATGGCGCCNNCTAGAATATCATTAGCGCTGTTCCTCAAAACTCGGTGAACTTCACGTACGTCTAACTGTCTGCCTCCGTGGTTGCTGACGACAATGCCCTGAACGCCGACTTCAGCGGCTTTTCTGGCATCCTCGACGTGTTGAATGCCCTTGAGGACGATGGGACCATCCCAGTTGTCCTTCAAGTGTTGCACCTCATCCCAAGTATGAGCGGCACCGGGGAATACCTTGCCTTGCCACTCTATTGAGGCATCGTGGATGTTGTCTTCGACCTCCTGACCGTGCTTTTCCTTGAACTGTTTGCGGAAGACAGGGTCAGAGAATCCAATGGCGTCTCCGATGCCTTTCANTCTTAAGGTGAAGGTACAGTTAGCATGTTTCTTGCGTCTGAATGGTACAAACAGCAGTCGAAAGGCCACCTGATGGGTATTGGGGCCATCTGATGTCGGTTCACATGCTATTTGTACCCTTGCCTTACTTACGAAGGGTACGTAGGCCGAATCAAGATCCTGCGGTCTCCAGCTGAGCGACCAGGTGTCGAGAGTAACGACCAAAACTTCATAACCCGAGTCCTTGGCTCTTTTGAGCATACTTTCGGTGATGGCTTTGTCGTGGGGCCAGTAGAGCTGGAACCATCTGTGGCCATCGCCGTTGGCTTCGGCAACCTCCTCAATCGTGGATGATGATGCACTTGAAAGGATGTAAGGAACACCGATCTCAGCAGCGATTTCAGCGACTCCAACCTCCTTGTCTTCGTGAAAGATTTGCTGGACACCAATGGGAGCTATAAGACAAGGTGTTGGATACTCCTTGCCCAGAACAGTTGTCTTAAGGCTTCGGTGGGTTGTGTCACGAAGCATACGAGGGACCATCTTCCAAGTCCTGAAGGCCAGGCGATTTGCGTCCATGGTGGCTCCTTCACCAGCACCTCCGCCAACATAGTTGTAACCTCTGCTGGTCATGCTCTCTTTTGCTTGTTGTTCGAGCTTGTTGGGATTGGTAGTGACACTAGGGACGACATTATCATACATTCCCTNTTTGTAGATCTCAGTCTGGCTAAAGTTGCAGGTACAATTAGCATTTGTCTTATGTGCCGATGGCAATCACAGCAGTCAAAAGGCCATCTACAGCTTCATCTCACATACAANAGCGCCATAGTGATCGTGCTGAGCTGGAGTACTGCCCTCACCGTCTTGGTGAGTGCCTTGGATTGCGTTCATCTTGATCTGGGAGAGGTGGTGAACTGAGAATTGAGTGTAAAGTATCGGCGGAGAAAGTTGTTAATCTCAAAGAGGTAGTCAATTTCTTCTATTTATCTTATAATTGTGACGAGAACCGCCGTGGAAAGACAGAACAGTGATGTAGGCAGGTTGCGTAAAATGACGTGGATATCCGAGCTGCCGAAGCTTGAAGGGCCGAAGCGCATCAAACGATCAAGATGGAATCTCTGTCTAGCAATGTTCCACGGCATCGTTCGAATGAATCGCAATGACATGGTCAAGCTTGTCTTCTGACTTATCGAGCGCTACTTTCAAGATATCAATTTGTGTTACTTCATCCTCAGGCATTGTTCCGTGGATTCCGCAAGCTTCGGACAACCACGGGCAAATACTATGACAGCGGGCGTATTATCATCAACATGCAGCTGCAATGGGTGAGAAAGCACCACGGCTGTTCTCATTCGAAAGAACATCTTGCTTACCTATGATGCTGGCGTGCCGCTGTAGCTGTTCGCGTATTCCTTGTTTGCGTAGGTATGTCTACGACGTGTTGACCAATGAAAGCCGATTTAGACGGCCGCGTGTGCAACGAAGTCGTCATGATGGCTGTGGTGGAAGACACCTCTGGCAACAGACTATATAATCACCAATCGCACTTTTCTTGAGCTCTCATAATTGTCTCGAGCAGAAGCAAGGTTACAGTGTCAAATATCAGTCAATAAGATGGATTCGCAACATCCAGGAGATATCTCTGGCGGATATTACGAACAGGCACCTCCACTACCTGCTCGTACCATCAACAATTCACATAATCTTCCGGTGCAACAGTCATATCCAGCACCCCCTCAGAGATTGAGCAGTGCCAGATCTTCGACCGAGGACGTCTCATCACCAATTCATTACACCCGAGATCCACACAAGCTCGTGGCGTATTTGATACCATTTCCAAAACCGAAACTCCATGGGATCCCACCAGATGCTATTCCAACTAGATTCCTGATTTATACTCCACCACCTCCGCCCCTCAAAGCACCTGCAGAAGGGGAGAAGGAAACCAAGGTTCACAAGTTGCAACGTAAATGGCAAGAAGAAGTGCGTGAGGCNAAAATGTCAACTGCCAAAACCGCGAGTTGGAAGGGCGTGAAAAGCAAAGCTACGAAAGCAATCAACACGGCCATGGGTTACACCAAGAGTTCCAACCTCGAGTTTATTAACAGAATCAACCTTGACGGCGACAAAGGGTCCGAATCACACGCACAGAACGAGCATGCAGAAGGTGGAGAAGTTCATCACACGGTCGGCTTGGAGGAGATGATTCTAGTGTATCCTGCTGGCATCAAGAGTACTCCTGATCAGCTCAAAACCGAGTTTGTCGAAACGATGATGCGAAGCAAGAGCAAGGCTCAGAGAGACTCAATCATTGCCACCGGATTATTGCCTGTATCTGCCGCAACCGATATCATGCTTACCTTGATCTGGCCATTTGGAGGACTGCTCGAAGTCGATGCCGTCTGGGCAGCTGCTTCGATCAGAGGCGCAAAGATTTCTCGAAACGTGACCAAGCGACTTCACTCTACTTCCACGAATGGAAAGGATGATGAAGACACGTTGAAACTCTCCTTCAATCCTTCGTCTCGTCTCGAACCGCTAGACAGATACCTGGAAGCGAGATGTCACGAGAAAGATGCAAAGATCTTCCCGTCCTTCGGCACCTCACCAACTGAGACAGAGTGCCTTGAGGCGATAGGTTGGGCTCCAAGTCAGACTGGCGGTGAGGCAAAGAACTGGGAAGATGAGCACTGGGAGACTACAGAGGTCAAAAATGATCTCAAGACTGTCATGACCAAGGCAGCACACGAGTGGGACAAGTGGTGCAAAGCCTACGAGAAAAATCCCGAGAAAGCATCGAAGAAATAAAGAGTGGATGGGCGATATTTCTTGGAGCAATTTCTAAATCAGTACAACTTTTCCGAGTTTCGATACTTAGCCTGAAGGCTAAACATGAAATACAAGCTTTCTTCGTCAGTTCTTGTTAGGTGGGGTCTCACAGTATCCAATAAGGCTCATATTGTTTTGTGGTGATCCACTCCTTGGTATATGGCACTGGAGCAGTTGCTCCTCGCGCACAGCTCTAGTACCCGATCCAAGATCGGTCGTATGTCGGCCAGGCTTAGGTTGTTACGTGCCAGTATTGTGTTCTTGTTACTGGCTCCAGAATCAGCTTGGTAGATTGGTACGTTGCTCTCTCCTTCGCTGCTGAAATCATTGGTCGCAATTCAGCCAATCTCGAGAGCGGCTTGTTTTGGGAACATCTTCTCTTCGCTCTATCACGAGATGTAGCGGGAAGGGCTGCCGTTTCTGATTTCTATCTTCTGGAGGCCTCGTTATTGTTCTGATCCATTCGAATTTACTGGCTCTGCGCAACGCCTGTTGTTTTACTTGGCGTATCCAGGTCGGTCGATGCAAGAGATATGTCAAATGATAATCGATATTCCGGGTGTCGTCATCTGAAAGTTGAATTTTTGACGTCTGGCTGGCCCGGCTTCCATATGGTCCATGTGGTCCCTGAGGTTCGATCGTAGTGTCTGATGTTCGTCCTAGGAATCTTGGTGCGGCCTTGGATAGCACACGATGAGCAGCACCTGCCCGCAGGAATAACGACAGAACAATCATGTGTAGTCCTACGCTCTTCCTTTCTGAGGCACTAACTCTGTCATGGTCCGGGATCATAGCGGGTCTCTAGTCGCTGGTGTCAGGTCTCAATGTGACTGACATATATCGCAAGACAACTACAGTATGAGCGAGATTGGTGCTGTGCAGATCGAAATCATGGTTCAAATATATCTGTTTGCCGGAACCATATTTGCGATTACACTTCGTCGGGGATAAACTTGGCTAGTTCCCTCTCACGAGATCAGTCGTGTCATTCATGTCCCTATTGGTAGGCAGGCAATGGGAGTGTGTATCCACTGATTGTTTCCAAGAGCCAGGAGGTCGTTTCCAGAGATGGTCGTCAGTGAGCGTATAGTGTAGGTATATTGTTCTAGATATTGTTCATGTTGGAAAATCGAAAGACATGCCAGCGTAGAAGCAGGATAAAGTGGTTATATAATATTTTACTAAAGTACCTCATTGTTGGGAGTGGGGATGATTCTTGTAGTCATAGAAATGCCCATAGCGTGATCTCGAGTGGCCACGTGCGAGACCTTGATGGCCATGAGGAGACAGATGTGATGCATGAGCCTTCCCGAACCTTTCTGCAATGCTTGTTTTGTGTTCGAGATCCATTGCTGGACTTCACACTGGTCACCTGTTCAAGTCGCTAGATAAGAGAGCTTCGATCTGCATATCCAAGGATGAGCAACAGCCAGGCTCAGATAACGCCATCGCAGATAAGCACCAAGACAGCAGGTGCAAGCAGGGGCAGCAGCAGCGACACTGGTGCTTGATAGCAGTATCTATCTATCCTCCTGATGGCTTCTCTTATCATGTCGTGCTTCGGTGCACATATAACAGTCGCCATGCGCCCACAACTTCTACTCCCAGGAATTAATTCTACCAGGATACGTCATTGCTCCCACGATCAAACTCGATGGCGAACATCACACAATGTCGAACAGATCTTGTTTCTCAGCACATACCTCCAAGTACAGCGCGGACCTTGAGTTACTTGGGACCTGGACTGTCCACGCCAGACTTTACTGGCTGGCCACACCGGCAGCTCCGTGCGAGCGAACAATTGCATCTTGGCCGTCATGCATGCGCAGGAGCCCACTTTCACATGCCCGGTGTCGCACATTAATCGAACCAGCTATTTGAAAGTAGCCCTCGTCACGGCCTTGAGAACCAATATCCACTGATATGCTACTTCCAGGTGGCTTTGCAGGCATGAAATTACAATAGGCGAAAGGAGATGATCGACTCAACCGGTAGCATCGGCCGAAGCGACCATGTCGCCAGGGTGAGAAGAGGCCATTGCGTGGCAGCGTATATCAACGGATGCGAGCGCCCTGGCTCTACGCGGCCACCCACAGCAAGCACAGGCTAATATCGTACCGATGATTTTCCCGTTCCAGGCTTCTCGCTGAGGCGATGAGCGTGCGTGGAACCTCGACTGTTTCGATTCAGACGTGACTGATCTCAGGACACGCGAGCAATTAACAACTGGTGATCTGTCCAGCTCTGGAGAGCCGGTTCCGCGACCTATTTTCACCGCATTTCGCCGGTCCGAGGTTTGGAGCTGTCCCTGGACCTGGAGGATGCAGAGTCAAGACCCACCCACCTTGACACGGAGGCTGGAGTAAACGCCGCGGCCGCCGGCAACCCATGGCTCTTCTGTTTTCCATGGTCCCCTAAACTTTTGGAACCGACCGCTGTCGAGGAATTCTATTTTATTCAAGCATTTGGACTACAGACGTGGAAATCGCTTTACCAGGTTGCCAGCTTGAGGCAGAATCTCAGCGATCTAGTTTGCAGTGGCAGGATCTCGGAACCACCGAGCGGATTTAACAAAGGAAATTATTTCTGGAGAGATCGTTGGTTGAATTGTCGCGTTTCCTAGCGCGCTCATCCACATGGTTCGGGCGCGGCTACCTCGAAAAAACACGGGGAAGGAGATCCACATGGTCGTGTGCAAGCAAAACCTTGCTCGATCCATGAATTCTTACTTCCTGGTGCTCAAATCGACAGCCACTGCTCCGTCTCTCGAGTCGTGGCCATTGGCTAGACCTCTGAAGCAGATGTGTATTCACGGAACAAGGATGCATCGGCACACAATTTGCGAGAGTCGTAGTAGACATGGTAAACGAATTTTCTGGAACTCATGGACCTGCAAGAATTTTGCATGTGAGAAGTTGAAAGCGGAAGCGACATACGTAGGGGCAACGGTGGTGGAGCTTGTCTCGTGCATATGCATGTTTGCTTGTTCGCTTTACAGGATCACGAAGCATGGTGATCAGCCTACCTAGTCAGCCAAAGCGCATAGCATCGGTAGTCGCTTCGCAGGTAGGTACTTTGTAAATAGACGATTGCGATTGGTGCCAGGCACACTCTCGAGAGTCATGGTGGACATCATACATGCAAGATTTAGGCGGAGATTCGGTGGATTCCAGCCTTGAGCGGTCGCATCCGTGTCAGCAGTTGGAGGGTCCCAGATCGCTCGAGCCCTGACAGAGGTGACAGCACGGAGGAAGGTTCTCAATAAACCCCAAAGAGATGAACCGAAGATCAGGGTCTACCTCGGAATTTCACGGATGGCCCAGCAATGGTTGATGTGGGGAGTTTAAAGTGCTACGCACGGCTCGTGTAGAGATGTCGAGTCAAGAAAGGTGAAATTCGATCAAGATGACAGAGCCAAGGTGCACACATGTGCACATGACGGCGAAGAGCTGGGATGATGGATAATAGCTGCACTCGTACAGGGTACAGTGCATATGGAAAAGAAGGAGGGGCGTGATGGCTTCTTGGACGTCGGATATATTGAGAGGCAGGGTGAGCGGGCCCCGAGTAAAGTAGGTCGGTGGTGGATTCTCAACCGAGCGGTTCTACAACGGCAAAAAGGGTTGCAGAGAGACTCGGGCAGATAGGAGGAGCAAGGCTTGAGCCGCAGAAGTGGGTCGGACCTTGGAGGCCTGTCAACGCTGTTACCGTCGTCATTGAGCTTGCTGCGACGAGGAAATGCATTGATCCAGGGCGTGGGGCTTCGTCCGGCCTTCGATCCGAGTGGGAGAAGGACTCTAGAACAAGACATGAGATAGCAACTGGGATGAGAAACACGGCACGCTTCAGACTTGCGACAGACCAGACTCAATTGACTTTGTAGAAAATGGCAAGGATATGAGAAGCGAGCGCTTGAAAGATGGAACAGGGAGCAGTAACAAGATGCGACGGCGCCGAGGGCAGAGCATGTGGCAGATCCTTGCCCGTCTGTCGGCGCGCGTGGGAGAAGCTAACGGATTGGATCAGCCACATTCAGAGTGCAGGGAGACTAAGTTTACGAAGCGCAAAACAGGCGACGAGGAGCGAGCAAGCGGGTTCGCCCCTAGACTCGTACGGGCTAGCAGTCGTAGCCTCTCATGTGCCGACACAGGTGCTGACCGAGTTCGAATCCGAGTTCGAGCCACCAACCATTAGACATACCCACATCCCACCCTCTGTCTTTCCCAGCGCGTCATTTGCAACCCCAGCTGCTGCACTCGCATTATTCTGCCCTTGGCTTTTTACTCAGCGTCCGCCAACAACCTGGATCCAGTCTGCGTAGGAACAGCCAGTCGACTGGAAGTTGCTTGGACACACAGCTGCCTCTCCACACAAGAGCTTATGTATTAAGGCCAGCCGGCTAATCGACCAAGGACGTGGGGGCCACCCAAACATGACATCGCCGCGCACCTTTGCTCCCAACATGGCCGACATGACGGCTCACTCTTCTTCGACGACCTCTTCGGCCGTCCAGTCTCTCACCAGTGCCAGCACCCTGGATTCACCAACCGAGTCATCTGCGCGGAGNGCGCTGCGCGACAGTGTCTTTGAGTCAGCGACATGGCGCGAGCCCGATGGCGAGACCCCCGAGGAACTGCAACGAAAAGACCCCCTTGGCACCCAGATCTGGAAGCTGTATTCAAAGACAAAGAACACTCTGCCCAACTCTGAGCGCATGGAAAACCTGACCTGGAGGATGATGTCGATGAATCTGAGGCGCGCCCAGCAGCAGAGGTACTACCGCGCATCAAAGAGCTCCCGACAAAGAAGTGCATGAAACTGACCAGCTGCANNCAGTCGTCTAGCCCACGCATACCAGCAGCGAGCCAACGCCCCCAGCGGCATTGCACAGCTGAGACAGTCGGCAGAGGCCCAGTCACAGTCACAAGCCCAATCTCAGTCGCAGGCTCAAACGCAGTCGCAGTCGCTGCCGCACTTTGCAATCCCGGCCAACGATCACATGAATCTGGACGATTTTATTGTTCCCTCATCCATCGCATCCCCCATAAGCCAGCCCTCGCCGCCCGCCTCGTTCGATCCCTCGACGACAATCGACTCCAAGGCCACTCCGACAGGCATCCCCATCCGCCGACATCAGCAACTGCAGGAAGAGGCCCAGGACGATTTCATCGCGCGTGCCTCGGCCCCTTCGGTTGCTCCTACGGCCGTCAACAAGACGACGGATGAGTTCGGCTACATTCAACGTCATGTGCGCAAGACTAGCATTGACGAGAGAAGGGTAAGTGAGCTCCTTAGCATTACTGACATCTATCGCATGCTAACTTGTCTANNGCCACCCAAACGACGTGCAGACTGCTCACCTCAGGTCCCTCCAGTCACCACCGGCATGCCTAACGATGCCCTTCTCAACAACTACTCGCTCGATTCGACCGCTTACAACCCCACTAACACACACGCTCAAGTGCCGTTTGGCCTGGACACGTTCGGCTTCGACGCGGGTGCTAACTCGGCCAACAACGACCCACTGCTGTCATCGGCCGGCCCCTTCCAGAGCAACTTCAACTTCTCCCCAGTCGGTTCGCCCATGATGACCAATGGTCCATATACCAACATGTTCAACCAGTCCGTCATGAACAACAACTACTGCTCGCCTCCCCAGTCATCCTATCAGTCTCGCGTCTCGACTCCTCAGCCTATTCCCGAGCATGAGCCCGTCTTCTTCAACACGTCTAGCAGTGTTGATTTGAGGCACCATGCCCATATGAGCAGCTATACCAGCCAGCAGCCTACCCCTGTCGCTAGCATGCAGCCCCAATACATCTTCAGCCCCAACAACGACAACATGTTCAGTCAAATCTCGGCTCCCGATCCATCCACCTCCTTCACACAACCATCGTCCTTCTCCATGTCAGGCCATGTCGACCCCACCGAGGTCCTGTCAACGGCCATGTCTTTGCCGCGAGGCGACAACATGTTCACCTTCGGTGCTGATTCTGACAATGAGGACGACGAAACCAACTTTGGCGACCGCAACAACTTTTTAATGCAGACCGACTTCTCGCCTATGGAAGACCCTTCGGTGGGCGAGTATCAATGGGAGAGTGGTCTCGCATCGGGCCAGTACAATTCGCTGCCCGCTCGCTACGCCGGTCCTCCAGCTCGCAAGGGCGTCACGATTGGCCATACCGAGATGATTCCCTCGCCACAGGAATGGGGCGTCGGCAGCCTGGGACGTACACATGGCTCAGCCGCTTCTGTCAGTGAGATCCGCAACCGCGGAAATGACCCTCGTCTGAAGAAGATTCCTCGCACCAGCTCAACTCCAAACGCTGCTGCCATGGCTGCCCAGCATGGTATCTTCTCAGTCCGTCCACAATCATCGCCCTCATCGCCACCCGAGTCGTCTACCGGCTTCAGCTCTGTTGCACCTTCTCGACCCGGAAGTCCAAAGCCTGGTGATAATGGCTTGCCTACAACATGCACAAACTGTTTCACTCAAACCACCCCATTGTGGCGCCGTAACCCTGAAGGACACCCACTGTGTAATGCATGTGGTTTGTTCCTCAAGCTTCATGGCGTCGTGCGTCCGCTGAGTTTGAAGACGGATGTCATCAANAAGCGTAACCGTGGTGGCGCGGGTTCTACAACCATCGGACCCTCTTCCAGCCGTTCCAAGAAAGCTGCAAGCAGNAAGAACTCGGTCGCTCACACTCCCGCGACCACTCCCAAACCTACCCAAGATGCCGACTCTCCTAGTACCGCTGCTGGATCATCCACCACCGCCAATACCCCTACTACTCAGATCAATCCTGTCATTGCGCCTAAAACCACTGTGGTACCAATTGCGCCCGGTCCACCCAAACCACAAATGCCAGCCACAGGTCCTGCTCCTACAAGAATGGTTGCACCAAAGCGTCAGCGCAAGCAGAGCAAAGTTGGCAGCTCCCCACAAGAAATCGAGATGGGCGAGGCAGACGATATCAGTGTTAGCAACAAGCCTAAGGAACTTGCTCAGGCACCAACACCCGCTTTCACGTCCACTNNCCAACAGCCAAATATGATGACGAACAACGGTTCATCTGGGTCAATGGTCAGCTCTCCTTCTGGCATGCCTGCCGGACCACAGGAATGGGAATGGCTTACCATGAGTTTGTAAGCCAACGAGTGCCGATAAACTCATATCAAGGCAATTCCCATATCTTTATACGCAAGATGATAGCTTGCGAAGGCCAGCGTCTCTCAATACGCTGCGTCGTTTTTCTGCTTTTTCGAATTTGATCATATACCCGCCCGGTTGCTCAGGCACTGGACATCGTTAGGATCGCACTGACGGTCCTCTGCTGTTTGTTGGATGAGTATGCCATCGCACACACGGCTTGCGTTTTTGCTTTTCCGGGTTCTCATCTAGGCGTTAGATCTGGGAAGAGGTGTGGTGCTGTTTCTTTTTGCAATGATTCCCTTATTAGACTTGTGGGCAGGTTTCGGAGTGCTATTTTGCTGGATTATCAGATCCCCTGGTTCTCGTCTGTCTTTGAGCTGAGGAAGAGATTGTGCAAGATAATTTGGAGGCACTGCCTTTGGCAATGATGGTACACGATTGTGATCTTTGCACTTATCTCAATGGTCGCGTAATGACCTGAATTTAGACATGCTTGGTTTTCTTTTCACTTCATTCTTTCCTTTCCAGTAGCTTGTTATCAAGATTCAATCAGTTTCAACTACAGTTGTGCTACTTTCAGTGCGAAACCCTTCTGCAGTGCTGCGCATTATGTTGGACTTCATGGATTCTCAGACCGAGCACACTTGTTGCGCGCCTCCAACTATCAAAACTATAGTGAATGAAATGACTTGCTCGAGGGCGCGCTTCCAAGACTGTATCAACATGCATGTGGTCCTGCCAGGATGGGAAGTAACCCTCCTGCGATAGCTTTGAACATTTTCCAGAGGCCAATCCTCAAACACATGATTGGGCAGAGTCAACAAGGTGGATAGAGAACACAAGTAAGGTGTTATACGGAGTTGACAGGTCCACTGCTTTTGAACGCCCATCATCTCACCCCTTCTCTCCAAGGCTTCGACTCGAGCCCTGAAAGCCGCCACGATGTCGCGAATACGTCTGATCTTGTCGAACTCGGTTTCGAGCTCATCGATTTGCCTCAGCAGGCCATGAACCCGGGCAATTTCTGCATTGGCAGCTTGGATCGAGGAGATGGCCCTCGAGCTCTGTCTTTGCACCGACGCTTGTGTTTCGCGGGTCAACTCCAAGACACAGTTCTGTCAGTAAATGCTTCCAGCTTCAAAAGCATGACTAATTGGGATGTATGTATCACACGAGAGGCACACAAGGCATACAAGGCAGGAGATTTTGTAGCACACATGATTGAAACAGGCACGAGATCAGAGCATACACACACAAGACAAGGAAGACCGTTTGACAAGTACTCACAANNGGTCAGCTCTTCGCTGTATGCCGGCCATAACATGGTCGAAGTGGTTGGCTAGCAGCTGCAAACTACTGGCATCCACCAAGACTCTTCCATTCGCAGCTGCAGTGCGCGCGTTGTTGTTTGCTCCGCTCCCAGTCANCGGAGGCACAGTTGATGCTGTAGGCGCCGCAGCTCGAGACGACGAGGTTGATGGTTTCCTGGACACCATAGATGGAGGCTCATCTTTTGACTTTCATGCAACTGCGCCTGGACCCGGGAGAGTTCGGACAACTTCGCAAAGATGGCCTGTTTTATGTCGGCTAGGATGTCGCTTCAGAGGATTTGGGTTCAGTGTAGACGTGGAAGGGCAAACGGGAAGATGAGGATGCGCACTCGACATTGTGCTGTGGAGTTGGCATTGCGGCCTCGCTCGTGGGGTCTCTCTTGCCCTAGCCGAGGATCCGGCGCGAGACAATCAAGAAATAGCCCTCATTATTGTTGTTGTGACTGGATACGATGTCGGTAGGATATGTTTAGTGAACATCTCGTACATGCGAGATTGTACAATATCATCCGCGATCTATCGGGTAAGAACGATGCTTTGAAAGGTTGAGAGACAGAGTACTGCAGGCCTGTGTCAGTTGGTTGAGCGATGCCCGCCCACTAATTCATCCGCGAGCTGTTCCATCACCTCCTTTGTGGGTCACTGTGGATCTGAACATGATTTAAAGTAAACCGACTATCGATTCATTGCGTGTATGGCTTTGCAGCCCATGGAAAATCGTTCTACTCTAGCAAGACAGTGCTCCTCCCTCCTGCGTCTCCCTATACGAAGGGTTGGATGTAACCTCACGCCTCAAACGCCATCCTTGTCTCCTTGTTTCTGAAATCCTTCCACCGTTCCAAACGGCGTGTCCCACCATTCATCAATTAATAATCGTTTAAGTTGTGCAGAGAGACGTCCTGGCTACCACGGTGCATCAGGCCTTCCTTAGGTCTTTCCTCCTTGTNTTCGCCGTCGGCAGTAATTTTGCTGACCGCTGTTGCTTGTGCACTGTTGCCCTCGCTGGCAGGGACGACGTTGCCCTGGCGATCTACCTTGACACCGCTTGCCGCCATGCGCACTTCTTCCTCGCCAGCAGTGCCCTGTCTGACAGCCTCACGTGCGCTCTCCATGACCTTGAGTTTCTTTGCGTCTCCACGCATGCGCTCAAGATGCTCGAAGTAGTCGCTGTTGACTGGTGTGACATAGGTGCCGCAGAAGACGCCAACCTCGAACTTTTGATTCGGACGAGGGCTAGCTTCTGCGCAAGACTCCTCGAGATCCTTGAGCGACTGGTAAACAACAGCATCGGCGCCAATCTTCTTGGCGATGTCCTGGGAGCTGCTGTGGTGGGCGATGAGCTCTGATGAAGAAGCGAGATCGATACCGTAAATGTGAGCGTAGGTAATTGGGGGAGCGCAACTGGCAAAGAAGACCTGTTTGGCACCAGCCTCCTTGGCCATGAGCACGATTTCGCGACTGGTAGTACCTCTGACGATACTGTCGTCAACAAGAAGCACGTTCTTGTCCTGGAACTCGATAGGAATGGCATTGAGCTTAGCACGGACACCCTNTTGACGAGCCTTCTGGTTTGGCATGATGAAGGTACGGAAGATGTAGCGGTTCTTGACAAAGCCCTGGCAGTAGGGGATCTTCAAGTGCTTGGACACAGCATAGGCAGAAATCAGACTGGTCTCGGGAATGGGAATAACGGCGTCGATGCTTGCGAGCTGTTCGGGAGTGAGTTGCTGCTTGATAGTCTCGGCAAGGCGGTAGCCCATGAGTTGACGGCTGCGGTGGACCGAAATGCCGTCAATGACGGACTCAGGACGAGCAAAGTAGACGTATTCGAAAATATCAGGGGCGTAGTTCAACTCCTTTGCGACTTGGGCGAAGACGGGCTCTTTGCCCTTCTCGATGATGACAGCCTGTCCAGGCTTGATGTCGATGATATTCTTGTAGCCGCATTGCGACAAGGCAACGGACTCGGAAGCCATCATGTAGTCGGTACCAATACCGTCGTCCGAAGGCTTGGAGCCGAGGACCATGGGGCGGATACCGTACGCATCACGGAAACCAATAAGGCCAAATCCAGCGAGCATGGCAGTGCAGGCCCAGCCACCGGAGCAACGCTTGTACATACGCTCAAGAGCGGCAAAACAATCGCTGGCGTTGACTCTTGCCTTCTTGGTCTCGTTCAACTCGTTGGCGAAGATGTTGAGCATGAGCTCGCTGTCACTGTCGGTGTTGATGTGTCTGTGAGCGACCTGATCGAGGTACTCTCTCAATTCGGGAGCGTTGATCAAGTTGCCGTTGTGGGTGAGAGCAATACCGTACGGGCTATTGACGTAGAAAGGCTGAGCTTCTGAGTTTGCGCTGCTGCCAGCAGTAGGGTATCTCAAGTGACCAATTCCCATGAAACCGGGAAGGTCAGCGACGCGGGAGCCGTCGTGGAAGACTTTTGCGGCGAGACCATTGCCCTTGCACTGGTAGATGCGACCATTACGGGTACAAGCGGCGATACCGCAAGCATCTTGACCACGATGTTGCAGGTAGTATAGAGCCTGGTGAATCTCAGCGGCAGCGTCGAGCGACGACGGGTTGCCGTGAATAACGCCGAGAATGCCACACATGGTGTTTGGCTATATAGAGGTTTGGTGGAAGATAGGTAGAGAACGACGTGGGGGATTCTGCAAGAGACTCGAGGTTAGCCGAGCTGAGACAAGTGATGGTTCTTGTCAAGGTCGTGTGCTCAAGGTGTTGCTCAGTTATAGAAAATGTGTTCATGAAAGATCACTAGTCTAACATCTATTTTTTTACTTCTGATCTCATCCGTGCAAAGTGTGGGTGTTGAAAGAAAAGTCTGCAACTTACGAGTCAAGGTGGCCTTGCGGAAGAGCCCAAGGGTGTACGTAAGGATAGCGGGGCGGTTATTGGTGTTTGGGCATGGGCAGTATGCCTGGAAGAGGCACTTGGAGACGACATTTGTGTAGGAGGGAGAAAGCGTCAGAAGCAAAGAATTTTGATAGCGTTGCCGGAGGAGCCCCCACCAATCTTCTCGAACCCTGTACCTTGGCAAGCCAACCGCAATGTCTGTGACTTTCTGCCGACCTGCCGACTTCGGGGTGTGAGCACGTGGGGCTGGCTCCATCTGGGGTTCACTTTCTTGTCTTCGCAGCTTCATTCGCGAAACATCTCACTTCGTTGAGACTGCCCTTAGAGCTGCACATGTTTGCGACGATGAGTCTGGCGCATCTCTGTCGACAGTGATCCTGATGTCCCCGTTGAAAGAGATTGCAGAAGATCAGACAGGTTTGTTGCTGAGGCTAGAAAAGAACATCATATTAATGGTCTAAGTGCTACCAATGCTTCTATCAGAAGACCTTTCTTTCAAGTTATGCTACTAGAACATACTTCACTTTCTCGTCTCACCCTTCACTTCTCTGAATGACGTTTTTCTATCGCTGCCTCATAACACAATTCCGCTTCTTCCTTCAACACCTTACTTTCACTCTTTGTCTCTTTCTTCTACTCACACAACCTACCTCTACTAGACTCCCTTTCCTGTACATACGCCCATCCACCTCTGTCAAAGCAATACTGCGGCAAGGGCAGTTTCCATACTTCTCTTTCAACACGATTGCTGCTCGACCTTTCAGATCACTTCCACCTCTCACTAGCCTCAATCCTCTCATGAGGCAATCCAGTTGCTAACTATAAGACAACATCAATTTCCTCGACTCACTCTATCACCACTTCCCATTCACCAGACGAAAATCATTCCTGATGACCAACTTCTCGTCTCACCAGTTCGCAATGCGCAGACCAAGCAGCGTCGAACCGAGCCATCTAGGCACATCTCATGGTGAGTGAATCTCATGGATCTCTTTCTGCCTTGACTAACACCTACAATAGAGCCCATCATGATTCTCGATGATGATGATGACTACATGAGCACGAACCTCTACAATGCCATCACAATTTGTGATGATGATGAAGAGGTACAATTCATCTCCGAGCAAACAGCTTTTGTCGATGATGAGTTCCGTTGGGGTGCCCCTAGACCTCCACGCCTTCACAAACCTCAAAGAAGACAGACGAGACCTTTTGTCGCCTACGAACCCAGAACCAAGCCTATCGTCAATGTGTCTCTCTTGCAAGGCCACTGGATCACCGACAATTTCTGTCTTGTTCCTGGACTCGTTGTCGAGCTCAGAGAGGATCGCAGCTCACCCTTCAAGTGCGGCGACTTTGTCAAGATCGAAACTATCTACGAAGATCTGGACACCCACACCGTCTATCTCAGAGGTCTTCTTTACCGTCGTACAAAGACTTTGGATGGCATGCTTCCTAAAAAGCTCAACGAAGTTTATCAGGTCCTGCAACAGAATTTGGAGGATACTCGTGCCATTCGGATCCAATCGCTTCATGACGTCCCGGTCAGCCTGGTTGTCCGTACCCGTTGCTTGAAACACACCAACACGCCCTTCCCGGACAACAGTTTTCGCAAGCTTGAAGACATGTATGGACAGACACCAGATTTTATCCAGGATAATGCGCAGCTCACCTGCCGTTGGAAGAGAATCTTCCAGTACACTTGCTCACAGGACCTGATGACTGGCTACCAACACATGCAGTCTATTCAAAGACTCACAGATGCCGAGTGTGACAAGGGCTTCCGCGTTCCCGATGCTGTGCTTCGCAAAGCTGTACCTAAGATCGAATCAGACCTCACCGTTGTCGATCTTACTGCCGAGGACGCTGCTGATCAAGATGCTCAGCAGTTGTCAAACATGCTCAACAACACGCACATATCTGATCCTGTCCCTAACTCTGCATACACCTTTGGTGATTACTTCTGTGGAGGAGGAGGCGTCTCGGCTGGTGCCAGAGAGGCCGGCTTCAAGATCGTTTACGGAGTGGATCATGACAAGGATGCTTGCGCCACCTATACTCTGAACTTCCCCGGCGCCAGAGTCTATGTGGAAGATGTCAACTATTTTCTTACCGTCAGAGTACAGGAAAATGCACACGTGCGCTGTGCCCACATGTCTACTGTGTGCAAGACAATTTCCACTGCCTACACTGTCAGAGGCAAAAACCATAATGCCAACGAGGCAACTCTCTTCACTATCTCGGACATCCTTCGTAAAGCCACACCTATGGTCGCTACCCTTGAGCAGACCTTTGGCGCTCTCAACCCAGGTAANAAGCAGCTTTTCAACGCCTTCGTCTGGCAGTTCACTTCGATGAACTATTCGGTCAAATGGGCCGTCCATACTCTATCTGAGTACGGTGTTCCGCAGGCACGCAAACGCCTCATCATGATCGCCGCTTGCCCTGGACATCCTTTGCCTGACTTCCCAAAGCCCACTCACGCTCCTTCACCCGAGAGACCTGTTCCGGGCCTGAGGCCTTCCGTGACTATTGCCGATGCTCTGCAACCAATCCGCCGCAATACACCTAACCATAACCCTACTGCCCTGCCCGCCAAAGACTTCGCCCCTTACAGCCCTCACCAGCTAGTTAGAGGCTGCATTACCACTAGCGGTGGTCAAAACAATTGGCACCCAAGCGGCAAGCGTCACTTCACCGAGCGCGAATATGCATGTCTACAAACCTTTCCTCTTGATCATGCCTTTATTGGTACTAGATCTTCGGTGGTTCAGCAGGTCGGCAATGCAGTTCCACCTGCCTTTTCTCAGAAGCTTTTCGAAAGCATTCGTAAGACTTTCGAAGAGATTGACAAGCAAGATCGCGAGAACGCCGGAGTCATCCAGCTCGATGATGATGATGAAGAAATGCTGGACGATGGCAGAATTGTCGTGGACCTGACTTGAACGTCATGACTCTTTTGCGGTTCGCACTTCAGCTTGACCGCTGTTCTCTCTCAATACCTGCGCACACTGACCATGTTGAAGCACACCAAATGAACGACTTCTTTTCGCTACGATTGAACAAAACAAAGCCGGAAACACAAAAAAACACTTTCATTCGACAACTCTGCTTTTTCAAACATTGCTATGCTGATTTCCTTTGTTCACGTTCTTCACACGTGCACCAGCACATAATATCCTGTATCGCCGTCTTTTCATTGCCTGTTGTTCTTTTCTTCTTTTCATCGAGGGCCCTTCTTTTTCATCGAGGGCCACAGTCACTGTGTTTACCGTCGGAAATCCTGAACGGCCAAGTATGCTACACCGCAAGGAGTTTAGAGCAGATCGCAGTTATATTCCCCTGAAGCATTTCTCAGTAGCAATCAAACCATGTCTCTCAAAAGTCGTTTCGAGTTGCGAGTGTGCGAGTCGTGACAAGCTTCTTCTTCTCTTCGCTGGGTGCTAAAGGATATGTCTGTGACAATTGGAGGAGCTTTTGTGAAAAATGGTTCATGGAGAAATCGGTAACCAAAGAGGGTATCCTCGATTTGTTAGAAAGGGTAGGATCTGATGCCAATTCCTAGAGGTGCTAAAGTTTATGGATGGAGTGATAAACAGACTTGATGATTGATTGACAAGTACGATTTGAAGCTGCTACCCGCAAATGCCCTGGTCTACTGATTTGGCTAGCTAGCCTCCAGCATTACCACAGTAAAGTTCTTGTGTGTTTGGACTCAACGGATGGCGAACTTCCATACTTGATTAAGTCCATTTTGCCGACCGTGCTAGGTTGTTCTTGTCCATGGTCGAGCACGTATTCTCGACTCGTGTGACTGACATTTTTTTTGCTATCGTACGCAGTGTGACAGAGCATGTGTGCGTTTTGCAAAGTCGCTCTCGCTGTCAGTCAAGTGTGTGCGGAACTGACCACACCGCAGGATATTGAGGGTGGAGGTACGGCTCTGACACAGCGAGCCATCAGCATCGGCTAAGCAACTTACAGGACGGTGGAGGACAATGGCAAACTGTGGAATGTATGTCAGGCCTCGTCAGCGTTTAGTATTAGGACGCTGCCTGGTGGTCACTACGAGAGGAAATCATCGTTTTGAGATGACTCGTACTCGGTGACGTGATAGAAAGATGAGCTAGAGATCACGACTAAGTCTCATGGTCTTCGACGAGAAAGTACGTGCTTCCGCAAGACTGTGCTGCAGACGTGGCGCACATCTTGGATAGAAGCGGTAAGTGCAGGTCGGAGAAGAGTGATAGCCAAGGCACCAGTAAGTGGTGACTTTAGCCTGGAGGGGACAAGAGGTTCACCCCATCTGTTGAAGCCAGACTTTTCTAATTCGTCTATAAAGGTGTCGCGAAACCTTCTCGTCACCCAAGATCGGATAGTGCGTTTCTTTGAGATGGCAAGCGGAGTTCTGATGACCCAGTGTAGTTGTTTTGGATTCCAGTTCTCAAGACGACGAGAGATGGGAATATTCAAAGGATGACGGTCATCGTTGGCAATGGCTTCGGTAGCAATGAAAGTGGTGCAATTGACTGGTTTAGGAAATGGCTCGAAGCGGGTGTGGAACAGAGTATTGAGGCTCTTTTTCTGTGTTTGTATGCGCGACATTTGATGGCGAAGTGAAAGGAAATGACGCACAATAAGAAGAGGTCAAACAATGAGAGGGTTGTAGAAGGGAAGCGTGTTAGGCGCTGGCCAAGAGATTTGGCAGACTCTGAGTCCCCCACGCCGACGCAACTTGCACCCATGCGTCACAGCGACCGCCCCTCCTTCTTTCCACAACCACGAACACTTCGCACTCGACTTTTCCCGCCCTCCTACAACAAGGCAACGAAGCCGCACTAGACATCGTCCAAACACTTCAGCGACACATTCGCCATGCCCAAGAACAAGGGAAAGGTATGCGCCCCCGCAAACACAGAGAGAAAAAACATGCGCTGACCCGCCTGTGCCAACCAGGGTGGTAAGAACCGCAGAAGAGGAAAGAACGAGAACGACAACGAGAAGCGCGAGCTCACCTTCAAGGAGGAGGGTCAGGGTACGTGATCCTGCACAACCAAGACAGCGCACAGAGCACAAGACTGACCAAGACGACANGAGTATGCCCAAGTCGTCAAGATGCTGGGTAACGGCAGACTGGAAGCACAATGTTTCGACGGCGAGAAGAGACTAGGACACATCCGTGGCAAGCTGCGAAAGAAGGTCTGGATCAACCAGGGCGACATCATCCTCCTGTCGCTGCGTGACTACCAGGACGAGAAGGGCGACGTCATCCTCAAGTACAACGCCGACGAAGCACGAAGCTTGAAGGCATACGGCGAGCTGCCCGAGTCGGCCAAGATCAACGAGACCGACACATACGGTGGTGAGNNGGAGGAGGGCATCGGCTTCGACTTCGGTGAAGACGAGAGCGAGAGCGGTGGTGAGGTCGACATTGACGACATCTAAGCGCGAGACTGGCGACCGCTCGCAAAGGCTCGATGGTTCGGGCAGGCAGGCGGCATTCACGATTTTAACCAGCGTTGGGCGTCTTTTTGTTTCACGAGCATATTCCTTCGAACTGGGTCTGACGCCGCCGGGCTGGCAAAAATGAAGTTTCTTTACTACCTGATTCTACTACCTTGACGAATGCAACGCCTTGATAAAACAACAAGCCTTGAAATGCAGTGTATGCATGTGAAGGTGATATACTTGTGTAGACTGATATACTTGTATAGACGTCGTTCCCGATTGGGCAGCAACGACGGACAGGGCAGAGGACAAAATTGGAGTGCGGAAGCGGCGGGCTCGGCGGTCGGTCGACGCGCGTGGAAAGAGGCTGGTGCTCGTCTGACGTACCGCTCTCTAGCCTCCACCCACCAACCAGTTACAGCCTCAGCAACAGTACCTTCGCGGCCTGCGTGTGACTATCTAGTTTCACCATCTCGACAACACCCGTGCCTGTCGCCGTGGATTGACACATGCGCTCTCTCTCACCTCCGCCATGCCTTCGATCCTAAATGACGATGACAAGCAGAATGTCAAGCGCCAGGTGCCCAAGGCTTCCAACAAGATCCACGCCGTCGCTGTCGCCAAATTGTATATTGCATATCCAAACCACAACAGATGGCAGTATACCGGTCTGCAGGGCGCTGTAGTCCTTGCCAACGATCTCGTCGGCAACACCTTCTGGATCAAGATGGTCGACGTCTCGGTACACTCTCTGCCCCTCCTCAGTCATGCCATGTGCCTCGACTAACCACATCTCCAGCCCTCGAACCGCGGTGTCGTCTGGGACCAGGAAATCTATGACACCTTCCAGTACAACCAGGACCGTACCTTCTTCCACACCTTCGAGCTCGAGAATTGTCTGGCTGGCCTATCGTTTGCAGATGAGAAGGAAGCGAAGCAATTCAAGAAGAAGATGGATGAACGCGAGAAGAACGCACACAAGAACACAAAGAACAAGCCTTTTGGCAGTGGCAGTGGTTCGAACAAGGACTATTCTGCTGCCAGCGCAGGTGGTGGTGGCTCGACTAGACACCGTTTCGGACTCAGCAGTCTGCTACCCGGCCATCGCAACTCGCACGCTCCTCAGGCTCCAGCTCAATCCATTATCCCCCCACGCGATGTGGCTATCGGTCACGCTGCGCCTTCTCGTCCCACGCCAACTCACAACTTGGACATGTCGGACCCTGCTGTACAAGAAGTGCTCAACCAGCTGCTGTCCATGGGCATTACCGAGGATCAGCTAGAGGAGCACGCTGGCTTCATTCAGACTTATCTTGAGCAACACAAGGCCACTGCCGCTGCTGAGGAGGAGCGCAAGGCCAGAGCACCGCCACCACCCCCGCCTGTCGCTGCGCAGATGTCTCCTCAAACCACTGGAGGAAGTGGAAGCACTTCAAGACGTGGTCCTCCACCTGCTCCGCCACAACCTAGAAGGGGCGCCGCACCAGTGAGACCACCATCTCCCTCACCTTCGCCTCCGCGCGCTCCTTCACCCCTCGTCCCATGTTCCGTGCTCCTCCTCCGATTGCCGACGCCGGAAAGTACGCCAATGTCCCTGCTCCGCCTGCCAGATCCAGGGCCTCGTCTTCTGTCGCTCCTCCGCCTCCACCGCGTGTCCCAGCCAAGACGCCGGCAGACGAACCATCCTCGTCCAGATTCGGTGTTCCTCCTCCTTTCGCTGGCAATCGTATTCCGTCTGGTCCTCCTCCCACTCCTGCTCGAGGTCCTGTGCCGCCTCCACCGCCCGCAAGAAACAATGTCGCTGGCGCTGGTGTACCTATGCCACCGCCATTGCCACCTAAAACTCCAAACTCAGCCGCTCCTCCTCCACCCCCTCTTCCTCCACCATCTGCTCGTCCTGTCCCTCCTCCTCCTGGAGCTGGTGGCCTGCCTCCTCCGCCTCCTCCGCCTCCTCCCCTTCCTCCGATGTCGTCTGGCGGCGCTCCCCCACCCCTCCTCCAATGCCACCAATTGGTGGTGCTCCTCCGCCGCCTCCATTGCCTCCAGGTCGTGCTCCTCCTGGTGGAGATGCTCCAGCACCTCCGCCGTTGCCTCCTGTTGGTGGTGGTGGCAGAGACGATCTTCTTGCTTCTATTCGAGGTGGTGCCCGCCTCAAGAAGGTCTCTGATCAAGAGAAGAGAGATCGCAGTGCTGCAGCGGTGCCAGGAAGTGAGCCTCCTGTATCGAGCGGTCCCAGTGGTGGCGGTGGTGGCGATGCTGCCGCTGCTGGTGGTCTCGCTGGTGCTTTGGCCAGTGCACTTGCTGCTAGGAAGTCTAAAGTTAGCCATAGTGGTAAGTTTACTTTTGCTTTGTTTCTGGTGATTATATGCTGACGGTTTTATAGATGATGAAGACGACAAGGATGACTGGTAGATTATCGCAGAGAAGCGATCCGAGGGCGTGCCATTTTTTACAGAAGCGAGGTGTTTCAAAAGGGTATGTCTATATAGGACATTTCTCAGGTACAGGGGTTATGTTTCGTCGGTTTATTATATATCATGGCTCTAGAGCTACTTGCAGCCAAACAAGGTTCCGATCAGCAATGATACAAATTGGCAGTCATCTTTCTCAATCATTTGACAGTGCTCGCATTCATATGTTGTCCATGATGTCTGCCTCGATGTCTTCACGTGTATCAGACGGGATCGTGGGAAGGCTTGTGCGACTATGTGGACCACGGGGTTGGTCCAAGCAAGACTACTCGAATTGGACTAATCTAACCTGGCTGATATCTTCCAAGAACAACCAATACAAATTGCTCGAAACATAGATGTAGTTGAGTATCAGACTATTGAATCAGGTTTGGCTCGATCAAAAGTGATGATGTACCTTTATTCCTATGGTCCAGACAATTTTCGATGCTGCTGTCGATGCATTGTTATAAGAGCAGGGTGGCACCGTCGACGACAGACGGCTTCTACAGTTCAAATCAAATTACTTCCTCCTTGGCCGAGCTCATACCTCAACACGACACACACACACGAACAATGAACAATCTACGGAATAGCTCCAATAGGAGTATGCGACTCGCTCGCCAGATACGAAAAGCATCGACCTCGAGTCAAACCCCCAACTCAACACCATCCATCTTCCGCAAATACCGCGGCATTATACTGTGGACTTCAGTTGGCCTGGCAGTAGGCGGCACAACCGGCACATTGGTCTCGCACACAATCGCTCCTCCACCGCATCCGCTACCAGGCACACATGAGGATGGCGTTCTCATGCAAGACCTTAACAACCGCATCGACTCCGAGTTCAAGGTCAAGGTGCTGCGAGGAAAGTGCACTGCTGTAGCAGCGAGTCTGCGCGGTGACGAAGGCGTCTGGCGCGAATTGGATCCCAAAACATTGGATGGCTCGCTTGTAAAAGACTCGTTGGCCGGTGCCCGTTCGCTGGGCGTTCAGCGCGTATTCTGGAATGAGAAAGAGCATGAATTGGTTGCTGTGGTGTGGTTCGGAGGTGCCATGTCTGGATGGCCTGGCGTTACACATGGAGGTGGCATTGCGACTGTTCTCGCGGACAAGATGGCGTTGGCTGCTCGTCTTGCNAAAGGCATTGCCCCTGCTCAGGACTCTTCCCATGGTCCCTCGGAGCCGACGCGGCTGGATTTGACCTACAAGAAGCCTACATATGCTAATGCCTTTTACGTCGTGCGTGCCGTGCCCAGATACGGCGCTTTCGAGACTTCGTCGCCCAACGATATGGAGGTTGATGCTCAGCTCGAGACCTTGGATGGCACAATCTGCGTGCAGGTCAAGGGTGCTGTTCCTGTTTCTGAAGGGGAAAGTGCTATCAAGTCTTCCATCAAGAGTTTCACCCCGGCGAAGTCGTGGCTTGGCTGGGTATCTCGCTCAGATACATGAGCGAGCCTAACGACTCTCAAGTTGATAACCACGACGTTGGAATCAAGACGAGATCGAGCTTCCTGGTGGATCAACATCCAAGCTCATATCATCAGCCTAGAATACAAGGAACCATTTCGAACATCAAGACGCCTACACCTCTCAGCGCAAACATGAGCATATGGCTCAGCTGCACAGACGAACTTGGCAGCACAACATTTATTGTCTGAACAAAAGAATACTACTCAGCATATCTTGATCATAGACAGCAGTGATTGCAAAGGATGAAAAAATTGGGATGGTAGAATGGAAAAGAGGCCCCTGTGTGCATTCCATCACACACTTGACAACGCCCGGGATCGTTAAGATTAACCCAAATCCGAATGCTCCGTTACCCTTCCTCCCAGACCCATGTCGCATTATTGTACACGAGATGCACGTACTGTTAGACCTCTGTTATTAGCATCAATCATGCAATCATCCACCTGTGAAACGTTAGTCGAGCACACTGTTGCGCTATCGTGAGTCGACTTACCATGCACCTCCAACCAGAGCCACTAGAATTAGCGNCTGAAAGATGTTAGTTAGCGCTTTGGCTCTCGAAGTCAAGCGAGTTGAGAACAAACCTGTGATAATACCAGCACCAGCTCTGTCGCTAGTGTTGATGGGACTGGGTGTAGCAATAGGATTTGTGTCGCCTCCGCTTCCAGCACTAACAAGAGTGGTTAGCCATGATGCAAGTGTCTCTGAAAACCACTACTCACTTGGNNGATTGCCTTTTGAGGTTCCGCCAGTCGAGTTGGACACAGGCCCTTGAACCTAGAGGGTATTAGTGCGAGGACATTCCAAAGGGCTCGTGAGCCAAGGACATACTCTATCGATAAGGTTCGACTGAATGACCTCGAGAGCAGACATTTGCTGGCCGACACCTGTGGCCCCATCCCAGACCCCGTTGTTCCACCATCTGGTTCCGCAGGTTGTGCCATCTTCTCCACCACTACAAGACAGAGCTGCAGCTTGGGCAGATGCTGCGAGATAAGGCTTGATATCGTCGTAGAGCCATGGCGCGACCTTGGTTGAAGCGGCCATCCAACGTGACAAATAAGCCTTGAAACTGCTCATAGTCAGTTGATGCACGAATGAGATGTCACAATTTGAATCATACCTTAGTTGATCGACGTTGCAATTATTGTTTGGTTCACAGGCCACCTCGAACATGATCTGTCCAGCTCCCTGACCCCCTTGATTGGTAAAGAAGACGTGGGTTGCGTTCCAAATGCCGAGGGTGCGCTCCCTCCAGAGATCGCTCTGAGTGAGATTCCACATGGTGGCAGATCCGAGAAGGAAAACACCAGCATTGTAAGACCATTGAATATGGTTGATCTGGGTGCAGTTGATCTTGTCATCGCTGCCGTCGTAGAAATAGTAGTCATCACTCATTAGACCGATAGCTTGAGTCCAGTCAAAAGCTCTCTCGGCCCACTCAGCGTAAGTCTGGTTGCCAGTATAAGCAGCAAGGCGTGCAGCAATGTTGAAGAAAGCACCATTGGAGATAGTGTTCTTGTAGTCGTAGCCGTTGTTGAAGGTGAAGATCTGCCATCTCAAACCTCCGGCACATGTCGTGTTGTCCCAACGGAGAGCTTGACTGTTGAAGACGGCCTGAGCTAGAGCGAGCCATTGAGGCTGGTCGGAAGGAGGGTTAGGGAATTTGAGCTCGGCGGCAGACATGGCAGCCATGCCCCAGAAAGCTTGATCATCGTTACCAAGCGACTTGCTCTGGTTGCTGGGCATGTAGTTGTCTTTGTCGCCAACTTGGAAGAGCATGGCTTGGGTAGTAACATCGTTGTAACTGGTATCGCCGGTGTAGTACCAGTAGTCGATCAAAGAACCAAACATGGCGCCTGCTTCCCACCAGTAGTACGGACCTGGAAGTAGTCCAGGAATGCCGCCAGTCACGTTTCCAGAATAGAACTTCATCATGCCATTGGCGATAGTAGAGGCGGCGGTTTTGATCGAGTCNNTGTCCTCATTAGTTTCTTTACGTGTATATGCCAGCAAGGAGCGCTTACCCTCGCTCGTCAGATCAACGGTGATGGCGGCACATGGCAGTATTGCGAAGGCGGCGCAAGAGAGGCCAGACAGTATTGATGAAGGGCGCATGGCGATTGCAGTAATGTATAGTGGGTAGGTGGATTAGACCAGGCACGCGCCGTGGGCAGGCGGCTGATGCTGATGGTCGAGATAAATGTTGGTTGCAGTACCAGTGATAGAAGTAGAGTTGTTGCAGTACGGCAGATGAGTCGATTAGACAGTTATCCGGGGCACCCAATACCGTTTAATCAAGTTCACGATGGGGCTCAGGATTTCGATCGTGACGTCGGTCGAAGACAGGGAGAGCTGAAGGCGGCAAACACTGAGAGCTGCGCCACGGTACGGCAGATGGTTCTGATGAGCACAAAGAGAAGGCACGAGAGCAAACGAGCCTTGGGTCAGGAAAATGGATGTTTAGCGAGAGTGTTGACAGTGGTGAATATGATGGCGGAGAAGGTCAATCCAAGGAAGGGAAACAAAGCAGCATGAGCGTGATGCATCTAATAGTCTAGAAATCGGACGGCGCACGGATGGAGATGGCTTCTGCAAAACTTCTGGGCGCCAATCAGCTGCTCCATCGGCCAAGATCCCCACGCCGGACTGCTGCCCTCCGCACACTAGTGCCTGAAAGCATCCACATGCCCGTCACTTCTCCAACTTCTTTGCTGCGTCACATGAGACCATCCATCTCCCTATTTGGGCTCTGGAGTCGTCCGTGTTATACAGCTACAGAGGCTGTGGACATACATATGATACATGGTCGCTTGTTCCAAGTTCCTGGAAGCACAAGACTTGAACGCGTATGGCCCAAGGCTTGACACGAGAGGATTGCAAGTGGCGCCGAGGCTGACAAGAAGAATTCTGGTAGAGGCCAAGCACTCGGCCCATTTCGCACAAGAAGTTTATGTGATGAGTACTGTTGCCGATGCGCGACGCAACTCGCAATCTGTAGAGGCAGTGCATGTATATTCCCCTGAGATTTGGTCAATCAATAAATAGTAATACAGCTATTAAATACTGTTTTGCTCGAGGGTTGAGACAGCAACCGATACCTAATTGCACGTGACGCATATCCAAGCCTGTCGGAATCTTCTACCAGCCGCAAGCCGATCACGGTAGTTTTTACCATGATGGTTGTCACCGTCAGCGGCTTTTAAAAGAGCCAGAGACTCTGACAGTGACTGCTCTCGATGCTTTGGGCTGACAATGAGCTGTCTATTGGTGCACGATTGGCGGCCTGAGGTGAGACAAAGCACAAAGAGGTGCAAAGAAATCAATAGCAGACGATGTTGAGGCCCCAGTGATAATGCTGGCAATTGGATATGCAGACTTGATAGCATATGAGAAAGATGACAGAGCTAGACTGTGTAGACAAGAGACAAACTCAAGTGGTGGGAGCTGTAACGGTGTGCAGGGTATTTTTGGGTAAGCAGCGAGATTCGCGAATAATGGTCTGACGAGTTTGGCTTTGGTTTTGTCGTCGTTGCACCGCCCCAGCCACATCGTGGTCGCGGCGGTTTGAGCTTCTGTCAACCTCCGCCGACCGACTCTTGTCTTTCCGTCACGACCTCAATAACTTCATCCTCACACACCCACAACCTCGCTCCACAACAACCCGAAATCTCCTGCCTGCGCTTTCGCTACCTCTACAACCTAGCCAACACTTTCTCTCGCCGTCAATCACACCGCCCACATCGCCACAATGTCCGAGCAGCCTTACGACCCCTACATCCCCTCTGGCNNCGGCGGCGCCAGCAGAGATGGCAACCAGCGTACTGCCGCTCTTCAAGCCGTACGTCGCTTCCGGAATCCCATGCCAAACATGCATACAGCGACTGACATATTGCCCAGNGAAATCGACTCCACCGTCAATGTTATGCGCAACAACATCAACAAGGTCTCGGAGCGTGGCGAGCGCCTCGACAGTCTGCAAGACAAGACCGACAACCTGGCCGTCTCAGCGCAAGGCTTCAGACGCGGCGCCAACAGAGTCAGAAAGCAGATGTGGTGGAAGGACATGAAGATGAGAATGTGCCTGATCATCGGCATCATTCTCCTGCTCGTCATCATCATCGTTCCCAGTNNGGTATGTCCAGACTGCCCTCGTTTCTCTGCTTTGCACAAGTTCCTCCAACTAACACGGTGCAGTCGTCGCAACAAAACATCACTAGAGCGANNCCCGTCCTCGACCACGNNTTTTGACGATATGACCTTGCAAGCTTGCGAAGCCTCTGATCAAGAGGAACGCGTATTATACCTCTCTGCCACGATTNNCCCCTTGTCTGTTCGAATCCTNCCCGATACCACGACATGCCCCGACTGCACNTTAACGAATTGGCGCATCAAGGAGCATCTGCTGATCTGTTTCTTGACCTTACGATTGTTTTCCTGCCTCTGCACTAGCCGAAGGCTCTTATACGTGTAGTAATATGACTGTTTTCTCTTTATCACGTCTTTTCTCTCAAGCAGTATCGATCGACCTCACTAAGTGACTTCCAAATTTCTCTCTTCGCAAACATGCTGATATATAGCCATCAGAAGAATCAATCAATTTCATCAGCTGAGTATCATTGGCAACAGATCTTTCCTATGTGCTGAGGCTGTCACATTCTCTCAATTGGCTTTGCCTCAATCCGACGGGTAGCGAGGACAACAGCTGACAAAATGCACGATTCTGTTCAAAACTAGAGGTGTATCCACGAAAATCTGTCCGAACAAGTCCTCCCCATGGTAATCATTCGCTTTTCGGAAGTATTGTGCATTTCCACAGCCACAGCGACAAGTTTAGCATAAACCGAGATAGATTCACAATCTTTTCAAACCGTACGACTCGGCTTCAAAGTCATTGTGTCCATCCATCCTCGACTTTGCAAAAACATCACGGCATCCTTTCAGTTTGCTCCTAACCTCCGTGAGTTCACCCATCTCCATAATATGCCTTTTACTGTGAAGGACGCTCATTGTGATGTTGACACAGCTCCTGGAAGCTTCTCTCTCTTGCTTCACTGCCTCAGATTCAATCACTCAGAGGAGTTCGGCTTTTCACTCTGAACTTTGGTTCAGTCACAAGCTCATCCGCTCTTTAAGTTCTCAAGTCCAGGCCTTCTTTCTACTTCTTCCAACCTCATACATCCACTCAACATACATCGTCTTTCAATCTTGAGGTCGTACACCATTACTCCACAATCAATCGTCAGAGCTCAGCATCACTGAAGAGTGATATGAGCACTGCTCACCATATCTCTATATATCCCATGCTTACTCGTGTAGCTTCACACATCTTCTGATTGATCAACACCGCGCTGAGCATAGACACCACCTGTTCTTTTCACACCCACTTCCTTTTCCTTCTCTTCTGGCATTCATTCCTCTATCTTTGACTCTTCTTACTCTGCAGAAACTGTCGAGAACCATGGCCATTACACTCGCAACAACGGGAGCAGGTCTGCGAGCTTTGGACCGCATGTCCTCGAAAGCACAGGGAGCCCGCCAGAGAGCACGCTCGCGATTAATTAAAAAGATGAGAAAGAGGAAGCACATTCTTGGCCGCAAGATCACAGCAAAACTCGAGCTAGACCAACCACTTTCTGAGATCGAACAGGCTTACATCGAGAGGAACCCTCGAGGCCAGCACAAAAAGTCTAGCTCGAGCAAGACAAACCATGGGTTTCTAGATGCAACCCAAATCTCACAACTCAACAGTATGTTCAAGATCTCACACTGCATCAACGATTTTCTGACAGAAGCCATCNNAGAACTCAGCGAGAAAACACCATGCATCTTGTTCAGGACTTTCACAACCACTGGTACCAGACACACGAACGGATTTGCAACTCCGACCTTGTACGTGCCCAGTGGCAACCTGATGGCAGATATGGAGGGCAGAAAAGGCGAACGTCAGCCTACCTGGATATACAACTCGATGACTGACATCCCACTACAAGACTCCAGAGTTCTGCTGGGAGAGTACTTGCTTTGGCGAGACAGAATACAAGATGAATTTTTATCTTGGACAATGTCTTACCTNTTTGCAACAGTTCACTTGTATCTGCGCCATCTCGACGGCCAGGAAATCGGTTACATCTCGATGATCAACCGAACTCGAGCTAGTCATCCGAAGAACTGGTATCTTGAGCAATCAGAGACTCAGGAATATACGCCTGCCAGGTTTCATTCCGCCAACGACCTCTGTCAATACACCAGAGTATACGACCATGAGTGGCCATGCCCAAAAGACCTGCCGAGTCTCCATCCTCGGAAGATTAATCACGAGTTTATTACTCATGGAGTAGTCGAGATTCCCCCAGACGATCCTTTGCTGCAAGCTGCATGGATAGACCTCGTAGCAGCCGGGATCTTCGAGCTGATTCCCGAGTTGAAGGTCTGCTTCTATTCCATGGTGGCAGGTCTCTACACAGTTTTGCGCTACATTCGCACAACAAATTACAACGAGGTTCGCAAGACCACCGAGCGTGAGCTTGCTGTCGCGCAGGACATAGCGTGGTTACACACCCTCTTACGGCCTGGGGAGAGAAGAGAGGACAGCCGTCCGAATCTATGGATACTCCTCCACACACTTACCTTCCACAAGAGGGAACCGGGTGATGAACTGTTCAAAGAGCTCATTCGTACACTTGGCTACACCCGTGAGTTTCTTCCCCTTCCAGTATGCTGAAGATTATCACTTGTGTAATCACAAAACGCACGACGTTTTTTAGCAGTAAACGAACTCCTCCAAGGAAACTAACTTTCAATGCTTTGTAGGTCANNCGATCTAGACGAAAATCTGTATGAAGGGTTCGGAGTATTTCCATCCAACTCGCCAGAAATGCATTCTCTGTATCATCTGGCAGTCGATGTCCAGGATGTAGTCGGTGGACAGCCATTGGACGCGCTGGTTCTAACAAGCACTTACTCGAGGGTGCCACTTCCTAATGCCATGGAGACAAAAGATGATACACACTACGACAAGTGGAACAAACCTAGGCTGGTCGAAGATATCACCAAGGGCTATGAGATCAAAGGCAAGTGCAATGATCCGTGCAACTGCAGTCGTTGGGGCCCAACCTATAAGTCCAGGAGAAACAAGAAGGCAGACAACCCTGATCAGTCCGAAAACGTAGATGAACCCAGGGTCGACCGGTCCGGATTAACAACTCAGACAGAACACGACAGCCTGGAGGACTCTGCTCTTCTGGAAGAGCATGCGGAGGACGAACAACAGATTGAATGTGCTGAGTCTCTTGGTAAGTCGATGGCATCTCGACCGTCGTGGCAAGACTATGAAATGGGACAGACAAGTGGCTTACGGTCACAGAGGCAATCCATGCATGAAGAGCTCAACACCATGCTCCTCACCTACAAATACGTGAGCAAAACCAACTACTAGGTAGTTTTTCGAGACAGAAAAAGATATAAACAGATGACATTAGGGGGATTCCATAGCACCTAACGATATTTTAATATTCTCCATCCACCTCCTGTCTGCCACTTTAAGTTTGACACATGTGTGCTGCAACAACATACAGAGGTTTCAAAAACAAAACCATGTATTCCTACATGAAATACAGAATGAAATCAACGGAAGACGTGATAATCCCCGAGAGATTCTGTGGGACATCGCATTGCAGACACATATTGAGCTCAGGACAATTGTTCATTGTTATAGCTCAGATCTCGCTGCAAGTCGTCGCAAGATGGGCTTGAAAGTGTTGGACTCATCAATAAGAAACAGGGACTTCGTAAAGTTGTCAGCTTGCGGCTGTGAAACTGCACATCCTTTCGGAAACGCGCAAAAGTGTCCACGGACGCTGGTCGTCTGATGTGCTTTCACTGGCCGTAAGCTCGTTTTGATGGAAACCACGAAGTTTCAGAGCAATTGTCACTAGACACTATTAGACCAGGTAGATCTGCGTTTGCAATTACCGTTGGAAGATTCCGTGGATTGTTTGAAGTTTCTCAAATAATTCAAGCACACAATTATCTTCGTCATATCGAGTCATGTTGCTCTGGCACCACAACAGGGTCATCCTAGCTTCCGAAATTCGGATTCGGTATTGTGAGCAGAAAGCTCCAAGAGAATGAGTCCGTCTTTCATGGTACTGTTCGTACAATTGAGTTGAATCCCGATGCAAATTTCCCTCACTGGGCAGTCAAAGCATGTATCCGAATGTGTAGATGCAATGCAATAAATGTGTTTCAGTTGCGAATAATGCAGATCTGCTTCTCCACGCCCAATTGCGTAGTTAAAGGAGGGCGAACAGATTGCAAGGACGCTAAGAGCCTAGTGATCAACCTCGTGCCGGCAAACATCAGATTGATGAACAAGCTATTGTTGTGGTACTATCAGTTCTGGCAAGTGAAGGACAGCTGTGTGGTTATGCCTGCCGATATCTTGTGCGGGCTCACAACATGCCATTAGCTATCCAAGGCTTTCAGTCTCGCATTGGACGAGTGCATCTTGCAAGCCATGTTTTGTGTGTGAATGTCGTTGCAAGGCGAAGAATGTGGGTCGTACCGGCATACTCAGCCATGCGAAAAACGATCAACGCGCAAAGTTCGTGTTCAGCTAGGAGAGATTCCAGTAGGGTTAAAACATGCCAAGTAAATTGCCGCGTTTGATGAGGTCTTATTTATGGCCGCGAGAAACGTTAGACATGAAGAACCAGGGTGGTGATGAGAAGCGGGCACATCACAGAGCTCGGAGATGGACCGAAATATTGTAACTATTTGATCGAGAAGGTTGAAAAAACCGAAAAAAGTGGCTCTAGAGCGAACAGTTTTTTGCGATTGGTAAAGTCGTCAGGCCGCTCTCTCGTAAGCATCGGCGTTAAAGGACCGCCGCACGGCTTCGGAGGATCCGGTAGCCGTCGGGTGCACGTTAGAAGGGAGGTGGGAGGAGCAAGAAGGAGCAATCGGCCAAGCAGCCCCTACTCAGTCAGCATCTAATACAACAACAAGTACCCAGGACGCGCGAGTGCAGACGTTCATCTGACAAACACTCGGAGTCGTCGGTTGTCAAGCATCTAAAAAATAAGCCTGTCCTGACGAAGATCACTTGTTGAGTGGAGCGTAGTTCGATCAGACTGTTGCAAGGGAAAGTCGTCATTACATTTCTTTGGACTCTCGCGTTTCGAGACGCTCTGCCGTGTTGAACGCATCCGCCGCTTTCCTTCCCTTCCACAACAATCATTGGCATCATCTCAGCCTGCCACAGTCTGGACAGACAACCTTCGACCTTGTCGCCTCGTTCGCTCGCTCACTCTGGTATCGCATGCTTGTAGGCTTTCAGCAGCGAGCCTGATCCTGGCTCTTTGAGCCTCACCTGGACGCCTCGGCGCCCACCTTTAATGGTCGACATCTGACAACCACCCACTACTCTGCCTCGACTATCTATATCTCATCATGGCCATCCAACCGTACCAGGAAGACAATGAGGCTTCCTCTGGACCCCTCGACACCGCTCCTGCGAAACGATTACGCTGGGCCACGCAGAGAGTGGCCGGCTCACAAGGGGGCTCAAAACGGCAATCTATTCTCAGACGCCTCTCGCACAAGAAGCGCTCGAGCGACGACTCGGCCAAGCGGGAATCAAATGGGACCGACCTCGAATCTGTCCCTGAGAGTTCCGAGGCTTCGGCAGAACAAGATGGTGCTGGTCGCCGCGTCTTCTTCAACATGCCACTGCCTGAGGATGCACGCGACGAAGAAGGACATCCTACCACCCAGTTCGTGCGAAACAAGATTCGCACCGCAAAGTACACCCCCCTCAGTTTCATACCCAAAAATTTGTGGTTCCAGTTCCACAACATCGCCAACATCTATTTCCTGTTCATCATCATCCTCTCGGTGCGTAACATAATACCCTATTCGCTTCTTCCATTGAATTCATACTGACCCTTGTTANNGATCTTCCCCATCTTTGGCGCCTCGAATCCTGGTCTGAGTGCCGTACCGCTGATTGTCATTGTGACCATCACTGCAATTAAAGATGCGATCGAGGATTGGAGAAGAACAGTTCTCGACAACGAGCTTAACAACGCACCCGCTCATCGTCTCGTCGACTGGGAAAACGTTAACACGGCCGAGGACCGAATCTCATTGTGGCGAAAATTCAAGAAAGCAAATACTCGAGCCATCACGTTTGTCTGGCATCTCTGGAAGAACCGTAAAGAGTCCAAAGCCGAGAAGCGAAACTCCCAGAAAGACAGAGCCCTGGATGAGGGTAGACCTTCTGCAGACACCAGACGACCATCCATGTACTCTCAGCGCATGTCTGTGATGTCCACGGCTACCGAAGAGCCTGACGCCATGGAGATGACACCGGTACACTCACCAATGCCTGCTTCGGCCATGGAGGGAAGCAAAGAGATGGACTTGGGTGACCACATTAGAAAATCCCTGGAGAACGATGCCCTCAAACCTGGCGACGCGCGGCAGGTTGTTGAAGTCGCAAAGGATCCTAATGAGTCCAATGCGCCTATTCCAAAACGATTCTACGGTAACGTAATCAACCCCAATAAACCTAGTGGAAAAGCACGGTTCAAGAAGGATTGCTGGAAGAACGTTCAAGTCGGAGATTTTGTGAGACTCTACAACGAAGAGTCCATTCCTGCAGACATCGTTGTCTTGTCGACCTCTGATCCTGATGGAGCTTGTTATGTGGAAACCAAAAACCTGGATGGAGAGACCAACCTTAAAGTCCGCCAAGCTCTACATTGCAGTCAGAAGGTCAAGCGAGCTCGTGACTGTGAACGGGCTGAATTTGTCCTGGAGAGCGAACCGCCCCATGCCAATCTTTACTCCTACAGCGGAGCTATTCGATGGAAGCAACAGGGTAGTAAGAATGCGGAGGTTGAAGCTACTGACATGGCCGAGCCTGTCTCTATCAACAACATGTTGCTCAGAGGTTGCTCCATTCGTAACACTGAGTGGGTTTTGGGTATCGTCGTTTTCACTGGAGAAGAGACCAAGATCATGCTCAACTCTGGTATCACCCCTACGAAGCGCGCTCAAATCTCGAAGGATTTGAACTGGAACGTCATTTACAACTTCATCATTCTGTTCTTCATGTGTCTGATCTCGGCTGTGGTGCAAGGTACTACCTGGGGCAAAGGTAACGAATCACTCGACTTCTTCGAATTTGGCTCCTATGGTGGTACGCCAGGTCTTAACGGCTTCATCACATTCTGGGCTGCTATCATTCTCTTCCAGAACTTGGTGCCCATTTCCCTCTACATCACCTTGGAGATTATTCGCACTGCTCAGGCTTTCTTCATCTACAGCGACACTTTCATGTACTATGCGCCAGTCGATTATCCCTGCACACCCAAATCGTGGAACATCTCCGATGACCTCGGTCAAATTGAGTACATCTTCTCTGACAAGACCGGTACACTGACCCAGAATGTCATGGAATTCAAAAAAGTTACTATCAATGGCGTGCCTTATGGAGAAGCATATACCGAAGCTCTGGCCGGCATGCAGAAACGACAAGGAATCGATACCGATGCCGAAGGGGCTAAAGCTCGTATTCAAATAGCTCGCGGAAAAGTCAAGATGCTTGAGGACCTGCGCAAGCTACATGACAATCCTTACCTTCTGGACGAAAACGTGACCTTCGTCGCGCCCGATTATGTCTCTGACTTGACTGGAGCGTCTGGACCTGAACAGAAAGCAGCCAACGAGTACTTTATGCTTGTGCTTGCGCTCTGCCATACTGTCATTACCGAGCGTACTCCTGGTGATCCGCCAAAGTTAGAGTTCAAAGCACAGTCACCTGATGAGGCTGCGCTCGTCGCAACAGCCAGGGATTGTGGCTTTACAGTACTGGGTCGTTCAAACGACGGAATCATTGTGAATGTTCTTGGTGAAGAGCGCGAATACAGTGTCCTCAATATTTTGGAGTTCAACTCATCCAGGAAACGCATGAGTGCCATTGTGCGAATGCCCAATGGAAAGATTGTTCTCTTCTGCAAAGGTGCTGACAGCATTATCTACTCAAGATTGAAGAAGGGTGAACAGCAGGAATTGAGAAAGACCACTGCTGACCATCTCGAGATGTTTGCTCGAGAGGGTTTGCGCACACTTTGCATTGCTCAAAGGGAGCTCGATGAGGAGGAGTACCAAACTTGGAACAAACAACACGATATCGCCGCAGCAGCTATTCAGAACCGCGAGGAAAAGCTCGAAGAGGTTTCTGACGCCATTGAACGCGACCTTACTCTTCTTGGAGGAACTGCTATTGAAGATAGACTTCAAGACGGTGTACCTGACGCAATCCAGCTCCTTGCTCAGGCAGGCATCAAGCTTTGGGTTTTGACGGGAGACAAGGTTGAGACGGCCATCAACATTGGGTTTTCCTGTAACCTGCTGGGCAATGATATGGATCTCATCGTTTTGAACGTTCAAGATGAGAACCTAGCCACTGCTGAAGCAGAACTCGACAAGAACTTGGCCATCTTCGGCAGGACTGGATCGGACGAGGAACTCAAGGCTGCAAAGAAGAATCACGAACCACCAGCACCGACTCACGCTGTTGTCATTGATGGCGAGACGTTGAAGCTCATGCTTGACGACAAATTGAGACAGAAATTCCTGCTTTTGTGCAAGGAATGCAAATCGGTTCTCTGTTGCCGTGTCAGTCCCAGTCAGAAGGCTGCCGTTGTTGGCATGGTTAAAAACGGGCTCGATGTCATGACTTTGGCCATTGGTGATGGTGCCAATGATGTTGCTATGATTCAGAAGGCTCATGTTGGTGTCGGTATCGCTGGTGAGGAAGGTAGACAAGCAGTCATGTCCTCTGACTATGCGATTGGCCAGTTCAGATTTCTCACGAGGCTTGTTTTGGTCCATGGACGTTGGTCCTACCGCCGACTTGCAGAAACTATTGCAAACTTCTTTTATAAGGTATGCCCTTGCTTCTGCTCTTTACATCGACTTATCGCTGACATCCTCCAGAACATCATTTGGACTTTCGCTCTCTTCTGGTATCAGATCTATGCCAACTTCGATTGTTCATACATCTTCGACTACTCATACATTCTACTCTACAACCTGGCATTCACTTCTCTACCAGTCATCTTGATGGGAATCTTGGACCAGGATGTCGATGACAAAGTGTCCCTTGCAGTGCCCCAGCTTTACAGGCGTGGCATTGAGAGAAAGGAGTGGACACAGATCAAGTTCTGGTATGGTGAAATGACTTTAGACTTGATTCTCGAGCTAACTATATCATAGNNGACATACATGGTTGACGGTCTTTACCAGTCGCTCATTTGCTTTTTCCTTCCTTACCTTCTCTTCCAACCCGCCAATTTCGTCACTGAATCAGGCCGAAACGTCAACGATTATCAACGCATTGGTATATACATTGCGAACTCCATTGTCGTGGTGGCCAACGTTTATATTTTAATGAACGCCTACCGATGGGACTGGTTCTTCACCTTGATTACAACAATCTCTATCTTGCTTATTTGGACCTGGACTGGTATCTACTCCTCATTCACTGTCGGTTTCACGTTCTACAAGGCGGGCGCTGAGGCCTATGGAGCTTTGAGTTTCTGGGCACTAACAATGATGGTGATCATTGTTGCTCTGCTTCCTCGCTTTGCCGCAAAGTCTTTCCAGAAAATCTTCATGCCTCGCGACATTGATGTCATCCGTGAGCAGGTCAGACAAGGCAAATTTGACTACCTCAAGAACGTGGATCCGCAAGACTCGGACGAGGGCAGCCCACCTCCTCCTGAGAAAGTGTCGGATTCAACCTCAAGTTCCGAGATAAGCAAACCTTCGGGAGCACAGAGACTTGCTCACAAGTTGTCCCACAACAGAGTCCCAACAGAAGACGAACGACCGATTTATCCACCCTCAATAGCGGCAACGGCAACGACTCGCAATGCCAGATCACACAACGGCAGTGATGGTACCGATTACACTGGACATCGATCTTCCATTGATCGGACGTTCCCTGCGGTTGGACAAGTGACATCTCGTCCATCTGAAGACTTTGGACACAGCCCGATAGATTTCTACCGACCCCCAGTCATTGCTGGCGGTTTCGAGTCACCTGCACCACGACCAAGTTACGACCGACCGAGACCTTCATTCGATCGATTGAGGGCCAGTATGGATTTCGAAAGAACTCGGCCATCGTTCGAGAGCTCGCGAGATTTCACTAGTGCGGCATATCTATCGCGGGTGGAAAGCAGTCATACACCTGCTGGAACACCTGCTGCGGTAGAACGAAAAGACATCGGCTACGCTATGTAATACGGAGCGTAGTGTGAGCGCCGATTGTACAAAAGGCCAGGAGTGAAGGTGTTATGTCTTTCGGTTGTCTTGATTAATGTCTGTTTCACATGGCGTACTGCTTGGGTGTGGTTTTGATGATTTTGATTTTGGCATAGATTTGATTCAAGTTAGTTAAGATTCCCTGCTGTCATTCTTTCAGACAAAGCGTTTGCCTTGGCCTGTTGATAGGTTTTGAATATCATCGATTTATCGTTCTGTCTGACACTTGTGAGATTCATTGGTTGCATGTCTTGGCGTGAAGTGTTTTGATGTGCAAACAGCCCGCTCGGCGAGACAAGAGGCAACGTGACACCAGAGCATGCCACAATTGACATCAGTCCTTTTATTTAAAAAATTTCCCAGAAGCGCCTGACTGATGATAGGCAACAAACTCCGCTGTCACCGCGTCGGCTCTTCAACTAGCTGAAAAGAACAACAACCATCATGGCCACAAACAGCAGCGACAGCGGCCCCGGACCAGTGAGCGAATTGCTAGGCGTGTTGGCATACGCATTCGCTCAAGTACAACCCTTGCTCCCCCTGTATACTCACCTCGTTCTCTCGGCGTTGTTTCCCATCATCACAGGTGCTTACTCTTCACTTTCACGACCTTCGTCAGCAGCGAAGCCTGTCAAGGATCCAAAAGCCCAGCGTGGAGCCGATGAGCAAGACGATCCAGATGAAGATGAGGACAGTATCCAGAAGATGGANGGGCTGAGTCCCAGTGATGCTGTCATCTTTCCTCTCCTTGCCGGATGTACATTGGGCGGCCTTTACCTGCTCATTAAGTACATGGGTGCTTCACTACTGAACAAAGTCTTGCGTTGGTACTTTTCGGCAATGGCCATATTCAGCGTCGCTAAACTCGTCAACGATGGTCTTGGTGTGGCCGAGTCTTTCTGCTTTCCACACTACTACACTGAGGGAGGTGTTTTGTGGAAAGTCAGCCAACCCGAAAGGAAGGCGATCCACTCAGCCATTTGCATGAGACCGTCTCCTCTCCCAGGAGTCTTGGGTCGCATCATTCTTCCTCAGCGCGTCCTCGATGCCTTTTGGATGTTGCGCGGTCTTCTTAGGCGCAAGTACCGTCTGCATTTCCGTCTCTCCGGCTTGGTCAAATTCAAGGTCACTCTTACGCTTCGCACAATTCTCTCGACTACACTCGCACTCGCAACCATCTTCTGCTCCAACTTTGTGCTCGATGCATGGTGGCTCACCAACCTGCAAGGATTTGCCTTTTCTTACAGCGCTCTTCAGCTCATGTCTCCCACTACCTTTGGTACTGGTTCTCTAATCCTGAGCGCCTTGTTCTTCTACGACATCTACTTTGTCTTCTACACTCCTCTGATGGTTACTGTAGCCACCAAACTCGATGTGCCCATCAAGCTGCTGTTCCCTAGACCCCTCGAAGACGGGCAAGTTGCCGCAGACAGGAAATTGGCTATGCTCGGTCTGGGAGATATCGTGATTCCTGGTATGATGATCGGACTCGCCCTGAGATTTGATCTTCACATGTTCTACCTGAAGAGACAGACGAAGCGTCTCAAATCTGCTCAAGCCGATGCAGACAAGAAGAAGGAAGACAGCACAAGCAAGGTCGATGAAGAAGTTCAAAAGGAACCCTATCGCCCTGTCACTGGCCACTGGGGCAACAAATTCTGGACCACCTCCTGGATCGGCCGCTCTTTGCTACCCAAGTACGAACCCAAGAAGCCTGCTCGCAATCCAATTCCTACATTCTCGAAACCATACTTCTATGCTTCCNNAATTGTTGGCTACGTTCTTGGAATGTGCGTCACGCTGGGTATCATGCAAGTCTTCAAGCATGCTCAACCTGCCCTTCTCTACCTAGTTCCCGGCGTTCTGGGTAGTCTGTGGTCAACCGCACTAGTCAGAGGAGAACTCAAGCAGATGTGGAACTTTACAGAAGCAAGCGACGAGGAAGAGGGAAGAGGATAACGACAAGAAGAAAGACAAGACCAAAAGGACGCAGAGAAGAAGGACTCAGACAAGAAGGAGTCCACTTCCTGGTGGGGCAAGAGTTTCTTCTCGGCCGAGAAGAGCGAGCGTAATGCGGAAAGACTCGAAAAGATGATCGCAAAGAGTGTTGGTGGCGATGAGAAGAGTGACAGCGAAGATAAGAGCAGTGGTAAGAAGAGCAAGAAGGAAAAGCATGGCGACAAGGGCTTCTTCCATTTCTCCTTTACGCGCGCTGTTCCCAAGAACTCATCACTACCTAGCGATGTCAAGAAACGCTCGTCAGCTGCAGAGACGGACAGCGCTTCTTTGATCAGCGGTTCTCAGACAACCGAGGCGAACGGACACGATCCCAAATGGAGAGGTGCAGGCCCACAAGAGACCAATGAGGAGCGTGCTGGCAAGAGAAGACGTATCTGATTGGTTTACGAAGAAGTTTAGGGGGATACTCAGCAAAGAAGAATCCAGGTAGCGAACAGATACCACGAGTAGCAGTTGATGATAGCCAATAACGCCATCATGACTTAATACAAGATCTCTATTTGCATTGAAGAGCATCAACCTTGAATGAGAAGGCACGAGAAATCGGCTTACTGCATTCGGCTAGACCTTGTTCGCTTGCTCCTTCCTTCTTGTTTGGAAAGCTCTCGTTAATTCTCGTCGTGTATTACTCTAAATGATCTCTGGCGAGATTCATTCTCCCAACGACATTGGAGCATTGCAAAGGAAGCCATGAAAGATAGGATAGTAACAATATTCTATTCGAGCATGATATCGTAGGTATCGTATACATCGTAGCGTAGTGCATGCATCAGCACACAGCTGAATCAGGCATCAGACCAGTTACTTGTCATTAGCCATCAGACTTAAGAAGACACCCCAACCAACACCGATGATACCACCAAAGACTGTACGGTGCTCGAGAGGAACAAGCGTAAAGCTGGTGATAGAGACGAGGGGCCAGAGCTTCTGGCCGGCGAACAGAAGGGGGAAGAAGTCNNCTGCATGATTGTCAGTGGGACATGTTGGAATAGGTGAAAGAACAGAATATACCTTCTGCAGTGCGGACAGAGCGGTCTCAAGAGACTGTCCCTTCAGGAAAGCGATGCCGACAATGAACAAAGCGTTGTTGACAGCCGCACCAAGAGTTTGATCGAGAGCGAATTTAATGGCAGTGTTCTTGATGCTCAGAGCCTTTGGGCTGGAGGAAACAGGAGGCTGGGCAAAGGTTGTGTCAATCTTCTTCTCGACAGCTTGGCCATCGGGAGTGCTGAAGGTCTGGGAGCGAGTGGGAGGCTTGGCCATATGAGACTGGTTGATGCCGGCGCGAGCCTCGAGCTCCTNTGCCTTTGCCTTGACTGTATCGACGCCCTCGCTAGCGCGGCGTCTGGCGTTCTTGACAGCGTCACTGTCTGCTAGAGCAGTGGTGGCTGCCGAAGCCTTCTGTAAACCCGGGCTTGCCGTCTCTTCAATGCGCTGCAGAGTGGGAGCGGCGGCGTCGAGGGCGGCTTTGACTTGAGGCTGTTGAGCGATGCTCGCGACGGTACCAGCATCATCGGGTGAGGTGTAGCCGGGGAAGGTGGATTCCAACCAGGACTGCCAGAGGTAATTGGGCGGGCATGAGAGGAGCGAGAAGGCTACGAAGGTGACCAACGGGCCTGTATCGAGGCTGTAGCCATNGCTGCACGACAACGTCAGTCCGATCCAGTAGGGTCACGAGGGGCCATGGCCTCATGCACTTACGCCTGCACGGTGACAAGAGATGAGCTGGGCGAGGGTATTTGAGACGGCACTCAGAATGGCTGCTTGGATGGTTGCTTTCACGATTGGCTCCATCTTGACGCGACTTAGGATGACGAAACGCGGTTGTATAAATGCTGGCGTGTCTTTGTTACTTAAGCGAGGTACTGAAATGTGTAACACAGGCCGAGGTGATGAATAGCGAGATGCGACAGTCGAGGTGTAAAGTATGAAGATTCCGAGCTCAACTTTGGCGAAGACGAAGATTAATCTACCGTGGAAAAGGAAGTTGCTTCCATCGTCATTCCAACTGTTTTCGCGTGGGTGAAGCCCACTCTCAAGCTTTGCAACAAATTCTATCACAGGCCACGCATATCGCTTGCTACAAATGCTTTAGATCGTACTTCTTCACGGACTAATATACAATTGATTATCAACCGCGTCAATGGTCGACGCTTCGCCAGATTATTGCCCATTACAACTCACTTAGTGAATCACGACCGCGACATGATCATCCACTTGAACGGTAATTATTAGCTTGAGAACGCTTCATCAACATCTGGAAGTGGAACTTACTGTACTTGTTGATATCTCCCAAGAAGCAGGCTGCGATGATGGACACAGCTCCAAAGGCAATCGACACATAGTACACATACTTGTATGCCTCTGCATATGCCAGTTGCCCAGCATACACAACCATCTCGTAAGCTCCGGGCACACCCTTGATTCCTGGAAGCGTTTGCAACTCTGGCAAAAGACTCGCACCTGTAAGTTCAATCGCCGCCTTGATGACAGCCGGGCTCGTGATGTTCAACTTGTAAATCATCGTTCCGCCGATATAGTGCGTGGCTGAAGGCACAAACTTGTTGATGAATANCCTAAAAGCGAAGGTACAATTAGCAAAATATCAAACGTTGGTTGTGGACACCTTTACATTAAAATAGACACAGTACCCAATGGATCCACCAATTACGCGAATGGCCAGAGTCAATGCTGCTACAGTAGCGATGAGGTCGTCCGGACAGATGANTTGCTTGAAGAACTTTAGCAGACGTCAAATGCAGATCATGTTTTATTCGGACTTACTGGTAATAATCGAGGCAGGCACAACAATGCCGCCAATACCGAGGCCTGCAACAACAAGGATTCCCCAGAGCTGGTTCAAATTGTCCACACGAGCGATTGAGAGGGCTCCACACCCAGCTGTCATAAGGACCGAAGAAACGATCATCATCGCCTTGTTGTGGCCACGGAATACTGAGAGGAGCCATAGGACGATGCAGGCTCCAACCAAAATAGAGAGGCCAACCGGAAGTCCACGAAGGCCTACACCNNACTGTCGGATGGTCAGTACTGGTCATATACGCTTCGAAAACTTCTCTTACACAGGATCGTGTCCATAGACGTTGCTGTGAGGAAGTCAGCATTGATTCTACACATTTTTAGGGTCGTTTTGAGGAGAGGTTGTACAAGCNNTTTGTGTAGGCCACATCATGAGTATACTAAAGAAGTTCGCACCACTTATAAAGGTTATTACCAAAGTAAGTGCGAGGATCCGTGGTTCTTGACGGAGGCGCTTAGGAAACATCGGATGTTTGGCACCGTAAGCCTCCCAGAAGCAGAAGGCGATGAGAAGAATGGCTCCGAGGATTAAAGGAGCCAGGACATGAGCACTGCTCCATGGATATTGGTATCCCCCCATTCTNNTGATACATCAGCTTGGTCTAGAACATCCTGGGTTCGGTAACTTACGCATGCCAGCCATGAACAGTATCATACCGCTGACGCTAAGAAGGCCTCCAATGTAGTCGACTTGCTTGAGGATTTCTGCCTTCGAGAGTCCCTGAGAGTTGACTCGAGGAGGTGGGAAGTAGAAGACCGCGGTCAAAACGACNNTATCGATCGGTTAGTAGAATTTCTTCACGGCGGAGTTTGAGCATATCCTACGGCCAATGAACGCCCAAATGGCACAGAGTGCACCAACCCACCGCCATGAGGAATGGGCAGCTATCAGCTGGCCCCAAAGCACACTGGGGCAAAATGGAAGGATGGTGAAGATGAGTATCGCCACATACTTGCCCCTCTTTGCGGTAGGAGCAAGTTCACTTGTGGCAGCTAGAGCAGTGAGCTCGTTGATACCAGCACCTATGCCTGCGAAGACCATGCCGCCGACGAAAACGTTCATGGTGTGGGCAGTGGAGCAGATGATCATTCCCAATACAATGAAAGCTGCGCCGACAATCGCGACGTATCTTCGGCCGAAGATATCACTGAGCGAGCCGACGAAGGGACAAACTGCAGCCAGGGACAGAAGATTTGCTAGGACGAACCAGATCCAGCGATCGGCGCCTCCAATATCTGCATAGATGTAAGGAGGGANTCTGAACATCAGCACGGCACTAGTCGCAAAGGTCAATCGACTTACTCCTCCAAAAAGGTAGACCGGAATTTGAGAACCAGTCCAGAGAAACGCCATGGCGACAAGACTCATCATACGATTGAACGACATAGGAGGCTCGGTATAGTGGTCTGAATAGATCAGTCGTGGTCGTGTTAGTCAAGACGAAGGACACATACCCTGATCATCGTTATCAATACGGAGGCCATCTTTGTCAAGGTAGCCAGCATGGCCGTGCTCAGAGTCTCTCGTTTGAACACGCTCAATGTGCTGAGTAGCTTCTTTGTCTCCAGAAGGAGACTCAGAACCATTGGAGTCCCTATCGAGCTCGGTATGACCAGCCATGGTACCAGAGCAGAGAATATAGAATGTGGGGGCTTAGAGGTTGATGTTGTGGTGTCTGGGATGGATTTCCGATTGACTGGGAGGAGCATGTGCTTTCTTATATTCGAAGGAAGCGCCCAAGTCTGGCTCTGCAACTACTTCAGACGGCATGACACGAGACCAAGAACGACAAGGAAACACAGACGAGTATGCGGGGATGCAGGTGCTGATTGGTAGATCAGTAGCAATATTGAGGGCGAAACCGTTGCTCGCAGTTTTTGGAGATGTGAGCCGAGGCTTGACTGGTACAAGCAAGGTGTATCATCAATAGTAGAAGCTTATTAGAAAGAAGACTTGGTAGATTCAGCGCCACACAATATCCTCCAGAGTGCCAGGTACACATATTCAAATAAATTTAGGATATCTGAATCACATATGATTACTCTGCAGAGGCTTGAGATGTAGCTGACCAAGACCGACTATCTGACGACTTGACAAACCATACATGCTACCTAACCGTCTATTTCTGTTTAAAAAGAGAGGTGAAGCCTGTTGATCTGTGTAGCAAAGTGTTAGGCAGGAAGCGGAGCACATGCGGGGAGACCATATTTCCCCGCGAAGGATTGGCTTTTGTGGGGGAACTGGGCTCGTGCCTCGGCCCTAAGTTCAAGACATGCCTCGACGTTGAAGACCTTCCTTAAACATACGGAGATCGCATGGTATTTTGCGAATCAGAAGCAGCCACCGGAGGAGGGTACGTCTGAAGTCCATATGTGCACTATCTGAGCCATTCTGATGCGCAATATATCATCCATGTGGTTGGCGTTACCATCTTACTCCTTCAATGTTGGGAGTATAAAATATATATGATCATACATCGAAGAAAGGCCTGTTATTCTGATTGCTCGAAGATCTATGAGGGTGCACGAGGCTCACGACGCTTTAGGTCAAGAGTAAAGGTTAGGAAGGTGCCTCGGAAAGTCTCGAAGACATGCAACTTCAGAATGGTGTGCACGGGATGGATGCTGGAGGCGATGAAGGTAAAGACTCCGGACGCTTTGAGCCTTTGTAGGCGTCGTCTGGTCGATCCACGCAAGCAACCATCGTGTGTTCATGCCAGTTCAGATTATGGCAGCTAGAATAGGTCGCCGGCCTTTGACTTGTCAACGGGCTTGGCAAAAGTAGCAACTGACGTCGGATTTGATCTAGCTTTCTAAGAACGACTTCACGTCAAACACGTCTTGCAACTTTCAAACTCGCACAGAACGTCTTTCACAATGGGCGAAAACAAACAGCTCTCAGCACTTGTACTCGTTGCAGATGGCTCCGAGGAGATTGAGACAGTCACACCCCTTGAGTAAGATATACATATCGATATGAAGGCTGAGTATAGTGCCTCGGCTGACTTGAACAAAGTGTTTTGGTGCGAGCCGGATTCACAACAGTCAAATCTGTGGGTGTCAACCTTAAGAATCCTCTTTACGCCCAGTGAGTAAATGTGCCGTTGTCACTCCGTCGATCTGCCATCTGGTCTGGTTCGTGTGTATTGGATAGGCAAAGGCAAACCGCTTTCGTGAAGGTTAGAGAATTGCCAAAACATTCCGTCCTCCACGGGAGAATTGATTCACATCGACAAGATCTCGGCACTTGGCGAGAAGTATCGATGACCCGGCTATCACGATACAGCAAGTCGAGTCGTATTTGCCCAGGGATCCCTGGGCAAGCGTACTCTTAGCTGTTGTGTATTGATCGTGGATGTGTGGTCTTACGGGATCGCTGTCTAGTACACAGAAATCATGCCTGCTGCACAAAAGAAGGTCCATACCAGTTTGGGCTTGACGAGAACTACGGCTATCCTTTGCTTTATTACCAGATCGACACTCTTAGCCTCGGACGACTAACGTGTGTCACAGATGCTCTCGTGGAATCAAAATCATCCCAGACATCCCCTCGCCACACGAGATACCTGATCGTCTAGTCGATGGTGCAGACATCCTGATTCTGCCAGGAGGTGCACCTGGAGCCAAGACCTTCTGTCAGAGCGAGGAGGTCTTACGCTTGATCCGCGAGTTCCGCAACGAAGGAAAATGGGTCGCGGCGATCTGTGCTGGAACTACAGCGCTTGTCGAGAGTGTCAAGTCACCTCATGCTGAGGGCGAGGCTTCTAAGAAGTGCAAGGTCACGTCACACCCATCCGTGAAGCAGGAGATTATGGACGCTGGCTGGTCTTACGCAGACGACAGCGAAAGGGTTGTAGTCGACGGCAAGGTCATCACAAGTCGTGGTCCAGGTACTGCGTTGCTCTTCTCGCTTACAATCGTTGAGAAGTTGGCTGGAAAGGCGAAGAGGGACGAGATTCAAGGCCCAATGATCTGTGCTGAGACTCTGTGAACAAGGCAATAGGAAATAGAGTGGGGCCAGTAACTTTGATATGGACGTCAAAAGATAGTACAAGCCTGAGAAAGCTACATTCATGTCAAAAGAGGCCAATGTAGTGGTGACTAGAACTTGGACCATAGAGTGAACAGAAACGTGGAGTCATTTAATTTTCGAAATGCATTTCAGAGGCCTATCATGAACGCATTTGTGGGTGCGCCTCCAGACGTGTGCGGGGGCGGCTTTTTGATAATTTCCCTTTGGCATGAGAAGTGCGAAAAAGTCGGTATAAGTAACGAAGATGCATTTTCCCATGCCGTGCCCTCAGCCTGCGCCTAAACGACAATCAAACCATCAACCGCGAGAACCCAGCTGCTTAGCGGGACTTGGCGGCGACCTTGACGGGTGCACCCTTGGCGCCCTGCTTGCTGGCAATCTTGCCGGCCTGGCCCTTTGCGGCGGAGGCGGCGTTCTTTGCCTTGTTGGCCTTCTTTGCCGACTCGGACTCGGTCTTCTTGGCCTTGCCCTCCTTGATGGCGGCGGCGCGGGCGGCGGCGCGAGCCTCGGGGCGCTGCGAACGGCGCTCCTTGATCACATCGAGCGAGGCACCAACGATGGCACGCTGGCTCTTGACGGTGCGGCGAGTGCGCTTCTTGGCGACCTCCTGTATAACGAAAGTCCATCAGTCACTGTTCTTGTTCTTGTTCTGTATGTGTTTGCGCAATCCAAGCAGCGGCAGCCGTGGGCGTATATTGGTAGTTGTGGTTTTCGGAAGGAGGCGCGCGGGCCTGCTGGTTGGCGGAATGGGCGACGGGGCGAAAGGGCGACTGACCTCTGAGATACCCTTCTTGTGCTGTCTGCGGTAAAGGACGGTCCAGGAGATCTTGCGGGGGTTCTTGCGCTGGAGGAAGAGCGACTCGGACTTGCCGTTCTGGAAACGGAAGATCTTGCTGTCACCACGAACGTAGAGCTTGCCCTGTTGCACGTAACCCAATCAGCCTCGTGTTCTTGTCCATCTCTTGTTTTTTCCTCTTCATCGTCGTCGTCGTCGGCGGGGAGGGGCAGCGATTCGCACCTTGCCAGGGTAGATCTTCTGGCCGGAGAAACTGTCCTCGTAGACTCTCATTTTGGCGGTTGTGTATCGTTGGGTGAAATTGTCGTCTCGTCGATTCGTTCAACGCGTGTTGCGAAGCTGCTGCGTTTGAAAATGGCGAGTGCGTTTTGGACTAGCCGAGGATTTTCCAGCCTTGGCGCTCTGTGCCTTCCGCTTCCGTTCCAACTTCGTCCTTGCACCACCTCAGCCTCGGACAGCAATAATTGAATGCACGACTCATCGATCTTTCACTCTGCTCACAAGTATTCATCAAGATCTCTGGAGGCACATTGTTCATGTGATGCATCAACAAATCCGAAAATTTCATACATATATCTACTGATAATCATATCTCATCTTACCATTAATGCGTCCAACTCTCTTCACTTCCCTCTTGTGTTCAGATACACATCGAGCGCGCTCGACATGTTACTGCCAGAGCTAACTCTGCTGCGTACACTGCCTCGCGCCACCAGTGTCTCGCTCGTCGCTGCTTCCTGACATCCGAGTCCAGGTGCATGGGATACCTGGCAAGGGCAACCGTTGAGCATGCCTCCCGTTTTGAGCACCGCTGACAGTGCCGCTTCCAACAACTTGTTCCTGCGCTCGAGTGCCTCCATCCTTGCTTCAATCGTGACAGGGCTGCTTTCGCCTGGCTGCAACTTGAACCTGGCCGTCTTTGCACTTGATGGTGGTGATGGGAATACCATACTGCGTACACTCTCGTCGGCTGGTGGTGCAGGTAAGTCTTTGGCTGAGCTGGCCCTCGCTAATCCTGCATCTACCGTGTCCTCTGATCGCGAGGTGCCATTGCTTTTAGCGCGTGGAGTGGGTGGCAACTCCTTCTTTGGAGGTGGTGACGGCAATTCTGGCGTGGTCGGCTGTCGACTCTTCTTCGAAGCACTGCCTGCCCGTGAAGGTGTCGAAGCCACACTCTTTGACCCTCGACTACGCTTGCTTGTCTTGCCTCGTGGCACCGGACTGTTCCTGCCTCTTGCGCTTGGGGTCACGCGTACATGACTAATCCTAGGCGAGGGCGAAGCAGTCGTAGCGATGATTCGATAGTTTTCCGAAAAGTCGCCTATGCTCGTTGTGCGCTTAATGGAAAGTGGACTTGTACAATATCCATCTGGCTTCTGGTCGCGTTCAAGGGAGTGCTGTGAATGCGAACTGCTCAAGTCAAGCGGCCGCGGGCCCTCTGGTCTGGCTCTGCGGAGTCGGCGGCGTGATGTGTTTTGCTGCGATGCTTTGACCATGGCGTCGATGAGTTCGAGAGGCTTCGAAGAACTTGCCTTCGAATGGGTCGTGTTTGTGCAAAAGACATCACTGCTGGTTCCACTGCTGCCTGGCCGAAGGAAGGAAGGTAGGTCATCGTCCCTTTGCTCTCGAGCAGCGTAGATCACGGCCGCTTCTTTTGTCACACGGATTGCTTGCTCTTCGTTTACTGGTTTCTTGTCTTTCACGTATGTGTCGGGACTGCTTTCCGCAATTGACCTGCCCAACATCTCGCCTAGAGACTCCGACGGTATCGACAATCGCAATGGACTGCGGGGAGGTGGAGGTCCAGGGCTGTTTGAGACCGATCTTACACCTTGTCGTGAAGGATGCAGCAAACGATGACCAGTCACATCACTAGAGGTTCTCTGGAGCACTGATACATTGCCACTTAGTCTTCTGGGCCTTGGTTGGGCAAGAGCTGCTGATTTGACCGGGTCGATCGCAGGTGGGCTGCCTTCCTCCTCTGGCAAAGTTGGAGGTGGCATGCTTGGTACTGGCCCAGGAGTTACTGGATGGCTTCGGAGAGGTGCTGTTTTCCCGCGTATCACACGAACGTGTCTGTCACCTCCTGAAGTCATTGTACGGGCCTTTGTGCCAAGAAACAAGGGACGCACTGGAGCTGCTTTGCGGTCAAGGACGCTAACGATTTCCTCGTGTGGTAATGTTTGGGAGATACGTTTGATAGGCCATCCTCTGAGTGCTTCTGGTCCTTCGTGCACTTGAGAGGTGGTGTCCGATGCAGGGGCTTCGAAGCCCAAGACCCAATCGTGGAGGCTGTCTGTGCTGAGCTGATCTGTAACGAGAACGGAGACCCTAGACTCAGCTATCGCAGGACTGTTGACACGTCAGTCGAGTTTTGATGCGTTGCGTGTCATGAACGTACCTTTTGCTGGAGTGTCAACCTTCGCCTTCTGGTTGGCTGGTTCAATTTCAAAATACTTCTTGCCTGCAACACTGATAAGCTCAAGCTATGGCACACCCTCAATCTTTGACTCACCAGTTTTGGACACTTTCGGAACTACGACGTCTGGCAGTCTTTGCGCTGTTGGTAGCAAAGACTTCTTGGACGTCTGAGAGGTGTCATCTGCGGGCTGGGTTTGGAACTCAGGAACTTCTTTCTCCTCTGAGATGACTTGGTTAAGCCTNNAGAGACGATCAGTGCCGGCACCTTAGGTGTATAGAGCTCGCTTCACAAACCTCATATGAGCTGCGGTTGTTGAATTTGAGGGATGTCTACTACTGCTTTTGAAGATGCGCATGGCAGACGAGATCCGTTTAGACTTGGCTTCTTTCGGTGGAGGTTCCTTCACAGGCCCAGTGGTCTTGAGAAAGTAGGCCATCTGATAAGATGGATTCGATGGAGGCAAGACGAGAAGGTTGGTTTGGGTCATCATCCTGTCGACGAAGGGATTCCTGCTTTCTTCGTCAGGACCAATCTCAGAGGATGATGGACGAGTCGTATCCTGCGACTTTACGTCTGCTCGAGAGCTAGCATAGCTGACGCCATCTCCCGTACTGCTCCCCTCACTCGCAGGTACATCAGGATTCAAGGGTTTGGCTGAGGAAGCTGGCAGCATGACAGGGACCGCCATACCGGTTGGACCGAACATTGCTGAAGACTGATGTAAGTTGCCGACCTTTTGAAACTCGAATGCTCTGGGCGTGTGATTGGCAAATGGAGGTACAGGTCTGCGTCGTGAGATGGCGGAAAGGTGCATCTAAGATGAAGAAGGCCGAAATCGAGAAAAGAGCTCTGGGACTCTGTCCACAGTGGCCAGTCAGGTAACACAGATTGGAGAAAAGCACAATACAACAGATAAATTAGAGAGCAGAGGTCTAATGCAGTCGGTCGAGCCGGCAGAGTAAATAACAACAATCACGGTTAACACAAGTCGTCGTGCAAGGGAAGAGCACCAGGTCCTTACAGCAATGATGTGCGACAATCGATGCATGGAGTCGGGGATCTTACCAAGAGACAGGTCAGTGGATGCAGCAACCCTGGCTACTGAGCGTTATGCGTCTCTGAGTTGGCGCGGCGCTTGTCATGCAAGAACTCGCTTTGGGGCTGGTCGTGACAACAACGTCGGCACCTCGAACCGACCACTCGAATACTGTGCTAGCAGTTCCAACATATGGAACAATACGTATACATAATCCAAAAACGATGGTCCGTCTGAGCTAGGTGATCATTCGCAGAAAGCAAAACAGAATCGATTAACGAGAATGACTGTGCTGTATACCAGAGACCGTTGTCGCCCTGACAGATGTGGCTGGCGCACTCGTGATGCTCATGATGTTCGGGTTTCACTGGCGTGCATGTNNTGCATGTAGGATGCCGCGACAATGAACGCAAGGACCNAGAGGGACTGGCTCGGAAAAATCCCAGGGTATTACAACAGGAGTAGGCCATCGAATAATAAGGNNACGCACGGCTTTCAGTGCCTCGAACAAAGGTCACGGTCAAGTGTCACACGTGGAAGCAAGGGTGGAGTCTGAGGGTGGAGCCAATACACAATCTGCTCACTTACCNTTTCTCCAAGCCTTGTAAATCGAATCTCGTGTCATGCAAAAGNNAGTACATATCAAAAGAATAACGCCGCGCTAGCCTTGTCACGCCCCAAAATGCTCCGCGATGTTAGCCCAATCAATCCCTCCTCGGCTTTCTGGTAGGCTGAGGCATGAAGGGGTCCGCTGGCTTCTTCCTCTTACGAATAATCTGAGGTGTCGTCGTGGTCGGTAGTAGATATGTTTTTGGCTTGGCAGCAGCCGGTCCCGATGCGACGGATGCTGAAGCAGAAACAGGTTCACTGTTCACTGTTGGCGTGGAAGCGCCACTCCGGGCGGACTCTGCATCAGCCATTTCCACATCTTCGTCGCCTTTCTTCGTGCGCATACTGGCAAGTTTATCCTCCAACTTGACGCGCACCCCTTCCATGGCTTGAACATCGGTTTCTTTTTNGACCTTCTGACCATCGACTTCTTTTCTGGTGTTGGTACTGTTATCTTGCGCTTTACTGGCAGTGGCTCCAGTACTGCCATTCTGCTTGGCGGCTCCGTTGCCATTCGAGACTGCCACCTTCGAGTGCTTGATTTGAGAACTCTTCTTGGCAGGGAAGCTCGAAGAGTGTGCTTTGAGCATGCCATGAAGATTGCCTGTGATATAACAATTGCGATCCCGAGCGTCATCCAGAAGCGTCTTCCAGACCTCGCCCCTCATCAGACTGTCTGAATTACCAAGGATCCATAGACTGGACTTTGCACGAGTGATACCAACGTTCAAGCGACGAACATCAGACAAGAATCCGACACTGCCTGTGGCAGATGCACGAACGCAAGAGAAGATGATAATCTCACTCTCACGACCCTGGAACGCATCCGTCGTATTGAACTCGATGCTTTCCGTGATGTCAAGGCCATACCGAGCTGAGAAGCGTTGCTTCAGTTCTCTGAGTTGCGATTTGTAAGGCGTGATGATACCAATCTTGTTCTTGAAGTCATGATCACGATAGTCACTGATGAGCCTCTCGTAGAGAAGCATGGCGATCTCAATTTCCGCCAGATTGATGAGAGAGTGTCCCTTGGGCGCGGCTTGGTGCTGACCTTGAACGTCGAAGAACCGGTATGGCGCAAGCAAATCACTGGCGTGCCAAGGCTGTTTCCGAAGACCTGCCATGTTATCTCCATCCAACAAACGTCCTTCGTAGAAAGCTGCGCTAGGGAAGGCACTGATGTCGGGGTGCATACGGTACTGTGTATCCAGCAGGTGCACCGCTTCCGGATGGTTGTTCTGCATTCGGACGAACAAACTTTGCTCATATTTGTTGGCGGAGGCGGCTTTCGAGAAGACCGTCGGGGGCAGTTGCCTAGGATCTCCCACGAGAATGCACTTGGCACATCCGTACTTCAGAGGGATCAAGGCACTCATCTCAACGCATTGGGCGGCTTCATCAACCACGACAGTCTCGAACTCGATATTCAAACTCTGGAACATGTCGTGGCCACTACCGCTCAGTGTAGCGCAAATGATGTGAGCATCGTCCAGAATAGACTGTTGTACTCTTTTACGGTTGAGTTCTGCCGCTCGACCAGCTGAGTTTTCGTTGTCTTTGGCGTTGTCGATCTGAGTTCCCAATTTGGTTTTGCGATTTCGAAGAGCGTTGAACTGATCTTGAAGTTGCGAGAGCTCTTTGCCCTTGACTTCCCCGCTGTCCAGCTTCGCACGGGTCAAACGAACCTGCTCAGAAACGTTTTGATGCTCTTTCATCAGTTGCTGAGTCTGTTCCCTTGCCTGCTTATCATTGTTGGTAGAACCCAAGCGTTTGTTGACAAGCTCTTCCATCGTTACGTCGACGACAGAACTGTTGACAGCATCGCTACGACCGACACGAACGACATTCACCTTTCGGTGGACACCTTTGAGCGTCTTGATGCCTTCCTTGAATCTCATCACGAGTTCGTCTACAGCCGCGTTACTGGGCGCACACACCAGAAGCTTCTTTGATGCAGTCGTGTTGGTCGGGAAAGTACCACCTCCTCTGGGAACCTCAATCTTGCTACCCAGCTGCTTGTCGGAAAGACTATCACTGAGCAAGGCACCCACGATCGCCACGATTGTTTTGGTCTTGCCGGAACCCGGAGGGCCCTGAATCAGAGTGAAGGCATCATTTTGGACAGCAGACTGAACAGCCTTGGCTTGTGCTTTGTTGAGTGTGTAATTGTTGACGATAGGGGCCAATTGCTTGTCGGTATAGTCCAATAAAGGAGAGGGTCTAGCTTTAGTGATCTCATCACACAAGTCGTAGTACTGCAGACCGAGCAAGGCGCCGTATTCGCGTTCCAGAGGCGTAATAGACTGGACTTTAGTACCATGTATGACAATGCCGGGCACAAGGTGGGATATCAAGCTGTTGTTGCTTCCCGGCATGACACGATACGTGACCTCTATGTGTTGTTTTTGGCGGCGTGTACGGTAAACCTGAGCGAAACAATGGGCTGCATCCGCATCCGCAGTGGGATTGTTGGACATCGAGAACAGTATGATATCACTCTCCGAGATCTGTATCTCCTTGTTCTCAGCATGAGTGACAGAGCTGCTGATTTCGATGAAAGCGTCAACACTGGATCTGTTCACAACCTTGATCTCGTAGGGCTTGGAAGAACTCTCTTCCCTTGATTTAACAAAACCTTGCCAAGCTTCGAGAATGAGCAGTGGGCGGAATGTCTCCTGGTAATCAGCAACATGGCGGAAAGAGTTAGCAACCTTTTGGAATTGCCAGTCTTTTGAACTCGGTGGATAATCGCCTTCATAGAAGAAGTCCCAGCCCAGAATTGTCTTGTGTAGGGGCGTAAGGTCTGGCGCGAGTCGAGCTCGCATGTCCTTGGCAGAACGGACACGTCTCTCAATTCTGACAGGTTGATTACGCTGTTCGCGTTTCAAGCCAATGGCACCAGCAGCATCGCTCTTCACGGTATCAGCTCGCTTCTTGGTGGGCTTGACGCCGAAAAGTTCTGCATCCAACTGGTCGTCTTCATCATCGCTGCTCTCATCCGAGGAGACCATAACACCTTGACCCTTGGTCGAGTGATCTTTTCCTTCCAGACCAATGCCTTGTAAACCTGAGCCTCCCTCCCTTTTAGCAGCAGCAATAGCCGCAAGGTCTCTCTTGCGTTTAGCCTCCTGTTCTTGCTGGCGTTTAAGCCTGAAGTTGTTAGGGTCTTGCTGTGCGATTGGAGTTCTGGTCGGCAAAACAGACTTCTTAGCAAAGTCACCGCGTGCTTTGAGCATCTCAGCGGTTGGCGAAACGCTCGAGATAGCCCTCTTAAGAGCAGACTCGTCTGCGGCAGCTCTCCAAGTTTCCATATCCAACGTTCTCTTGGGCTTGCTTGCTGAAGGTGTGTCTGTCGTGCCTAGTCCAGATGTAACCCAGGATGCAAGGGAGCCTTGCCTCTGAGGCTTAGATATCTCAGTCGCGGTCTGCTCTTGGATTTCAGATCCAACACCAATGTGGGTTTCGAGTGCCCGACGCAATTCGGCTTTTTGAGACATGCTGAGTCTCGTCTTGACGGTCCCATTAAGAACGTCGTCGACATAGATTGTAGAGTCCTCGGGAAGTCGCAGGTCGACTGATTCAAGACGCTTCATGATCTCGCAGGTGATGCTCACGGCCTTGCTGATCAGATACTCGTCTCTCAGGCGTAGCCACTTTGTAACGTGACCGGATGCCTCTCTGGGCATCTGGAGTAGTCNCTGCTCGACCTCTTGGGAAGTTTTGTTGTCGCCGGATGCAATGTTGGCATCCCGCAACGCTCCTGCGATGACGCTGTACTGGTTGAAAGCGTAGTCTGCAAAGTCCATGGCGTCTCGGCAGAATTCGATCATTAAGTTCTTGTCATGTCCGGCAAGACTCCATTGCTCAGTATACCTGAACATGCACCCTATGACACTCCACAGAGCTTGCCATGTGTTTTCGGTGGCCTGAACTTCCTCTGTGTTGAGTTTGCGGGATCGCAGGATACCATCTTGAGTACTGCAGAGGCAGTCGAGAACGTCTCTACCTAGTTTAAGCAGGGTCCTACATGGTGAGAACATGTGGCTCCGAGCCACACCACGAAGAGTCGATGCGATGGATCGGAGTGTCACCACGAAGAAGTTCTCCATGAGGTATTTTACAGCTTCTCTACGAGAGTCCTGGGAGCCCATGCTCTTGATTACGGTTGCCGCCGATTGTTGGATCTCAGCATGGCCAGAGAACACTGCATAGAAGAGGCTTTGAGACGCTCCGGTGCTGATCATCAGGCTTTGAAGTTCTTTGGGCTCGAAGTCTTGTAACCTCTCAAAGAGTTCGGTGATGTAAGCCGAAGCGCGCTCAAATCCATTATTCCAGCTCTCGGCATGCTTCGGAGCGTTGGCAGATTGTTTGGGGGCAAGCGGTTCCAGAAGCATAAGACGGCTCGTGCCAATCAAGATAGCTGACGTAAGAGATATATCACCCAGCTTTACACTTCTCACTGCTGCCTTCCAAATGGCCAGTGACGAGACGTTCAGATCGAACCCAAGAGATTTCTGTTGCAAGATCGCGTCACGTATGGATGCCAGAGAATGGCAGTCGAGCGATAGAGCATTTCGAACAACATCAAGACCAAGCTCTGTCTCGCGCGAGTGCGCCGGGGAATCTTTGAAACTGTGCAAATTCTCGAGGATCGTCATGACATGCACACGAACGAGCTCAAGTAAGTCTGCCACAGTGGCGCTGCCTGCACTGGTCTGGTTCATGATCTCCATTGTAGTGTTCATAACCTGTAAACCTTTATGCCAACAAACTGTCTGCGCATATCGCGAGTACTTTTCTGATTGTAGTCTTGACATGAGTTGCTGTAGTACGGCACGACATGCAGGAGCCAGATTTGCAGGCTTGATGGATTGCACAAAAGGATCAATCCATTCTAGGAGGGCCTCGAGCTGTAACGGCTTGTTTTCCTCGGTTGTCATCATCGGGCTTTCAATGGAAGGGCTGTTCAGAATCTGTTCTACGACAGTCTGTGGGGGAACAGCAGCTAGAGCCTCCCAAACGTCTGTTGGTGATTTCTTCAATAGAGAAGTGAAACTGCTGACAATGTTTCCATAGCCATCGAACAGAAGTTGAAAATGATCGAGGGCTAGCTTGTAGATGTCCATGTCCAGGGCTCGGAGGTGATGGGTGATGAGGGGTTTGTCGAGTTTCTCAATAATGACTTTGGCGCCTTCCCAGAAAATGGGCAAGAAATCGCGATCGATGTTGACAGGGACGACACGGCCCATAGCAGCGTTCAAAGTATCTCGGACTGTCCAGTCGAATTCTGTTCCAGTAATGGGACGCTTGAACTTCGTCCAGCCCCTGAGAGCCCAGGCAGATCTTTCCTTGTTTTGACTGAACAGAAAAGATGTCAAGGCTGGTGTGTATTCCGGTAAGGTGATCTTCTTTCTTGTTTGGACAAGACGGAAGGGCTTATCGAAGTGTTGTTGAAGGAGAGATTCGTTCTGTAGAAACGCTGTGCAGTGCATCGACTCGAAGAGGGCATACATCTCTTCCTGGGGCAGACTGGCAATGGAGCGTTCCTGAGGAGCGAGATCGTGAAGAGTTTGAGTGGCACTATCTAGGCCGGTGGCAATGCGTTCGGTGTTCATCTGATCAAACACTTGCATGAAGGAAGCCACTATATCAGCATCATACTGGCCTTCGAGATCGTGTTTCAGCTCTTGTCGTCCGCGATGGTACTCGCGTACACAGACAGTGCAGCGTTGTAGCTGGAGTTTGAGCAAGCTCTTGAGAGCAGAGCCCAGCTGTACAGCGGCTTCTCCATCGAAAGCGAGGATCTGGCAAGCCTGCAAGACTTTCTTCTTCAATTGCCGCGCCTTGTCAACCTTTGCATGTCTGGCCTTCTTTTGTGTCTCTGTTTCCTGTGGGACTGGGTTGGGATTGTCTTCGTCGAAATACATGGATTGATCGTCATCGGATGTGCGAGGGCAGAACCAGTGTTGATTACTGGGGAGGGCTTTGAGATCCCTGAGCAGTCAGGTTAGCGCACGACCACAGCGTAGGGCAGTATTTTTATCTTACTCAATTTCCGCCACGACGTCGGCCATTGCAAAGTTTATGAGACGTCGTCCTGACTGCGCATCTGAGTTAAATACTTGAAGTGGAGGCTAGTCAGGATCTCATGACCGCGTGATGGGATGTCGTGGTCTTGGTTGTGCCTTCCTTTCTGAAGGTGCCAGTTGTAGAGAGCAATGGTCAAAGTATTGGCGATGTCAAAATCTCTAGGGCCGAAAGGTGCGATATCGACAGTTGTGGTGCGGAAAAGTGCGGTTTCGAAAGGTGTGGTGTGAAAATGTGTGTCGTCGGAAGTTGTAGTCGCACTGTCAACATTCACTTTGGTTGCTCGAGGGTCTTTGCTGCCACGACGATGATGGAAGAAGAAACACGCCGAACGCACGTTCACGCGCTCTTCGTGTTTGGTACTAATAATGCGTCCGCTTTGAGCAGCAATGCATGACACGAATTTGGGCCAGCGACACCTCGACTTGTTCACTTTCACTTCAACTATTGAGCAACAGATGACCGATCAATAGAATGCAAAGATTGTTGTCTGACTGTTGCATAGAAGCCTCCTGCCACTTTGGAAGATTTAGCTCCTACAGGTTCGACACGTTAACGATATCCTCCCTGGCACCTGCTTTCGAGATCTCGGACCCCGTACACGGTCAATATACAACTTCTGGACTGGGAGGCAGTATGTTGTAGACGGATCTACGGATACACGAGGTGGCTCTGGAGGAGATTGCAAAAGCCAACACAAATTTGTCTATCTCTTGCTCTGCGATCTGCCCAAAGGAACACTAACAGGCACACAAGTGAATTCGGCATTCAGCATCTATGGGCTGTGTTTTGACGGTGCGTGCAGTAACGCAGTCATGTACCGGCTTCCGTTTATGGCTTGCCAATGGCGTCTCAATTGTTGCACTAGGTTGGTTGATTTGCCACAGTCAGCTTTCAAGAGAGAATATGGATGGTTCCTCAGTCATAATAACTACAAGGTCACAGCCTTCAAGTTGAGGTTGAACCTTTATGAGAAGAAGAAGAAGATCCAGGGTGATGTGGATAGTGGACGGCATGTCCGTATTTAAGGTGGCTGCATGAGCCGAGTCAATATTGTAGAGTGGTTTGGCGGGGGCGCGGGTGGTGGTCCAAGGCAATTCCCGCGAGTGACTGTGGAGCGAGTGTCCAGCGTGGTTCCTGCCCTTCGGTCTAAACCCTTTCTGCTTCTCATCCTCTGCTTTGAGTATCTCAGGGCTATCACCCATCCCCACGTTACCTCTTTCTGTCGTTAGCATAAACCAAGCTCACAATTATTGCGATGGAGAACCAAGTCACCGACCCACAAGAAGGCAACTCTCCCTCTGCCCACGACGACAGCATTGCGCCCGAACAGAGAGGCATCAAGCGACAGCGCACCTCCAACGCCGCGCCCGCCGACGACGATGACGACGACGACGACAAGCCCGGCCGCGAGAGAAGAAAGATTGAAATCAAGTTCATCCAGGATAAGTCGCGTCGTCACATCACTTTCTCCAAGAGAAAGGCTGGTATCATGAAGAAGGTGCGTCGTTGCCCAATCCTCGCACGCGACGCGACGTGTCGCATCTTCCGTCCCAACTTGGTATTAACTGATGAGCTCCAAATCAGNGCCTACGAATTGTCCGTCCTCACTGGTACTCAAGTCCTTCTGCTCGTCGTGTCTGAGACTGGTCTCGTCTACACCTTCACCACCCCCAAGCTCCAGCCCCTGGTGACCAAAGCCGAGGGCAAGAACTTGATCCAGGTACGTCCCTGCCAACATCAGCTCGTCGGGTGCTGTCTTTACTAATGCTTCCATTAGGCATGTCTCAACGCACCCGAACCTGCCGACTCGAATGGCGTCGATGGCGAATCGACTGTCGAGTCTCCCGAGGACACACACGCCAATGTCCCTGCCCCAGCCGCTGGAATGCAACCTCGCGCCGCTGGCATGCCTCCAAACCAATACGCTATGACACCCGATCAGCAACAAGCTCTGCACTACCAAGCATATCTCCAGCAACAACAGACTGGCGCCTACCCCATGTCTGGTGCACCAATCCCTGGTCGTCACCCCGGACACCAATAGAGGGAACGGTCGCGAAAGACCATACACAAAATCGTCAGCTCTCTTAACATTGCTCCGACATAATGACATGTGCGACGCGGAAACCGAAGAGTGATTTTATTGGTGCCATGGGTTGATGAAAGAACCACCATGCTCGGAGAGCTGGTTGGGCGAGGCGAACTGCGGCGTAGCATCGGGATGGTTTTCTTTTGATTTCTGTTTTATCCCCTTTTCCTTTTCCTTCGCTTCATGCCTTGTTTCCAAGGCTCCATCTTAGTCTTTGCAAGAAAAGGGCACCGATGGTGTCGTTTTCCCATCTACACGGCTGACCCATGGTTTTCTTTGCTTTTCATTTACCAAAAATCAAGAGACAGGTCAGGTCGCCCTTTCAGTCAGTTTATGGGTCGTGTATTATATCCAAAATCAAGATCAAGGACTTGAGCGTTGCTAACAAGATTCATTCGGGCATTTTGCGCAAGATGTGAGAGTCGATGGTTCCATGAGCCACGAAGTCTTAACTGCACCCTCAGGCGCTAAGACATCCAATGCACATAGAACTCGGACTCAATGGCCTTTCAAAACATGTAGTATTCGAACATAGATCATTTTTGTGTCTTGGCAATTTACAGGTCATGTAATAACGTCACATGGAGAGACAAGAAGTAGAGTTTCCGTGAGTTCTTTTCTAGATCTTCCTCTTGTGAAGAGCTACATATATTCACATACGTCTGTAGAGAATCACAACGATCAAGAGAGTCAAAAATCAACACGATTGCGTAGTACGTCAATTCCTTCGTAAAGAACACTATTGAGATCATCTATGTAGCATGCCGGCTTTCTTCATGATTATCTTCGTCTCGCTCCTGGCCTCTCCATCGTGAACGCCACCAATCCACAAGCTGCTTGGATATGCTTTCGTGTCTGTACGCCGCTACGTCGAGTTTGAGCGGTTCTGAGCGACTTCTGAAGTGCGCATGATTCGGAGGGTCGGTTATGGACCTCGACATTTTAGGAGGCCCCGGCCGTCGATTGTCGAGTAACGGGGCAGTCTCGGGCTCAGAGCCTAGAGATTCACGGCGAGGCACAGTGCCATAATAATGTTCCTCGTCGCCCAATTCATCCCAAATGTCTTCCACTTCACGGGCATTACTGCCTCGTCTGCGTCTCTGGCCAATCAGCAAAGCAGAGTCACGTAATGTATGCCTTCGCATCAACGGTGCAGTCTCTGAAGAGCGTCGGCCGTCGTCTTCGTGTTCATGTTCGTCCACGAAGCCCATACCAGGTGCCAAAGCAGAGTGAGGAATCTCGGCTCCTACGGGTACAGCGGCAGCGTCTTCTTCGCTAAGTCGCCAGCTGAGCGCCAGCACACCTGCCAACAACACAACCGTCCCCAGAGCTATGAGACCAGCATACAAAGCTGATAGTTGATCGGCTTGGCGGAAGTATATAAGACCGTCGAGTATTGCGATAATGTTGTAGACGCAAAAGACGAAAGGATACAGAATGCTCGTGCTGACCAGTTTGAGACCCAAGTGGAGGTAATAGAGCTGGGTGAGGGCAAATAGAAGGAAAAGCAGCAACAGGACCCAAGACTGATATCGATCGAACTGGTTCTTGTGGTCGACAATGGTACGCACGAGAAGCTCTACAGCGCTTTTGGCCAAGAGCAAAGCGTGGGCAGACAAGACGCCGGATACAAGGCCGTATGCCATACCACGCAGTAACCTGAAGCGTGGTCTTTGTATTTGCTGGGCAGTCATGAAGAAGGAGGTAGTGGAATCGGCAAGCAAGATTGCAACGACCAGAAATAGGGTCAGGGTCATCCAGACAACGAAGTTCGGATAGACCAGCAGTTTCAAGAGTTGATCGAGGGAGTGTGAGGGTTCGGGGAGAGCGGAGAAACGCGATATTAAAACAGCACCAGCGGCGACAAGAAGGGTACCCAGAGCAGTACGACGAGTAAAAGGCTCATGGAGGAGTAGTGTAGCCATTAGGGCGTTGAAGACGAGACCCGAGGCTTGTAGGGTACTAAGCAATGGTAGAGGCAGAGTTGTGATCTGAATCGAGGAGCCGACGATATTACTGAGGAGGAAGAGCAACATGCCGAGTTGCCATCGTCGGCGGCGGTATGGGGCGCGGCGGGGGAGGTGCTGGTCCTTTTCATCCTCGAGCATGTGTGACTTGCGCTGCAAGGTAAGGCCGACAGACTGGACGCATGTCGATATGAGGCCGACGACGATTCCCAGCTAGATAATCAGGTCAGGCAAGTGGTCGGAGTGGCAGAGGTGTAGACGCGACTTACGCCAAGAGTGGCACCGGGCGACAGCGAGGCCATGGTTGTTGACGGGAGAGATGGAGTCCGGGGAAGGGAAAGCGGTGTGTTTATCAGGACGACGGTCGCAGCGACATGGTTGTGCGAGGGAGTTGGTAGCAGGGAGACTAGACCGAGGGCCTTGCAGTTGTTGTTGTCTGGCGGTTAGGGAGACTAGTCGGAGTAGAGTGATGCGACGTGAACGAACATGGGCCGCGTTTGGGTGGTCAGGCACTTGCAGGCGTTCCACTTGCTGGCACATTGTGGAGAGACGGCGCTCGGCTTCAACGTCACTCCAAGATCGCGAGACAGCCAATTCCCATCTACATACTCCCGTATCCCTGGTGTCCACCAAGTCCCCTCTATACACCACCCACACACACCCCCGCCGCCGCCATGTCGCAGATCCACGCCATGTCCGACGACCAGGTATCATGTCCCGTCTAATTGTCAAGCTGCGACGCCCTTCTGATGAGCTCGTCGTCCNNACAGGTCGCCTCGGAGCTGCGCAAGATGACTGCCTTCATCCGTCAAGAAGCCCTGGAGAAGGCCCGCGAGATCCACCTCAAGGCCGACGAGGAGTTTGCCATTGAAAAGTCCCAGCTCGTGCGCAACGAGACCCAGTCCATCGACTCGCAGTACGAGAAGAAGTTCAAGCAGGCCGCCATGTCCCAACAAATCACAAAGTCCACCCTGTCCAACAAGACGAGACTGCGCCTGCTGAGCGCTCGCCAGGAGTTGCTCGACGACCTCTTTGAGCAGGCCAACAACAAGCTCGCCGACATCACCACCATTGGTGACAAGTACCAGGACATTCTCAAGAACCTTATCCTCGAGGGCCTCTACGCCTTGAATGAGTCCAAGATCACCCTCCGCTGCAGGTCAAAGGATGATGATGTTGTTCGCAAGGCTGCCGACGCTGCCCAGGCAGAGTACAAGGACAAGATGAACGGCCGCGAGACCGAAATCACCATCGACGACAAGGACAAGCTGCCTGAGGAGACGTACGTCCTGCCTCATCTCTACATCAAGACTGCTCGCTAATCATTTCCAGANTCCGGCGGTGTCACCATTGTTAACTCGACCGGCAGAATCGACATCAACAACACTTTCGAGGAGCGTCTTCGTCTGCTCCAGTCCGAGGCTCTTCCCAGCGTGCGAGCCACTCTTTTCGGCGAGAACAAGAACAGAAAGTTCAAGGATTAAATGAATCTCCTCGTCTCGCCTCCCACTAATCTCTGTCCAACCTCCTCTTTTGCATACTTAGGTATCCGGAGCCAGCGCAATCTGTAGATATCGCTTTTCTTTTGCTTTCTGTCTTGTACGCAATATACCTCATTACGTCTACTTGTGCTGTCTCTTGTTCGTTTTCCATCAAAACTTGCGCCAGTATAACCGTCTAGACAGCATCGCTGCTGCTATCGATTCCGTTTCCCACAGCCATGTCCTGTTCACGTCTTGCGACAAAGCTTCTAATCATATCGCTTGTGCCCTCAGCCGCTCCGAAGATTCCTTTCTTCGGCTTCGGCCTCGTCCTTGCCGCAAACTCGAGTCTGTACGACAGCTTCTCTATCGCCGTCTTGCACTCAGTTCTTCGCATGTGCGTGGCTCCCGAGTCTCGAATGTTGAAGGCTATCGTCCGCAACTCTGCCACCAACCCATCTAACGCCGAGTTGAAGTTGCTTTCTTCCTCCGAAATCGGTAACGTCGATGTCGTCCTATCTGCGTTGACCAGACTATCGGTTTTGTTGGTTGCTTCGGTGCGGAACTCGAATCTTGAGAAGCCGGCCCCAATCGCTACGTTCAGTGTTTCGAACCGAGCTGCCAATTTCTGGAAGTCGGTGTTGTCCCTAATCTTGAATGCCTTGTTCTCGTGAAGGTATAGCGTCAAAGTTTTCATGGTCGCCAGGTCATCAAGATTGTCATTGAGATACGTGTTGGACTTTAGGAATGATGCCAAACCTAGTCGCCGCTTGAAACTATGCGATGAGGCCATGTACGATGGAAGAGAGCCGATCAGATGTTGTATCAGAATTGGATTCGGGATATGTGCACGAATGCGTTGTCCAACGTGTTCCATCTAGGAGTACAAGTTAGCCTGAGTGTGTATGCGAACAAGGATAAGTAGACAAACTGTTGTGATTTGGACAGAAGGTGCAGGATCGGCTTCGAGCAAGTTTGCGATGCAATCTTGGAGAGCTAGTCGGATCTCCAGCCTCTGTTCTAGCTGTGGGTCCACAAGTAGGAGCATCAAAGGTGTTAGCCAGTTCCTTCTTTCGGCAACATGCAGTCNTATCACGACAGTCAGCCAATATTGGGACAGGGAAGCCATGATCTTTTACCTGGTCGCAAGCCTCGTCAAAAGCACACATGTCCAATGAGGGTTTAGAGGTATTGCCTCTACGTAGGGTCTTTGATGAGCAGGAGGAGGCTTTGATGGCATGTCGGAGAACAAATCCGGTTCAAGATCCTCTCTACCTGCTCGCAGAAGAAACTGTCTGCGCAGATGGTCGGTTGAAANAGAAGTGTTAGAGAATGAGTTTTCCAAAATGCTCACGTAGGCACTAGCCAGACTACCCTCTGTGTCCTGAAGCAGCTCGAATTGCATCCATTGAACAATTTCGTCAGGTAGGGCAGATACTCGAGCCATATCTGCCACAAATCCGCTCTTGAACAATTCTTCCCTGGCATCTCTATCCTGCAACGAGCTTGTCCAGTCCTTCGATAGAGTCGTATTGAGGAATGGCTTGGACAGGTGTGTTCTTGGATCGGCATGTCTGAAGAAAGGATATTGAACATTCTTTTCTAGGACGTCGTTGCGCTCGATGGCTCGCACGACACGTTCTCTTGTCTCGTCATCACCGTCATCTACCTGCAGATGGGCAGCAAACTCTTCGGCATTCATGTCAGACGTCTGTCTAAGCTCGTGTTCCTGACGTGCCGTCAAATCCATCTCTTGCCTGTATTCTTCCTCGTACTCCTGGATCTTTTGGATGGACTTGGCATCCTTGTTGTGAGAAGCAACCAGGGAAGCCATGCTGAACTTGTATTTCTTCCGAGAAGGTTGGACCATCTTGGATTTGGAGATTGACGTCCTGTCGCGACGAGTGGAGCTCCTCAGCTCACGGGTAGGGTTTGGAGGACGTTGCGGAGTCTCTGAAGATGTAGTGGGTGGGGTCATCTTCAAGCGCTTTCGTCGAATAAGCTCGTCAATATCATCCAAGGGATCTGAATCGGCATCGATGCTATCGGAATCCGAATTTGTCACAGCCAGCATGCCGTCTCGAATGATGCGTTTGCTCGAAGATTGCGAGCTGATGGGCAGACTCGAGAGAGATGAAGAAGACACAGAGGGATCCATAGTCGGCTGTTTCTTAAGGACAGTTGGTGGAGGTGACGGAGGGCTGGGGCTGGACTCGGGCGAAGTAAGAGGGCTCAACTCTCGTGGGATACGTGAGATAGGTGCATGGTATAGAGGTGGACTAGAAGGTATTGGCGTAGGAATGGGATCGTCTATTTTTGTCTCTGTAAAGGGCAGGACTTGGATGTTGCGGACATTCGAAGAAACAGATCTTTCGGGCGGCATGGAGAGACGAGACTTTTCACTCTGCTGTTGCTGCTGCGGTTGTTGTTGATGTACCTTGGTGGCTGCGGCAGGCGCGTTTTGAGGCTCTGACGCGCTCCTTCCCTCTCCAGCAACTATGCGTCTGACCTTCGGCTGGGCGAATGGTTTAAAGAAGTCGGTGATGATGCGTTCCGGCTTTGGGGCCATTGGGAAATAACACTGCGAGATGGCCGCACCGGGTAATGCTACATATGATATGCTCGAATAAGAAAGTTGAGGCTACAATCAAGAGCCGCGTCGCGACTGCCAAATTGATTTGTGACGCGCGCCGAGCCGACGTGCGGGCACGATTCTTTACAGAACACAACGAGTTGCTCATGCGACACCCTCGGTCTGCAGACGATGGCAGTAATTGACCATGGCATATGTTGATAAAAAGCTATACGGGATAGCATTCATGGGTTAGAGTTAGCCATAGATACACGCTTCAAGCTGCTACTGCCTCGCATATCCCGGTTGGTGCTAAGGACTTGGCTGGTGCTGTTTAAGAGAAGCTTGAACGTTTTCTTCCAACTCTTGGTTGGTGTTTGTTGGATCAATCAAGTCAATTCACTTCCACGTTGACTCGATTTTGTCGTCAATAAATTCGACGGCCGCCTTGTGACTGGACCAGACCATCTCGCCTCTATGGATTATGGATGCACCCAGTCGCAAATCTGGCCGCAGAAGGCAGCCTAATAAGAGGTACACAGTCGATGCTTTCGAAGGGCTTGATATAGGCGATGGGATCCCCCTGTCTGTCGAGACGCCGGACGATGACGAAGACGACGATTTTCATGTGGATAACAATGCTTCCCCTGAACCACCGGACGATGACCTTTCCGCTGATGGCGCTGCCGAAGAAGATGAAGAAGAGTACCAGTCCCCTCACGACCTCGTTTCTGACGAAGAGTCGCTCGTTGGTGGCTCGGAGGCCGGTGCTCCAACTATTACTCGTGGCTTCAAGAAGGTCAAGTTCGACGAAATCGCAAAGATGAAGGGCGACCCTAGGTACAATCCTCGTGGTTTGCTCGAACCTGCTGCTCGTGGCTCAAAAGAGCTTCAGAGATTGTTCTTCTTCGGCCCTGCAAAAGACGACCAGATGCCTGCTCTCAAGTCTCACTACAGATGGGGTGCAGAGCTAACTATCCCGAGTCATGAAGCGAACGCTGGTGGTTTTGGTGGTTTCAAGACGAGCTACTACCATGAAGATGCGGCCATGAAGGCTGAATCGGAAGACGGCTGGAAGTGGTATGAGAAGGAAGGCGGCAGGGAAAGTTTGAGATCTCGCCAACGGTCCACTTGCCTATCTCCTCGGGAGGCTCGAGTCTACATATCGTCAGCTGCACGCCAGAGCTGTGAGCTGCTTATGGGCCCATACAAACGCCAATCTCTCTTCAAGCTCAAACTGCATGAAAGTCTCAATCTGAATGACCCCTGGATACCACAGGCATCATCTGTCGATACACCGGCGCCCGCGCAAGATGCGAAGTCGCAAAGAAATGGATGGATGCTCAACTTAGGCGAGAAGATACAACACTTAGAATGGGCACCAAACCTGCCCGGTTCTAGGCAATTTCTGGCTGTCACAACTTCACCCCTGATAGGCTCCGACCCAGAAGAACAGAATTTCAGCGCTCCTTATGCACCAGCCTTCACTCCACGGCCACCATCAAAGTCGTCCATACAGATCTGGGAATTTTGTGCCACTTCTCAAGGACGAATTGACGCTACATGTGCTCCAGTCCTGCGAAAAGTTCTTTGTTTTGAATGGGGAGATGTCAAGACGTTCAAATGGTGCCCCATGCCTCGACAGTCTTTGGCAGAACAGGCATCAGAACGATTGAATCTGGGTATGCTGGCTGGAATCTGGGCAGATGGTGCCCTGAGAGTACTGGACGTCTTTGTTCCGGCAAAGGACTTTGGAGAAACAGAGCACGAGTTGGTTAAATCTGCGGCATTTACTGCTCAACCACCCAACACGATCTGTACATGCGTAACATGGCTAAGCTCGACCAGCGTGATCGCCGGCTGTGCCAATGGATGCATTGGTGTCTGGAATCTTCCATCATCCCTCCAGACCGCATCATCGGAGGCCCAGCGTGATTCGAACGCAGAGCCTGTCATGTTCTGTCCGGTATCATCGACCTATATTCTCAATGTGACAACATGCTACCCGTCACGCCCTAACGTCATGATCTCGTCTTCTATGTCAGGTCACATTCAGATGACAGATCTGATGGAGATGACCTCGAAAGCCACCATCACTCCCGCAGCGACGGTGAGAGCTAGTCGCTCCCGAGTTGGAAGATCTGTTCTCTTGTGGCACGAATTCGCTCAAGTAGTTCTTACAGTCGACGACAACTTCACTCTCGTCGCGTTTCCCATCCGACGATTCTTCCGTCAAATCTCGTTCACTCGCTACAAAAGCTCGGTGGCCTGTCTTGCTCATAGCCCTGTGCATCCATTCGTAATGGCTGGATGCATTGGTGGTGAGGCTATCAGTAACAACCCGTTGCGTCGCGCCTATGAGAACAAAGTGCCCATCTGGAATCAGACTTGGTTCACTCACGAATGGAGACAACGCAGCACCGAAGAGGTCGCAAACGAGAGCGCCTCCAACGGCGACGAAGTCATGACGGACGCGTTAAATGAGCCTGAAGGTCATGTCACAGGCTCAAAGAGCAAAGAAGATCCTACGCCGCAAGAGATCAGTCGAGTGCTGGAAGGGTTCAAGTGTAAAGAAATCAAACTGTTCAACACTGAAGATGCATTCACTCATCGGGAGAACGGAGCAGTGTACTCGACCGTCTACGATTTGAAGACATCAATCAAGTCGATGTCGTGGAATCCAAATCTCCATGTTGGCGGGTGGATTGCTGCAGGCATTGCCAATGGTCTCGTCAGAGTAGAGGACATTGCATCGTGAGGACACTGCAAGGTGAAAGGCGTTCTAGTTTCCTTCAATGATACCCCTGTATACTAAAGTTATTGCATTGCTGACTAAGGTACATTTTTCACTACATTCATCCATTAAGACAGACAGCCCCCCTCTCCATGTATATTCCTTCTACATGTTTTCGATCGTAATTTCTCCGGAGGCAGAGCTGGTTCCAGATAGGTGCGAAATCAAGCAGTCTGCACAGGGAGTGCTAGTCTCGGCCCCAATTCATCCGAACCTTCTTCTATCTTACCCCATCTTTCTCAATGGCCACTGAAGATCACACATCACCAGGAGGGACCTGAAAAGAGGGGCTGCTACTGCAATTTCCCCGAACACCGAGCACTTGCAATTGTATGTTGCAATGTTCGACCTTAGAAGCCCTTCTTCAATACTGCTAGGATACAATGGCACCACGACTGAACAGATATGTCTATGTCCTTGTGTTTTTGGTTGCACTTTGTGCTTGTGCACCCACCTTGGAAGCTGAGTTAGACTATGGAACTTTTGCAGGATCATACTCTGCAAGATATAACCTGAGCTATTGGCAGAAGATACCATTTGCTGCCCCTCCCGTTGGACAGAATCGTTTCAGAAGACCGCAACCACCAGTTGCCGTTACCAATGGCACGTACAATTCAACACAGTCCTTCGATATGTGCCCTCAACGAACAGTCAATGGATCTGAAGATTGCTTATATCTTGGACTGTACTCGAGACCTTGGACACATGGACAGCCACTTCGCCCAGTTGTTGTGGTCTTTTATGGTGGCGGTTTCATCCAAGGCAGTGCTTACTTCTCTGTTCCCCCGTCAGGTACGTCAATGACCCTCAGTAAGACTTTCCATGCTCAAGTCTACACAATAATGTATGACTTGGGATCATTTTTGTAGAGCACGACCCTGGTGGAAGTAGGAGGTTTTCTTTGTAGCTTCGTTTATCCAAGCAAAGATTGCTAACCTTTCNNTCAAGGCTACCCGGTGCTTAACGTTTCTAGCTCTAACGACCTCATCTTCGTCTACCCCAACTACAGAGTCAATGCTTTTGGTCTTCTCCCTGGCAGAGAGATTGCCGCGGATCCACTATCTGATCTCAATCCAGGACTCTTGGACCAGCATGCTGCTCTAGAATGGACCCACAAGTATATCTCAGCCTTCGGAGGCGACCCCAAGAACGTAACCATCTGGGGTCAATCGGCTGGCGGTGGTAGTGTGGTAGCCCAGGTCATAGCGCAGAAGGGAAGGACCAGCCCACCTCTGTTTTCGAAAGCGTTGGCATCATCGCCTTTCTGGCCGAAGACCTACAAGTACGATGCACCTCAGGCCCAGGCTCTCTATGACTCTCTTGCCAATCTAACTGGCTGCTCTGGACCTGGTTCACTGCAGTGCCTGAAAACAGTAGACGTGCAGACCATCCGAGAAGCTTCACTGGCCATATCCGGATACCATACCTACAATACTTCCTCTTATACATGGTCGCCTGTGATTGATCGAACATTCTTAAATCAACCACTCTCTTCTGCGACAGCAAACCGTCATGTAAATATTGACTATGGGTTTGGCATGTACAATCTGCATGAAGGCGAGAACTTCATACCTCCAGGCCTTCAACACGCAGTGGACTCTGGCTCACCACCGTTCAATTCATCTGTTCAATCTCTCACCGCGTGGTTGAAGGGCTATTTACCGGGTCTATCTGATCGTGATAGATCAAGAGTACTCTCTCTGTATCCTGCACAGGGCTCGGCTGAAGGATTGCCTACCTACAATTCTACCTATGTTCGGGCAGGGCTCATCTTCCGAGACACAGTTCTGGCTTGCCCTGCATATTGGATGGCAGGTGCGGCCCAAAAGAAGTCATACCTTGGAGAGTACACTATTTTACCAGCAAAACATGCTTCTGATACGATTTACGTGAGTTGGCACTTGTGTGTTGACGGACATCTTCTGACACGATACGCANNGTGGAACCAAGTCAACTCGATTCAGCAGACTGATTCTGTTACATATCGAGGTTATACTGGAGCGTTCGCTTCGTTTTTTGAAACGGGTGATCCAAACGCTCACAAGTTGACAAACAAGAGTGTAGATGGTGTGCCAGAGCTGCAGTCAGAACAGCAGTTTTTGGTCTCGCAGGATGGATTNTTTGACGTCTCAATTGAACAACTGATCTCACGGTGTGATCATTGGAGGAGCGTGGCACATAAAATTCCCATATGAATACTGAAGCCTGTTTGGACCTATCTTGAAGATTACACGTTGTAGCTAAGAAGATGAAGTGGACTCAGATCCCGACTTTAAGGTGTCCCGCAACATGAGTCCAGAGCTCCTCGATGAAGGCATTTTGGCGCTCGCCTTTTCTCACTGCCAGATATCGTCTTTCGTCGACTCTTGGTTGCCAGTTGCCTTTGTTTGCATCAACGATTTGGCCGCCAGCCTCTTCTAGAATGACCCAGCCAGCACACACATCCCAAGCCCAGCATCCTGCTTCCCAGTAGGCATCCAGATGACCAGCAGCAACGCCACACAGATTGAGGGCAGCCGAACCAAACGAGCGAATGCCATGTACCATAGCACCGCCTTCCTCTGGGCTAGCGCACAGATTGCGGAAAGTCTTTACTTTGACATCGTAATCGTGGCCTGCTCGATCGCTTCCCCATTCCACAGCTACCAGAGCTTTGTCAAGGGCAAGAGGTTCCGGCTCTTTTAACGGCAACTGTACGTGCTCGTGAAAAGGGTCAGAAAGGAACGAGCCCTTGCCTTTGACGGCAGAGAACAAAGTCTGGGTGAATGGATTATAGACGACGCCGACAACAGGCTTACGATCAATGGCGAGTCCCAGACTAATGCTGACATATGGATACCTGTGAACGAGATTGGTGGTCCCATCCACGGGGTCGCATATCAGGGTTGGGCGATCGGTCAGAAGGTCACCAGGTTTGTATGTCTCCTCTCCCATGAANNACTGAGACGAGAGTGTCAGAAACTGTACATTGCATCATGGTGTCATCGGTGCGCACTCGAAGTGAGGATATCTCTCGTGGACAAGTCTGGTGATGAGGCTTTCGGTATTCTGATCGATCTCGGTGACCAGATCAACAGAATTCTTCTTCTCCCCTGCGGCTGCGGTAGAAGGGCGCGCAGTAGTGATGATCTGGCCTGCTTGCTTGGCAACATCGACCAGATAGTCGTGCACTTCTTGGAGGTTGATGTCTGACATGGTTGTATCTAGGTTGATGGAGGAGAACTATACATGAAAGGAAGCATTCAGACAGAACAGCTGGAGAAGAACGAGTACTGTATGTGTATGGCTTGCATAGACATGACGAAGGGTCGAGCAAGAGCAAGGGTCTAGGTGGATATATCGGGGTTAAAGAGGAGGTCGCGCACGGACGCATCGCTGTCGCCAAACGCGCCGACCAAACACGTCCACTCGGGCAGCTTCCTGAACTTTCAGTCACTGTCAACCGTACCAATGGCGCCTTTCAAAGATGAGCAGATCCTGGTAAGTGTCGCTTGTGTCGGTTCAACGTTGATTCGTTCACTCACGCCTTGTGCGCTTGCCAGNATCATCGCGCCTGGCTCGCGAACAACTCTTGCGCAGCTTGGCCTTCCCGAATCCCTGACCCCGGCGCGTTTTCGAGTGCGCACATGCATGTTTCCCGCCGAAAAGCCTGGTGAATTCGAACCAAACAAGGTCCGCCGAAAAGATGTCCCTCCAGCAGATGGCGATAGCGAACCCGAGTACGAGGAGGACATTCTCTCCGAGCAGGGTGCCATCTGGCCCATTCAACAAGGCCGAATTGTCGATTGGGACTGCTTCTTCGCCTTGATCGACAATGTCTATCGCAACATCAATCCTCCCTTCCACACTGCCATCCTGCTCATTGCTCAGCCGATATGGACCCCCAAGGAACACGAGAAGATTGCTCAATTCATCTTTGAAAAGTTGAAGCCGCCGGCCTTTGGCTTGATGGACGCTGCTTCGGCCACACTGTACGCCTACGGTGTACCCACTGCCACTATCGTAGATGTTGGCTATGAAAAGGCCGACGTTACCGCCATCTACGATTACCTGGTCCACGACACGGGGCGTGCCTTGAGTGTGCCTGATTGTGGTGGAGAAGCCCTGACAGAGCGCCTCTTCCAACTTCTTTCTTCAAGAGGCTTTTCCAAAGAAGTCTGTGAGCAGTTGAAGAAGAGCTCCATCTGCGAGATTCTTGACGGCGATCTACCCACCGAGACTGCTGCAGCACCTTCTGATCAACCATCTAACCCTGCCGCGGCTGCCAGTACTGGTGCAGAAGGCTCAGGTCCTGACCAGCGAACGACGACTGCTGCTCTTGGTGAGACTCCTCTAGGTCCAGGTCCTGGTACTCAAGTTGGCAGCGAGCAGAAGGACGGCGAGGACAACGAAGGCGTGCTTGATATAGCCAGCATTGTCACTGGCGGAAACATGAACGAGTTCTTGGAACGTAAAGAGAAGGAGAAGGCTGAAAGGCTAGCGGCAAAGAAGAAAGGCACAGAAGCTGGTCCGGTTGGCGCAAAGCCTGTCAGGCTCCCCAACTCAAAGAGAGTCAAAAACACCTTTATATACGAGGATCACGTATTGCGTGATGCCATGAAGCAACAAAACTTCAGCGACAAGCAAATCGCAGACATGCAGGCTGCTGTTGACGTTGGCCCTGCAAAGAAGAACGACGTGGAGGCCGGTGACGCAGATCGCCCTACGACCGACGGTACCCAGGACGAGCAACAGTCACACGGTGGAGCAATTCGTCGGGAAGCAGAGGTTGGCATCGAGCGATTCCAAGCTGCTAGCGGAGGCGTACTCGATAGACTGGCCGATGTCATATATCGCACTGTTTCCTCGGTAGAGGAAGTGGGCAAGAGAAGCGAGCTGTGGGATTCTCTTATCATTGTCGGTAATGGATCAAAGGTTCGCGGATTCAAGGAAGCTCTCTTGAACACGCTACAGACCAAGTACTTGATCTCCCCGTCATCAGCCACTATCTTCACATCAGAGCTCCCATCCAACCTCTCGACGCCAATGGCAACCGGTGCCAACACTCCCCAGCCATCAATACCCCCACACTTGAGCTCTGGAGTCAACCCACTTTTGTATGCTGCAACTACGGCACAAAATCCCCAGCTGAATCCCATGAATGGTGGCATGCCCGGTGCACACATGCCTCACAGCTTGCACACCTCACATGCGCAATCGCCTACGAGTGTGAAACTCGCCAAGATGCCAGAGTACTTCCCCGAATGGAAAGATGCGGGTTACGAAGAAGCAGTGTTCCTCGGTGCTCAAGTGGCTGCTAAGGTGCTTTTCATGGTAGATCAAGGGTTGAGCAAGGGATATATGACGAGGACAGATTACAACGAACAGGGACCTCAGGGAATTCATGATTGTAGCATGTAACGAAGTCAGAAAGAGCTTCGGATGGCGGATAGGCGTTAGCGGGCGAAACAAGTCTAGCACAATCCAGGATTGATGAGAACGAGACGTCTCTCGCTTCGTAGAATTATGACCCGATTTAATAAATGCTTCAATATTCGTAAGAAGGAGTGTCGATGATCAAGACTAGGCTTGTGCATTTCATCTACCATACACCAAGAAGCCAGAGACTCTGATCAATCGTGACCTACCTACTACTAATTTCATTAAACGAAACCCCCTTCGGTGTTTCTGACTGAGGGTGGGTAGATAGCGAGTATATGGAGAAGCGTGTTCAAGGAGGAGCAAACATCTTTCCCGACATCAGTAGACTTCCACTGTTATTCAGATTCTCGTGACTGCGGAGTGGTCACGATGAATTGAGGGTCCAGGATCCAATGCGTTGAATAGCAATCCCCTACGATTGGTATCAAGTCACATTTCCCGTATTACGCCGAGAAGCATTACCCCACTGGCAAACTCATGTGCTGTGGGTTTTGTCTGGGAATGACTCGAGCAGATGCATGCGCTATGGTTGATCCATCAACGGAGCCAGGTGTAGGCGCAATAATGCTGCTAGCTAGACGGAGACAATCTGAGCTGTGGTCAAGGCATAGGCATGTGGCGGAAGAATGGTATATCCGTCCGTCGGATGGTGTGTGTTGGGCTTTGTGGCTCTTGTTCAACAAGCTGGTGGGACTATTATTTCCACGATCTGCGGGTGGATCGTGCACAGGTTTTAACCATCCTGCGGCGGGAAGGCACAGGGGGGACGGACCCGAGACGAGCTTTTGAATAGCAGCTAACCATTCATCGTTTTGGCGTGTTCAAGTTTGCGGCTTTTCCTTTCAATTCCTTCTTCTCTTCCCTCTTCTTTCCTTTTCCACCTCGCTGCCGAGGTTATCATAGCAGCTTAGCCGACTGAAACCAACAGGACATCGCATCCCGCTGGCAGGTGCGCGTTCATTCTCTCGTTCATCACGAACCGGATACAGGCAGGAGACTCGGGGTACCTCGAGGCTGTACTCGGACGCGTAACCTAGAGCAGCTCGATCGCCTTTTGAAGGGATTGCGTTTGCCGCCATCGAACCTTTAGACTCGTTGTCGATCTATTGTAAGACGGCAAAAGCGAGCTAGGGAGGAACTATCGTGCTGCAGCGTGTGAACCCCACGCCCACCCTCTCGACTTCGAGCTTTGTTCTAGAACAGAAGTCGGCTCGCCGAGGAACCGTCGAAAAACGTTTCGACGTTGGCATCTTCTCGCTCCAAGGTCTCTCATCATCTCAGGCCTCCCTGCACTGGTGGTCCCTTTACGTTTCATCGCGCCAACTGTCGCAACACCCTGACATCTTCGTTCCGACGCCGCTACTCATTGCTGCATCAAAGAGACGGATTGAGACCAGGAATAACACGCCTTCCTGGACCGACGCACATCCATCCCCTTTACGCGAAGCCTGCGACCGGCCACACGAGTTGTGATCGTCAATCAAACGTCCCTCTGCTGCCGCGCATCTTGACATGACGACTGTTGAGCAGCCAGCTCGCCATATTCATTTCAGCTCAAACTACTCGACTCAATCCTCAACCTTGCCGGTTCCCGTCCTCACGACCAGCGCTCCGGACGCTGACGCTTCTCCTGACCTAATGGATACAAGTTCCGACAACGCCGCCAGGGATTCTCAGAATGCTAGTCCCAGAGGCGACAAGCAGGCCATGCAATCTGATCAAGACAATCAATCTAACCTGCGGAATGGAGCTATCGGTCAACACGCAGTCGGCGCTGCTGCTGCGGCACAGCAGCCTAAGGCCATCAGCGCAGCTTTCATCCACAAACTATACAGGTAGTGCTCGTTTTTGTTACTGCAGCCCCACATTGGCTGACTCTCATGCAGCATGCTCGAAGACCAGAGTATACAACATTTGATTTCGTGGTCCAGCACCAACGAAAGCTTTGTCATGTCACCTTCAACCGAGTTCTCTAAAGTGCTAGCGTAAGCAACATTCCCTCAGAGCATCAAGCTTCTGACGGTAAACTAAATGTTGGCTAGGTCATACTTCAAGCACACAAATATTTCATCTTTCGTCCGTCAATTAAATATGTACGGCTTTCACNNAAAGGTAACAATTCTGACTTGTATTGGCGAGCACGAGCTAATGCCGGACCAAATAGTCAGCGACGTTTTCCATACAGGATCTCCCGATTCACCTTTATGGGAATTCAAACACGGCGCCAACAATTTCAGAAGAGGCGACCTGAACGGATTGAGGGATATCAAACGCCGGGCTTCGAGGCACACTTTGATACATCGTGATTCCTTCTCAAACGCGACACCCAAGATGACGCTTCAACCACCGCCGCCACCTCCTCCTGGCGCACCAATGGAGCCACCAATGCCGGATCCTGTCGAAGCTCGGCTTAGCATGCTAGAATTCAACCTCCAGGACGTGTACGCAAGGTTGGCAAGATCAGAAGATGCATACGCCAATCTCAGTGCCAAATGTCAGATGTTGTCCGAAGGATTGGCAAGGTGTCACTACGTGAGTTTCGTGCAAGCGATATGTATATCAGTTACTGACGACAAGCTANNGTGGAGTGGAGAGCTGTCTTCTCAGCTGCTGGGAATGGTCCCTGACCCGGAGAACGCCATTCACAGAGATATATCCGCATTGCGCGCCGAGATCAACAGGAATGCGGATATCCTGAGGTCGCACGAAGTGCCGCATGAAAACTTGCAGCCATCTCGTCCTCCGTACATGACTGCGCCTTCTTACGACCATGGCGGTCCTGTCTCTCCCCGTCAGCAAGCAATGGATGCTTCTCGCAGACCCTCGTTGCAACCGACTTCTCGCGCTTCTTCCTTCAGGGCACCCATGCCTCCCCATATGACAGCATCACCTCATAGATTTGGTTCTCTTAGCGGTCCCTCTGGTCCACCATCGCCTTCCTCTAGACAGCCTGCACCTCCGCCACCACCGCCGCCAACTTACACAACAACGCTTCCACCTCCACCGCCACCACCGCCTGCAGGCCAGGCATCCTTGCAACATCGCCCAGCATCTCCTCCCATGAACCTTTCCCGACGTCACACTTCTGCGGACATTAGACTACAAGGATGGAACGGTCCGCCTCACGCAATTCCTCCACCACCCCCACCTGCGCATGGAACCTCTCCCTTCACGACAGGAGGGCAGAGCTCTGCACCGTGGCCTACGTCTNNCCCCTTCCGCCAGGGCAACAATGAAGGGCAGCAAATCAGGGATACTCTGGCGCAATACGAGCTACCACGTGCGACTTCCAGACTTGGCTCCCGACAGACGACGCCGCCTGACTCGGGTCCTCCATCGTACGCCAACAACAGTAGTGAAGCCGGATGGCAGCTTCCTGGGCCGAAGTTCTCGTTCAAAGGTGTTGAAGCTTCAGCACCCGGGACTCGTCGAAGTAGTATGGCTAGCAATGTGCACTCCCTGCTCAACCCTACAGCAGATTCGAATCACGAGCGGGACGGAGAAGACGGGCCCGAAGACAGGAAGCGTAAGAGACTAGGATAGAATCTTCATCTGGAGCGATCCAGCAATATTATGCATAGCGTGCTAGAACAGTTTGAGAATAGAATTGAACATCTTCTAAGCGACGTATAACGAAGAAGCTTAACGAGACGAGCGTGTGTAAGAAAATAGGACCGAGTCAGTGAATGGTTTGCGTTCGGGCCCGGCCGCAGTGTCCCTGAGTTTGCGGGTCTGGCCTCGGCGAGCAGCAATGGTCTTGGGCGCGGAAAAATAAAAATTATTGTTGGAGCAACCGACGCATCTTCGTATCTTGCTGGTTGTCGCATATTCCTACATTTCCTTGCATCTTAATCGCATACGCCCAGTCAACAATCAAGATGGTGCAAAAGTCTATGTCACGTACAACGATGTATGAAACCTCGAGTCGCGCCAGACGGGCTGGCAGCTGGAGCATGTGGACGCTGTACTGACCAGTAGGCAGGTACACAAGCTCTGCCAGAACTCGGCTGAGCGCATNCTTGAAGACTGCAAGCCCAACCTCATCATCGCCATCGGTGGTGGTGGCTACGTGCCTGCCCGTATCCTGCGTTCCTTCCTCAAGAAGCCCGGCAACCCCAACATCCCCATCCAGGCCATCGGTCTCTCCCTGTACGAGACACTAGGCACCGAGACTCCCGAGGAGGTTCCCGGCACAAAGGTTACCCGCACACAATGGCTGGATCTGTCCTCGCTCGAGATGGCCAACCTGATCGGCAAGAACATTCTTATCGTTGACGAGGTCGACGACACACGCACAACCCTCGAGTACGCCGTGCGCGAGCTGCAGAAGGATGTCGACATTGCTACCGAGAAGCTCGGCCGTACCGCTGAGAAGACCAACTTCTCCATCTTCGTCCTGCACAACAAGGACAAGCCCAAGAGAGGCACCCTTCCCGAGGCAGTGATCAAGGACCATTACGTCGCTGCCGTTACTCTTCCCGACTACTGGATCTGCTATCCTTGGGAAGCTCAGTACGTCTCTTGCTTATGCTTTGCTCTCTGTTTCATAACTAACCACTCTTGTCACAGGGACATTGACGAGCACGACCGCAACGCTGCCGAGCAGGCCAAGCAACAATAGACCTTCACGAACAATCCGGCGGATGTGGGAAAAATAATACGGCGTTTTAGGGTAGAGCCTGTCGAGTTCATGAATCCAAAATATACAATCTCGAAATCTCCAAAGATTTGCATCAGTCCATGTTATCTTGCTGCTGTCATGACCCTGACCCTAAATACATACTCAATCAAGTCCCTTCTTGATAGCAATACCATTGATTCTGATCCATAAGAATGACGATGGGCATCTTTATACTTGGTAATGTACGTGTTGATAGCTATAATTCGCGTGTTGTGCCTTCTCGAATGATAGCAAAGGTCTGCGACCACAGAGGCAAGACTTGCTTGAGAAACGTAGAGCGATCAGTCCATCCGAGACGATCTCTAGTCTTAATTAAACACATCGTTATTTTGATTTACTCGGTCACGATAGGTAGGTCAAGTAACACTACTGAGCGCTATACACATATTGAATAAGTTCAAATCTTTCCCTTCGTGGAACAACCATATGAGGACAAGGCGGTCTCTGACCAGAGTGGAATCCAACCATTCACTTCCTAACATTAGATGGCCATCAAGACAATGTCTCTCTGTGGACAGCTCTTCATTTTCTGATGACATTGTGCATTCGTTAAAACATAGCTGGGAGGCAGGCAAAGGATTTCATTATTTCGTGATATCAGGGCCGTAAATAAAATAGCCAAGTTGCAGACTCCAGATCAGCATGTCTGACTAGATAGTATCTCGCGGTGGAGTAACTTCCACCATACTCCGACTTTAGCTGAGAGCAAAACGTAGACTATAGAAAGGCACAATCGTTATCAGAGACAGAGGCGTATCCATAGAGAGTCGACAACTTCTTGCCTCTCAGTGGATACCATCTGATTTCTGTTACTATTGTGCCTTTCCATAGCTATGTATTATGCTTTAGTACACGGGGAGGTAGATGCCTCCACCATAAAGGCATTCTCTGGGTTGGGGACCATTTTCAGCAGAGCCGTTTTCAGAGCCACTTTCTAGTTGACTTGAGCGCCAGTCGCGGGAGCTGGCATGGTGCCATAGCCGCGACCACCAGTCTGAACATTGTCGCTGTAGACTCCAGCTGCTCTATTATTGTCGTAGACGCCCAGGTTGGCCTGCTCTTGTCTGTGGTAATAGACGTATTCGAGGTAGAAGGCATGGATGTGACCAGGGAAGTATCCAAGGATGGTCAAACAGATGTTGANTCTTCGACAATTGTTAGTCATGTCATAGAGTAAGCAATGAATGTGTTCGCCTACGAGAAGGTCAGCGCCGCAACCAGCGATCATGAAGACGCCGACAGGAGGTAAAAAGATGGTGATGATGATCAGAAGGATTTGCGAAATCATATTGGCTGTTCGTTGTGTTTAATGATTCGGATCTGTGTTGTTTGTTGCAGAAGAAGGATGGATTGTGAGCGCTTGATTGAGCAAGTGGTAAGCGCTTCATGAGGGAGTCAGCAAAACAGGGCAATCCAAGTCAAACATTCACTTGCGTCATGGTCAACATTGGACGGCTGATCGGCGGTGAATTGTGTGGCTTGCACGTTTATTGCTTGCTCGACCATTCTTCACTTCAGGCCAGGCTTGGTTTTTGACTCGCTGTGCATGCATGTTTTGGCTCCTGACAATCTCCTGGTTTGCAGCATCGGATCTCGGATTGGACCCTTGTTTAGAAGTGACTCCAACAAGGTTTGTGAGCCGTCCATAGTAGATCGTTCTAGGCAATATTATATCACCAAAGCAACTGAGCATAATATGTCGGTAGATATGGTCAGATTCTGTCTGAACAAGCACAATATCCTAGCAGTACATGACCATTCCTTGAACAGGTCATCACCTCATGTATTTGAGAAGCCATGTCGCTGCTCCTTCTGCCACATATTGGTCACCACGCGACTCGACTCACTCATGTCCTTCACGACCCGTACAGCAATGCTCCTTGGTGCCTCGACGTCCAACGTCTTGCCTAGCGACTGCCAGAGGCAGAACAATGCTTCACACTCCACAGATCAAGCTGTGATAGGCTTATACAAGTAGCGAGACAGAATTTCTCCCATCATGGCTAACCTTGCTTCCCACTTACATCTGTCTGCATCACGGCCACTGCCGTCACCACATGCTGGGCTATAGACCTTGGAGGCAATGGCAATTATGGCCTGAGGTATGTCAGTACAGCCTTCAAAGGCATGTCTGTGTGTCCTCCTGTAACGTTCATCAAGGAAGCCTAGGCTCGAAGGCATCATGTCGATAGATTGAGATAGTGATAGCCTTCCCTCGTGCATGCCATGAGAAGGCCAGGCCATGTTGAGGTCGGTCACAGTCTGCCATATGGAGAGTTGTCTACACATTGAGGACCGGTCCTGCTATGTCGTATACCGTTCGTATACTGGAATGTGCTACCTTCAGCACGTGACATTTTACATACTAGCCTGTTTCGTCCTGAGCCCTCGGGCGAGACAGTGATGACGACTGGTGTTTGGCGAGATGCATTGCCTGATCTGGATCATGCACGTGACAATTGTCTGATATGCAATTTAGATCTTTGCGTTACTTGCTAGAGCTCAAGGCGGGTGCGATGACACTGGCAGAGCATGACCACTTTCATATATGGGCGCAGGACGACAGAACGGCTTGGATTTCTTTATCAACGAGTGCACTTGAGCCTGGCTCGAGTCACTATCCAGTAAATTGTCGAGAAGTTGGCTTTGCACGATTATTACGTCGACACTTGTCTATCTGGCTCATTGTTGATTGAACGAGACCTTGAACAGCCGTGTCAGGGATGGCGCAATAGACGAGCCTCGCAAGGGAGTCGAGTCGCTGGACTGGTGTATATATATATATTGTTCAAGCCCGACGCTCAGAAGCAGCGCTGGACCTCAACCGAGTGTGCAGCCAACTGATCGGATGACTGGTCACCGCTTGAATCGTGAGTATCTACGAGGCAGCAACGATCGACTTGGTAGCGCACGTGCCGACGCGCGGAGCTCGAGATCCCGAATATAAGCCGAGGCGTACTTCGCCTGCACCAATAACTCACCACTATTCAACCATCCGCTACTCTGTATACACATGCAATCAAGAAGTGCGTTGTAGGTTAATCGATGTATCATTGAGACGTGAGTCGTCATTGCTATGCTTGTTCGGCTTATGTTGTTGGTGTATCTCGATTTCGACTTTCACCAACCTCTATACCACTTTTACGAACACTTCACCCTTTTGAGTCCCCCAGCTCGAGAGTACTACTTTCTTAGCTTGAGCTGGACAAAGGGGATTTCAACATCTTCCTCCGTAGTGTCCTCAGCAGTGATCTCAAAGATGACATTCTTCTGATGCTCGGGAATGGGCTTCTTGCTGATGGTTTCGACAAGTTCACTCAGCCTGGAAACGAGTTAGTAAGCGTGATAATGAGACGAGTGTAGACAGTAGACTTACTTGAGAGGTAGCCTGTCCTTGTTCTTGGCAGCAGGGTAGAAGCTGGCATACAGCAAGCTGACTCCGGAACTGATCATAGTAATTTCCAAGCCCTTATCGGCAAAGTCCTTCAAAAACTGTTCCAGAGTAACGTCCTCAGTGTCGAAACGGTCCCAGAGCTTGTCGATGACGACTTCGCCATTCTTGCCCTGGTACTTGCCCTTGGGCGAAGCGATGGGTTCTGAGAAGCCGAAGAACGGCAAAGCCAAGTTGATGAAGCCATTCTTGTACTGCTCAATATCGTCCTTGCCGTCGATGATCTTGAACAGCTCAAGAACCACAAGTCCAGTCACCAGAGCGGTGGTAGTTGCGATGGCAGGAATGATCTTGCCTGCAATGAACTTGGTCTTGTGACGGTCAGCAGTAACGATCTTGTAGTTCTCAGCGCGCAAGTTGCTGGCAGCGGTAATGAAGTCGATGTGGAAGTTCGAGTCATCATCCTTCTCGAATTCGACAGGGGTCAACTTGAAATCACCAAGAGTCTTCGGCGAAGGCAACGACTTGGCAATCTTGTCGAGCTCGTCGTTGTCATCCATTGATGCTGCAGGACCGTTCGGGTCGGGCTCGTTCTCGTTAGCTTGGATCTTGACACCGGGGTCGGGTTTGAAATCCTCAATGATCATGTTGTCGACGAGCTGGTCAATCTCGGCCTTGTCCTTGGTACCCTTCTGGGGGATACCATAGTTGAAGGCGTGAAGGTTGGCAGCTGAGAGAATGAAAGTGAAGTGAGTGTCGTTGTTAGGGTCGTACTTCAACGGGTCAGGAGCGCGCTTGGGACCTGACCAGAAAGGCTGACCGCTAGATGTCTTTGCGTCCTTGGGGAAGTTGTATAAAAGCTGCTGGATAGCGTTGTTGTACTGCTTCTCGAACTGGGTTCTGGCCCACTTGATACAGTCCTCGTAGGTCTCAGGCTTATCAGTAACCAGGAACTCCTTCAAGGTCTCGAGTGTCTGCTTTTCATTGCCAGACTGCTTGAGTGCTGCACCCAGGTAATCAGGCTGAGTGATGTATGCGTTAACAATCTCAGCAGGTCCGGCAAAGTATGTGTGGAAGAGATCCTTGGCCCAAGCAATGGTGTGCTCAATGCGGTTGGGGAAGCTGCGCAAGGTACACATGGGGAAGGACTGCTCAGGAGGATCTTGCGAGCTAGAGTAGGACTCCGTGATTCTAGGTAGGACGACCTNGGTGTTGCCCTTGGTACCAAGAGTACCACTGTCCAAGAGAGGCTTTTGGAAGAAGACGCATCTGCGGTCAACGTAGGTACGAGCATCGACGTTGTCCAGAGCATTAGTCACACCATCGAGACTGTTCCAGAAGTCCTCGTTGAAGAGGTGCTCAGTATCCTGACCAACACGGTCCTTCATAGACTCAATCTTGCCCTGGAGGTCGGGGTTCATTGCTTGCACGGCTCTGGTAGCAGACTCACTCTTGAGCTGACCGACATCCTTTGATCTGAAGAGGAATTGTCTGTTCAAGTTACTGCGCTCGATCTGATCCATGTCCGTGACGGTGATCTTGCCCTTGGGACCAGTTGCAAGACCGACCATAGCCCAGTTCTTCAACATCTCGCAACCAATGGCTCCAGCACCGACCAAGAACTGTTGGTTGTTGGCAAGCTTTTCCTGGAACTCCTTACCGAAGACAGCGATTTGACCATCATAACGAGTACCAGTAGGCTTGCAAAGCTCTTCGGAACGCTTAACAGATGTAGGAACGGCTTCCAGAGCATCAAAGTAGAGCCACTGAACAATAGGGTGGAACTTTCCAGAGACAGATTTGAGGACTTCTTGAGCAGCGAGACCACCGAAGAAAGCGGCCATAGGACTGAGATCTCCCTGAGCCTGGTATGATAACTCGCGGATGACCTTCTCATCCAACTCGACCTTCTCATCGCCTGAACCTGCCAACTCTTGTGCGAGCTTCAGCAGCTCAGCAGCATCCTGTTCGTTGTGGGGTTTGGGGAAATGGCCGTGCTTGTCGTTGAAAGCATGAAGAGCCTGGAAACCAACGTGAAGCTGAGCGGGACGATCGAACTTGGCAAAGTCAGACATCATCAACTCAGGCTTCTTCAGTTGCTGGCTCAAAGGCTCAAAGTCGAGGAACTTGGGCATCTTGACCTGAGTGTAGAGACCTCCACGCTTGTAGTCACCAAGGCCGGAGACGTCTCCGATGGAGAAGGTGTAAGGACCCTTCACAGTAATCTTGCGAGGGGCAGAGTCGTTCAAAGCGTCCATACCCTCCACCTCAGTGAAGGTAACAAAGTCGCCGTCTTCCAGACCATGTCTTGTCTCGTCCAGAGCTGAAACGATGCCGTCTGAGTCGATATCTGCAATGATGCCACTGACAGGGTTCTCGCCATTGTAGTCGCCGATTGTGAAGTTCTTGCCAAAGTCGGTGAAGATGGTACCGAACAAACCGAAAGTATCGGCAACAACAAGGTAAATGCCATTCTTGTGGCAGTAATCTGAGATGAGGAGCTGGTCTTTGAGGGGAGTGTCGGTGAGGACAACACATTGGAAGTCCTTAAGCTGGCTGAGATCGTCGGTGATGGAGGTCGACTTGAGGAGGTTTACGGNGGTGTAGGGGTTGAGTTCGGAAACACGAGGAACGGTGACTTGGGCACGCGGCTTGCCGACATCTTCGGGGTGAAGGAAGAACTGTGATGACAGGTCCTGGATCTGAGCAGGCTTGGGGTCGTAGAGGGTCAAGCTCTTGACACCTGCGAGAGCAATGTTCTTTGCAATTTCGACACCCAGACCGCGCAGGCCAACAACCAGGATGTTGGACGAGCCCATGCGCTTCATGGCCTCATGACCCAAGACGTAGAGCTGTCTGCTGTATAGCGATTCATCGATTTCTCCGTTTGCCTCCTTCAGCTGCTCGACCGCAGCGGCGGNGCTGTCGACATCCATCTTGATGTCCTGTAACTATGTCAGCATGCTGGCTCTCACACTACAGCTGTATATGTGGTTCTCTCTTACAGTCATAGCTTTCTTGGACGGACTGGCCTCGGCCTCGCCGGACAAGCGCCTTTACCCAGTTTGACTGTGGACGAAGGAATCTTGAGAGCGGAACTAGCGTTCGAATGGGGTAGTGCGCGTAATAGAAAGGACAGTCGATGGCCGAGATCGATGATGAGAGAGGATGGAGCGATAGGCGTGTGGCATGTACTGGTAGAGGCGAGAGTTTGTTTGTCCCTTGTCTGAGTTGGCTGCGTGCCAAGTCTCACACGTCACATGCATGCCCCGCCATTTGAAGCTGTCTCTTCAGTCCGCCATCGAACTCCATCGAAACCACCCGTGTGGTCAGCCAGCCAAGACATGGTTTATCACAAAACACAAACTGGTACGAAAGCAGAGTAGAAACATGTAGATTCTTTGGCATAGCGTGGTAGCAGAATAGCTCCGGGTATAGTGCCAATAAAACAGAAAAAACAGAATAAAGAGGAACAGCAGCTTCTCCCGCCTTCAAACCCCCTGCTCAGACAGCCTAGAAACAGTTCAACATTCCCTTCTTCTTCTTCTGTCCCGCGTTCAATTCTCGCATACGTTCTTCGAGCGCCTGTCTCGCGCGCTCCGCACGATGCCTCATCTCCCTCTCTTCCTCTACTTGCTGCATGCTTGCTCTTGAGTTTGTGCGCTCCTTTCGTAATCCCACTAGCTCGTCTTCCAAGTTTGAACACTTCTTCCTCCATGATTCAAGATCTTGTCTGGTTTTATTCTGTGACGTCTCGAGATCGACAAGAGCCTCTTCCAGCGTAGCTGTAAGCTGCTTTTCGGCAAACAAATGCTTCTCGATAGTACGAATGCGAGACTCCTGCTCCTCAATCACTTGCGCATAGCCGGGATCAGGCTGTACAGTCGAAGGTGCAGTCGATGGTGGTAGTGGGAAGGAGCTGTGGTGGGGCGTCCCAGGAGGAGACGAAGCGGTGAAGGTAGTGGTAGGTGCAGGGCTCGAAGTACGAGCATCAATACCCAAGCCCATGGGTACGCTGCTACTCTGGCTTAGGAAGGGGCTCAGACCATTGAGACCTGGAGTTGGGATAGGTGGCAGAGGAATTGCAGGCGGTGGAGAGGGAAGTCCTGAAGCTGGGTTGGTGGCATTGGACTTTGGACGCATCAAAGAGGTTTGCGAACTTGTACGAGCAAGTGCAAATGCTGCAGCTTCAGGAGATAGTGACTCGCGAGCATAGTTCATCGAATCACGAGAAGTAGAAGCCATCGAACGGCGTTGCAGCTCGGCAAGCTGAGACTCAAGTAACGAGACCTTCAGTCTGGCATCCTCAAGTTCTTTCTTCATCTCGTTCTTTGCACTTGTCGCCTCCTCGAGTTGTGTGTGCCGCTCGCTTTGTATGGCAGACAGTCTGTTGCTTGTATCTTGGTGTAGATCGTATGTGGAGTTGAGCTGATCCTCCAACTCTTGCACTAAAGCAGCGCTCTTACGTTCGTTCTCCACTGCACGCTCCATGTTAGACGTGATCTCCTGGTTGCTTGTCTTCAGTTGTGCAATTTCGGCCTCAAGAGCAGCAACCTTGGTTTGAGCGGCCTCAAGATCTTGCTCGTTGTTCTTGCCAGTACTGATGTCTCTGTTTTGTCCAACAAAGTCAGTCAGATGGGAGTGGAATCGTCCAACATCGGTTTCATGGCCCAGAATGGCTGATGCTTCGCCAAGCAACTCTTCCAGATCGACCTGAGATCGCTGAAGGTCTTGCTGGACGGACTTGTGCTGTGCTTCCAAGGCTGCGTGTCTCTCGTGGAAGTCTCGCTCAGCTGTCGCCATAGCAGTGTTGAGGCTCTCAAGCTCTTCCGTATGTGATGCTTTGAGAGTTTCTAGGTTCTGCTCATGTATTCCAATCGCGGACTTATGAGCTTCGATCTGACTTTCCAGATTTGTTACCAGATTGCGGTGAGTTTGCAGCTCCTTCTCTGTAAGTTCTCTGCCCTTGCTGTCTTCATCGACTTGCTGCCTAATGCTTGCGTAGGACTGCTCGAGCAGCGAAAGCTTCTGAGTGTGTTCCTTGCTAGCAGCTTGGTAGTCACCAATCTGCTTCTGTAGCGAGTCAACAAGCTCTTGGTGCTGAGCTCGCTCCTGGTCAAGATTGGCAATTGCTGCATCGTACTCGGCGTCGCGACTGGCGACTGACTTGTGTGCCTCAGAAAGAGAATGCTCCAGAGTTGCGATAGTAGCCAGCAGCCTAGTTTCAGACTCCTTCATGGAAGTCGTGGTTTGGGCATGGTTAGACTCCCAAATAGACAGTTGCTTCTGCAGATGAGCGACGCGATCGTCGCTATCGTCATGCGAGCGTTCACTACCTGCGACTACATCTCTTTCGACGTGTTGCTGTAATTGCGATTTGAGTTCATCGACCTGGGACTGAAGCTCCTTCTCCCTGCTTTCGTGAGTTTCGCGGAGGAAGGTCACCTGCTGCTCGCTCCGTGTGAGTTGATCGCGCATATGGCCGACAACAGTAAAGTCAACAGTGTTGGCAGCCGAAACACTAGCCCTCTCGCGTGTCAAGCCCGTGATTATAGCAGTCTTAGCGTCGAGGTCTCTTCGAGCAGCTGTGACTTCTGCGTCGAGTGCCTGCATTTTCTCAGTCCGGTCATGGAGATCACCCATGATGGTGTTGAGATGAATTTCGAAGTTCTGGCGGACATCAATGTTCGACTCGAAATTGTCGAGCGCAATATTGCGCAGTGATGCGAATGAACGCATTGCTCGATCGTTGTTGGTTGTGGTATTGGCCATGAGATCCTGACTGGGCTTGCGACGGATGATGGGTTTAACTAGCGAAGGTGATGATTGTCTGTTGGTCGCCAGTTGAGCTCGTTGTATTTCACGCTTCAGATCTTCAACCTGACCTAGAGCGTTCTTGTGTTCTCCGGACAGTCTCATGTAGTTGTCCGAGATCTCCTTCAAGCTGGATTCACGCTGGATGTGCAGCTGCCTCAGCATTTCCATTTCATGGGCAAGTGCCCGTTCTTCTGGACGAAGCGGTGCCTCGTCCTCATCAACGATCGTGCTTGCATCGTCACTCTCAATATCTTTCTGGACTCTGCCTTGAGCCCCATTTGTTTCGTCCGACTCCTCGTTCGTTGTAGTGAAAGAGTGTCGCGATAACGACCCCGATGACAACTCCGCTGCCAAGGAACGCGAGGATGCGGCCGGTTGTCCATCCCCCTTCATGCCATTCACCCCCGCGCCCTCTAAAAAAGACTCTGGCTTGTCTGAGTTTCTCGAATCCGGTCTGGTTTCCTCTTCGTGTGTTTCATGCATCTTGGCGAGTGCTTGCAGTGCAGTTTCATACTTGCGTTGAAGATTGTCATAATCATTGATCGTTGTCTCGTGTTCGCTACGAAGGTCGAAGAGTTCTTGCGTCATGGTTTCGAGTTTGTCGGCCATGAATTTGGACTGGGCCACTTGCTGCTCATCTTTTCTGCGTAAATCTTCCACATCCTGACTCTGTTGAGTGGTAGACGTGGTCGGTCTGTTAGTTTCTGAGACGGGCATTGCTGGTTCTTCAGGCCGTCCTAGTGCTTGTTCATCAGAAGCCACTGGACTGCGAACAACCGACTCCTCGTCGAGTGTACTGTAATCCTTGACATCGACTGAGTGACCGTTAAGCTGCTGAGGCCGTCCAGTCTGTTCACTATGACGGATGTTGTCAAGTTCTGCAAGAAGGTTGTCCAGTCTACCGATACTTCTTTGGCGTTCAATAACATTCTCAAGACGATCGAGCTCGCGCTGCATGATCTCNNTCGGTCTTGCTCTGCTTCTGCCAGTTTCTCCTCGATTGTTGCGATATACTGCTCGGCATTGTTTTCCGTGTCTTTTACTCGGCTCAACTCTTTTCGTAAACTGGCAACAAGGGCGGAACTTTTCTCTTCGCTGGTTGTTGCACCCTCTATCTGGGTTTCTAANGTCTCGAAGGTAGGCATCATTGTTAGCTTCACGCTCGCTAGCTTTCTGCAGCCGGACTTGTAGCTGTTGGGCTTGCGACTCCATGTAAGCGATTCTAGCTTCACGCTCCATGAGTGAGCTCTCGCTTGCAGAAAGCGTGGAGCGCGTGTTGGACAAGGAGGCCTCCAGCGATTGAATGGTCTTCTCGTATTCCATGACAACTTGTTCAACAGCTTCAGCAAACGAGTTAGAGCGCTTGAGTCTCTCCATAGCCGACTCTCCAACAGCGTCTCTGAGAGTCGGAGTGTCCTCCTGATTGTTTTCCTTGGCTTTTGAAATCTCGGATATGAGTTTAGCATGGCGTCCACTGAGGGCATTGTAACTCTCCTGCATGTCCATGAGCTGATCCTGTAACTCGCTTTCGCGACGCTCTTTGTGATCTCCAGCAGCCAGGATGCGCTGTTCGCCTTNTTCGTTATTTTTGTTGACCTGTTCTCGAAGGAACGCGACCTCCGCTTGCAAACGAGCAATGATAGATGCTTTGTCAGCCTCCTCAGTCGTCTGTTGAATTTCAGGCTTGCTTTGAATCGCGCGAGCACGTTGAGCATAGGTGACAGTGTTGAGTGTTTCGCTAAGATGGAACTCGGCGGGATTAACGCAAGCGACCATGTAGGTGATAGCATTCCCGCCTAGAGAGTCTTGCAAGAGACGAGTCAATCGAGAATCGCGGTAGGATATGTAGCCACCCTGCTTTGCAGTGGACAGCTGCGAAATGACCTTCCCAANGCTAGCGAGACCGGCATTGATTGATATACCCTCCTTTGCTCTATCGCCCTGAGCACCTGTATTTTTCAGTCGTTCACTACCTGCTAGATCGACGAAGTGGAGCTTGCTTTCGGTAGTCACAATGACGTCGCTGGAAGTAGAATTGTCGACTTGAACGGAAGCGCGTCTGTTGGCTGAGGGCCCTTTCTTCAGAGTAAGATTCAAACTAAGGATGGCGTGAGAGCGCGAAGACTTGGCGTTGATAGCGGTCGAGTCGGTTTGGCGGATATTGGAACCAAAGCTCAAGGCCTCCAGAAGGTCGTCTGCCGAGTTGATAGGTTTCTGAGTTAGGCCAGTAAGCAGAATGCGTCCCTTCGTGTCTTCGCGAATAGAGACCTGGGGCCGGTCGGCTTCAGGCACAGTACTGGGAACGAGCAAGTCGCGGAGCTGTTCATTGTAAATCTCAGCGTAAGTGGCCGTCAATGCCCACGATTTGTCGCTATTCGTTTGGCGGTGCAGATTCGAGAGGCTAGGGACTGCCGAGACTGAATAGCGTGAAGGAGAACGAAGGCCTGATTTGCTCGGAGTCAGGGGAGCCGATGTGGTTGAAGAAACATTGAGCTTCTCGAAAAGAGCGGCGGCAGCGCGAGGAACAATGCNCTATTCCCTAGTCAGTCTCTCAACCTATGTGGAGGGCAAGCAACGCGACTCACCAGCATGGACAGGGTCGAAAGCGCCTTCGGAACCAGCCGTACCCATAGTATACGACTTTCCAGCGCCCGATTGACCATATGCAAGGATGGAGACATTGTAGCCCTGGATGAAGGAATCGACGCTGTCGCTGACATATTCCCAAACGCCTTGTTGTGTTGTTTCCTCACCGAAGACACGATCGAAGACGAACAGCTTCTTTCCCTGGGTCGATTGGATGGCGAGATTGGTGGCAGAAGAGACGTCGCAGGTAGAAGTGCGGAAACGCTGGGGAATCAAGTCGTAGCCTGGGTCGGCTGGTTGGAGGGGAGGACGCACTCGAACGGNCTGTACGCCAGTCAGCGAAGAAGGAGGATAGGGGTTGACGGCAGGGTACGCACCCACTTTCACCGCAGTCTTGGAGTCTTCATCGGATGCGCGACTGCTTCCTCCGCGACCTCCAAGACTCAGGCGGCTGGAGCTCCTCGGGGTGCGCAAGGCACTTGCTATTGAAACGCGATGTTGGTGGCCGCTCATGGGCGAGGTCGGTGGAGTGGACGTCGAGTCCATGTTGGAGGTGCCAGAGGATTGGAGCACCTTGTGGCACTGGCGGCCAGGTGAAGTGGGCTTCGAGTGAGATTCACGTCGTACAAAGGTCACGAGAGAGAGTAGAGAGCGACTGCAATGTTCTTTGATGCTTTGCGACTTCAAACGCTCGCTCTTGTCCAACCGTTAGAACGCGCAAGGGCCACTCAATTCCACAAGCTGCTGCCGATCACTCACTCGCTCATTCACCTAAGCCCCAAAGTGTCAGATGTCTCCTGCCCTGAACGTGACGACAAAGTGACAGAGTAAGACGATTGTCTGCAGGGCCAGAGGGAAGCAAGACGGTCGACCAGTTACCAGAGGACGTGTTGGAAATATTGATTCAGTCCGAAACGGTGCCCTCGGTACCTGAGCGGTCCGCCAAGCGGCGGCACGTTAGACTCTCACCATGTTTATTTTATATTGTATTGTAGCGGAGAATTTGGCCTAATGATTTGACTTTCGGATCTATCTTCCAGTGCCAGATCAACGTATACACACAATCGCTCTTGTGCAAGTGTTTGCTTCTGTGTCAGCTTTCTTTCCATGCAGCTGAAGGTTAGCGCTCCCGTTTCAACACCTGCACATCCGGGTTGACGGATCTTCGTGCCTGCACTTGCGCCGCGCCGTCAGAGCACCAGCGGGGAACTAGTGCCGGAGTAGTTTTCAGGAAACATATCAGAGGATCATGGAGATCAACTATCGAAGTCTTTTTTTTCTGGCTGATCCAAAGCCTTATGATACGGGAAAAGGGATAGCACAGCAGTGTCACTAACAAATGCGTTGATCAAACGCATGCTACTAACTTACATGGACCAAAAGCCAGATAGACGGTGTGTACTGTATTACGGATGATGGCGCATGTGAGATACATGACAACGAGACTTGCGTTGGCGCAGAACCCAGTCTCTTCTAATGTTTCAGCCCAAAACTGGACCATTGTAGACATTCAACAAGCGAGATAGGGGAGATTGCCGAATGACCTGCGATAAGAAGAAAAGAACAACACGTCAGATGCAAGTCGATTGGCCATCGCACTTGCACAGTTATCGGACCATCGGCTCCTGCCTACTTTGATGGGAAAAGGACGAGGCCAAAGGCATACTATACTCTTGACAGAGCAAATAGGCTTGTAGTAAAGAGAGTAGTCGTGGAAGCGCAAGCAATATAAAATCAAGGAAATGGATCTCAATGCAGTGATTGTCAGGATTGTCAGGGGTGCGCGATCGGAGAGATTTATTGTTCAGGAAAAGACGCAGGCATGGCGGATCGTGATGGGCGACTGACGTGCGGCTTCAAGATTGGAAGACTTCGCTCAGCCAGACTGGCAACCCACGTTTTTCCAAAGCGGCCTATCACCGTCAAACACCCGCACACACGCTGCCTTGTCCGACGAGTACTGGCAACCCAGCTGCTTCCCTCAATCCGATAACGACATCAACGGCAACGCGGCAGCCGTCCGACCAATGTCTTGGGCCTCCTCATGCAGACGACTCGTACAAATCTGGCGCGTTCAAAGACCAGCGATCCAGTTCTTACGCGCAGCGATACCATTTCCTCCCACCATGCCTTCCACTCTACCACTGTCCCGCTGTCTGAGCGCGACAGCATCTTTGCCACGAGCTACCAGGGCGACACTCCCGTAACTTCCCCCCAGCAGCCACGCAAGGATCCGCCGACCGAGAGGGCCGGCTTGATATCGCAGGCTCTGCAACGCCATCAATTGCAAAGAGAACAGTATACCGAGGACGTTAGCCATCTCAACGAGCAACCGCTCCAATCCCGGGGCGACTTAGCAACACCGACACACCACCAAGAACAAAGCTTGGATCCCGATCAGAGCTCGCTCGACCGCGACGCTGCCATGTCGGCTTCGTCGCTCTCACCCATGCGGACGAGCATGACCGATCTGTCCATGCTTTTCCATACACTTCCGCACACCGACCTGAACCGTCTTCCTTACCCGCTCACGTCCAAATCCAATCGACACTCGCTCTACGATCCCCAGCTTTCATCAGCCCTCGAACGACCCATCACACCAACTAGCTCCCACAAACCCGATTTGCCTACGGGAACGGCAGTCGAAGACCTCCAATCTAGTGCTCACCGTTCATCCTACAGAGCCTGGCGTCAAGGCAAAGGCCGCATGGCTGGAAAATCCATCGCCGAATCACAGGGCAGGAACCTCAATTCGGAAGATAACGATGTAGACCGCAAGATTGATGCCAAAATGCCCAAGATTGATCAAGGCCTCAACGTGCGCAGCAGGAAGACCAGTCACTACCTCGGTCTCTTCAAGGACCACGACTCTGAACACGAAAAGCGCCGCGACAAGAAAGACAAGGAAAAGCATACGGAGGAGCCACAGGAGAAGGACCAACAAGTGCTATCCGCCATTAACGAATATAATGACCATACCGCCAAAGGTATGCCCGTACTACCTTCCGCTCTTGTGTGCTGTACATCTAACCGTGTACTAGAAATGCCTCCATCCATTGCTGTGGATGACGGCCTATCCGCGGAGCCAGCAGCCGACGCTGATAGCCAAGATGTTGCCAGCATGCCTGTGCTTACACCAAGCACTTTTGAAGCAGAAGCTGAGCAGAAGCCCTTGACTACCAACAATGCCGAAGGCCGTATTGCACATCAAATCCCGCCTAGCCTGCTTGAAGAAATCCGCAATCACCACATCATTCTAGATCCTTCGAACAGCAAAGCCTTGCCTGAGAACACACCCGTCTCCGAGTCATCCGAGAAGGTTAGTTAACCAATTTCCTCAAATTTACTCCTTTCGCGGTTCAAGCTCCGGAAACCTCCAACATCTCGTCTTAATGCTGACTTATGTGTANNGGAGCTGCCCCATGAAGAAATACCTCATACATCACTGTTGACACGGCAGGCACGGCTGCTCCAACAAGAAGTAACAAAGGAGGTTGAGGATGAAGAGTCAGATCAGGAACAGATTTCTTCAGCGCAGTACATCCCCCATCGTGGCAAGTCTACACGTACTGCGGCTGCGCTGCCCTTATCCACATCTTTCACTCAAGATGAGGAGAAGGAGGTTGTGATCTCACCGCCTCAGCTTGAGCACCGTATTCACCCTCCTTTAAAGGAATCTCTTGAGAGTGGCGTCGATGTTCCGCAGAGTAACGTTGAGATTGCGTTGCTGTCAGAAGACGAGAGTCAAGTATTGCATGGTGAAATTCCATTCTCCGACTACCGTCATTCCAACGTGATTCCTGCCATCCAACCTTCAGAGTCCGATTATGACACAGAATCCTCGGTTTACTCCCTCGATCGAGATGACGAAGAAGACGTCACTCCAACTCCTACTCCCACTAACAAGAGCGCCTTCCCCAAGCGTCCTTCGGCAAACAGACAGCCATCCGATGCCCAACCACAACCTCCGCCACTCGGTGCTGTCGAACTAAAGCCCTACAACCATCAAGTAGGAGGCCACAGCACTGTGTACAGTTTCTCCCGTCAGGCTGTTTGCAAGCAGCTGAACAGTAAAGAGAATGAATTCTACGAAACCGTCGAACAATACCATCCGGATTTACTTGACTTTCTCCCCAGGTACATTGGCGTCCTCAATGTTACTTACAAAAAGCCAAACAAGAAGAAGAAGGACAACCTTGATAAATCAAAATCTCCCGACATGCAGCCTCAGGATTTGCAATCTCCCAAGAAAAGCTCTACGGTGCCCGAGGAGAAGAAGGAGGACGCGCCTCGTATTGTCAGCCATTCCCAGTCGCAATCCAATGCTGTGCCGGAGGTCAGTCTGATCAACAATCAGCATATCCTGCCAGACTTCTTGAAGCGCACCTTACCTCAAAGACCTGCCACAGCCATTCCTGCTCATATCAGCCAGCCCAGTCGACAGACTCGTCCTCACTCTATTAGCGAGATGATGAGCGACCGCCGCCCCTCTTACTCTCCTGAAACAAGCCACAGTCACCAAGATCGTCCACCTTTGCGTCAGCAGGCCAGCTGGGGCGCGACTAGTGTTAACCAAGATCTGAAGCTCCAGGTCTTCCGTGATGTGTTCTCGCCTCCTGTCATTCATCGCCACGATCGACGAACTAGAAGTCATCATGGTCGGAACATTAGAAGGATCCAACAGCGTGAATCGATGCCTTCATTACCAGATGCCGGCATGGCGAGCAACCCTCAGACTATGAGCTTACACGAACGTCGCAACAGTGCCGACGTGTCAGCCATACAACCACCTTCTTCGCCTGCCGACGCCACACGCAGACTAGCGATCAAAAACCATCGGGAGCTCAAGTCTCCGCATAATAGCGTGCAATCTCTTGAGAATTACATGATCAGTCCCCGTAAAGAGCAACCCACCAGCTGCGAAAGCAGGAGCATGGAAAACACAGAAGCAGATAACCCTCTACTGCAGGCCTATAAGACTCCTAGACGTCGTCACTCTGGAAGTGGTCTGCGTAGAAAGAAGGCCGATATAGATGGATCTCGCGGAGACCTTGAGTACCACGAGGATGAGGGATATCGTGGTGATGGCGAGGATGTCTTTGCGATGGATGACCTTGAAGGATCTCCGACCAAGGCAAGCGAGCACACCGCCGCACCTGATGTTCTCCAAAGCGCTCCCGACTTCAAGGTCAACCCAGCCTCGAATGTTCCAGTCCTAGGCAATTCGATTGACTTGAATGATGTACCTCGCACCCCTGACCAAGGCGTCGAGGACCCCGGACGTATCGCGCATTTCATCCTCTTGGAAGACCTCACAGCTGGCATGGTACATCCATGCGTACTCGATCTCAAAATGGGCACTCGTCAATACGGTATTTTTGCCAACGAAAAGAAGCAAAAGTCTCAAGGACGCAAGTGCAAAATGACTACTTCCCGCGAGCTAGGCGTCCGTGTGTGTGGTATGCAAGTTTGGAACGTCAAGACCCAATCCAACATCTTCGAAGACAAATACTTCGGCCGAGATCTCAAGGCAGGTAGTGAGTTCCAAGCTGCGCTGACACGGTTTTTCTTCGATGGAGTCAGCCATGGCAGAGCACTCAAACACATCCCTGTTGTTCTGGAAAAAATCACTCAGCTCGAACGCATTGTGCGGAAGTTGCCTGGATATCGTCTGTATGCAAGCTCACTTCTCATGATCTATGACCGCGGTGATGTGGACGAACAGGGCAAACCCCGTCAACCTCCATCGCATCAGAACGATGGTGAGAATGGGACAAATTCACCCACCTCAAACAGCCAAATCTTGCTCAAGATTGTCGACTTTGCCAACTGTGTAACAGCCGAGGATGTTGAGACCAAGGCATCAGCCAGTTGCCCACCACGAGATCCTGACGGTGTTGACAGGGGATATCTTCGTGGATTGCGCTCCTTGCGACTGTACTTCCAGCGCATCTACGAAGAGTTGAGTGCAGAGAAGGGTGGTTATGTTGAAAGAGGTGAAGGTGAGGGCATGGCTACTCAATCTAATGGTGGTGCTGGGATTGGTGGAGGCGCTGGCTTGGATGCCCAGAGCAGCTGGGCATGGAGCGATGCATTAGTTGAAGAGGATCCAGGTGAGGTCAGTGTATGATCTATAGCTCTCTCATCTTAGAGGCTGAGGCAAGGACAAGAGTAAATGGTCAACAAGAGCTGAAGTCACTCTGTTTACCTGTATAGGGAAGTGGGTTCGTCAGGCATACCTACAGGACGGCGCGCTTCTTCTCCTGATATCCAGGAGTCGTCGATATTCTTTGGTCTTCTCGTTCTTAGCATGGCGTTTGGTTGTGTTCTTTTCAGCTTTTGACTTTTCCATAATCAACATGACATTGTTTGTGCACACCCAAGTCGCTCATGCTCTTCATCCTTCCGCCGTGTTTCTTTTGTTGGTTGAAATAATCATTTTCTTGATTTCTTGTATCAAGCTAACTTGCCTGGTACGAATGGCAGGCCAGCACTCAAACCTCCATCAACAGCCCAGGCTTGTCCATTGACATAACTACTTTCGTCGGTAGCCAAAAACAAGGCGACTCTTGCGACCTCGTCTGCCACTGCACCTCTCATCAGCGGGTTCAACTGCCCAATCTTGCTCTCACTGCCTCTCGCCCTTGCTGCTTTGTACATTGCTGCCGTCATGCCAGTTTCAATGATGCCTGGACAAATGGCGTTGCAACGAATGCTAGTGCCGGCGAGTTGATAGGCAGATGTTTGAGTTATGCTGATGACAGCAGCTTTGGAGGCGGAGTAATCTGTAGGGCCAGCGTTGGACCGTAGACCAGCTACTGAGGCTGTGTTGATGATGGAGCCGCTGGGACTAGGTTTGTTCTGCAACATTGCGTTGGCGGCATGCTTTGTTGCTAGGAAGACACTGGTTGAAGATGGTCAGCCCGGATGTTTTCAGAACAGAGCAGCGAGGGAGAACAAGGGCACTAACCTCAATGCGTTCACTTTCATAGTTCTCATAAACTCTTCCTCGGACTTTCCTTCCTTCTTGCCAACCTCGTAGACTCTTTCCATGGTTCCTCCAATACCAGCATTGGCGAAGAAGACATCCAGCCTTCNCCACTTGTCCACGGCCAACTTCACTACCGCTTTAACATCCTCCTCGTTTCCCGCATCCACCTTTTGTACCACGACCTGTGTTCCCGGATACAGTTTCTCAATGTCTTGTTTCCAATTGTCCAGGTTGGAAGGGTCAAAGTCGGATAGGATCAGTGCCTTGGCTCCTGCAGAGGCAAACTCGTACGCTGAAGCTCTGCCAATGCCGAGAGCACTGTTGCAACCGGTTATGATGCAGACTTTGTCTTTCAGGCGAGGCGAGCTGGGAGGAGATGCTATGGTGGGTACGCCTGGAAAAGACGAACCACCGCCGATGGTTTGAGGAGTTGGAGGCGGTGACAGGGCGAGGGATTTCTTAGGTGCGGCCGTCATTGCGTGACTGAGTGTAGATCACTGAGGTATAGCAGTATAGTTGTTGTAAGAAGAGAGCTTGTCATCCTGGTAGTGATTCTAGCTGATGGATAATCCCCGCATAACATGACCACCGAGGTGGTCGTTCCTTCGACGAGCCGAGGTTCCCCACGTCAATGGTGCAGATCAGGATGATGGACACAGCTTGGCTCACGAGAGTCATGAATGATGAGGCGAAGAGACTACATGGCATTAAAGCTCTGGTCTAGTCTAGATTTGAAAAGAGTCAAAGAGCAATGAGCCCGGGTAAAATTGAAAAGACATGAGAAAACGCCTCGCTATGCTGTCTTGATAGCCATAAGATACCTGTTGAACGCCACCTCTTTTTGTTAGTCGTTAAACATCTGTACAGCTCAAACTCGAAGAACCGAGGCCTTGCTTTCGATGCCGTCGAAGATGCATGTGTTGTCGATGGGCACGTATTGCTTTGTGATGACCTTGATGACTTCTTGGGCTACCATGCCACCAGTCAAAGAGCCGATGTTGTGGAGCTCAGATGCCCCAGCACGAACNNACTGATCGTTGGTCAGTAATACTCAAAGCCACAGCGAGAAAGAAACTTACAGCTCGCGCACGATGTTGGCACACTTTGTCTTCAGATCATCATATCCAGGATTCTCAATGAAAGTGCCGGCTTCCTTGATCAGAGAGTCGATGATGTTCAAGGCAATGCTGATCATCTTCTCAGTATCGACTTCAAGGTCAGCATCATTCGAGCCAGGAACTTTAGGCTCCCCGCCAAGTGCGTCAGCGTCGTGGCTACCGACGAATGCATCCCACGCGACAAAGGCAATGTAGTGCAAGATGCCACTGTCCAACCCGAATGTCAAGTTGTTGAGATGCTCAACAGCAGATTTGGCGACTTCTTCGCCCCAGTGGAGAGGGGCGTCACCACGTGCAATGCGAAGAGGCATTCCGCGGACCAACTTGATGTGAGCCGCACCCTTGCAGAAAGCGTCGACTTCCTTCTCGTCAATGGGATCTCTGCGACCGACACTAGCCTCGAGCGAGCGGACAGTTTGTAGCACCTCGGCAGCATCCTTGCGAGCTTTTGACTTGTAGATGTTTTGCAAGTGGATGTAGTCGGCACTTCTAGCCTTCATGTCGGGTACCGCACCTGGGAGGGGGAGCTGGTCGTGGGCAGAGTAGAAGGTGCGAACAGCATTGGCAATGAACCAGAATGCAGATGATGTAGGCTCGAGAGACTTTGTTTCGGGAGCGTCGAGCACAGCGAGGACAGAGCCAGGGGCAGTCGGAGGATTGAGTGACTTGATGATGGCAGCAGTGGCCTCGGCGAAGTTCTCTTCGTCAGGTGGGGAGGCTTNTGCGACCATGTTGCGGAAGTCAGTCTTTTCCTGGTATGACTGAGGTGGTTGGCCATTGTGAGAGGCACGCCACTCGTCAAGGAAGTGTAGCAGAAGTAGAAGGTAGGGAACGTGGCCAATGTCCTCAGGCGATAATGCTTGAAGGTTGTTTGTCTTCTCTTTCTGGAATTGGACGAGTTCTGGCCATGGAGCGAGCAGGCGCAAGTCGGTTGTTGAAGCGGGATCGGGATGAGTATCGACGATGGGGAAGGCTGGAGGTAGCGAGAGGGAGAAGTGCGAGTAGAAGCCTGAGCAATGGATGTAGAACAGAGGTACGGCGTGGGTGTGGCAATGAGCTGAGATGACTTCAAGCACGTCGGGGGTGATGGGAGCGGTGACGAGGATGAGAGTGAATGGATTGAGAGCGCCCTCTCTAGCGACGAAAGCAGAGAGTGGCTCGGTGATAGCGTAGCCTTGGACATCGGGGTTCAGCTCTTGCAGCAGACGACGGGTCGATTCGGCGCGGAAGGTTCCCAAAGTGCTCTCATCGAGGAAGAAGTTGAGGCCGAGATCTTGTTCTGACACGAGGGTAGAGTCTAGGATAGTGAAGTGACCAATGCCAGGGAGAATCAGGTTCTTGAGAGTCTCGACGCCGACGACACCAGGACCGTTGTTGATGAGCAGGATGTGAGCTTCTTCCAGGGCGGCTTGTCCGCTGGCTGCCCAAAGACGAAGCTGTCTGTCATATCTCTTTTCTTTAGATGTAGGCACTCCTTGGAGAGGAGGCGGCGTGACCTCTGCGTTGGCTGCCATGGCGAGATTGTGTGGATTGAACAGATGGATCGACTTGGAGACAAGGTCTAGATGATGAAGCTACGGCGTGTGTCGGCGTTTGTTCCATGACGTTGGCGGGGCAGTCGCGACAAGCGATGCCGGACGGTGGGTTTGCAGGCGCCGGCAGGCTCCCAAAAGACCCCGCGACCAACATTTGCTCTGCGGCTAATATCACATTTTTGGTTATCAGCATCTAAAGCTATTTATCCAACCCATCCGCTGTGTATGTTTGGTGGTAAGTTGTTCTTCGCTTTATGTCACTGTGACCGAGGCCTCGATTGCTCATACCGTCCTAGCTTCGTCCCAACAAACATTTATTCGTGTGCTGTCATCCTCTTCTTCGACTCTGTCCCTCCGCTCCCTCCGCCCTCTGTCTCGCCCATACCAATTCTCCCGCAACATGTCTGTTACTACTGGTGCTCCCGGCTCAGCAGTAGCTGCTGCTGTCGACATGATCGAGCAGGCCAAGCGCAAGGCCGCATACCGCGCCGTCGCCGACCACTTCGACCCTGAGATGCAATTCGTCGGAATAGGCTCTGGAAGCACAATCATCTACGGTGTTGAGGCCATCAAGGACTGCTTGGCCAAGAACCCTCCCAAGAACGGTCGCTACATCTTCTTTGTCCCTACTGGTTTCCAATCGAGAAAGGTCATTGAGCAGGCTGGCCTCATGCCCATGGGCTTCGACAGCTTGCCCGAGAACGTCATGTTGGATGTTGCCTTTGACGGCGCTGACGAGGTTGATGACGACTTGAACTGCATCAAGGGTGGTGGTGCTTGCTTGTTCCAGGAGAAGCTGGTCGCAACCCGCGCAAAGAAGTTTGTCTGCATTGCTGGTAGGACTCCCCTTCTGACATCCTCTCGCCATCACCTTGTGCTGACCCCTCGTTCTAGATTACCGCAAAACCAGACTCGCCTGGTCACAAAGTGGCCCTCAATACCCATCGAGGTCGCTCCTATCGCCCATGCTACTGTTATGCGTCAGCTCAAGCTCATTGGTTCCGTCGAACCTGTGTTGCGTGAGCACACCCTTGCAAAGACTGGTCCCGTCCAGACCGACCAAGGTTTCTACATCATCGACGCTCCCTTCAAGCCCCTTCTTACCCAGGACGACATCAAGAACGGCAAGGACGGCTCAGGCAAGGATGGTCAGTGGGAGGTCACTGCCCTCGCTCACAAGATCAAGTCCATCTCCGGTGTTCTCGAGGTCGGTCTCTTCTTCGGTCCCAACGGTTACGAGGTCCAGGCTGCTGGCGGCCAGGGCGGTCAGAAGCCCGTTGCTGCCTACTTCGGTAACGAGGATGGCTCTGTCAGCGTCAAGGAGGCACAACCTCCCAAATAAGTTGGTGCTGTTTTCTCGTCTGTTGTAAACCCTCATGTCATACGTGCCATCTGCTCATCATCTTCATTCCCAAAAGATACCAAAGTACATCAGTAGTATCCCTTCTTGGATACTGCATTTTTAATCTCCTCCTAAGTTTCCATTTTCCTGCTTCAGACAGAATTCAAAGTGCTTGAAATGTTGTCAGTCTATCGATGAAATGCCTTTGGCTCTCGTACCCGCCTTGATCCCTGAATCATCTGCGCATATCCTCGAAATCACACGTGGCTGAGTGGTGCTGAGGTGAGCCTCCATAAGGTTTGATATCGAAGGTGTTGAGGGATCTAAAGGTGCTGACAGTGAGCATATTCACATCCTCATCTTGCATGGCCTTATATTCCATTAAACCTGCAACAGCCACAATCACATCCTCAATGGTCTGGTGGCTAGCACCACCTCACTGTCGCTTTACCAAGCTAACCTAATTCGGCAGTCACTTTGCTAACAACAACTATTCACCAATCAACACCTGCGACAACAACTTGCTCGAGTTCGAGCCTCTGCATCAGCTAATACTTTCTCTCCAGCAACAATAATGGTCTCTTGATAGACGCGCCCCTGTGGAAAGACGGTCTGGTCACTATCAGAGGCTGGAGGAGAAATGAGGGAGCGGAGGAAGAAGAAGAAGCAAATGAGGGAGAGAAAGAGGAAGTGAGTGAATCCCTGAGCCACCAGACCTGTGATTTCCTTTTTTTTAGTTTTTGTGGTATAAAGTGTTATCTTTCCTCCGCTATCAACTGCTTTCGTATACACTATGAGAAGACACGAGTATTTTTGGAAGTAGAGGCATGTCCATAAGGAGCCGAGAGGTTTCTATTGTGCTGTTCATCAACACGCTATTTGATCTCCAAAACTCCTCTCTCACTTCAATACGCGTCTGATTGCACAACAACACGTCCCCAACACGCTCTGAGCATCACGTTTCTTTCTTTGTAAGAACTTCCATTCTTCACTCCTCAAAGTTTTGTCTTTACACACCATCCTAATCACATCGCGGATCCTTTCAGCTTTTCGTCTGTCTTAACAGACAGCAAAGATGGCACCCAAACGCCTCCAAGACGATGCTCTCTTCGACCTATCTCCTCCTAGAGAAGTCCGCGATGGTAGAGTCTTAGAGCGCCCTCAGATCGAGCCACCTATTCAAACAACACGCAAGACAAAGGTCCAGAAGCACGGTCAGGCCGACACTCCAATTGGAACATTCCAGACTGAGCCCTCTCACGTCGAATCTTTTCAGACCGAGCCTGTTCAGATTGCGCCATCTCCCACCATGGCTAACGGAAACGCTCGCCTCAATCCGGAAGAACAAATCAAGCGCGCTAGCGCTCTTGCTGCACAGGTTTATCATCGCCTTGATGGCCGTGCTGATCCCAAGACTGCTGATGCCGATCGGTGCGCCATCCAGGACCTCATGACGATCTTTGACAATATGCAAAGATTATCTAGTGAGTCTTCAAGCAACTTGCACTTCTATCTGTATTTTGACCACGAACAAAGCACTTCCAAAGCTGTCGAAGATCTCATTGCAGCCCAAGTGGTCAGCGAAGTCAAGAGCGCACTCGACTTTCTGAGACAACGTATCAAGACTAACCCAAACAACTACTTCTTCATGGGACTTGAGGCGTTCTTGAAACCTGGCGATCCTACTTACGGTGAAACTGTCATCAAGACGGTGCAGAAGAAGATGGAAGGCGTTACTTCAAAAGATTATGTTGCGGAGATCAAGACGATTGTCAAGGAGGTTATTATCGATGACTACAAGAAAGTCTCCGGCACTACTCTGGAGAATGTGCTGGGAACACATAAGTAACAGATGGAGCACCAGCATCGGATGAGGCAGGACAACAAAGATGGAAAAGGTTTCATCTTCAGCATCGATTCTATGGTTGGTCAGAACATGGTGACTACATCAAACCCCATCAACAGGATGAATCAGTCTCGACTTGTCGTGTCAAATATCAAAACTGATCGAACGAAGACAAACATATTTCGCTTCTTTCACATTCTAGTCAGACCCAAAGTTGTCTCGAAATGTGAAAGTTGTCTTTCTTTTGCTCATCTCTTTGTGTCATCAAACAACACCTCCTCCATCCCTATATAAATTCTTCCGCTCTGGACCTTGCCCATTGATGCAACTAACCAACCACGCTCAAACCCCTCGACCTTGGTACACAACATGTCCAAGCCTCCCCAAGACAACACACCCACCAAACTCTCTTCCACTGAAACCACCAAGCAACCACGCCTAGATCTTCAAGAGCAGATCCAACGTGCTATCACCCTAGCCACCCAGTTGTGTCAAGCAGCTAGCAAGGAGCATCTTGACTTCAAAGAGTGGACTGTCAATCAAGCTGCTGCCAACGAGCTCTTGCGTACTTTTGAAACCATGCAGGAGAAGACGAACAAGTAGGTTTTTGGTTTATTTGACACGAATTTCATCTTCTGATATTGTTCANNTAGCACTGCAGAGGCCATCGAAGGACTTATTGCCACTCAGATCAAGGTTGAAGTCAAACTTAGGATGAGTGCTCTCTACGCCAAAACTACAAGCGCCCTCAACTGTTCTCTCACCAATGAAATCAAGCAGTACCTCGCACCAGGTCAGACTGATTCGAGAGACCACATTGCCAGGATCGCTCTCGAGAAGGTGGAAAGAGTTGCATCCATCGACCTCGCTGCCAGAGTCACCGAGGCAGTCGAGTCAGCCATTCTCGAGGAGTTCCATAAGGGTATCGATAAGAAACTGCGCAGCTATATGCAGTAGAGGCCTTGTGACCAAGTCCGAAGTTCGAAGAGAAGTGAGACCACGACAGAAACAACGGGAACGGGTGGTTGGACAGCGATGATAAGTAAGAAATAGCGATCAAAGAGACCGACAAGGAGAAAGGAATGGAAATTGATGAACGATGAGCAAGAAACTCTAAAATTGAGGAAGTGGTGCACAAGATGCGGGAACAGCAAAGGGAGGTTGACAAGAGGAGGAACCCTATGCAAAAAAAAAAAGGATTAAAAACACACCCTTCTCGTGCGCCAAAGACTGTCGTAGCATAGCTGATGAAATGCACAATACTATCCACCCTAGCAACTTGGCCACGAGGATACCTCGAGAGATTGATCTGAGTGGCTGTTCACACTTTCTAGAATAGTACTGTGCATTGTGATAGACGAGAATTGAACGTCAACGTGGGGGAGCATCAATCACAACGAGCAAGTCATGGACCCGGGAATATAATTTCAAAGACCCGTCAGCCCACACGCAGTTCCTCAAAGCATGTACGTGGTCAACATACTGTTGGAACAAGACACATGCCACGCAAGTCGATCTTGAGACCCAAGAAGAAACGTATCTCGTGTTTGGCGTTGAGATAAAGGAAAGAGGTTGGAAAGAAGAGATCTGATCAAGAAGAGGAAGGTGGAGACAACAGAAAATGATGACAAGGCAGGAGATCAACCAAAGAGGAAGGAATCAACGAGGCCAATGACCAGATTCAAAAGTAGCAAAGTAGAAGCAACAGAAGTACATTGAGAAAGAAATTCAAGCGAGAGAAAGAGCAAAGGACGGTAAAATCAAATTGAAATAACTTCTCTATATACAAGAAATAAACAAAAATATATACATAATTCGTAAAAGACGTAAACGACGTAAACGCATAACACGTAACCACACGCAGAGCAATCCAGGCTCGAATACGTGATGAACGGGACGGCGTGGCGAACAGATTTGTAATACTGAACGCAAATGCATGTCGAACCCGATTTAAAGGGGGTGAGGTATAGTATGTTTGTATACAAAAAAAGAAAACAGCAAAAAAGATCCTCCGAATCGCTTCACGATAGTCTACAAGAAAACGCCATTCCCAATTTTTATTCTTTGGTTCCGATACGCGTTCCTGGTTTATGGTGCCATGACCAAGGCCAAAAGAGCCATGCGGACGAACATGCCATACTTCATCTGTGATGGTTGTCAGTAAACACGTCAGAAACCATATAGGTGCAAAACTTACCTGTCTGAAGTAAGCAGCCCTGGGGTCGTTGTCAACTTCAGGGCTGAGCTCCAAGTTGCGAGGAAGAGGGTGCATGACAATCATGTTCTTCTTGGCGTGCTTGAGAGTGGCAGCGCTGACAACAAGACCGTCCTTGACCTTCTCGTACAGAGACAGGTCCTCGAAACGCTCCTTCTGCACGCGAGTGCAGTAGATAACGTCGGACTTTGCAACAATCTCAGGAGTCAGCTCGTGGGACTCGGCGCCGAGTTGGCCACGGCTTTGAAGCGCGCTGCGGACCTTCTCAGGAAGGCCAATCTCCTTGGGTGCGACCAGGTTGATTGTGCAGTCGTAGTGCTTCAGAAGTTCGCAAAGAGAGTGCACGGTGCGGCCATACTTGAGGTCACCAACGAAAGTGATGGTGAGACCGTTGGCGGTACCAACCTCCTCACGGATGGTGAAGAGATCCAAGAAGGCCTGGGTGGGGTGCTCGCGGGAGCCGTTACCAGCGTTGATGATGGGGTGGTCGGCAGCATCGGCAGCAATATCAGCACTGTCATCATCGGGGTGACGGAGGACAATAGCATCGCCATATTGGTCAAGAGTGCGAATGGTGTCCGACAGAGTCTCGCCCTTCTTAGTGCTTGAGTGCGATTCGTTGATCATGATGCACTGACCACCAAGACGCTTCATGGCAGCATCGAAGGAAGATGAAGTACGAGTCGAAGGCTCGTAGAACATCAAGCAGAGAAGCTTGTTCTTGAGAATATCGAGAACACCATCACGCTCAACACCCAGACGCATCTCCGAAGCGACGGTCATGAGAAGGTGGAGCTCCTTTCTTGTGAATTGATTGACCGAGGTGATATCTCTGCCCTTGAAGGGAGAGTTGTGAAGGAGTTCTTGAAGAGAGGGGGTCTGCTTGGCAACAGGCTCTTCAAGAGAGGTCGAGGGGAGCTCGGCGAAGGTCTGGTAATCCTGGCTGCTGATGGCCATGTCGTAGTTGCGAGCGATAGCCTCAATCAGAATCTTGGCGTTCTTGACGTTGGTGACCAGAGGGGTCTGGTAGTCAACAGCCATTCTGCGAGTACGGTAACCCTTAGACATGTAGTTGGCAGGACGACGGAAGCGGTTGCTTGAGGGCAAGTTGATGTACAAGTCGATTAAGTTGTTGGCAAGAGCGTGAGTCAATGAGTACTCGGTTCTCTGCTCGTCATCCTGAAGAGCCTCCAAGAACTTGCAAGGAACACCGTGCTCCTCGAGGAAGTCAGCGGTACCAGCGGTAGCGTACAGGCTGTAGCCGAGCTTGTGGAGCTTCTCAATTGAAGGCAACAACTCTTGCTTGTCCTTGTAAGCACCAATGGACAGAAGAATGTTCTTCTTGGGAAGGCGGAAGCCGGTGGCGACGAGAGCCTTCATGTAAGCCTCGTACTTAGTGCGACCGAAACATGCGACCTCACCAGTGGAAGCCATCTCGACACCAGTGACGGGGTCTGCTCCAGAAAGACGCGAGAACGAGAACTGAGGAACCTTGACACCAATGTAGTCTGCGGGCATGGTGACAGGAGGGTACTCCTGAAGAGGAAGACCAGCCATAGCCTTGGTGGCCAGCTCGATCAAGTCAACACCAGTAACCTTGGAGACGAAGGGGAAAGATCTCGAGGCTCTGACGTTGCACTCAATGACCTTGATGTCGTTGTCCTTGGCGATAAACTGAATGTTGTAAGGACCGGTGATGTTGAGAGCCTCACCAATCTTCTTGGTAGCTTCCTCAATACGTCTGACGGTCTCGGCATCCAAGTCCTGAGGAGGCTGGATGAGGGTAGCGTCACCAGAGTGAACACCAGCGTTCTCGACGTGCTCAGAGATGAAGTGGCCAATCATGGTACCGTTGCGGGCAACAGCATCCATCTCAATTTCCTTAGCACCCTCAATGTACTTGGTAATGACAACGGGGTGGTCCTTGGAAACTTCGGCAGCCTGGTTAAGGTAGTTGGCGAGGTCGTGCTCCGAGTAGACAGTGTTCATGGCAGCTCCAGAAAGAACGTATGAAGGGCGGACAAGCACAGGGTAAGAGACAGCATCACAGAACTTCTTAGCCTCGTCAATGCTGGTCAGCTCCTTCCACTGAGGCTGATCGACACCAATTCTATCGAGCATACGCGAGAACTTGTATCTGTTCTCGGCAGAGTCGATCATCTCAGGCGAGGTACCAAGAATCTTGACATTGAGACGGTGGAGAGGCAGAGAGATGTTGTTGGGGGTCTGGCCACCCATGGAGAGGATGACACCGCTGGAGTTCTCGAGCTGGTAAATATCAAGAACGGTCTCAAGGGTGATGTTCTCGAAGTAGAGGCGATCGGCCTCGTCGTAATCAGTCTGAAAAGAGTTAGCATGTTAACCATCTTGGGGGAACATACCACAGTCAAAATAGAGCTTTTGAACTGTAATTTCCATAGGGTTTTGCACGTACGCTTACTGTCTCAGGATTGTACGATAGGGAAGTTAGCACAAGTCATATGTATAAGAGTCATAAAAAAACTGTAAAGAGCAGGTGAGGGTGAATGAGGGGTGTGGGTGAGATGTAAATTAGCTATGTGAGAAGTCTTGTGAAAGTCAACATGAGATGCCGGAGCCAGTAAGATATGCCATCAGAGCCAGTAGAGAATGCCATCAGAGTAAATACCAAGTTGGGAGTCACTCCCAAGAGACCATCAGCAACACCAGCCAGTAATGAATGCCATCAGAGTAGATATGAAGCCGAGAGTCACTCTCGAGAGGCCATCGAGTGACACGTTGAACGAAGCCTTCGTTGGACACTGTCCAGAAGAGTTGATCAAAAGTCAGCGCCGTCGAACTGGGCATCGAAGTCGGCGTCGAACATGGCGGAGTCGGCGGCGGCGGCAGCGACAGCCTTTGTGTGACGCTCGTTCTTGAAGTGCTTGTTGTAGCTGGCCGTGGTCTTGTACGCTCTGTTGCACGGCTGGCAGAAGTGCTTGAAGCTTCCATTGAGCATCATCAAATGATCTCTGGTACCCTCGTGCTTTTTCAACCAGTTGCTACTGGTGAAGGCCCGTTTGCAGATGCTGCAATAGTGGGTCTGGTTCTCAATGTACCGCTGAACACGAGCACGTTCGACTTCTCTCTCGCGCTCAGGGTTGGCAGCACGAGACTTGAGCTTGCGTTCGATGGCGGCGGTGATGTATTCGTCATAGTTGGTTGCCATCTGCTCGTAGTGCCAGTTGGAGTTGCCGCGTGCGTGAACTTCCTTGCGCTTGATCTCGGTCAAGCGTGCGTGCTCGATAAGTTCTTCTTCGGTCAGGTCGAAGTTGCCACGAATGCCTTCATCGAATGCAGAATGGGTTGAGAGACTATCCCATGCCAGATCCTGCCAACCCCAAAGGCAGGTGAAGCCCATGCCGTAGTCCGAACGATAAGCTCTCATGCTCCAGAAGAGGTAGGCGAAAGTGCCTTCGAAAGCGTAAAAAAGAAGGCGCGTAAGAGGGACTTCAGCTGGACCGGGAAGAGGGCAGGAGATGAGAACACCGACATGAGTGATGACATAGCCCTCATCAAGGGACCGTTTCACTTCGCTCGGCAACAGAGTCTCGGCGGGGTAATGATCGAGACGAGATTGTCCACCAGTTGTTGCAGCGGTGGCAGAGCCGATCTGAAGTCTGGGCTTGCAACCGCGTTTCTCCATGCAGACGGCGTAGATGCACCAATCTGTTCCACATTCTGTAGGAAGAGTTTTGAAGTACTCGAGGTCATCTGGACGTTCACCCTGCATGTACTCTGGGAGTGAAGTTGGGGTGACAACTTGGGCGCTGTCTGCACGGTCTTTGACTTCGGAGGGTGTGGGAAGGAAACGGTCGAAGTAAGCGTTCTTGGCGTAGCCAGGCTGGTTCGACAGGCACAGCCAAGTCTTCTCGAGGATCAAGTCTTGGACGGGCTCAAACGAAGGCTTCGTTGAGTGGACACTGTCCATGTCGATGTCATCGAGTGACTCGTTGGTGACAGAGTCGACGCGTGGCATGTTGAAAGTAGGCTTGAGATTGGCGGACACTGTCCAGATGATGGAGAAGAGAAGGCAGAAAAGACAGAGACAAGCAGACTTGATCGTGTTGATGAAGGAGAGAAGAAGTCTTGAGGCGAGATGCGTCTCAATGAGCCCACTTTGCGTGTGGAAGTGGGCAGGTGGCAGGCAGCAGGCAGCAGCGAGTAGACGCGCATGATCGCGTGTCATGTGAAGATGCTGTTCATGGCAGGTGGGGTGGTGGTCGCTCCTTCCTCAAGTGGTGGTGGAAGGCGCAAAAAAAAATCGCACCACCGGGAAAATCCCCGCCGGCCCCCGCGCCCCAATTGGAGTGAGATGTAGAGGAGAGGGTTGGTTTAGAAGAAAAGGCGGCTTTTATAGTGGCATTTTTCGGACACTCTCCAAGAGTTCATGACAGGCTCAGATGTCTGATGTGCAGCAGAATGTCTGAAGCAAAAGCAGAAGTCGATGAGATTGGTGACGACGACGATGTGGTCATGAGAACTTGGGGGTCACCCTCAAGTCGAGAGCTGCTCTCAGGAACACTTCGAGAGGACTTCGTGATGATGGTCAAGTAGAGTCACTCTCGAGTGCTTTGAGGAGAGTTCTCTAAATTTTCTTAGTCCAGGACCAAGAAATTTTTGCCCTTTTCTCCCTTAGTCCAGGACTAAGAAAATTTTCTCGTGCGGCACAAGAAAATTGTTAGAGCCTCTTCTTCTTCGTGCGGTACGAGAAAACTTGTTCGTTCGGTACAAGAAAATAGTTGCCCATTCCTTAGTACAGTACCGAACAATGGCTCTCAGGACCTTGAGACTTGACGGTAAGGGTCAAGTTGAGAGTCACTCTCAAAGACCACCATGTAAAGACTTGATGGTAATGGTCAAGTAGAGGCCCTCTATCAAGGTGTGGGTGGTGGCAGATCAATTCTGCGACCAAAAAGATCCAGGAAATCCAGAAGTCCATGCAAATCACGTGACTTTCACAAGACAACTTCGCAGGAAAATCAAAAACAAAAAGAAAAATTCACTTACATTAACCATCACGGTCTTGAATCCTTGCTCGCGAAGAGTACGGACGGTGCGGACTGAGCACCAATCGAACTCGACGGAAGATCCAACTAAAGAAACATGTCAGTTCGTCTCTTCACGTTGTTGGTTTTGGAGGGACTCACTTCGATAAACGCCTGATCCCAATACCATGACACCGTTGTCGTTGAAGTCCACATCTGACTCAACGCCATTATACGTCGTATAGAGGTAGTTCTGCGAGAAGCAAGTCAGTAATCATCCATAAACGTAGAGAGCAAGCTGGGATATGTCTCACTGTGTAAGCTGGGAACTCGCCGGCGACTGTGTCGATTTGCTTGACAACAGGCATGATCTCGTATTCGAGTCTGTGCTTACGGACAGTCTGCTCGTTGGTAGACCAGAAGATACTCAGCTGCTTGTCTGAGAAACCGAGCTCCTTGGCCTGTCTGAAAAGCGATGAAGGGACGTCGGTAACCTTCTTGGTGCTCATGAGCTTGCCAAAGTCGCTCAAGCCCTTGAGCTTGCTGAGGAACCATTTGTCAATCTTGGTCAACTCCCAGATCTTCTCGACACTGTAACCAGAGTGCATGGCGTTGGCAATTGCAAACATTCTCTGGTCAGAGGGTGTCTGCAGCTCCTGGTCGATGGACATGAGAGCACTGGTCTCCTGGAAGCCGAGGTTGCTAACATCGACAGCACGGATAGCCTTCTGAATTGCTTCTTCGAATGTTCTACCAATGCTCATGACTTCACCGACACTCTTCATGGCGGAACCGAGAAGGGTGGAGACACGAGTGAACTTCTTCAGATCCCAACGGGGGATCTTGACGACAACGTAGTCGAGGGAAGGCTCGAAACAGGCGCAGGTGACCTTGGTGACAGTGTTCTTGATCTCGTTCAATGGGATACCGAGACCAAGCTTGGCAGCGACGAAGGCCAAGGGGTAACCAGTAGCCTTGGAGGCAAGAGCTGAGGAACGCGACAGACGAGCGTTGACCTCGATGATGCAGTATTCTCTTGAATCAGGGTTGAGAGCGTACTGAATGTTACACTCACCGACAACGCCGAGGTGACGGATGACGTTGACAGCAGTGCGTCTCAGCATCATGAAGTCCTTGTCAGACAGAGTCTGCGAAGGAGCAACGACGATGGAGTCACCAGTGTGGATACCCAAAGGGTCGAAGTTCTCCATGTTACAGACAGTGATGCAGTTGTCCTGGCAATCACGGACGACTTCGTACTCAATCTCCTTCCAGCCCTTCATACTACGCTCGATGAGGACTTGAGGACTGGCAGCAAAAGCCTTGTTGCAGAGATCGACAAGCTGTTCCTCGTTGTCGGCGAAACCACTGCCCAAACCACCGAGAGCGTAGGCGGCACGAATAATCAGAGGGAAACCAATCTGCTTACCGGCAGCGACAGCCTCCTCCATGTTGTTGGCAGAGGCGGACATGGCGCACTTCTCGCCAATTGATTCCATGGCACGGGCAAAGAGCTCACGGTCCTCAGTGGTGATGACGGTGTCGATCTGGGTACCGAGAACCTTGACACCAAGGCTCTCGAACTCGTCCTTGAGCTGAATACCGACCGACAGAGCAGTCTGACCACCGAAGGTACAGTAGATACCGTCGGGCTTCTCCTGCTTGATGACCTTGCGAACAAAGTCGGCGTTGACAGGGAGGAAGTAGACCTTGTCGGCCAGACCCTTGGAAGTCTGGATGGTAGCAATGTTGGGGTTGATCAAGATTGTGTAGATACCCTCCTCCTTCAGAGCCTTGATGGCTTGCGAACCAGAGTAATCGAACTCACCGGCTTGACCGATGGAGAGACCACCACTGCCAAGAACCAGGACCTTCTTGACGTGGACTCTGGGGTTGGCCTTCTGGTTCTCAGCAAGATCACCACCGGGGAACTTGATGGGCTGGTGCATCATGCTGGGGTCAACGATGACCTTCTGGACAGCATCCAGGAAGACATCGAAGAGGTTTTCGGTGTCCTGAGGACCAGGGGCACTCTCGGGGTGGAATTGAACACTGAAGTAAGGACGGCTGATGTGTCTGATACCCTCGTTGGAGCCGTCGTTTGCGTTAACAAACAGCTCAGACCAGTCCTGAGTCAGGGTGCGCGAGTCGACGGCGTAACCGTGGTTCTGCGATGTGATGTAGCACTTGCCGGAAATCAAGTTTGTGCAAGGAATGTTGTGGCCTCTGTTACCGTACTTCATCTTGACGGTCTCGGCACCCGAAGCACGGGCAAGAAGCTGGTGTCCCAAACAAATACCGAAGATGGGAACTCTGGCCTCACGGATGTTGGCCTGGATGTTCTTGACAGTCTTCTCCATCAATGCAGGGTCACCAGGACCGTTGGAAATGAAGAGACCGTCATACTCCTTGCCAGCCAACGAGGGGAAATCGTAGTCCCATGGAACGACCTGGACCTCGACACCACGCTTGACGAGGCATCTAAGCTGGTTGTACTTGAGACCAACATCAACGCAGACAATGCGAATGGGTCTGCCTGAGGGGTGCTTCAGGGCGTTTGAAGGGTCGGGTGAGTAGATCTTGGGCTCCTTGATCGAGACTATATCATGTCAGAAGCAGCTTCACAATTGATGCTTTCAAGTAGCCTCACCATCTGCAACCAAGTTCTTGTTGTTGGGGTTGGACCATTCGACCTCCTCGAACTCGGGCTTCTCCTCAGTCTCGCCGTTGCTGAGAGTGATGCCGTTGGTGATAGGAGCAGCAGCTCCGGAGCCAGACTTTGCAGTCTCATGCGGCCGAGCATGCTACCCTTCTCGCGGATGATCTTGGTGAGGGCGCGGGTGTCGACGCCGCAGAGGGCAGGCACGCCTTGCTCCTTCAGCCATTTGCCCAATGAAGAGGTGGCCAGGTAATGTGAGTAGTCCTCGCCGCAGTAAGAAGCAACGATCAGACCAGCAACGTGGATCTGCGAGGCCTCGAAGTGAGCAGGGAGGTCCTTGAGGAGAGGATCCATCTCGGTTCTGTCGGGCACACCATAGTTGCCGATCAGAGGGTAGGTGAGGACCAGGATCTGGCCTTTGTATGAAGGGTCGGTGATGGACTCCTCGTAGCCGACCATGCCAGTCGAGAAGACCAGCTCGCCGGCTACGCTCTTCTCAGCACCGAAAGATTTGCCTTGGGCGAGACGGACACACTCGGTGCCTTCTCTGGCCTCAAGGGCGATGAGCTTGTCTCCAGTGTGGCCAGCCATTGTGCAAGACGAGGCCAGTTTGAACTGATGACACAAGGAGGGAGGAAAAGACAAGTTGGATATGAAAAATGTCTCCAGGGTCTTGGCGCTAAAGCTGTGTCCCCGCGCTGAGGAACGTGCTCGCCGGCCAAACGTCACTTTAATGGTCAATGTTTCTCCTGGAGATCGCAGAAAGACGGGGAAGACGGTGTCCAACTGTGAACTTGAAGACCTGGATGCTCCGAAGAAGCTCGAGGACGATGATTGAAAAGATATATCTAGTGTTGTGTTGCTTCTGCAGGTACATAAATGGTCATTCAAGGCTCGAGTGACCCTTCGATCTGCATACAGCGTGCAAAACTTTTTACACCCAAGTGGCCGCCGAGTCAGGCCGTTGGAACAAACAAATCATTTTGTTGAGTGCGGTATCGCTGAGCTTCCACACCTCATAGTGCCCATACAACAGCAGAAGTGCTGTGTCTGTCTACTCGGGTACTAGAACTCGCTTGTTAAGTAGATCGAACAACAGCCCCTGTTTCGAATATTTTTTTTCCCAGCCCGCGAAGTCGGTTCCTGCGGCGATGCGGGAGTGCGGGAAGATCAAGCTGTGGTGCAGCCAGCTGCAGCTGCAGCTCCGGCCGATGGGTGCCGTTGAGGAAGAATTGGCCGCTAATTAATGACACTTATGCCAACTTAGCCAGGATTAAGGACAATTAACGAAATTATTCGGTCATGACTTTGCTCGCAGCTTCCGATGAGGTCAGCAGCTTACAAGCTACACTCGACCTCTCTTTGCATCAGACAGAAATACATATAACAGCTCATTGCTTGTTATTCTTGTCTGGAACGCATGTTCTCCTTGCTTAGACGCACACAACTGATCAATAAACACTTAACGCCCACACGCATTTGCATTCGCAAGATGGCTGTCAGTCAACTTTACCTCGCCAATTGCGGCATACTGATGAAATGGTAGACTGAAGACAAGAAGAAGGACATCCTCAACTGGGTAGATCCCAAGGACAAGTCCGGAGAGTTCAAGAGACAACAATCCACCTTCCGTGACTTCATCAAGAGTGACCCTGGTGCAGAGTTCCCTGCCGAAAAAGGCAGATATCATCTCTATGTATCATACGCATGTCCTTGGGCACACCGCGCTCTGATCGTCCGCAAGCTCAAAGGTCTTGAGGATATCATCTCTTACACTTCTGTCCACTGGGAGATGCTCGAGAAGGGTTGGCGATTCGCGAAGCCCGATGAAAACATTCCTGGTGATAACACCACACCGGATCCGCTGCATGAAGGCTACACTCATCTCCGTGACATCTACTTTGAGAACAACAAGGACTATGAGGGTCGTTTCACCGTACCTACCCTCTACGACAAGAAGCAAAATCGCATTGTCAACAATGAGAGCAGCGAAATCATTAGAATGATGTACCACGCATTTGACGATCTGCTTCCCGAAAAGTTCAAGAACGTAGACCTTCTTCCTTCGGATCTCGAGAAGCGTATCGAAGAGACTAACGAGTGGACTTACAACGACATCAACAACGGTGTTTACAAGTCAGGCTTTGCCACGTACGTGTCTAAGCTTCCCCGAACACGACCTGGTTTCTGACTGACCCTACTTAGTACACAAGAAGCCTATGAGAAGAACGTTACGACTTTGTTCACGTCGCTCGATCGCGCGGAAGAGGAGCTTGCCAATTCCGGCGGTCCCTTCTACCTGGGTGACAAGCTAACCGAGCTCGATGTGCGCCTCTACACGACCATCATCCGATTTGATGCCGTCTACGTTCAGCACTTCAAGTGCAACATCCGCGACATTCGCAGTGGCTACCCTAACCTGCACAAGTATGTTCCAATCTCCCGTTGAGAGAAATCGTGCTGACAGATCTCTCCTAGATGGATGCGTAACTTGTACTGGAACCACGATGCCTTCAAGAGTACCACCGAGTTTACTCACATCAAGTGCCATTACACGAAGTCGCACAAGCAGATCAATCCATTCTCGATCACTCCCGTCGGTCCGGTACCTGATATTCTGCCTCTCGATCAGGATGTGCCTGCTGCTGCTGCTGCCATTCGTACGACGAATCAGTAGAGGATTTATTGATTAGGGCTTCGATATTATTGTACGCTAGCAATGTCTACAGACTCTCATACTCCAAACATGGCAGAGTGCTCATCTTACGACTTCATCATGTTGCGATCTCTATCCCGATGCTGGCAGCCAATGCGCCGTTATGTTCCTCAAATCGATCCCAGCCTTATGCAACGTTGTGACCGACTCGAAACCAAGGCAGACAAGCGGTCCAGCCAGATCTATCATGAGTCGCAGAGCCTCTCACTCAGTGACCCGTGCTGGGCCGCAACAACTGTCACGGTAGGTGACAGATGCTGTAATGTCGTTTCTTTGGCTGTCTGCATCTGACCTTAATACTCATTGGCGTAGAGCTTGTCCGCCATACCACGCAAGCGAAGCCGAAAATCTGGGAAGTGAATGATGATCCCAGATTGATCAATAATGCCGTTTTTCGATGCGAACATACCGTCAAGCGGTTCCAGGGCAAACCCAGAGTCTCGGCTATGATTGTGTCTCGGATGGTAAAAGCAATCTCATGGTTCATCTCGGAGCGCGCTGCGAGATTTCTCAGAAGCCCTGTATCTATTCTGGAAGAAAACATGGTCATAGCCAAGATGTCCTGGAAAAGGTTAATAATTTCATGCTTCGCGAATAAACTATGCGCGCTCTAGACCTTTGTGCTTCTGCCAAGACAAATGACTTTGACCAACTCGGAGTGTTTCTCACTCCGATCACCTCGCCGACGACAGCATCGGAAGGTCGCTTCGACATTGAAGCAAATATCGGCCGAACGCACGCCGTCGCTGCCAATGCTCTTTGCAAAAGACTTCAGGTACTCAGCTGAGCGTGGTGGTTGAGCGCCTATGACCCACTTGGGCTACGCAGGTTCTTTCAAAGGGGTTGGTGATGTTCTTCGCGCGGCTGCAGGTTACTCACATGGTACTGGACATCACTGCGTCTTGGTATTCTACAGATCTGAAGACCTAGATGTCAATACTGATTCGGTACGCAAGACATCTGCCACCATCTACGGCAGCGGGCCGTAGAGTAGACATGAAGATCGGCGGGTTATAGATTGTGGATTCGGCTTCCGTGAGCGCTCATCCAGTGTGTTCCATCAACGTTGTTCATGAAAAATGCCTCTGCATCAAAAACTTCTTGGTAGATCGGCGATGGTATCCCTGAAATACGCTTGCGCTGAGGACTCGTGTGCAAGCTTTACCGAACTAAGAAATTCCTCTGCAAGCCACCGGGCTTTCCGATAAAGTCAGAGATGGGAATTTGACCTCAAAGTTGTCGCGGTTGCGAGAAACCGTTTCGGCTGTCCTTCCGAGACGCGATGTGATTGGAAGAAAGAACTTCGTTCTTCCAACGTCGCGTCCAAACATGCCTCCGGTTCACCAGGACTTCACGTGGCTTCGTCAATCTGTCAGCGTAGTCTAGACCTGTGGCTTGCGCAAAAGACGATATTGTGACAAAGTGCTCTGAAGCTCAAGCCTCTTGCACAGCACGAACCAGAGATTTCGACCCAGAGGGCGTCTCGTCTGATTATGGCTTGTACCATTGACCGCATCTGTACCAAGCAGGTGGGTTCAGGTGTATCTTGTTCGCATTGTGGCAGTGGCTTGTCCATGCTCTGCTGAAATCATGCCGCTCGCCTTGTCATGTTGCGCGATACATTGCGGCTGTCAGTAGACCCCGTAAATGCAGGGGCTCAAGATACAATTCATCTGTTGCGGTGATCATCAAAGATCAGCTCAGTCGAATGTCGTCCATCCTCGATCGCACCTCAGTCCAGGTCCTTGAATGTCTCAAAGTCCCGGCCGAACTCAAGTCCACCGACGTCTTACCGTTCGCGTCAGCACCCGAACAGTCACAACGACTAAACATTGACGCTCTTTCCAAAAGGGTTTAAAGTTTACTAGGCCCTGTTCTCTACCCCTGAAAGGGCTCTGGAGAAGCTTATTGTTGACATTTGCAGATCACTGCTCATTGTGGTCAATCCTTTGGACCTCGAATACATATACTTCACATCATCTTCATACCTTCACCTTCGGATTTCATTCATCAACACACCAATACAGACCCAGCACCTCACACTCAAAAGTCACATCTCACTATGAACTTTGTGTACACCAACACTATGGATGCTTTCCCTCAGCAAGCCTTCTACAACACATCAGCCATGGCCAACAGCCAATGGCTCCTTCAACAACCGAAGGACTCGGGCTATGCCAGTGACGATCACAACCTCTTTGAGAAGGCTTTCGAGTCGCAACTTCCCAGCATTCCTCAAGTCACATCAAACCACATGAGCCAACAAACACCCATGTCCGCCTTCTCCGACTCATCATGCTCTGAATCATCGAGCAACGGTAGCCACAGCAGCCCTTTCGAGTATGCAGACTCTCTTTGCACACCTTCAAATTATGACTCTCACTGGAATCCTTATGAGAGCCTCGACTTGAGCGTCAAGAAGCTCTCCATCGATGCTGGCATCACATCCATGACTGGTTACTGCGATATCGATTCCATGCTCACAGCCGCCTACCACAACACAAGTGCTTCGCAACCTAAGCGCTTCAGTGCCTTCTCTCAATCACCTCCTCGCTCCACTACGTCAGACCATCAAACTCGTCCCCAACAACAAGACAGCTCGGTGGAAGTACCATCATCGCCAGTGCTTGGCCGCCCAAGGGGCAGCAGAGTGGACCACCAGAAAGTTGAGCAAAGGTACCGAGCCAATCTTTCTGATAACTTCGAACGCTTGCGCAACTCTGTGCCTGAGATCGCCACTATGCAACCTGCACGAAGCGGGCAACCTCCTAAGCCTTCGAAGGCCGAGGTGCTTGCAGCAGCCGCTGAGTACATCAGGCAACTCGAAGAAGAGAACGACATGCTCCGAGAAAGTATGATGAACGCTGCTGCTGGCGAACTTAGAAGAAAGAGAGCCAAGACTGGCTGAAAGCCTCTTACGATCGAATCATGGATACGGAAGTGTAATGTACATATTAATCAAAGTGGGCGTTTTGGAAATGGTGTTTTTACCCTACCGGTGCTGGGCAAATTGGTTAGGATGGTCTTGGTCTTGGATTTCTTTTTCTCTCTCACAATATACCCGCTTGGATGCTTCCAGAATTCGATTGTTTCTTGGTCTGATACGAAAGTTCCTTTCATGCTTCCTGTTCCCTCGTCTCCCATTCGTCCCAGCCAGCTTCAGACGTTGGAAGCATGTTCCATCCAACAGATCGGAAAGACGAAGTTTTTTCTCCATCTGTCCGAAGTCAAAATTGGCGTTGCTGTCCCAGCACGTTGGCTCGGTTGCAGGATTCCGGCCGAGTTGCCAAAATGTTCCACCTTTACGAGTCGATGAAACAGTTTGAAGGATCGTGGCATGATATACGTACGTATGTTCGATTGTTCCTTCCTTCTCGTATCGCGCTTCATCTTTCCCTTGGTCTTTCTTCTCCAGTGCACCGCGATTTTGTTCGCTCCATCTGTCTCCGGATGTGGCATTTGCAAGCACAAAGTTTACTCTCTAGGTTCATGCATGTATGTCGAAGCACCGCAGACCCTCGCGCCTGAGCCTTTGTGGACTCGAGTTCAGTCTTCTTCGTATAGGCACGCATCTCTCATTCTGCATCAGTAATCTGTTCTCGGTCCGGGATAGACTATTCTCGTCTTGTGATTGAACCCAAGTGATTCTCTGTCTGTTGTTGATTCATGGTCGTACTTACCATGCTGTGGGTTCCCATCCTCCAATCCTGAGGGAGCAGGTAAGGGAGATCTGCATGACCTACATGTATACCAATGACTTCCTCAACATGTTTTCTGATCACCAGCTACACGATAACTCGTAACCTATAGCTCGCACGGCTGACCAATATGGACAACCGCCCACCGTAGCTTTCGTATCATCGTGCCTGTTCGTTTATGATAAAGGAAGTCCTGGACTCTAAATAGAGACGGTTATAAACATTCGTATTTCTATATCAAAGTCTGGCAACCGAAATTGATAAAGTCAATATGACGGTGCCATGATAGTCGTTGTTGCCGGTCTGTTCAAAGCATTTTCCCGCAACGAGACGGCAACCTGAAAACTTCACAGATTCTGTAAGACCCGACGGAGAAACTACTGGGTTCAAAGCAAATAAACTTCGTGCAGCGTAGATTGTTTCCGTCCATCTCTTCGATGCTTCAGCTTGACTGAGACCCACCTGCTTTCCGACTCCTCCTACCTTCTTCTATGCACGTCAAGGGGTTTTAGTTGTGCATTCAGTTGGGGGTTCTCCTGATGGCACTCCTCTTCCTCGACCCATCGTATTCGTGAGAGAGTGGTATATCCTTAGCACGATCTACTGTATGTATCCTGCGGTTATGGTGGCACATTTCAGCATTTGCAACTATAGGGAGGTCGTCATGTCTCTCTGCCCTTGGAGAAGTGCCTCACTCTCTCGAGGTGCCGCCACATGCTTGAAACGAGAGAGAGACATATAGCAATCGATCGCATAGGCTCGTCTACTTGTACTCGTCATCCTTCTTCTCTACCTAGAACTATATATCTTGCGTACCTTGTGAGAAGCTGCCCTTTGAGACATTCTTCCCTTGACCAAAAGCGCTCAAATCGACCAGCCTCCATGAAGGGCCGTCCTGTTTTCACAAGTACGAAAGCGTCTGTGTAAGCATCGAAATCTACAGTTCTTGGACCACAGCAGTTTCTCCTGCAGTGGCGCACATTTGGCTTTGTGAGCAACTCCTGTCCTCCCCGAGAGCTAAAGTCTGTCACAATCTTGCAGTAGATCCCTTCTCCATCGCGGTAAAGGGTCATGATACGCTCCTCTAAGCGCACAGTTACATATCAAATGTGACTCTGGCCATCTAGATAGCCTTGGATGAGGCTCTTTCTATGGAAACCGCATTCTTTGCGAAAGTTTTGTGCATTTCTGCAGCTACGCTGTGACAGTTTTTAGCACACTGAGAGTGTTCAACAAAACATTTTGTGCATATCCATAGCTGAACCTGTGCTAAAATCATCTTGATGGACGTAAATATCACAGAAAAGAATGTTAGCCCAAATTCATATCCAGCTCTGGTAATCCTGGTGCACCAGCAGCCAACATGTCATCTACTGTCCAAGTGAATTGGTCGATTTGCTGTTGTGCTTGTTGCGTCGAGAATCCTTGATCCCACATTTCCTGTTATCATATGTTAATCACATGCTCAGCACAGCTCTGATATTGTTTCACGTACCCAGTCGATGTCGTTAGACACGTCTATCATGTTACCCAGGTTCGAAAAGTCATCTTGAACGCCCCATTGATCTGTTGCTGGCCAGTCACTGTTCGCAGGTAGGACGAACAACGTTGTCTTCAACTCTTCGGGAACCTGTGTCTGTGTAAAATCTGTTGCTTGCAGAACCGGAACTGCAATATCTGTGCCCTTGTCCATCCGTATCTTCTCCAGCATGATCGTCATTGCTTTGCATGCCTTTCTGATCTCTGCCACGGCGGCATTTTCGATCGTCTGGCCTGGTCTGTCTGATCCGAGATCGTCCTCCCCGCTTCCTCCCAAACTTTTTCGATGCCTCAAGCGCTGTTATCATGTCCTCGCGTGTAGCGATCTTGTCGGTTTCCGGGTCGGGTTGTTCGTTGAGTTGGCGGGCGAGCTCGAGGCAAATTATTATACTTGCCAACAAAAAGTCGTATGTACCCATGAAGCACATGTACCACGAGACACTCTCGAGTTGTCCGCCAGGTCGGGATGCCCGATAGACTGTTCGGTGATGCTCGAGTGTTCTCATCGCTGAGGAAATACAAGAGTTTCGAGAATAAGTCACCGCAGCTTGAGATGCTGATGCCACCATGAAACGACGGTGGAGAACTGTTTTGGCCTTGAGATAGGTCAAATCAAGACCAAAACGACACATCAAAGACTCCGGGTCTTCTGTCAGACACAGCTCCAGATCTCTGAATCGTAGTCCTGGTGGTATGGACGCTTTTGTGGCCTCTAACTTTGCATCCAGTTCCATGACTTCAGCATAAGACGGTGGTATTGTTGCGTGTGACATATCCGCTGCCAAAGCGAAAACCTGGACCAATCTTGTCTTGCTGGCGCCATATGCAGACGGAGTGAGTTGTTCGATCGGCCTTTGTGGTGGCAAAGTCTCGCTGTGTATGGAGAAGTCTTGGTCGAAGAGATTGTACGGAGGTTTCGTGTCACTCTGCACCGCACGCAGCATAGCAGGTAGACCGAGCTGGAAAGAACCAAGGGTGTCGAACATGTATAGCAAATACCAAACCCTTCGTCGCATCTCTCCTGCGAGTACTGATATGTTGCTGTAGTGACTGGGATCTCGGTGATAACCCATACGCAGAGCTAATCTAAAGATGATGCCCATTAGGAGCCAGCCGTCATTATGACTGTTATTCATGCTACCTCCAGCATGGAGTATTAAGCATTCCAACGTATACGTTTTTGGCTTCATATAGTTTCCCAATACAGCCGCCGATGCCGCTAGTTCTTGGTAGAGATCTGCGTTCCTAATCGTGGCACGTACTTCTGGAGTGTTAGGATTTCTCAGAGCACGAATCTTGAACAGACTTGCCATGCCGAACATTCCATACAGAACGCCCAACCACATCACTGGTGCGCTGGTTGGTGACCGCCAGAACTGTCGGTATTCGTGCTGAAATTGAGGGGCATGGATTATTGCCTTGTAAGGATGTGGTGTTCTGAACCAGAGCGAGATGAGTGCATCTGCTTCAATTTTGGGTGGCATGAATGACAGTAATTCGGCTTTTGTGACTCGGCGAGGCGAGCGTAAGAGGCCAGGCAATTCTTCATCATAGACGTTCAATGGTTCCTCGTTGTGCCATGCATCAAAATCGTCGTCTGAAGCCTCGTCGCCGGAGTCTTCTAAATCGCGTTTCAATTCACAGATACTGTTCAGTATTGTAGCCCAGTGTGACGACCCGAAGTAGCTATAAAATGGAAGGTATGATTAGCATTGTTTTGAGAGAGGGGGAGTGATTCGTCGCCATATTTGCCACAGCATCCAGTCCGCACGAAGCAAGAAACTTGTCGTCTCTAGGCTTTGCGTGTGGCAGCAGACTCTCGATATGCATTGGATCGACGAATGACGCTGCAACGATATAAAAAAGTTGCAGTTGCAGGATCGGAATGGCACTCGGAGTCTGTTGATCTATGCCCTCCACGCCATTTTATACGTACCTAGTACCATCTTTACTGATTTTGAGATGCCCGAAAGATTCTAGTTCGTGCGGTGCTTCATGCTGATGTTGTTTCATTGGTGAATTGCCATCCTCACTGTAAGGCGGAGTCACCTGAGGTTGAGCCTTGTCCACCTCGAACAAGCCTTGAGTAGCGGATCGTGAAGACTGTGAGGTGGGTGGGGATTCTCTGATACTGGTAGCAGTACTATCCGATCTTCCACTGGTTGTTGTGGTATCGTTACCATTTGATGACTTCGAATTCATCAAATCGACTACTAGCTGTTCGAGATGGTGAATACGACTTTTGACATCTTGTGGGCCCCTGGACTTCGTCTTTGGAGGTAAATAGGAGCATGCTGATTCTTTGCTTCGTTTGGTACATTGGTCGCATGGGGTCCTACGGTTACATCGGAGTTTGCCCTGTCGGCACGCTGTACAGCTGAGCTGGGACCTTGCACGCTTTTGCTTCGTATGCGCTTCATTCGAACCTCTGTTGGACATAACGGCTGTATCGAAGTGTGTTGTCTGATGTTTGGTGAGCGTGTCAAACCAGAGAAGGACAGGGATGGAGGTTGCTGCCTTGCCAAGCCTGCGCAACCGCTCCTTCCTCCAATCCTGGTATAGGACGGCGTCTGACGGTGCTAACTCCGAGTGTAGCTATACAGCCGCTCTCTCACCGGTGTTATCTGGCCTAATTGCTGCTGAAAACCCGCATCCAAGCAAACGCTTGAGCTGTTGTCATTAAACTTTGGAATGATGATTTTTGCAAGTTTTAAATGTTGGTAGGATGACCCTGTCTAGATGTGGGAATGCTCGTCATTAACACAGATTGGACTCTTGTGATAGAATGATATGTGTGTCTCTCTAGTAAGCATAGATGACTCGCAGAAAGTTTCAAAGCAATGGTGAATGCATGATTCTATCTCATATCCCAAAAGTGTCTTTTAACCCCTGTATTCTGTTGGGTTTATCATTCAGCACCACATTTCTCTGTGGCATTGTCGCCGTCTTTAAGTGCTGGATCACGATAGTAATCGATTGTAAGAATGCATGGCGGCTTCATTGCCATAAAAGTATGACTATCTGCTACTATCCATAAGGCGTATACGACTTGACAAGTCCATGCCACCGTCACAACTACTGCTTGTCTGTTCATCGTGCAATCAGCATTTCTCTTCATTTGTCTCATTCTGTGAGAAAGAGCGAGCAGACTTACTGTTGTCACTGGAGAAAGTGTTGCTGACAGCATCCTTGGTTTGCTCGTACATGCTGGAGCTCTTGTCACTCGCCTTCTGAGAGCCCGACTTCATGCTATCAGGCTGCATGGAACCGGCTGCATTGTCCATGCCACCAGATGCCTTATCTTTGGTCTTGTCCATGCTAGACTTTTGGCTGTCGGGCATGACGGTCTTGGAGACCTTGTCAGTGAGCGATTCGCGTCTGTGTAGACGAGAGCATTGTTAGACCAGGTCCATGTCCATCGAAGCCTTTATGAGGAACGTACCCCTGGTCAGACATGATAGTAGTATTCGTGTATTTGAGGGTGGGTTGTTTGGACGAACGGAAAATATGGAATGGGAGGTTTGTTTCTCGAAGTTGACCTACAAAAGCTTGCCTTATATATCGCCAGACGAAGGGTCATGTTGGCGTGAAGTGTGACAACAGAGAGAGCTCACCTCAACCCCTCTATCTTCCCTGCTGCTTAGCCTTGAAGAGATGTCCTACATTGTGGTCAGGTTTGATTGGCCTTGGATGACATGGGCCTCCATAGAGTTACAGCATGAGGTGAAGAGATGCCAGGTAGCCCAGGTCTCCATATGAAGAGTCCACAGCGTCAGTGTCTGCGTGACGGCAAACGTCACACTGGGTGGAGTATGAGTACTTTTCACATGAGAGATACAATTTCTCATCTGAAATTATCTCGCGTCAAGGACCAGTGTCCGACGCATATCTCAGAAATTGGGGTCATGAACGTGGTGTGCATGCAAAGAATCTGACCTAGATGACATGACGTGCGACGAAGTTGCAGCGAGAGCAGGCTTATGGTGGTCTGTCCCACTCTCTCCGCTTTTGCCTTATTGCTATGCCATCACAATTCGCAGATTCAACTCATCTCTTTTACCATTTCGGCCCTCTCTCCGCCAGAATGACTGCCGGCCACTGCCATGATGCGCCCTTCTTCTGTCGCTATTACTCTCCATCGTGTTGTTGATGCTTTGGCCCAGCCTACTGCGGGTCTCGCTCTCGCTTGTACTCTTAATAGTTCTCATTGCGCATTCATGCAATCGCCGATTCCATCCACAAGATATAGGTAGTATTAAGCACAAGCCTGCCTTACGTCGTGCCCAGTGCCCGCCGAACATAGCCGTCCAGCAGGCACTTACTTGGAAAGCCTATGGCATCACATCCGACTCGCGACACTTTTTGCCCTAGTTTACTCGGTGTTATTTGGTCGTTGTGTTTCAAGTCCTGACTTGTGTCCTGGAGCCAGTCGTTAAAGGCAAGAAAGACCATCGAGGGCCCCACCTCACAAAACGTAGGCAGTTAAGAGGAAATCAGAGACGACGGTCAGCAAGATGCAGCATCAAGAGCTTGCGCACACCACATAACGGTCGCGCGCCCCGATGGCGCTGATCTGCGGTTTCGCTCTCGCGTTACCTGTTATGGCAGTAGTGTCACTACCCCGTAATTGAGCACGCTCTGGCACGAATCGCTCATGGCGTTGGCAAGAGTGGCTGTGCCAAACGTAAAACTGGAAGGGAAGAGGAGAGGCTTTTCCGGGCTGAATCTTATTGGACGAAGGGATCCACCACCGATTGGCACTTGTCGTGCCTTTCACATTATTCTTGAAACATTTTCCCTGGCATTGACCGTGGGCAGCACATTTTCCTGCACTTGCCGCAAAGAGGACTCCCCTTCCTTCGAATGCCTATATCAAGGTTTCGATATAGAATCCTGGGCAAAGGCCCAGAATTACCCCAATCTTCTCGAGTATTGATTCGAATGGGAAACAAGGCTGCAGTGTGCAATCTGCCCTCTCCTTCATCTTGACACAAGCATCGCAGATCCTATCCGAACTTCTCCGCAATATTACCTCTGAGTAAAAAGAGTCTTATTGATTGGGCAGCGGATCGACTCATGTTGGGTGATGGTGATGTAGTGGGTATGCCATGGACCCAGCATTCGGATCTTCAATTGCGCACGCGGCGCGCCGGAGCACCTTTAACCGTTGGAGATGCCAGCAGACAAGCTTGGACAGCAGTCAGGTCGAAGCAGCTTTAGTGTTTCTTACTGCAACCCAAGAGGAACGACTGTCAAGTCTCGCAGAACAGCCAATGGCGCATCTGAACCCTCCTTCTTGCGCTTAAATCGCCAAATGGTGCAAGACCAACAACACCACCTCTCCTGACGAATTTCATGATCGCTGCCTGCTGCAGCTAATAACTATTGGGACCATTGTTGTTCATTTACGCAGAGCGTGTGATCTCCAAAGCCATGTCTTCGGAACATGCCATGTTGAGAAAGAGTAGCAGATCATGCTTGATAGGTACTCAGGTGTATGCGTATGCAATCTTGACGGAGGAATTCTATCCCCGAGTCCATTATGGGCTCACGCATTTCGTTGCGCATACGTGTCGGATCGCATTGGTGCACATCACCTCTGGAGATTACTCATCATACCGACCACCTAATAGCATGAATCTGCATGTGATAGTAATCTCTCCGAATTATTCGCAAGCCACGCTAAAGATCTCGGAGAGCACACCATCTAGTTTGGCAGGCTCATCAAAGGGATCGTGGCCCGTGGAAAAGAGTCGAGGATTCGTGCAACGATGTTGATCATAATCGTTAGGATGGCAGTTGTGGCGTCCAATCGCAAACGCTAGGAGCGGCTCCACATTGTCTTAGTTGCAAAGGGAAAGAGGTCGCGCTTGTGTGAGTTTCAGGCGTCATGAAGGAGATCAAAACAACAACCAACGATGTAGGAAGGCAAGGGATACTGGAGAGGCAGCGGGCATTGGAGAAAAAGATCATGAGCAGAAAGAAGGCTTCTCATATGTTCTGGTTCAAACCAGAGAAAGCAAGTCACTATATGTGCATCGCAACCAGTGCCAAATTTGATCTCGTATGGCATATTAATCCTTCCTCCCTAAAAATCATAACTCCAAGTCTTCTGTCCGAGATAACCTCCCAAGTCGTGTGCTGTCGATACATCTAAAAACGCCCTATAAGATACATAGCCTGCCTCCGATTTTATACACCGCTGAGAACGCCAAAGATGAGGTGCGCGAGAAAGGTCTTGCAGAAACTGAAATAAAGATGCGAAAAAGGTGAATAAGAATCATCCTGCAAAGCCAGGCGCATTGTTGCTAGGATCTTTTAACATATGCGCTACCCGGAGCTTGAGACATAGGATGCTGATGATGCAGATCGTGCTCTGTCATGGCTGATCCTAGTTGTTGGGGGTGGTACCATTGTGTGGGAAGAGAATCGTGTCTTGACGAATAATCCATACCCATAGGGGGCTGTTGTTGGTAGTAGCCCCATTGAGGAGGGTACATACCGATCGGAGTCATGGTAGGCTCGCTGGTGACGGGGGTAGATAAGGATTCGGAGATGGTACCAGGTGGTGCCCCTGTGTCCAGAGGTGCGAGATTGTAATGTGAGGAACCTGGTCTTGTGTATTCGATCGGAGCAGCCCCGGGCGCAAAGCTTTGTAATTGGGGTTCAATATGTCCATATGACATAGAACGTATCGGGGGCTGCTGGAGAGCATATTCATCTCTTTGCGGTGGGTAGGCGAAAGACGGGTATACGTTCGGGGAATGTTCAGCCGTCGTCGAGTAATTCGAGTAATCGCCCATTTGCGATGAATTCCAGTGCACAGGTGTCGGAGGCTCAGTTCCTGATATATCACCAGCGTAAATGGAGGGATAGCCAGGGCGAGCAAAGGCAAACTCGGATGCGACTGNGTGCTAGAGATCGGTTAATATAAAAGTACTCATCAACTTGCCATGATGCGTCTTACTAGCTGTAGAAATGCCCAGTCCCGTATTGGGATCAACTGTGCCATATTCCGGAGGTGCGTTTGAAGCAAGGTGAGGAAAACGACTCATTTCATGATCGTGCTCGAGTTTTGGGCCTGAAGGATGCATCTCTGTCGGGGAGTTGGAGATTACTGAAGAATCCTTGGATCCCTTTGTCTGCGCGCGACTCTCTGGACCTCCTGCTGAGTCGACAGGGTAGAAAACACACTCCTTCTTCAGACGAATACAGTTGTTGCATCTGCCCATATCGTCACCCTCCGCAAGGACACATCGTATTTTTCTGCGCCTGCAATGGGNCTAGTAGGAATTAGTAATCAGATCTCGAAATCACGGACAATCCAGCATTTACTTACAGCAAGCGATCGATATGCGCTGATAGCCTAGTTTGTTTCTCCTCTTGTCAAGAGCGCTGGGGGATAGCCCTCCTGACTCCTGGACAGAGAGTCCATTTAACTGTGGGGTTGACGAAGCGCGTTTGAGTATAGGGCTCATTTTGACCTTCGAGTTCTTCCTTCTCTTCGCAACTCCGGCAGATGTCGAATGTGGTAAAGTTGGTGTATGATAGTAGCTTGCTGAAGGTGCGGAGTCTGTAGGTGATGTTGGGTCAAAGTCGGAGTGGCCGTCTTGTATGTCGATTTCCGGCATATCTATGTCTGTTGAAAAGAAGTTCGAGGTAACACAAAATCGAGCGGTTTGGTGAAGCAGACCAGCGGACTCGTGTAGTCTGTAGTGGCAATGAAGGAACTGAAGTGAGAAACACTACACAGCTCGATATCAAAGACTTTGGCAAGCGCCGGCCATTACTCAGGAGAGAGGAAAACAATGAATTGCAAGAGCGCGACTATTCAAAGATTTCAAGTCTCTTGAAGAGAATGCGCCGTGACACCGAGACCTCAAACGCGGTGTTAGATCCGATGCAAGGATGAAGCTTGACCCTATATGTGGACGCGTAGGATGAATGCGAGATGATATGATGATGGAAAAGTGACAAGGTTGAGCCGTGCGAGAAGCAGTTGCCGGGACTATCAGTTCGCAGATCAAAGAGGAAGCAGTAACGAACGAATGGAAGAAGACAAGTACAAGAGAGGAAGTTCAAGAGGAAAAGAGGGCTACTGATGGGCTACAGGTTGCAGAGCGAACAGGCTCGGGCCTTGAGACGGAGTTACCGATTCCTGGGGGATACACCCACGCCTTCTGGATGCAGTAGAAGAGTCGGTTACGAGATTGGCCATTGCTAAGGTGGCAAATGGGAGACAGAGCCCTTGACTTGTTGCATTTTTGGTTCCAATCCTTGCATTGGGCTGGGCATGATGGATGGTGGCTGTTCTGCCCAGTTCAACGGCGGAAATGTCACTCATGATCCATGCCTGGGTCTCGCGCTAAGAGTGCTCGGACCCGCTGATGTACGTGGGATCAAAGGAGCGCCTTCTAGACCTGGAAACACATGGCTCATCTACCGAGGCTTCAGAATGCATCTGTCTTGGGTNCTTGTACGATGTGCGCACGGCACTTTCCTCGCCAGGNNCGCGTGCTGCTGCAGCAGCGACATNAATATCCACAAGGACAAGCGTCTCCGCGCATAGCCTGCTCGCTGAATTGGATTCTCGTCCACNCGAGAGGGGCAACGAATTGTAAGCAATGAGTTGCTGATCTTCTTCTCTTGCACTCACCAGGTCACATAGCCTAAACAGATCGTTGGGCCACCCAGGGCGCCACGTTATTTGGCAGAATTTGCCTGGTTGAGANNAGGGATTATCAGTGTCATGGAGTTTGGCGTTCTCATCTCCGCTGGCCATCATGATGAACAGCGCCGCGTATCACTTCTCGTAGTGCTGTTTCATAACGACCTTCCGAATGCGTGGGCAACGAGTGTCGCTCACTTGTCATCGATGACGCAGAGCTTGTGTGGTCTGAAAAGTTCGCGCGCTTGCTTGCAGGAAACAGCGTTGAACCGATTAGCTCCAGGACCGCGCGCCACTTTGGCCCCACCGCTTGTTTTGCGGCTCTTAGTGGGGAGCTGGCAGATCCAGCAGAAGATGTGCATGCGATCAAGTGGATGACTAAAAACCCACCACCGAGTCTTGCGACGACGCTCCTCGAACAGGAATTTCGTCTCAGAGCTACCACTTCTTCAGAACACCTGAAGCATCGATCAATGCGCCATGTTCAATTTCTCGATGCTGTGCACTCTCCCAAGCAAGGGCTTGAGAAGGCGCAGTCTGAGAGCAACCTTGATATCCAGCCACACACAAAGGCGTTCGAACGCTTCAACAGCTGTGGTACCGAGCGGGTTCCCCAGTGCCACGCTTTAGTTGCCGGCAATTGGCGCAAGCATTACAAGATTGAAAACATACTTGGGATTGTGTATAGATCCTCAGCTCGTGGATGCTCATCGTATCAAGCACCAAGCTTCATGGAAGCATATCTGAGAGACTAATTATTGGCTTCGCTGCGCCTGTTCTACTTGTCATTCACATACGAATCTTTCCCAAGATCGCATAAGATAGCCACTTCTATCAGTGGAGCACGAACGTCCGCCGAACACTACCCACCGACGATCAATACGTGCTTCGCCTCTCCGAGAGTCTATCACCACGTGAAAAGCTGACTTCGGAACGTTGCGTTGGTTGTCAGTCAATCATATGCCCTATTGCAGCTTGCCATTTCCGGGGCGTGCAAGTGTTGCGTGCTCGAATGCAACGATCCGAACTTTGGAAAAATCCAACAAAGCATGCGATGCTTCTACCGAAGCAGCCAGGCACTGTCGTGTCTCGAACCGTTGCTGTAACTTCATCTACTTAGCTCGTATTACCATCATACCTCGTAGATGACTCGTGTTCGCGAACTCGATTTGAAAGCGATGGATGTTTGCAGTGCTCTCAGACTCGAAGCTTAGCTGCTCCCAGGCCTCCCTCGTTTCTATCATCACTAGCAGGATTTGCTTGGTAATGGTTAGCGAAGAAGACGTAATCTCGCCTGAGTCGATGAGGAGTCAAGGCCCTAAACTTCTGATCCAGACAGCAAGCGAAGTGTGCACTGTACGCGACCCTTTGGCTGCTTGCTGCGCGAATGAAGGTGTCGTTGAGGAATAAGTGGAATATGTGCCATGTGACTGCCGAACGAAAGAACACTGAAATTTTCTGGCTCGCTTTGTGTCCATGCTGTCTCGTGTTTCTCTTCCATTTTCATTCTTATTTTCTGACCGCTCGTACCTTCGTCTCCGTCTCGTTCTTCTTTCGTCTTTTTTATACCATATGATATCTCTACACTCTGTGTTCACTTCTCTGTGTGTCGGTCTGTTTCCTCTCCTATCACCAACGTTGACGATGGTCTAGCTCCGCAAAATATCACCCTCGCCTCTTGGAGTGTCGTACCACCTCACGGCCAAACGTATGTGACAGACTTTTCACATACAAGGAAGCTTCGGTCTACTCTTTTTCTTCTTTTTCTTTTTATTTCTCCCTCCTCGGTTTTCACGCCAAGGCGTTGCATCCCCTTCTAACTTCGTCGATCATGGTTCTCTGGCAGACATATAAAGACGGCCACGTTGGCCTATCCAATGCAAGGTTTGCCCGATGAATAATAGTATAAGGACTTCTCTCCTTGTTGGTCGGTGGGATGCCGTATCAATTCCTTCAGTGGTGATTTTTTAGTCGCCGAAACCGGAAACAACCAAGACCCGGCGGTACTAAAGGCGTAGCATCTCCGAGGCTACCCCAGATTGAGGACAGCGCCGCTTTCTTGGTCACATGGAGGAGGCAGGAGGCGCGTTCTCGTACGAGCAACTGTTTTGCAACAACTCGAACGAAGACAAAACGATGTTCAGAGGAGCGGTGAAAGCGCTTTGAATTGGTAGATCTGGGTAGCTGATGACTTGTCATTCATGATAAGAGTCTTCTTGGGCTTCTGAATGACTCCAATTGGTTTATCTCAAGCCGTAATCTTCCTTCATGGACCAACGTTCTAGATAACATGCAGCTGAGAGTAAAGATAGCGTGGTCAGACTGACCAATGGCGGCGCTGATGATGCAACGCCAGGTCTTGTCCTAGGCCCTTTTATCTCTTGGGCTCCGCATTTTCCGTGCGGGGTATCTATCCTGTATCTCTGAGGGAACACTGTCAGGAAAAGAACAATCAACCCCTTCTCGTAGCATGTCCTATTGTCTCTTCTTCAATTAACCCTTTCGAGAGCATATCATCAACATGGCGGACACAATCACAATTCCATCGCCGTCGGTCTTTCTCCGTGCCTCGCCGGACCCTGTTCCCGGGCTTGATAACAGCCAGCAAGGATTCGACGACGAGCAAAACAAGACGGCTNNGCCGCCAAAAGCGAACCACGACGAGAAAAAGTCTGTCGCCTCGACAGCAAAACCTCGTCGTGAAGGTGCTGCTGTAGCCAAACCCAAGCAATCCAAGAGTCGTAACGGTAGGCTGCAATCTCATCACGAATACTGATGACACTCACCCTTTCCTGTTCATGTACTAAAGCAGAATGACTTTCANGGTTGTGTCACTTGCAAAGCCAAGCGTCTAAAATGCGATGAGAAGAAACCTGGATGCGAGCAATGCAAGAAACGAAACGTAGACTGTGGTGGCTACAAGAAGGACTTCAAGTGGAGGCCCTTTGAAGAGACCAACGTCGCCTCCAACATTGCCAAACAGAACAACGGATGTGAGTATTCGGAAGCCGCGGGACTCAACATCTTGAAGTGTCAAAATGTCGAGTCCTTGGAACTTACCTGCTTTTGCCATCTATGCCAGATCGTTTTCGCTAACGCACGTCTTCTGCANGCTTTGATCGTGCTGGGTAACACAGCTGACAGCTCGGGAAAACGAAGCCCAGTATCACCGCCAGCGAGAGCACCGTCGTCGGAAGCACCGGCTCAGTTATCATCGTCGTTCGCACAGCAGCTGTTCGTGGCTGCTCCGGCACAGCCGAGTGTTCCGCGTGCTACCTCTGCCGAAAAGGAGCGCTCGGTCCCTAATTCATCGAGAACATCACCTGCTGAAGTACAAATCGAGCAAGCTGCATCCCCTACAGACTCTGCCAACGACGCAGGAACATCGTCTCGAGGGTCACCTCATGGCATACCCGTCATCGACGGTTCACCGAAAGAGAATGACATGACGACGACAGCTATGATGCCGGGCACCAAAGAAGTCTTCGACTTCGACATGCACTTCATGGATGAGTTCCTGAACATGACAGACCCTCCACTCATGGAGAACATGGAGATGGACTTCAAGGATGTTGAAGAGCTTACCCCAATCGTGCCAGACTACGATGCCTGGGCACAACAGCTTTCTCACTGTCCAACATTCCAAGATGACAACACCATGTCGAGTCCGCCGGCCATGGTGTTCCCCCAACGAATCACTTACATGTATGAGCAGCCCTCGTTCGCACAGACCAGTCCAGAGATGTTGATGCTGCGGTTCGACCGACTGACCTGTGGCATCCTTTCTATCAAGGATGGACCAAACGAGAACCCTTGGCGTACATTGATCTGGCCGATGGCTCAGACCTCGCCAGCACTGTACCACGCCATCTCTTCGATGACCGCATTCCACTCATCTCGTGATATCCCCGCTTTACGTGTAGCAGGACACGAGCATAAGAGTGAGAGTGTGCGGAACTTGCTTGAAGGTATCGAGGAGAGTACCATGAACCTTGACACAGCCATTGCCACCACGCTGGCCCTAGCTTTCGCAGAGACTTGGGACCAGCACCTTTCGAGCGGCAATGACCACATCCAGGGTGCCCGAGCTATGATTAACATCGCTCTGAACCAGCACAAGCAGTCGGCTTTGACAGGTCTGAACCTCGCTAGACTTAAGTTCCTTGCCAACGCATGGGTCTATCTGGATGTCCTTTCCCGTGTGACCACCGCAGATGAAGACACGTCTGACGACTATGACAATCTTTATTGCCTTTACAGTTCGCCTGACAGTCCTCAAGTCGGTCCCTCGGGTCACGCAGGTTTCGGCATCGACTTTGGTCTGCCGATAGACTCGACCCTCGATCCTCTAATGGGTTGTGCAAGCACTTTGTTCCCATTGATTGGTCGAACAGCAAACCTGATTCGTCGCGTGTACCGCGCCGAGTCGAACTCGCCTCCCATGATTAGCCAAGCCATGGAACTCAAGCTCATGCTCGAGACCTGGGAACCACCGGCTTTCGTCGACCCACCAGAAGATCCCACATGTGATGTTCGTCATGCTTTGCAAACAGCAGAGGCGTACCGCTGGGCTACACTCTTGTACCTGCACCAAGCACTTCCTGAGATCCCTGAACGCCTTACAACGGCAGACATGGCAAAGAAAGTGCTCGTGTTCTTAGCCACCGTGCCTCTCGCCAGTCGTTGTGTCATCATCCACGTCTACCCTCTCTTTATGGCTGGCTGCGAAGCCGACGTAGAAGAGGACAGACAGTGGATCAAGAGCCGCTGGTCTGCCATGTCACAACGCATGAGAATCGGCATCATTGACAAGTGTGTCGACGTCATGGAAGAGGTTTGGCGCAGAAGGGACGAGTACAAGAACAAAGTCTTGCCTAACAAGGTTGTGCCCGTGAGACGAAACATGGTTTCCCCTACAGATTTGCATTCATCTGTTGGCAACAACAGACCGGCGTCAAACAGACGTGGTTCGTCGTTCAACAGCATTGCAGGTGCAAGTGAAGGTACCATGGCTTGGGCGAACAAACTGCGACGAATGACTGTCGGCGACCCAGACAAGATGGATTCAGCATCCATTTCTTGTCGAGGCTCTCGTGATGCAGTCAATGGAGCAACAGGTACACTTCTCACAGTGCGTGGGAGGTTGCATTGGATTGGCGTGATGAAAGATTGGGGTTGGGAAGGTAAGTTCCTTTGCAAGCATGTCCGCATTCTCGCATAAGCTGACCGTATCGTAGTGCTGCTTGGATAATGATGATGTTGCATGGAAGAATGTCGCTTGGACGATAGTTGCATAAAATGGCCGCCTAGGAAGATTGTCGCTTGCATGAGCCACGTACACAAAATGTTGCTTGGACAGATATGTTCTGATAGTGGTAGGCGCTTGGAGGAGTTTGCCGGATTTTTGGATGTTGCCTCTCAAGAAATGATGTAGAGTGCATAACGAAGTTTTCAAGAACATCGTCGTGATATGTTGCTTGGTTGGGTTTCGAAAGTGTTGTTGCTCAAGGATGGTCGCAATGGATATGTCGCTATGGTACTGTATCCGTGTAACCGTGTCGAGATGGTATGGATATCAGATCATTCACTCAGGCAAACCTGCAGGGACTGCAATGCTGATTGAACATAATGTCGATGATGTCATGATGCCTGGAGGGTTGCTCAAGATTGTCGCTAGGAAGAGTCGCTGGGAGGTATCGCTGGGGAGTGTCGCTAGGAAAGGTCGGCAAGGTTGCTCTGGATATGGCTGGCTGAGTTGGGTTGGGTTGGGTTGCTCAGGAGATACTGCTTTGGTAAATACTTTCAATGGGTTTTGTCGCTAAGGAATTGTCGCTTTGGTTTCTGTCGGAGCATGAAGATGGATATCTTTCACACACATGGCTGCTGCTTTGGAGTGTTGTAGTGCCGACACCGATTTGATTATCATCATAACATGACAATGGATAGTTCGGAGTTGAAAGATAACAGGGGATGAAGTTTTGATTTCTCTTCTCTGCAGTTTTTGGGGGGTCGTTGGATGTTTAATAACGTACACTTTTGACTGGAATCTTTTGGAGAGTCTTTCTGGTGAATCGTGTTCTGCATCTTGTGAGATCCAAAAGAAGCGTAACCTCGGGTGGCAGAGGGAGACGGAGCGTTTTATGAGAGCGAGGCTTCGGGCGGCGGGCGCACGCCGCGGGCAAGGCAGCTTGGCAAGCCCGCACGCAATAGCGGGGTTGCATGACTCTCGGGACAGACCTTCTGGTTTTGGACGCATCCCTGCCGCCTTCTCCACCACCGCGGAACAACAGGCGGGGTTTGCCCTGACCCATTTACGGCTTATCTACATGCCTATCACTGGATAGCAGTGTGCTCTTTCGGGCTATCTAGTCCTCTATCTTGTCTCTACCCATGTCACGACCTGACAACCTTACAATCTCACAATCTCAGTGAACGTGCCGAACTACCTTGTAGAGACTGGTATCCAGTAAGTCTATCAGCATGTAGGTGTTCAAAGAAGTAGTTAAAAGGTGGTGGATTGGTCTACTCTGTTCACGTCAAATACAACACCATTCCTACTGTCCCCGTGCCATATACGATATGTCTGCCCCTGTTGCAATGAAGCACTTTGCGAACGCTCAGAAAGAGTACAAGCCTCCTCTCATCGCCAATGAGAATGCTTCCCTCGGGGATGTATACAGCAGTGATCAGACCAATCCTGAGCATCCTATCAGCTGCGGCTTCTACAGGCTTGAAAAGGGTATTGTTTTCCAATCTCTGACGGTTGTGACCAATTCATCTGACACCACCTCCCANAAAGGCACCCCACTCGTCTACACATACACGTATGACGAAATGAAGATCATTGTGGAAGGTGTGTTTGTTCATCTACATCTGCCCAATAGAACTGATTTCGGAATACANGGTCAATATACCATTTCGGATGAGACGGGCAACAAAGTGGAGGCCAAGCCTGGTGATGTCTTCTTCTTTCCCAAGGGCTCGACCATCACCTTCACAACCGAGGATTACGGCTTGGCCTTTTACACCGGTGCCAGGAAGGAAGGTGCGGCGTAATTGGGAGGCCGGGTCTTGAATAGGTATCCTAGGATCAATTTATCCCGACCTCCAGCTCAACATAAATGAATGAATTTATGAGAATCAATCGATATACACATTGTACACCTTGATGGCGCAAGGTTGTGAAGGTACCGGGCACGCGCATTTTCAAACAAGGCAAACACATGCATGGCAGCTTCCAGCTGCGTCAGAATCTTTGAATTTCCTCATCCGTCAACTACATACTCTACAGCTTGCTTGTGCGAGAACGATAACGTCTCACGTTCCAATCCAATCCACTTCGATTCGAAAAGCTTCGTCACCGTCATCCTCCAATACTACAACACAACATAAAGAAGAACTCGCACGGAGCGCAATAAACCAACCATGCCCAAAGAACGCAACTTCAACCCCGTCGCAGCCCAGCACAAAGCAGACAAGAAGCAAGCGCTCAAAAGTCAAAAGCAAATGTCCAAGCGCAAAGAAACGAAAAGCTCGCTCGCCGCAACCCAGAANCGTCTGCAACGACAAATAGACGACCTCAAATCCCTGGCTACAACCCAGCAACTGCGACCAAAAGACCAAGCCACCCTCGAACAGCTCGANAAAGATTTGCGCGCTGTCAGAAAAGCAAGAGATATCTTGGGTGAAAAGGCACCAGAGTTTAGGCCGAGGCGAGAAGACAGAGAAGGAGGTCAAGGACAAGACGGCAGAAAGAGGAGAAGGCAAGATGAAGACGAAGATGAGACAGATGAGGATGTGAGGAAGATTCCTATGCCGAGAGATACACCGCCGCCCATCCCACGCAGAACCCAACCGCATCAATTGCCGAACAAACCTGCTGCTGCTCCAGTGCCGGCGCAAACGACATACAGCTCTGCCCCCGTCCTGCGCAACCTCAAGGAAGAGGCGAAACGATTCGTGCCTGCTGCTGTGGCGCAAAACATTGCAAGACAAAAAGGACAAGGAGGACGATTGCTGGAGCCTGAAGAAGCCGACAAGCTTGAGAAGGCCGGGTATAATGACGCGCGCAAGATCGCTGACGAGATGGAGAAGGAGGCCGAATTTGAGATGATGAGTCGAGGGGAGAATGGAGGGCCAGCGGCCGAGAACGCTTTGAGACACGTTGAAATGGAAGAGGTTGAAGACGAGGGCCTCTGATACAACACATCTAATCCACGGCATTCACGACATTATGAAGAGAATTTATTCATGATTCATTTACTATGACTACTGTGTTCGTCGGCACTATTTACAACTTGGGCGTGTTGGACGAGGAGGACCTGTCAACGAGCGATCAGCACGAGTGCACTACTCGATGTTCCTATGCCACCAGTGGTTTGCTTACCAACACCAAGCTTCGATTTCATTGCAGTAGTAAACAGGCACTTACATGTGCTCGTGGAAGAAGTTCAGCAAGACGCCGTAGGCATCCATGTAGTTCTTCTTGACGTTCTCGTCTTCGAGGTCGGCACTGTGGACTCCAGTTAGCTTGTGTTCCGCAACAGTCCAATCCAAAGAAACTTACCGAGCAGCCATGAACCCGTGAACCTGATCGTTGTACCACTTAACAAGGTGCTTGGTCTTGACACCCTGCTCCCACTTCTCGACAGCCTCCTTGTCCTCATCCTTGCTAGGCAACATAGCAATGGGAATGCTGATTCCAGCGGCATCGTTGGGATCAACCATGGCAGGGTGGCATGCAGCAGCAGCCTTGAAGACGGTATCCTTCTGCGAGGACAAGTTCACAATCTTGCCGCCCCAGCAGAAGCCAACGATACCGAAGGATGCAATGTTCTTGTTCTGGCTCTTGATCTCCTCGATGACCTTGGGAATGCGGCTGACGGTCTTGGGTGGTGCACCGGTGGTCTGGAAGAACTTGCCGAGACGCTCTTCCTTCTCCTTNNCTGTTATGGTTGTCAATCATCTACTGCTAGAAATGGTGTGCATGGGAAGACTCACAGTGTCGGGAGGGTAGTCGTTGATGTCAACAGGCTTGCCCTCGAAGAAGTCGGGCATGAAGACCTGGTACTGGTTCTCCTTGTCGCTGGTTGCAAGGATATCGGCACCCTGGAGAGTTTGGTCCTTGAAGCCAAAAATGTCGTAAATGACAAGAATGGCCTTCTTTGCATCGCTGGGACCAGTCTTGTATGTCTTCATGCCATCAATGGTTGTGTAAGTGCCCTTTGCATCATAGCCCTTGCTAATGACAGGAGGGACGGTACAGCAAGCGTGAGACTGCATTGTGGATTGGTATCTAATGGGTCTGATATGTGTGATGTAGCTGGGGAAGGAACGAGTTGAGATGGGCTTGAAGCACAGAGAGAAAGGTGCAACGGGCAAGCGCATCTTTCTTCCTTACCCAATCGATGATTTGGCCCAAGGAAGCTCCACCGAGGAATCGAGAGCTCGACATGTGGGGTATACCACGCGTCATAGTCCATCAGATCCCGCATATCGATGCCGATGCCATCCGGATGACCCTGGCCATTCAATATCACTCCGAACGACTTCGCTTTTGTGGTACTATGCAGTGGTATTAGGAATGCTAGAATTGCAGAATCATCTTCAGTTCAGAGGTGCAGTTATAGAGACTCTTCTCCCCGTGTATGCTACTCTTGTCGGAAGTATTGTTTGTTCTCATGGGTACAGAGTGTGAATTGCAAGCATGGATCCGGTCGAGGACTCCGGCCCGCAAGCGTCACTTCAGCTCTGCATATTGTGACATTCCAGTGTGGTTATGTTACTCGACACAGGTGATTGAACATTGAATTGCTGTCACCATTGAGATCAAGGATGGCAGGATAAAAAGATGTAAATATCGACGATTATATCGCAGCTTTTGGTAGAGTTCGTATATCATAAACATTATCAGTCATTAGTTCCGTCAACAGTCCCATCTCTTTCATGTAACAATCAACCCGTTCTTGCTAGTAGCCAAGATGTCACTCCACGACACATCCAGAGAGCCCGTGTCGTCTCTTGCAGCCCACACTTTCGTAGCTACATCTGCAGCCACGAACAAACTGCCTACACCAGACTGCTGACCAACTCTGTACATGAATGCAGAAATCTGCTCGCGATGGACAGGGTCTAGAGCTTCACAAGCCGCAATGAAACCAGGCCAAGCGACGTAGGCAGAAGTGTCACCGTACTTGTTCTTCTTCTTCTCGTGTTCCAGGAGGTGGTGGATGGTCTTGCCGACGTAGAACTGCAAGGTAGTCGCATTCGTATCCTTTACTCGTCGGTAGAAGTAAATAATCAAAGCGCTGTGCATCGCTTCGAGGAAGTTGTAGAGAAGGTCTGTTCGCACCTCGATCTTGTCGGATCGTTCTGCTGGCCCGTACACAATCAGGGTTTGCTTCTCAGCCAGTAACTTGTAGGGGTTCTTCCAATCGCAAATCTTGCTTTCGATCATCTTGGCTCTTTGCGCAAGGTCCTGAGACATACCGCCAGGATATGTGGAACGGCTCCGTCGGACCTCATCAGCCAGATGAGTGGCGTGCGAGATCAAGCGGAAGAGTGACTCAGGGATGCCGTAGATCTGCTCGAACATGGTTGGTTCGTCTTGGTCGGCCGGAAACTTCACCAACCGCGTCTCCAAATCTGCCATGTCCTGGAAGTCAAGATCCGAGCCCATCTTCACGCGGTCGGTCCATAGCGAAGGATAACGACAGATCGCGCTAGGTTTCTCATTTGAGATGGCGTACGAGTGGTCGGGCAAGTAAGATTGGGCGTCCTCGACTGGGGTAAAAGTGCTCTCCTCGATAATCCGTAAATAGAGGTAGATACTGTGCAGCATGTTGACTTTTCGTGATTGCTTGGGCTTCTTCAAGCTTTGCATGTAGATGAAACGTTCGGCATCCAGAAGGTAACACCTTGCTTCCTGCATTTGTCCGCTGACCACGCAGACTGTAACCATACTGGTCAGGGCCATCAAAACCTCCTTGTACTTTGACTTTTTCTTCTCCTCGCTCTGCTCACGAAGGCAAAGCTTCAGTCGTGCCTTTGCCTTCTCACGATACGATTCTGCAATGGATTGCCAGTTGTCTGCCTCCATCGGATCAGTCTGTAAATGCTTCAGGTTGAAAGCGCTCATAGCAAGAACTGCAAAGAGCAATGTCATTTTGGCATTGTTCGAATCTCCGAGAAGTGACAATTCTCCGTAAGCACTGATCGCGCAAGGGAGATGCAGAATCTTCCATGGGGGCTTCTCATGGTGCAATGGCGTAAAGCAGGACATCATAGAGGTTTGGTAGTGATCCAGCAAAGTGCGCATTACTCCAGGTGCCATTCCTGCAACGTCTTGAGAGAAGGTCAATGTGACAGGCGTTGGTAAGCGCGGGCTAAGAGGGAAGAACCTAGTCAGGTCTGTGATACTGGAAGGATCCTCGACTGCATTGAAGTTCATGTTGAAGGCCTCATCCATGCCTTCGCCAAAGTTGAACATAGGTGATGGAGTAGCCCATGATAGAGGAAGAGGGCTCTTCGTCACAACAGGTTGGAAGTCATTCGAAGGTTGCTCAACGTTCATGAAGTCAATGCCGTACCAGTCATCCTCGGGTAGTGAATGAATAATCGGCAGAGCTTCAGGCTCAGGTACAGGTGGAGATGAAGGAGTGAGCGACGGTGATTTCGGCTTGTGCAAAGAAAAGACTCCAAAAGGTCCATGGTTAAGTGGCGCATCGTAATCCAAAGTTTCGGCTTGAGTATCCAGTTGCAAAAGAAGGCCCTCGATCTGGTGCTCAGGCATTTGTCTTGTCATCCTAGAACACTCTGCAATACGCTCGCGATCTAGCGCGTGGTTAGTATCAAGATAGCATTATATTCCACATGAGAACTTACCCGAGAAGATCGGTTTCCTACGAAGGCCCATTTCTCTTTCCGGCGATTCTGTACTGCATTTTCGAGAAGTAGTCTTGTTAGGCACCCCGGGGTCAAGCCAGATTAGTCCTTGAACAGCGCCTTGTTGAACACAGTCCAGGTTTAGTCGCCTGCAGGCCGAGCATTTTGGTAGGCTTCTATCGCATTTGACCTTGCGCGAACGGCAGGTGGAACACGCGTTTGATCGCGGACTCATTGCGTTTCTATGATCTGCTGCAAAGATTACAGAAAAAGAGAAGGCAAGACCGAGTCACCAGATAGGAAAATATGCGAGGCCACGAAGGCCGAAGGCCTGTCGTTTTGCTCATACCGGTGAAGTGCTGTTCGGAGTAAAGGTGTGGTAAATCGGGGAAAACACTCTCAACGGCAAATTGGAAGTCGAAAACCGACGGTAGCAGACTTGATCGGAGAACACAGCGGGCTTAGTATCGAACACGACTTCGCGGATTTTGGTTGGGAAACGTTCCATAGAAACGGCCTTGCGTTCTCCGTCTGCTTTGCGCAAGAGGTCAAGGCTGAAGTAGGCTTTTCTCCTTGCCAGGTCGGCGTCTTCGGACAACTCGGTGTGTTCAAATTCTCCTTGTCCTGCTTATCGGCGTAAGGCTTCTCTCGGTTGGCCGAACTGTCTCCATCTCTGTCCTCGGCCAACACTTGCTCTCTTTGGAGTGAATCATGTTGGCCGCGATAGGGATATGAACTTCACCCCCCTCTTGACGTTACTCAAGCTTGATATAGATAGTTGTTCTCAGACACTCTGTTTTCCAATTGCAAGACAATCACACAATTTTAGTTCTTGATCCAATATGCACACCGACAAGTCCAAAGTTCTTTTGTTTGGCAGCGGCGGAGTTGGTACAATTGCAGCACTAAACCTCGAAGTTGGTGGTCATGCAGAAGTCACAGCTGTGTTACGCTCGAACTACAATGCTGTCAAAGAGAAAGGTTTTGACATTGCATCTTGCGATCATGGCACACTGGAAGGATGGCGGCCTACAGAGGGTTAGTCTTCTTGTTCAAGAGATAATGGTCAAGAATGCTAATGCCTNTCAGTCGTCAATCATGTCCCTAAAGCATCGGAGAAGCAGTTTGACTACATCGTCTGCACAACAAAGAACCAGCCCGACTGTCCACCTGCTCTGACTGAACTTATTGCTCCTGCTGTCCAGCCTGGCCGTACAGTGATCGTTCTTATTCAGAATGGGCTCAACATCGAGAAGCCGATTTTTGAGGCATTCCCCAACAACATTGTACTGTCAGGTGTGAGTATGATCGGATCACACGAAACCGAACCCGGTGTAATCGAGCATGATGATAATGACCGAGTACTGATCGGACCCTTCCGCAATACCAATCTGAAAGCAGAAGACGAGGAAGCCGCTGCGAGGGACTTTGTCCGTATCTATTCCGCTGGTGGGAAAACCGACTGCGAGCTGCAATTGGACGTCAACTTTGCCAGATGGCGAAAGTTGGTTTACAATGCTTGCCTAAACTCGATCTGTGCTCTTACCGGGCTAGACACTGGTCGTATTCGACTCGCAGATGGTGCGATTGATGGACTGGTCAAACCTGCTATGGAGGAGATCAGAGCCGCAGCGAAAGCAGTCGGCGTGAATCTGCCTCCAGACGTCTGTGACTTTATGATCAACATTGATCCCTTGACCATGTATCTANNCCCCCCTAGTATGTTGGGAGACATCAGAAAGGTAAGCCGAAGCCTAACTTTGGAATTCCTTACGAGGAGCCTCCAGCTAACAGATGCANNGGGCAACTTCACCGAGTTTGAGAACATTGTGGGAGAGCCTCTGAGAGTGGGTACTGCTCTAGGTGTTCCGATGCCGACGCTGCAGGTTCTTTACCATCTGCTCCAGGCGATTCAATGGAGAACCAAAGAAGTCAAAGGCAAGATCACGATTCCGCCCAAGGGAACCTTTGTGGCTGAGTAGATAACCACGCGTCAAGTCGATGAATGAAACACAACCAATGCTCACACAGGGTACTTCAGGAAACTCCCTCTTGCAAATGTCTAAGAGGATATACAAGTAGCATTGGGAGTCGGGAGAACGTGCCGCGTTCCGTCTTGGGATTGTAGACGATGTTGCACGGTCTCAACGTACAATACAGCAGACCCTGGGCTCCGCGGGAAGATACGATTAATAGGGTGCTCACTCCTATAAGGCTATGGCGGGCCGAGAAAAGCTATGATCATGGTTCGAGGAATGCCATTGTGTCCGTTGACTGTACGCAACTGTATGGCTGATCTCGAGTGGACAGCACGTTTTGATTGCTAGCCACGGCCTGCGGGCACATCTCGGTGTCGTTACGAGAGTCGAATGTGATGGTGAGCGCGTTGAGCAGCATGTCACCGGAAATAGTGCCAAGTTAAGCGAGAGCGCGCAGAAGGTTCTATTGCCTAAAAGTAAAGCAATAAAGTGGACTTCGTAAGCCAGTCGGAAGGTTTCCAGATCAGCATCACAGGACGTAAGCTTTAGAAGCGATATCAACCAATCAGAGCAACGGCATTGTCATCAACCGTGATCTGGTACTTTCGCGCTCGTGTTGTCTCCTCGGTCTCGCAGGCAAATCAGACATACGCGGTCGCACACGTCCAGAAGACATAACACGACAGTCACCATCCATTTCGAGACACGATCGTTGAAGGGCACTAGGAACTTGCATACCCGGAGTTGTTTATCACATCGCCAAGAAAGAGCATACTCCCCGGTTGTCGGACGACGATATACAGACCTGAGGCTGCAGCGAGTTGCGCGCTTTCCACCTCTGGCTTGGCGCGACCATTTCGTTCACAGTCCTCTACCTTGAAGGGTGTTGCGCATCCTGTCGATAAGACACACAAACCTCGAGTCCATCATTCTTAGAATGTCCAACCCAGCCTCGACGCTTGCGCCGTCCCCCGTCGCCGCTCCACGCTTGTCCAACGAACGCTCCAAGGAAGAACTCGAACTCGCCGAACGACTGATCGAGCACTCGCAAGGCATTCAGCATGGCGCTCCGATAGTCGACCGACGCACCACTCCCTCGACAGCAGATGGTGGAAGCAGAAACGGCGGAGATGTCGAGCCATTGTCTGAAGATGGTGGTAGTGAGACAAGTCTCTCAGCGCAACAACAACAGCTCACGCCGCAAAACTCACATCACCAGCAACAACAAAATCTCCAACTGCCATCTATCCACGAACTCACCTGGGTCAAACAGAGGAAACCATTCAACACAGGCATGGGAGGAGCAGGCCAAGTGTGCAGGTACATATATCCGCTCATCATCTGATCTCTACGGGCTAACCAAGTCCTNAGCAATTGCGGTACAACGAGAACACCACTTTGGCGACGTTCCCCAGCTGGCGACACGATATGCAACGCTTGTGGACTCTATCTCAAGGCCCGAAATCAGATGCGACCCGTCAACCTAAAACGCGGAGCTCAAGCATCACCAGCAGGCCAGCAGCAGCAACAAGAACACCAGACGACAGCATCAGGCAACAGAAAGAGCTCATCACCAACGGCAACAACTAAGCAGCTTGGAGGAGCAACGTATGTCACCGACACGACGTCGAACGGCACATGTCCTGGCGGAGGTCGTTGCAACGGAACTGGAGGTCACGATGGATGTAATGGATGCCCGGCATACAACAACCGGGTTAGCAAGACAGCGCAGATTGCTCTGGCACAAGCAAACGACAGCCGAGCACAAGGTCAACATGGCGCCAGTCAGAGCCCGTACCCGCACGCGCAGAACAGCCCGGGACCAAGCCAGGCGCCGGCGGCCAATGTCACGGTGGCCTGCCAGAATTGTGGTACGACAATTACGCCATTGTGGAGACGCGACGACAACGGACACACAATCTGCAATGCTTGTGGTATGTTTGCGACAACCTGTTATCTTATCTTGATCAGTTCTGATTTCAATCTCTANGGTCTCTACTACAAGCTCCACGGCGTGCACCGCCCTTCCGGCATGAAGAAGTCAGAAATCAAGCGTCGCCGTAGAGTCATGCCTGCTACCAGCGATCAGCACCTCGCTCCCTTCTCCGTCAAAAACACACAACCAATCTCGCCTCCTCCTGAGCCCGCTGCTCCAAGATCCGTACCTCCCTTCTACCCTCCGTCGCAACAACAACAGCACCACCAGCACTCCGAACACTCACACTCCCACCAACTTCCTCCACCTTCGTTCGAGCCCGCTCGCCTTCCCCGCGCGCCCATCGCTGTCGACTTTACGCATTTCGGCAAGCCATCACGTCCGACATCGGCTGAGCAGCCCGAATCCGCCCAGCCTTCGAATCTACCAGTCTCGCGCAAACGATCTTTTTCCATCAGTGATGCCTCAGATCAAGCACACCAACCTCCTTCGCCGGCTTATCCTCATAGCGATCGAAGTCAAAGAAGCGAGGCCGAGAACATAGATCCTTCCCTTTCTTCTACAGCCCCTACACCAGGATTCAATGCTTCGATCCAGGACCACAAGGCCCCGCAAGCCATCATGGGCGCCAGAGAGTCAACGCCATCTGGTCAATCTTCGCGACAAGAGAAGAGAGCCCGACTGGAACAAGAGATGGCGATGATGAGGGAAGCGCTGTTGGCCAAAGAAAGAGAGATGGCCGAGTTAGGCGACTGATCCTATTCATGAACTTCACGATTATTTCCTTTTTCTTCTGCATGGACCAGGTTTTCCGGTGGTGTTATAATATCTGTACTCTCAGCGTAGCAAGGGCACGCTTGAATGGTGGACCCGGCTCCATTTTGCTCTCAAACTGATTCGGAAGAGCTGGCGGGCAAGAGCGCGTTCGCATATGCATGCCTAGGGCCGGAAGCTACAGCACAAACTGGTTTAGCAGCATGTTAGAGTATGTAGCAAATTAGCGGTACCTGCGTACAGCTTCCTCATGTGCTAGAGACTCCCACAAACTCATGATGTATCGCCCGCATAGTGACTTCCCTAGCTACGAGTCTGCACAGTACCTTCCTCCCCGTATTTGAAAGTATGTAACTTCCATCATACTCCGACTATAATAGGGAGCAAGGTACACACTATGAAAAGGCACAACCTCATTCGGAGACAAATGCTGTCCACAGAGAGTCAATGTTTTGTCGCTTCTCCGTGGGAATTGTCCAGTTTCCTGGTAGTATCATGTATTTCTATAGCTACACGCGTTACATACTTTTGAACACGGAGAGGTTGCAGGAGGAAAACGCATCTTAACAGCTTCAGGGTGACGGTCTTTGACGCACGTGAATCAAACAGATCTGTCTCGATGGTCAATCTAGATATAAGGGACCTTCCGCTACGTACATGCACCATTCGACAGATTAGATATTATTTCCGTTCCCTGGTGGCATCATCATTTACGTTATCTAGAATTCTCAGGCCTGCTACAAGGGGAACGGCTATCGCGTACCGAGTCTTTTATGGCGGCCACATTTTACTTTTGGTATTCGTGTACAAGGGATCTTACTTGTCACTTCCATAGACAGCGAAACCTCCTTCCACATGTGCTAAAAGTCTCCGGCCCGAAGCAAGAGGATGTTAGCTAGAATTGAAGGTCAAAACTTGTCACGGTATCAACAAGCTTCTTGGACGGCTGCTTGAACGCGCTTGGCCGATGCCGCCCGTCGTCGTGCTTCGTATTTGCACGCCGACTTCCACCTCACCTTCCTCTTTCGCAATCGCTCTGGCTGCGGGATATGTCGCGTGCCCCGCGTGCCTTGTCCAAGATTACGAACTTCTGTTTTCCATTCCTTCCTGCTGCTCTAGGTCTATCTAACCGAACTTGTGGCCACGAGCTTGTATACGAACCTGCGGCCGTAATGCTGTTCGACGCGACTTTGCCTCTGAATATGGCAGGTGGAAGATGTTGGATACGCACTGATCTACCCCTAGAGACCCCTGGAACCAAGTCTTAGTCGTACACTCCACCAATCTGTGTGGCAATCAGAGGCTTAAGCATGGAGTCTAAGCATTTGCCGTGCCACTGGCCTTCTTAGCACATGCCCTCATGATCATCATCCAAGCTCCTGCAGTAGACTGGACGTGATCTGCACGTATCGTGTTCTGCAATTTCCCAGATATACTCCACTATCTTGTGCGGCGGGATTGTAGGGTACAGGTGCTACTGAGTAGTTGATGGACCCCAGCAGCTACCCGTGAGGGGGGCGTAGACAGGTATAAACAGGCCAGGAACCCTTTCGATCGTCTCAGATCTCTCTTCATCCAGCGTGCTTTCTTTGTGCTGATCACTATGTTGTCGGCTTCCCTTCTTTCCATTGCGGCTTTGACCGTTCCTAGTGTTCTGGCTGCTTCCCTTCGTGACCAGCTTCCAGGAGTGCCAGCAGGATGGTCTGTCTCAGGTACACCTGATGCCTCTCAGTCAATCACCCTAAAGCTTGCTGTCAAGCAACAGAACATCGATCAGCTTGAGGGTCTTCTGAAGTCGGTCTCTGATCCATCAAGCCCCAACTACGGAAAATACTATACCGCTGACCAGGTCAATGCCCTCTTCGGCCCTTCTACCGGCTCTGTTGATGCTGTGACTTCGTGGGCTAAGTCATCTGGATTGGAGAGCAGCCTTGATCGTGGTCTGCATGTTACTGTCAAGACAACCATTGGTGACGCCAACAAGGTCTTCGGAGCCAATTTCACAACCTTCAAAGACGAGTCCACGGGAGTTGAGAAATTGAGGACACTCCAATATTCAGTCCCTGATGAGATCTCCGACCACGTTAACTTTGTTTCTCCTACTACTTTCTTCGGACGTACAGACGCACAAAGTGCTCTCAGGCTCCCGGAGAACGTTGGTATTGAGAGACGTGCACCCGTGTCAGAGCCGCAATCGGACCTGGCCAAGCGTGTGACCACTTGCATCTCACACTCAGCTCACGGAACCGCATACCTGGGTCCTGATTGCTGGAAGCAGGTTCTCAACATTACCTATGTTCCCGATGCTTCCAGTGGCAGTCGCATCGGCTTCGGCAGTTTCCTGAATGAATCAGCCATTGAAGCTGACCTCTTCCTGTACGAGCAGAAGTACGGCATCCCGAAGCAATCCTTCAACGTCACACTCATCAATGGTGGCGTGAATCATCAGGAGCCTGAGTACACTACTATCGGTGAAGCTAACCTTGATGCACAAAACATCTTTGGCCTGGCTCACCCTCTGCCTGTTACCGAGTTCATCACTGGTGGCTCGCCTCCTTTTATTCCCAACTTGGATGAGCCCACCGAGGCTGACAACTCCAATGAGCCCTACTTGGACTACTATGCATACCTCCTGTCTCAGCCCAACGAGGCCCTTCCGCAGGTGATCTCCAATTCTTACGGCGATGATGAGCAGACTGTTCCTATCGACTATGCTACCTATGTCTGTAATCAGATCGGCATGATGGGTCTTCGTGGTATCACTATTCTCGAATCTTCTGGTGATACAGGTGTTGGTGCCCCTTGTCAATCCAACGACGGAAAGAAAACCCCTCAATTCACACCCGCGTTTCCTGGTACCTGCCCCTATGTCACCGCTGTCGGTGGTACACAGGGTATCGATCCTGAAGTGGCTTGGGATGGTTCTACTGGTGGTTTCAGCAACTACTTCCCTCGTGCATGGTATCAAGAAGCCGCCATTGAGACTTACCTTGGCTCTTACATCAGCAAAAGTGTTCAGGAGTACTATACCCCTTACACTAACTTCAGTGGACGTGGATTCCCCGACGTTTCGGCCCACAGTTCGAACCCCTACTGGCCTGTTTTCGCAAATGTAAGACCCCCTTTTCCTATTGTCCCCTCCCCATGTGCAGAAGGATGTACACCTGGCTATAAAAATGCACAGCACTATTGGCAAACATGATCGTGTCCACCGAGAAACGATTTACTGTCAGCTCTCTTTGGCCGATCTTCATTTCTGAATAGAACTGTGCATTTTTATAGCGAAGACTTTGCTCTCTGTTATGGTCAGAGTACTACTGTACAATAGAACCCCTTTACTAATAGCTTCATAGGGTGTTCTTGCTCTCTATTCTGGAACCTCTGCTGCAGCCCCCGCCTGGGCCGCTATGATCGGAATGCTCAATGACGCCCGACTCAAGGCCGGTCAACCCACTCTCGGCTTCGTCAATCCTCTTTTCTATTCTCTGAAGTCTGGCTTCTTGGACGTCACGCAAGGTGGATCTGTCGGTTGCAATGGTGTCAATGGTCAGACTGGTGCTCAAATCCCTGGTGCTTCAATCATCCCTTGGGCTACTTGGAACGCAACCATCGGTTGGGATCCAGTTACCGGACTTGGACTGCCCAACGTAAGCTTGTTTTCAACCTTGAAGTTTTCATCTAGCTGACAGATCTTAGTTCGGTATTCTGCTTGATACTCTTGGCCTCAGTGCTTATAACAAGACCGCAACACCATCGTGTCCATCATGGAATGGCCTTGAATTCACTCCCTCAACCGGAAGCACCTACAAGATCGAGTGCGGCACTGACCACGCTGGTGGTGTCTTCTCCCAAGTCTATGTCAACGGCACCGACAGACTGAACAACTGTATCATGGCCTGTGAAGGCACTGCTGGCTGTATCGATGTCCAGCTCTCCGGAACTACCTGCTACCTCAAGGGTGCAGTCGGAACTGCTGTCTCCAGACCCGGTGCCGTTGGTGCTCGCCTCATCTCCCAGCCTGTTGGTCTCCATGCTCAGCTCACCACTACCGTATCTTGCCCCAGCTGGAACAACACAATCTACAACACCACTTCTGGCTCCCAGTACTTTGTCGAGTGTGGTGTTGATCACCAAGGCGGTGACCTCAAGTTGGTCTACGTGAACGGTGGTATCAAGAGCTGTGTTGCTGCTTGCGAGCAAACACCTGGCTGTATTGATGCTTCATTGTCTGGCTCGGCTTGCTACCTCAAGAGCAAGGTCGGCAAGGCTGTGGCCAACTCCAATGTCTTTGGTACCCTTTTGATCTCACACAAGGGTAACTCAACTGCATAAACGCCTGTACGATTGTTATGATTGATATGCTATTTATCAAAGTGAATATTGTATGCGTTCAGTGAAGATCTGATCATACCACAAATGTAGTTTTCCAAAATTCACAATTAGACCAGTAGTTCTCGTTTCCATTCACTTCCGCGTTGACCGCTTTGGGGAGTCGCAACACAAACACCGATCTCTGCGCACACCACTCCTTCCTACCTTTGCGCACAGCACACCAACTTCCTTCGACACAACTGATCGTCATCACAATACCATCAACCATCAGTCATGTCTTCCAACTCGTCAGCCAGCACACCTTCAACCTGGCGTTCTTCTTTCGCTGCTTTCTGGCAGAAGTGGATCCGCATCATTGTGGAATACTACATCCTTCCAGGGGTCATTGCCGCCTACTTCGGCACACGCCTCTGGCTCACGATCTACTTCTATGCGTGGCGTCGCTTGCTGTGGGCTTGTCATCAACCAGACAGCAAGATGGTTGAATACGGGATGCATCATTGCGAACCCAAGAAAGCCATTGCCCTTCTCACTATTGTCTGGGCTCGCTGGTTCGTCAAGATGCCTACCTGGGGTCAGCACAAGCAAATCTACCAGGTTGATTGGGACACTGGTCTCTTCCGAAGCTGCCACAGATGCCTTGGTCATCCTGCCATGCCACCTCGCTGGTACCACTCCTCGAATCTGGGTATGGAGAAGTGCCTTCCCCTTTACGACCACACTTGCCCCTGGCTTGGTGCCGCGGTGTACCTACACAATCTCAAAGCCTATGTGCTCGCGGTCACGCTGCTGCCTCTGCACTTCCTCACTACCTTGGTCTTCTCCGTCTTCGGGCTTGTCGAGAACCCCCACAACAGGTTCACAGCCCCTGTCGTCTTCCTCATGCTCACCAGCTTGCTGTTTGCAATCCCGGTCGCCGCAGGCACCACTGTTCGTGTCTGGTCAGAGGTCGTCTTCCTGAATCGCCTCATGTCCGAAAGAGACGGCGTCGGAGTCCGCATCTACCCTGACCCCTCTGACATCGACGACTACGAAGATCAGGTCTATGAGCCCATACCCCAGGACCAATTCCTTCGCATACAATGTCCCTTCAACAGGGGCAAGTCAGCCAACATACGCTCCCTTTTCGGCTGAAATGGTTCTTGGTGGAAGGCCCCTGCATGGATGTTCCTGGAGCCTCCCATCGGTAGACTGATCTACCTGGATGAAGATCATGCTCAATTCTGGGAGCCACTGATCTACTTCAACAGAGATCAGGCAGTCAGCGCTCGTCAAGAAAGAAGCCTTCGTCTGATGCCTGCTACCATCCGTCGTCGCAACGTTGGAAGCGATGACTATGAACTCGGCATGGTTTGAGGGCATGCCCGATCGCTCATCTTTCACGGGCCTTCCAGTCACGTTATGAGCTTTCAATACACTTCAGAAGCGGGCTTGAGCAAGTCTCGCACAACACCGGTTCTTCTAAATCCGCGTGTGGTGGTTTCCGAGAGGGCCACCGGGGTTCCTAACTCTCTTCTTTCAAGGAGTCAAAAGTAAAAAAAAAAAAATGTACGAGTGCCCCCATCATATTTCTGGCTTTCAGCTGGAATACGAAGGGGCGAATTCGAGACACCTTCGACTGGGATTCGACAGGAGGGATCTGCATACTTTGAATTCAATACGATACGTTAGGCAAGAAAAGCATGTCATCTTTCTCGATGCTCGTAAAGCGCCTGCGAATTCTTGCAGCGCATTTGTTGCTTACATGTGCCCTTCGCAAACATCGTAATACCATTCCCAATATGCTATAGCAGTAGACTCAGCTCACGGCAAACCTGCTAGTAGCTCTTTCTGTATTACTTACCTTTCCATTGTGGACTGTCTCGATCTCCAGGACACACCTCGTCCGCGCAGGGTTCCACGTATTTTACGGCCCAATCCTCGAACCTTCCTGAACGAGTCACGCCACAGATGTGTTTGGCCTTCTGCTTTTCGATGTCGAAGTGCGAGCTATTCTCACGCATGCAGTCTTTCTGAATCATAGTGTTAGCTTCTAACTTGTTGCAAAGCAAAGGCGACTTACGATACAACTGGGTAGGGGGTCGATGTAAACCGCGCGGCTGGTCTGACAACAGGCTGCAAGCACCGTAAAAATCAGATACAGACGCATGTCGTTCAACTTCATATTTTCGTTCTTGTTGGACTGTGGGAAGATTAGGTCCTGACAGGAGGGCTTTATATAGCTTGACTTGATCGGTGAACCTGATGTGTCATGTGAGTGGAGAAATAGGTTGACTCATGGAATGTGGCAACCTAATGTCTATCTCGTGACTGCAAAGAGAATTAGAGATGGATGATACCTTAGCCTTACTTGTGCCAGATTTGATCCGAACAGATCTCCCCCAATAGATGCTGTGGATGCCAGGTGATGATGGCCATGATGAGCTAGCTCCACTGCAGTCGTATATAATTTTCTTTCAAAGACCTTGACAATCAATTGGTAGAAAGCCCTTCACATCGGTCACCAGAATCATATCGACGCGTGATCACGTAGCCACCTTTGTTTGGCTCTAGAGTTGGTCGGACGATTGAGTTAATTAACTACAATCGCCGAGAGTCATCGAACCCGCTGATCTGAAGCATATAAATACACTCTAGTATTCCTCTACATTTCTATCACCCTTTCAGCACATATCTGCACACAGAAAGACAGAATGCAGGTCAGAAACTGGTTTTACCTTGCAGCTGCAGTGATGGTAGCTGCCGTGATGGTAGCTGCCAAACCACCCTGGGAAACCATCAGCATCGACCACTTCCCCATCTGTGAGGTATTTAAAGCTCGTCATGGCTCCGTACAATGATGAAAGCCTAACAGCAATTCAGCAAGAATGCATGCGCAAGGAAAGCTGGCAGTACAACATCGAGAAAAAGACTTTCACGACTCTCTGCGTGGGCGAACATCGCAAGCAGGACTGGCTTGTTTGGGTTCGCGACCAGATCGAACCGTGCTTTCTCACCCATTGTGGCATATACAGGGATGGCGAAGAGGTCAAGGGTGAGATTATCGTTCAATTAGCATCCAGATGGTTACTGACCCTGTCCTGTGTAGAGCTCTGGGCCTGGAAGAACAAACTCTGCGAATCTGCCCCTTGAGGTGTCTGGAACCTGATCTTCCGGTACCTAAGGGGACACTGAGAGTGTCACACTGATTGGCAGCATAGAATGCGCATTCCAAATTCGTAGATAGGCTTGCAATCAAATCGTTGACTCAACCCAAAGCGAAACCCTCACCAGTCAGACCCCAAATCGTGAGTCTCAACCAAGCTTGACATGCCAGTTGGATCAGATCATGCATTTTGACAGTATGCATAATTCTGACCGGCACCGTGGGAGATATCAAGATTGCCCGTCGACTAGTCATGTCTTTGTAATGGGAAGATCGCATTTCAGGAAGTGACGTCCCAGAATCGGGGATAATATCTCCGGCCCACTATATCCGAGCCTTCAATATAAGTTAACATGCCTACTTTGTCTCCCAGTGCCTTCCCGACTGAACCAGGATTCACACAAGGAAGGAAACAAGCACAATGGCCAGTTCCAAGTACATCGAATTTACCCANAAAGACTTTGTCTACAAGACAGTCAACAACCATGAAATCTCCACCACGGTCTTGGTCCCCAAGAACATCAAGCCAGGAAAACACCCATTGCTCGTTCATTTCCACGGCGGCTTCTTGATCTGTGGCTCCAAGCTCTACGAAGAGTGGCACGCAGTATGGACAATCCAACTCGCAGCCCAGAAAGGCGCTATCCTTGTCACTCCGAACTACCGACTTTTGCCCGAAGCGAACGGCAGAGAAGTACTTGACGATATCGCTGACTTCTGGTCTTGGATCAAAAGCTCTCTGCCTGAAGAGGTTGAGGGCATGGCCAAAGGAGTGGAGGTGGACGTCAGCAATGTATTGGTGGCTGGAGAATCAGCAGGCGGATACCTAGCCGTCCAATCGGCACTCTTGCACCCAGATGCAGGTATCAAAGCAGTGATCTCACAGTACGGCATGCTGGACAACAGGATACCGCATTTCTCGCAAAAGGGAGGGAAGAACATGGCTGGGGCGCCTCAGCAACCAGAGTCCGAAATCGACGATTACCTGAGGGATATGAAGAAAGGAGCGGTGAGAACAGAGACCCATCCTTGGGAGCTGTGGTTGTTCATCTGCGCTACCGTACAGGCTGGACGGTACCTAGAATTCTTGGGTGATGGGCAAGGTGTGCACGCAATTGACAATCTTGAGACAACCAAGAGCGTCCCTGCATGCTGGATCATCCATGGCAAAGAAGATTCACTGGTAAGTCGGTCGGTGGAGAACAAAACGAAACCAGCTCGAGTTGCTAAAGCGATGAACAGNGTGCCCATCGAAGCCTCGAACAACTTTGTCGACAATCTCAAGAAAATTCAGCCCGAGACACCATTGAGGTATACGATACAACCAGGCGAGCATGGATTCGATGGTGCGGTGACCATGGACGCAGACTGGGTCAAGNNGGAAGGCTGTGTTTGGCTTGATCAATATTGGCCATGAATACCGACAACTATTGACTAGGCACATCAGGTCTTCGGTTTTTGCTCCAGATATCAGATGACCAGGGCTCCCAGCGTACTAAAGTTTGTAAGTACTCCGACTATAGCTAAGAGCAAAATGTAGACTGTAAAAGACATAATCGTCTCGGAAGTCGAGGCGCGTCTGCGGAGAGTCGACGAGTTGTTACTTCTCAGTGGATACTGGTTGATTTGGGTTACTATTGTGCGTTTCCATAGCTCTACGTATTACACTTTAGTACACGGGGAGGTTGTTTGATAATTGGAGACTATGAGCAATGGGACATCTGCAATGCACGTACTCGCATCTGACATGTTCTGTGTACCGCGAATGCTAGAAACAGGATAGGGTATCTGAGAAGAAGATAGCAGGAAAAAAAGAAACGATGGGGCTTCGTACAGCAGCCACAAACCCATACCACATGACTTCGTTGTTGTTACAATTACTTTTCTAGGCCATCGAATTGCCGTTGATCTACAACGCCAACCCGGAGCCATCTCCTGTCCACCTATATAATGCAAGCACCTCCCTGCGGCGTTGCTGTTGTTCGCCAAAGTCTTCGAGACTGCGTCCACGGACCTGGCTCAAAGCACTACGCATGACTTTACGGAAATTCCTCTGNNTGCGACGTCAGTAGATAATCAAATGTGTGGATGAAGGCAAACAAACCTGATACTCGGTATTCAAAGTCACAACGCAGACTTCATGTGCTCGGACAATCTGCTCGCATGCTTTGACAACACTCGCGCTGGCCTCTCCTTGCAGCTTATCGGCAATCAACAGCAACAGGAAGCTACCCTGAAGAAGATAGATGCCGAAGAAGAAAGGCATGAAACTGAGATCTGGATCATAATCCAAGATACCACTGATGGCATCGGCAGCCGAGACAGCGTGTCCCGTAGCCGAAACAAACGATTGTGAAGATATCCATAGATCGTTGTCGTCTAGAAGAGATATGGGATCCCATTTGCCGTTTAGAAGAATATGTAGCGTGTGCATTAGATGCGTTCCATAGGCCACAATCGTCTTAGTAAGAAGTATAGTCTCGGTGATGCGGTTGCTGCTCGTAGATTGGTTTGAAGGACTGGCGTTGTCGACATGCGTGCCGTCAGGGTTGGTGCCATCAGCCGGGATGAAGCGAGCTTCGAACGCTTCCAGACTGCGACCATATGAATCCAGCTGGAGACTAATTTCGTGTGCCATATCGTCCAAATCTGTTCCGTTCCTGAATCGCATACCAAATCGAGGATGATTACGAGTATGATTCAGGTCCACAATCTCTCCCAAGATGGTCATTAGCGGCAGGAAATAACCAAAGATGCTATGTCCTGTACATTCCAATGGTGGACCTCTTCGTCGGTAATACGTTTCTGGCATATTTTCGATCGTGTAGTACTCGCCTGCCTGGTATAAGGACTCGTCTTCAGGCTGCAGCAAGCCTTCGCACTCAGCATCCAGAAGGAAAAGCGGTCTGTTGTAGCAAAGTGCAAGATGCCTATCGACAATGTATAGTAGCCACCAGGCTCTCCTTCGCTCTTCTCTTTCTTCTTCGGTCACGACGCCTGGTTGCGACACGGATGCAGGCATGCCGCTGAATCGTCGTGAGTTGAAGCCTTGCTGACCGTTCATACCCATATCGGTCTCGGCATTTCCTTCGGCGATCGCGCTTTCGTCCTGTTGCATTGAGGGATCCGGGTTAGNGGGAAGTTCTCTACCGAGTTTGAGCTCTCTGGCCAGAGACCAAGCTGCGTTCCACCAGCGCAAACTAGCAGCTTTATACTCGCTAGCCGAAACAACAGTGGCCAGGTTGATGTATGTCGCGACGTCGTCTAGAGCTCCCGCAGCACCTGTCGAGCCACCCTCACTATCATGCCTTGCAGTGTGCAATGCTACACCAAACCCTCCAAGTGCAACACCGTTCACAACAGGATTAGCTGCTTGGGTGGAGCCCTCTGTTGGTGTGTGAATTAGGGGGCGCAAAAGACTGACTGTAAGCTCCAGAAGTTTCTGGCACACTTTGCCCCTGGCCGATGGAGGAGAGGTCAAGAAAGCAGATTCGCTAGTCTGAGCACCAACCCATAGCATACTCGCAAGCAGAGCAGGACTGCATGTTCGAGGGTTGTTTTGGCGTAGAAAAGAGTTCTTGCGGAAGATAATACCAAGAACGTAAGGAGAGGCGGGCTGGATGAACTTGCTGTATGAACTCGAGAAATAGATCTCCAAGAGGTCGCATGCGAGGCTGATTGGTATGATGGCTGATATCCTGGAAAGGATGGGCTTGAGAACAGGATAGCGCAAGGTCTGATTGTGGGGTTGTTGGAAATTCGTATACAAAGCGGCAGAAGGAGAAGGCAGCTGTAGCCATCCAGGAGAGCCGGCATGTGGTGAGGTGCCCATCAGACCGTGAGCAGAGATAGGCGACTCGCCCATCCGGAAATTTGTGTTGAAGTTATTGTTTTGGCTCTGCGGGCTTGGTACAGCATAAGGACTCTCGGGATTGAAGGTCATGCCATTTGGATAGGCAAGTGGAGCGGAGAGGGGAGCAGCACCAGCAGGCATCATGGGGTGATGGGCTACAGCAGATGGAGGTTGTTGCAGTACACTACGGTGATATTCATCCATCGGGCCTGAGTAGTTGGTGACGCCAACGGGAGTTCGATCAGGCATCGCCGAGTGGTTTGCGCGAGGATTGGGCAAGATACCAGACTGGTTTTGGCCGTCGACCGAGGCGCGTACGTTGGAGTAGCGATCGTTTGGAGCACCCGGAACGGCATCTTGTTTCAAATTCAGCGGCGGTAGATGGTGCTGCGACTGTGGTTGAGGCTGTGGTTGCTGTGCTTGAGCTGGTGGAGGAGGTGGAGGTAGAGGTGGGGCCAGGGTCTGTGGATTCTGTACGGTCATCGAGGCCCTTCTCTGCTGCGGTGGTGGAGGTACATGGTGGATGCTCGACCTCCGGCGCTTGAGCGAGTTCTGGGCAATGTCGGTGGCGTTTTCCGGGGGAGCGGATTGCTCGTTGCTCGACTTGGGACTGTCGTTTCCGCCATTGTCTGAATTTGCGGTCGCGGGATGCTGAGACTGGGCAGCAATGTCTTTGCGCGAAGCTTTGCCTCGCTTTTTGCGCTCGCGGTTGTATTCGCACGTAAGACCAAATTNCTGTATATCATGACGCGTTAGTCGGGGCTTGGTCTCAGCTGGGCGTGGTCGAGTGTGAAAGCGGCTTGCCAACGTACCCACGCAGTGCGCGCAAGGCGTCTTGCCATCGCACTTGGTCCTTAGCTGGTTACACTGGTCGCACGCACGGCTGATTCGTCGTCGCACCGGTGCTCCATTGCTACTGCCCTTGTTGCTCGCGCTCTGGTCCTGGCCGTTCTGATTCTGGCTAAATGCATCGTGCTCTTGCGGAGCTGGATTCAGGTGCGAGTCGTGGAGCTGCTGCAATGCGTACTGCGATCCTTGTGCCAGAGCATCCAGTCCGGACATGGGAGCTTGGTTGTGGTCGTGGTGTGTCACCATGTTGGCACTCGACATGCGGCCAAAGCCCTGGGAATAATGCATGCCGCCGGCTGACAGCATTTCGAAGAGTCCTGAATGGTCGCGTCCTCGGCCGTCAAGTCGAGTTTTGTCGAGTCGCTCGCATACAAGACGAGGGGCAAATTAAAGTAGGAAAGAGCGTTTCGAAAGGCTCTCGAACTCAGGAAATGCGGGCACAACTTGGGGATCATTTGCGGGATCTCATGCAGCCCCGGGAAACCGCCAAGTCCTTCTCCACACCTCGGCCTAACCGGCGGTCACTCTTGGACCATGCATGCACCATTTGCGCTGCCCGAACCTTCAATCTGTGACATTGCCCATCTCCGTCACGCTTGCCCCTAGTCCCTGAGCAATCTCATTTACCCAGAGTTACACTTTGTGTCGACCCTTTGCACATCGCCGAACTGCTGTTGTTGAGCCACAAGCTCCTCTGCTGCCAGAGTCCGAGTTAGCCTCTGTCTTTAGCGAGCTTCTAGGTGGCGTTTGTCTTAGAGCCCTCTTAGCTTGTCCTGTGACCCACTCGGGAAGGCGTGATGTCGGCTTGGTCCACGTGATATCAGCCTCCCGCGATTTGTCCTGCACACTGCCGGAACCATCTGCGTACTTCGTTTGCCTATTCGCAATTCGATGATCCCTTCTTACTTTATCACACCCCAGCTCTGCGCAGGGCTGCGACATCCGCATCTGACACGTCTGTAGCCTGCCTTTTGTTCGGAGCTTGTCAGAATCACGGCGAACTGCATCCACGTGCATCTTGATCGAACTCCTCCCGAACTCTCCTGTCTCGGGCCTATTCCAATTACCTGATCTACTCGCGATCCCGTTTCGCACGGTCATCATATTTTGCTGTGGATCGAGACCGAGCCCCAGAACTCTCCACCTTCACCCCGGGCGTCCCCGGCGTTCTGTTTGTGTTACTCCATCTCTTCATGTTCGCTCTCTATTTCACTGGCACTATTTCGGTCTCAATGCCTTGCTGACATGTTGTGACCTCATAACTCGTCTAGCATGCCGAAGGATTGCAGGTGCTTTTCGTCTCATCACGAACCATGACAGCAGAAACCGAGCAAACGATTTATTACATTGCTGGCGCCCGTGACCAATTTCTACATAGAACCTTTGCCCTCTCATACAGCATCGGGTATGCATAACCATAAGTGGCTGCACCTGAAACTGTACAGGCAATCCTTTTGACAAATTTGCGCCCGAAACGCTTTCCTGTCGTATGATGATGCATCCAGCTCTTTCAGCTGAACCAGGCTTCCACGTCGGGCCACAAACCGCAAGTCTGCCGTTATGGTCGAAGGTAAAAGAGTGATATCTGAACTCTCTTTGACCTCTGCTTGGGAAAGGAGACACATCCGCTGGGATCTAGGTCTACCATCTTGGCTCCCGTGAGCATCACATACCATTTGTGTTGCGCTGTGTCGTCGACCTCGATTTTAACTTCAAACCAAAGATGCTTATCTCAACATACCAGATCCTTCGTCATCTACTTTAGCCTAAAAGCCTGCTCACTTCATTTCGACGTCTACTTCTAGGAGGAGTTGTCACGTACAAGACTGCAAACGGTTTACACGCGGACCCTTGGTTTGGAATACTTCTACGCCATGCTAACCACCTCTGGATCGTTGACCACATACAAAAGCCTAACGATAGCCTTTTCTGCTACGCTGTAGACACTTCCTCAAGGACTTACCTGAGACTCATGCGTCATTACTGGAACTATGCACTCATTGCCTCGGTATGTGAGCAAGGGCAAAGCCGCAAGGAGTATCAGATCAACATATTGCACTGTCAATCTTTATGTTGTGGGTCCGTGTGTCTGCTACAGCTCGCAACAGTATACCTCTTACTCGCATTCGGATCAGTATGCAAAGTTAGGGACCCGAATTGTGAAACCACATGATGTACTCCCCATTCGTCGTAAGTTTCGACTTCACAATATTCTCTAAACCAGCCGGTGGCCTATACTCAGGATAACGTCCCCAGAGATCGTTATACCATCTTCGAAAGGCCATATGAGCTATATGCCAGAAGAAGTATGATCTGAATGTCAATTGGATCATTTCTGACCATCTCTTTCCGGGCTACGTTTTTTTGTCGTTTCACATGGGCTTTCACGTATTCTTGTGGATCTTTGCAAATGCTGCAAGTAGAAAAGCGAAAAGTGTCAGAAGGGATCATCGGGCCGCTGATAATGTTCAAGACGAGTTGATGATGACTACTGGGTAATGCATCCCGATGCTTTGTTCAAGTATCTCTCATTTCCTACTGGACGCGTAATCTGGGTTGCTGACAAGCGAAAACAGCTTCGGATCGAACTGTCACTCTGTCTTCATTGTACTACAATATCCTCCTTCTGTGTAGCGACCAGACGATACTCAGATCTCATGTCCACAAAGGTCGTAATACCATTCCTGGAAGACTACAAAGCGTTAGCAGGACTATAATCTGAGCACTGTCTCGACCTTTTCTTACTTTCTGAGTCTTGGCCATCACACTGGTTTCTCATACACGGAGCAAGATCCTTGCGCAAGAATTTCCAGAATTTGACGATCTTATGGCTCATCTTGTCGCATGCACGTTTAGGGGATGCTTCATCGATGTTGAAGTGTTTGGTTTCCTGACGCATGCACTGTTGCTTCACCTGATGTCAGCTAATCAAGGTCGATTTGAGTGCTAGATGATTTAGCTTACCATGCACTCGGGGAGCATACTAATGTCGATATGCTTTTGATATGGCTTGGCCATCACCACAGCTGCGTTGGCAAGGACGAACCAGTTCCAAAACTGCATTTTGCGATTTTGTTGCAAATGTTGTTAACTTGTGAAGATGGGAAGGAATGTTCGAAGATATCGAGCCATATACAAGACCAAAGGTATGCGAGCTAGTTCGATGACTCTAAGGACAAAGCAACCAGCACATTCGAATATCTCTATGCAACTTCCGTTGCCTGTTTTGGAGCTCTTTTGAGCATGTTTTACATCCGCATATGTCAGACACTGTCACAGTCTTATGATCTTGCCTATTCCTCTGACGTCGTTTTCTGCAATACATGTTTTGGATCTCAATTCTTCGGACAAGGCAGGCTCCTCGACAAACTTCTTTCTACCACATCTGCAATGGTTTACTTGTGTCTACACTATAATCCAAAAGGTTGTTATTCCTGTTTCGATCCTTCCTGTGTACTGAACTTTTCAACTTCTACCATGCTTCAGCTCTGAAAAGAACAAAGCATATACTCTAAAAAGGCACAAAACATTCTCAGAAGCAGAGGCATATCAACATGGAAGCTAAAACAAGTCATTACTTCCTAACAGACATTGCTCTGTCTCTTGGTAGTATTGTGCATCGTTATACATATATACGTTACTTACTTTATCATATGGAGGATATGAACGAAGGGTCGCATGCATCAGCCTAGCATTCCAAAGGCAATTTAGTACAGACAAGACAAATGCTATGCGGAATTACAGAATGCGAACAAGGTTGGTTATACCATCTCCCCGTGTATTGAAGATTGTCACAGCATAGCTGTAAGACTACACAATACATTTACAGAGAAAGTGATCTCCACAGAATACTCTGTTAGAGGATATCTCCATGGCCAGAGTTGTTTCCAAATTGCAACTATGCATTTTGATAGTGTATGATAAGCTTCATACTCACGATGGAGGTTTAATCGCAGGCTTGCAACGATCTTTAGCATACGGTGAGGCAAGTCAAGATTTGTAACATGCGTTGGATTTTATCAGATTCAGTGGCCCGCCAGATCTAACTTCTAATCGAAATCCTTGTATCTTTCCCTGTTATCTATACCCGTTTTTGAATCATCCATTCTAGTCCGATGTTCTACGAAAGAAGAGGAGAACTTTGATGATTGTTTTAAGCGGTGGGCTTGACACCAGCTTGGCCCTTTTGGTAGGCCTCGACACCCTGCTTGGCAGCCTCTTGGACGGTGACCTTGCCCTCAACAACTTCCTGAACCTTGGCCTTGATCTGGCTCCAGTCCTCGAAGACGGTGAAAGGAATGTTGTCTCTGACGCAGAATTGGATGAGATCNNTGGTTTTGTAGTCAGCTTTTCAGTTCCTTGTATTCAGCAAGATAAAAGACTTACCGTGACCAGACTTGGCGAACAGAAGGTCGGTCTCCTTAGCAGCACTCAAATCTGAGACACCGTCACCAGCGTAGAACAGGGTAGGGCGCTGGTCAGCGGGAAGCTGAGCGTAAGGACGGATGGTCAAGCTCTTGTCGTGACCGAAGTGCGAGTCGTCGTGGTAGACGAGCTCCCAGCCTCCCTCCTCGTTGACCTGCTTGCCAGGTCTTGCCTGGATGTTGTTGCAGATGACATCAATGTACTTTGCGTTCTCTCCAACAAGCTTCTCAAGAATTGCGCGAATGATAGGCTCCATGCCAGATGATAGAACAACGGTGGGAATGTTGTTCTTGATGGCCCATTGCAGGTAGTCGTTGAAGCCAGGGTCGAGCTTGACGTTGTCCGAGACGTACTTGATGCACTCGTCGTAAGGCATCTTGACACTGTCCATCATGCGCTTGAACGAGTCCCTGTGTCATGTTTTAGTTGAGGTCTGAATTGGCGGCTGAGCGCAGATGTACCTGAAGCTCTCGGTGCCGTTCAGAACGTTCATGTTACCCTCACGTCTCTTCTCGTAGCCGAAGCCAACATTGTCGGTCTGGTTATACAGTCAGGTTCATGATCATGAGAGATGGAGCAGACTCGGAAGGATCTCTCGAATTTGCTAGCCTAATTACCATGAAGTCATTGCCTATACCGATGTTAGTATCTCGACACCAGCATGAGAATCGACTTGACATTTGTCTTTGAAAGGGTATCTACAATACAGAGCATGTGATTATAGATATGGCTGATGCGGAAAAGATCGGCAGGAGGATTCTCGTGCTGTGAATCAAATCTGCTGCAAGGCATGGACGGTACGAGATGTATCATGAAAACCTGAATGGAAATTTGACATTGTAGAAAGAAGATACTCACTGTCAAAAGGGTGATGGTTCCATCAAAGTCGGTAAAGAAGATGAACTTGGGGTTCGTCTTCATAGCAGGGAGTGATTGGGCCATGATGTGTGTTGTGTGATGGATAGGATATCTAAATCAAAGAAAAATAATTGTCGAAAAACGAAAATATGAGACCAGGTTGATATGCAAGGTCAAAATGAGAGTCTTTACTTGAGATGACTGATGAGATGCGTTGAGGACGGGCCAAAAAGTTCGGTGAACCAAGCAATCGAAGCACATGGCAAGAAGGGCACCCGCACCTGCCGCATACGTCAAGGGTAAACAAAGGGCAAGATCCGGCGCCGATCTGCGCTTAAATGCGACTCCGCCGAAAAGTGTCCGCTGTTACTACCGAGACGTGAGAGTTTCACCTCGATACAAGCTCTAACTAGACCATTTGAAACGGTTAGAATCGCACTGGGAGGATGAGGTAGAGAGAGAGGGACACAAGGGAAATGAGCACACCAACACCGCCGTATGCATTGCTACGCAACATCGTCGCCTCCGCGAGATCAAGCTCCGTCATAATCCGCCCACTCTCAACCCGTTGTCGACCTTCGTCTTCGAGAATATACTCTCCAACCAAGGACCAGTGGACTAGAAAGAGGCAATGGAGCTCTTCGGCTTGGAGGGCTGCATCCACGCCAGGCCGCGATGATCCTGAAGCCAAGGATGACAAGACGAAACCCGCTGAGCCTCAAAAGCCAGATGAGAGGTTCTATATGCCACCGCCGCCTGAACACATCCAGCAAAGGATCGATGCAGCTATTCTGGATGCTGCAAGAGCTTCCCGGCCCACTCCTCCACGTGAATCAACACCCGAGGTGAAGCCTGCGCCTGTAGTGGAGGAGCAACCTGCTGAACCAATCCCTGCAACCGCTGCGCCAGAAACATCCAAAGAAACTCCAAAGGAAATCCCTATCGAAGAGAATCATCCGAAGACGGAAGCAGAAGTGGTTGCCGAGAAGGTCGTGAAAGAGGAAGCAAAGGCCGAAGAGGCACTGCCTTCAAAACACCAAGAGCAGAGATGGCACCTGTCGAAGCGGGTACAAGAACGTATGGATGAGTTGCTAGCGAAGGCCGCAGTTGTCAGTCACAAAGTCAACAACTATACCGGTACTGACTACTCTGGCATTGAACGTCTGCGTCGCGACATTATCGACCAAGGTACTTCCAAACCAACACGTCATCTATGTCTTACATGATCTAACACCAAAACAGAACAAATAGTCAAGGCCGCTCATGCCGAGGTCAATGCCGCAAAGGTCGCATACACAACATCCTACAGCCAACAAGCCGCTTCNGCAAAAGAAGTCGTCGGCCTCCTCGAACGCAAACACTCATGGTCAGCCGCCGATCTTGAACGCTACATGTCCCTCATCCGCTCCGAACACTTGAACGAACAAGCTGTGCAGGCCGCNAAAGAGCATCTCGCAAACGCCGAACGCGATCTCGAAGACGCTAGAGGAAAGCTGGAGAAAAAGGAACGCAAGCAATATCACGAAGAGCAGATTTGGAGTGACACGATCCGTCGCAACAGTACTTGGGTGACATTTGGTCTAATGGGTCTGAATATCTTCTTGTTACTGGCCAACTTGGTCATCTTCGAGCCTTGGAGAAGACGAAGGATTGTCAGAGAGATCAAGACTGCTCTGGATGAGAAGACGACCATGGCACCATCTTTGGCTTCTGCTGTCGAGGCCGAAGTCGACAAGGTCGTTGAGCCTGTCAGTCAACCTTTGGAGAAGATTGAAGAGCAAGTCGTCAATACTGTCGAGACAGCTGCTGCAGAAGTCATACCCGAGCCGACCACTGAGGTGGCACCTGATGTACAGCCTGAAGCTATGGCCGACAGCGAAATATCAGTCGGCGAGACACCACTCGCTGCTGGACAAATCCTGCCAGAAGAAGCCGTGGAAACCAACGACCCGATTGCACAGGTCAACGAGGCCGCCGAGAATCCAGTCGATGAGCCAGTCCAACGACCAGAACCCGAGAACTGGGAAGAGAGGTTTGCTCTCTGGAAGGAAATTCTGTCTGCCAAGTTGGCGCTCTACAAAGCCAAGTTACAAGACTTGTTCTCGGACCGTCAAGTCACAGTCAAGAGGATCGACGTGACGACGATAGCGCTCGAGGGTGCTGCAGCTGGTGTGGCAGTAGTCGGACTCCTGTGGGCGCTGCTCAACGCTCGATCATGATGATGAAGTCTTTTGCAATGTAAATAAAGCATAACCTGTATATCAAGCATCCTGTATTATTATCACTCATTGGAACTCGCCAAACTCGCCATCATCGAAGCCCAGGTCCTGAGCTGAAGGCTGATTCTGGCTCTGGCTCTGATTCTGTTGATATTGCGGTTGTTGCCTTATGGGCGACGGGCTCTTGGAGGCAGCCTTGAGGTGAGCAGCTGATGGTGGAGGAGCAAGGGAAGGAAGTGAAAAGTCGTCTCCAGAAGCAGGGGGCGGTGGAGGTTTGATGGAAAAGAGAGCACTGCCATCGTCGTTGGCTGCAGCATTCGATTGCTGTTGCCTTCTGCCACGGCTTCCTATCTCGACGTGGATGCTTTCCCCCTCTTTCAAACTGAAGTCTTTCTTAGGCTCCTCGACCGTCTTCCTGTTCATGTTTTGAGGCTGTGCTTGACCAGGAGCGACCTTTTGCTCCATGCCTAGAAGTTTCCTGGCCTCGGACAGTGTGATGCTGAAGTCGAAAGCATCAGGTCGTTCCTCGAAGCCTATACCCAAGGTGGCCTTCATGCCACCTTCACCAACAACACGGACAGCAAAGAAGCGACTACTGTCATTAGCTTGCTCAACCACAGCAGGCGATGTGTAAGGGGCGGCAGCGAAAAGGTCGCCAGTCTTTGGGTCCTCGAGCACGATATCTGTCTTAATTTGGTTCGAAAGCGATGTCTCAATTATACGCAGGCGGGCGGTAAAGATCATCTGGGCAGTTGGGCGCGGAGGAGCGGTCCATGATCCGGCAGAGAAACCCTTGTTGGATGTGAGAGGGGGGATTTGGTAGACATGGACGCGCGGGCAGATGAAGAGGACTCGCTGGATGGCAGAGTCGGGCAAGGGACGGCCGGTGGCTGGATCGAGAGTGGTCATTGTCTCGGGGAGCGACTTTTGTATTGTTGGTGAGTGGCACAGCAGTACAAGATAGATGAGGGGCAGTCAGTCAAACAGCATGGACCAGATTGACATGTGAATTCACCCGCCTTGGCAGAATGCTCAGCAAGGCATGTCAGAATGCAATCACAGTCACAGCATATCAAGCCAGCTACTTGGTGACATGATGACATTTGAAAGAGTTCAAGTCTGCTACGGCTATTCTATACAAGCAAACAAGGTCAAGACAAGCAGCGTGATGGAACAAGACGAGCAACAACGACCGGCCTTGAACTCCGAGCAGATGCAGGCTAATGACTCGCTAGCCGAAGCTTCTTCTGTCGCAGCAGTCGAGCAGAAACAGTCACAGTCCAAAGTTCAAGTCCAGCTCGCATACCAGAAACCACTTATCGACTTTCGACTTGACCCTCCCACGCCCGTCGTCTCGTCGAACCCCACTCCTCCCTCTCGTCCCTCAGTCCTCCGTCTCTCTCTGCTTGACAGCTACTACCTCGACAACATGGTCACCGCCAACAAGCAGCAAAATTTCGATGTCGTCGATACATACAAGCGCCTGCTGGCCGACGACCCAGAGTTGACCATGCCTGTCGCCGCCATCGAAGCCCTCGTCCTTGCTCTTGCCCATACTCCCGCGACCACTGTCTCAGAAACTCTGGACCTTCTATCTACCCTTACAGCCGAATTGAAGGCTCGCATCCCCAACCCAATTTCTCTTTCTGCCGGCACCGACTTGTTCCAACGATACATCATCACCACTCTGCAAAAGCCCACCGCTGGTCGTAACAGCGACTTCGACACTATCCGTACCCATCTGGTCCAGAACGGTCGCTTGTTCGTCGAGCGCGCGAAGGAGGCTCGTGACAAAATTGCTGGTTTTGGTAGACATTTTGTTCGTGACGGCAACACTGTCCTGACCAACGGTGGTTCGCGTGTCGTCGGTGCTCTCTTGCGCTCAGCTGCTGAGACGAGCGCTGGTTTCGGTGCCCAAGGCAGTATTCGCTTCCGCGTTATCTACGTTGTTTCCGACTCATCAGATGCAGAGAGCAGGGACAACATCGCTCAGCTGCGCAAGCTTGGAATTCCTGTCGCCACAATCCCTCCTACCGCCATTGCATACAGTTTGAACCAGGTCTCACAATGTTTCGTCGGTGCTGAAGGTGTTGTCGAGAATGGAGGTATTATCAGCAGATTGGGCACCTACCAGATCGCCATGCTGGCCAAGGCCGCCAACAAGCCNTTTTACGTTGTATCCGAGAGTCACAAGTTTGTGAGACTGTACCCTCTTGGTCAGACTGATCTGGGTATCGATCAGAACATCGTCGAGTTCAAGACCACTGGAGACGCTACTAGCACTACTGGAAGCGTTTCTGCAAAGGATGAGGGTGTAGCTGACATGGATGTCCACTCTGATGCAGGCGTCTCTGACAGCGTAGCCAACACCGATGCTGTCGATTTCACAGTAGGTTACACTCTACGCAACTATCCGAGACCATTTTAACTAACACATTTCCCACAGCCTCCTAACCTCATCTCTGGCATCATCACCGAATCAGGTGTTTTGCTACCATCCGCAGTCAGCGAGGAGCTCATCAAGATTTGGTTCTAGGCGCCCGGACTTGTAGAAGCTCGTCTTGTGAGCTTGATTGAACATGGACATGCGCGCAAGGGCAGTGCAAGTGCGTACACAGACACCTCTCTCTGAACAGTATCTTCCACTCGGCGGAGGAAAGCACGCACAATTGCCTTGAGCAGAATAAGTGCCGCGCCGAGAGTACGAGAGTCTTGATGATCACGATATCGATGAACCCCAGAAGGAGACAAGTTGAGTTGGGAAAGGATGTCAGAAGAGGATGTAGCAGGGCAACTATAATCGTGTCGACGTTGATCGAGAGGGGCACAGAGAAAGCTAGGAAGGCCTGAGCTAGCTTATGTGCCACAGAAAGTTACGATCTTATGACCAATACATCTCTCATAGTGATGTACAGTGAAACCCAACCTGTAAAAGTGCACAATACTTTCCAAGAAAATAGAGAGAGGTTTTCCTACAGAATGTTTCTGTGGCGATATTTTTCCTACAGACGCGTCGCTTGGTCGACCGCACTGCTGCCTGCCTAGTCGCGACGTTCTTTGAAACTGTAGCCTGTTCTTGGAATTATAATAACCACATGAATCTTCAACATACCAGTTATCTTCGCGGGTAAAAATCACCCTCAATACACAAAATCAGGCCATAATAAACCAGACGTCATTGAGATCAAATCGACACGCTTCGCTCGGACAAGTCAACACAATGGACGAACCAACGACCTACGAAGCTTTGGTACAGAGGACGGATTGCCTACGACCTTTCGTACCAGCAACAGACCTCTCGATATACAATGCCATCTTCCCAGCGTCACCTCATCCCAAGATTGCCGCCATAGCTTCCCTGATGAACGAACTCTATACTCTCTTCGTCGATATGGGTTACCTACCACCTACCTCTGTATCTTTTGCTCCCCACACCAACTGCCCAATCTCCCTGAAACATGCTGCTCTCTTCGGACTAGAAAAACAAGTCGTGGATCTTTTGCAAATGCTTCCTTACTGGGACGGCACAGGCCCTATCTTTAATTTTGGCTCTGACCAAGGAGAGTTTTTGTATTGGGGCGAGTTTGATACTGATATCAGGGGAGAAGGGAAGGAGTATCACTGGTGGAGAAAGTGTGCAGACCCATGTTGGTATTCTGACGTCGGACGGGAGGGAGCGAGAGCGATTGGGTGGGACCTGAGATGTAAAGATGTTGACGANGGAAGGTGGGAGATTGAGGAAGAGGAGGAAAAGGAGAAGGGTTGGTTGATGATCGATGAACCTGAAGATGACGATCTCGAAGACGCGGACTGGGTTGAAGAAACGACTGATGATAGACAGGATGGAGAGGCGACTAACGATGAGGACATGATCGATGCCTCCTTCTCCGACTTCGACGAAGAGCCAATCCAAGCAGAAGAACTTCTTGTATTGAAACAAGACACCGTCCTAGCAAACGCGGAATCAGAGAAACAAAAAGCAGCAGAAGTAAAGGAGATAGAGGAGGAAGAGACCAAGCGGAAAGCAATCATGGAGGACCCTAGGGATGAACGTCTCCTCCTTTACATGCGTCCCTGGCACGTTACACTCAACAGCATCGGCAATCATGGTACAGTCCTCTTCCTCAACACCCACAACTTCACAATCTCCCAAACTTGCTTTGGCAATGTCTGCGATTTCAGGCACAACGCAATACCCTATCTCCGTAACATGATCAACAACTTCAAAACCTTGAAGTGGATGCCTGGTGGACTCTATTCAGGAGATCACGATAAGGAGAGATATACAGCCTACCGAGACCTCTACATCGAAGCGGGATGGCCAGATGCATTCGACCGCGAGCAGTTCGAGATATCGAGGAAGAATTACGAAACTGAACGTCGCCAACGCTACAGCAGACAGATGCCTTTGAGGGACCTATCCGAGCATGTGTCTAAAATGCGATCGCGCGAGCTCTCAAAACTCCGCTACCACCACGCTGTTGAGAAACTAGCCTCCCTATCTCCCGATGCCGACGCAGACGAACGCAAGAATCTAGAACAGGGCATTGATCGCTTCGGAAGAGAGTTTCTACCCGCTCATTTTGAGCCCACTGATAACGACATGCTCGAACGCTACAGAACTACCCTCAACGACATGCTCGAGAAAGGCCAAACGGGGTCACGATTTGAGAATCAGAAGGCGGTGGTAGCAGAAATGGAATTTGAGGCGCAAGCCACCAGCTTCGAAGAAAGGGATTGGTTGCTCTATGAGCTTAGGAGGAAAGAAGCACTGGCTGTTGATGCAAAGATGAAGGTAGGCTTCGAGTGGAAGTGTACTTGGAAAGGCGCACCCATTGATCTGGTTGACGTGGAGTTGACACCGGAGATTGTCAAGGAGATGGCGAGGGAGAAGTATGAGAGGTATTTGCCAAAACAAACTCCAAGCTCTATTTAAGCAGAGACTAGGGTTGCTGTATCATTCGAACTACCTACTATCCCTGTGTGTCGCATAACTCCCCTGACATTCTTTCATAACTTTTCGTAGTTGGTACTGCAATCTCTGTGGGGTTTGTTCTGACCCTAGATGGACGGCTGAACGATCATCGCTTCGAAACTGGCACTCGTCAAAGGTGTCAAAGGTATAACGACATGGGGTGTGGATTTGAGCAGTTTAGACAGAACGATCTGTAGACGATCTATCGAAGGTCCTAAGTGGCCAGTTCTCACCAATGTATATAGAAGGTCCACCTCAGATTCTAGCCTTCGATTGGTAGAGTGCCAGATCGCTTTGTGTGCCAGTTCGACGGAATTCATCATCTTTTGGGAAGATGTGAAAGAAGAAAAAAGGGAAAAAGAAAAAGGAAATCAAGGCGCCAAGCCTTTCTTGGCTTTCCCGCGGCGAAGTCAGTGCAACTTGAACGATTGAACATCTGCGACCAGAAACCCAGCCATACCGCTATCCCACACGTAGCCATAGACTCAACATGGCTCTCAACCTCTTCACCCGCCTGTTCAGGCTGCCTGCTACGGCGCGCCCCAACTTTTCAGCTCTCAGCACCACTCTTCGCACACCGATCGCCNNCCCCTCACCACGCGCATTCAGCACATCGTCACCATTCTCGGCTACATACAACCAAGTCATGCGCGGCTGCCGTGTCGCTCAAAGAGCACGTAAACCTACTTCGCCGCAGTTGAAAGACAGACCTGAGATGAAGNNGGGTGTGTGCGTGCGTGTGGGTATCACCAAGCCCAAGAAGCCCAACTCGGGAGAGCGCAAGGTCGCAAGAGTCAGATTAAGTAACGGCAGAGTCGTTACTGCCTATATTCCCTGGTGAAGGTGCGTCAAATGCTGCTGGAGTTGNGGAGAGAAGAGAACGAGAAAACGACCTGAGCAAATAGGATGGAAAATTGGACATGTAGAGATCTATGGCTAATATGGGTTGATTTCAGGTCACAATGTTCAGCAGCACTCTGTAGTCTTGGTCCGTGGCGGTCGTTCGCAAGATTGCCCTGGTGTCAAGTACCATCTTGTCAGAGGCGCCTTGGATCTGGTATGTTTTTTTCTCGTCTCTTTAGTAACCATTTTACTGATGAAATCTACANNGGGTGGTGTTGGTAACAGAATCACCTCGCGATCCAAGTACGGCACCAAGAAGCCCAAGGCTGCCTAAACAATTCTACAATTAACGACATTACATCACACTTCTGAACTCTGCTATTCTCGGATCCTGCTCCAGGGATGATCGTCCGAAGGTCATGAGGCCAACCCCCTGGTGTGTCTCATCGTCGTGCTGCAAAGCGAGCTTGGCGCCATGACTTGCTCAAGCATTCCATCTTACAGCACACCACCAACTGTCTCTCTTCAGCCATTTTCTTTTGTACTTAACATCGTCTTCTGCTCTAACACTGCCCTGAATCTGGTCAGGCGCATATGCATGGCGTTTTATGGTGGTTGATTTTTTGTATACTATCAGGAATGAAGCTTGACGCAGGGGAAGCTCGTTTGAGCACTAAAGAAACCGGCGTCCTCAGCTACGAAAATCTGTCCGACTCGTACGAAACCACCAGGCTCTAAAAGAACGATCATCTAGCGCTATTGATGCCTAGCAGAATACATCATGATCAACAATGCATGTACTTTTTGACCTGCGACGATTGTTTTAAGAGAGACTCGACTATTGCACGCAACGTCTCGTGTTTTCGCTGCGCCTTCCCCACTGTACTACATAACTCGACCCTGCATATCTCTCCAGTCTTGTTCAAGGTATGTGATACTATCGATACGAGACAGCCACTTGTCCATCGTTCCTTCCTTGGTAGTAGTCTCTGCGTAGTTCCAAGAAACGGTTCGACGTGGGTTGTTTCTAAACTCGTTCACATATGTCATCCTTGAAATATATAAGATGCCTTCTTTCCTGGGTGTTCTGAGATTGCATCCATCGACTTCAGCAACTTTGAATTGATACTTCAATCGCCAGAGCGTCTACATTATCTCTTGAACATACGCTAACCCTGCTGGCCATCATGTCTCGCCTGCTTGTTTCCATTGCTCTTATCTCTCTGCTCACCAGGTATGTACCATCATCCATCCCGTCCTTCATTTTCAGAAACTGATAAAGTGTATAGCACCGTCAATGCAGCAGCCTGCCCACGCTGTCCAGTCTCAATCACCTATACCACCCCAAGCGGTTGTCCAGCTCTCAACTGTGTCCAAGCCACCTGCACCGTGACAACCACAACAACCATTCCTACCTCCTATTGCAGCACAAAGACTCGCACAGCATGTCCACGCTTCTGCGCTGCTTGCTTCACCGAAACCATAACTGAGCAAGAAGATCCCACGACAATGCAACCAACGACTATCACTGGTGCTGAGCCAAACACGACCATCAATCCTGGCGGCCCGATCATCACTGATCCCATTTATCCTCCTTCGTCTACTGTAGCTGGAGATTGTGCTCCGTACACGATTACCACTACTGCTTCTAACCCAGCGTGCACTTTCGATACATCGACATGTATCAGACCGTTGTGTGTGTTTGAGACCACGACTACGGTGCCCCCTTGTGGTGTTCCTGTAACAGAGACTGAGCTTGCGACGTGTGCTACTGAGTGTCCGGCTGGCTGTGCTACATTTACCTATACCACTACCGGTGTTTCTGCTTCTTCTACAGCTCTGAACTGAGAATGATGACGGAAGAAATGAGTGTTTGAGATGCTTGGGCGTTGGGTATGTCCTTGGTATTAGGATTTGTTCAATTCCTTTGATATGTTTCGACTTTGGGCCAAGGCCGAGCAAAACCAAAAGATCAAATAGCTAGATCGAAACAAGCACTCTGCAAAGACCAACATTGTGAAAGACAATTCTGCATCCATACTTGTATGCCACAAACCGAAAGTATAAAAGCATCACTGCTCAATCAATCACATCAGTTTCTCGCTACAAACCATAGTTACTTTGTGTGCATCCAGCTCCACTTTATATCCTTTGGATGCCTAGAAATATAAAACGAAAGGTCGTAGTGTCAGCGTCGGACGCTCTGCACTAATCAACATGATCTTCTTTTCATCCTTCGAACAGATCAAGAAGCTTATACGGCTGGTTTGCGTATCCATGGAGAAGTTGCATCGAGTACTGTATGTCGATGCCTGCGAAGACGATAACGTCGTCTGTGAACACGAAGCGATACAGTGCTGTTCTCCTAGGAGGTATGGTTGGTTTGTGAAGGACTGTTGCAGTAGTGCAAGGTATAGTAACCACTGATATCGAGTATCTCAGGGATTGTATCTCTTATTGTTTCTGGTATATGGATGGGAGTATAGATGAGATGCTGGCCCTTAACAAGTATTGTCTTCCTTTCTTGAAAGCATCGTGTAGCTTTGCAATTACATATGTGAAGGGATTTACATAGAGAGATGAGCTGCCTTTACATGAAAGGATGGGAGCATTGTCTTCTACCATACGCTGTTGTGCTGGACTGAGCACGACAAGCTCTGTACAAAGGAGCTCGTAAAACTTTTCGTCTAAATCCAGATTGGTCCAGTTCTCAAGCCACGTTTCCATGGCACATTGTTTGCTAACGTAACATGAAAGCAGTGCTTCCCAGATAGCACTGCTTTCATGTACGCAAGAGATACAGCAGTATCAGTTGAAACATAGGTATGGTGTGAACGAATCGCTATGCTAATCATTATGCTTTGTGACTATACAACCAAATCATCTATCTAGCCTTGGTCTTTGCCTTCACCCTCGCAAGCAATGAGTTCAAATCTTCACCACCAGAGGAAGCCTCAGTCTTTGCCTTCTTCTCCCTCTTCTCAACCGGCGGTGCATCGGCCCTCTCACCATCNNCCTCATCACTTCTTCCTTTTCTCTTCCTTCTTCCCTCTTCCAACAGCGCCTTCATACCCTGCGTACCCTTGAACCTCGGATTCGTAGGATCGATAGCAAACTCATGACTCTCAAACAACTTAGCAAATCTCGGATCTTGAGTCTCCATACTGAAATCATCTTGTTGCAACACTTCCGCCGCATCCTTGGCTTTCTTGTTGTTCTTTGATTTCTTCTTGAGGGTTTTTTCGGCTTTGGCGATCTCGTTCATGTTGAAATGGCGGATGTTTTCGGAAGCGGTGTTTTCGTCTACCATCAACAGTTCCAATTCGGCACGTTTGGCGGCATTGGCTGCGTCTGCTGCTTCACGGGCCTCGCGCTTCTTTTGGCGGTCGGCTTTGCGGGCGAGTTTTTCTGCCTTTTGGGCTGTTGCTGTGTCGTTGAAGAAAGGGTCGTTGAAAGGGTCTTCCTCGTCTGCTGGTGGTGCTGCTGATTCCTTTGTAGGTTTCGTCTCTGTAATGGCATCGTCGTCGGAACCTGCTTCTGCAGTCTCACCACCATTACGGGCGGCCTTCATCTTCTCCTTACGACGGGCTTTGCGTTCTTTTCCTTNGCGGATGTATTTCTCGCGTGTGGTTTCTTCAATAATGGGCTCGTTCTCAAAGACACCGTTGGACTTTGCTGCGGCATTGGACAGACCAGAAGTAAAAGTGATTTGCATATCTCCTACCGGGCCATCGTCTTTGGACTTTGTCTTTGCTGCCTCTGTGGACAAGCCCAGTGCAGCACGCATCTTTGTCTTTGGAGTTCTGCTTTTGTCATGCCGGTGTCGTTTTCTTCGTCGTCNGCTGCTGTCGCTGCCGATGTAGGCTTGCAAGTCGTTCTCGTCGATTTCGGCGCGTGAGAAGGCACGTTTCTGGACTTCTTTTCTTGTTGTGTCGTCGGCGTCCCATGTCAAGCGTACTTTGCTGTGGGTAAGGGCATCTGTGACGAATTCATTTGGCTTGTAGCCTGCAGGAATCTTTGTGCATTCATCGCGAGGAGTGTCGGTGTCAAAGTCGACATCATCAGGGACGAATCGCAGATCGAAGAAGTTTGCTGTAGAGAGGTATTCGCGGCCGTCCATACCATCGTAGAGAGATTTTGCTGTTTCCTTGGAGTCGCAGGTGATGACGGCGTAGTAGTACTTTAGACGATCCAGTTGGTATTGACGCAGTTTTGCAGAGTCGAATTCTTCGCCTGTGTCTCCCTTCAACAGCTCCTTCTTGATTCTCTCTTCCTCGTCATCGCTGTCTTCGTCCTCATCGATTTCCTTTGTGGCGCTAGCGAAAATGTCTCTTGGTGGGCCTTCGAGCTCTTCCTTTTGCATGCGCTCCTTGCCGAACTCGCTGGGGTATACAACAACCTTGGAAACGCGGCCAGTGGCAGCGAAACTCTGTGCGACGGCCATAAGATCCTCTGCGCGGATGTTGTCCCAGTCGAGGTTGACGACAGCCAGACGAGACGAGACGTCACCAAGAGGCACATCAGCAGCTCCCTCGTTAGGGAACTCTACTGCATCCTCTTCAACCTCTTCCTCCTCTTCGCTGTCATCCTCGGAGCTGCTATCGTCCTCGGAAGACGAGAATCCTCCTTCTCTTGCCGGATCCCTGACTCTGCCATCCAATCTCTTGAGTTCAGCTTCGATCTCGTCGTCATCAGCAATATCCTCCTCTTCACTCTCCTCATCGCTTCCCACAACCTCTCTGACAGGCTTCTTGCTCTTCTTAGCCTTGACCTTCTGTGCCTTTCCCATCTCTTCCTCTGACTCCTCCTCTTCCTCCTCATCTGCATCTTCAATCTTGTAAAAGCGTTCCAACTCTTTCTTTGCATTGCTCTTGGCAACCTTGCGTCCGTACTTGTCGACAGTCGCTTTCTTTGAGAAGTCGTCGTCTTTGAACATGCGGGTGAAGCGCTTGTCGACGCCTACTTTGCTGTGTCGTGCTGAGGGAAGGCGGAAACGGGGATCTGTGGTCATGGATGCGAAACGAGGGTCNNACCTATTCACAGATATCAGTTTTGTTTCTCTTTTTGCACTCTGTAAGGTAAACATACTCGCTGCAGCAGAAGAGGAAGCGCCTTCATTGCGGCGACTGCCCTTTGCTTTGCCTTGAGCTGGCATATTGGCGTTCGAAGTATGCAACAATCGATCCGGTGTAAATATGCAGTATCAGCAACTTGGGCTAGATGTATAAGTTCGCGATTGCGAGCAAGAGTTGTGTTCAAATGATCGCAAAGGAAATGGAGGGTGACTTTTTTCTTGGGAAAACATCCAGCCACGGACTTTAGCCATTCTTCGCCGAGCTTGCTTGGCGCGTGCTTCAGACAGGGTTACACCATATACAACCATTGGAACATGTTTTTCTGGATAACTCGCGCAGGTTGATGTTTTTATCGTTCATACTCCAACAGCTACTTGCAAATTACCTTGAGTATCATTATGCAAAGTCTAGGGTGGATAAATTGAGTGGTTGTGCTGTGGTGCTTAGCAGGAGAAATTGTAGTTGCTAACTTTTAGAAGACGCCTCACCTCGCAGTTGAAACAAGCAACATTTCTCTAAACAACGAGTGCCAAAATGTCCAAGTTGGGCAGTGTGTACAACAAGCACAGATATCACTAGCAAGTCAATTGACAAGGGAAAGAATTTGAAGGATAGCAGATAAGGCCGAAGTGCCCTTGATCTTGTTCATATCTATCTCGGACACTGAACCGAAAAAACTCATCCTTTTGTTTTATCTTTTCCTGGTCATTGGCACTTTCCTTCATCATCATGCCTCTTTGACTATTCACAGCCGGCCATATATTGTCATTGGTAATATGTCCTCTTGGTATTCGAGGGCTTGGAAGACGATTTCTAGCGTCTACTGCCATAGGCAGCACCCATGCCTTGGAGCATAGGCATACCCATACCAGGACCTTCTTGAGGACTGCGCATGCCAGGTGTGCCGTCGGGGCTTCTTACATTAGAGCCGGGCATCATCATCATTCCCGGAGGAGCGAAACCAGGAGGAACACCGGGGATGTGGTTTGGGTTGTTGAAGAAGCCAGGTGGGGAGGACCGTGAGCTCCGAATCCTGGAGGTGGTAGATTCATACCTGATGGGAAGCCGGGAGGAGGGCCTTGCATGCCCGTGCCTTGCTGTGGGGGGAGGTTGCGAACTAGGCTGCTGGAAAATGTTGGGCATATTTGCAAAGCCAGGAGGGTGACGCATGTTGGGATTGAAACCAGGAGGCAGACGGTCGCCAGGACCAGGTGGCAGAGGACCGCCGCTCATGTATGGGAAGTTAGGGGGGAANNAGTCTTGGGGAGCACCAGGTCCAGCGTTTGGCTGAGCAGCGCTCTGGCGGCGCGGCTGAAGGGGACCATTGGGATAGCTGCGCTGAGCTTGTTGCAACACAATTGAGGGATCCTCAATGAAGCCAGGAGGAGCACGAGGACGACCCTGGTCCATGTGTTGATTGCCACGGAACAATTGCTCCTCAATGGATTCAGTAGGACGGGGAGCCTGTGGCTTGGGAGCGATGGTTTGTGTTTGTGTCTTTGGCGGTTGGTCAAGGAAGAGTTGGAAAGGCTCAGGCTCGTGTTGGTTGCGAGCCGGGGGAGGAGCTCTGTTGGCGTTCTTGGCTTGAATCAAGTTGAGCAAAAACTCCGAATCCTTGTTCAATGAGTTCTGCTTGCGTGAGTGTTGTTGGTTGAAGTTCTCAGGCGTTGAACCGTTGCGAGGAGCTTGGTCGAGGAAAATGTTCTGCATCTGCTGAGGTAGATGCGAAACAGGGTTGCTCGATTTCATAGATGCTGGATCAGGCGAGGCGACATTACTAGTGGGACGGCTGAACTGAGATGGAGGTGGCAGGAAAGAATCAGAAGCAAAACCAGACTGAGGTCGAGGAGACTGATGCGATGTAGGAGCCTTGTCGAACATGGCAGCCAAAGGGTCTTGAGGTGGTTGCATGCCAAAGCCGGGCGGTGGACCAGCAGGAGGACCTCTTCCATCCTGCTCCTTGATAGGCGAGTCGATACCGCCAGACTGTGATTGTCCCCTACGGAGGCCGGCCATGATTCTGAGGAAGCCTTGCTTGTCTTCGTTCGAATCAAGTGCGGCGGGGCTGGCAGCTTCTTCAACAACAGGTCGAGGCTCTTCCTTAGGAGCGAACATGGATGCGAAGCGGGAAGACTTTCCTTTGTNTCCAGCCGGCGCCTTCACTGCGCGCGCTTCGACAGGACTCTCGAGCCTCTTGCTCTCGCCCCAAGATCCGAAAATACTCTTGTCGAAGCCAGGTGCCTCTACCATAGGAGTTTGTGGTTTCGAATGTGCCGGCGTTGACTTGACAGGAGTGGCGACCTCATCGGGGAATGCGTCTGGCTTGGTCTCGGTAGCCGGTCCGTTGGCAGCGGCTCTCATACGTTCCTTCCACTGCTCGAAGTCTTCCTGTGTATGCATCTGGTTCTTGTTCTCCTTCTCCAACGGCTCGTCCATCCATTCTGGCTCTTTCTCAGGAGCATCCTGTTGACGCTCGTTGCGCGCCTTGTCTCGCCAGCCGCCGCGCTGACTAGGTCTTTCTCGCTCCCGTTCACGTTCACGCTCACGTTCGCGCTCGCGGTCACCGCCACGGTCACGGTCGAGGTTGTCGCGGGCCCAGCGTTGGTCGAAGCGCTGTCCAAACCCATTACCATTGCCCTCGCGTGGTTGGCGCGGAGTGAACCTGGGCTCGGAAGCAAAAGCATCGTCATCTTCTTGCTGCTGCTTGGAAGAGCGCCAATCTCTATTGTTGCCAGTCTTTGTGGTCTCTCTGTCACGGAAGAAGCGCGAACGCTGGTTGGCGGCAGGTGACTCTTGTTCCTGCTCGCGCTCTTCGAGCTTGTTGATGTTTCGAGATGAAGCGAATGATGTTTTGGGTGGGCCAAGTACGATTTCGTCTGGAGTTTGTAAGCTATCGGCAGGTGTGGGCATAGCGAATGACGTACCAGGCTGTTGGGCAGAGCGCGATGTGTGTCTAGTCTGTAGTAATGATGGTCTCTGTGACGAGAAGTTGCCCATTGGAGCAGGTTCTTCGGGTCTTTGGGACTGGTTGCGTGGCTTGCGACCGCCATTCTCTTGTTGCGATTGCTGAGTACCNNTCTTTTCTTTGTTGAGCAGTTGGACTTGGTAGGAGGCGGTCACAGGAGGGGCTTACTCTATCCACTCATCGATCGAGGGCAGCTCGTCTGGCTTGCGTACTAGAGGCGATTCACGAAGAGCTTTCAATTGCTCTATCGTGTAGCGCGCGCCGTAGACGGCCATTTTGTTGCGGAAGTGAGGGGCAGCGGCCAGTCGAAACGACGCGAGACGGTTGAGAAGAAATAGCGTCGCAGGCGAGCAGATTAATGGTCGAGCTCAGGTCTCGGTTGCGATAGCGAATTGACTCTGGTTAGCGTGGGGTGTCTGGGCCTTGTGAAAGTTGAGTGTGGGTGTTGGCGAGATGTGTCTTGTCGCCCCGATGAGCGTTGATGGCGCTCGAGTCGGTCGGGGACGTCAGCTGCTTCGATTGTGCTGACAGGATCGACAAAGCGGCAGTGAATAATATCGAGTTGGGCAGCTGCAGTGGATGGGAAGAGAGTCTGAGGTTCGAGCAGGGAGAAGTAGGATAACAGCGAGGAAATTGTTCTGCGATTGCGCCTTGTCAAACAGGAGAAACTTGTGCTGCTCATTGCTCCACCGCTCCACCTCCACCGCCCAGCTGCTCCAAATCCCGCTGCCAACCTCATCCTCGTTTCTCCTCTCCAACCATCAATTTACGCCCACGTGCAATAATCTCTGCAACATAGAGCATCATGGCTAGCAAAGAGATTCGATATTGGCTCGTACACATCAGTTGGAGGTGATAATTTCATTGTCATTGCTCCAGCTATCCATTTTTCCCTTGCTGCTCTACTTCACAATTTATCAAAAATGTCCTTTGCTTCAATCTCAAGTGCAGGTGTAATGATTTTTACGCCTGTGAAAATTCAAGATATGAAAGCAGTAGTCTACTTGTCCAGAGAGAGCAGCCTCATGTGTTTTCCTGCAGCAAACAATGCCTGCCTTGATTCAATTGGTGGACACTCTGCATGTCGACAGCTGGTATACCAAAGCACTTTGTTATGGGAAGAATCAATCTGCTTGATAGAGAGGTCAATCCAACATGACGAATGAGGTCCATGTAAACACCGTGACTCGACCATAATCCGTACGGAAAATTCAGGGAGCATGTATCGCTATAGTGACGGTGACGGACTCGAGTGAAAGTGACAAACAAGTGGTGACGAGTGAGAGCCCCGTTTGGTCCATATCAAAACATTTCTCGACTTCTCGCACCAACTCTTCTTCCTTTCTCAGCGCACCGCAACCAGCCAGATTTTTTCTCTGAACAACAACAAGCACCACCAACTGCTTCCCTTTGCCTTGCGTCTCTTCAGAGTGTCTCCAACAAGCACGCCGTAGCCTTAAGCAAGCGAAAGCGTTGCACGATGGAGCACTCTTCCGCCTCTCCTTCGCGCGCTGCCTCGCCTCGCGGCAGCAGCAACAGCAACAGCAACAGATCTCCTCCGCGCGAGAAGCGCAAACTCGAGTCTTTCCTGACCGAGTCCGGCGAGACGTGGGAGTTCTCACGACCCGTCAAGAAGTCCCGTTCGTCCGGGCCTGGCATTCACGCCAGCAGCACCGCCCTGGGTTCGCCTACCCGTGTCCAAAGGCCTCCTTTCTCAGCAATCTCGCCGACTCGCGGCAAGCGGTCTCGCGACCCGTCGGACGAAGATACCGACGCTCAGTCTCCTTCGCCCAAGAGGCAGATGACTTCGGTCACAGACCTCGGCGACCATGCAGCTGTCCTTCGCAGGACTAGCTGGCTAAGCTCTTCTCGCAGCAGAAGAAAGGAGGCTGCAGCAAGTAGATCCCGCTCTCCCTCGCAGGGCGGCCTACGTGGTATGTTCGATGCGGGCTTTGGCGTCAGCCAGAGTTCCGGCTCCGTGGAGTTCGAGGAGTTGCAGGAGCTCCCGGACTATGAGAGTGACGAAGAGGTCACCATCGGCCAGCATGCCGACAACAACCTGGATCAATTGGCACCGTTCCAGGGGCCTGCCATGACTCTTCCTTCTGCCAATCACTTCCAGGAGGGTCAGGAGTCGAGCTTGCCTGCGGTGGCATCAATTGAGACCGACCAGGACATGGAGTACCAGGTCGGCTCGAGTCACCGTNNCAGGCATTCGAGACTGTGGTCAGTGGTGAGTACGGTGTCGTTGCTGGCAATGGCTCGTACGAAGCTACTTCAACCACCAGACCTGTTGTTTGGTCATCTCTGGACTCCCGACTGGCCTCTGACAGTCGCTCTCCGAGTNCCAGTAACTCGTTACAAGCTTGCTCGTGCCGACAGCAGCGGCAGCGAGAGCGATGTCGACAACCCACAACTGCTGCGAAGCAAGTTTGCTGGGTTCGCTCAAGCTAATGCAACGGTCCAAGGCCGTGTTGAGGCACAGCAGCAATCGGTGAGGGAGCCTGGAAATACCAGTACCTCAGCCAGCAGTCCCGGCCCTGTCACAGCCGTGGATACCGCCAAGGCAGCTACCACCAAGAGCTTCGAACCAACCTTGTCGCCAGTCAAGGAGTCCAGTATCGAGCCTGTGGAAGTCGGCAAAGTTCAGAGAGCTCTTTCACAAGTCCGCAAGCCTCACAGCATGAAGCCGCCAACCTCGACAGTCAGAAGACTCTCTCCAGCAAAACGTTCACCTACGACTTTACAACCACCTACCATGGATGAGCCATCGCAACAACTCTTATCCGAGCTCGAGAAGTACGTCAGCGACCGCAGAAACTGGTACGCAAAGCAAGTCAAGCATGAAAGAGTGAATGAGGAGGAAGTGAAGACAGAAGACGTCGGCGCACAGTCCATCCCCACCAGCCACAGCCCACCAAACATCAGCCACGTCCCGCAACCGCAACCAGACGCGTCCATTCCACCAGCTCTCGCATCAATTATCACTCGCGCCGTGGAGGAGAATCAACACATCATGGCCGTTCACGCGGCCGAAGGTCCCAGTGAGGACGATATTGATCTCTGGCGCATCTGTTTGGGAGAACTTGATGGTCCTATGGACATTGACGGCGAAGACGACCTTGCCGTCCAGCCCTATTCTCGCGATAGAATTCGCAAACAACGCGACGAAGACATCAGAAAGTTCAAGGCTCTCAGAGATGCGCGTCGCAAATTCCAGATTCAACGCAATCACTTTGACGAAGCACCCGACTCTGAGCCTGCAGTTGTGAACGAACCTGAACAAGACAACGAAGACCTGCTCTATACCGACCATCTTCTCGCCAGCTCTGATGACCGTTTCCATGCCGAGAAGCTCCGCCTGCAAGCTGCACTCGAGCATTGGGAATCGTGCTGGCCAGATCCAACAACTCTTTCCTCCGAACACTGGACACAGGAAGCCACTACTTTCGCAAGCAACCAAGAGAGCGCAATAAACTCTGCCGAGAAGCATTACTGGGCTTCCCGCAGCATCCAGGCACAGTCTTACGCCGAAGGAAACTTCAACTCTGGCCGCGGCTCCAATCTCCACATCTCATTCTCTCTCATTGATTGGAAGAAGAGCATTGCTACGTCAGAGGAGGAAGCCGCTGCCTTTGCTGAACAAGTCAGCCAAATCCAGCTTACTGAAGAGGACCAAGAAGCTCCTCTCAGAGCCAAGCTCGCTCTTTTCCTTTCCGAACTTCCCCCTGAACTGGACCAGAAGGTCACAGAAATTCTCAGCATCACCAATCCCGGCAGAGCAATTGTCAAGTCTCCTGAAGGCAACGACTTGACCCGCAGAGACTTTGCTACTCTCCTTCATTCCGCAAACTACCGCACCGGCGAGCCCGAAGGATGGCTCAATGACGAAATCATCAACGGCTTCTTCACTGCTCTTTGCAACGCCATGAATGACAAGGCCGGTCATACCAAGGGCAAAGTGCCGCCATTCGCATCCTATATAACTGGCTGGTATTCTTCAGTCACNCAAAAGGGGATCAACGCCATCGAAAGATGGTCACGCCGCAAGGGCATCAAGGGTGAGAAGCTGCTCGAGTGCAAGCGCATCTTCTTCCCAGTCAACCCTGGCAACCACTGGTCATTGCTGGTAATCTGCCCTGACATTAAGACCATTGAGTACCTCGACAGTCTGGATGTCGGTTACTCTGAGGAGAACCGCAAGAGCGCCCGGTATATAAAGCTGGGCCGCCAATGGCTCCAGATGGAGCTTGGCAACAAATACGTCGGGGACGAATGGAAGGAAGTCGACCGTCGCAGCTCCATTCAGAACAACGGCTCGGACTGCGGCGTTTTCACCTGCCTCAATGGCTTCGCCTCTGCGCTCGAACTCTCAAACCCTACCAAGGAGTTCGGACCTGATCAGATCCCATACGCTAGACGCGCTATGGTCTCCATGTTTAATCTTGGAGGATTCAACAAGCACTTTGAGCTCTGAGCTGTTCCTCTCGGACTTGGCCAACACCACGTCTGTTTCAAAACACCTCAACTCACCTCAACAGACTCGCATAAGGCGAGGCGCTCCAAGTCTCATTGTAGCTCGCCACCAAACTTCCATTTCATCCGAATCTGTCCTATCCAGCAACTAGCCAGCAGGCGTCAATCTCTGAAATGAGCTGCACGCACCGAAGTTTGAGGGGGAAAGAGCTGTCGCTTTCCCTCCACACGACTTCTCGACACGCTGCTGCCCTTGTAGCCTGCAGTCCCTCAACAAACCTTGGCATACCAGAATACACACCACTCAGCCATGGGACCGCAGGCTGCTTCTCCCGAACATTCCATTGCCCAACATACTCGCACAAAAAGACAAAAGTGCACACATACACCAGGGACATACTCAAAGGGCAGCAGCATGTCTTCTACACAAACACACAACAATCCAAACAACCGTAAGTCTTCTACCAATCTTTCAGCCACGATAAGAAGTTAACACAAGCCAGAAAATTGACCGAATAACAAACACGAGACAGAAGGAAGAAAAGAAGAAGGTACAGCATGGCGGCCTTGAGGGTCAGGGGCTTGAGCGGGAGCATGGACGGATTTTTCGCATACGATACCCTTTGTTTCAGCGTGGGAAGAAAGGGAAGCAAGCATGTAAAGGAGTTTGGGGTGGTCGCATTTGCATTCAAGGACTCTTCAAGCGCTGAATTGTTCTATTCCATGATAAGAAGAAGGAGAATACGGGTATACGCAAGCAATGAAAGCATCAGAACAGTTTTACAGCGAATCAAAAGCATTGAAAAGACAAATTACTTGATCAGGAAGGCAAGCTGGTGGTGATGTTTGCGGTTACATTCACATGCCAAGCTCGGACCAATGACGTTTTGGAGATCGTGTCGGCAGTGGGTCATGCTCAGGCGGACAGATGATTAAAACACCGCTGAAAAGACTTGCCGGGTTGTCTGCTTGAAGATGAAGCGTCCAAGACGACACGATGGCATCGTCAACAAACCAGTACATTCGCCAGATCCTGCACCATAGCGAGGCGCCGCCTCCGGTGAAAGCCCGCTTCTTCTACACCTCTCCGCTAGCCATAGACGATCCGCTATCACCACTGCCGCCTTCAGCCCAGACTGCTCAGACGACGTATGCAAAACTACCTCCTCGGCCGTTTTCCGAATTTGACAACACCGTTCTCGACAAGGCATGGCATAATCTCCGGCATAAGCTTCTCCGATACAACGAGGAGCGGGGCGAGAAGCAGAAGGATCCTCAGCCAAGTGGCAGACAAGAGAAGGGCAAGCAGACAGAACTAGGCCTACCAAATACCAAATCCTCTACCCATCGGCCAGCTTCAACCAGCGATGCATCAACGAGGAGCAACAGACTTGCCGACATATACGAGGCACCTGCCATACCGCCAGAGGCAGAGGCTCACGATACGACTGGTACCCCGTTCATTCGTGCTCCTTCAGCACGAAAACTTGATCGAATTCCACATAGACCTCAGCCTAAGCCGCTAGACAGCTATCAGTGGGACGATCCTTCAAATGCACCCAAGCAGCCTGTCAAGCCGCGCGCCGACCCAGAAGCTCCTTCTGCAAAAATAGCTGTCGGCGTATCGCGGCTGCACCATGTAGCTATGCCAGACCTCAACTTGGAGCCCATTTACTGGCGTCCAGTCAACGATGTCTCTCCTGTTGTGCGTGCTACTTGGTTCTACAAGGATACTATGCTTCCGGTCGAACCTCCTGTGGCCAACATGCTCGAAGCGGGTTACACCGAGCTACAGCCCTGGACCGAAACTTGGAACGACGAGCTCAACAGTGCTATTGAGGTTGGAGCTGCTGGAGAAGCCAAAATTTTGCACAAGCTCTGGCCTGATTTGTTTAAGCGGTTGGAGAGTAGACCAAACCCTGCCAGGGCTGAGATGGGTAGTATGACCTCCGTCAACTTTGATGATGAGCCCTTCTCAGCCGAGAAGGAGCGTGACCATATCGTTGAAGTTGCTTGCGACATAATCGACATCGCTGCAGGTGTGGATGGGCCGGACAACAAAGCTTCCGGTACATCGGCGTACTCATCTGGAGGCGGTCTGCCAAGATGGTATTCGACCGCAGGTGTCATATATGCAAACGCAACTGAAGCTCATATTCTGAAGCCCAACTTGCAGCCATCAGCCTATCACGGTCGCCGCCCCCTTGCGAATTACATCCGTAAAGGTCGCAAGCTGGGTATACCTGTTGTTCGTGGCTTCGACCAAGCAGCCTACGATCGTCTGTACCCAATCAAGAAGACCTCTACCGCAACAAAGGCTGAGGAAGGCGTGTCTACTTCACAATCGGGCGCACCTCCGAATCGACGACAGAAGTCCGATCCTGCTCTTGCTCACGCTGAGCGCCCAAAGGTCACTGAACTGGTTTTGGTGATTCATGGTATTGGCCAGAAGCTTTCAGAACGTATGGAGAGTTTTCATTTCACACATGCAATCAACGCATTTCGCCGAGAGGTCAGCGTTGAGCTTGGTACAGACAGTGTGAAAGCTCGTCTGAGGAAGAACATGGGCGGCATCATGGTTCTGCCAGTCAACTGGCGCCAGAGTCTTTCTTTTGAGGATGGCCAAAGAGACGTCCCCGATGACCCGGCACTGAACGATTTCGGACTCAAGGATATCACTCCAGAGACCTTGCCCTCCGTACGCAATATTGTGTCTGATGTTATGCTTGATGTTCCTTACTATCTGTCCGATCACCAGCCCAAGATGATCGCTGCCGTGATTGCAGAGGCCAATCGTATCTACAAGCTTTGGTGCTTGAACAACCCTGGTTTTGCTCAGTATGGGCGAGTACACATTATTGCGCACTCGCTGGGCAGTGTCATGGCGGTTGACATTTTGTCAAAACAGCCAACATCGATACCTCCTGAACTGACAGACCCCACCACGGTTGATCTGAACTCTTCGCCACTGGATCATTTCCTCTTTGATACCTCTGGTCTGTTCTTGTGTGGCTCGCCAGCCGGGTTCTTCTTGCTTCTGAAGCGAGCCTCTCTGATTCCACGTCTGGGCAAGCAGAAGCCAGGAGCGAACTTGTCATCGATAAGAAAGCCGATCTGTGGAAGCCAAGGAACATATGGCTGTCTGCCTGTAGACAATATCTACAATATCGTGAACCCCTACGATCCAGTGTCGTACCGTCTCAACGCCACAGTCGATGCTTCATATGCGGCATCACTCAAAGCGGCATGGGTACCCACAGCTAGCTCAGGATGGTTCTCGTCATCTGGGTCATGGTTCTACTCGTCACCTGAAGGAGCATCGACCACTCGTCCAGACCAGATGCCTAGATTACCTTCGAATGTCGAGCTCGAGACTCACAACTTCTCACGAGAAGAGATTGCCGAGCAGCGGATGCTACTGCTGAACGATAACGGACAGATTGACTTNTTCCTTAAGTATGGAGGTGGACCGCTCGAGATCCAGTACTTGACGATGCTGGGAGCACACAGCAGCTACTGGCTTCTCAAAGACTTTGTTCGGATGATTGTTCTGGAATGTGGCAGGGGGCTTGGCAGGGATGGAACAATATTGGGCATGAGAGCGACTAAGAAGAAAGCACAATTGACCACATGAGATTAGGAGAAGAGAAGGATGCTGTTGATTATTTATGTTGCATATTAATGATACCCCTTGGTTCTGGTCGTATGATAATGCTCGTTGATTCTCGATCATCAAGGTGCCTGGGCGATAAGATAAGGTTCTGAAAGCGGAAAGAGCGAAGGACGGTCTAAGCTTTGTATACCGCATGCGGGGAGATTGCGTTCATGATGGTCAAGGCAGCATGAACTAAGTACAAAGACGGACAATCAGTTGAAACAATTATGAATAGGCTCAATGTCGAGACGAGTGTGTATTCACTCTTTGATGTCAACAATACTCGATTTTTGCACGCTCATTCTGGACTCGTCGCACCTGAACCCAACCTTAGCCAGCTCTTGTCAAGTCTGGTTGCCTGAACATCCATCACAGCAGTCATACGCGCAGACTCGATTAAACCTCGAAATTGATCTCACTGCCGCCGTACAGCACGCTCGCCATGCCACCGCGGCTTTTTGAACGACTTTCTGCTGCCTTTTGGGGCTACCTGTCTCCACAACAACCTGCACCTAAGAAGAGGACCGCGCCTACCCGCAATGCTCGACCTATTCGCGTTACTCCGACTTTCGTCACTCCTAAGCGCCCTGGCAGTGGTTACTTGCCACTCACACCAGCCGACACACATGCCGGCTCCAAAAGAAAGAGAGACCTCGAGGTCGAAGACGATAGAAAGAGAAGCAGATATGACGATTCGGAAGATTACGAAGACGACCTCGAGGAAATCCGTCTAGAGGACGAGAAACTGGAGCGTCTGGCAAGATTGAAAGAGCCCATCAATGAGCCTGAGGACATTGATCACTTTTACTCTGACGGCAGCGAGTATGACAGTGGAGATGAGGACGAGGAAGACGGTGTTCACAATCCTGCTCTCGCTTCTCCACACCTGCCAGGCCAAGGACTCGAACCAAGTATCGATGAGGATGATGGTATCAAGTACGACTACAACATCTACAATCCCACCATTCGCTCCGACAGACTTCCAGCAGGACGAAAACCACTTCTCGAGAGTGCTCTCCCACGAAACCTTCCTCAGATTGTCATCGACACCACCGAAGAAATCACTGATGATGACGACGATGGTGTGATCAACGTGCTTCCCCAGGAAGCTCCTCCCGTCTACGACAACGGTGATGAAGATCTCATCATCTTCGCCGATACGGATGCTAGTGACAACTCAGCCCTTGACATTGACACCTCTCCACACGCCAACTCGTCTTTTCTCGCAACTTCCCGCGAAGAACCATCTCTCTTCGGCTCCTTCCTCGAAGAAGCTCAAGATGGCGAAGACACAATTCTGCTGGACTCACGCGCCCGCGTCGGTAGTCTCGAAGACGAGCGCGTATCCAAAGACCAACTCCTCGCCCGCGGCTGGCCCCAGAACACAGTCTGGTTAATCCAACGCATTCACAACCGCGGCCGTGAACCCATCTTCGCATTCCACTGGCGCATCGACTTTCCCATGATGCCTGAGGGCATGTTTTTGCCTGCTTACCATGCCCATCCTGGTTACATCAATACTCTACGCAACAAGGATTTCCGCGCCAAACATGCTTTTGAGAGACTCATGCAATTGGGACCAAAAGTGCGCGACAAGATCACCGTAGGTCTTGCGCCCGAGAAATTGATCGTGGATGAAGTGCGCAGATATATGGCATGGGCAGATTGGGACTCCAACAACCAATTCCCTTCCTATCCGTTCATCGAGATCCACACTGGAACAAGGGATGAAGACGTCAATGCGCTACAAGATACATTACTCCTTCGCCTCTCCAACCTGCACAAACATTGGCTTGCTCCTTCTGACATGGCGCCGAAACCTCCTGCTCCATTTATGCGTCCTGCTGATCAGGACCTCGATCAACCGCCACCGTTATACGGTATCCTGGTCTCGCATACTTTGCTTGGTGTTGTTGCTTTCGTGCCTGGCGCCGAATACAGCGATTCTATTGGGTATCTGCGCACAGTGGGTGTCTTTGACTTTAATGTCACGGGTTATGATGTGTGGACGAGTCTGGCATTGGCTCTACTCGTCATTCACGTCAGAGAGCAAGGTGTGAAGAGAGGATGTGCGATGCGCAGAGATGGCATGAAGAATCGTTGGGCAAGGNNGGGGAGTGCAAGTACGGATCCTGACAGATGAGCCCTGCATCTGTGGGAGAAAGAGAAGTGGGTGGTGGTGGTCTAACTTAGCTGATGATTCGATTCTGTTGCTCTTTTCTTTTCTTTTCCTTTTTTATGTGCCTTTGCAATCTCTGAGAGGTCGGTCTCTTTTTGTTTTTGCTTTTTCTTATGGGTTCGAGATCTTTTCCTGCGAGATGGGGCGTTTATGGTTCAAATTGCAGAAGATACCCCTTTTCCTTTCTTTCCTTCTTCCCGTCTCAATAATCACTATGCCCATTCTTTCTCTCCAGCTTCTTCCATTGTTAAATATGCCGTAAATGCACTTTGACCTTTCTATCAAACAACAAGACTAGCAGATCTACTAAAAGGTGGGTTCTCATACTAGCTGTTTTGCGTCTCTTTGATAGCGCAATCCCCAAAGACCAAATCCAGCATCATACACTGTTCATGTGAAAGCCGAACACAGTACAGGACTACACATGTAAAGCTACAAGAAAAGCAATGTATCTCATCACCATATTAAATAGCACTTGATAGTCAAAGTCGTGGTCAAAGAACAAACAAACTTTGTCATGAATTTCGGCAATTCTCAAGGACTAACTAACATTCTGGCAATGGCAGAACAACAGTTATGATGAGACATCAATTCCTAAAGGAAGAGAGAAGAAGAAGTCGACGAAAGAAGAAACGTCTCGATGAGAAAAGAAAAGGACGCACAGCATCCATAGTAAACGCAACGCAAAACCCAAATCGTCCTCAATGCATTCCCCAAACCATTGAACCAGAAAACAACAAAACTCCCCATCCTATGCTCTGCGGATCTCGTTTGTTGGTCGTGAGTTAGACGTGGAAAATCATGGCATCATTCTGGCATCGCCGCCGACACGGACAGCGCGCTTGTGCTTGTGGATATGCATGTGGTTGTGCTCGTCTCTCTTGGACTGACTGCCGCCGCAGGTGCCGAAAGCACTGTTGCAGCCTGCCTGGCAGTATTCGTCGCTGGAGCCACAGTAGCCGTGACTGGAGCAGCAATCGCCAAAGCTCGAGCCCTTGCAGGTCACGCCGTTGCCGCAGTTACCCTCAGTCGAGACGAGGAGCGAGTTGCTGTTGGAGGAAGGAGCAGCAGAAGTGGCCTTGGCGACAAGAGCGGAAGTCTTGAAGGTAGTGGCGGCAGGGCTGTTGTTGGCAGTGGCAGGAAGGTAGGAACCATCGCCGTTCTGAGCAGACACGGCGGCAGGGAGGTTGACCTGCTTGATGGGAGGGTTGAGGTTCTTCATGTAGTCGGGAGGACCGTTGTAGTTGCCAGCACTGCACTGGTCGTTGATGTTCTGACACTTGCCTTCCCAGATCTTGCAGCCGGTGTTTCCAGTAGGAGGAGCAGTAGCGTAACACTCCTTAGCCTGTGCCCAGCAGGCAGTACTGGCGTTCCAGCAGCCGGCTTGGTCGCTGTATTTATCAAGCTCAATGCCGTCCCAGTTGCCATTGGTAACGATACAGTCGCTGGGGGCGAGACCTTCAGTCTGCTGTTGTTGAGAAACTCTCAGCTTCTGGTTGCCAACACTAGCAGAAGATGTAGGAACATAGACAGCAGGACCAGGGATAGGGTAGGGCAACGCTATCGGCTCGTTCCAGATGTTGAAGGAGGTCGAGGGCTGGTTGTAGTCGACATAGCCTGGGATGGAGACGGTCTTTTGAGGAAGCTGGGTGCCGGTAGAGTTGAGCCAGACCTGAGCGCAGCCAGCGTAGAACTGAGGGTCGCCCTTGTCGGCATTGTGGAGAGCAAGAAGTTCAGGACGCACAAGGTAGTAGCCGCCCTGGAGGCCGTTGGGCATCTCGACGCTGAGGTGGCCATTGTTGGTAATCAGCTTCTCAGTGCACCACTTGCCGACAGACTCGTCGTAACCTTCGTCCCAGATCTTGAACCAACCATCACCAGCACCCTGATCGTTGATGGCTGAGTCGACTTTCTTGAGGTAAACAGCGCAAGGTCCCTTGTGAGAGATGTCGATGCTGCCAATTGATGGGTTGTCGGGCCAGTCACGGAATTCGAAGCTCAGAGTAGATCCGCTGTTGATCGAGCAGACACGAGCAACACCCTTGGTGCCATCAACACCGCAGGCCATGTCACTGCTGTCAAGACTGGGGATGGGGTCGGTGGCAGTGTTGGGATCCGAAGGCATGCGAATGCAAGTGCCGTCACCNNCTAAGTAGAGTCAGCCTCACATATATTATACGAGCAATATGATTCCCCCTCGTGTGCCAACGACTACCACGAAGTAGCCGCAAGAATGCAGAGTCCGATAGGAGAGCTGACTTACCTGAGCTTCGCCATCAACATAGAGTTCAGAGAAGAGAGTGTGTGCGTTAATCTGCGCAGCCATCAAGGCGAGCACAGGAACGACTGAAGTGACCTTCATGTTGCGAGAAGTGAACAAAACAAAAACTGTCAAAAACGGCAGAAGGAAATACGAAAGGTTGTAAAAGAGCGTGGGTTGGATCTGAAGAAAAGAAGTGGTAAAGGAGCGTGAAGGCAGCAGTTAAATGCTGATGCGTTTGTACAAAGGAGTGTGGAAAGACGGAAGTCCGAAGAAGGTGCTTGAGAAAAGCAGGCGCAAAGATTTTGATCCAATTATTTCAGGAAGTAGACTCGCTCTCTCACTACTTGCCTGTGCGTATCCACGACCAAGCATCTGCGGTGTCATGCATCTAAAACATGAAACATGTGGAAGCGCGAAGAGCTGTTTCACCCACTACTCTTATGCACAATGTGTTCACACAGTCAGGCCGCTGTGCTTCCAGATGCTCAAGAAGTCGACAAAATCTTGTCCATCGTCTCTCACGATGACTTGTACCGATATTGTGAGCTCCGAAAATGCACAGTTGTTTATCAGGTAGAGGTGTGGCACTCAGAGCTGACATTCTCTCCCTAGCCGCCACTACGTTCCAGAGTGTCATGCATTGCTACAGCTACGGTATGAGGGGTGAGGGGGTCGTAGGATCAAGTCGCTATCCGTTATTGCAAGGAGTGGTACGAAAAGGAAGGTTTCAAGGAACAGATCCTGCCCACGGCAAGCCTGAAGATGATCCGAGGATCGACACATCTCCACAAACAGGCGGCGTTTTGGCGCCGAGGATGCAAGCACTGCACGACGTGATAATTTTCTGAGACCAATCATTTCACGTTGCCTGTGCATCAAGGGGTATCGAGGTTGCGACCAACTCCTTTGTACCATTTCTTGTGTATACGAATAGGACTTCAATCTCCTTATTCCTCGCTTTTCAAATGCCCTGAAGACACGAATACTGAAAACAATATCACCAAACGCCTTATTGCGCCCGCTTCTCCATCATTCTTCATTATCATTCAACACCATGGTTAGGACCGGCATGTTTAGATACGGGTGCGGAAAGGTGCATCAAATCCCTGTCCGGCATTAGAGGGTATTGAAAAGAGCTTGACGACATAACTTACATAGAGAGGAGTACCGTGCCTGTTGAGGACGAAGACAACATCTGGAACAGTGACGGTTTTGCGTGCGGAACATTCCAGAATAGCATGAATGTCCTGAAGGAGCTGTATTAGACGTCAGCGACTAACTAGCCATAATCGATATCGTCGCTGGCTTACTGTGTGGAGTCTGGTTTTCAAGGCAAAGCGAACCTCTTCGTAGATCGTGGCTGAGATACGCTTGACACCACCACGGCGAGCCAAACNGATTACAGATACCGTTAACAACGTCCTGCTAGTTTAGTGTAGTAGCACAATTGCCTACCGAATGCTGCCCTTTGTGATGCCTTGAATGTTGTCACGTAGGATCTTNNGCTGCGAAAGATCTTAACAGGGTCACCCTCATAGCAACTATAGTTATACGTACCGGTGTCGCTTAGCGGTGCTCTTTCCAAGACCCTTACCGCCGAGGCCAGTAGTAGCCTTGCCCAAACCTGCTGCTGCCGGGCGAGCAGTGCCAGATAGGCGAGCCATGTTGGAGTTATGTTACTGAAAGGGATGCCGAATAACCAAAGAAGATGTAACGTGCCGGTGGGTAGTGAAGGTAGCTGATGTGACTGGGGTGAAGTGAGCGGTTAGGGCTGATTTTAGCCGCCGGGCTGTTGCGGGCCGAAAAGGGTAACGCGTCGTTCTGATTTTCTGACTGCAACTGTTTTCGCGTTGGATGGTCGTCGTCTACAAGCAAGTGCGAGAAACCACCCGTAAGCCGAGCGACTCGAGGGGCTTTAAAAGGAAAGAAACACAAAAAGTCGCGAGGGTGTTCAGTAGAAGTATTTTCTGAGACGAGTTGCGAAGTTTCACTCGCAAGCTGTGCTTCTGACCTCCACTCTTTCGTTCACTTTTACCAGACGTAGAAGTTTCCGGTTCGATTGAGAGGCCGCAACTTGTCATGGCAGACGTAGACGAGGATGTCATTCCTCGTGGGCCAGATGTTGGTGACGTTGATCTATCAGATGAGACACAAGACTTCCGTCTACTCTTGAACTTCTCGTGCGTTGTAATCTTGCCGTGAATATCGGGGTGTTCTGCTAACATACAATCNAGCGGCGATGACACAAAAATCCCAAAGAGAGGCGAAAAGGATTTTGAGCCTCATCATACAAACAAACAATCGGATGCCTTGACCGCATCGAGAGATGCAATGCACAATGCGCTATCTTTTCAACGAGTCCATCAACCCAAAAAGCATGTCCTGGCACACTACCACCCGGAGACTAACATGGCCTACACCGAAGACCCTAAAGGACCTTTGTTCAAGAACATGGGCAAAGTCTTCCCTGGCAAAGAAGATCCACTTGGCCCTCGTACCGCTGGAGAGAACAGAATTTGGCTGCTTCCGGAAGAAGCGATATATCTGCTCGAAAGAGGCACAATTGATATCAGATGGCCAGTGGACGAAGACGACGATACCGAAGATGGCGAGGGTCTACCAATGAGTCTACAGGGTGCTTATGCTGCGTTTTTGGGCATGGAAGAAAACAGTGAAGGGGCTCTGACCTTTGAGAGATACTCCGTGTATGCAGGGTTGAAGAGATCAGGTTATACAGTCCACAGAGCTCCAAGCTGGGATGGGCCGGGCGACGAGCCGGGAGACGAATGTTATCCCACTGTGCAAGGCACAACCTGGAATCTAGGCCTGCTGAGGGATAAATGGCGAAGCATGTTCATTCCCCGAGCTGCAACAGCTAAAGAGCAGAGATTCGGGCCTTTGGTGACACCAGGAATCTACCGCAATTACGGTATGTGCTAGGTGATAAGGTGTATATGTCTTCTTACTGACCTGCCCNNAGCTGAAATTTATCGCCGACTCGCAATTATACCTAGCTACGACCCAACAGCCAGGAAAAGGAATTCTGCAGAGTCGACAGATCCTGCGTTCAGGATCACATACCACTTATGGAAGCCTGGCTCGACGACATACAAGAAAAGCGGTCCTGGTACGCCTGACTTTCGCATTGCAGTCGTCAATGCTCGTGAGACAACTTTTCCTACGCTTGGCCAACTGAGCGGTCTGATCGATACACAAACATACCAGCCACCTCGTCAAGATGCACAGCTGTATCAGAAGTTGCGTAACGGGTACAAGAGTGTCATCCTGGCGGTTGTGGATCAGGGCGTTACCAGCTACTTGAGACTGGCAGATGCTGGGTTCACTAGAGAAAAATTGTTCGATCGAAAGCCACCAGCAGCGAGGAAAGGGGGCAAGGGTGGGAATTGGAAAAGAATAAGCGATAGATGAGGCAGGCATCTGGAGGATATTGCCTTGGTGCGCTACCTTCAAGAACGGAGTGGGCCGAAAAGCGTATGGCTGCCTACCTAGTACCTAGGTAGTTGCTTGTGAATTTTGGAAAGCGCGTCTGCCCACTTCCTGCCTCCGGCGATCTTGATAATCCATGCCTATTTTCCAAACGTTCCATTCATCCCGCTACTCTCTGATTTCATCGACGCTCGGATCGCCTTCATCGTTGCGCGCCCTGCCTCTAGCGCAAGTCGGCTTACAAACATATCGCAAAGATGTCGAACCTCTGTTACAACTGTCACAAGAGTGAGTGATCTCTGCAACGTTCTTCTGCATCGCTGACCTTNGCAGCTCACCCCACTCACACATGTGAACTTCCTCTCGAAGAATGCTTGAACTGCGGCGCTTTTGGCCACACCTGGAACTTCTGCCATCTCGGAGCACGCAGACTGGTGCAAGACTACNNCAGGTACTATATCAACCTCATGAATATACATTGCACCACTGGCCATCTTTCCTAACACTTACGACAGTACTTCGCTCTCTGCCACAACTGTCAGAAATGGGTAAGTGGTTGCTTTAGACAAGTTTGTATCCACAACGCAAGATGCTTAGTTGACACCTGATTCTAGCACCTCCCTTCGCCATGTGAAGAGGATCTAGTCCGATGCGGTGGTTGCTTGCAACTCGGTCATCAACAAGAGTTCTGTGCCATCAACCCGTCCCCCAGTCACACGTTCACCAATGGCATGAGTGAGTTCATCTCGCACAACCTCACCGCCCACAACGCCCAGTGGATCTTGCACAATGCTGCCTTGGCCGAAGAGATCTACAAGATCAAGATGGGAGCAGTCATGGACACCCTTCGACTTTCCACAGGTAGAAACCATGAAGAGGTCCGCGCTTGTCTCGCGAATGCTTACCGCGGTCGACCTCAATCTTCTGGTCCCACGTCCTATCACTTGGTACCCGCACAATCTTCCACATCAAGACAGCTCCCAACTCCAGCTGCTGTCAGGATGGATATCAACTCCGGCCTATCGCTGCCCCGTCCAAGCATTCCACCGGCCCAAGCTCACAACCAATCGTATGAAGATGACAATACGCTAGCTCCGCTTCAGCTTCAGAAAGGCGGTCAACAGCGACACCAACAGACAAACTCTAAGGACACTATCCAGCCCGTCACCGTTGGAAGTTCATTGAGCTCTTCTACAAAGCAAGAGTCCGAGGCAAACTCAGGAGTTCCAAAGACTCTCGCAGAACCACAGACTACCTATGATAGTATCCATAACTTCCGCATGTATGATGGTGATTGTGACGGAGGCCAAGTCGAACTTGATCACAACAGCCCAGGAGATGCGAGCTTCTCACCAAGAAGTTCTCCTTGCGACAACCGTGCCGATTCTACAGAAAGCAAGGATGAGGTGGAGCAAGAACGTGAGTTCTTCGAGGGATCAATTTACTAATGCTCTGAAGAAAAAGCGCTCGAGCAATAGCAGGAAGATCGGTCGATGATGGCCAACAATGCATGGCATGACAGCACATAGCTAGGGGTACGTCACATTGCTGAGTCGTAAAATAAGAATGTGTGTGTTTTGATCCGTGGCTCTGGGTTTGATGTACCGCAACCTTGCTCATTGTCATGCTTGTACCGTTCTAGGTCCGGGAGCCCTGTCCGAGTCGCACGTCTAGACCTTCGCCCGAGCCATTTCAATCCAACACGACTGAGGCATTTCCCGAGGCCGACGATGGGACTAAGAGAATGTTCATGATGTGAGTGGTACAATATCTCAGAAAATCTTTCACTACGAGCGGTGCGCTCACAGTTCTCTCACCACGGAAACCACCTCAACGAATCAGAATCAATGGCATCTCTGCCACGATGGACCATTGGATGAGAGAGCCGATCATCTGGGCTGTCGCAATTTGAGTCATGGTAAGAACACTGCAACCAGGCATCATGCAAATTCCACAATGTCGATGGAAGACAAACCGTGCCCTTGCTTGAATCAACGGCACAACCAGGTTTCTGGTGTGCAGACATACCGCGAGTTTCTGTAACGTCATGCGGCTCTTCCAATGTTACGCCCAAGGAACAGTGTTCATGACAAGGCAATTCTTGGATCGATCTGGTATGCATGTGGTGACATGTAGAAGACATGGATTCTCGACCTCAATCCGGGGCAGACATCAGCAAGAGTGTAGCCGCGCTCTCACGCGCGGGGTTCGGGACGCTTGTACGACATTCCGGCAGTTGATGTAACACAACAGCATCCAAAGAAATGGTCTGGGTAAATTTGAAAAAGCTGAGTGGACGGGAGCTTGTCCCAGTATGAATTGCCGAATCAGAGGTAGGATGTAGCCGGTCTGGCGGAATACGGTCGCGGTTAAGCAAACCAACCGGAGCATGGAATGCGACTAAGGCCAAAGTACCTTACCTAGGGGAACAACGACATCAGAAGAGGTGTGAAGCCAACTCCCCGACATTGCATAGTATGGAAAAGAAGTACAATGACGAGACGGGAGTCTTGAAATGATTCGGACGCGGCAGTGTTACGGAGCACAGAAAAAGCAGTGCGAGTACTCTAATATCACATGTCAGAGACAGCGGGTTCGATCAACAGTCGGGCGGCACTCGGGTTTGTTTGATGTGGAGAGTGTCGGACCGTGTCGGCTTAATCCAAGAGCTGATATGAGCAGCCTGTAGTTCTCGGAGCACCATGTTTGGTGATGGCTCACGGGTCAACAGAACCAAGAAGCCGGCTCCCCTAAGTTCCTCGCTCCCTTCCCCTTCTCTTCTCTTCCCCAGCCGACACTCTTCCCACACGAGCCATTGCTGTTTCCGTCGTGGTAGCCTGGCCGTGTCTTTCTTGCTTGGATAACACCTACTCCGCAAAGTTCGCTATCTTCGCTTTCCCTCGGCTGATCTGAGCTCTATCGCCGAGCTAGTAGCCGACAGTATCGAGATATTATTCCTTTGATCCGTCTGCGTGCAGCAGTTCCTCAGTGCCTCGTCGGGCTGCTGTATATCCAAGTCGTGAGATTCTCACGCAAGCCGCAATCATTACTTCCTCGGTCGCTCTCTCCAATCTGCTTTCGGGGCCCTCGGCACCGTCGCCAAAGCTGCCGCTTCTCCGTCTCTCCCGACGGCAGCGACGACTACGATGCCAGGCCTCGCAAAAGCCCTCGTCCTGACATCAGCTCGACTATAACACCTGCTCGCCCTATTCCGGCTCCTCAAACATTGACACAGCCTTCACCAGCGGCACCTCCGGGCTCAGATCAAGCATCCCGGCAACAAGCCGGCAACGCTCAACAAACACGGCATGCTCAGGCACGTATGCGCTCTTCAATCGCCTGTGCTCGTTGCCGCCGATCCAAGGTCAAATGTGTCAACAGTGGTGTTGGTACACCCTGTCGGTCTTGCGAGGCCGGCAATAGGGAATGTACATATCCGGTACCTGTGACAGGTGGACGCAAGAGAGAGAACAGTCTGACCGGACCTGCTCCAAAGGTTGATCCTCTGACTGAAGAGGTGAGTAGTCTTCTCTTGTTCGTCAGGATCCACGATACTGACTAGGTATCANNGATCCGGAAACAACGGCAGCAGCGCAANAGTAATGCTGGCCTACCAGGCCAACCTATGCCAGCTTATACAGAACCCTCTATTGTCCCAGCAGATGCTCTAGACTCGGGTCTCTTGACTCCGGCCATCTGGAAGGAGTTGGTAAGAATCATGTGGTTTCTATCTGGAGTACCCGGCTAATGCATTGTCTAGTTCGACATATTTCAGCTACACTTTTCTGCCGACCTCCCCTTCATCCACCCTCCTACCTTCCTCAAACCTCTTCGTCAGGCCAGCTCCCAAGCTCAGGCACCTCAATACCGCCCCTATACAAATATTCCTGCTCCGCCAGTCCAACCTCCTGCACCTACCGAATTCTTGTTGGCCTTCTTAGCCTTGACATCCCGCTTCCATCCTACACTTGTCGCACACCATTCTCCACGGAATGCCAATCGTCCTAGTGATCCACTTGTCGCTGCCGAGTTTTACGCCTCTGCAGCATCCGCTCAGCTCAACACCGTAACCACCGACAGGCTGGGTCTTTACGACATATCCACAATCCACGCTATGCTGATGCTCGCCTTGCACGAGTGGGGCATGAATCGAGGACCAAAAGCATGGGGTCATCTCGGTATTGTCATCCGGTCTGCGCAGGCAATGGGTCTGCACTACGAGGAAGAATTGGACGATCAACCCCTATCCCGTTCATTGCCATCTCGAGCGAACGATCAACAGGGATTTGCCGACCCTGGAAACACATCACCTGATGTTTCTTGCCAGAATGATGCTTTTGTCAAACAGGAAATCCGTCGCCGCACCTTGTGGGCGTGTTTCATCCTTGATCGCTACTTTAGCAATGGCAAGTTCAGACCTCAAGCTCTGAACGCGAAAGACCTACGTATTCAGTTACCAGCTGGCGAACATGCCTTTTTGTTCGGTGAGAAGGTCCGTACTCTGCTTTTGAGCGAAGAGAACACCTCTAGAGCCGAAGTGCAAAGTCAGCGCCGCGCTTCATTAGCTACTGATCCGTCGAATCCTGCTTACAAGCGATCCTCGATCCATGACAGTGCAACTGGCAGATCTTCACCGCAAGATCCTGAGGGCCGCTGGGAAGTTGGTCCTGACGAAGGTCTGATCAGTCGATATATCAAGGTATTAGACATTCATGGTAAGGTGATGCGGTGGGCGTGCGGAGGAGGAAGAAAGTAAGTCGAACTAGCGAAAACAATATTGGACAATGACTGACATGAGCCCAGACGCGACGCTCTACCACCATGGAACCCACAATCAGAATGGTACAGCCTCAGAAAAACGCTTGAAGATTTCAAGGTCGGCCTTCCCAGACATCACTCTTTGACGGCGCAGAACACATCTGCCCATATCAATCTGCACTCCTCGACACCCTACGCTCTTGTTCATCTCACCTTCCTTCTTTCTCAACTCCTGCTTACCCGTGAATTCCTTCCTTTCATCCCCTTCAGACATGGCAAGCCTTCAGGTCCTCTCGATGGCACGCGCTTCGACACGATACCATCACCTCAAGGATTTTGGGAAGACAGTGCTCGTGAATGCTTCGCCGCCGCTCGGGATATTGTCGACTTGATCGGTTCCTTCCAAGAATGGGGTGTCGTGGTTGAAACTCCTCTGGTCGGCTTTGCTCTTTATAACGTTGCCTTGCTTGGTGTCTATGTCATTAACTTCCCCTGGATGGACACTCATGGCTACCTTCGTCGAACTGCTAAGGACGAGGGCATGGCTTCTGGCGCCGACGCTGCCCGTAAAGCCATCGAGCTGCTCGCTTCGATGAAGAATCGATTATACATGGCAAATGGATGGTTTCAAACAGTCAAGCGCTCACACAAATACTTCTCTCGTTTGCGAAAGACTTGGGTGGATTCTGCAGCCAGATTACCGGGAGTCTTCCACGACCAAAGCATCGCTACTGCTCAACTGCATCCACCGAATGCCGAGAGTACACGAGTGTTATTGGAAAGGGCCTTGAGAGACTCGGACGACTCTGGAGATTCTGATGTTGACATATCAGATGCCCTTGCACCTTCTGAACTGCCCAATGGTGCGCCCGCTCCTCGATCGGATATCAGCAGTCCTCGTATTGGTACTACGCCACCCAAACAATCCTTCTCCACCCCTGCAGAGCAAGCACAAGCTCATGCACAGCAAGAGGAGCGTTGGAACGCCATCAACAGTGTCGCGGCAGCCGCTTCTGCTGTGGCGGATGGCAGGGCNCTTACACAATCAGCTCCTGGTCAGAACAACAGCAACAACCCACACTTCCGATTCTACAATGCCTTCCCTTCCAACTCAGCTTCATCTACACCAGGTGGTAGCTACTCCGGCCATGGCTTCCGTGCTGCATACCCCGACACGTTGCCACAGCCGCATTCACATCCTCAGACTCCGTCTTGGACACCATCGAACGGCCATTCGAGGGAGCCTCTCCAAGGCATACATGCCTTCACAGGTGATCAACGTCGGGAAAGCGAAGCATTGGCTGGCGCAGCAGTGGCAGTACATGCCGCTCAACATCGTCGTACCTCTTCAGATCGTGAGATTAAGGACGTAGAGTCATGGCTGGTTGCTTTAGAAAAGCCATTCGGTGCCGATGATGTTGCAGCATTCGTTGATGGCGTCGAGTTCGCCGAGTATGCCGCTCGTGGATCACGAATTTCACGCACGCCTGGCTGGCTAGCTGTGATCTGGGCGAGATGATCTTTTTCTTTCTTGATTTTTTATCTCAAGGCATGCTGTTTGTGAGCACAGGAGCGAGCCTTCTTTTTGATTTGGACAAAAATGATTTTATGATTTCTTTCCATTTGTTTCACACCGGGGACACAAGGTACTCTAGCATCAGCGACATGCTTTTATTTCCATTTGTTACATAGTTGCATCCTCTACTTGATGTAGTGTGAGCAAGACAACTTCTGTTCTTCACAGTCTCGATTGCTGCCTATTTATTCTAACTTGTTTCAACGCGTGTCATGATTTGCGGCTTATGGATCAATGCACAGATGATAGCCTATAAACGAAGAGCAACGAGTACATCTGCAATTGGCATTGTGGTTGGATGAAAGTGCCATATCAAAACATGACAATTCGTTGCCTCTACACTCCTCCGTAGGATCAGGCTAAAGCGTGATCTGCGTATGCTTGTGACGATCAGACTGGATGTGTGGCTGTTCGCTCAGCCACATGCATCACTTCCGTTTTTGTCCCAGCATGGAAGCTCGACATCCACTTCGACCATCTTCAAGACATTCTCAAACATCCCTTCAGAGGATATCGAAATACAGAAAAGACCACAAAAACAACCATGTCCACAACTTCAACTCCCACCCATCATGGCACCATACAGCTATCCACCAAACCAAACGCCAACCTCAGCTATACCTTCCTGCCTGGAGCCCCAACCACCGACACCCTAGTGGTATTTCTCAATGGCCTAATTCTCCCCAAAGCATCCTGGGAACCAACGATCTCGGCCATACACACCAAACTGCAAAATTCAGAAATGTCACAACCGCATTTATTAGCCTATGATCGCTATGGTCAAGGCACTTCTTCCAAAGATCCTCACGGTGACCACGATATTCTTGATTCTGTACAAGATTTGTATATCTTTCTTGTCGAGTCTTGCGAGAAAGAGTTAAGAACAGATACGAGTGTAGAGGAGAACACAGTGGTGTTTGTGTGTAATTCTATTGGATGTGCTGTTGCTCGTCTNTTTGCTGAGAAACACCCTACCATTGCCTCTGGCTTCGTTTTTCTGGATTCCATAATGGCACATGTGGATTTAGTGGCTTTGTGGCCTGATGTTGATGCCCCAGGGTTCAAAGAAGAGAACTTACCAAACGGTACCACGAGGGGAGAGTTGAGAAATGTCAAAGAGGAATACAGAAAACGGTTTCATGTTTCTGCACCTAATCCTGAGGGGTTGGATAGATCGAGTTTGGCGGCATTGCTTCCAGAGGCTGGGGCACCGAAGTTGAAGGGAGATCCACAACTCACCGTTGTTGGTCATGATGATGAGGTTTTTGCGCAAGAGAATGAGGTCAGTTTAACGAGCCCCCTTCATCTGCAAGTTTGCTAATGGAGTCTTATANNGAAAAGCTTTGGGGTTTCTAAAGCTCTGGTTCACAAGTATGTCAACCCAATCTGGCGGGAGTATAACAAAGAACTCGCTACTTTGACTTTGAGTGAGAGAAGCAAGGGTCCTGTTGTTGCTAGAGGGTGTGGTCACTTTATCCAGAGGGATGATCCGGAGTTTGTTGCTATGGAGGTGTGTGATATGTTACAACGTCTTGCGGAAGGTCAATAAGAGGTTGGAGCAAACTGACATGGGAGAGTCTGTTGTTTGCGTGTTGAAAGTGTGATTTTGACCTTCTGCAATGGCGAGATGGCAGTGAGAGGCAGATGACAAAAGGCAAAATTGGTGTTCAGAATACAGATAAACATGGAATATCCATCAAAAACTTGTATACTTCACAACGAACTTGTGTGTTTTGATAACTACGCATAGTAAAACAGGCTAAAAGGCAAATATCTTCATTAATGCCACTGCTTTCCAAATCACAACATATCAAGCAATGACTTCTTTTCCGAACAGAGTATCCAATCTTGGATGGTGACCAGACCATGCACCAACACCTAAGAACTCCCCCAAGGAGTTAGCGACATACCATGACACCGTGAAGTCAAAAGACAGAGACAGGAACAGCCACGTCGGCAATGGCGTCCATGAACGAGATTGCACGGTCGACAGGCTTCGGCAGTCGACAGGCTTGTAGGGTCGTGCTTGTGCGTTTGTGCAGTGAAATATGGTCGAACCTGAAAGGGTCGGCTGCACATCAAGAGACCAAAGGCAGAGACAGCGAGGGCTACGGCGATTATGGCGTCCATAAACAAGATTGCACAGTCGACATGCTTCGATCGGTCGTCTTGAGTTATAGGGTTGTATTCGTGCATTAGTGCGGCAAGAATATGATGACATAAGCGAGTTGATTGCATTTCAGAAAAACAAAGGCGAGACAACGAGGTCACGTCGACACCGGCGTCCGTAAACCAGATTGATGAATTAACAGGCTTCGGTCAATCGTCTTGAAGATGGAGTTGTACTTGTGGGTTTGTGCAACGAAGATCCGAGTGAGTATGGGATATCGGAATAAGGAGATTGTCGGTAGCTCGGGCAGTCACAGTAGAGTGATTGCCACAACGGTCTTTGAATCACCATGCGACTTGCTTCTGAGACTTCCAGTGGTGTTTGCGTGGCATGCCTTTGAAGATGTTTTCATCATCGTAGTCGGATTCGTCATCAAAAGGATTCTCCTGACAGTCCACCGATTTTGTAGCGTTATAAAGAGGAGTCTTAGGCGGTGCAGAAGTTGTAGATGTTGCACGGGCTTTGGAAGACTCAGGAGTCTTGGAAGGTGTAGAAATCCTGGTCGAGATTGAGTTTCGTCCCTTCATAGCCTCATAAATAGGAGTCTTGGGTGGTGTAGAAGACTTAGGTGATGCCTCCGAAGATTTGGGAGTTTTTGAAGATGTCGGAGTCTTGGACGATGTTGAGTTCTTTTTCTTCTGTTCGGTGAAATCGAAGGCTCCACATCCACAAATCTTGTCGTGTCTCAGTATAGCCTTGAGTATTGCTTTGTCCCTTTTCTCGCATATGATAGAGCCTTCTACCATGTCGCGTCTTGTTCTGTCGGTCTTGATGTACTCCAGATCGCAGTCGCAATGCATTGCATGTCGGTGATCTATCAATTTCATGACAATGGTTCTGCACCNTTTGTCGATCTTCTTGAGGTGTCTTGACTTTTTGGGCTCTATCTTGCAGGTGAACAGAGTTGATGGCTCTTTGTCTTTGCAACGCTTGTGGTTACTCTCGCAAGGTTTCTTCCAAGCATATTGATGCCATATTGAGTGCCCTCGGTATAGTTTGCGGACGAAGCATTTTGTATGAGGTTGACCAGACATGCGCCATGGCAAGTCTTCGTCTTTGAGCGATTCTCCTCTGTTTGAAGTACCCTTGGCAGGTCGCAAAGCGTTTGGTTTTTGATTCGATCGCGGCTTGGTCAGCGAAGTGTTGGCTTGGCCCATTTCCTCGACATCTGTTGGGTCAGGATAAGAAAGGTAGTTCGAAGAAGAGTCGGGGGTCGGACAAGTATCAGCATGGGAGCCGAAGCTTAGATGGCCTGAGGTCGAAAGAATCGTCTCAAACTTGCTCTTAGCTTTTCCGGTCCAACAACGAAGGTTCCTCACCTATAAAGCTATGAAAATGAAGCCCAGCTCTCCTACCTCGACATATTCTCCAACTTACAAACTCGATACTCGGGCACGAAATTCGATACCAGCGATGGTGACAGAGGAAGCTTGCGACAAGTTATGGGCATCTCCAAAAATCGATCGAGAGTCCTCGGCATACGCATATAGCGGTAGACGTCCTGAATGGCGGACCAAGGTCTCAGAGCCGATAGTCGCACCAGCAGACAGTACGAGAGCAACAGAGTCAAACACAGGAGCGCTCCATCCTGTAGCCATGCTGATGGCCATGACAGGACCATCAACATCGAAAGCTGCAAATGTAGCCAAGAACAGCACACCAGTCACCCAATCGAGGCCTGCAACCACATCTGTCCCAGACCTTCCTCCAGCCTACGAGGATGGATACACCCTCTACCCATGGAGGCTGAGATCCAAGAACGTATACAAGCGTAGACTCTGGTATGGAGACAGAAAGATCAGATGGGACTATGGCGTCAGCGACGACAACGGACGCAAGCCAGACACTTTCTTCGTATGCAAGATGCAGGCGATGACGATGACGTTTCACTGGAGGATGAATTCCATATGCCTAGAGATAGTGAAAAGTCTCGAGTCTCACAGGAAGGAAGACGACCGCAACTGCCACTGCGATCTTGAGTACATCAAGACTGGCAAGACTTGTCGTGATACATCAATGTTGTGTCTTTGGGTGCAGGGCAAGACAGCGAAGTGGGTGTGGGATGCAATGAAGGAGCATGACAAAGAGTATCGCTGTGGCGCTTTCGACTTTTCGAATAGCAGAGCCAGATGATGGATGTCGAACCAAAGATCGCACTTTGTTTAAATATGCACAATCGAGTAGAGCTTTGAAGTCGAAATGGAAAGAGGCATGGGGAGAAGCCAATCAGGAAGGAAGGAGTTACCTGCTCTCTCCACATTCTCGGTGATAAGAAAAGTATATCTCCATCTATATATTGCAAAATCCAGCTCCAAGTCTCTCATCAGTTCACTACACTACCGAATCAAACATGACACGCACTAAGAAAAGCAAGCCCGGGTCTGGAAAGAGAGCAGAGAAGGCCGCCAAACCACAAACATACGAAGCGCCCAAGATGACCGACGGCAAGATTCCACAATGGAAGCTCGGCCAGCCGAAATACTTTTACAACAACTTCGTCCACAAGCGCCAACCTGTCGTTATCCAGGGAAAGCTTGACGACCTCGACTTTGTCACCAAAAATTGGGCCAATGTCGACTATCTGCGCGAAACGGCTGGTGATGCTCCTGTCAAGGTCGAGCCTATGCACAAGGAGAAGAAGCGCTATGGTACCGATGTTGAGCGTGTTGACACTACCTTCGGCGCTTTCCTCGACTCGCTGAAGGAAGAGAAGGACGAATACGATTACCTCACCACTCAATACTCGGACGACGAAGATGACCTGGACGATGAAGACGATGACGATGATGAAGAGAAGGAAGATGGTCAAGACAACGAGATCAAGAATGGCACATTCCCACAACCCGTACGTGCTCTTCTGCGCGAAGAGGTTCCTATGCGTCCCGAGATGATGGGCAATCTCGTTCTCCAACAGATGAACATTTGGCTCGGCAAGACCAAGGCTGGCACTAGCTCTGGTCTTCACCACGACTTCCATGATAATCTCTACGTTCTGTTGAAGGGACGTAAGCGTTTCGTCTTGTATCCTCCTTCAGCTGTCCACCACCTTGACACCCACGGCAAACCCAAGAAGATCCATCCCAACGGCTTGATTGTCTACAAGCAGCCTGGCGAGGATGAAGAAGATATGGACGAAGAAGAGAATGAAGCCGACCAAATCAGAGCAGACGGCCTTGTCGAAAGAGATGCAGCCGCCCTGAAGGTTCAAGCTCTGGAAGAGCAAATGGACAAACTGGAGGAGAGCGGCGAGAAGAAAGGTCTCGACAAGGTTCAGAAAGAATATGGCGATGCCGTAGAGCGCCTGATGAAGTACCAAGCCGCTGACTTCGGCGAGCTGGGCGAAGACGACTTTGACGAGGTCTCTTCAGAAGAAGAATCAGATCCCGAGGACCTCAAAGACCAAGTCCTACGCGACGTGCCCAACAAGAAACGCAAAGCCGAAGAAGATTTGTCCGGCAGCAAACCCAGCAAAACAGCAAAAGCAGGAGCCGAAGACGACGAAGACTCGGATGCCAACGACGACGACTCAGACGCCGAACTCCTCGAGGCCCTCGAACGCGCCCAAAACGGCCAACGCGACGACTTTGACGACGACGACTTTGACGACGACGACGAAGATGCCTCGGACCTCGAAGATGCTTTTGCCAATGCTCAAGGCGAAGACTCTGCTTTCCCCACCGAACCTCTCTCATTCTCTCAAGTCTCCACTCAAGACCTACACTCCCACCTCGGTCTCACATCTCCCCAGAAAACCTCTGCCGCTCTTGAACAAGCAGGAAAACCGTATGTTGTGGACCTCAAAGCAGGTGATATGCTATACTTGCCCACCAGTTGGTTCCACGAGGTCACGTCGTTTAGTGATGAGAAGAGCGAGGATAATGTGCATGTTGCCTTGAATTATTGGTTCCATCCTCCTGATGCTACAAAGCCGGAGTTTGAAAAGCCTTATGCAGATGCTGCGTTGTGGAGGTTTATGGAGGAGAAGGTCAAAGGTGCTTATGAGGCTTTGGTTGCGGACAAGGAGGAGTAAGGAATAACATAGATACTTACCCAAGACTGTCTGAGCTTGCTGGAATGAAAGATCTTTTGACGTTATTTGACAATACCGCCTACATCTCAAGTCCCCGAAGAGTCAATGGGCGCACAAGATGTGACCTAAGAATAAGAAAAAAACTACTCATAGGGGGTTGTAGGGACAGTACTAATTGTGACGAGTAGAAGAGTGTGTTGTTTGTTTGTTTGTATGTACAGTCGGCGACAGGCCCTCTAGCAGCCCATATACCTATTCTCAACCCATCTTTCCTCATAGTCGTCAACGACCCTGCAAGCGACGACGTGAATATCAGGAAAGACGGTCATGAGTCTGTTCAATCCTCTCTTGCCAGCAATATACGTCACAAACACAATCCTGCTTTCTTCCACACCGTGATCCAACAACACACGAACAGCCATCAGAGCAGCACCACCACTAGACATTTGCGGATCCAACAGCAACACCTTGTTGTGTGTGGAGATGTCGCCGGCCATTTTGAAGTAGTGCAGCTCGGGCTCGCCGGTGCGGTAGGAGGTTTGGATGAGCATACGTCCAGTGCGACAGTCGGGGATGACGCGTCTCAGACCGGTCTCGAGAATGCTGCCGCCGCGGAGGATGACAACAGCACTAACTTCGCCAGTCAATCGCAAGCCACTGTAGTCATGACTGTGCGGTGATGGTGTCGTGACAGTGATGGCATTGAAATCGGCATTCTCTGTTGCACGCTCCACGAGCAGAGCAGCGAGGCGATCGAAGTAGAAGACAAAGTCCTCACGACTTGTCTCGTTGCTGCTGAGGAGGGTGTTGATGCCTGTGATTTGTGAAGGCCCGTCCAGGATGGCGACGTTGGGTGAGAGAGGAAGATCCTTTGCTTCTTTGCCCAGGCGCTTTAACTCGGCACGATGCTCCTCTGACTTGATGTGTAGAGTCTTGTGGATGCGGTCAGCTACCATGTCAATGGCGACTTTGTTTTCAATGCCGCGAGGCACGATGATATCTATATTCGATGGTCAGCATCGGTCGATCCCAAAGGAAGACTAAAGCGGAGTGTGATTGAGTATGATGGATCAGATAGGAGCGAAAGATGATGGTAAGGTTTATCAACACGAGTATTCTGTTGAACTATGCTTATGGTTGTTGTATCATCATGAAGAAGAGTGGAGTGAGAAAGAAAAAAGAGGCAGACACATACCAGCTACGTTCCGCTGAGGCTCCACGAACTTGTGGAAATTTGGCTTGACAAAAGTGAACCACTGTTTGATACAGCCTTCAATGTCACGACCACGTTCCTTGATGTCTCGAACGATTCTTCGTGAAAGACAGAGGTCTCCATCTGCCTCACAGAAGATTCTCAGATCGAGAAGATCGAGCACGCGTGGATCGTGGAGGGCGAAAATGCCTTCCAAGATGAGCACGTGAGGAGAGTAGATTGTTGTAGTCTTGTCCAGACGAGAATGCTTCTCGAAGGAGTAGACAGGAATCTCAGCCTTTTTCTATGGCATGGTTAGCAAAGGGTGCTGCATTGCGTGGATTTAAAAAACTTACCCTTCCTTGATGTCTCTAAGTCTTTCAACCAAAACATCAAAGTCGATGGCATCAGGCGAGTCGAAATCATACTCGTTCCTGTGAGCAGCGGCAATCTGATCCGGAGTGAGGGGACGATAGAACGAATCCTGGATGGAGTTGGTATAACTTCGCCTCACTCAGGGGCCAGACAAACGAACCATTGACAGAATGACAACCCAAGGCAGGCTCATCTGCTTGATGATAGCCAGAGCAAGCGACGTCTTGCCGGAACCCGAGCTGCCGGCAACGCCAATGATGCTCGTGTTGGCCCATGGCGGAGAGTAGTGGGAGCGCTCCATTCTCTGGAGAGAGTTGGGGGCGGCCATTTTCAGTCGTTGACGAACAACAGTGACACGACCATGGCGGGAGCAAAGCAGGAGAGATAGCTTAGCAAGCTCAGAAGTGAGAGGTCGAACGGTTGTGAAGAAAAGGAAATGTGCCAAATTCAAGGCGGAGCATGCCGTGCAGCGTCGGGTCCGAGCACAACCGAGCGCCAGAAGAGCTCTTTTCTTCACCACCAACCAACAAAGCTTTCTTCCTCTCATCTTCACCACATTCTGCACCTCTCTGCCTTCAACACATCCGTCTGCTGGAAACACGAGAGAGCGATTGTGAATTGTAGTTGTTCCAGTCCGTCATCCAACCTGATGGGCCCTTGCAGCTCGACTCGTCTACAACAATGGTACGTCACAACATGCGTAACCATCAAGCAAACAATTCCAACAGCGGCTAACATTATTTGCGCAGAGCTCTTCCATTCTCCCACCACCTTCGTCCTTGCGGCATCCCTTTGAACGCCGCGTGGACGAGGTGAAACCGTCCAAAGCGTAAGTTTTCTCTTAACTGTTCCCCTCTCCTACCCCTCCATCGAATGATGTTGATTACACTCAAAATGGGAATCTCTCCGAAATCTATGTGGAGAACTACAGAATTTTGTCCTTCTGACTCGACCCTCATCTTAACTTGCTATGAAGACTGCCATCACAGAACATGTTGACTGACCTTCTTCAATAGAGACTTGAACTTCCTCATCATGGACTATCTGATCAATGAAGGTTACCCCGACGCCGCAATGAACTTTGCCAAAGAAGCCAGCATCGTTCCTTCGGCAGACGGTGAAGCCATCCAAGAAAGAGTAGACATTCGTAACGCCATCCACACTGGTGACATGCAGCTTGCCATTGAGCGCATCAATGAACTCAACCCACAGGTCAGTCTTCACTCTTCACACACCTTTCCCCTTCACACCATGTTGTTATGATTATACGGTTTTTCATGCACCACGCATAGCTTCGGGCATTGATGATACAAACCACACACACTTCAGTCCTCAGTATGACCCAACAACCACACTCTCATCTCATCGTCACATCCTCTCTTTCAGAGACATCGATGCTAACAAGTGTTGGTACAGATCCTTGACAATGACCCAACTCTGCACTTTCAGCTGCTACGCTTGCAGTTGATCGAACTCATCCGTGAAATCGTCAATGCGCCAGGTCCGCCGTCACCCACTGCCTTCACACCTGCTCTTGAGTTTGCGACCTCGCAACTTGCTCCACGGGCTCCAACTTCGCCTGCTTTCTTGCAAGACCTTGAACGCACAATGGCCCTGTTGATCTTCCCATCGGACAAGCTCACACCTCAACTCAAGCAACTTCTCGATCTCAGCCTGAGACAGACAGTGGCTAGTCAAGTCAATGAAGCCATCTTGTCGTCTCAAGGCCAGAGACGTGAGGCGCGCATCCGTAATCTGGTGCGCTTGCGAGCATGGGCTGAGCAAAGAGCGCGTGAAACCAAGAACTCCGAATTGCCTGACAAGATCGGCTTGGGCTTGGAGACTCAATCAGACGACTATGCCGACGGCGAGGCTATGATAACGTGAAACCATGATGATTTTTTTCGACTTGCTTTATCTTAGCGTAGGCGCTGGCGGTCAGGGACTTGCATACATCATCCAACATAGCATTGTTAATTAATACTCTTGTTTGCAGAATGATCTCACGATGTTGCTTTTTGGCTTCCTCTTCCCTTCTCCCCGTGTGCTAAAAGATGTACCTTCCACTGTACTCCGACTATAGCAGTGAGTAAAGTACACACTATAGAAATGCACAGTTCTATTCAGAAACGAACATTGGCCAAAGAGAGCTGCTAAAAGATTGCCTCTCAGTGGACACTATGCTATTGTCTAATGGTATTGCGTATTTCTATAGCCACATGCGTTACATGCTTTTGTACACGGAGAGGCTCGCGTTCGTCCACTCCTGCTTGGTCGCCTTCGACTTTCGCAATCACAAACTCCATCTGCAATCATCATACACGAAACATTCTATTCTCTGCGATTACACTCACTTGCAGCTTCTTCTACTTAATTGTCCCTGTGGCTTTCGCCAACAAGCATCCCACTGGTCATGAGGGCAGGTGGCGTTTCGAAAGCCAATATCAATATTCAACCGCGCAGCACGAGGACTGCGACGTCACTCACGGCCACCTTCCTTCGCACGGTATGCTCTCGAAGTCAGACCTCGAAGGATCGGCGTAGACGCGTTGCATTCACGTGGCTGGTTAAATCCATTTCTCAGCTCGTGGTTGTCTTCCTCCACCACAGGTGTTTTGTTTCCTGGCCTGTAGGCGCTCCGGGTTACCGTATTCTGCATCCCAAATCATGGAACCAACGGACGCTATTCCACCGAGGACAAGTCCCTGCTGATCACCACGTCTCTCTGTGTCGCAAACCTCACGGTTTACCATCTCCGCAATCACTAACCCCGCACCATACGGACCAGAGTGCAGATCCTGTACTCATGTACCACATGTGCACGTAGATGGCGACCCCGACTGCCTGATTCATACATTATGCTTCTTGACATCTACCGATGCTTGGGTTCATAGCCAATAGATTGAGCTGCCGTATGATCCTCTATCGGAGACTTGTGCGGCAGCATGGCATCATGCCCTTCATATAGAGGCCAAGTGCCGCACGCGGTCTGCGAGTCTTGACTCAGATTGCATTCCCTCCTTCATATCCTGTCGCCGTTAGTAGCAGACAGATACACAGACCTCGTCATGCCTCGTTTAAACATGTTTGGGCGCGGTAGGTCGCTGCAGATAGCAATCATGATCACCTGTCAAGTAAGCTCGTCGAGGAAGACTTACGTCTAGTCTATGCTAACAAACAATAGNCTTGCATTTATCTTGTTCGGCTGTAAGAGGACTATCTTTTGCAATGACATTCCCGACATCTGACAAACTTTAGATGACCAAGGAGTGTTCTCCGGCATTGTTGGAAACGCAGACTGGCGCAAGACATTCGGTTATCCAGGAAGTGGACTCGAAGGCATTATTGTCTCAATATACAACCTCGTAACGCCATCCTATACTCTTTTGCCGTTCATCAGGACTGACTGGGTGTAGGGTGCCTTCAGTGGATGTATTCTAGCCTTCTTGGGCGGAGAGAAAGCTGGTCGACGTCTGTCCATGTGGATTGCCATNGGTTTTCATTGTATGCTCCAGTATTAGTACATGCTCCTCCAATACTGACAATCGTAGATCATCGGTGCTATTCTCCAAACTAGCTCCTACAGCGTACCGCAAATCCTCGTCGCTCGTTACGTTACTGGAATCGGAACTGGTATCGAGACCAGCACTGTTCCTATGTACCAAAGCGAATTGGTCGAAGCACACAAGCGTGGTCGTGTCGTCAGCTCTGAACCACTGTTCGTTGGTGTTGGTATCGTCATCGCCTACTTCTTCGACTATGGAATCGCCTACGCTGGAGGTCCGATTGCATGGCGTCTACCAATTGCTTGCCAAATCCTATTTGCCTTCGTATGTCTTGACGATCCAGATGCTTGCTGCATCAGCTGACAGGAAGCANNGGTTGTCGTCTTCATGGTCCTTGGTGTTCCCGAATCACCTCGATATCTATACAAAGAAGGCCGCAACGAAGAGGCTTTGCAAGTTTTATGCGATGTATACAATGGAACACCGGACGACCCCAAGATTGCAAAAGAACAGAAAGATATCCTTGATGCTCTGGCATTGGAACGCGTACATGGCGAATACAAGTACGTTGTCCGTATGGTTCAGAATCTGAAACGATGGTCACTGACAGAGCTGTTCACAGGNTGGAGTCAAATTCTCAAGCGAGACGACGTGCAGACCGGTAGACGTGTGCTTCTTGCCTATGGCATGCAATTTATGAATCAGATCGGAGGTATAAATCTGGTCGTGTGAGTTGGAAAATTATCATCTGTTATAACGGACATCTACTAACTGGGAAACAGCTACTATGTTCCAAGCGCCCTGCAGTACAACGTCGGTTTATCGCATAACTTGGCCCTTCTCATCGGTATGTTTCAGACGATTACAGACGCATCCGGAAGAGTCTAACACGAGTTCAANGGTGGGTTTGTCCAATGCTGTTTTTTCATTGGATCACTGGTTCCAACATTCTTCCTCGACAGAATGGGCAGAAGACGTGTAAGTCTTTATACGCTTGATGACTCGGAGCCAGAGCTAAGTAATGCAACANNGCCTATGATGTGGGGATCCTTCGGTCTCGCGATTTCTATGATGCTCATTGCAGTGCTATTGAGTTTCACAACGGATCGTGGGTACTCAAAGCAACTCAACACGGCCACTTCAAGCGCAAGCGTCGCCTTCTTCTTTACATACGTAAGTCGTCTAATGGCGATTTGTTCATGAGCGAGCGAGACTGACAACGCCTTGAGNATGCTTATATTCGGTGCATCGGCAAATTGCATCCCATGGTGAGATTACTTGTTCGGTCATGGTTTACTCTTGCAAAGCAATAACGTGTTCAGGGTCTATGTTCCTGAAATCCTACCTCTTCATGCAAGAGCAAAGGGCACAGCTATTGGCATTTCCTCAAACTGGCTCTGGGCAAGTATTACACCTTACCATTTGGAATTCCATCCTCTGACCACTGCTGACCTCGGTGCANNGAACTTCGTGGTTGTCATGATCACGCCAACTCTCCTCAACAACTTGAAGTTCAAAGCCTACTTTATCTTCATGTGCACGAATTTGGCATTTGTGCCTCTGGTATACTTCTGGTAAGTCCGGTTCCATCTCTGCTACTTTATCCGCAAGACTGATCGAACCCAANNCAGCTACCCCGAAACCTCCAATTTGACTTTGGAAGAAGTCGACTACCTCTTTGTGAAAGAAGGAAGAGAAGGGATTCATAAATTCACTGGACGTAGTCAACCCGTCAGAATCAGTCTGAGCGGAGACGTCGAACAAGGCACCAAGGAGATGATGCATGATGAGAAGAGAGGCAGTGAGGGTGGTGCTGCATTCGTGGAGGATGTCAACAAGGTCGAGAAGTAGCGTGTGTTCTCGATAAGTCGTGTCAAATGTGCGTTTACATATGACAAGGAAGCACCAGGACCTTGAGAAACATGTTTACGTCAAACGTTCCTGTAGTAAGTGACTACCCATCGCAGATTTAACTTGTCGGTGGGCCCATGAGACTGGACTCATCCATACTGAGGGATACACCACCAAGAAACACAGCTCGTGGCAGATCTGTACACACCTCTCGCAATACCAACAATGTTCCAGCCATCAACAACCTACAACACTCTTTCGAACCTGCAGAGACACATGCTGCTGCGATCGCTCCTATGCACACCTTCGCCGGCAGCAAGGACGGCACTACCACGACTCATGCATCCACACGCCGTGCCCCTGGATGCCTCCCTATCGCCCGCCTCCCTGCAGACTTGGGGATATGCTGTACTGTATCTTGATGCTCCGTCTTAGAGATCTCAGGACTGGCTGCCATCCTTTACCGAACTCGTACAAGCAGCGCTCCTCGCGTAGTCGTTTCATGCATTGGAACCAACGTACCCAGCGGTTGAGCCATTGTTGGGCGGTGTTGGGCTTCATGTTGTTAATCCATAGCCTCGCAGCTGTGCCCGCAATTTGCTTTCCTCTCACGACGATAACCACCTGCTTGGCAGCCGTGAATGCCAGTGCCTTGACTTCTTTCTCCCTCTTGGGTTTATCAGCCTCCTCTTGCTGGGTTTTGGCGAGAGCGGCCTTCCTCGCCTCCTCCTCGATCCTTCTCAACTTGTTCTCCTGTACTTTGCGACGTTCTTCGGTTTGGGCGGCTTGTAGTCTCTCGTGGACCTCCGCGGGGTGCTCCATTGAGCTTGGCTCGTGCTAGGGGTGGGCAAGCAAAACCCGTTTGACGTCGGAGTCGGTGTAGTGGAGTTGGTTTGGTAGGACATCATGCTCACCATAAGATCTCTGGTCTGCCTTGCCATCTCGCGCTCCAGGTGAAAAGGCGCGCCGGGGAGTCCGACCAGCTGTCGATAGTTCCGGAGGCATGCCATAACGGCATCATATGTAGCCGGATCATCTTCATGCTTGCACCCGGCTTGTCTCTCGCAATTCGGAACTCGACGTTGTTGTTGTTATTGTTAAGGTGCGCAGCAGTGACCGATCTGGGGCATCCAGGGGGGATATGATACCCAAAGCTGCTACAGTAGAACAAGCTCTGTTGTCGGCCATGTTGTTTCGCTTGCGAACTGGCTAGACAGTTGTTCAGACCCCATGTGTCTAGCCCTAGCTTGCGGAAAGTCGTAGCCCGGTCTGTCGAACGTGACTTAAACAAAGATATGATCAGCATGCTTCCATGGTGAGAAACGTCCTCCTCGTGTGCTAAGAACTGTCACGGTAGCTGTAGAAATGCACAATGCTTTCGTGTAGAATATGGTCTTCACGGAGAGCAGCCCATCAAAGGCCATCTCAATGGCCAGACTCATATTCGTTTCACGATTGTGCATTTCATCAGCTTAGAATATCCCTGCACCCCAAGATGGAGAGGAAATCAGTTGCAACATTGAGACTGTTTTTAGAATACGGAGAAGGTTAGCCTTGCCTCCTATCTGCTTGACTTTCTCGGTAAAGCTGTCACATCTATCTTGTCAGCATTGCCAAATACCAAAGCAAGGATACTCGCAGATTAATGCTGCGTAGCTGAGTAGACGGCAGTGTGAAGATAGGGGTGAAATTGATCCAGATGACCTTGCGGTTCGACATTGTCTCGTTGAGCTCGTGGGTCGTCTTGTTGTGAACGTGCATGTGTCTGAACCGATGAATGCCACTGACTTTTCGATCGATAACTTGCATGCAGACTTGCTCAGGATCACCTGCCTGACGGTTCTTCGGCTGCATACATTGGGATGGTGGCCAGTCAGCAAGACCACCATTGGCGATAACAAGCTTCCTGAGCAATAGACGAGTTTGTTAAGGTCGATCGCTCCGCCAGAGGTATCGATGAGTCTGTGAGTAGATTGGTTCGTGAACTCGGCTGTCAGAGCGCACATTCCAGAAACAGGGTGACCCGGGTCGTTCTTGAACTTGGGGCTCGCAGGAGACTTGTACTGCTGCGATCTGGACCGAGTAGCTTGGAAACATTGCTGCAACATGGCCTTGATATCCACTCTTCTGAGGTCCAGTTGGGTCGACTTTCCATGACCCGTGATTGTCTTGATGAGGTTGAAATGATGTACGATATTTGCTTTTTCGATCACGTCCTAGACGACTCTCTTCTGTCAAGATGTAAGCACATGACTCGATATGGATGATACTTTACTAAATACTCATGAAAAGCTTTCGACCAAGACTCGTTCAGAGGAAGCGCTGTGAGTGGAGCCATCAACACGCTTGGGGACTTGACAGTTGTCCCAAAGGGTTGAGCTGTAGTTGTTCCGATCTGATTGTTATCAGTCTCATCATCGTTAGTGTTGCTGATGACTCGGCGCTTCTTCAATAGTTTCTGTGGTGGCCAGAGCAGTGGCACCGCTGAAGCTTTCGCATCACGACACCGAGATTAATACATCGGAAAAAAGCCATCGCGGAGAGAGATCTGCCTTCTCAGCTCGTTGTGATTTCCTGGTGGCATCACGGTAGCATGGTATGGATTTTAGGGACAATGTTCTCGTGGTGAAATGGGTGTCGTAGATAGGCTGCTGATGAGTGCATGAGGAAAGCAGGCTGATGGGTACTGCCAATTATGTTGGACTCATCTCTCACCAATTCTGTCTGGCACAAGTGGTCACGAGCGGATAAAGCGCTTACTTTAGCGCTAGCAGAGTCCGCTTCACATGCCCTTGAACTCTTATTCGCTTCTCACTTTCCTATTTGTGGCGTCTAATTTTGGGCCGCTACAAATAGGCCGACGCACATGGCATGAGGACAACTACGTTCATCAACGACATAACCCAGAGCAGTGGGAACAGATGGGATGTCCCTGATTGTTCGCTCACATTACTGGAAGCAAACAGATCCGATCCGGTCGACGGCAGAGCCAGAGCGAGGCTCACAAAGAGCAGTCCCTAGAACTCAATTTCTTTGATCGATTGTCCAGATATCAAAAGCTCTTTGTATTCCATCAAGTCCTTATGGGTGGACTTTGACTGCAGAGAAATCAATCCTAGTTGTGTTTCTTGAGGTCCATCTTGAAAGAGGTATACCCTGTCACAACACCCATAGTGTTCTTTGGCATCGTGCAATAAGATCTCTTCAACTCATCCCTGATCTGCTCCGTGCCAATATTCAATCGAGTAAATATCTCCATCAATGCCACATACAGCATGTCGATGTTGCCATCTTCGATCTTGACGGCGATGCCCAGCCCACCCTTGGCTCCNNCCAGACGTCTTGTAGCCTGGCAATCTCGAATGCCAACGCCATAGCAGCCTTCTGCGCCTAGCTTGCCCACCAAAGCTCCGGAGAAGAGACGCATGAAGTCGGTACAGAAACGAGAGTCTCCAGCAATCATGTCTGGGTGTGTTATCATTGCGTGATAAATCCGTGCTTGATTTCGTATCGATGGTCCAGAAGTGGAATCGTTGAAGACGTTGTCTTGTTCGTCCGCGGCATGTGCGAGTTTCGCGTACATCAATGCCATACTGTTCAGAGGTAGTGCTGGTGAAGGCGCATTGCACCCATCGATGACCCAGCGAATCTCCTCAGGTTTTAGATCAGCGAGCTGCTCATGTACCTGTTTGATCCTCAATTGAACAGTATGCGATGGGTCATTGTAATCCTTCGTGCCGACACCAAGAGCCTTCGCGGCAGCTAGCATGCCAACATGCTTGGCAGAACAATTGCTGTAGATTGCTGTAGGCATGAATCCTGATTTCGCCCATCCAGCATTGACGACTTTGGAAAGGGAAGGATGACCGCCGCAATTCATGTTTTGTTCGGTCACACTGGCTTTCAGCAACATGTCATTGACGCGAGAGATGTGTTTATCTTCGCAGTTGTGAGAGCCAGATATCAGTGCGACATCAGCTTCATCGAATTCAACCATCTCGGCTGCTCCAGTTTCAAGAATGGCGAGTGCTTGAAAAGGCTTTGCAGCTGAACGTGCGAGTGTCGGGCGGAATGGGTTTCCGAGAGAGTAGAGAAGGTTGTTGTCGCTGTCGACGATGGCAGCGTGGACTATGTGGCTGTTCTCAATAACATCACCGCGCCAGTTTAGAACGAGGTCGTGGCTATCCATATTGTTAAGGCAAAGGTCAAGATCAGATTGTTTGAGAACCTGCTGTTATCCAGAATCCAATTTGTGTTTTTATGTCTGCGAGAGGATGCTACGCCCTACCTCCGACACATCCGTGATTCATATCGCAGTTGACCACGTTGTAATTTGACCTTCTCAAAGAGGAAAAGCTGTGGAACTGACGAAATTCTTGGTTGACAGATCCGCAGATAAGATTTCTGCTTTAGCCGGCAAGACTGCCCAAACAATGGAGAACTGGCAACTAATTCTCAAGTTGCTCATGATAATTCGTGAAAAGGATAGAAGAGATGGGACAGGTTGAGTTCTTGCGAGAGCAAATGTTGAAGAAAGGGCTGGTCAAAAGTCTTGGAAGGGCTTGCATTGTGTTGGACAAAGCTTTTGACCGTGCTTTCTGGTTTGATACTTCAATCACGCGGCCTCTCCTTCTTCATGAACACAAGACACACATTGCAGTTTGCCATTGTGCCATTATGTCGAGGGTCAAGTCAACGATGATCAAAGAACATCCTACGTTTCTGAGTCTCGGCGTACATCGCGGTGGCGACAGTGCAATTTCCCAATGGGTGTGCTTCGAGTAGTGATCGTTCGCGGCGCCCTCAGTCTCTGCGGACGAGTGCGACTAATCGAAAACAACATTCACTGAGAGCTGAAATCCAATGCCCATCGAGGATAGGTAGCGAAACTCAGATCTACTTGTACTTGTGTTCAATTCCTCTCCTTCTCATATTTTTCTCTCATAATATGTATCATACATTTCAGCAGCGGTTTCATATGGCAACATGCATCTTCCTCCTCACTGGAAGTTCAATGGCTTGGAACTTCGCAGTTCAGTTCTTGCAGTCACATCGTCTTCACTTTCACTTTGCTGAATCTCACCAGCAGAGATTGGCTGCTTCGATCAACTCACTCAACTCTTCTATGTATCGACTTGTTCACCTCCGCTCTTTTTTTCTTACGCCCATCAAGACTATCATGGCTGCCTCCAAAGCCTTGAAGCGCTCTGCTGAAGAGACAGCAACAACCAGCAAAGGCCAGTCCGGACCACCAAAGAAGAAGCAGTGCCGCAAACGTACATGTCTCGTGTGCGACACCAAGAAGCACTACACTCAGTTCCCAAGCCAGACGAAGGTCTCCTCACATGATCACGGTGCCAATGTCTGCCGCCTCTGCTACTTCAGCCACCTAGAGGTCGAGATCGATTCCAAGAACTGGGACGAAGTCGCATGCCCAGAATGCCCAACCAAGTTGACTTACCAAGAAGTCGAGAGCATGACCAATGCTGAGAACTTTGCCAAGTACGTTGCTCGATTTTCAGTGATCTGAATGGTTCGACTCACGAAGGATGATCTAGGNTATGAGCGAGCCTCTATCAGAGCTACTCTTGCTGCAGACCCTGACTTCAGATTCTGCTTCTCTTCGGCCTGTGAGTCGGGTCAGCTGCATCCTGGTGGTACCAGTGAGCCTATCTTCTCCTGTCAGGTGTGCAGACACAAGCACTGCGTCGTCTGTGAGACAAACTGGCACGAAGATCAGACCTGTGAGGAGTTCCAAGCCGAACTTCACCGCAACACCGAGAACGACGAAAAGTCAGAGAAGGAAGTCGAAAAGATCTCGAAGCCATGCCCCGAATGTCGCGTTCCCATTCAGAAGAACAAGGGCTGTGACCACATGACTTGTCAGTGATTACCATTTGTGGCAACTCTGTTCGATGCTGACACACACTTCAGGNNCTCGAGATGCCGCCATCAATTCTGCTGGATTTGCTCTGCATCATACAGCGACATTGCCGGGGAGGGCAATCACCGTCATGAGAAGAGTTGCACTCATTATCGTGCAGCTCCAAGTGCAGAGGCACTTGAGGCTCAAAGACGCAGAACCGAAGAGGCACGCGAAGCTCAAAGACGCAGAACCGAAGCGGCACTTGAAGTTCAAAGACGCAGAAACGAAGAAGCAAGACAAAGAAGAGAGGAATCTGATCGCAGAACCCGCGAGCTGCAGGAGCAAACACGCCGACAACTCCAAGCAGATCAGCAAGCTATTCGTAGGCCTTCTATTGTCTCACTCGCTGCGACTCCAGCTCCCACTTCAGGCCTAGCTCCAACTTCAGTCCACATTGAGGGCGCCAGAGACACCAATCTCAGCGAGCATGTACTTGCTCGACTGGCTCATCGTGCCCCTACCACTGCTGCAGCTCCTCAACCGACACAAAATGAGGAAGGAGACAGAAGAACTGCACCGACTCCCACCCCACCCTGATCCGCCCTCCAGAAACCGGTTCGGCTCTAACAACTTACCAGATACGAAGAGGATTCCTCAAAAACAATGTCCAGGATGACGAGGTCAAGGCGCATGACTGGGTTACTGCTGCTTACGGTGGTGCAAGAATGGTTGTAGAAACACATCGTGTATCCACAGCTGGAACATGTGTGAACCTTTTGTTCACTTTCACGGCTTTCTAAAGAACATGTAATGAATCAACGATAATGTTCTCCACTCAAACTTCTTTTGATTGCAAACAGTGTCCCCAGGAACCAGCCCGAGAACATTTGTAAATACAAGAGACAACCTATCATCCTGCAACCATCCATCTCCATTCTTCCGCCCTGCCAAACTTTCCAAGTCATAATCCGGAAGACTTCCGGAACAAGTCAATTTAGCAGACAGAAACATCGGACTCCTCGTAGATGCAAGCGTCAGAAGGACCTTCAGAGAGAGTAGAAGGCTCCTCGTCATTGTTGTTGGTGCCCTTGTACTCCTGGCAGATGTGCTTGACAGAGGAAGCACAAGTGTTGGTAATAGTAGCAGTATCGCCGTAGTTGCTGTTGATACCAACAAGGTACTTGCCATTAGTAGCCTTGACATTGTTGATAGTGACTTTTCTAGCACCACTGCCGAGAAACGACATGTCAGTATTTCCGTCTGTCAAAGAACTTGTAGAAGTCCACTTACCNNCATTCTGCTTACAGTTCCCACAACTGCGATACAGTTTGCCAAAATCGTCAACCGTAAAGCCATCAATAGAAACACTTCCAACACCATTATGTTGGATAACCTTATCCTCTGCACCCCTGGCTCCACCTCCGATAACCTTACCATCACCATTGCCCTTGAATGTCAACGCATCCTCACACACCTTCTCCCACCACACATTTTCAATCGTACACGCACCCAAACAATGCACACCTTCACTCTGATCTTCACCGATAATGGCGTTTTTGAGGGTCGCGCCGTCGGAGAGAAGGAATACGGCGTCCGAGTTTCCGCCTTCGGTTTGGCCGTTGCAGGAGACGCCGCGCCCGTAGGTTTTGTAGCCGCCGTCGAAGGTGCCAGAGATGGATTTTGGTTCGGAGTAGGTTATGGAGCCTTTGCTGGCGGGAATGGGGAAGGTGGAAGAGGCGCGAATGCGTAGGGGGCCGAGTCTCTCTGCGGCGGCGATGGAGAGGAGGCCAGTGAGGATGATGCAAGTGCTCAAGTGCATGTCTGCTGGTTTAATTGGTGGTTGTAAGAGGAACAGAAGTTGTTGATAGGAGTTCAAAGGAATGACTCTTTGTTTGATCAAAGAACAGGAGTGTCTTGTGTAGTTGTTGTGGAGCACTGCTTCTGAAGGGAGAAAGGACGTTTAAAGGTGGAAGGGGTGGCGGCATATATACTCGTTCAACAGGTAGGGCTGGGTGTTTGCTGCCCTACCTGCGCATCGAGGGATACTATACCTGTAAACTCTGAAACAACGACAGCATCCCAAGTCTTGGTCCACTCAACCTCTCCTGAAAACATCACATCTCTTAGAGGATATTTCGCAAGTATCACTCTTCTCAAGAAGCATAATATCACCGGGTGGGGAAATGTATCGATGTTTACGAGTCAGGCCAATACCGAACTGTCCCAGAAGCGAATGACTTGAAAAGCTGATTGCTGACTGGTTGTCAGCAAGCGAAAATATGTGATCGGAAGTGTGCAGTTACGATGCGCAAGGTTAAAGACGCGAGGTCGTTAGATATGAATGACTGTCCAGCCCTGATTACTTGATGATCGCTTGGAGCCAGCCTGGCATGTCTGAATCAAGTCTTTGACATGACGATCCCTCTTCAAACAACCACTCAGTGACAAGGATATACCATGAAGTTGATCATTGAGGTGGAGCCAACACAGCCTCACTTGCTGAAACGTGCCAAGGCATGTTCGCCAAGACGATCGAATATGTAGAGGGTTTGGTGTAGAGGACGACAGACTGACCAAATGTAAAGTGTACAGCTACTGGGTACATCCTGCCTAGATCAGTGAGCATCATGAGGACCTCAGGGCCGTTCAGGGCTACTGTGCAGGGACTTTGGAACCGAATCTTCCTTGGCATGAGTCCCACCAGTGCTGCCAATTGACGACCTTGTTTTCAAGTCGAGCTTCTTCGGCTGCGAAAACCAGAGCATGGCTTCTGATGACTTCTTCCAGGTTGCATCCCAGGTGTTGTGTCTGAGCCTCCTCAATGGACAATGTCTTCGACTTCACCGCATCGATGGCCTTGAGGAACTGCGTTGCCAGTCCGTAGTCACCTCCACCGTGACCTCCTCCAGGTCTATGCGGACGGTGATGCTGAAACTGACCAGTTGAAAAGTCATAGATTGTAATGAGGGTTCCATCGTATGAGATTTCGCCCTTCTCACCATAGATTCGGCCTCGCCGTTCACACTGTTTCTCAGTTTGAGCGATCATGTGGAAGGAAGCAGTCTTGGCCATTCTCACTGGCGGTTCGTTGCCCTTAGCGCCAGACAGCCTGGTGTTTGGTGTTGCAGTCAAGGGCTCATCGTTCCAAGAGAGTAGGACAAATTGATCGTCGCACACATCATTCTCCGACTCCCAAACACACCTCCCGAACCAGGGACGTTTGTGTATCTCCTCAGGCGATGTATGACTGTCATAATCATTCTCAAGTGTCTTGAACAACATATCTTTTGCTGCTTCTGCACCATAATCATTGTAACAGGCTTCAATTTCTGGATTGACGATATTGACAGGCCAGTCTGTATTTCCCTTGGCAAGTTGGTTTTCGTAGTAGATCCTTGGAGCACTGTATGTACAAGTCTTCTCGATTGGACATTGTAGGCAATATGTGGCAGCACCTGCATCTGCAGGCTTACGTGACCGTTTGAACTGTTTCAGAGATCCAAACGAGGCCACTGATGCTGGGACATGCGGTGGGTGACCAGTCCCTGGGGCAGGTGAACATAACATCCACAACAGAAAGTCAATATCGTGACATGATTTTGTTAGTAATGATGGGGCCGTTGTAGACTCCTTTCTCCAATTGCCTCTNNGGGTTTGGGATCAACAAAAAGACATCTGGTATCAATAATGTACAACTTACCTGACGTAGCTGTGAGAGAAGTGCCAATTGCCAACAGGTTCAGTATGCTCCATGGACAGCACAGGACCAATGACTTGATCTTCAAGGACTAGTTTGCGCAAGAGCATATTGTGGGGGCTATAACGCAGGACATGTCCAATACCAANAATGGCTGTCTGTCCCTCTTGTTGCGAGGACATGGCTGCTGATATAGCCATACAATCCTTGAGTGTTGTGGCCAACGGCTTCTCACAGAGTGTGTGAATGGATAGATGGCCTAGAGCAGTGATGACTTCTGCGTGCTGTTCATCGAGAACGCAGATGAACATGCCGTCAATACCAGGGGGAACTTGATGACCAGCAGCAGCATGGCTCCTGCGTTTGGTCTCCCATTGTAGAAAGTGCTTCCAGTCAGTAAACTCTTGTCCATCTGAAGGCCTCTCATTCGAGCCCCAGATGTATTTGGATCCCAGGAGGGTGCGTTTGAAAGCTATGGGTTCTGCGACAGCAGCCACAATGCCCTGTCCTGATTCTGATACGGCTCGAGCGTAAGCAGTACCACGAGAGCCAGCGCCGATGATCAGAATTCGCGGAAGCTCTGGAGAAGATGACAGATGTTTCGACATGGCTAGGGAAGTGAAACACTGACACTCTTTGGAGTGATTATCTTGGAAATCTGCGCGAAGAAGGACATGTCGCTGGTAGCAGTGTCGTGATTCTGTTCACCACGTCGCCTCAAGGGAGATGATCAGATAAGAAATTTCGGAGATTGTCGGCGTTATGCTGACATAACTCTCGCCGCTGCTTGCGATGCGAGCACTTGAACACATGCATACCTAAGATTCCCTCACCATAACCCAGCATGGCATTTTCAGGAAGAGACTCTTTGCTACGATGCTGCCGTAGCGCGTTCAAGCAAGCGTCCAAAGACGCGCGCATATTCTACCCACGCCGCCAGCTATCACTCGCTGCTCGTCCATCACAATTATCGCCACGATCCGTACCAGTCCAACGATTTGCGCCGTTCGCNAAAGATATTCTTCCGTCACAAAGTAACCGAGCCTTCAGCGCATCGAGTCGGCAAGCGGTCAAGGCCATCATCAATCCGCGAAAGAATGAGGATGGAGACGAGATGATGATCGACATTTTGCCTCGCGCTGTCAATGTAACTATATACACCTGACGTTTCAAGACCACAGTGAGCTGATGCAAGTTCGTANNGCGCCTGCATGCTATCTCGGTCAAGGAGAACAACCCATCCCTCTGCCTGCGCGTCGCGGTAGAATCCGGCGGCTGCCACGGCTTCCAGTACCTCATGTCGACAACAACGCTAGAAGAGATATCACAAGAGGAAGATACAGTATTTGAGTCGGAAGATGGCAAGGGAGCCAGAGTGGTCATTGATGAGCCCAGTCTTGAACTTCTAGCTGGCAGCAAGATTGATTATACCATGGAGTTGATCGGCAGTCAGTTCAAGGTGACGGGTATTCCAGGAGCTACGAGCAGTTGTGGTTGTGGATCCAGTTTCGATATCCAGGCATGAGCAAGCAGAAAAAGGAAGTCAATGTCTCAGATGATAGCGAATCCCACCACCTAAAGTAAACCTTCACTTGGATGAGGACCATGTCAAGATGGCAGAGCAACTCGGCTTCTCTCAATATTGAAAAGCCAAACCAAAGTAGTAGGCCCAGCACTTGAGTAACAAGAATGGCGTTGCGGTAAGGAAAGGGTAACAGGGCGTCCGAGCTTCGAAATTGAGACAGACCTAAACGGGAATGACGAATTGCACGTCTCGAAGGGCAGCTCTTAAAACGGACGATCGTATAGCTGTTGGGGAAAGAGTAGCTGCAAAAGACGATCAAGATCCGTCTAGAATTGAACTACGGTTTTCTGGTTACATTGTGGCGTCGATTGGATGGCGATTTTATTAGAGCAAATGGAAGCTTGGGCGGCTCAGGTCTCAACGCTTCCCGCCCACCGCCTTCGACCGCGACCCCGCTACGTAAAGCTGAGGTAGTGGCCGGCTTGCTGTTCCAACCCGGCCTGAACTATTTCTGGCTTATTTCCTGAATAATCCAATCTTCTCTTCTTGACAAGCAATCACACATACACATCATGAGCGTCAAGACTGTTTCCTTGAAGCCTTTCCAAGACCAGAAGCCCGGAACGTGAGTTGTCTCCTCTGTCTCCACTGAAGCTTACTGCCAGCGAGTCAATTGCCTTGTTGTTTGTATTCTGTTACTGACTCTGCTACCAGCNTCCGGTCTTCGTAAGAAGGTCAAGGTCTTCCAGAAGGAGCACTACTCAGAATCTTTCGTTACCAGCATTCTTCTGTCCATCCCCGAGGGTGTCAAGGACTCCACCCTTGTCATTGGTGGTGACGGTCGTTACTGGAACCCCGAGGTCACCCAGACCATTGCAAAGATTGGTGCTGCATACGGTGTCAAGAAGCTCATCATCGGCCAGAACGGCATTCTCAGCACTCCCGCCGCTTCTCATATCATCCGCATCCGCAAGGCCACTGGTGGTATCTTGTTGACCGCCTCGCACAACCCTGGTGGTGAGTCCTTGTAACCTCTCAATTCAGCAATCTGCACCAGCTAATACTCCTCCCANGGTCCCGACGAGGACTTCGGTATCAAGTACAACCTTGCCAACGGTGCTCCCGCTCCCGAGAGCGTCACCAACAAGATCTTCGACACCTCCAAGACCCTCACCGAGTACAAGATTTCCGACATTCCCGATGTCGACCTTAGCTCCATTGGCTCAAAGACCTACGGCGACCTCGAGGTCGAGATCATCCACTCGACTGAGGACTACGTCAAGATGCTCAAGGACATTTTCGACTTTGACCTGATCAAGGCTTTCCTCAAGGAGCACCCCGACTTCAAGATCCTCTTCGACGGCTTGAGCGGTGTTACTGGCAACTACGGTATCGATGTCTTCGAGAAGGAGCTCGGCCAGAAGGGTTCCACTCAGAACTGTGTCCCCAAGCCTGACTTCGGTGGCCACCACCCCGACCCCAACCTCGTCTACGCTCACAGCTTGGTTGAGGCTGTCGAGAAGAACAACATTCACTTTGGTGCTGCTTCTGACGGTGACGGTGACCGTAACATGATCTACGGAAAGGGCGCTTTCGTCTCCCCTGGTGACTCGCTCGCCATCATTGCTCACCACGCCGAGCTGATCCCTTACTTCAAGAAGCAGGGTGTCTACGGTCTTGCCCGCTCCATGCCCACTTCAGGTGCCATTGACCTTGTCGCCAAGAAGAAGGGTCTTGAGTCGTACGAGGTTCCGACTGGCTGGAAGTTCTTCTGTGGTCTGTTCGATGCCGACAAGATGAACATCTGTGGTGAGGAGTCTTTCGGTACTGGTTCCAACCACGTCCGTGAGAAGGATGGTCTCTGGGCTGTTGTTGCATGGCTCAACATCATCGCTGGTGTTGGTCAGCAGAAGGGCGAGACCCCCAGCATCAAGTCTATCCAGCAGGACTTCTGGAAGATCTACGGTCGTACTTTCTTCACCCGTTATGATTACGAGGGCTGCGAGTCCGAGGGTGCCAACAAGATGACCGCTCACATGAAGGAGCTCATCACCACCAAGAAGGACGAGTTTGTCGGATCCACCATTTCTGGCCGCAAGGTTCTCGAGGCCGACGACTTCAGCTACACCGACCTCGATGGCAGCGTCAGCAAGAACCAGGGTATCTACGTCAAGTTCGACGATGGCAGCAGAATCGTTGTCCGTCTGTCGGGCACTGGTTCCAGCGGTGCCACCATCCGTCTTTACGTCGAGAAGCACGATGCCGACGAGAAGACCTACGAGATGGACGCACAAGACTACCTCAAGGACAACGTCAAGCTTGCCACCGACCTTCTCAAGTTGCAGGAGTTCATTGGCCGTACCGAGCCTGATGTCAAGACCTAAGCGTGTCGCACCGATTTGGATGTAGCATTTTATTATAACGACTTTGCATGTACAGAAACAGTGCGTACATAACACGAAAAGAAAAACATTTCAAAATTTATATGAGTCAATTGTTACGTTCGAGTATCTCATGGTGTTTGATGTGATGGAACGCTTACACTTACCAGATGAATTTTATTGATTGATTATTATTTGTCCATGTCTATGAGGCCAGATCGCGGTTACCTCCATTTCTGGCAAGATCTTGTTCACCAGAAGAAGTAGCACCGAAGCCTTCTGCTTCAAGACTTTGGACGGTGGTCTGGGCCTCTGCAGCACCGACTTCTTGAGTGATCTCTTTGGGCTTGACTTCCTTGTCGCCAATGATAGAACCATGAGCATCACCATCAAGCTCTGCAGTCTCGTCCGGGGTGTCTTCCTTTGGCTCGACGCCATTCTGGAAGAAGGCTCTTTGGTAGTACCTCGCTTCCTCTATGCTCTCGAGGATATCTGCTCTAGCTTCATGCTTTCCAGCTTTTGAAGGGCTCTTCTTGAGGACTTGTATAGGAGCCCATCTCTTCGCTGCTTCCTTGATTGCAGAGACATCTAAGATGCGATGGTGCAACCACTTCATGACAGGCGTATACGGCTGCTGGACCAAAAAGGCACGATCCGCATGCACTGTATTTCCAGCCAGCAATGCCTTTTTCCTCTCTGGACAGTATTTCTGTACATACGCCAGCAGTTCTTCAGCAGCTTGCTCGGCAGTCTTGTCGGAAGCCAGGCATGCAGCTGTCAAACCGGACTTTCCGTGTTGTGCTGTGCACCATTCGCCCATGGCGTCGAGTTGGGATTGCGAGTGGTGGATGACGGCTTCGTAGCCGGTTTCGTCGAGCAAGTTTAGTTGGGCGTCGGTGACGAAACAGCACAGGGACATGATTGTGTCTTTGGACAGGTCGAGACCGGTCATCTCGCAGTCGATCCAGACGAGAGGGTGCTTGGAGCGGGACTCGGGCATGATGGTGGTGGCGGAGAAGTGACGGTACTTGATGATAGGAGAAGAGGTTCGAGAAGATTGAAGAACAACTGCCGTGAATCTAGGAACAGGAATGCGAGTAGTGATGAAGCGAAACATGCAATCGCGAAAAGAGAAATAATCAAGTGATGACGCGGGTGCTTTGGTCGAGTTGCTGGGTGAATTGCTCTTTTGGGCTAGATTGATTGAAGCGGCTCGCGTGCGCGACACGACACGTGCCAGCAACAATCAATGCCACTCCTCCGCGTCCATCCCAATCACCAAACATCATATTACACAGTCTTATACAACATAACCATACAACAAGCATTGCATCATGCCTCCGACCAAGGCAGATCAATTGGCCCAACTCCGTGCTGCGAGGAAGGCTGGCAGGACAAACTTCTCGTCGTACGAGGTCCAAGACGAGGAACAACTTTACGAGACAGTCGACGAGGACAGTTACAAGAAGATTGTGAGAAAGAGACTCGACCAAGACGACTTTGTCGTCGATGACAATGGCGAGGGCTATGCAGACGATGGACGCGAAGACTGGCAGAACGAACGACAACAAGACTATGATGATGAGAGCGAAGACGATCTGCCTGCGAGGAGCAAGGCTGGTATGTCCTCCCTTCACTGCCCATTTATACCTCGGCAAGCTAATGTANNCGCAGCAAAACGTAAGCGCGAAGAAGATGCACAGCAGAAGGAGAAAATCAACAAGGGTATCAGCAAGTACTTTAACGCAAACCCCACCGTCGCTGCACCCAAGCCCAAGCAGGCTTCAACCGCAGAAGATGCCGCTTTCATGGCCGACCTCCTCGGTGAGGTCAATGCCAACGTCCCCTCATACAAACCTAGATCGACAATGAACCCTGTCAAGACCGAGAGCCGCCGCAAGACCAGAGTTTTGTCACCACCCGTCGAACAAATGAGCCATATCCCTCGATACGAACCAAGACCCCAAAAGCTCGACTCTCCACCAGCACCTGTGGACGATGACACCTATTTTCCCATGGACGAGGGTCTCTTCCCACCACCCGAGGACAACGATGTACCAATGAGCGANCCCCTTCCTTCGTCTCCCGTCGCAAAGGCTGCACAACGAAAAGAGTCGAATGTGAAGATCGAAGAGGATGAAGATGAAGATATGCTCGAGGTTGCTCAAGTCACAAATCAGTCTTCTCGAAGCACTGCAGCCATCAACATGCGCGGAAACAGACCGATTCCAAAAATCACAAAGACGGATTACCCGACACCAGCAAGCTCTTCTCCTTCACGGCAGGCCCCTGAAGCTATCGACACATCGGCATTGACAAATGTCACCGACAAGTTGAATGTACTGAGCAGTTCTGGTGTAGAGACTGTCACGTTTGGCAAATTGGATCCTCAGCATGCTCAAGAGGAGGATGGCAGTGTGCGATTCTTCTGGTTCGACTACACTGAGATCAATGGCGGTCTTTGTTTATTCGGCAAGGTCAAAGACAAGTCGACTGGTCGCTTCGTCAGTGCCTTTGTCAAGGTCGACAACATCATGCGCAAGCTCTTCTTCCTTCCTCGTGAACACCGCCGGAAGCATGGTCGCGAGACCGATGAGGACGTAGAGATGGGCGACGTCTACCAAGAAGTGGATGGCCTCATGTCCAAATTCAACGTCAACATGCACAAAATCAAACCATGTTCGAGAAAATACGCCTTCGAGTTGCCAGACATTCCGAAGGAAGCAGATTACCTGAAGCTGCTCTATCCATACGACAAGCAGCCCTTGCCTATAGACATTCAGGGAGAGACCTTCTCGCACGTCTTCGGTACCAACACTGCGCTTTTCGAACAATTTGTTCTCTGGAAGAACATCATGGGTCCTTGTTGGCTCAAGATTGACGCAAACAGTATCAACTTCAATGCTGTCAAGAATGCTTCTTGGTGCAAGTTGGAAATGCTTGTCGACAAACCTCAAGGCATTTCAACCCTTGGAGACACCGATAACCTTGACGCTCCACCATTGACGCTGATGAGCATTGCTCTCAGGACGAAACTGAACGAGAAAGACAACAAACAAGAGATTCTGCTTGCCAGTGCTCGTATCTACGACAGCATGTCGTTGTCAGACACCACCGCGCCAGAAAAACTTCCTTGTAAGACATTCACAGTCATGCGCCCGAACGGTCCAGATTACCCTGTAGGCTTCAAGACAGATGCCGAAAAGTACCGAGGCAACATCCAGCTGGAGAGGAACGAAGGTGCACTTCTGAGCAAGTTCTTGGCTTTGCTAGATCGCAATGACCCAGACGTCTTGATCGGCCACAGGCTCGACGATGTTGACTACACTCTCTTGCTCAACAGAATGCGAGAATGCAGAACCCCTGGATGGCATCGCATTGGAAGGCTAAAGCGTCATGAATGGCCCAAGAATATCGGCAAGGGTGGTGGCAGTTTCTTCGTCGAGAGACAGCTTGCTGCCGGAAGATTGCTTTGTGATCTAGGCAACGATATGGGCAAGTCTTTGATGACGAAATGTCAGTCCTGGAGTCTGGACGAGATGTGCGACCTTGTCCTTGGTGGCGATAACAAGCGTCGTGACATCGACAATGATGTGTTGCTCAAGATGGCTACCAACAGAGCTGGTCTGATGCAATACATCAAGCTGACAGAAGCAGACACATTTTTCATTGCTGCCATTGCTCTCAAAGTCCAGATGCTTCCATTGACCAAGGTCCTCACGAATTTGGCTGGAAACTCCTGGGCCAGAACTTTGAGTGGTACTCGTGCTGAGCGTAATGAATACATTTTGCTGCACGAGTTCCACAAAAACAAGTACATCTGCCCTGACAAGATCTGGGGTAAGGGTAAAGCCAAGTCTGATGAAGACAACCCGGAAGGAGACGACGGAGCAGATGCAAAGAAGAAGGACAAGTTCAAGGGTGGTCTGGTCTTCGAGCCCGAAAAGGGCTTGTACGACAAGTTCATCCTTGTCATGGACTTTAACTCTCTGTATCCCAGTATCATCCAGGAGTACAACATTTGCTTCACCACGGTCGAAAGATCGGAAGTCGTAAGTCACACGATCATGTATTGAAGAATGAAGCTAACGATACATCAGAACGAGGATGAGGAAAAGGTTCCCGAGGTTCCATCAGATACCAATAACAAGGGTATCCTGCCACGACTCATTAGAACACTTGTCCACCGTCGTCGTGAAGTCAAGAAGCTCATGAAAGACAAGACTGCCACCTCTGACCAACTTGCAACATGGGAGATCAAGCAAATGGCTTTGAAGCTGACTGCCAACTCCATGTACGGATGTTTGGGTTACGCCAAGTCACGCTTCTATGCACGTCCACTCGCCATGCTCACCACATACAAGGGCCGTGAGATTTTGCAGTCTACCAAGGATCTTGCAGAGTCTGCCCATGGTCTGAGGGTCATCTATGGTGATACTGATTCAGTCATGGTCAACACCAATGTCGACAACATCATGGATGCCATGAAGATCGGCAATGACTTCAAGAAGAGCGTCAACGAGCGCTACGAACTTCTTGAGATTGATATTGACAACGTCTTCCGTCGCCTGCTTCTGCACGCAAAGAAGAAGTATGCTGCTGTCAACATGATCGAAAAGGATGGCAAATGGATCGACAAGCTCGAAGTTAAGGGTCTTGACATGCGCAGAAGAGAATACTGTGCATTGAGTAAAGACACCTCGACCGAACTCTTGAATTTCCTGTTGTCAGGCGAAGACCCTGAAACCGTGGTTTCTCAGATTCACGATCATCTCAGGGAAGTCGCTTCGCAGATGCGTGCCAACACTATTCCTCTTCGCAAGTACACTATCTACACACAACTCGGAAAGAACCCCAAGGAGTACCCCAATGGAAACAGCATGCCCTCCGTTCAGGTTGCCTTGAAGTTGATGGCCAAGGGCAAGCACGTGAAGGCCAAGGATGTCATGTCCTACATCATCTGCAACGATTCCTCTGGCAGCGCGGANAAGGCAGCGCACAATGCTTTCCCAGTCGACGAAGTCCTTCGTGCAGAGAACGAACTCAAACCTGACATTGACTACTACCTGCACAAGCAAATCTTGCCACCTGTAGAACGTCTCTGCGCTCCCATCGAAGGCACAAACGTTACTTTGTTGGCCGAATGCTTGGGACTCGATACCAGCAAGTACCGCGTCAGCAGCGCAAGCGGCACCAACACCTACAACACCGAGACCGAAATCCACCCGCTGGAATCACAGGTCCCAGATGAGATACGCTACAAGGACTGCACACCCCTAGGCCTGTTGTGTCTTTCCTGCCGCACACCCTTCCAATTCCGCGGCTTGGGTGTACCTCCTTCTCCCGATGCTGACAAACTCACCGCTGTGGTCGATACCGATGGCATCCATTGCCCGTCTCCTTCTTGCGGTGCTGTCATGTCTCAACTTGCGCTTGCTGCTCAACTGGAAAGCCAGATCCGCGCTCACACAGCCCAATACTATGCCGCAGTGCTTGTGTGCGACGAAGCAACCTGCAACAACCGCACGCGCCAAATGAGCGTCTACGGCCACCGCTGCCTGGGACCCCGCGGCCTTGCGTTCGGCTGCTCCGGCAAAATGCAACTCGAATACACGGAAAAGCAACTCTACAACCAATTGATGTTTTTGGCAAGGTGCTTTGATGTGGAAAAGAGTGCGTTAGAAGCCGCCAAGAAGAAAACAGAAGAGGCGGAGAGAGTGGGTGTGCTTGCTGAGATGAATAGACTCAGGTTTGGAGGGTTGAGGAACGTGGTGGAGGCGTATTTGGACAAGAGTGGGTGGGGGTGGGTTAGTATGGATGGGTTGTTTGGGTTCGCACTCAAGGCTTTGGGGTGATGGGTTGTTTGTACTCGTAATGTAGGCGTTATAGAGAGTCAAGGGACGTTCATGAGAGGAACTTATATTATGGACTTGCTAGTTTCATCGTGCGCATCTGTATAGGGAGATTTTTGAATCAAGCATACCGGTATCCCATACAGTGTTACATCAATTTGCCAAGCCGCTAACCTACTGTAATCAAACCGACACTCAAACTCGACGACGTACTCTAGACACTTGACTGACAACTATCTGTAATACTAACCAATATCTGCTTTACTATCCAAATCACTCTCGTCATAACAACCAAGCCTAAATTCATTCCACTCCTCCAATCACTCGAAAAATACTTTTCGCCCGAAGGATGTCCACTAACCCCTACGACGAAGAGCAAATCGTCACCCTGATTACAACATACTACAATCTTCTCTTCTCACTATGCTACATCACCCCTGAAGAGATCGACTTTCCTCCCCCCTCAGGTCGAGAACTCGACAGAACGCTGTGTCATAGGTTACATCTCGCACCAGAGGTTGTATCGCTTATGCGGCATATACCATGTCCTGTCAGCGAAGGAGTAATGCTCGAACACGAATTACTCGTTCCCCAAAGCCATGCGAACAGTTTTGTGGATGGGAAACTTATCGAGGTGGGAAGGGATCCGGAAGTGGGTGAGGATAAGTGGTCTTTGAAGGGCACGGATGTTGCGCTGAGTGTTATGGGAGATGAAGGACGGTATCTTGTTCTTGATACTGATAAAAGTGAAAATTCTTCTTCGCACTGTCGTGTTTTGAGTCGGTCGCTGATGAAAGGTCTCTANGATACGTTGAGAGTTTGTACTTGGGAACCACCGAATCGTCCCGAGGATCAAGATGAAGCAGGGCTGCGGTATGATTTCCATCTTGATTCTCCAGATGATCATTACACGCGCTTTCCGGTGTATGATCCTGTTGAGTATCTGCAATCGATCATCGACAGGACTTGCAGCTTAGAATGGCTGCCAATGCAGGTCCATGGTCGTGGCGCCATCTCGACCGACGGTCCATTGGTAAGTTACCTTATTCCATTGCTTTAACAGCCACTGACCCACATCTCTTGTAAAGTACTCGGAAACAAAAGAATTCTGATCGAGGAGTACGGGTGGCCGGACAACTTCAAGAGCGAAGAGTGGAAACGCGATTGCAAGAGGATTATACACGAGAATGTTGAGCATTCTAGGATCCTTGATGAGGAGAGACGAGTCGCAAGGATCAAGGTGTTTGAGCAAAGTCTCAACGAACGCACCGGCTTGATGGGTTTATGCAATCTGCAATAGAGCGTACTCGTGCTCATTAGTTTCCCCAGCGCCATGAGCTTCGAATGGAGGCAATCGAGTTCGATGTCTTCTGGCATGATGCGATCAGGAAGTTGGCGGATCATTGAGGCGGTTGAGGAGGCACGATGATATCCTGCTCATGGTGGGTAACTCAAGATTTTCAGTATGCCTAGACTCGCAATTGAAGGCAGTCTGTTGGAAGGGATCTTCTGGTCGTCTGTGAGACCGTCTATTCTGATACCTTGCGATTGGCGATTCGATGACGTCTGGTGCCGCGAGAGAGCCAAAGAAGACGGCTGGTGCGTTATCACAATGGGCAGCGCGAAGGTCGTAGTTTCAGTCCGGTCATCGAACAAAGTCGACCGGCTTTCGCACTTTCGGTATCAGGCCTGGTCGAGGAAAGACAGTCGATCATGATGGTCTTCAGATTGCTCTTCTTTCTGGGCTGGAATCGAGATCATCGATGTATCGAGGGAAACAAGTCGATGTCGTCCAGGCCATTGTATCTGGCGATCCGATCGGCTACTCCAAGCTCGTCATATACCGCTGTCATGTCTGATACCTACTGATGGATGTGATGTGAGCTTCATGATGAAGGAGGCATATGTAGTGACGTCTCATCATACCTGTCTCACCTCCATGCATCACCATCAACACACCTCGCCATCTCAAATGGTCGTTCACACGTCAGGCCCTGGAAACCCGCTTCTTCACTTTGTACCCCGTGACTCACGACGCAAAAGCAAACTCCTGTCTTATAGCACGATGGCCTGACAAAATGGAGATGCTGGTGCGAAGGTCTTTTAGGTCTCTCGATCCCTGTAAGGAAGGCAGAGTAAAGCGGTGTGTCGCGTGGTTGCACAGGGGCTGATGGCTTCGCAGTTGTTTGACGATGGGAGATGTATTGATGATGGATGGATGGAGATGAAGGTGTATTGGAGGTTTGCGTTCGATCGGAATCTTTTGTGTTGTCGAGTCGGCGTCGAGGCAGGTGCAATGTTGCGCTGTCACGGGGTATGATAGAAGGAAAGAACGGTTCTGCAACACGCACTTGCTTTGCGATTATCACAACAATTGGACTGCAGCTTCTGGATTCGGCATACCCATTGATCGATGGTATGAGTGCAGACTCTATGGACAGTATTTTAAGAGAATGACATGGTAGGTTCATGGTCCATGTCATTCTCTCCGCAATGGTATCCAGCTTTGCATCTGGTCACGATGTAAGTTTCTACCGTGTACCAACAATAGAGACTGTCCTTGTCGTGGTTACCATAGCGATATCAGGGGTCCCAGAAAACCGACCACTCGGGTTGTCCGTCGACGTGCGTGTTCGTCTGATGTTTCGGACATTCGCTTTCCTTCTCGCTCTAGTTCCTTCAACACGTCAACTACCATCAACATGTCACGCCAGCGTCTGGATACAGCCTGGCTCCTGAAGTCGGTCACTGACAGACACGCTCGCGCTCTGCGCCATCACACAACCATGGCCCCTTTTGAAGGTGTGCACGAAAAGCGCACTTGCGTGGTCTGCGATGAGTTGAAACCGCTCAGCAATTTTCCAACCCCTTTCGAGCTCTCTCCTCACGACCACCAGCATGACATCTGCCGTGAGTGCTTCAGCAACCATCTCGAGGTAGAGGTCGACAACAAGACCTGGGACCAAATCTCCTGTCCCCAGTGCCCCGTCATCTTGCAGAGTGAAGAGATCAAGAACCTCGCATCTCCTGAGTCGTGGGCAAAGTATGAGCACTTCTCCGCCAGAGCAGCTTTGTCCGAGATGCCTGACTACAGATTCTGCTTCTCGACAAGTTGCGACTCTGGCCAGATCCACGAAGAAGGACTAGTCTTCTCGTGCAAGGCTTGTGGGCACAAGCACTGCACAGCCTGCGAGGTCAATTGGCATGAAGACGAGACGTGCGAGGAGTACCAAACTCGCAATGCAGCACAGAAGCAACAAGAACAAGACTCGGAAGCTCAGGTTCACGCAATCTCGAAAACCTGTCCCAACTGCGCAACCAAGATCGAAAAGCGCGACGGGTGTGACCATATGACTTGTAAGTTTCGTCTCCTGTGCCTCTAGAATCTATGCTCATATGATGCAGGCTCCCGCTGTCATTACCAGTTCTGCTGGGCTTGTTTGGCAGACTTCATGCCCATCGCTCGTCATGGCCTGCATCGTCACGAAACAAGCTGTCGCAATCACCGTCCGGAAGGACACCTGGGTACAGAAGAAGAAGACGATGGTCTGATGCCTTGGGCACAGAGGCCAGATGCCGAAGAAAGACTGAACGCAGCTCTGCAGATTTGGATGGATTTGATGCAGATACTTCAAGGGTTACCAGCACAACAGCCGCGGAATTAAGGGTCAAACAGGGAAAGAGATGAATTCGTGGAGCAGCTCATGGTCAATTCGACATCCTCCGCCTATACGAGTGCGCTTGCATCTCGCCATGCAGGTTCTTCCTTGACCTCCATCTTCTTCCTGGCAACACACTTCTCTTCGAGCCACCTGGCGAACTTCACCGAAGGCACATCTACCAACCTCATAAACACATCGGCCCACCAGACAGTCATCACAGTGACACAAGTCGCCATGATGACGAAGCACGTCTCTTNTCGATCCTCACCAATGGTACTCCAGAGTGACTGCAGCAAGCCATATCCCAAAGTATGGATGATAGAGCCGTGCACCAGATACAAGGAGAAAGATATCCTGCCGAGGTACTGCGACGCACGATTGGTGAAAATGCATTGGAGCAGATAGTCATTTGAAGTCGACCAGACAATCAAAAGCGCTCCCCATGAGGTCCAGTATCTCCACTTTTCTCTAACGTAGTCAGGAATTAGAGAAATGATTGTTTCCCAAACATATGTGCCTTTTACGTTTCTCTCGGGCTGACCGGCCAAGAAAACGCCGCACAGAAAGACTGTGATGTAAACAGCAGACCAGAAGACCCTCGAGCTATTGTTAGAGGCGATTTTGTGAGACCCCTTCAAAGCGCTCCGTCGAATGTCCATCTCGGCCATGAGAAAGCCGCCATAGAACAGGGTCATTGTCCAGTAATCTACACGATGTGTCCATACAAGCAAGCACATGAGGCTCAACATGCGAAGAACGGGCCGTAGGCGAGAGAGTCCAAGTTGGGTAACATACAGTATGATCGATGCTTTNNCTGAAAACGTTAGCCATATGAGTTGACACATGATATTGTATCCATGACTCACGTATTCGACGGGAATCGTCCATAGATGGCCATCCATATAGATACCTTTACCAAGTCCCGTCGAGGCAAATGGGTTCATAAAGCCCCAGAAGCTTCTGATCCAGATCCAAACTTGCTCTGTCAGGGTGTCATAGCGCCAGGCATGATGCTCACGGGTACCGGGCAGGCGTTTGGCATCAGTCGCGAGTTCCATCGTGCGGCTGTAGAATCCCAGACGTACGAGAACCACAATAACAAAGGTTGAAGCAACACAAGGCAGATACAAGCGGATCACTCTGCGAAACACAGACGAAGACAAGCCAGAAAACAATGCATCATACTCTCCATTGCGCATCTGCTTGACAGGCTTGTAGGATAGGGCATAGCCAGACAAAACGAAGAAGAGGGAGACCATGGCAGGACCGTTGTACAAGGTCTTGATGAATGGCAGGCGTAGAAAGTCGTGATGACCTTCGCTCCAGCCGGTATAGACATCGTGTGTCGAATATGACAGATGATAGATGTATACCAGCAACGCTGCGATGCCACGCATACCATCTAACCATGCTGTTGGTTTCGGACGAACTGTAATGTCAGATGCTGGTCTGGCTGATGGGTAGAGGACGCTTTGAATGGGAGATGGAACAAGGTAGACCATAATCCGCTTTGCAGTATGCGAAGCTGAAGAGAGTGATGGAATCGATATACTGCCTCTTGCACGAGATTTGAGAGCGGTGACATCTCGTCGAGCTTGTTCGATATCCCATCTGGGATCTTCCTGGCCTTGGGACATGCTTTTCGTCTTCAGTAAGAGAGTTGGCGCAAGAACACAGCGATGATTTCTGTCGACCTCAGCATGTCTATATGGAGCAACTGATCTGAAACGATATTGGCTGATCCTGGGGAATTGCTTGTGACATTGTAACGGCCTATCGGCGGGATCGTTAAAGGAGCCCAGCTAGCAAGCTTCAGCTGCGAGATTTTTGGCTAGCGTTCAGCTGAAAGGCGTTGTAACTATTTCATGACTCAGATCCATCGCCCGCTGTGGCTCTATAAGCAGAGATAGCAAGACTGGCTGACCAGTTCAATACCTGTATATTCTTTGCGAGTTTGCATTTGAGATGATGGTCTTGATGGACCGACCACTCGGCGATCGTGACGATCAAGTCTCCGTTGTTGTAGGCGTCACCCTACCCATTGGGTGCCACGATAGTGAACTTGCGAGTGTTATGGCTTCTGACTTGTTGCCACGAGAGGAACTGTGGTGGGCTCTGGGTCCCCCTCGTCATGCCTTTGCGATTCTCGAACGGTTCATGGCCTGTTCGTGCCGCGTTTTGCGTCGCTGCTCTTTGTTCCTCGTTCAAGAACGTTGCCGAGGCGATTTGAGAGGCTTGATTCTTGACGCTGATGGTCAAAGTCGGTTGCTTCTTTCTACTTTGAAACTCCAGCTCTTCATCGTGAGCAGTAAGAACGATATTCATCTCCACGTGTGCCAGACATGGGTTGAGCAAGCATACCTTCTCAGGCGAAAGGAGGTGACCGAGGTTCTCCGTCGCACGGGTTTTCTCTTCGTCAGCTATAAAAGCACGACAATCATAACGTATCCAGCCAAACGCATTGTCGCATCGAACACGGCAAGGACAGGATCATCCGCGCGTCAAAGATTCAAAGATAGCTGCTATCATGTTCTTAGTTGCCATGTTCATACTCCAGTAATGCTGAAAGATCGGTAGGGAATTCCAAGCTTGAGCAACGCCGTCCAAGTTATGAAAGGCTGCATAATTCACAGAGACGAGCACAAGTTTGCATTAACTATTTGAGCTTCAAGCAGGAACCTGGACAATGTCCTTGACTGGTTAAATGTTTTGTCGTCAATTTTGCCTGAATACTCGCCTACGGCGCATAGTGTCGGTCAGGCTGCAAGCCTCCAATAGTTGTACGGCTGAACTTCTCTATCGTGCTAGCTGCATGATCAATCCTCCGCAGCTCTTACCGCGACAGTGCATGTCCTTATATTATCGAACCATGAGCTGCTCGCTCAGTCGTGTCAGACCCCGAAATAGCCAGGAGTTTAACTTTTCGAGGTAAAACTCACCCAGGCGTTCTTTTATCATACTTAACGAGAAGGAAGCGACCGTGATGGCTAGCGATCAGATTTGTTTCTTCTATGCGCCAACCTGGGATTACCCTCCGGGTGGCCCGATACAGCTGGGCAATGTCATCGCATCCGTGAAAACTCCCCATCGACCACTTCATCGCGTTCCGCCAGAGAGCGCTGATGTGTTCTCTACGTCGAAGAACAGCGTTCAGTATACCAAAGAGAAGATGCGAAGCGGAAGATTCTCTATCCTAACCAAGTTTCTCAGTATTCTTGGATTTGGCGCTGATGTTGGTGTTGAGTCGGGTAACAGGTGGAGTTTTCGTCCTCAGAAGCACCACAAGTTTTTCATTGTTGACGATATCAGGCTTGAGGAAACATTCTCTTTCACTACTGTGGAGACCACGCAGTTTTCTCCAACTCGACCCTACCTTCAACAATGCCTTGAAGCCGAGAGGGTTCGTGGCTTCCTCAATCTCTCAAAGTACCGTAAGCCAGTATATGTTATCACTGGTTTGAAGATCGTTACTGGAGCCAAGGCCGAAAGCCTTAAGACCCATAGCGTCAAGGGGAACCTCGCTGTGGAAGTGGATGCTACCATTTGGAGCGGAGTGCCCGTCAGTGGCGGTCCAGGAGTAGAGGGTGAAGTAGGTAGCAAGGCTGTTAACAAATGGAGCGCAAGTGATGACTTCGTCTTTGCGTTTCGCGTCGTCAAAGTGGTCGCGGGAAAAACACCAGGTCAGGTGCTGAACGAGGAGGATTATCGCAAAGGAGCTATGCTCGAAAGTAAACAGAAGGACGCTGAAGCTCCAATGGTAACTCTTTCAGAGTTCGAGGATCTAGATGCGAAAAGTGAAGGGTTTGATATAGAGGAGTTGATGGAGGATGAGATCAAAGTGACTTGCGCTGATCCAAGGGAGGAGACCTGGTAAAGTACAGCGTGATAGAAGGATTTTGGGTGGTATCGATCAACAAAATTGGCGGACTATATTCCTAATGTCCTCCTAATATCATTAAGTACGCTCTCCAAGTCCTGGCCAAACAGATTTTGGGGATTGAGGCTCAATTCCACATAGAAATATCCATCCCTTGGTTGGTAGTTAGGACCTCGCTCGGCACATCTTCTTAGCAATGCTTCCATTCCGTCTTTACGCTTCAGTGTCATGGCTGCTTCCGGAAGATGCAGTCGCGCGAATTGTAGCAGGAACGCTGAAATTCCAACGAGGATGGGTGTCGCATAAGATGTCCCAGATCGGGTCTTGAGATGCTCTCCTTCATGACAGAGCGACGTTGGCCACGCCGATTCGACTGATTCACCCACCGTCGCGATGTTGATGGCGTTAGACTCAGCGGTCGGGCTGAAAGATGATCTATTACCGTCAGTGTCTGTCGAGTGAACGCAAATGACATGGGGGCTGCTGGCAGGATATGCTCGACCGGATCTTCCACCACTATTAGCAGCGGCAGCGAACATGAGAACTTTCCTGCCGTAGGCTCTATCAATAGCGTCCCTTAGCTCGTGGTAGCCGTCAAACCTAGAGGAAGGCCACCCGAACGACATCGATATGATGTCTACGTCCCATTTGTCTTGAGCGTATTCAATCGCCTGTAGGTGTCAATACCTAAGACTTCACGATAAGATCAGCATAAGTAATTCAGCTTACCTTTGCGATAACCTTAGCGTCAGGTATGACATTTTGTCCGCGATTTTAATCACGTACAATTTTACATCCGGGGCGTAGTCGAGTATCAGGCTCGCAGCAAACGTGCCGTGTCCATTATAATCGACAACGGTCCTCTGGGACTCATCGTGATAATTGTACTTTCCTCCCAGATTCTTCTCCCGAGCATCGATGTTCTCATGATTTTTGTCGATACCTGTATCCAAAATTGCAACCTTCACTGGATTGGATGGGGTGTCCGCAGTTTGACATCCGACAAAATTGTCATAGACCTTTTATATTCCAACTTCCAATTAGGGTAATTCCTGGATCTGACAAGATGAGGTCAGTCAAAATCATTCTGGATCCAAAGTCGCAGCTTAAGGTCACAGCATCTAAATCGTTCTAGGCGATTAACTCACTGGATGACAGAATCTCTTTCGCTTGCCATATCGTCAAAGAAATGGCACGTCCCAAGTTGGGCCCCAGAGCTTGAAGTATCACCGATGTTCATCACCGGAAATGGTGAAGAAGAACTGGAGCGGTGATAATGAATCTGATTCTCTGATTCACGCACCCTCCTTGCAGTGAAGTTCTCTTGGTGCGGTTCCGGGGCTATGCTCTGACTCCAACTCCCCAGGTCTATGTCTCTGGCATACTCGTCGATCCCATCCAGAGGTATGTCGTTGAAGGCTCGAGCCAGGTTTTCTTCCAGAAGTTGAACAACATGTTGATAGATGCGCGATGAGAGAGTTGCACTATCGAGGGGTTCGCCCTTAGCGTCTTCCCAGAGATTAGTGTTCAAGCAGTTATCTATAGCATTCAAAAGAGGAGTGTCTCGAGGTATCTGGGAACGCCATCCCTCCATTCTCTTCATCCCATCCCCATAGAATACCTCATCAACATCGACAAGATGGATTCGACCGTGAGACTCTTCGATAATTGGGACTCCGTGCATCTCAGCTAGTCTTTTGAAAGTCTTCACGAAGTGCAGCTCAATCAAGACAACTGCTAAGGCAATCAATCCCGGACAGCGATGAGTCGAATCCAGGTCGTCAATATCTTCATCACTACTTTCATCATCTAAAATGAGTTGCAAAGCGGGACCCTCACCAGATGGGTAGACATTGGGCAATTGCGAATGTATGAATGGTCGTAGAGGAGTTTTGATGTGCCAGGTGGTTTGGAAGAACTGAATGCTCGCAGAACTCCAGCCCGACTTTAGCCATGAGGTGTCGTTGAGATGAAGAACCATATAGCCAAGGATGAGCGAAAGGATACGTTTTGTCTTCTCTGTGAAGAACTCTTGTCTCTCTTCGAAACATTGACACAAAGTAATAGGTTGCACGGAGTTGTCAATTCGGGAATCGCTTTTCTCAAACTTCCACTCGAAGAGTTTACCACCAGTGAGCCTGAGTATTTGGCGCTGCAAAGCCTTAGATCTGACCTTTGCAACTGTTCTGCAAAGATCCTCCACTCTTGAAAACCTACAGGGACGGTTACTCCCAGAAGATAGCTCATCACTGGATAAAGTGGATCTTTGGATCTCTTCTTTGACGCTCCAGACCCGGAATTCTTGCCAGTCGTTCCCTACGGAGAGGAACATGTCGAATTCAAGCTCCTCAGCACGCTTGTAGTTCTCAGAAGTCCGCCGTCTGTAGTTTGCAGACCCAACGCTGGGCCGGTTCCTGACAACCTCTTTAGATATCTTGTAGGTGCCCAGCTCAAGTTTTGCTCCGATGTCATGTGCATGACTACAGGAGCACGATCTAATACTGAGCAAAGCATCGAAAACCGATTGAGTGGCTTTCAAAACAGTTTTTGAGTGTTCAGTAATGTTCGAGGTGGCGTGCATATCGTCGAGCCCTTGAAAAGAGTACCTGTATGTTGGTGTGTCGAGAATATCTGCACAAGCCCCCAATGCTTTATCCAATTCTTTGCGACGGTCCTGGGGCATTTCGAGCTTTATAAATCGTCTAACAAAGTTCGCTTTTTGTCATCATCGTGTCTTAGCACCTCGTT